AAAAAAAAAAAAAAAAAAAAAAAAAAAAAAAAAAAAAAAACCAATCCCGCATTGTGGAGCTGCATCAGTCACTGTGTCTCGGTCCGCCGGTTATGTGCAATAAAAGCTTCCCCGAGGCCACCGCCTTGCACACTGACTGACGGCTGTTCTTTCTTTTGGATAGGTTGTTCTGTCCAGACCATACCATGATCTTTCGGTAATCCAGGAAACAGCAACCTTGTCCACATAGTCCCTTCTCTCTTGGGCATCGCTGATTCGAGCATACCGCCCACCGCAAGCCCCATCATGGCTCGGCCATCACTAGGCCTAGCCCGTCCCGGTGGACGCCACATGAAGGACAATTCTTCTCGAGATACCCTATATGCCCTGGGCTTCCTACATCCTTTCGAGAGTCCCTCTATCGCTAGCCGCAGTATCAGTTCTTACAACATCGACACCGAAAACCTTTATGGCACTCGCAATAAATTTGTCTTCCACATAGTTGCCATTGTCTTCTCAGGCTTCAGTCTACTCGCAGCGACCGTATCGTTTTACTGGTTTTACCGGATGAAAAAGCGTTTTCGGCACAAGTACTGTCCCGTTCTTTCTAGATGGAACTGCAAGACTAACAGGTTACTACTTTAGGCTAATAAACCTGATGATCCTGGGCGACATAATCCGAGCCCTATGGTACCTGATCTTCTCTTGCGTCTCTTTTTACCGTCCTAGCGACCAGGTGCCGACTGCCTCGGCACTCTGCCAAGTCACTGGGTTTTCTGTTCAGTGGGGAACCGAAATCGCAGGTACGTCTCAGCGCTGCTACTAGCCACTCTGTCCATTTCCTCAACTGGAAGCCAGATATCGCCGTCCTCTTTCTCGCGATACACGGTACCCTGCGGGTGTTCAGACCATCGATAACCGCCCCTGGATCCGGCAGCGCATTCTACAGACGTAGGCGGTACATTTACATCTGCATAATCGGAGTCCCACTCTTGTTTGCCGCCTTGCCGTGGTCCAATCCCCATAATAAGTACGCGTATATTTCACAAGGCGCATTCTGCTCGCTTCCGATCAGACCGCTGTGGTACCGGCTGACGCTTGCGTGGATACCGCGTTTTATGATATGGCTTGCGCTCATAGGCCTGTCGATAGCTGTATATGTGCGGGTGCGATCGGAGTTCAAGACATCTACCAAGGAGACACGGCAAACGGCGCCGTTTCATACGGATGAATTTGGTGGTTCTGGTACCTCGTTCCACCCGGATGTGGAGAAACAGCGAGACAGTATCGACAGCATGCTCAGTCCGCGCGAGCCGATCGCCAACCCATTAGAGGCGTACATCCCAGCTCCAGGACCACCACCATCATCACGGTCCGTCTGGCCACCGGGCAACCAAGCCAACGCGCCGATGGCCGGCCCTGACTCCGGCACCATCTTCTCAGCGGCTCCCATCTTCGCCGACAGCGCCCCGAACACCCGCGTCCGCATCAGCGTCCCCGACAGCATAATATCCCCCGCGACCAAAGACCGGCACCGCAAGTCGTCGGTCAGCTTCTCCTCGTGGCGCCACCTCCTGCAAAGCCAAGACAAAGACAGCCCCTCGCGGCGCATGAGCTGCCGCTCACTATACACGACGACGTCGACGCAGCCCGAAGACAGCAACAGCAACGGCAACGGCAACGGCAACGGCGCCGCCACAGCAACAGCCCCAGCAACAGCAACAGCCCCAGCAACAGCAGCGCCAAGCAGCACAACAGCACGCCCCCCAAGCGACCCCTTTTCACAGCGCATGGCGGAAAAGCGCCAGCTTATCCAGCGCCAACTGCGCAGCCTCTTCGTCTACCCCGTCGTCTACATCGTCATGTGGCTGCCGCCCTTCATCCTGCTGCTGTACCAGTTCGACGACGCGTACGCGCGGCGTCCGCCCTTTCCGCTCGCTGCTATCGCGACTACCTGCCCTTGCGTCATGGGCGCCATCAACAGCATCGTCTTCTCGGTGCGTGAGCGGCCCTGGCGCGCTATCCCCGGCGCGAGGGGCGGCTTCTGCGAGTCGTTTGCTTGGTGGCGGGGCCGTCGCGGCAGTCGCGGCAGTCGCCAAGGCAGCGCCAGCGATGCTAGCTGCGCCGGGACCGAGGAGGCGGATAGCGCGGCGTCGCTGCCGGGGGCGGGGCCTGCTACGGCCATGGCTCAAGCACAGCAGCAGTATCCGCCCTCCCAATCCCACTCCCAATCCCCTGCAGCAGCTACGACTACGGCTACGACCCCAACCGCGCCGGCGCATCCCCCGCTCCACCGCGCCCGCCCCTGGGCCCTCTCGCGCACGACGACGGACCTTTATGCGCGCGCGCATGCGCATGCGCATGGCGCGCAGCGGGGACGGCGGGCGAGTGTCGCTGTGGGGGTTGGGGCGGGGGTGGCGGCGCTGAAGGAGAAGGACAAGCCGAAGCCCAAGGCGAAGGAGTGGTGGGAGCGGTATGGCGGGCTTAGTAGTGGGGAGGATGAGGAGGAGGATGACGGGGACGGGGGTGGGGGTGGAGGTGGAAAGGGCAAAGTTAAGGGGTCTTGGGATGATGATGACGATGAGGACGAGGGGGTTATGGAGGTGAAGGGGTTGGGTGATGCTGCTGGGGATGGGCCTGGGGGACGCAGGGTTGTGGTTGTGGATGTGGATGTGGATGTGGATGTGGATGATTGGGAGGGGGGTGAGTGAGTGGTAATGGTAATGGGTGGTGGTAGAGTTGATCGACATCGATGCTATGCTATGCTATGCTATGCTACCTATGCTACGCTATGCCATGTGCGCGCCTATCTATACTGCCTGTAAGTAAATAAAAGTAACGTCCTCTGCGTCCTGCAGCCAACCAACCACTCATAAAAAAACAACGCCCGACGCCAGTAGATATGATATGATATGCATCCATCCCTTCCACCCCACACCCCACGCCCACCCTTACAACATGAACAAAAACGGGCCCCCACCAGAACTTCTCCCCTCCTCGCCCTCCCCACCAGCAGCAACGAGCGGCACTGCGCCCTCATCCCCATCACCCCCATCCTCACCCCTCGCCCGCCCAGCCCGCCAGTCCCGCACCGCCCTTGCATTCTCCTGCCCCAACCACCACGCCAGCCCCGCCGCCAAGCACGCAACCCCCAGCATCGCGCCCGCACACACCCACATGCCCGTGGCATAAAACGGGGCCTCGCGTTCCGGATACAGGCGCGTGCCCAGCAGCGGGCCGCACTGCCCGACGAGCCCCAGCAGCGCGACGCCCGTCCCGCGCCCGGCGACGCTGGCCTGGTTGTTCAGCTGCCAGGCGAGGACGAGGGTGACGGCGGCGAAGAAGCCGGCGGCGGCGGGGAAGAGGGCGAGGTAGCGCGCCCAGGGCGGGAGGTGCAGGGGCTCAGAGAGTGCGAGGAGGGCGTAGCCGAGGCTGGCGAGGAGGGCGTGCCCGATTAGGTAGGGGCCGCGGCGGCGGTGACGGTCCGAGAGGTAGGCGGTTAGGAGGACGAGGGGGAAGGCGAGCAGGTAGGGCGGCGCGGAGAGGGCTTGCGTGGTTGGTTTTGAGAGCGTGGGGGAGATGGACTGGATGATTGTGGGGAGGAAGACGGGGAGCGACGAGAAGGCGACGTTGGAGAGGAAGAACATGAGCTGTGCGTGTTAGCGGGTGTGATATCATTGTCATGTAGGTGTGTGGTCTTACAGCCGTGAGCCACGCCTTCGGATCGCGCAGCGTCTTGGCCACCTCGCGCAAATCGATGCCGCGTCTGCGCCTCCTGCCACCACCACCCGCCACCATCGCGTCCTCCTTCTCGCGCTCCAAGCCCGTGACATCGCGCTCACGGCGGAGGCGGAGCACGGCGACCTCGCGCTCGCGGCCATCGAGCCAGCGCGCCTCGCCCGGCCCGTCGGGCACGAAGCCCCACGCCCACACGGCCACGAACAGGCTCGGCGCGCCCTCGACCAGGAACAGCAGGCGCCAGGGCGCGACGCGGCCGGGCAGCTGCTCCGCCACGCTCGTAATGGCCCACGCCAGGCTGCTGGCGAAGCTGGTGCTCAGCGGCGCCGCCGAGATGAACAGCCCTGTGCGGAAGGCAAGCTCCTCGCGCCGGAAGAAAAACGATAGGTAGTACGGCAGGCCCGGGCCAAAGGCTGCTTCGGCGATGCCCAGCAGCGCGCGCAGCACCACCATGCTGCTGAAGCTGGTGCTTACGGCTTGGAGGCTGGCGAGCAGGCCCCATGAGAAGACGCACGCTGAGATGTACATGTGCGGCGGCACGATGCGGTACCTGCAGGCGGGGTCAATATGGAAATTGGACAAAATAGAGAGAGAGAGAGAGAAACAAAAAAACACCCACATCAGCGTCATCCACTCAAACGCGATATACGTGACATAGAAAGCCGTCAACAGCCACTCGTACCGATCCGAATCCAGCTGCAAATCCTCCGCCAAGCCAGCAATGCGCGCATTCCCGATATCTGCCAACAAAGAGTATGAGTATTAGCACCCATTTCCTTCTTACTCACCCAACCCAATTCCTCTCTCTCTCCCGCTCTCTCACGCAACAAAAAGCAAAAACTCACTCGACCGGTCCAGAAAACTCAGCATATACAGCCCGGCCATAAACAGCACGAGCTTGCGGTCCAGCTTGCGCAGCACGCGGCGCTCCTCGTCGGGCGTGTAGAGCTCAAAGTCCTCGGCCGCGCCAGCTGCACCTCCCATGCCCCCGCCCATCAAGCCCTTGGTAGCCTCGTCGTCGTCGTCGTCGTCGTCGTCCAGCTCGTCGTGCGCGTGCGCGTAGCGGTGCCCGCGCAGCGGCTGCATCTCAATGCCCCCTCCTCTTGTCGCAGCGCGGCCCTGCCCTCCCCACGAAATATATGCGTCGGCGTCTGCATCGTCGTCGTCGGTGGCCGAGGGCGGCGTGGCGCGCGCGGGCGAGTCCGTGTCTGTGGAGCTGGAGCTCGTGGGCGGCGGCGGCGGCGGCGGCATGGTGAGCGAGCTCCGTGGGTGAGCTGTGTGGGGGACTGGAAAGGAGTGTGTGTGGGTGGGTGGTGCTGTGCTGTGCTGTGCAGTGCAGTGCAGCTACACGGGCATGGAGCTGCAAGCTGGCGGCAGCAATCTGCAGCAGCAGCGGGAGGAGGCGTGCGCGTCCCTCCCCCCCTCCGGTGCTAGGTAGCTTGCTCGAGTCATGGGGCGCTAATGTACTCCGCGTTTGTGTGGCTGCGTGGGGCCGCGTTTGGTGCAACTTTATCGCGACGCTGGCTTTTTATACTATGAAGCAGACCAGTCTGCTCTATGGCGGCAGCGAAAAGCACAAGCCCACCAGCACACCGTCGAACAACCACAGGAGCTGCGCCTGAAGCTCGAGGTTTTGGAGGGCGTCGACCGAGCCCGGCGACCCAACTCCACCGAAGTTGACGGGAGGAGTACAACGAACTGATGTTTAACCGGTCGGATGAATACTGTACCTATCGAGTCGAGTCGGTTCAGCTGTCTTCTTCATGTCCCCCTTGCATAGCTCCGTTTTCTTCCAGATGCTTTGAATTCTCAACACGGGCAGTCGCCTTGCGTGCGCTGTGTGTTGTTTACAAGGGCGTGGGTAGGCTGCCTGTCCTGTGTGGAGATAGCTTTCCTATCCCGCGTGATTGTACGTCTGCGAAGAGTATGAGTTACTCTTCACCTTTACGTTCTTTTTATTCCTATGCCCTTGAGGGGTGCTCGGTGGGTATGGTAGAGTTTACTCTGTGTGTATTTGTTCGGCGCCATTGCGAGTGGTGTGATTGCTGGTGTTGTAGGGAAAGCACGTTGTCAGTGTTCGACGTCTCTTGCACCTTGACGACTGCTAAGAGGAAGTCGAAGCATTTTCTACGCACTATCTCTCTCCGTCGTCTCTGTTCTATCCCTCGGCTGCTAACAAACACCATGAATGCGCTACAAAGAACGAAGCTCGTGTCGAAGGGACATGCCCATCGAGTGCCGAATGCAGATGCAAAATCCATCAAACCCACCTCGACGAAAGGAATGCTAGCGGGGTATCGACAATGACCGCGCGCATAAAAACGACGACATCAATCCTCAGGGAATGCGCTCCTCCAGTGCACTCCGTACTCTCTTCCCATACATCGAAGAATCTCAGTCCCTCCTAGGCATCAGGATCGTCCTCGCCCGTCTTCTCCACGCTCTCCACCACGCCCATCACGCCCTTCATCTTCAGCAAGACCTTGCGGCAATGAACCACGAGAATGGCAATCGCCAAGCTGGTCCAGACGTCATACTCCGCCACGCCAAAGTCGAACGTCGCAATAACTTCCGTACGCGGCTCTTTGCCGCCATCCGCATATATAATGAACCCGGCCTTCGTGCCCCAAACAACGACGCCATAGACCTCTGGGGGCGGGGCAGTGAATAGCTGTTCCGACGTGTCATGGCCGTCTTCTCCGTTCACTACGTGCAACGCGGCGCGCCACTCCGCGCACAGGCTCGCCAGGTGCGCCTTGATTCTGGTCTCGAGTATGTCCGGAGACACGCTCTCCGCGCCAGATATCATGGCTAAGACGGGGATGATGCTGTCGCTGCTGACGCCGCCGTCTGCGAATGCCCACCGGCTGTACCGCTCGATTTCGCGGCGGATGAGCTCTTCCGGCGAGCGCGAGGGCGGGGACAACACCTTCGGATGGATGGCGTCGCGCGCACGGGCGCCGATGAAGATGAGCGATTGGAGCGCTTTGATTGCTGCAGTGATGTGTCAGTAATGCTGCTGTGTAAAACACTAAACGCTAGCAAAAGGGGACGTATGCCTACCGCGAAAGTCGTTGCCGTGCACCGCGCGAATGTAGGCACGCGAGTGCCTGGGCGCAAACAACATCGGCGACAGCGTCTCGAAGTCTAGCATCCAGTTGTGCGGTAGCAGAGGCTCATAGCCGCGCATTGCGAGCTTGACCCACAGCGCAATTGGGTCTTCTCCCCAGCCCGCTTCGCGCAGGCGCTGCGCGTCGTTGTGGCGCCGCGTGCGCGCGAGATCCAGCTTGAAGTCCTTGGCGTGTCGCTCGTCCCATTCCTCTTCAGGGAGCACAATTGTCGTGTCTCTCCTGATCGTGCGCTTGTACTCGGGTGAGGTGAAGTGCCCAATCGATTTCTTGATGGTTGGCTTAGGTGTGTTCAGAGTAGAAGTGTCGTCGTCCTCCTCATTTGAGGTGTCCTCCTCCGGGGTTTCGGTGACAAGATTGGTCTTCTCGAGAGCATCCTCTTCGTCCTGCTGGGTGTACAAATCGGGGCTGTTTGAAATAGAGCGAGGGCTTCCAGTTGTCTTTGAGAACATCAGTGGTTCAGAAGACTGTCGAGTCGCGACTTTGTTCTTGTCATGATGATGACGAAGGCGCTTGCGATTCGGATGACGGGCTTTATACGGCTTGTCACGACGATGCTGGGTCTTGCTTGGGGAGATGAAATTGAGGATAGTATCTCCGGCGCTCTTCCAAAAGGACTTTTTTGTCTCGGCCATAATTTCGACGATGCCGCCCGGGTATTCGAGTTGTGGGAACAGGAGCAGCATGACCGAGACAGGCCCAAGATTTGAAAGCGTGGTGTCGAGTCTGGACAAGGACGGCAGAGACAAAGGCTTGGTGCGTGTCTCGCAGCAACAACTAAAAGCGGCCGGCGACGAGGTCGAAGGCGGTTGCGGCCGTGGACAAAGACTCCAAGGTCAGTAGCATCTGTCCAGCACCCAAAATCTGATCGGTCTCACATGGTTTCTGCTTGCAGTGGAGTGAAGTGAAGCGGAATGCAGGAAGATGAAATGGGAAAAGCCGGCCAAGATCGCGGGGACGGGACGAGCCGACCCGCGTCGGTGCCTGGGCGTGCATCTTCCGCTCCTTGGCTTCCATTATTCTTGGCCACCTCCTGTCGAAGGCTCCGAATATCGCTACCATTTGCCACATTGCGCGGGATTCGTGAGTGTTTTACCCACCCTCAACGATACGTCAAGTAAAGCCCGCCATACCCACCGATCACTCCTTGAGTAGTTACATGTTGAATCATGTTACTACGGTCGGCAGCTGCTGAGTAGTTATAAAGGCATGGGTATGCAAAAGTACGAGCTGACTCGAAAAGACCAGAGAGTATAGTTCACAAGGAGCGTGGAAGTATTTCTTAAGAGTATGAGGATATAAAGTTGAAATGGTGAAAAAGCATGTCATATATCTATGTAAGTGTACTACCACGTGGTGTAAACAAACAGTCAAAAGAGGATGGACAAACTATCCAAGGCCATCCATAGAGCGATCTCCGTCTCAACAGTAACGAAACCAAACTTCGCCTTCCGAAGCAATTTTATACCGTTGAATGCAGCTCTAAACAACGGGTTCGACCTGCTTCATGGAGCTCACCAGGGGCCTAGCGCATATACGTTCCTTTTTTGGATTCCATCTCAACCCTTTAGCCCCCGGGGGATATATCCAAACCGGTCTTGTTTTTCCTGTCGCACCAAATGGAAATGGCGTTTGGTCCGGGACGGGATAGAGCTGCTCACACGCGCGGTTCAGGCAGCTGGCTTTTCTCAGGCCATCGCGTGTCTTCACGTTGTCTGTCAGAACGCTGCTGAAGAGGCCAATCATTTCTGAGCTCAGCTCTGGGGTTGAAACCCAGGAGCAAACCTCGGGGGAGGTTGACGTATTGGCGTCGGTTGATTCGCTTTCCTCCTCCACCCAGCCCGGATGCGCGTTGCAGTAGGTATTGCGGTCGGCTTTCGATCTTCGGCGGGCGGTTGAATTGTCGCTGCGTCTGATGATTCGCGCTTGCTCGTCCATGTGTTGCAAGAACAGTGCCTTTGCTGCCTTTCGCTTCTCGAACTCCTGGCGTTCTTGGTCGTGGTTTTGCTTTCGTGGTGCTAGTTCCACTGTGCGCAGAGGTCCGCCGCTTGATGTTCGCTCGGCTCTCCGTTCGTTTTCGTTGCTTGTTGATGGACACGAGAACGTGTTTGCTCGTCGACGGTTTTGCTTTGGGACTTGAGCGAGCTCACTGGGTGATGCTTCATTCTCGTTACTTGCTGATGAACACGAAAACGCGTCCGCTTGTCGACGGTTCTGCCTTGGGACTTGAGCGGGCTCGAGGGATGATGCTTCATTATGATTATAAAAGACATCGTAATATCTTTGGCGTTCATGTTTGACATTTGTGGGCGCCATTTTTAGGCTGCTGCTCTTGCTGGATCGGGTGGTCCTTGCTGGAGCGGGTTGTCTTGCTGGAGCGGGTTGTTCTTGTTATGCGTGAAAAGTTCGGGGTATGGTAGCGAAGACGTTGATGTTGAGTAAAGGATGGAATCAGAGGGCAGGTACGGGCAGTTTTATATGCTGCAAGAAACGCTTGAGCAGCCAGAAGACAAGTTATTTTTCCTGGGACATACATAACGTCCCGCGGTTCTAGAGAGACAGGCATCCGTAGTAGAACGAGCCTGTACCGAAGCTGACAACCACGGTAGCGTAAAGACGAGGACCATCCGAGATTTTAGAACATCTCTCAGCATTTTATCAGCCGTTCGGCTCATCGAAATCTTGATTTCCGACGATGCGGGCATGGCCAGTGAAGCAGTATGGCTGTAATAAAGAAGGTGATACAGATTTACTATCAGCATAAAAAATAGTGATGGATTAGTTATCTATTATAGTAGTCAAATGTTAGTCTACTATCAATCTTTCATGATGAAAATAAGAGACCCGGATTTGGAGACGGATCCAATTTGTATACTGAGTACTAGTTACAGGGGTAAGTGTTATTGTTCATGTCCCTACAATGAGTGACACTCAACAGAAGCGAAAGTACGTCAAGTCGCATTGGATTTGAATACTAAGGATACTGTAACCATGCCTAAATGCCCCTATAAGTAGTTTAAAGCACACCCTATAGATCACTTTTTATATAGACCTAAAGCTGGCGCTTCTAGCTAGTAAGAGCATGTAGGTACATATGCAGTGCTTTCACACCGCTCCCTACAAAGACTTTCCTGGCATCATCGCAAACGATTACACACAGCTCTTTTTCATCAGCACCCATCCCCAGTCAACCCATGCACGCCGCCTTCCTCAATATACCTACACCTCGCCTCTCCCGTCCCCGTCTCATTCGCCGCAGTCCTCAACTCCACGTTCTTGAAATCAATATTATAGCACGGATGCACATTACTACAACTCACACTCGCAGTCCTGCTCTTATTATTCAGGTACCCGGTGAAATTGACAAACGCAATATTCGACAGGTCCATAAGGCTTGAGCCGGCGAAGCTACCATTGTTGCCATTGTCCTGTGTGATCGAGGGGCCGGAGTCTGCGCCTTGGACGCGGAAGTTCGCAAACAGGATGTTGCGCACGGAGCCCCAGCCTGCGCCGCGAGGTTGGCCGGCGGATTCGTAGTTCGATTGAGGGACGAGTGCGCCGACCCAGGTTTTTATGTAGGCGCAGTTGTGCATGTCTTCGTTGTAGCGAATGACCTGTGTAGGGTTGGGTGTTAGTTGGAGGGTTGTGGGAGGGGTAAAAGGTGTGGAGGTGGAGACAAACGTCTACATCCTGGATTTGCACATTCTCGACGCTGGCGTCTTCTAGATACTGCCCTAGACTGCCAATTGTGACACCATTGCCGCCGCGACACGTCACGTTGCGAATGTCGATGTTGTAGGAGCGCGGCTTGATAGCGACGCAGTCGTCGCCGCCTTGGTAGATGAAGTTGTGTAACTTTATATTTGTTGCGTCCATGGTGTCTAGAAGAATCAGTACAGTGCTAAATTTACCAAAGACAAAGACAGCTACAGGTGTGAGGGAGAGGCATACCAAATCCGTCTGTGTTCTGCACCCAGTTGCTGCCCCACGGAGCTTTCGTGGCCGTTGCATTGCAGTAAATATTCTCGAACACCATATCCGTGCCATTCATGATATTGAGCGCCCATAGCTGGGGCTGCTTCACAAAGAAATTCTTCACTGTCACATCGCTCACATTCCAAAAAACGAACGGCATCGGGCGGCCCGGCTGCGTCTCCCCAGCCTCAGCTGTGTACCACGCGTCGCCGTTGCCGTGGATGCCACCGGTGCCGAACCCGTCGATCCAGATATGGTCGCCCGAGAGCACGAAGCCCGCGGCGTGGTTCTGGAATGCGACAGGGTAGGAGTTATTGCGCCAATAGTCTAGGTCTGCAGTGAAGGTCCACTCTCCGTGCCAGTAGATCCGCACGTCGTTGACGCGCGGGTTCAGCCGCGTCCCAATCGTGTACTGCTCGCTAGCAGGGAAAATGATATCGCCGCCGTTTCCGCACGTGTCAAAGGCCGAGAGGATGTTGGGTACGTCATCGGTGCTATTCCCGCTGGCTGTGACAGTGCATTGGGGGCGTCCATTGGCGGCAGTCGTGCGGCGCACGCGGGCGGAAACATTGGCGTGGAGAAGCGGCGATAGAAACGCGAGAGCAATGAGGATGCGCATGGTAGAGGGAATGAGAGGACTGACACTCGTGCCGGAGGAATTGACGGCAAAAATCTTGCTTTAAAGACCCCTCGTCCATCGGTACCTGGCGCAGCCCTGCAGCAGCTGCGGGCATGATTGGAGGTAAATTTGGGCATGGCAATTGGCCTTGTCGATCGTCTTTAACCGTGTTGCTGGGTAGTTCTGCAGTTTTTGCGCATCTTGACGTTGCCTGCCTCGGCGAAGTTTCTCCCGAGAAGTTGGGGAAGCGCGATGAGGAGGTGCAGGGATCCGGGAGATCATCTGGGGAGACTCGCGCTAATCTTCAATCTCCGCCACAGCATGACGTCCAACATCCATCTAGGAAATGAGCATATAGAACGTTTCAGACTACTTACAAGACCACATATACCCTTAGGACTGTAGTAAAGGGCAATGGCCTCGGGGCATGATCAATCTAGTCATGTTCATTGCTGTCGCGCATGTCGGCAGCGCTGTGGACATACTCTGACCTATAGTAGTTATCAAACACCGACTGGACAGAAATCAGACCGAAACAATATAAAATAGCTGTTCCGGCTACACTTACTAGGGTTAGAGGGGTAGATATTACTAGAGTTACATGCCCATTATAAGCAACTCATCTGACTACGGGCGCGACCTCTAGACCTACTCATAGAGCAATTTAGGGGGGGCGCTTGGAAGGTGCCGCTGCCTCTCGTAAGCAACCTCGCCAACCACGATTGCAGCATCCACATCTACCTACAGAGTGACTTGTAGGGAGCGTTCTGAGGGTGCCCCTGCCCCTCATGAATTACATTGTTAACCACGAGCGCGACCTCTGCATTCACCTACAGAGTGACCTTTAGGGAGCGCTTTGAAGGTACTTCATGTGTAGGTAACATGTGATGAGGATATATAAATTAAACTAACAGTAACTATCAAATACTTTCATGACCACAATCTTAATACGTTAAGCTCGCATTAAACAGTCATGTATACTCATAAAGTCGTCTCGCCATACCATCCACCGCTTTACAGCTTCAATCGTCTCACTTACTTTGTCTCGATGGCCGTATGCCCATCAAACTGGTACAGCGGCTCCAATCTCTCACCCTTGTGTCTCAACACCCACTTTCTAAAGCCATACGGCAACGCCTTCGTGACCTGGTAGCGCGCATGCTTCATCGTCGGGACAGCGAAAACATAGTCCAACTCCTCAAGCGTGCGCTGCTTCGTCTCAGGCACGAAGAGGAAGATCAACACAAGGGCCGTCACGTTCAAGGCCGCATAGAAGCCGAACGCGCCAGTCGGCGTCATCGCCGCCAGCATCCGCGGGAACGTGATCGAGAGCACAGCGGCCCAGAACAGGCACGTCGCCACTGCCCAGGACATACCGACCTCACGGTGTGACAGCGGGAACACCTCTGCTGAATAGGTGAAGGGGACGGGGCCCTCGCCCGGGCTGTAGAAGGCCGCGAAGAGGAAGACGAAGAACGCGATCAATCCCAGGTGCGCGCGACTTTCGGATGGGATGAGGAAGCATAGACCGGCTGCCAGCAGTGTCCATGCCATCTGCGGGAACGTGAATAGCAGCAGATTCCGCCGTCCGAAAGTGTCTATAGTCCAAAGTGCTGGGAAAGCGAAAACGAAGTTGACCAGTCCGAAGCCGAAGGACGCCAACAGCGCCTCCAAGGCACCGCTGCCAGCGGCAACAAAAATACTCGAGGAATAAAACGCAATTATATTTATTCCACACATTTGTTGAGCAAGCATTACAATGAATGATGCAAGTGTTGCGCGCCGTACGCGTGGGATGGTGAAGAGTTCGAAGAAGCGTGTTACGAAGTTGCTGGTCCCGATGATGTCGGCCTCGATTATCAGCTGGCTGTGCACGTAGTACACGTCGCGCGCCGCCTGCAGTGGTGTGTTGCGCAGCTTGCACATGCTCTTGTATGCCTCGGCGTAGCGGCCCTTCTTCATCAGCCAGCGCGGAGACTCAGGACAGAAGAAGATGCCGACGAGGAGAGGGACCGCGGGGATGAAAGCGCTACCGAGCTGTAACCGCCATGCGATTTTGCCCACGTTGTAAACGGCAAGGTTGGCACAGAATCCTAGGAATATACCAAATGCCGTCCACATCTGCCATGACATGACCAATCCGCCTCGAATAGCGGCTGGGCAGTTCTCGGCAGCGAAAATAGGGACCGTGGACGCCTTAGCACCCATACCGATTCCAAGGAGTAGGCGAGTGATCAATAGCTCCCACCATGTCTGGCTGACAGCCGAACCAATGACAGGCAACAAGCAGAAGACGGCAGCAAAGAAGATGGTACCGCGACGACCAAGGTAATTGTTGAGTGGATCCGACAACCAGCAGCCAAGGAACGCAGATGCAATGTAGGGGGCTGCGTTGATTACCCCTACAAGCCATAGGTTCGTAGCATAGTCCGGGTTCGGGATCGTCTTGGCGTCATCGAGGTACTGGGCGTCGCTGATGCCGAAAGCAACGGGGAAGGACAGGTTCGCGCCGTTGGAGCCAGTCTGATCCCAGCCTTGGACGGCGGCGCCGACGGAGCAGAGAATGACGGTAAAGTAAAGGGCACGAGGTTGGTGCCCTGAAAATAGCCATGTTAGTTCAACCTCTCGTAAGTCGTAACGTCCGTCACCGTGAAGCGAGATTCACCGTGAAGCGAGATTCACCGTGAAGCGAGATGGTGATACGTGTACAGAGGAGAAGAAGAGTGCCAGTCAGGATGTGTAGAGCCTCTGCATGCTCCAAGACCTTTTCATCTATACCCGGGGCTCGGGCTAGGAGCCAGACAAGGAGTACTCTATAGGGACTGTTCGTATCGTCCCCTGTCTCACTATACGGCGGATCTCGGTTCGCGGTGACGGACGTTAATGAAACTGTAGTAGTAATGCTTACATTTGTGTGTTACTTCCATGCGCAGGGCTTCTGCCTCGTCGGGGGTCAAGCCCTTGATCTTCTCGAAAGCGGTGGGATCCTGGGCAACAAGGGCTCCCTTCCTCAAAAGGTCCGTGGCGTCGGCCATGTTATGTTCCCTGGCAAAGTCGTCGACCTGAGCCATGAGAACGTCATGCGGAATCCCAGCGAGGGGGTTTTTGATCCTAGTTACTGTCAGTACATGTAGATACAGCTGCCTTATAGGTGGCTTACTTGGCCTCAGCATTGCTGTTGAGGTTGACATGGTGGTCTGAATTTTGCTCGATATCATCGAAGTGTTCAATCCCCGCCTTCTCCATTCTGGCGTCTCTCGTGGTAAAGGGGATAGAGTCGTATAAGCAGTCCTTGACCAAAAGGCTTCTTGGGTGAAAAAGAAAAAGTAACTCAGCTTGGTGGACGAGGACCCTCTATATAATCGTGGTACAACTACTCTCCACCCGAGGTTACATAGTTGTATCGCAATCATGGGTGGCCACCTCAGGCTAATCCTCGTGGATCTAACCAGCTACGTAGGCATGGCTTGAGAGTAATTGCGGCGCTTAGGATCCTGCCAGCCTTAGAGTAGTACCATAGCGGGAGGATAAACAGGCAGTTGGGTGGCAATGCTGTTTAGACAATACACGGCTAGCCTAGGTATGACATGGAGAGCCACCTGGCGGCTGAGGCCCCGCAGTCCGAGAGAAGGTCCACATAAAATTGGTAGAAGACCAATGAAACCATGTCTAGAACGCCTTGAGAGTCGCCTTCAGGTTACATTCTCCTCGCTGCACATCTAGCGCAGCATCCTGAGCGGAGGTGAGTCGTGCCCATTGACATGGTACGTATATGAGCCGAATAAGATGTGCTTATCTGGACCCAGTGATTGATACATGTGAGTGTCTGAGTCGATTCTTAACACACACACGCTCCTCCAAGAGCTGCTTGGCTGGGTGTAGAGAGTTTTGTATACTGCTTGGTTATATGGTACCACAAGTTAAGCGGAACTCACCATCAAACCTTTTTGATCTGACAGACCATGCAACAAAGTGAGATACGGTAACCGAAAAACACGGCAGATTCTGTCCTTCGATGATAATGCAGTGGAATCGGCGCTGTAAGCGCCCGATGAAGATTGACCCGCAAGCCCACGACTCAGGCGGCAAAACACTAGGCCCAAAGTAAAATGTGCCTGGGTCATCTGCCAGTCAAAATTTCTGCGGCTCGTCGGCCATGTCCACGGTGGCGGGGTGAGGTCGAAGTCTCTTCGACCCCGCGGGGTTGGGTTGGATCTGCTCTGGGGGCCTCGTGTCTAGACCCGCCAACCGGGATCCCGCTTCTGGGCTAGCACCTCACAAAACGGCGTAGATGGCTGACATTTGCCGTGTGCCGGAGACGGGATGACAGAGAGCCTCCCGGCCTCTTTAGCCGAGGCACCGCAGGACGTCGATCGGATTGCGTAGTTATGGCGGCGCCCAGACTTTAAACTTTGGCACGTCTGAATCGCAGCTGTGATGGTGGACGACATAAAATGGCGTGAGGAAATCTGCAGCTGCCAGACGGCTGAACGCGCGGTGGAACAGCCGAAGCGCGACCATCATGGCCACTTTTAGCGCCTGAGTCACTGGGACCGGTAATAATGCGATTACTAGATGAATGTGAATCCCAAGATAACGTCCGTCACCGTGAAGCGAGATCCACGATGGTAATGCTTGTACGGAGTAGAAGAAGATACCTAGTTAAGATATATAGAGGCTCTATACGCTCTAAGACCTTTTCACCCATAGTCAGAACTCGGGCTGGGAGCTAGGCAAGGAGTACTCTGTAGGGACTGCTTGTATCACCCTCTATCTCGCTATACGGTGGATCTCGATTCGCGGTGACGGATGTTAGGCTCCCCCATATCCCCCACATGCCACGGACCCAAGGGCGGTGTTTGCTCGAGGGAACGCCTAATGGGCTGGGGTAACATTGCAAGGTCGAAGTGTGTCACGGTAGGTACAGGCGGGTGTTTAGAAAGCGGTGAGCAGCGTGATATTGGCAAACAAAGGTAGAAGCCAGAAATATACAAGTAGAGGTACAAGTAGGTACGTGCGAGTGAAGTTTGTACGGAGCAGAGAGAGAGAAGGAACGAAGGAACCCCAGACACGTGCCACGGCTTTTGACGGCCAAACCCCGGCAAACATGGCATCATACAGCGTTCCGAAGGGGAGTTGCAGTTGCAACCCCGCGACGCGATGCACTGATTTTCCGTTGCCAGTCTCTCCTTGACGCATTGCTTCCGCTCTGGAAATGTCGATCCACTTGCTGTCCTCCTCCGTCTAACGTCCGCTTACGACTGCTCCGCTCCGCCCTCCGCTCCCCTCTCGGGCCAGGGTGCCTGACGTCCGCTTGACGCTGAACACCACGCCACACCCTCCCCACGCTCACTTGCATCTCATGGACTTGCTCGCTGGCGCTGCCACTGCCGCGCGTCGCGTCGGCCAGATCGCACAGTACCCGCTGGAACAACTGGACGGCATGCTCGGCAAGGTCATGAACGGCGGATCCGTCATCGCCGAGGCCACGAGTTCGGGTGCTTCCAATGCAACGACGAACATCACATCCTCCGTTGGCCAGTTCATACAGAGTTCGGTGGAAGCAGCAGTCCCTGGAGCGGCGGCATCGGCCACTGCGGCTACAGCCGGCGAGGCCGTCGAAGGCGCCGAGGGTCTATTCAACATGGATATAATCAGGAAGATTGGCAACGTCGGCGGCGTCTTCACCTATGTAATCTCCAGGTGGGCGCTTGCCACCTTCACCGTGGTTAGTGTTCCGCGATGAGTTGGATTTCTTGTGGACATCAAAGTCTAGATTAAAAACAGCGGAGCTAACTGCACTTTGGCAGGCTATATTGTTGAACCGCACCCAGTTCTATGCTTCTTCTCGCATCCCGCTTGACTTCCACTGGCATGTCCGCGCAGCCATCTATTTCATACCCATTTTGTTCCTGCTATACCAGACAAGGTACCTCCTGCAGGCCATACGCTGCCAAACATCGCCTGCTTGGTCTGAAATGCGCTATGATGATGCGAAGCAGCCCCTTGCGGTAGACATGGCCGGTGAGGGAGGAGTCCTCCACAAGATGGCCTCGAATCTGCTATACTGGGAGGATGACGTGGCTTCTTGTGCCGCCGTCAATATGGCCAATCCGGAACAGGATTTCCTGAGTCTGTCGGGTTCGCTATCACGACTCTGGCCGCTATTCCTAACCCTTTGTGGGAGCCAGTTTGTGGAAACTATGGCATGCGCTCTGCAGGGTCGGGCACCTATGCCTGAGACCGGCATGACGATTTTTGAACACTCTCTTGCCTTTTCGGAAGCGGAAGCCATGATCATGAGACCTTTCGATAATGGTGGATCGACAGCAGTCGTAACGAGGCATGACGGCTCTACCATGAAGCTCAACAGAGGCCTTCTGCTACAGATACTCAATGTACCTCCAGAGGTTTTGGTCATGGCTGTTATATCCGCTTTGAGTCACCTCAGCAGCAATGTGCTAGCTATAGCTGGCTTGAGAACTCGCTTTCGCTTGGCCAATACAGGCGTCTGGGGCATCGCCTACATGGGCGTTTTCATTTGGACTTTTCTAAGAATTACCGGTGCTGTCGAAGGACCTGCGAACGACATCGGTATTCTTCGGATCCCCACAGTCTGTATCGTCGGTTTCATTCCTCACATTCTCATCATTCTTGGGCTGTGCGCCTGCGCAACGATATATGGGATTGCGTTAGTCGTAACGGCTTTTTCTTTGCCGCCAAGTGACGACCAGCCTTTGACGTTGAGGCAGAAGTTCAGAGCTGCCTACGAGAACCTTCAAGCCAATGTTCACTTTTCGGGAAGCACACCCATCAGTGTTAGCTGGCGGGATGATTTCTACACTGCTCTATTGAAAATCGGGTTCACGGTTTTGACTGCAGCAAGTGAAGCAGTTTTCCTGAATGAAGGCACACGCGTCCGTGTGAGCGACATGACCTGGCTTGAAGAGAAGAGAATTAACGAAATAGCGGAGCGGAGAGGTTTGGTCCAGAGGACTATAGATTCCATCCCAGTGGAACTTCGGGAGGACTTTGTGGCCGAAGGTGTCATGTCAAAAGACGTGCTTGACGATGGTACTTCGGCACGTTCAGGATATGCCCGAGAGCGAAAGACGCGTGGCCAGAAGAGCGTGCCGGAAGCCAGAGCTGCCGCCCGTGACAACGGCGTGGGTTTACTTCAGCGGCGAGGACGCTGGGTTATGACGGTTGAGTTCACGAAAGGTCTCCTGCAGCTGGCTGCTGCCATGAATGCTAGGTTCATGATCTCGCTTTTGAACAGGCTTGGAGTAACACGACGCCCTCAATGGTTGGCGCGACTTGCGGGCATGGGACAAGAGGCTGGCTTGAAAGGAGACAGGTCCGCAGCTTCGGAACCGGCATCTCGGTCAAGACAACGGGATTTCTGGATCCTCAAGCCCGATGGTTCGCTTAGCCTGCCGCCAAACGACCAGGTAGATGTCGAGGTGGAGACCAAGAAGAGGCTGGAGTACAACAATCAGAAGTACTTCAAGGAAGAGTTGACCGAGGAAAACCTCAACTCCAACCTCTACTCTTGGTGGAAGAGCGGCGGCTGGTGGGGCGAACTGGACTCAAGCGGCGACTATCAACCGTCACAGGACGCAGACGACGACGCGACGAGCGTCATCTCAGTCTCAACAAACGCGACCACCGACGACGAAAGCTGGTCCGATGTCAGCCACGATGATAACGATGATGGCCGTCGCACGCCCACACAGGAAGATCCGTTCCCACAGCAGCGCAGCACGCCCCCCTCAGACGCCGCCATCGACCCCGCGCACCTCGCCCGCCTCCTCGACCCCCAGTCCGATGAGGACAAAGCCGACGCCCAACTCCTCGCAACCCACCTCCGCAGCCCCGGCATCCTCACCCGCTCCCAGTACCGCAAAGCAATGGAGCGCGACCGCGCGCGCATCCTGACGTCATCGCGGGGACGCCTATTCAACAACCGCAGTGGCAGCGGCGGCGCGCAGCACGGCGCGGCGCCCATGACACCCGAAGAAGAGGAGCGCGCGCTTGAGCGCTTCATCCTCGAGCGGCGTCACGCGTCTGCCACTGGCGCGTCTACTGCCAACAACGGCGGCAACGGCGACACGTGGGATTCGGGCGCGGCGGGCATGGGCGCCGGCGGCCCGCAGTGCGTTGTCTGCCAGGCGAGTCCGCGAACCGTGCTCGTGTGGCCGTGTGGTTGCCTCAGTTTGTGCGACGACTGCCGCGTGGGTCTCGCGACGCGGAATTTCGACAAGTGCGTGTGTTGTCGGGCGGACGTGGCGGCGTATTCGCGGCTGTATGTGCCATGAGCGCTGCTGATATGGTGGATGATTGATGATAGGGGGTGAGGGGTGAGAGAGAGATGAGGGATGTGTCTGTATTCGATAGGTAAGGGGAAGGGGAGGTGAACAGGGTTTCTGATGATCCATCTGGTCTGGCGTTCCATGGGAGTTGAGGTTGGGCTACAGTAGAGAACTTGGGTGCCGCCAACACAGGCAGGCAGGCATTTGCGTCTTCCACCGGTTCATCGGGCGGTCCGTTGGCCCGTCCGGGCATCTAGCTAGCTAGCTATTGTATTCGTTTCCGCGCATTCATGCACGCATTTCCGCATCAATCAAATCGATCAACCACATCAACGTGCTGAACCCCGACCCTCACCCCCCACCAGCTGCAACCAAATCCAAACACGGCAATCAAGCGAGAAATAAGCCAGGCGCCTCGCTTCGAGGTTTGTAATTTGTGTGAGGGAGTACATGGTGTACTGGCTTGCATACTGTGTATGTGCGTTGTAGTCTATGTGATACAGGGGTAGCCTACAATATGTGGTAGGTTAGGTGGCCCCTTGGCCGATTGCTGGCGCTGGGAGACGACCCGGAGGGTGGGTGTGCGCCACACGCTCGCACGCACGCTCGCACGCTGCCAATGAGGTAGGTAAGGTAGGTAGATAGGTATGCATGTGCTAGGTAAGGCCGAGGGATAGATGTTGTTGTTCGTCCCCATGGCGAGTGGTGTTCTGTGGAAGCGGAAGTAACTCTGAGTCTGAATACTATCCAGCTTGTAGGAGCATGTAGGTGCACATGCAGAGCCTTCAAACGCTCCATACAGATCACTCTGTAGATGGATTGAGGGGCTACGCTCGTGGGTAGACGTGTTACTCACGAGGGGTATGATTAATATAACATTACCTGCCCCACCGATCATTGGAGCTGCCCGTGTATAGGTACAACCCCAACACGACACGGCACGCGTGCAAGGACTCCGTCTCCTAAAATTTCGAAAGGGACAGACAGCTCAATAGCTCGCTCGATTCGCCTCTTGGCAGGCTGACTTGACTACTCAATTGCATTCATTGCTCAAGCGACGACGGCGACGGCGACGGTGTACGCGCATCGTCCTAGTCCTAATGCCCGTCCTAGCTATGGAAGAAACAAAACACACGCGGAGACGCACGGCGCAAGGTGATTGGGGGTGGGTATAGTAGTAGTAGTGGAGGTGGTAGTGGTAGGTGATATGCGCGATTGTTGGTTTTGGAGATGGGAATGCGGGGGTTGCGCGGCGGGCATGCGTGCGTGCGTACGTGCGTGTAATGGGAAAAAACAATGGAAGGACTCGCGAGAGGAATGACGGCAGAACCATAACGCGGGGAGAAAGTGCGACCTAAGCCATAAAACGCCGGGATACGCCAAGTAATGCTGTGTGTGGTGGGTGGGGTGATTGGTGTGCGGGGAGCACAACCACCACCGCCGCCGCCGCCGCCGCCGCCGCCGCCGCTGTCGCCGCAGCAGCAGCAGCAGCAGCCAAAATGCTTGGGTCTCACGCGGCAAACTCATCCGAGTCGTCGCGGCCAAGCTTATCATGCGGCTCGAGGACCCTGCAGACAAAGCATAGTCAGCCAAGTGCACTAGCTCCTCTCGGGCGTCTCCAGACTCGGATGCGGCACTAACGAGTACTGCTTCACAAGCGTGCCCTCCCCGCCCTTCTCGAGATCAATGTTGAAGACGAAGAAGCTGCCATCGTGTGTCACCACCATGACCTGCGGCCCGTTGTTGCTCATCGCGACCACGTTACTCGGATGCAGCGGCGGTCCGCTTTCGTTCGGCCGCTTTGGTATCTTCACCCACGCAAAGTCCCGCGACGGCTCCCAAATCTCTGCTACCGCGCTGGGTAGGTATCCGCCTAGTTTTGCCGCGAAGCCCATTCCTACGTTTTGCGACGTCCGCCGCAGCATGCTCGCCAGGCCCGGGTTGTTTTGTTTGCGCTCCGGCGCGACAGGTGCGGTCGTGGCCGCGTTTTCGCGATCCAGCTCTGTGCTGTCGTCTTGCTCGCTGCTGGGGCTGAGGTCGCGCTCTATGGACCCGGACGACGGCCGCCGCGAGGGAGACGGAGACACACCATTTCTATCGCGCGACTCGGCTTGCGGTGACAACCGGAAGATGTGGACCGTGTCCGTGGCTGATGACACGCAGAGAAGGGTGGATGTCGAGTTGAAGGCCATGCTGAGGATCTTGGCCGGTATCGAGCCTCTCCTGAACTGGAACAGCTTTTGCGCGTCCGGGACCGAAAATACGCGGATGATGGTGCCCTTTTCCGAAGCGGTGGCTAGTAATGTGCCTTCGTTGTTGAGGGCAATGCATGATAGAGGTCCTTGATGCGCCTCGATGACATTTACAGCCTCCATTTTCGTCGCGTCAAATATGAGCAATTCTCCTGTCCTAGGGGCGACATGGGGTCCTGTGGGCGGCGCGTGCGGCGCGGCGGAGAAATTTGGTGCATCTTTCTTAGGAAGAGGGTAGACTAGGTGGTTGCGCTCCGACGAGGGCGATAATGCGACGATTCCTGCGATCTGTCAGCCAGGCACATTGTCGCAAGTGTCGGCCGGAGGGAGCTTACCGTGCGGGTTTGGTGACGTCTCGATTGTGTAGAGCATTTTCATGTTGCTGATATCATATAAATAAATCTGGTCTTCCAACACCACCACGAGGCGCTTGCGATTCAGGCGCACAGCGAGAACCCTGGTGGGGAAAGTGAGCTCGCATATCGTCGAGTGTCTCTGGACACAGGTCAGCACGCCAAGCGCATCGAGGGCGCCGATGAGCGCTCCCATACCTTGGTATTCCGTATCCGCAGAAGACGCGGCGACTGTATCAAGGCGACCAGCGAGGTCGAGAAGAGCATCTCCATGATTGAGACATCGCCCTCTTCGCCTTCAAAGTATTTGGAGAAGGGTTCGGTGTCGTAGAGGCGGATGCCCTTTTTGGTGGCTGCTTGAGACATTAGCTCGGCGAGCAGGCTCGGGCGGGGACAGCAGGCACGCACCGACGCCCAAGGCGCTATAGTCCTGGTTGAAGGTGACAAAGTTCATGACGGATTGCGCCATGGCGGCGGCTTTGGAGAGGGTTGAGGACGGCTGTGGAAGCTGCTACGTAGCGGGCGGGCGGTCGGGCAGGCGGCGTGGGTGGTGGGGTAGCGGCGATCGAGGGAGGGCTATAAGCGGCGCATGGTAGGTGGACAGAGAGGGTGGTGTGAATTGGCGCAGTGGGGTGGTGGTTTGTCGGAAAGGCTGCTCAACGACGGGGTGTATGATTGATGGTGGGGAGCGCAGCAGCCACAAACAAGCCACAGCTATGATGACGCCTCATCTTTCCCGTTTGCTGCCGAAATTATCCTCGCGCCATCGTCCGAGCCTCGCCAGCTTTTTTCGGCATCCTTCTCGCAGAAATTCCCTTCACGAGTTAGGAGAACCATTGGAGCCTTCTGGCCTCTGCCGCAATGGCCGCCGACAAGAGCATGGGACGGCCTCTGCCCAAATCGACGAAGGAGAAGCGAGACGACGATATTATGTTGGTCAGTGGTTTCTCCGTCTCCGAGCCACCCATCCATGTCCATCCAGTCTGACTGTCTCTGCCAGACCAACGACAGCAGCATTGTATCTAAAAGAAGCGTAGTAAAACTCTATAATGCTGATCACCCGGACTTCTTTCGCCCATTCGTGGGGAAGCACCACCGCCGGAACCCTCTCATTAACCGTGGTTACTGGCTTCGCATGAGAGCCGTCGAGCACACTGTCAAAAACTTCCTCCAAGAACCCTCTGACCGAGAAAAGGTCGTCATTAATCTTGGCTGCGGGCAGTGAGTAAGAACACGCCTGCAGGTGCCCGCCATCGTAACCCATTGTCTGACCCGCTCCAGTGATCCCCTGCCTTTCATCCTCTTACACAAATATCCTGAACTGGCGGGAAAGGCCACCTTCGTCGATGTAGACTATCCGCAGCTAATGCACAAGAAAAGAGCTTGCATCGCCCGGGATGACGAGCTCCAAACAATTTTTCCCTTCCTGAAGTCCGGGACGACTCCAACGCCCGACCTCTGGAAAGCTGGGCCGTATCTTGCTGTGGGATGTGATCTGCGCCAGCTATCACATTTGCAGCGTATCCTCGAAGAGCAGGTGCAAATTCACGACCGAGCCGTGCTTTTTGTTGCCGAGGTGTCCATAGCATACATGGACGTTAAGAGCGCGGATTCGGTTATCACTTGGGCTAGCTACTTCAAAGACGGTGAGTGGTAGTGCCTGTCCGATAGAAAGGTACTGGTACTGATCTTTCTAGCCCGGTTTTGCATCCTTGAACAGACGCTGCCGGACGGCCCAAACCATCCCTTCGCCAAGACTTTGCTTAGCCACTTTGCAAAGCTCCAAGCTCACTTGAAGGTTGTCTACGAGTACCCGACGCTGGGTGCTCAAAAGCGCCGCTTTCTGAATATCGGATGGTCCCAAGTTGACGTAAGATGTCTATGGGAACTGTGGGCAGACGAGGATTTTATTAATGCTGCTGACCGCAAAGCTCTTGATAAAATCGAGCCGTTTGACGAATGGGAAGAATTCGCACTTTACGCTAACCACTACCTCTTGTTGGTTGCCAGGACAGAGGCCGCTGCGATCGAGTCGAAGAGCGCTACCGCTGGCGCACAGGAACCAAAAGCTGTGGAAATTCCTATCCAAGCTCGAGCAAAATTAGAGAAGACAACTCATACTCAAGACCAAACAGTTTCCCGGCGTTTCGGTGCTCTATTCCACATCGGTCAAAATCTTCACCACCACGGCGGCTACGGAGCGCAGACGCGACTACACGACTGTGACGTATATTCTGCGACAGGCGAGTTCGAGGGTCCCAAGGAGCTGCCAGCCAAACTTCCCTTGATGTGCCATACCATTACCAATTTAAACGATCATGAATCACTCCTCGTCTGCGGAAGGGCTTCGCCGAGCAGAGCGGCATCTGAGTGCTGGTTGCTCACAAACCAGACATATAGCCGCGTCGACGACCTCAGCCCTGCAAGATACAGGCACTGCGCAGCGCCCATACTTCTGCCAGCTGAGGGCATCACGGAGCAAGGCGTGCTCGTTTTCGGTGGCAAGATCGGCACCGGCAAGGTCCTACGAGATTGGTGTTTCTGGAGCAACGAGCGCGGCTGGCAGTCCGTTCAATCCGATGATCTTTTGCCTGCGCCAAGGTTCGGTGCTGCGATGGCCGTCTTCGAGGGCTCCACGACGTCCGGTGTGCTGATGGGCGGTATGACGTCGGATGGGCTAGTGATCGGCGATATCTGGGAGTGGCGCCTCCACTGGGACAACGGCGTTCACGTCACTTGCAAGAACCGCACGGATGAGCTGGGGCAAATCAAGAACCTGGAGTACGGCAGGTTCGGAGCTAACTTAGTCCCTTGCCCTGAACTAGGGGAAGCTTCTTTCCTGCTGATCGGCGGCATCGCTAAGGACCGCCTCCAAAGGAGGGAGGATGAAATAATTGTCATCAAGATTCATGAAAAGCTTTCCGTCTCCAGACTCAGCTTACCTCAGCCTGAAAGTTTGCGCCCGCTATTCGTAGGGGTAGAGTCAGCTAGGCTTTCAGGAAACAAGATCTTGCTGGCTGGTGGAGGTGCCGTATGCTTTGCAATGGGCAGTTTCACTAACACTAGTAGCTCGGTGCTGACAATTAACCCCGCGATTCCTGAGGAAATAGCCCCAGATCCCGTGGCCAAAGCCAAATCAGGGGAAGAAGTTTGCCCCACAACCGATCCCACGGAACTAAACGTCACTGACGTAAAGCGAGTCAGGGTGGGGACGGAGGAAGACTTTGACGATCTCATCTCCAAAGGCCAACCGGCCATCATCGAAGGTCTGAATGTTGGTGCCTGCACGCAGCTCTGGACGCCAGAATATTTGAAGGAGCGCCTTGGGTCCGAGCGCCACGTCATCGTAGACTCGAATCCTACGGAGAAGATGACGCCCATGACCAAGAGCCTCTCTTCCATCGAGCAGCCATTTGGCGAGTTCATGGACAGCGTCAGCGCGGGCGGGACAACGTACCTGCGCTCCGTCGTGGACAAGCAGCCCACGAAATTGCACGACGACCTCCCCACGCTGGCACCCGACTTCCAGCTTCCATCCGCGCTTAGCCGGGTCGCACGTAGACTGCACAGCTCGCCGCTGTGTATTTCGGGCGCTGTCGCGCCGTGGCTGCATTACGACGTGCTAGCCAACGTCGTCTTCCAGATCCGCGGGACCAGGCGGCTGCGGCTGTTCGCGCCGGCGGATGCGCCGCAATTGGCGTACGCGCCGGGAGCCAGCAGCAGCGACGCCGACGCCTTCGCGTCGGAGCTGGCGCGCACGCTGCGTCCCCTCGATGCACGTCTGCGCCCCGGAGACGCGTTGTTCCTGCCTCCGGCGTGGAGTCACGGCGCGCGGCCTGAGGACGGGCCCAGCATCGCGGTCAAGTGCTTCTGGCGTGACCTCGAGCCCGGTACGTACGCTGCAGGCGGGGATGTGGCGGGCTACGAAGAGGGTCGCAAGGCCATTGATCGCGTCGCGCAGGCATTCGAGGGCTTGCCGCGTGGGCTGCGGGTGTTTTACGCAAGTCGGATGGCTGCAGAGTTGAAGGAGAGGGTGGAGATGGGGAGGTAGGAGATAGATAGTACAATGGTCGGAGGGGCAGATATTGTATAATTTACATGCCCCCCGTGAGAAACGCATCCAACCGCAAACGCAGCCTCTGGACCCACCTCCGGAGTGATCTGGGGGGAGCGCTTAGAAGGTAGCGCTGCCCCTCGTGAGTAATATCGCCTAGCCACGAGCGCAGTCTCCGCATCCCCCCACGGAGTGATCTATAAGGAGCGTTTTGGAGGTGCCGTGAGCACATACCTATATAGAGCTATAAGTGGGATAATATTTAAATTCAGAGCGACTTGACGTGCCTTCGCGTCCACGGGGATGTGAACAAGGCCGGCCGTAGCACACATCAATAGAAAGAGGGATCGCGAGAGCGCACCCGAGCCAGCGGGAGCCAATCGGGAGGCGCAGGCAGGCCCGCAAACAGAGGTCAGCACGACGAACGCAGCAAGCGCGGCGCCCAAAACAGTCGCACGCCGTGTCGCGGCCGCGTGGTGGTGGGCACGGCGCACTTTCTCGAGGAGCATCTCTTCTCCCCACGGCCCTTCTTAGGGAGGCGCAGCAGGACGATTTGCAGCATCATCATTAGCCTTCTCACGGGTGAGGTCAGTCCGCAGGCGGGCCGAATTGGACGCGGGCGCGGAATGGCGGATGCGGAGAGGGCGAGAGAGCGATCGGCGCCCGCGCGTGTGGGTGGAGATTGGACCGTGCGGTGGGAGCCCCACTGTTTAGCTGCGAGGAGCTTGGGGACTTGCCGGGCCTGGCGGGAAGGGCAGTTGATTATTGAGAGAAGCGGCTGGCTAGCTGGCCGACGGCTTGGGCTTGGCTGGCTACGAGGGGGGAACGGCTTTCACCTCGAGTCAGGGTTCACCAGAGAGAGAGAGGTCTCACTCTTCCATATCCCAAGCTACAAGATAAGGAGGCTGCTGCTGATCGGATGAGTAAAAAAACAAAAAAAGGCAGCGTGTGGAGCAAACGGCAGACGGGGCAGACGGGCAGACACTGGCGCAGCGCAGGAACCCAAGCGTGGCGAGCCAAGCCGGCATGATGTGACACAATTCGCTCAGCCCATCCATTCAGAATAAACACCACTCAGGCGGGGGAAAGACACATACATGCGCCGCATTCCCGTGCCACCATGGGCCACGCCGACTGACAATTCTCCGACCGACCATCTCTCTCTTTCCCTCCGACCTCCCCGACCTCTCCCACCTCCCCCATCGCCGCCTCTTTGTCCCACGCTGCTGTTGGTTTGTACGCCAGCTGTCCCAATTCCTCGCGTCGCCGCCCGCCGATCCGTCACTGCACGATACGCCGTTTGCGCCATCTGCCGGCAGCCAACCGGCCTGCCTTCACTCCCGACTCACCTTCACCCCGATCTCCCCCCCCACTCCACCTCTCTCGCTCGACCATCCCGCTTCTTCCTCTCCGATTCTGCTTCAACCCCACACCGTCTCGCTCCCTCACCCCAGCAGCAATGGCTGCCGCTGTCGCCAGGGCCCCGCCCCTCCATTCGCGCTCGCCGACGCCTCCCCCGAACCTCAGCTTGAACACTACCACGAGAGGCACTCCGGCACCGGTGCCGAACAAGCACCTCCCCGTCTGCAGCCCGGGCCCCCAACCTGCCCAGCGTGGCCTTGAGACCCCACCCTCGTCGCCGCCATGCAAGTCGGCCATCATTGAGATGGCCTCGGTGACCTCACCTCCGGACAACTTTCAAAGAATCTCAGACGAGCCTCCCGTCTACAAGATAGACGCGAGCACCCTGGCTCAGGCGGTAGAGCACATTGCAACCCAGCCCCTACCTGACCCAAAGAGCGTCTTCCCTTGGCTCCACGGACTGCATTCTGAGAACCAGATCCAACTTGCCTTCTTCGTCCAGCGTCGGAAGTCACTGCGTAAGGTGCCCAAATGCATCAGAGGTCTCACGATCGTCAAGGCTGGCGGAGATCTCAACTCCTCTAAGCTCAAGGGTGCCGTCCCGCCTTCCGAGCTGCTCCTCACCCAGAACTCGTCACGCGAGCCTGCATCCTTCCTTGAGATTGACCCGCGCGACGGATTTTCAGTGCGCAACTTCCAGATCCAGGCCTGCAAGATGGCGACTGTCTCAGACATTGTCGTCTACGGTGACGAGAAGACGCCCCGCTCCGAGGTTCTTCAGCTGGCAGAGAAGATTTCTGGCGCTCAGAGAGCTTGGAAGGAGAAGCACGTGGCCAGCGGTTCAGAGGTGCAGCATTTCAGTACTTTCATTGTTACCGGTATGTCTCAACCAAAAAATCCTCGCGATCTAACCCTGATACCTTCGAACAGATCCTTTCAGTGTATTCGAAGAACATCACAGCAACATTGTGGCAGTCGATTCCAAGGGCTGCATGACGGGAAATGTCATGGACTTCTGTAAGTTTAGACATCAAGTGAAGTGAAGCAAGCCACTGACATCTATCTTAGTCTACTGGGAACGCCTTGAGATGTGTACCATGTCACGCGCTTCTGAGATCAGCAACAACGTCTTCCTCGGCCCTACTCCAGACCCCGACATAGACCCTGAACCAGTGCAAGACTTTGACGTCTTGATTGAAGCTAGCGACCAAGCAAACTTTCCCGACGCACAGTTCCTTAAGGCGGCTCAGCAGATGTTGAGCAACCCTGATCACGACAAGCTTAACATGGCGTTCCCTTCCTCTGGCAGCATCATGCCCCCAACGTGGTCCCACAATGAGGTCGACAGCCTCATGGCCATGTGTGAGTGGATTTATAAAGTCGCTAACCCTGCGGATGCGGTCGATTCGACCGCTGACAAGGACGGCGATACTGCGATGGATGACACTGCCGTCGCAGCCAAACCCAAGACTAAGAAGGTTTTTATTCACTGCGCAGACGGCTACACCGAAAGCTCTCTGCTTGGCCTTGCCTACTTCATGTACGCCGAAGGTCTCCCCGCTCACGAAGCTTGGGTGCGCCTCCACCGCGACCGTAGTCGCAATTTCTTCGCCTACTCTTCAGACGTCGCTCTCTTGCGCAGCATCCAGCCACGCATTCTGCAGGCCTCCCCTACTTACGAGGGCGGCATCACTAAACTCATGGAGAACCCCACCTGGATGGCCAAGGTCGACGGCAGCCTTCCTAGCCGCATTCTGCCTTACATGTACCTCGGCAACCTCAACCACGCGAACAACCCTGAGTTACTCCGCGAGTTGGGAATTAAGCGCGTCCTCAGCGTGGGTGAGGCAGTCTCCTGGCCCAGGGACATCTACGAGCAGTGGGGCGCCGAAAACATGCTCTACATCGACCGTGTCCAGGACAATGGCGTCGATCCTCTCACTGATGAGTTTGCCCGCTGCTTGAAATTCATCGAGCGCGGGAAGACGGACGGCGTTGCCACGTTGGTCCACTGTCGCGTGGGTGTCTCCAGATCGGCTACCATCTGTATTGCCGAAGTTATGAACGAACTGGGCTTGAGCTTCCCAAGGGCCTACTGCTTTGTTCGCGCTAGGCGCCTCAACGTGATCATTCAGCCTCACCTTCGCTTCACGTAAGTTAGATCTACATTCATGCTCTGGAACAAGCACTGACTCGTACATCAGATACGAACTCCTCAAGTGGGAGGAATTCCAACGCCAGAAGCGTGGCGAGCCACTCCGTCGCGAACTTGAATGGGCCAATGTCGCACGCGAAATTGCGCTCATGAACCGTCCTTATTCGCGGCAGTGAAAGTTACCCCAGTATTATAACATATGTTCAAATATCTACACTGATTGGACCTTCATTTACAGACAGCGGAATACGTTTACTTGTCTCACCTATTTCACGCCTGTCTTCACGCCTTGTCCGCCTTATGCAGCAGGGGCTTCTTCCGATTTTCTTCGATTTCCTGGAACTTCTTCAGCAGCCGCTGCACCGTCTTAAGCAACTTTTTCGGCAGATTGTGCAGCTACTGCTATATCTTTACAACACACTCGACGATGGCACGAACCTGCCGCGCCTCATACTTCGGATGTTGATTCTAGGTGCCACTTTGATTGTCATCTTCCTGCTGGTGGCGGGTGTGCAAACCATATACGCTCGCTCCCTGATACGACATCACGAGACCATGAATGAGGGGTTTATGGAGAAGGCGAGAGCCATTAGAGCCTTGCTTACAGAGATGGATAGACATGTCCAGTCTACGTCGACAGGTGTCTCGGTGCATGCAGAGCATGCGCAAATGCAGACACGCAAGGCTAGACAGCTCTTGGCTTTGCTTGAGGCACTGCAGCGTCAACAGCGCAGATGAGCGTCGTTCAGACTTTCTTCCTCTTCACGGATCCGTACACCTGGGCAACGGGCCAGACCGCTGGAGCAGCAGCGCCGTTCTGCCGCCGCCATCTTCGTGTTTTACTTTCCTGCTTCTTTATTTTCTGGCGTTCGGCTTCTTCTTGCGACGACTATCTTCGCTCTGTCTATGGACTACTTGCTTTCGACCACTACTACGCTAGCGTGACATTCACGCGAAAGCCTTTCGGCGCGCCGGCTGAGGACCGAAACAAGGCGGAACTCTTCACCCTAGCTGTGTCATTACTTTTCAACTGGTGCTTTATCCTTCGGCCTCTGGAATCGGGGCGTCCACATACTGGTGGCCTTTTATATCCTGTCTTTTCCCCCTTTTGTTTCTCCGCTCTGCTTTTTCCTCTGCCAATGCTTCTGCCGCTTTGATGCGCTTTCCCTGGACACCAACAGGGCAAACTGGGATGGATGGGGCTCGGTCGACTGGTTGTCGGTGGGGTTTAGGCGTCTTTTACTGCTTTTCTTGTGGTTGTTTTCTTTCTATTTGCCGCCTTTCGACTTCTTCGTTTCTCAACACACTTTTCGACGATGATAGGGGTTTTTGATGGCCGTTCTTCGCTTCTTTTGCTACTTTTTCTTCTTTCTTCACACTCTGTCAGGCATACGGACTTTGTAGGTGGGCTCTTTTGACCACCCGCGGCGTGAACTTAGTATGGGATCCACTGTTCACGAAATACTTTTATAGTTTCTAAAAAGTAGCCTAGGCTGGGATTTAACTATTCGTCTTCACTACTAGACAATGCTTTAAGAGAGTTGGTGACTTTTGCAAGGCCAGATTGTGTTGCCAGAAAGTCGGGTTCGGTTTGGTCGTGATCAAACGTGAAGGGCAGGCAAGGCAAGTCAGCAGCCCTCGCACCAAGCCCAACACGGCTAGCGCGCCCGACAATCCGCCGCCGGCGGGCGTATAAGATTTCTTTCCCTTCGGGCGCAAACAATTTTCCTCCTCACAACGCCAACCACGCAACGGTAAGTCGACGCCCTTTTCGCAATTCCTTTTTCGCACAAACACACACACATGCACACATGCGCGCGCGCGCACGCGTCGCATGCACGACGGAGGAAGCCAGCATTCCAACTCGAATGATGACAACCGTAGAACACATGTCTTCTTTTCCCAGCTGAATCGCCCATGAAGAACTCAGTCTTTCCGGGCTGCCTCTCGCAGGGCGGCCTGCTACTTGCCAGTACACTTTGTCTGACCTTGGAAATTTGCTTGGCTTCCTTTCCTCCCCGTCGTCTGTCACGCACGAACGCGCGCTCACTCACGCATTTGATGTGTGTTGGAGTCTGCTCTTGAGAACTTTGTGCTGACGTTGGTGGTTTAAAGACGGTTTAGGTTTGATCGTTTTCGTTACGTGTAAGCGCGTCGTCGTTGCTGCCGCTGTCGACGCGGAGGTCATACTCGGTGGTGGTGCTGGTGCTGAGGACTGCGAGGAGCTGGCTGCCGGCTGTATCGCTGCTGCTGCTGCGGAACTTACTGCGCAACGCGTGCAAATTCCTACTACAAGGTACGTCGAGACATTTGCTCTGCAATTTTTTTGCTTCTACAACTTCACTATCCCCTCCCCACCCCATCGTAATGATGAAATCCATACCACATTCGCAGTTTTCACGCTAGCCGTCGACAAGAACCCATCTTAGACGGTCGTTGAGCGCTCAATCTTCCTTGGATGTCTGAACCTCTATTTTATCACTCGTTTTGCATTACAGTTGTTTTTGCTGGGCTTTGCTAACGATGGGATGCAGATTTTTTATTTTAGCTTTCTCTATGCTAGCTGCTGTAGTGGTTATAATGAATGTTTCAAACCAAAATTTTATTTGGATGTGCTTCTGTGATCGTGATGCTTGTGTCTTGTTCGTTGCTCGTTCATGTCTTGAGTGCTCATGTAGGTTTTTGCCCGCCAGTCCTGCACCAAGCTCATGCTCCATGTATGTATGAGCCGTAAAGCTTGACACTCCTCGAGATCCAGCAGCTTCTACTCATCGCGGCTTGCTTGGGGCTTCTTGCTCGCGGCGGACACGACGTCCGACGAGCTGCCTGCCGGGCCCTCAAACGCCCCTACGTCTCCATATCCCAGCCGCGATCCCAGGTTCTTGGCCCTGGTCAATCCGATCGTCCTCCCGACGCACTCAAGGCGCCTGAAACCGACGATCCCTGCATGACGTCCGCTATTCCGTAGGTAGGGCTATATACCTAGGTAGGCAAGCCAGGCACAGCACCACCAACCATAGCATAGTAAACTCTCCATCAACAGCGCGTGCGCCCCCCTCATTTCAACACGGCCTTAAAGCCATAATACGCCTGATCCATATCAAAATGGAACTCGCGGGCCTGGTCCTCGGACAGCTGATCGACCGCCTTCATCTGGTTCAGCGCAATCAACCACTGCACAATCTTGCCCTTGTTCTCAAACTCGCGGTTCGTGACGCGGTTGACCGACTGGATGATGTCGCCCAGCAGCGGGTGCAGCACGTCCTTGGTCAGCAGGCCCATCTTGATCGCGTCCAGCAGCGTGATGAAGTTCTCTGTCGCCGAGACGACCAGCGTCGCGTCTGCACCGCCGCTGCCGCTGTTGCTGTTGCTGTTGCCCTCCTCGCCGCCCCCGCCCCTGCCCCCGCCGCCTTGTTTCGTCGATGCGCGGTGCGACGGCTGCTCCACTGTCGCTGGGATCCCGACTCGGAGCCGTTCGGTCGCGCGCGGGCACTCGAGCTGTTGTCACCAAAGCAAGTCAACACAAACCGCCCAAAGCCCACCCAGCCTTGCACAAACCCCACACACAGACACACACACACACACACACACAATCAAACACAGACAGCACTCACCCCCCACTCGCGCTTGAACGCCTCCAGCTCCCCGAACCCGCGCTGCACGCCCTCGTCCGCCAGGTTCGACTTGTACTGCTTGAGCAGCCGCGCGCACGTCTCCGTGTACTCGGCCTCGCCCACCGAGTCCTTGAGGAACGCCTTCTCGAGCGCGTCCAGCGTCGTGATGATGCTGTACAGCTCCGCGAGCGACTCGTAGAGTTCGCGCTCCGCGCTGTTCGCTGAGAGCTTGACTTCCTGTGTGTGTGCGCGGGTGCGGTGTTAGCTTGTGCTTGTGAGTGGGTGTGGGTGTGTGGATGTGAGTGGGGTGCGCGCACCTCGTCCAGGTTGATGGTCGCGGTGAGCGACGACGTCGGCGTGTAGCTGTACGGCGTCGGGGCGTAGGGGAGCGGTCGTTGCGCGTACATTGTTGTTGTAGGTTGTGGGTGGTGGGGTTGCGTCGTGGTGTTGCGGAGCAGGATGCGCGAGAGCTGGAGGCTTGAGCTCCTCCGCGGCGGTTGCCCGAGGCCCCCCGTCAACGTCACGGCGGCATCGTGACTAAGCAGGTACGTTGGAGATAGGTATGGACCTACTGACTGCTGCGCGTACACTAATAGGTATCACGCAGGATTGGAATGACAGGAAAGCAGAGCAGAGTTTCTTTTCATTCGTAGGAATGCGTACACATTCAATCGTACAGATTGTTGCCAATCGCAACACAGCAACCCAATCCACCCACACCCCCTACATTCCACTCCACTCAATGCTAAATGCCCTCACTTCACCCTCATTCTCACCCTCCCCATCATCACCCTCAACCTTCCCCCCAATTAAAAACCCCTTCTTGACACCTGTACCCAACCGTCCTCCTCCCACCAAGCGCATCAAGTCAAACTCCTCGTTCCAGCCCATCCCCACCGCCAGGAAGTGGCTGTGGAAGCGAAGCGGGTCGCCCGGGTATGCGCAGTACTGGCAGCCGAAGCGCAGGCCGGGGGAGAGGTAGTAGCCGCGGGAATGTAGGTGCGCGAAGAGGGGATAGGAAGCCGGAACGGGAGGGAGATTGGAGCGCGAGGTCGTGGCGACGGCAGTGGTGTTGGGAGGAGAGGGAGGTGGCGTGGGCAGGAGGGGCGGATGTGAAGTCGTCGGCGTGATGTACCAGCGCTCTTCGATCGTCGTGGGTGTACCGGCGTGAGAAGAGGGCGGCGGAGCAGGAGCACCAGAGTCGAACAGCGAGTCGTGCGCGCTGGCGGTGTCACTCTGCTGTTGCTTCTGCTGCTCGCGCGCTTTCTGCTTCGCCGCGCGCGCCTGCGCGATCTTGTCCGCGTTCTTCTTGAGCGCTTGCTCCTTGAGAGTGTCCGACTTCTTCTGGTTTGCCTTCATGGCATCGACACCCTGCTTCTTCATCGCGCGCAGGAAAGCCTTGCGCTCCGCGGCGCCCAAGCCTCCACCGAGCAGGCTCGCGCTGTGCGCTGCTGCGTCGTCGACAATGTATGCGGCATCTTTCTCAACGAGCAACCGTGCCTCCTCTGGCATCAGCTCCAGCGGTGTGCCCAGGAAAATATTTTGTTGCGGGTGACTGGGGAGCGTGCCGATCAGAACGCCAGTGATGTGGTGTTGGCGGCGGATGTACGAGATGTCATCGGTGTTGTAGAGCAGGTACCGATTGCCAACATGAGAGATCGGGATGGGTGCAGCTTTAGATGCGCCCTTCTCGGTCCCCCACTTGTGTTGCGGTGTCACGGGCCGTGATGAAGAAGAGGTATGAGGGTGCCGTTCGGGGGACGGCGCAGGAGAGCGTTCAGAACGACGAGCACGAGATGCCACTGGAGACTGCGGATCCTCTAGGGATTCGGATGGCGGAAACCTCCCGTCCAAGCTTATCGGCGAAGTAGAAGCCGATGACAACACGTCTTCAATGCTGGGAAGAGGCTCAGAAATTGGTTCAGGTGTAACGAAAACAGCTTCCAGTTCATCTACAGACACGTCCGACACCTGGGAAGGCTCCGTCTCGAGTACCATCTGCGGATCTACTGGCGCCTGTGTTGTCGAAACACTGAGATGCGGGAAGACATGGCCCAAAGACCTTGGGGGAGACCCCGAAGCAGCATTGTCATGGTCTTCAGACGGCCGAGTCTCTGGCTGCTGCTGCTGCTGCTGCTGAGACTCGTACTCGTCACTATAAGAGTCGTCACTAGGCGTCGTGTCGAGATCCCCGATCTCCAGAGGCTCAAACACTTGCAGCCCGCCCTGGCCCATGGGCGGCGTCAGCCATGGGAAGACATGCGCGAGGCCCTCAGTTCCCAGCCTAGAAGCATTTGGAGACTGCCCTATCTCCTGCTCTGGCTCCTTCCGCGGCTCTTGCTGCGGCTCTAGCTGCGGCTCTAGCTGCGGCGAAGTTGGCTCGCTCTGGAAAGGGAAGACGTGTGATAGACCCAGGCCACTCATTGTCTTTTGCTACGATGCACGTAATGTGTCTGATCTGATTGCGTCGTTAGCATACGTGCTTGCGCAATGCGTTGTGTGTGTGAAAAATGCGAAAGAAGGATGCAATGTCATTTCTAGAGCTTTATTTGTAACTTCAATAACCCAGAAGGTTTCAGGGGATTGACAGATTGGTAATAATGTTTATAATCATGTGAAGGTGTGCGTTGGATGGAGGAGAGTATAGACTTACGTTGATGGCGATGCCTCGTGGAGGCTGTCAGTGTTGCGATCACATTGTGAGCGCGAGTGGAGAGAAGAGTCAGAAGAGAAGTCGCAGAATTAAGTTGGGAAATTTTTAGTGCCGCGTCCGTGCGTCTGCCGAATTCCTGCCGTGCTTTCGACCCACCTTCCTCCCATCGACATCGACATCCGCAAGATAGAATAATAATGGACGTCTTGATTTTGTTGGTCTTGGTTTTCTTTATCCCGCTAGTCTTTTTCATAGGTAAGCCTTCCTCTACAACCGTTTCTTTCGCATCACCCGGCTAATCCCAGCTTAGCCTGGCTGGCCGTGTCATCATGTCTTGGAGACAACTTCCGAGCAAGAATAGCTGGTGTCTCTGTTAATTCACGTCATCCTTCATTTGGTCGGAGCTATGCCAGAACTCTGGGATCTGGTGCGGCCCAATCTGGCTGGGAACAGATTGAAATGGAAGACATGTTTGACCATACTCATGAAGAGGACGATGATCTATGATACTCTTTAATTGTATTGTATGGGCCCTTTGTTCGGAATTTCTGAACATGAGCACGTGGAAGAGCTAGGAACCAAATCCCGAATCGAGGCTTCTATCCAGCAATCCAGAAGGACAGCAAGAAGGCATCCGTTTCCTTAAAAGTCAATATCGACCTTCGTCTGCTTTCCCTTCCCCTCTTCCGGTCCCATAGTCAGGGCACCCTGTGCCTCCGTATCCCCCTCCACAGGCGGCAGACTAAACGGCTTGATGACGAACTTCCTCCTGCTCATCGTGAACGCCAAGTCATCGCCGACGCCAGCGACGCCGCCGCCACCACCACCCCTCTCGTGCCACACCGGCAGCCTATGGACTCTCAGCATACCCTGCGGCCGTTCCTCGTTCGCCGTCGCTCCACTCGAGGTCGCCAACTCGCCGTACGCGTCCATCAGGTGCGGGAACGGCTGCAGTTCGAAGACGCCATCCGAGAGCAGTTCGCACCAGCGGATCAGGCCCGTGCTGCGCGGGTAGAGCTCAAGCGGAAGACTGAGGACCGCGGTTAAGCGCGTAGGGTATTTACGGAGAAGTGCGCGAAGGCCGTGGAGGAACTGCAGCAAGAAGGAGGGCTGACTAGCGTGCGGTGGGTAGAGAGCTGGCGAGAGCAGGCTGGGTACGAGAAGACGGTGGATAGTCGTTGCGGGCGTTGAGGCGAGTTGTGCGGAAACGTTTTGTAGCACTGGTAGGAAAGGCGAGGTTGGCTGGTGCGGTGGGGGGAGAGGAATGTAGTTGATCGAGGTCCCTGAAGGGAACTCGAGGCGCTTAGCAAGGTCGAATTTGTGGCAGAAGGGTGGAGGTTCTGCTGCATCTGATGCGCCGGGCGATCCTGGAGCGGCACCTGCTGGGCTACGGTCCACTGGTCCTGTATGCAAAGACACGAATTAGCTCATGGCACTTAGAGAACAAGTTGGAGGCATAGCGATTTATTGATATATGCTACAGTGTAATCCGAGAATAGGTCCCACACACCTCTGCTGCCGCCTATCCTCTTCTCCGCGTCGATCTCGCCCAGTCTTTCGTATCTCCACGCTATCTTCATCCGCTCTTTCGATTTGCCTCCGTTTGTGCTCTCGACTTCACCATCAGCCACGCCTATCAGGCCGGGAAGTTCTCTTCCCCATGGTTCCGTAAACCCTGCGACGTGCACCTTGTGTCCTTGCACCACTCCTTCGGCAGCGTAGTACCTCAAAAGCGAGCCCGCAAAGTCCGTCGTCCCGCTTTCCTCGATGAGAAGCGACGACCCAAGCGCGAGTCCCGCATGGCCGGCAAGGATGCTGTCCAGCGAGTAGGTACCAGTGGAGGTGGTCGGGCGGCCATCCACCGGAGACGGCCGCACGCCAGGAATGAAAGACGGCGCAGTGCTCGCGACAGAGGCCGGCGCTTCGTTGCCCGCAGGCGTGCGATTGACGCCTACGTTGCGCTTGCGGAAGGCCATGGGCTGCTGCAAAGTCGATGGCGGGGCTTGGGCGGGGCAAGGAAAAGAGGAAGCTCCCAAAATTCGGTTCTGCTGCGTGCCACCGCCTGCGGACCTCTGGTCTTTCGCATCGCGCCGCATCGCATCGCCGCGTCAGGGAAATATTTCGACCGCACGCCAGGGACAAAGCGCCAACGTCTGCTATTCTCTGACCTTGCCACCACCTTTCTGCGACCGACCCGCGCATCTAGTCTCTCTTACCAGACCTCGTAATCACCGTCCCTCCGTCGTCCGCGCCTACCCCACACAATGGCCGACTCGCAGCTCTTCGAAGACACGTTCGAGATCACGGGCAAGGTCGACAATAAGTACGACCGCGTGTCGCGCGTCAGCGGCATCTCGACCTCGCACGACGGCACCGAGTTCTCCCTCGATGTCAACCACGAGCTGTACCCGCTCAACCAGCACGAGACTGTGCAGCTTATGCTGGCCAGCACGCTGAACCTCGACGGCACCAAGGACGAGAAGGGCTGGCGCGAGCTCGACTCCAATGAGACTACGCTTGCTGACATGTACGACTATGTCTGCCATGGCAAGGTGTACAGGTTCGAAGAAGGCGATGGCGACAAAATGTAAGTTCTGCAAGGCCGGCGCAAAAGTCGATTTGCGCTGGTTAGGGTGGGCATGATTCTGAACACATTGCTGATGATTTCCTGCAGTGGTGTCTACGTCTCCTTTGGCGGTCTCCTTCTTTACATCAGCGGCCCTTACAAGAAGCTCACGCCGCTCCGTATCGACTATGTCTACCTACTGCTCAAGAAATGAGCGTAACAATACGACGTGGGGTATTTATCCTTCTATCCGGCAGCATGCCTTGAAACAAGAGCTGTAGCAAGATATGCAGAGACCTGCCATTCACGATTCCGAACCTATGAATGACCGGGTGCAGCCATTGAATGGGCGGCAATATACATTGTAGGCGTTTGGAGGTGGTTTGATCTGATGAAATTCTATTCCCAAAAGCGTTGGCGTCTAAGAGCTTGAAAAAGCTGAAAGAGCATAGCGAGAACGGGTATAATACACTCGAGACATCTTACTTGCATTTACCGCCCGAATTATGCATGCTTCACCTGTGATTTCTTTTTCATATCTCACCCTCTTCTCTTCTATTTCAAGCCATGCACTCTAACAGTCGGAAACTCGAAGCGGCGGTGCAATCTCGAGCAGATTTCCAAGTAATCCGGCTCGTTTTCCGGCGTCAAAATGCCGTGTCTGATGAGGAAATCCAGCGTCACCACAGCGCAGTTCGGCTTGAACTCGCCCCTCCTGAGATTCGCCCTGACTTCTTCGAGCGAGAGAAGCGCGAAGCCCTCCACCTCGTTGTCGTTCGGCTTCGGTATGACGTCGTCTGGCAGCTCCAAATCGTATACATACTGCGCCTCGGGCTGCAGCAGACCCGTCTCTCCACCGGCGCGTTCGTCGCGAACGTGGAAATACGAAACCGTGCCGACTGCCTTCGCCTTCGCTTCAACCAGCTCTGCAGGCAGCGACGCCTCCTCCTCAGCTTCCCTGACCAGCGCCTCCCTGGGCAGCTCCCCAGCCGCCAGCCCGCCAGCAACGGTGTTATCCAGCATACCGCCATACGTCTGCTTTGACTTCGCCCGGCGCGGGACCCAGAAGTTGAGCTCTTCACCGACGGTTCCATCCTCAGACTTGGACTTGCTGCGGGTGTAGCAGATCATATGGATGCCATAGCTGACAATGCCGAAGAGCGGGCTAGCACTGCGCTCGATCTTGAACAGCAGGGCTCCGTTGCGACCGTAAACGGGGTACAGCTCGTCGCGCCAGCCGGACAGGATCTGGAAGTGGCCGGTCTCGCGCATGGCGCGGGTGGTGGCAGCGATGACGGCGGTGCGCGAGGGCTCGTCGAAGCCGGTGTTCAGGGTGAGGGTACGCTCATCGTCGTTGAGGGTCCAGGTGGGCAAGCCGCGCAGGACCTCGGCGACGCCCGGCAGCACGAGGCCCAGGAGCGAGTCGTCATCGCCGGCGATCTGCAGGCTGTAGAGGCGGTCGAGCGCGGCTTCGTAGAGGTGTGGTGCGGTTTCATAGTAAGGGAAGCTGGGCGAGGCAGAGGCGCGTGTTAGCTAGCTTGGTCCTTCGCAGTAGTTAAGCAGATCCATCCGGGTGCCAGCTGAGCGGATGACATGTGTGATTGGCGGGTGCCACAGTGTTACTGTGGCGGAGAGATCACGAGCACTCACTTGTCGCAGTCGTTCATCAAATCGAGGTTGGTCTTGTCCATTTTGGCGGGCTTGATCTGCTTCAAACTAGCTGCGTGTAGGAGTACGTGTACGTGTAGGATGAGGTGACGGGGTGGAAAGTCGCTGATGAGGCTGTGAGGCTTGGGAGCTTGCGTACGAGCCAAGACTGGAGGATTTAGTCATGTCAGCTAGGCCCCCTCCGCAGCACCCCAGTCGGACCACGCATAAATTAATTATTATACGACGTTTGAACCTGCGCCGCGAATGCCCTGGTGTTTGTCTACATGGTGCTGTGTACCTATGGTGGTTATCGATAACGCGGACCCTCTTTCACGTCAGACGTCACGAGAAATTTCTCGAACGCCTGAGCCGTTTCTGGATGTCCCTAGACAAACCACAAAAGCTCACGTTTGCTGCGTGCCCCGCATCAGCCTACCTAGCTAATGTCTAGCCTGTTCGCTCAGCTGTGAAAACCCCGCCAACATTCTCGTACCTCAGAATCCAACCACCACCATATTAACCACCACCACTACCCACGGAAGACAGTCCGACCTGCCCGGACACAATGTTCGGCGTTATCGTCTCTGGCCGGCCTGTCCTCACGGAAGCCCAGCAAATCACGCCCACGCAATTCGCATTCCAGCTCCCCAGCGCACCATCCTTCAACCACCTGGTCGTCTTCCTGCTACCAGGAACAGCGTTACCACCGGACACAGCCGCCGCCGTGTACGTGCAACTACCACCAGCCACGGACTTCAAGTTCCTTGGCGCGATCGCCAACGAGAAGCAGAGCGCCATCTTCAAGGTCGATGGCATCGACGCAGTGAGCGCGCTTAACGGCGGCGCCGGCGTCCCCGTCACCCTCGGCATCAGCGTCGAACCCGTCGCCCAGATCCAGCAGGCAATGGCTGCCAAGCAGCAGCAGCAGGCGGCGGCGGGTGTGACGGGTACGGAGCTCGTGAGGGCGGGTGGGCCGAAGAACCCGGCTACCACCAAGGTCCTGGCCCAGAGGATTATTGCGAATGCGTTTAATTTCCTGGCAAGCTTTGCGGGGAACACGGCGAATGGCATTGAGGTTGTGCCATTGAAGAGCTTCCAGGATTGGTGGACCAAGTTCGAGAAGAAGATCGAGATGGATCCGGGGTTTTTGGAGAGAGGGGACCAGAGCTGAGGAGGAAGAGACTAAATGGAGGAAAGAGCCTTTTAGTATGACGTTCTGTCGTGGACTATACGTCTACGTCCGATGCTGTTCCGATTCGATCCCAGTTTTCTTGGAGTCACTCTAGATGAGACTGCGGCTTCTAAGTCCAAATTCCACCGTCCGAGTTGGTGGGCACACGGACTCGACCGAAGGCGACCGCTTGGAAAGCACCGCTTACTATGTTCGTTGTGGAGGAAAAAGGCATTTAAAGAAAGATTTATACTGCCGAGCATTTTTCACTGGCCAAGCGCAGACGGCAAGCAACAACAGCTGTACATTACTATCGCATTTGATACCCGGTCAACCAGTAGGTTTCCTAAATTTCTATCGGCGCGAAAATACAATTTCTCTTTTCCGGACTTTTTGGATTGCAGCCTTGGCCTCAATCATCATTTTTTGTCTGTTTTGTTTTGCCTATCTACGTAAATTAGGGCCGGAGGAGTTTGGTTTTCGTTATTTTCAGTGCTGCACGGAGGAAGTGCTCAGGTGGTCTCGAGCTTTTCCGTTGCCAGGGTAAGTCGATCTCCGGATCACCGTCCAATCGCTTTGCTCACAGACTTCTTACCTTATGCGAGCATCTGCACGCTGCCTCATTGACCTCTTTGCTGCGCCATGCTGCGTATCGTTGCACCTGACTGACAACAAAGTCTTGGAAATATCTCGCAATCCGATTTCTCGAGCATGCCGTTGCTTAGATAAGAGCTATGTTTTCTACAACCAAGTTATTCTCCTCCCGCGGCTAAAAGGTGGCTCCGGTCACTACACATGTTCACCGTTAGGCCATCCATCACGCTATGTAGCGGCCCGACACGCACCACGGACAGAGACGTGATACTTCATGTAGATACGAGGCTGTGCTACAATCCCGCTTTGGTCGCCAATTAGCGCTGCTCCCGCATTCTCGGACCTTCTTAGCGCTTATGCCGTCAGATATTGCACGGATTCCGGCACGTCCATCCCCTGTTCAGCCTACGTACGGCGCTGTCACGCGTTGAATCTCTCCCTCTTAGCTAGCGCCTGGGACCATAGGATTCATGATGTGCCTCGGTCTTTCTGTACCTATCCTCTTGGCACAAAAGCGAGAGTGGAAGTCGCCCCAGGCCCCATGTCACGGCATTACAGGAGGCTGTTGCCTAGGTGTAGCCGCATCACCTCTTTAAATAACTTGGTTTTCCAGTAACGACACGGGAGTTTATCCCTTGTCCGAAAGTACGGCTCATGTCAGCAAAAAAGATCCGTCTTCTCCGAGACCTTTGTTTATTTTTTCGGTACAACGCATTGCACGGGTCAACATCTTCCACGACTATAAACCGATAATGAGGGCATGGGAGCAGGTCGTACTTTTTCTCGGGATTGTTTTCTTTGTCAAACTATCATCAGCTATTCCACTGAACGACATGGGTTAGTAACCTAGTGGGGCATACATATATGATTTTTTACTGATATCACAAACCTTTTTACAGGGTGCGAGATCCCGGAACCTGGAACGAAGACAATTGCGGCCCCTGCCGATTTGGAAACTTTGGCTTCTTGCGAGACGGTCACGGGAAGCATTGCAATCCATAAAGATCTCAAAGGCGACCTGTCAATCAACGAAGTCAAGGAAATAACCGGAAGCCTCACGGCCATTGGAGCCCACAAGCTGGACTCGCTATCGGCGGATTCTCTTGAGAGCTTGGGAGATTTCGAGCTCAATGATCTATCCCAGCTGTCGACGTTGGCTTTCCCCAAATTATCCTCTGTGGGCGAAATCTCATGGAACTATTTGCCAGCCCTTGGGAATCTAACATTTGCAACTGAAATCACGCGCGCCCGGTCCATTTATATCAGGAACACCTTTTTGTCGTCTGTTGATGGAATAAACCCGATTACTGTGAAAGATCTCTTGATCTCCGACAATTCGTATTTTAAAGACATAACATTTCCAACAACAAATATTACCGGTCTACTCTCCATTCAAGATAATGCTGAATTGGCCAAATTTTCGTTCCCTGAACTAATTTCGGCCAGCGATATCGCCCTCCGGGACTTGGGGAATATATCGATGCCTGTTCTGACGACTATACAAAATAACTTGAACATTACCCGCTTTGGCGGCGCAGAAATCAGCTTGCCTCACTTGGCATCTGTTGGGCCCCTGCTAGCAATATCAGACTGCCCTAACCTATCAAAAATATCCCTGCCGGAGTTATGGTCTACAAGGGGTGATTTTGAGATTTCCGGGAATCCGAAGATTGCATCTTTGTCCTTTCCCAAATTTTCGGAAGCCGGCATGAATATCAGGTTCCAAGGCAATTTCTCCAGGTCAGTTCGAGCCGTTGGAGAGACACTACATTTCATCTACTCACTAAATCCGCAGCGTCGACTTGCCAAACCTTTCTAGCGTGCAAGGAGACGTCAATTTAATCTCCGACAAAACACTCAACTGCTCAGACCTGCTGGCCATGCAAAAATCCGGCGCGATAAACGGCAATCTATATTGCTCGGGAGACGCCAAAGCAAGTACACCACATAACAACAACACCAACAACTCCAACAGCTCCAACGACCATAAAAATTCATCCAGCAGCAACAGCGCCACCATAGTCAAATCCGTCATGGGCAGCTGCGTTTCGCTCGCAGCGGTGCTTGTTTTGCTCTCCCTCTGGACCAGGGCGAAGCACAAGAAAACCCTCGCGAAACAGGAACGGGAGAGGGCAGCGAGCCGCAATGCTAGGGGTGTGGAACAGGAGGAAGAAATGAATACGAGTGAGATGGGAAGGTTACGGCCGCGAACGCCGCCGAGGGTTGAGACGCAGAGCATTGCGCCTTCGTACGAGACGCAGAGTGTTTTGTCTTTTCCGCCTCCGCCGTATTCGAGATATTGAGATCTGGGCTTCATTGCGGGTCTGGTGACTGCTGGGTGTACAGTTGTAGCTACCTACGGCTAATTAAAGAGTACTCGGCAGGGCGTTCAAGGGGCGGGCGGATTTTCAGTGGCGTTGATACGAAGAATTAAGCAAATACCAGCACTATCAGGGCTGCCAATACTAGTAGCAAGCAAGTCAATTCCAAACTTCGAAACTGCGCAGTAACGGGTACTTCTTGTATCGGCAGTGCAGCTATTTGATACACCTCAAATGCTGTACAAAACAGTAAGCAAGAGCCCTAGCCGACGTTATCCTCCCCCTCCGCCGTTCCTTTGGAGCCTAATCCGCCTTCCTAGTCAAGTCTTGAAACAGAATGAAGCTATCAAAGAACATCTACCCGTAATCGCACTTTCGAAAGACTTAACGCGCACTGAATGCGAGCATGTATGACCTATGACCTTCCACTAAAGCCAAACCCTGGTATATCACACCCGAGAACCCCTTTAGGTCTCTACAGTCCCTTTTTAGACGGCGTTGGTGGGTCTATTCCATTTGGAGGTCAACGTGGTCGCCGTCAAAGTCGATAAACTGGTTCGTCTGGGAATCAGCGTCGCCGATCTCCGGTTCATCCTCAACTATAGTACCTGAGCCATCGCTGTCGTTGTCACTGTCGTTGTCGCTGTCGGAAACATTGCCGGAGTAGTCCTTGGTAGGGCCGTGATACTGGTCGTTGTCCCCAGAAAATCCTGGTAGAGGCATGTCGTCATCCTCTGACATACCCCTCAGCAGTGTAACAGTTGCCGTCTTATTACAGGTATCCTGGTACTGGTATTGCTGCGATGATCCGTCAAGTTGAGTGAGTGAATCACTGCGCTTGATGTTGTCGAATTCGTCGACGCTCCAAACTTGGTTCATACGCGAGGGCTGCGGATAGAATCGTGTGTTATAAGGGCCGTGGCAATCTGACCGCATGCCATTGGGAGTGTATGGTATCACTGGAACTTCTGGGTCGTTCGCATACTTGAAACCTTTGCAACCAAGGCGGTAAATGCCCGGCTTGCGCTGGCCAAATGAGGGGAAGTACATGTACTTGTCAATTTCCTTGAAGCCCATGGCTTTCGGGGGGAAGAGTATGCCGTAACAATTTGGAACTCTGTACAAGTGGCGAATTGCTCGGCGCATGCAGCTGGCAATGCGCGGGACACCTTTTCCCACGACTTCATCCGCAGCCGCGTACATGATCCACTCGTAATCATCGGTTATGGCTTTCGTGGTAGCCCAGAGACAAACTTCCGGTGATGTAGCTGTGAAATTGGGCTCAAAAGATGGGCTTTCCTCTTTGGCCCAGTCGACGTAGTCCTCTTCTTGAGGGTCTTCATTGAGTCCAATGAGCTCTTCCAATGATAAGTTTGAGATGGACCCCGTTCCACCGATGTCTTTATGAATTGAAGCTAGTGCTTCATTGATAGGATCTTGGAACTGCTGACTGCCATTTGGCTCTTGGAGGACATTGCCTGCAGCCATTTTGGTCGGCTTGTCATGTGTCGATAGCTTGGAGGTCAGCTCTTGTGCTTCAGTGACGTCCCTTTCAGTGCCTGTTTCAGCAAAGAAGTTGATGGCAGGTGGTTTGCCGACAGCCACCGGCCGAGTGGTATTGTTCGGAGACATTTGAATAGTTGCAGGTAGGCGAAGCGTTTTTGTAGGGTTGACGCGAAGAAGGGATGAGCAGGGTGCTCTGTCGCGATCGAAGGCCAATTTGTGTTGGTTCCGGGCGCGGCTGAAGTGAAGGTACGCACTAGTTGCGAAAACGACAGAACCGTTGTCAAGAGAAAGAGTGGGCGGAAGGCAGGAGAAGTGAAGTGCTCAAGGGCGTTGTAGCTGTGACCGCTTAACAGGCGCGACAGACAAGTTCAATGATGAGCGGGTTATGACTGAACCGTGGGAAAGGTGGGTGAAGGGCGATTCGTGGTCTTTGAGACCTGAATATGATCCACGGTTGGCTCTTCGCCTAAACTGATGCAACTGATGGCAAACGACTGCGTGGAGATGTGTTAGCATGTTCAAAAGCAGGTTGCGTCATCGTAGAGAATTGTTTGGGGCGCGCGTCCAAGGCAATTTTGTTCTCTACGGAAATTTGAGTAAGCCGTTGCCTTAACTGTATATACGGTCCGTCTAGGCACAATTACCTGGATCGCGTATACTTGCTAGTGAATGTAAAGCTGGCCAGTTAACCCCATTGCGAGAAGATGTTAACGAAAATGAAGGTGGGCTGTGACATGTTAAAGCTCTCGACGAACCAGTGGCAAGAGAACTTGTCATTAAGATCGGTTAGGGATTGCGCCTTCCACATGCGGCATCCCTCACTGACATTTATTTATTATAAAGACACAATGCAGAGCTTTTGACAAGATTATTCAAATATGGAGTTGGTTTCCAAATCACAAGCCTGTATTTTAACTAAAAAAATAAAAAAAAAAGAGATGATTACTCCTCAAAGTAAAATATAAAAGCAATTAGTATCTAGGAACGATTATATATACTAAGGCTTAATTTCTTTTTTACTTGTTTTCCACACCAACTTCATCTAATCCATGTTTAATTTGCTTTAGTGCTGTCGCTTTTTGCTTCGCTCTATGAGACTCCATGAGCCTAGGCATGGAAAAGAACAAACAGATGAAGAAGCAGGCAAGTTAGCAAGCAAGTAGTGATAAACGCAAAGTTAACATAGCTGCCCGCCTAGTCTATGTAGGTAGCTAGGTAGATACAATTTGAATATTCCAGTTTTCAGGTCAAACAGTGGTTCATGAATGACATGTGCGGGTGCTCAACTAAGTCAGCAGACTAATGTCTGATAGAACAACAAAAACAGTAACTAAATTCCTATGCTTGAACATGCCGAGACTAGAGCTCGCGGGGTAGTTTACAGAAGGCAAAGTGCAATGAAATAGAGAAACCTCCCAGGCTTCATGCGGTAGTGAAGAAAACGGACAACATGCAGAAGCCGATTAGACTGACAATGTCCAAACACGAGGCGACATGCATCAAATAACTCATTAAATCAGCGCATCTTACACCGATGAAAACGCGTCAACCTCCAGGCCCGGAATGCAAAGACCATAGCCGTCCGTCTGGCCCGTCGGATCCTTCGGGCTGATCTCCACGCGAATCGCGACGTCGAGACCATACATGCCGCCCATCCCGGAGTGGTCGACACCGCTGGCAGCCGGATGCGCCGTGCCGGAGCTGTGCTCGCCGGCATGCAGCGGCTTTCTGGGGTTCTGCTTCTTGCCACTCGGGGCCTCGCTGACGGAAGCAGAGGGGCCCACGTCGCTCCTCGCGCCATCCGCCGTTGAGGGCGGCGCGACGGTCGAGGCATCGCTAACGATGTTAGTCGTTGCACCGTTGGGAGCCGAGACTGGGCGCTGTTGCGCCAAGTCGGAGCCATCGGGGACAGTCAGCGTGTTGGACGTCGTAGCAGCCGTGTGGCCGTTCGCGAGGACCTGGCCTGCCCCTGTCTGCGGCTGCGACTCCGTGATGATGGCGTAGTTACGCGACGGCATCGTGGCGTGGTTACCGTCGGCTGTCTTCTTGCCAACATCAGGGCGTTTCTCTCCTGGGAAGTGACCCGGGTCACGGTCGAAAAGCTCAAGCAGTGTCTCGTCGGTTTCGTGGTCAAGGTGATGGATCTTGTTACGACGAGCGAGCAAGTTTGCAACCGCCTGAGGAGGCGGCTTGTTCGTGATGGCACTACTGACAACATTGACCATGTATCTGTGATCGCGCTCCGCAGGGATACCGAGGTCAGGCTTGCTGTAGAAACGTCCAATAGCTGCAAGGTGCACATCACCACCAAGAATAGTGATACGAACGCTGTTCTTCTTGGAAATTTCTTGCAGACGAAGAACGAGTTCCTTACGCTCCGCCTTGTGCTGATGCGCAGTGTAGTGGTCGTCGAGGTCGTCAAGCAAATCGACCTGGCCATCAAAGTGGTTAAACAAACCACCAGCAAGACCAAATCGCTTGTTCATGAAACGGATGGGACCAATAACGGGGCTCTGGAAGATGTTTTCGAGCCACTGCAGACGTGGATAAGCGATAGGCACACCGAGAAGGAGGATCAGATGCTTGATCTCCTTGTTCGCCTCCAATTCCGAAGCTACACGGTTAAACATCAAGTCATAGGTTTCCGGGTAGTTGATCTGGTGGCGGGTGCGCTCAGTGCGAGCATCCACGCCGAGGAAAGCAATGCGAGCACCAAGCTGGCAATAAATGGAGCGACTGCGCTCTTCCACATAGGGGCCCGGTTTCGCACCGATGATGTAGGATGGGTCATCCTCGGGCTCGGTGGCAACAAAGGTATCCTTCAGTTGAACAGGATCAGCCGGGGTTCCCTCTTCACCATGATCCACGGTCTTTGGAGCATCAGTGGTGAATGTGCTCTTCGGAGGAGCGAGATGGTGCTGGAAGAGAAGGTAGTATCTAATCTGAGGTTAGCAGCTTGTCTTTCTCACAAGTCGTTGGAACAAGTTCCACTTTGATGCAAGGACGGCGCAATAGCATCGCGCTAGGGGAAAAACACAGACATAACATGAGTGGGAAAACATGAAAATCGACGGATTGCGAGTGAAAAGCAGAGAATGTATAGTAAAAAAACAAACAGCACATACTTATGAGCAACACCACCAATGCCGCGGAACACGGCACAGCGCATGAAATGGTCAGTATAAGAGCCAAATCCGTCAATGATATCATGGTCATCCCAGATGTTCAATTGCGGAATCTTGCAGTTGGCATCCGAGAACGGTCTGTGGTTGTACCAGCGAACGTAGTTCTTGTAATAGTACTCATCGCACTCGGCACGCAAGTCTTCATTGAAAGGGAAGTCCCTGCGCTTCTTGGGGTTTCCAATGTCAGTCCAGCTGCGCAGCGGCCCATCGACACGAACGCCGTCGTTGTAGATCTGGTCGCCGCCACCGATCATAACATGGAAGGGCTTCTTCTCTTGGACGCGCAAGACATCATTCCAGAGAGCGGGGCCAGACCAGGCGTCGACATCGGTGCCAACAGAGAAGCCGTTGCAAGAATGGAAGAGAATGCGCATAGACTGACTGGCCGAGGGCACAACAAAGGTGCTGGTGGACGGGTCGCCCTTGCCAGAGCCCTCGACGACGCGCAAGTTGGGGATTTTGTACTGCCAGCGCGCCTCGTAGTCCTGGAAAGGAAGATGGATCAAGAAACGCCAGAAGGCCTTGCGCGGGTCCTCGTATAGCTTGAAGCCCTTGAAGCTTTGAGTCTGGGTACCAGAGACAGCGGAACCATCCACAGGACCCACTTCGGCCAACAACAGCTCAGGTTCAAGCTGGCCGGGCGTGGTGACAATGAGGACACTGCCGTGCCAGGTCGGCCTTCCCAGCTCGTTGCTCATCCTCCTGTAGTTCAGCAGCGGGCCACACTGGACCTCCAGCGCACCAGTCGTGCTGATGACCTGGGGACCCTGTCCAACGCCATATGTGCCATCCTCGCGAGTCACAGGGACGTCGCCTTGGGTATATTCGGGGTTTACAGTATGCTCGTTGCTGAAGTGCTGGCCGGGCTGGGGGGCAATGGCGTCCTTGACGGCGGCGGCAGCTGCGCCTGCGGCAGACTGGTGGTCGTGAGCGTAGTCGGGGCCGCTGCGACCAGGCTGCTGGTCGAGGGATGGGTCGCGGCTGGACATGGCAAGGGTGGGATTAGAGGATTAGGACGCGAAAGGAAGTAACGTGAACAAGACAACAATGGGTATCTCAAGAAACTCAAGAAACACGAAGGAGCGGCGCCTGAGGAAGGAATGCAAGACGCAAGGCAGAGAGTGGATGGTGGGAATACAATGCAATTGTTTGGCTGGCTTAGCACCCTGATCCTGGCCCTAGACGGCAAGGCCCTTTGGATCTGCCCGATGACGAGCCCGAGGTCCCTCCATGAGCTTCACCACCACGCCAATGCACTCCCTTCCTGCTGACCGCCACTCATTCGCTTGCCGCCCTGCTCAAATGCCGCCATAGCCGTCTTAACGCGCGCCCAGCTGTGATGGTGATGCACAGGGGCCGCGCATCTGCCTGGGATGGTCTGCGCCTCCTGCCGGGCCTTGCGCCGCGCCTCAGGCCACAGGACAATCTCACACATGCACAACACCCTGCAACCCCACCACTCGGTCACGCGTATTCGGAGTCCGGCCCAGCGCTAGCGCTTGTGGCTTTTTCTTTCTGCCAACCTCATTCCCGCGGCGTCATCGCCGCAGAAATCTTGCCGGTAGACGCGCCACGGCCCGAATACGGTAGGGCTGAGGCGGTGTTTTCCCATCGACCGTCAACGTCCATGGCCCTTGTGGTTGGTGGTTGGTACTCCGTATAATATTTCTTCTGCGAATGGGGGATGAGCGCTGGACCCTGAGCTCTGCTACATGTTTCAGGGGAACGACCCACGGCGATCGCGGAGATTGTGCCACGACCAACTATCTACCCTCCCGCACTGTTCCTGAGCAACATGTCTGCTTTACGGAGTACACCAAGCTTTAGCTCCGGCTGCCAGCGTGAAGCCGCGGCTTAGTTACGAAGCAATAGCGGAACACTTTCTGATTGGATGGTATCCGGCATTTATCGGCCTTTTCCTATTCGGGACTGCTTCTGGGATTCTACAACCCCTGACCAAGTTGGACGTGGAAACCCAGTGTATAGATGCAGTATGTCACACAGTTTTTCTGCTCGAAGCCGATCTCATACGCTATCCTACCAATGAGCGCAAATGCTGAAAACTTTTCAGCACTGCGCATATCCGTATACAAGTGCAAACCTGCACAGTTCCTGCAACGATTGCATCCTGATATTAAAAAGAGCAACGGATAGGTGCAGAATATAGTCCGGATAAGGGGATCGGGCACAAAACCTCTCAACTGTAACTGAACCCGAGCCTAACCCGACTGCAGCGGCTTTCTTCCTGGCAGCAAAATGTCGGCCAGTTGGTGCTTTCGGTCTTGCACTTTCATATCATGTCATTTGCTGTGAGCTCCAGCAGCGGTGTGCGCTCGGGCCTTACATACATCTTCGAACGAACCACCCACGACAAAGCGGACCGTTCTCACGGTGCGTGTCTGGCCCATGCGATGAACTCGGGCCAATGCTTGCTCTTGGGTTGTCGGATTCCATTGGGGCTCGAGAAGGTAGGCTCGAGAGGCTGTTGTGAGGCCCAAGCTGGAATCGGTCAGTATCTATGGGTAGGTGCTTGGAATACCGGTATCATTTTACCCAACGGCACCACAAGAAATGGTAATCAAGTATACGCAGGCTTGTGGATCATATCGCAGCTTCTCCAGAGCCAGCTTGTAGTTTGGTGGGGAAACGCATCCGTCGACTAGAACACAGCCAACGCGCGCTGAGTCAAGTGCGTAATGAACTATGTCAAGAGTTGGTCTCCAGCTTGAGAAGATAACACTGAAGCTGCAGTGAACATTTTACGGTGTATTACCATGCTTACATATGCAGCCTACCTTTTCTCGCCAGTGTTCAATTCGAGATCATGAACCAGTGCCTCGACTTTACTTGATGTTTTTGGGTATGATTTTCGTGGTGCGGGACTTCTGTCTCCCACCGCTGGTTCCAAAGGGGATCGAGGTGAGTGTCCATCCGTAGGGATCACTGATTTGCGCGCTGGTTTAGATGTTTCGGAGCAGCTAGCACAGAGCTGTCTAGGACGCCCTGTTCGCCATGGTGACAAGAAATCGCCATATGTTGTCATAGGCCGCCCTGAGGTATACTCCAATATGTCGATCAGGGCCGAACATGTCGAACAACTTGCAATGGCAGCCTTACCTGCATCCCTTTTTCAGTGCTGTTGTTTGAAGGGGTCACAGATTTTATTGGTGAACGTTGTCACCGCAGTACAGGTGCTGATGTGCCCAGGTTACAAACTGTTCGCACCGCGTTTATACGTTGTAGCGCCCAAAACAACGGCTTTATGGACATGTTCTGTTGGCCAAAGGCCTTTTTAAACGTCGTTAGAAGAGGAGGCTCTGACTGTTCATAGCAGTTGAACATAATTTGAGGATCTCCCCCTCTAAAGAAGGGATGAGGATTTATGTATGGTAAGTTACGGTCGCAGCCGATTTTGTCTTAGGATAGGTACTTGTAACCCCCAATTTTTGTGAGAAACGTCGACCGGTTTTACCGGCTCGTAAATAACAACTAACATAGAGAGCAGCACTTATGCAGTTCTTTTTTTAAACTTCCATTCTCCATCCTCTGTCTGCCAAGCTATGATGTCAAAGCCGAACACCTAAGGGTGCTCGATTTATCCCTTCAGGGTCTGTATGAGGTAGACCCGTCGATAAGGGTCGGTAATCCATGTGTTTAAGCCGGACTTGGTAAGGGTACCGTGAAATGATTAGAAAGGGGTGTTTATGAGATAACCGAGCGACCCCATTTAAGGACATCATCATTCTAGACTTCACTACTGCTTACACCTAACAGACCAGCAGCATGGGTTAAGGTAGAAAGTCAATCCGTACTAGGTCTTACTATTACTTCCATCTACCAAACCATCTCACAGATAAGACAATGAGCAAGCCTCAGTAACGCCTATAAAGAGTTCGCATTGCATCCTAGATAACTCCATCATTATATAATCTCCTATGCAACAGCCTTCTCATCAATCCGCATAAATCGCAACCAAATATGCACTTCAGCCTTTCCCACATCCTCGCGGCCACTCTGGCCCTCTCCGCCGCACCGCTCAGTTACGCGGATGACCTCGACGCAGCCGCCCAGAACAGCTGCTACCCGCCGAGAAACTACCGGCAGTGCGTGAGCCCGTTCCAAATGGAATTTGGGAGGCAAAACATGTGCGGCGGCCGAAACTGGCAGGACGTCAAGTCGTTCAACTTCGGATTTATTGGCATGGTTCAGGCCAGCCAGGGCAGATGCAGCTGGTGGAGCCAGGACCAGTGCTACCGTGCTTGGGACTATGTCACTAATGAGTGCAATAACCACCAACACAGAGATGGTGGCAGGGTAAGTTTGACGCAGTATTGCTTTTTTGCGCTGAGTGAGTTACTACTGACCCGTCGTCATAGTATACTTGGAACTACAAGAACCAGCCCTGCTACGTCGATGTCACAATTTGCGGCCCTGCTCCCCCACAACCGCGTCCTAACTAGGAACCAAGTGGAAGATTCTTCGAGAAGAAGGCTGCTGGATGGAAACAACGATTTGATTTGACGATTGTTTCTGGTGGTAGTTAATAATATAACAGTCCTTTCCAAAACAAAGCGTTTTCCATGAAGCATTTCATTTGCAACGACATGTCCGATGTGCAATATATATCACCATTATGATTGAGTAAGACTGAACACTGTTGCAGTTCGTAATAGTGGAGGGCCAAAGAAATCTACTCGTAAGTCGATTAACTCAATCGTAAATAAAGCTTGCAGCAAATGCTTTCGAAGGTAAAGCATGTCAAAGCAGACGGAATCAATGCACGTAAAATCCTCGATTTCTCATCATTTGGTCTGTCTGACACTTTTTTTCGGCAAATACCTGGTCAGTTTTCAATCAGGGCTGCATAATTTATTTGAACTATTCTTAAGAAAATCTTTATGCCAGAATTCTGATGAAATTGTGGCGGAACAACTAGGCTAAGAACCTTTCTGCTTATTTTGTTTGTCTATTATATAGCTAGCTATGTTTGCGGCGAGTGGTGTGTTTGAACCTCTTATTCAAGTCCAAATTGGTTCATCAATAACTTACAAAAACGTGCTCATATTTCATTGGTTTGAACTAGACATCTGCTGCAAAAAGATCTTCATACTGCTAGAAATCCATGTTATCCAGCATTAAGCAACCAGTCCATACCTCTGTGAAATAAACATGATCTGTTCGTCCAGGTCATTAGTAACATGGTTGGAAATTGTGTGCCTCAGGCACGAAAGCTGATGTCATTTCGTTGCGGAAAGCCCACGGCGCTCGTTCATTCACGGACGACAGCCATGAACGCGCAACGCTCGTTGCCATTGGCACCATGTCTGCCTCAAAACAAACCATTTCTAAGACCTCGTCCGAAGCCAGATAGACGCAAAAACAATCCATTAAGTAGCAAATAATCCACACGCGCTCCTCGCATGCATGAAGCTCAACCCCGTCCAAATGCTCTCTGGCCGTAAGCACTTCTCATCAAGCCACCCATCTCCTCCCGTCCATTCTCCCATCGATTGCAAGTCGCTGTGATATGCAACGCACCTAAAGCGCAATGCCCGGCTGTACGACAAAGAACGCAAACGCTCTAATTGCGCGCGGACGCGAGCACACAAGCAGCCATTGTTCTCCAGATAGCACAAAGCCCAAGGATCGGCCCCTATCCGCCAGCCCCGCAAACGCACTGTGGCGCTCCCGCCATCCATGTAAGCCAGTTGTCTGACGCGGCCAGCCAAGGCGGCAAGCACGCCGCGCTTAAACCTGCTCCGCGCCCCAGCCCTCGGCCTCGGCATCGCGCATGTTGGCAGGCGGCTCGATGCTGGGCACGAACTCGAGCGCAATGTATGCGACGCCGACGACACCGACGATGGTGGCCGGGATCCAGTTGTACCAGTGCTCCGCCAACATAATGGTGCCGATGAAGAGGTAGAAGACGCCGCGGCCCAGGAAGCTAAACATGAACGAGGCATATTTGGCAACGGGAGGCGGGATTTGGAACTCTGCGCGAAGGTGATGAGTTAGCTTGTGCTGGTAATTATGATGGTTGACGTATTGCGCGGTTGACCGGGGCGTAGTAACACACGCCTGACGTCCGCCATGCCGTAAGATGTAGATGTAGTTGCGGACGCCTTGCGCGGCAAGGGACGGGCTGCTGGAATAGAGCACTCACCAAGGTAGCCGGTACCAGCGCCAAAGAGGATCAGATAAATTCCCAGGATGATCTCCTTGCTACAAGGGGCGATTAGCACTCTGCGACCCAGATCCAGCGTGAGGCGCGGGTAGCTTACAAGCCGATGGGGAAGAACTGCGAGATACCGCCCAAGATCATCATGACGCCAATGCCGAGGTTGACCATGCGACTGTGATGAAGGATCCGTCAGCCATGCCTGGTGCATTTCTAGAGGACGTCGTCGCCGTCGCTGGAGCTCACTGGCTGCCTAGGCGGCAGCTCGACGATGCGAGGAGCAGCTTACAAAATGTCGGAGAAGTCCATGACGGGCAGAGAGGATGGAAGTTGGGCGCGTGCAGTAGGAGAGACAAAAAAGTATGAACAAGGCTGGAGGTGAAGGTGTCTGTAGTTGTGTGGGAGAGATTTGGAGTGGCAGTGTGATGTTGGCCGGTCAAGACAAGCTACCCAGGGCCGTGCGTCATGGGCTTGCGACGCCGCGTCGAAGCAGCGAGGAGCGAGGCGCGAGGCTCACCCCTGCATATCATCTACAATACCGCGCAAGGTTTCCCATTTTTTTTTTTCCTCCGTCGTCCCTTGGCGTGCTACACATCCGCCGCATGAGTTTCGCCCCTCGAAACGCAATCCTGCCACACACATGCCCCTAGACGCCCGCCATGGTTCTCTCCGAACCCTACCGCTGACTCCGTCCTGATGCCAATCAATTCTATCCCATCCTACCCATTCAGAAAGTCCAAACCTCCACGCCGTATTGATAGACACCCTCCCAAAAGCCAAAAACCCACCGCGAAACCGCACCCCAACACCGTCCTCTTCTTGACGCTCAAGGCTCAGCACTTCTGGGATTCTTGTTCTTCCCCGGGCGATATGATTCCGGCACCCTCGGCACTCTTGGTCCAGGGCTGCGCTGCAATGCTTGCCTAATCTCCTCTCTCCTTCTCTCTTTCTCCCTATCGCCTCCTGTAAGCCTCCTCATCCCGTTCCTCAGCCCAAGCCCGCTCCGTGATTGTGAGAAGGGTTTCAGCACGCTTTCGAGGCCGAATTGCCTGTCGTTGCTCGGATTGCGGCCTAGGCTCAAATCGTCATCTGAGAAGTTCTCTTCATACTCATCAATGACAGGGCCTGGCCCACTATGACCACTGTGACTGCCAGGTGTAGACGCGGGCGTTGATCCCGGCGGTGAACGTTGCTGTGGATTCACGACAGGTGAGGTGACAGAACGTGAGTGCATACCTGGTCTAGTCAACGGAAGAGACAGACCGCCAGCCATCGAACTAGGAGCAGAAGTTGGCGCAGACGTCGGGGCGGAAGTGGGCGCGACGGGTGAAGCAAAAGCGGTAGGCGTCATGACGCCATGATCGCGAGTAGGCGTGTATTTTATGTCTGTAAAACCGGTCTGGAAGGACGTAACGCTAGCGTTGCGTGTAAGAGATTTATGAAGAAGGGGTGCTGTTTGCTGATCGTAGAGGGTCTCCCGCACTTCAAGTCCATTGTGTGGGAAGCGCATGTGAGCGGGATTCCTGGAGACCGAGTCATGCGCATCAAAGTCAATGACGGTATCTTCTTCCTCGAAGAAGTCATCTAGGCTGTCAAGCGTCATGACCAATTCTCCGATATGACCATCTCCTCGCGTATCCTCAGAAGTCATTGTAACCGTCCTATCATCGGCAGGGAAGTAGGATCCATACGAGGCAGCATAGTCATCCGCTCGGAACTCGATGTTAGGCGTCGATACTTCTGCTACAGAAGATGTCTCCTCGTTGACGGTAGTCCAGAATACGGCGTGGACGTTTTGCCTAGTCTGTGCCGAATGCACAGCAGGCATAGGGACAGACCAGCCGCTCTCTTCTGGTATTCCGTACAGACTCTGCGTCCGCTCGTACTCCTTGCGGAATGCCCTGCTGGAATGCGAACCCGCCATGCTCATCCTCAGATGATGGCGGTCCAAAGGATGGTGTGGACCAAGCATTTTAGTAGCTAAGACGGTATCAAGGACCTGGAGAGCTTGTGTGCAATATTCCGTCTGCAGTAATCTCAGAAGAGGCGAGATCAAGTCGGCTCCTTTTGAGCTCATCTCGGGTTTGAGCAAGTCAACGTCTTTGATAACGATGCGTAAGGCTTGCATGGTTTTGAGTTTGACCCAAGAGTTTTTGTTGAGGAGAAATCCCATGAGGAAGATCAAAGTTTTCGGTGCCTCTTCTGGGAAGAATGATGCCTTGGCAGCTGAGACGACCTGATTCAAAAAGTCATCAGAGTCATAGCGACCATTTGAAAAATCTTCAAGTGTCGCTGCAATGTCCCTATAGCCTTTGCAAGCCGCTATGTTGGCCAAGTTACCCGCTGAAGCTGAGACTGCGGTATCGCCGGTATCTTCGTCGAACGACTTGAGGTACCGCGGAAGGTTGGCAAGGACCGTGAAGAGAAGAACACTGTCGGGTCCCACCAAGTCGCAAGATGGTAAAGCAGCTAGCTTCTCCAGGATACGCACTGTACGGTCGTAGCATGTGCTTGACTTGACGCCCTTGTAGACGAGCTCCGCTAGCCCTTCGAATGCCCCCTCCCATTGCTCTGGGGTGCTGTCGTTTAGCAATTTGATCACTGCTGGATCACCAAGATCAAGCTTGTCGAGTAGAGCATCCAGCATGGCTAAGCTCTCCATGAACTCCGCCTCATGGACAGTTTGTAGACAAGCACATGTCGTCCAAAACAGCTGCGGATAGTTGATAAGGTCTTCTCGACAAAGGGCCTCGATGATTGTCTTGAGTGTTGTGAGGATTTCCATCGAAAATGTCAAGATCTCACTGTCTTCATCAGAAATGGTATTAGACAATCTTGCCAACATGTCGCCAAGCATGTTTAGGTCAAGAGAGCTGAGAACGCAACGGAATAGCTGGAATGAGCGACAGGCTAAGTGACGCACAGGGCAATTGGTCGCCCAACTGAGGGTTGTCCTGCCCCATTCCTCACGAATATGAGGGTAGGTAACTTTGAAGACTTTGAGAACTTCCGTCGCAACGTACCCCATGGCTTCTGGGACACGGTAGCACATGTCCTCGTCCAGCTTTCCGTTAGCATCGTCATACGACCAGACGACTTTGGGGCTATGTTGTCGAATAGACTCGATGAAATCCTCGATGTATGGCTTGTCCGGTATTGTGCTCCCGTCAATCTGTGAAATCACAAGCTCATGGATAAGATGTACGAGCATTTCTCGAGCTTGATCTTGGACGACGGGGGTGTAATGATCCCAAAGTATCAATACAGCTTGCAGCAGCAAAGGTACACTTTGCTCGGAAAGTTGAAGCGGTGAGACCATGAGGTCAACTAAGAGGATCATACACAGCTGGCCAAGTGAAAACCCAGACTGGATGGAGTTAGCAACATTTCTGATCTTTGGGTTGGCTGCTTATATTTACCTGCTTGCCACTCGATGGCAACGCAAGGTTCAAATCTGCGATGTACGGGAATATCGTAACGTCTGCAGGGATCTGAAACGGCTCGCGTTTCTCAGGCGCCATAGCCCTTGGAGTTATCTTCAGTAATAAGAACTCAACGACCTTGGATCCAGCCGGTGTATTGGACAGATAAACAACGATCTGCTTAGCGTAATCCACAAAGTTCTGCTCTCGCTTTTCCAGACACAGAGAAATAATGAAGTCGAGAACCAGCTGGACGTTACCGGCATGCGGTCCCGTGGCCAATGCTTGCCACATGGCTTGCATCTCGTTGTGCAGAAGTGTTCCACAGCGGACCGTGATTTCGAAAAGATTGACCAGAAGCATATACGAGCTACCTGTAGGGCCACCATTTGGGTCAAGTTGAAGCTCAATGGTCTGAATCCAAGGAAGCATTGCCGCTACCATATTACGTTGCTGGTCCGGTACCAAATCCTTGAAGTACATGCAGAACTCCGAGAAGACGTGGAAAGCCAGTTCGGCATGTGATTTAGCCATTCTCCGGGACATCTCGAACTGAGCGGTCTTGTAAACTGCGATCGTTTTGTCTGAAATACTGATGTCCAGATCCTGAAGTTTGGAGCTTTTTTGTTGCCTTTCCTCCAGTGTCCGTAAAATGCGTGCAGATTTCATTCGGATATGATTGTTTTCATTGCCGAGCGTGTACAATCCTGCTCCAAGGACTTTGTAAAATGGTAACAAAACGTCTTCACTCTCGGTGAGAACCTGCGAGACAACTTCGAAATAGCTTTCCAGAGCTTTAGGGGATCTTGCCAAGTAGCACATCTCGATGGAACGCTCAAGAAGATACGGATGCGCTCTGTTGTGCATTATCAGGTTTCTCAGTGCTCGACGGCCAATGGCGTGTGTCTTATCACTGGGGGTTTCAAATATGGTGTCAATCCATGACAACATACGGCGGATGTCAAATTGCAAGCTGACGCCACTGTCGGTAGTGATACGAATAGGCCCTCCCTGTTTATAATAAGCGTGAGAACATACCAACTCAAAATTGAATTTACTTACGCATAATGCTGCCATGGCACTCAACGCTGCAGTTCGCAATTCCTTCTTTTCGATCTCCATGGCGGCAGTTGCGAACGTCTTGTGCCCAATATCATGCTCGCGATCGAGGATTGAACGTCGCATTGTGTTTTCTCTTTGCTGGATCTGGGATTGATTTGGAGAGTATCCGCACCAATCTTCCATCAATGCAAAGGCAGCTTTTCTCGCCTGGAAGGGTATCCAACGAATCGGGTCTTTAGTACGGTTGATCCCCTCAAACAACTCTTCAATAAGGCCACAGTAATGCGTTCTCAACTTGTGAAAATCCCACTCATTCTGTACCTCCTGATCGTTCAAGAATAACCGGAGATCCTTCGTGTAATTGACGAGGTTATTGAGAATCCATTCATCCTTGAGCACCTCCGAATCCTTCAGGAAATGAGATGTAAGCTTGTAAACCTGAGTGATTTCTGTCCTGAGATAGTCGATGCGACGATTCCTTCTTGGACTGCTGGCTGTTCGTTGATGCATGGCAAGACGAGATTTCGCCTCATCATTGCACTTCGCCACAAATCCCTGCAAAGATTCCAAGAGAACTCGATAGAGATTTGAATTGATGGATCCGAGACCAGTGACAGCGGCGTCTCTGATTGCAGGATTGTCCATGTACAGAAAAGGAATCACACGCTCAAAGAGTGTATCAGCGGAATGGACCTTGATCTGAGAAGTTTTCGAATGTTGAGATGATTTAGAGCCTTTCCTGGAATGAGCCGGGGTTGGCTGCGGGGTAGCTGCAGAAGACTGTTGAGCACGGGCATTAGTGAGCGTGGTGCAAGCAAAGATCAAATACAGCTTCCACTGCTCGATCATTAAATCTGGCGTTGTGCTTGCAAATCGACCGGCTGTTTTGTTTGCAGTCATATCGAAGGAAGAATACGGGCTATGACGCGGTCCCTCTGCCAACGATGAAACAGTCCGCTGCATTTGCAATAGGCGTCCGCAGACATTGTTCCTGGTGTGGGCAATGGCAAAAGGGCAAAGCTCAAATGCGAGCTTAATAAGGTTCGGGAACATCTTGAACCAAAGGGTTGAATCATATGGAGCGTCACTGCCGCATAGTTCCACCAACGTACTTTGCACGTTGCTCTTCCTCATGCCTCGTTGAAGTCGACTTCTCTCAGCCACGGTGAGCTTTTCGTCATTGACGTCCATGACGTCTTGAGGGCTTCCCTCCAAAATCCGAATCACTCTGCTGCTCTCCTTGCCGAGTGCGGTATCAAACTCAGTGACTAGGCGAAGTACCGTAACGGCGAAGGTCCGCACCCGTCTTGATGGTGAGCAAAGGAAGAACAGCCCATGTGATTCGATCTCATCAACGTAGGCATCAACTCCGGCTAGTCCCAACTGCGCAGCACGGTGATCGGCTACGTCCCCTTCTACAGGTTCGGAAGAAATCTTTTGCGTCTTTTTCTTGATTTCTTCAATCCAGATTTCCAAAAGCTGGACATAAAGCCTCAGCGTACTCTCGATATGGCCAGGCCCGAGCATTCCTCCGTCAGACATCGTAGCATAACGATCTTCAAAGTTGAAAATGAATCTCGCGAAGCCAATGGTTACCTGCTGCGCATGAGATTGCCTTGCGATGGACTTCAATGACTGTGCAGAAGATGCTGCGATGCTACTTTGAACATGTGCAGTTCCAGTGCAGAGAAGGTTAATCAGGTGGTTGAAATTAATATGTGGAGACAAACACCTCGGTAGTGCTTGTACTGCGACATGTAGTAGATCATAAAAGCCTTGCCGTGTATCGGTTGAGCCCAAGTGATCTTCGCGTCGTCCGAAGCTAAATGCCTCTGCCATGGGCGTCTTGGGCGTTTGTGTAGAGAATTTCTCGTCCAGAACGGCTTGTCCGCCGAAGGCGTTGTCGCAGATGATAGTGATCTCCCCGAGGATTTTGCAGAATCTTGTGTAGAATTCTTTCGCGTTTTCAGGAAAATCTGCGATCATGACTGGCCTTGAGAGCCTTTCTTCTTTGATTGTGACAGCTTTTTGCAAGGGGGAAGTCGTTGAGGGCCGCGGCGAAGGCCGCGGGCTAAGAGGTGCGGAAGGGAGCATTTCAAACGGTTGCAAGAGCTCGTCGTTGGAGAATGCAACGGGAAACGGCGGATGTTCTCCCTTCTCCAAATCTCCCATGACGGCGAGGAATGCTCGGATTCCAATCACCATTCTCTCTGGCTCAAGGCTTTCAACCTTCAGCTCTTTACCAGCCCCAAATTGCTCCGAGTTCATCAAGGGGAAAATGATATTACGAAAGCAGAGGTCTTGATATTTAAATCCAATGAATCGTATCAATTGGATCAGCGGTTCTGCAACGGTCGATTCTGTAGACAAGTATGATCTCCTGCCTGGCTGGAACACCAGACGGATGACCTCTTCGAGCTTTCGTATGCTTGTATTGTGCGGCTCTGCTATCCTGTATAGATAGGTCCATACCAATCGAGCAATGTTCCGAAGGGCGTACGGACGGGTTGCGCGTTCTTTGAGCCTCGGGGCCAAAGAGGTAGTCAAGCTCAGCCATTGTGAAGCAAAAACTTCCGTTGGTGATGCGCATGTCAGAACAGTTATCAATGCGTGTGCAACCTGCCAATGTTTTGGCTTGCTTAACATCTGGTTGACCCGCGGCTTGATAGTGTCAACGACAGCTTTCCACTTCGGGAGATTTAGCTCCGATGTAGCATTCGCCGCTATCGGAAGGAAAAGCTCTTCGAAAAGATAGCAGTACGCGTATTTGACTGGCTGGCCATGAACTGCGGCGAAAAGGTTTGCCAGCGACTGAAGTAGATCGCAGGAGCGGGCCCAGGCACCTTCGGGGCTGAATTTGAGCCGCAGATATTTCATTCCTCTTATGATTAACACGGCTTTTGACTCGACGTCTCTGCTTGCTTGGCCCTTTATACCCAAGTGTTTTTGGCATTCCTTTAGATCCTGGACGAATCTCTTGGCAACGCTGTCGAAGTTGATGTCACTCATGACGCCGAGAAGCTGTCCGAAGATACTCCAATTAGCAGTCTTCATTGGCGATGCTTCCAATGAATCCGGCTCAGCGCCTTTCAACTGCGAGTAAATGATATCTTCAAGTCTCTCGGACATGTCAACTGTGAGGTACTCGAGGGAACTTTGGCCGATGATTTCCATGAGTAGTCTACAAAGCAGATAGATAGAAACCGTCGACTTGCGCTCCGCTTCGATGACAGTCTGTTGGAGTGCGAGGGTCGCGTTTGTAGGGGCATGATCCACATAGGGTTGTGGAGGATCCAGTGGGCGTCTTGAGAGGGAGCCGTTGGACGGCCGTGGCATCGCCACTATTGTATTCAATTCATCTCTCTTCCTGGCAGCTGTCTCACTTTTTGCCTTGCGCCAAAACATGAGTGTGTCGATAAGAGGTTTTGGCTTCTGGCGCGAGATATGGCCAAGGGCATTCATGAGCTGGTCGAAAGCAGGGTCGACGCCGGGCCCACAAATGGACTCGACGTTGGGCTCGCCGCCATGGCTGTCACTGAGGCATTGGTTAATTTTTTGATCGGCTTGTCCAACAAACTAGACATGTAATCAGCGTCACAAGAACAGATCAGCCGGGGCTAGCGACACTGACAGAATTGAACAAGTGATGCAGGGCCAAGTCGCCAACCGTCCGATTGGAGTTGTCTTGGGTCTTCGATGACGAGCGAGAATGCGGCTGCTTCTCCTTGTATTTGCTAGCAGTGCTTGTCTGGCGCTCCGGCCGCCGTTGACTTTGCGGAGTGCCTATTTCATTGCTTGTGTGCTCAATAATTGCGCGTTCCACACTTGTCGCCGCCGTACCCTTGCCATGTTGTGTGCCTCCGTTTGCATTGCCCGGCAGGCCATTTGCCGTAGATAGATCCATCATCTCGGTTTGAACTACTGTGGGGCCATCTAGGGCATGCGCGCCGGCGCTGCCCGCGGCGGCTATTATTTGCGAACTGATGGGGCTTGACGTGGGTGAGTTGGCAAAGCTGGTATTGCGGGAGTGTTGTATGCCATGGACGATGGACGTGTTCCGGTGGTGTCCGTACGATTGGCTTGGCTTCCGTTCGAGCTTCCGCTCGATGGTCGCGTCTGGACTGGGACGGTCTCTGGATATGGCGAGCACGGGCGTTTGCGATCTAGACGAAGGGCCGCGCTGGCCGGTAGCAATGGGAGCTCGGCCGCGTGTCACAGAAGCTTCGTGCGAGGGAGTTGAGGGGTCTACGGGATGGTGCGACGGATTGCTGCCGGCATGGTGTCGTGCTTGCGACGGAGGGGGAAGAGCTGGCAGGGTTCGGGAGGATTAGCACCTTGCACCGAAGGATCAAGAGTGGCAACCAGTGGGGGCGCTCACACATCCCGCCTGTCGAGTCTCCTTCATCGGGGCGCAGCGGCGCGCTATGAGGAGGCCATGAGAGTCGCGGGTCGGGCGGACGAGCTTCGCAGGGCAGCAAGGATGATTTAATGCGTCTGGGGAACGGTTGGAAGGGACAAGCGCCCAAAGCGTGCAGGGAGAGCGACGGGTGGTGAATGGCTAGCGCGCTCGTGCGAATGGCCCGACGGCGATGATCGACGGCTGTGTTGTAGCAAAGCGACGAGCTTCACCAGCTGCCTGTAAGGGGCGACGCCTTGCCCATCACAAGACACGTTAAATATAGCCCTGCAGATTATGCGCAAAGGGAGCGTGTTGATGCACGCGAAACGGCCAAGTTACGTGAGCTTGACAGCTGAGAGACCCGGCCATCCACGCTGCCGGGCAGCCATCACGCGAGATGCTTATGTCTCTGCCTGGCAAAGCAAAGAAAGGGTCCATAGATTTGTTCCGAGCTCTCCGGTTGCAACGCGCTTAGAGTCGTTGCGTGGTAGGAGAGAGAGGCTCCAGTGCGGGGATCCGCCCCAACCATTGCATTGCCGGACAAGACGTCGAGCTGATTCCGCGTTGGCTGCGAGAAAGCCGAGGGCCTCGCACGAAGACTGAAGCCGATGCTGAGCCGACCCTCGATCAAAAAGGTGCCCGTGGTACCTTTCGATGCTCAAAGCTCCAGTAGTTGCGATCTGCCGACTCTCGGATCGCTCCACGTGCCGGTGTCGCAGTCCCTGAGCTCAACCATCATCGGACTTTCCGGCCCGCCCTAAACCGTCGACGCCGATTAGGCTACGTTTCCTGGGGGCCAACCGCTGTAAAAGCCACCACCGAGGCCCGGCCTCTCACTCCTCCTTCGTGTTTCAAAGTGTTGGTCTGCCCCGTCTGTTTGTTTCTCTCTACTGCTTGGGGCTGACGCCTTTCCGATTTCGCAGAGCCACCATGGCGCAACTCGATACCCTCGACATCGTGGTGCTCGCCGTCATCCTCGTGGGCACCGTCGCGTACTTCACCAAGGGCACCTACTGGGCAGTTCCCACCGACCCATATGCCAGCTCTCTGGCTCTCGCCAATGGCGCCAAGGCTGGCAAGTCGCGCAACATTATCGAGAAAATGGAAGAGACGGGTAAAAACTGCGTCGTCTTCTATGGATCCCAGACCGGCACCGCCGAGGACTATGCCTCTCGTCTCGCCAAAGAAGGCGCGTCCCGTTTTGGCCTGAAGACCATGGTCGCTGACCTCGAGGACTACGAGTACGAGAACCTCGACACCTTCCCGGAAGACAAGATCGTCATGTTCGTCCTGGCCACTTACGGCGAGGGCGAACCCACGGACAATGCAGTCGAGTTCTACGAGTTCATCATGAGCGACGATTCCAGCTTCAGTGAAGGTGGATCCGCTTCGGACAAGCCTCTTGGGAACCTGAAGTACGTCACGTTTGGACTGGGCAACAACACGTACGAGCACTACAACGCCATGGTTCGGAGGGTAGACGGCGCTTTGACAAAGCTGGGTGCCACAAGGATCGGCGCAGCTGGTGAGGGCGACGACGGTGCTGGTACTATGGAAGAAGATTTTCTCGCCTGGAAAGAACCTATGTGGGCTTCTCTCATGGAAGCGATGCAATTGGAAGAGCGCGAAGCTGTCTACGAGCCCGTTTTTGAGGTCGCTGAGAAGCCAGAGATGGACGCCGAAGAGGACCAGGTTTACCTCGGTGAGCCGAACAAAAACCACCTCGAAGGTTTGCAAAAGGGCCCGTTCAACGCCCACAATCCCTTCATTGCCCCCATCGCCGAATCTAAGGAGCTTTTCTCCGCGGTCGACCGCAATTGCTTGCACATGGAAATTGACGTCTCTGGATCTAATCTGACCTACACCACTGGTGACCACATCGCGGTTTGGCCCACAAACCCTGGCAAAGAAGTCGATCGTTTCCTTGCTATTCTTGGTCTTACTGAGAAGCGCCACATGGTGATCAACATCAAGGGTCTTGATCCCACCGCCAAGGTTCCTTTCCCCTCTCCGACGACATACGATGCTGCTGTTCGCTACCAAATGGAGATCTGTGCCCCGGTCTCTAGACAGTTTGTTTCTTCTCTGGCGCAGTTCGCCCCGAACGACACCATCAAGGCTGAGATGGCCAAGATGGGAGGCGACAAGGACTATTTCCACGAGAAGGTATCTGACCTCAACCTTAACCTGGCGCAACTGCTTGAGATCCATTCCAACGGTGAGCCCTGGACCAAGGTTCCTTTCTCCATCTTGATTGAAGGTCTTCACAAGATCCAGCCCCGTTTCTACTCCATTTCTTCTTCGTCAATGGTTCAAAAGGACAAGATCTCGATCACTGCCGTCGTCGAGTCCATCGTGAAGCCCGGTGCGCCGCACGTTGTCAAGGGTGTCACGACGAACTATCTCCTTGCTCTTAAGCAGAAGCAGCACGGCGTCGCTGAGCCCGACCCTCATGGCCTCAACTACGCGCTCACAGGTCCCCGCAATAAATACGATGGAGTCCACGTTCCCGTCCATGTCCGTCATTCGAACTTCAGGCTTCCGTCGGATCCTCGTAATCCGATCATCATGGTCGGTCCCGGTACCGGTGTGGCGCCTTTCAGAGCGTTCGTCCAGGAGCGTGCGCACCAAGCTCGCGCGGGCGAAGAGGTTGGAAAGACTGTTTTGTTCTTTGGCTGCCGTAAGAAGGTTGAAGATTTCCTGTACGAGAATGAGTGGGATGTAAGTTATCATCTTTTGGTTCCCTATCTACCGATTAGCTGACTGACTATTCCTAGACCTACAAGAACGACCTCGGCGACAAATTCGAGTTGCACGTTGCCTTCTCTCGTGATGGACCTCAGAAAGTCTACGTGCAGCACAAGCTCGAGGAAAATGCGGAAGTTATCGACAAACTCTTACAGCAGAAGGCGTTCTTCTACGTTTGCGGCGATGCTGCGAACATGGCGCGCGAGGTTAACTCGCTTCTCATCCGCATCATTGCCCAACAGCGGGGCGTCCCGGAGACCAAGGCGGAGGAGATTGTCAAGAAGATGCGCGCGTCGAACCAATACCAGGAGGACGTCTGGTCGTAGATATGACATCCCGGTTTTGTTAATCCCGTTGGTTGCAGCCTTTCCGTGTTGCGCCGACGATCGTGTAGGAAACAGAATGTTTTCAGTTAGCGCTCGGCCTGCACATATCCCCGCCGTTTGCGCTCACTTCTTGTTCCATGCCATGCATAGCTGCGAGGGGGTGATTGGCGTATGATCTTTTCGTTAATAGAGTACCATATCAAATTGGAATTAGAGAAGAAATCAATGTACTACTGCGTGAATGCGTCCAACTTGCGCCCATCTGGATGGGAAAGCTTGACCGGTGTTGGTTAGTCGCTTGGCCGTTTGCCTGGGTCCTCGTACTTTTTGGAGGTCTTCGCACTCTCGCTCCTCTTAGACCTTGACCTCGCACAAAACCACGCCTCGCTCGTCACGCACGAAGCACCTGACCCTCGTAAGTGAAAAGGTCCGAGGCGGACCTCTCTTTCAGCTACAGCTGCGTCGTGTACACATCGCGCATTCCTCCACACAGCAACGTCACGGGGCGCTCGAGAACGGCATGCGATCCTAATGCGATACAAATTGACCTTGGCGATCGCAACGTCATATGAAGAACGCCGGAGATCTGGTAAACCTGGTCATTGTCTCGATCGTGCCGAAGGAGTAGGCCGGATGGCTCATCGTACGTACCCTGGCGGCGCGAGGAGGCACACTGCGGCTGTCGGCTTCACGGGCGGGCGAGGTCCATAAAAATATCTGGGAGCAGGGCGGCTTCCCGCATGCCTGAAAAGGGGTGTTCGGACGCCTCTGCCAGCTTCCGATGCGCCGCCGTGAAACATAAGAGCGCTCGCGGAACAAATTCCTGCATGAAGCGAGAAGTTAGACCCCTTTTTCGTACGATTGCTTGCTGCGGCACCGTCCCGACATCCAGGATTCAGGTTGAGCCCCCACGAACCTCAGATGATCAGAGACATTGAGTGATCGCCAGCTGCAGACTCCTCCTCCAGCGAGTCGGTTTCTTACCCGGAATTCTTGCTGGGTTATCCTGCCGCAACGTCGCCTGTCGTCACACAAGGCCAAGTCTCGCGATATGGTTCATTATGGCCCCGCTGCAACTGGACGATGTGACAGGTCGCAGCTCACTTACGAATTTGAGAACCCGCGCGCTGCGGCAGCTGCAGCGCTAGTTCCCCAGACGCCTATGTTGCCATCGGCCACGTCTCTGTAAGGTCCGATCGTACAGAGAAACGCCCGAAAAAGCGCGAATGCCGTTTGCTGGGACAGCGGCTATTTCAGCGAACAATGCCCCGGCTATGACAGAGCATTTTCATCGTTTGAAAGAGCTTGACACGCTTTGGGTGTCCCTCGCATGTCGGATGCGCCCACGAAGCACCAGCCGCACGGCAAGCCTCAAAGAGCAAAACGTCGTCGCACACCATCTAGGGGGATCTAGTTATGGTCCTCTGCGTCACTGAATCCAGGTTCGCGGGCTCATGAGTGAGGCTGGGCGCAACAGCCCAACGTCCAATGGCTCGAGGGCCTACGCGGACACAGGTGAGTCGGCCGGCGTGCCATCTTTTCCTCGTCGTTAGTTATATTCGTGCGAGTTATCGACGAACATGTCGTCGTCCTGATCAACAGTGAAGCGGCGGCTATGGTCGTGGAGAGGCTCGAGAGCCATACCCTTGCTTCATGCAGCGATCCGCTAGCTGAATCATGCCCTGATATTGAGCGAGCCGAAGAGGAACAGTGAACACATTGGGATGATATGAGGGCGAGAGGACGTTCGCATGAGGAAATTGTCGAGTATTGATGTTTTGGACAGTGACGAGGACGGCTCAGGCTGGGGCAGGAGGGAGACGCAGGACCATGTGTTACGGCAGCTGCAAAGCCAGAATTCCAGACCGGGTACCAGCGGGCAACGTGCAGGCTGCAAGCTATCCGCAGGAATCTTGCAGATCCACAGGGCTGGTCCTCGCGGGCTGGGATGCTGGCTGCCCCCTAACTTAAAGTAAGAGGATTCCTTTGGATGTAACGGCAAACGCACGCTACGACGAACCTGACGTCAAAGACAGCAGTGGGTTGAGTGGAGATGTAACTGCGGAAGACCTGGCTTCCAGCAGAAGGCCATACTCGGGCTGACGGCGTGTAAACAGAAAGCCCCAAAGATGAAACGGCCATGGTCCTGCGCGGTGGGCCGCCTGGGCATGCCTTGTCCGTCCCGACGCCGTGTCAGGCTTCAACGTCGGTCGTCGGTCGTCGCCCGCACCGCGCAAACAGAGGCCTGGCGATGTGTAGCCGTGGGCCGTCGCGTTGAGCCGCGTGCATGCTGTCCTTGTCTTAGTCGGGCATGCTGGAGGATGGTTCGCATTGAGTGACTCTGTACAAGCTTCGCAAAAGAAAGCGCCTCACATTCGCGGGCCCCCCGGTCGATTGCTGCCGCCCCTTGGCACCAACAGCCGGCAGGCGCATTTAAAGTGGCACTCGGCCGCCTCGAGGCCTGGGGTTTTTATTTTTGCCAGTGCTCGTTTTGACATTACTATTGAGACAGCTTTCCCTCGTCCTATCCTTAGGGGAACACCGGGGCGGCCAAGTATTGAAACAGCAAGCCAGATGGGCGCTGTGTGAACGGTCCACTGCCACTGCCACTACCGTCTCCGTGTTAAGGAAGCGACTACCTGCCCGTCGAGAGCGTGCCGGGTGCCCTTTTTCGTCTGCGCCTGCCTTTGCCCTCTGGCGCTGCTTCTTTCGACAACCTCGACCCTCGCCTGCGAGCTAGCATCTTCTATAACTTCTCTTCTCCCCCCTCCTCTCTTCCTTTCTTCCTCCTGCACTTCTTCCGCAACGCCATCCGCTCAGAGATCTACATTTCTTTGTAGCTTTTCCTCCCGGCCCAAAAGTGAGTCTGCCCGCCGCCCGCCTCGTGCTACCCACTCATGGCTCACTGAACCTCAGCTTTTGCTCGCAGTCGCTTCTTCGCATCTCAGGCGATCAGACATCCTCGTCAGGTACGTTATCTGCCCGCCGGCCCTCCCCTTGCAGCTCCTGTAAACACTGCCCCGCCAACCGACAACCGCAACACTTGACACTTGGCGCTGACGATCCGGCAAGCAGGTCAATCCAAGGCTCTGATAACGGTAGCTTGCCTATCATACATACGGAATCCATCTCGCGCTGGTGCTTAGCCCTCACCTCATCCCGCTCCCATTTGCACACCACACTCCCTGCTCCGTCGAGTCTAACCTCCTCTCACCCAACGCTCCAGGTTTCACTCCACACTGAGCTGGAATCTGGTCCACACCCGCATCTTTCACCTTTCTCGCTTCTTGCTGCCTTGCTTGCTACCTTTCACCTTTCATTTTCGCTTGTAATTTCAAGCTGGCAAATCTCGAGATCCAAAACTAACCATGCTCGCAGTCAACACCATGGCGGCCCTCACGGATATTGAGCAGCGCAAGCGCAACTTCGGTAATCATGCTACGACATTTGCCAACCGCAGCCCCATGTACTCCAACTTCCAGAACCAGCCGCAGCGTACTTCGTTCCTCAACACCGGACACCCGGGAATGATGGCGTACCATGGCATGGTCGGAGACTCGAGCCTTGCTGCTCTGACGCAAGGTTTTGCTGGTATGAACTTGCACCCTTCTCTTGGTGCCGGTAAACCAGGAGCTCATATCGCAGCCTCCTCTTCCGAGCTCGGTGGTGTTGGGATCCCTCCCCAGATGCAGCATGGCCAGCACCCCATGGTCTACACCCAGCCTCAGATGCTTGCCGGTGTCAACAACTTCCATGGCATGCCTCACACCCCTAGCGTCCAGACTCCGATGAGTCACTATCTTCCCGGTGCCTACCAGTACCCGCACCACATGATGGACAACAACAGTCCTCTCTCAACCAGCTGGGCCTCTCGTGTGTCTTCTGCTGAGCCCGCTCTCATCACCCCTCGTCGCGACTCGATTTCCTCCACTGAGCAGGACTTGCCCGGCACGCCTTACACTGGCAATGGTGGCTATCACCCGTCTGTGGCGTACATGAATGGGTCCCCGAATGCCGTTTACCCTGCGAGTGGCACTCCCTCTCCCTCCCATCTGGCTCCGTTCTATGTCCCTCAGCTTGCCAAGGTTGCCGCTCCGGCCACCATCCCAAGCGACATTCAGAAGCTGCTTCAGCAGGAACCAGTCATCCCGAGGGCTATCCCAGCTCCAAGCTCCCCTGTCAAGCCTCTTGACCGTAGCTTGGAAAACAAGAACGGCGAAACGAACGTTTACATTCGTGGCCTCTTGCCCGAGACGACTGACGAGATGCTGCACCAGTGGGGCATCCGCTTCGGCGACATCCAGAGCTCGAAGTCAATTATCGATGTCAAGACCAACTTGTGCAAGGGGTGTGTAGATTTACCGTGGACACATTGTTTTCATTGGCTAACATCCACAGTTTTGGGTTCATCAAGTACTACAACTTCAAGGATGCTGAGAACTGCATCCGCGGCTTTCACTACCTCGGTTACGAAGTGAGCTTCGCTAGAGTATGTGCTCCTTGCTTACATTATGTTCTGAACTATTGCATTAACATCCATAATAGGAGTCCTTCTACGCCAAGCTGAAGAAGTTCGCCGACGACAACAACACGAACCTCTACGTCTCCAACATCCCTCGCCACATCAACGAGAGTGAGCTTCAGGCCATCTTCGCTCCTTACAAAGTCTGCTCCAGCAAGATTCTTCGCGACACGGGTGGCCACGGCCGTGGAGTTGGCTTCGCTCGCTTCGAAACCCGCGAGGTCTGTGAAGAGATCATTCGGAAGTACAACAACACTCCAGTCCGTGTTCCGGGCGGCGAAGACCACGTCATCCAGATTCGCTACTCCGATACCCAGGAGCAGAAGGCTCTCAAGCAGCAGACCGCCGCTGCTCGTCAGTTCCGTGCGGCTGAATTTGAGTACGGTGTACTCCAGTCTCGCGCTTCCACTGGTCAACTCATGGCCCCCGAGCAGCGTCTTAGCTCGCTCACTCCCGCCGACAGGGACGCTGCCAACGAGTTTGAGAACTTCTTGGCTCAAGCCAACACCCAGAACAATACCAACCGGTACGATCGATTCCGTCCCTTCGTGGCTCGTTCTTCTGCATCGGTCCCAAACACCCTTTCCCAATCCCCTAAGACCAATCTTCCCGCAGTGAAGGTCGAAGGCGTTTCCTCTGTCGAGGATGAAAAGGCCCGCCCCAGCACCCCGGTAATTGCTCATGGCGACCATTCGTCGACCTCTAGCAATGCCGCCAGCGACCACGAGTAAAATCCCGTGTTAATCATCATCCGTTACGCGCCGTACTTTGTCCTGTCCGTCTGTGGACTTTATTACACGATGCTACTGATTTTCGCAGTGTCCAGCAGCGGCGTTTTGTCAACCCAGCCGCTCGTACTCTTCTCAAGGGTCTTCTGTGCGCCACTAAGGCCTGATTAACAATCGCATCACGGACTTCCTGACGTCCGTTTGGCATCTCTTACTGCTCGTTATCCTCAATCCAGACGACCGTCACGACTCTCGACAACTTCTTTGGTCCCTGCATCATCTCTCATATGGAAGGAGACGCCCCGACAACATCGACAGCCTCTTCTCGACAGCCTTCTGGTCGTATCGTATATTTCAGTTTCCCATGAAGCCTGGCCAGTTCTATCGCCGTTTTGGGATCCTTCCTGCTTTATGTCAACATCCTTTGTGTTTTTCTTCTAGTTACATCCAGTTTGATCCAAGTTGACGAAGATTGAGCAAAGCAATCCCCGGCGATGCACATGTCTTCGGACAACTCTTTCTTCCCATCATAGTTGTTCTTCTTGTTTGTCCTTCTCTCTTCTTTTCTCTGGTTTTCCTTTTTACTGGGCTTTCTCTGTTTCTTGGCGGAAAACAAAAAAGAGGTTGGTTCATCGGCTCTCACGGGCTCCTTTCATCTTTGTACGAAAGATGAGCAACAGGAAGATGGCCAACGGACACAAAAATTTGGGCTTCTCTTCTTTGCTTTGTTTTATGCATCTTGCGGTTGATCAGGCTGATGAGTTATGATTAAGTTGAGAAGTAGCCATTGCAATGCTGCAGTTCAATTCCATTTGATGCTTTTAGACTTTGCTGCTCCATAGGTTTGTTCATTGTGAATTCTTGCAGCGTCGGTGTGTCCTGGAGGCTCGGTCACCAAATGCCAGACAACCCCACGTCACTGTCGTGACCGACCCGATACAAGTATGATTGCACCGACCGACACTGACGCCGCGTATCATAGCATCATCGGTTGGTCGTCAACGAGCTTCGGCATCGGCATTCGCCTTGCCACTCGAGTGCTACCGGCATCTTCGGCAACATCGGCATCCTCGCAATGGCCGGGAGCGACAACAAAGACGGCTAATATCAGACCCCTGTTAGCTGCGGTCCGAAGTCGGACCCTGGCCTAAACGGTTGATCTACCTGGCCACCTGCCCAAGAGGACCAGAGCAACGCTGGGGGCCGTATCCGAACCAAGTGCATGCCTATGTACGGGCAACAGGGGTGCAGGGATCCAGCAGTAAAGCAGCAATAACCTAATATAGGTAGGCAGCTAGAAGCCAATGCGGGGCAAGTGATTGATACATGCACGCATATACATGCTAGCAAGCACACAGCGACCCGGCAGTGCAAGAAAGAAGTAAGTCTATCTAAAATTGCAGCGCGCTAAAGGGAATGGGTAGGTACATCAATTCAACGGCGAGAGAAAATCAAGAGGGTTCTGGCGACGCGTTGCGCGGCGTCATGCTGCTCTCTCTTTCTAACTTTCTGTCTTTCTTTCCACACATCCAACACGCTTCGCTGACTCAATCAATTAACTACTGCCAATATACAAGCACGCTTCTCCTCGCATCGTCTCCGTCGCCTTGGCCTCATACAGACCTAGATCGATTCCCCGCTCTCCTCCTTCTTCATGCTGGGAAGCTGCGGTGCTGCCTTCGCACCGTCCCGGCCCAACCGCTCCTCATAGTCATCCATGAGCTCGTACGCTGGCCTGTACGCGCCAGGGGCGCCGATCGACTCGGCGGTCTCAGCGGACGGATTGTGCTTGTCCTGGACGCGCAGGGCAGGGTTGGGATGAGTGTCGGTGGTGCCGCCGAGGGAGGTGTAGCCCTGGTCATATAGGGGGCAGTAGGGGATGGCGAGGTGGCGGATGAAGGCCCAGATCTCGACGTAGTGCCAGTCGATGACGGGGTGGATGCGCATGAAGGAAGGCCAGCCATGGTCGGTGGAATCGAAGTGGGTGAGGGCAGCGCCGTGGGGGTCGGTGCGGCGCGTGCCTACGAAGATGGCGCGCACGCGCGGCGCGTCGCGCAGGTACGCCTCGAAGGCTTCTTTCATGGGCGCCGTGTACGAGGCCAGCGTCAGGTTGTATGTCGGGGTCGTCTCCTTGACGAAGGCCTCGACTTCCGGGAAAGGGTGCGCCGACTGGATGTAGACGGACTGGATTGTGGGGGGGAGGGGAGTCGAGGTGGCATTGCTGTGGCGGTGGAGGGCGCAGAGGTAGAGGACGAGGAGGACGAGGCAGTCTTTGCCGCCGTTGTAGGAGAGGGAGAGTTCTTCGAGACTGAACGCAGTCTTAGCATGCGGGGAGGGGTGTGCTCAACTTCCACGTCGGCCGGATGTCAGCATCAGCAACGCACCTGTATTTTTGCAGCGCTTCCTCGATGACGCCCAGCGCGATGCGCGTCTGTTCCTGGGTGGCCCGCAGGCGCGCCTCGGAGAGGGATTCGCCGAGGAAGCGGGTGACGCGCTCGTCGAGGCGGGCGCAGAGCTCGGCGAAGGGCAGGCGGGCGTCGCCGTCGGGGATCAGCGGAGAGGCATGGTGGGTGGCTGCGGCAGCATGAATTGTCGCTCCGGTCATTGCGCGCGCGGTGCAGCGGCACCCAGAGACATGAGAATTGGGGCCTGAGGGGTTGGTGTGGACAGCTAGTCTACTGTGGTGGTGAGGTGGGTGTGTTTGGTAGCCCCAGCCCGCTATCGCTATCTGTCGGCAGCTTGCAGCCGTTGCCCTACCTCGCCGGGGGGGCGAAATAGCATAGCCCTACGAGCCTGAGCCACCGCCTGTCCGGTCTGGAGGCAATCGATGAGTAATTGACAGAAGAGGCCATTTTTCCCGCGCGATGCACCAGGGTCAGAGAGAGTTTGCCGGCTAGCGCGCACCCAGTCGGTCGACGTACAAGGCATAGTGCCGATGATGTGATTGCCGTAAACCAATGCGATGCCGGCCAAAGCCCATTAGCAACGCCCCCAGCTCCCCGGCAGAAAAAAGTACATGAAAGAGCCGCCGCGGCGCCAAAGAGACACCTCCGCACTCGCCGACCATCCATCTCCTCTCCCTCTCTCTCACACACAATCCCAGTGACGCCCATTTGCCATCCGCCAGCAATCATGGGCTCCGTCACTACCGCTGGAGAGGCTGGTACGTCGCCTTCTCCTCACGCCTGCGCCCCATTTCTTGGCGGCCTGCGGGGCACCACCACCAGAGTACCTCATTGACCCCGATTGCAGTGGCGCGGATTGCCTACCTGGCCAGCGACGTCGTCGTCTCTGTCCAGCCCTCGCTGAAGGATGACTCCGAGTTCTCCAAGTCGCTGAACTCGCTCTCCTCTGGCCTGGTCTCCCGTAAGCCCGAGGTAGAATTCACCGCGAATCACCAATTGCCCGATCATGCGACTGACCCTCACCAGATATTACCCGTCAGGCACAATGCCGACCCACTCCTCTCGGTCTTCCAGCCAATCCGCAGTGGCAAGCTCGTTTCCGTCACCACTTCCTCCTCCGTCCTCGTCCAGTCGATACCCCACCTCTACAAGTTGGCACAGTACCCCGTTGTCCTGCACGTTTCCCTGCAGCCAGTGGGCTACCCGGACTACTCCGATATCACGTCCATTAGGCAGTGTGGCTTCACTTTCTTGCAGTCGGAGTCGCTGCAGGAGGCGCAGGACATCGCGCTGTCGGCCCACGCTCTCGCCATCAAGTCTGGCAAGGGTGTGATCCACTTTTTCGACTCGTCCGTCGCTTCCAACGCCAAGCCCATTGCGGAGGAGAACAAGGATCTCGTGAAACAGGTCCTGGATCTCGATGCCGCGAGGCAGTTCCAGGGTACGCGTTCCAGCGAGTTTGGACTGTATGCGGATGACGGTCGCGTTGCCACTGTTGCTGTTGCCGGTAGCCAGGTTAACCAGGCGAACGGCACCACCGGTGACACTCTGGCCCTTCCTGAGGACCCCAATTCGGGCCGCCAGAGCGCCCGTGAGTCATCAGTTGGTTCTTCGAGGCGTGACAGCAGCGCCGGCAGTGACAAGCCGAGCAGCGTCTCTTCCGCCACTACCGTTGAGTCGGTTACTTCGAAGACCGTTACGTCTGAGGATATCTACAAGTACGTTTCCCAGATCTGGGCGACGATCAAGGATGTCACCGGCCGCGAGTATGAGGCCTTCAAGTACACTGGTCCTCAGAACGCGGAGGCGGCTGCCTTCATTTTCGGCTCCGACACTGCTTTGTTCGCTGCTGAGCTCGACGAGGCGGCTGCCGATTACTCGAACCCTGGTGTCATCACTGTTCGCCTCTACAGGCCCTGGCTCGGCGCTGAGCTTTCCCGCGTCATCCCCAAGTCCGTCAAGAAGATTGCGGTTTTGGAGCAGGTTCGCAGGAAGACCACCAAGTGGGGCCCGCTGTTGCTCGATCTGTTGATGTCTCTGAAGACGGCTGGCGGTGCTTCGCCCACGGTCGTTGGCCACCAGCTCGGCTTCATTGAGGAGGCTACCGTGCGCCAGGCTCTGCGTGGTGTTTTCCAGAACCTGTACTCGGATTCTCCCATCCAGAACCTCCAGATCGGCAACATGGACGGCCCCACCCCGTCTGCCGAGGAACTGAAGCAGCCGGAGCTCGAGAACGCTTACATGAAGATCCTTAACCAAACCTTCAAGGAGCGCCTCTACATCGCCAACCAGCTTGGTGCTGAGAACGCTGGTATCAGCGCTGAGGTGTCCTCGACCCCCGCCTACGGATTTGGTTCCCTCATCTCTCGCCAGGAGCACCGCAAGCGCTTCATCAACGAGGCCAACGAGGCTGCCAAGGCTGGCGAGTTCAAGAGCGAGGAGACCAAGCAGACTCTGTCCAAGTGGGCTCTGGCCGCAGAGGACTCCAAGAAGGTCGAGGCTGCTGCTGAGGAGGTTATCTCTAGCCTCACCCAGGATGGCTCTGAGGCTGCCACCAAGCTGCTGTCGTCCCAGGGTCTTTTCCGCAAGGAGTCTCAGTGGTTGGTCGGTTCCGACGCTTGGTCTTACGACTTGGGTAACTCCGGTGTCCACCACGTTCTTGCCTCCGGCCAAAACGTCAACATGCTCATCATCGACTCAACTCCTTACTCGGAGCGCGCCGCTGCCGACGCTAACAGAAGAAAGAAGGACATTGGTCTCTATGCCATGAACTTCGGCAACGCCTATGTCGCTTCGACTGCCGTCTACAGCTCCTACACCCAGGTTCTGCAGGCTATGATCGAGGCTGACCAATTCGAGGGTCCCTCCGTCGTCCTTGCCTACCTGCCCTACCACAAGGAGGATGAGTCTCCCCTGACCGTTCTCCAGGAGACCAAGAAGGCCGTTGACCTCGGCTATTGGCCCCTGTACCGCTGGGACCCCCAGGGTGAGGAGAAGGGCGAGGAGAACTTCAAGCTTGATTCCGAAAGAATCAAGAAGGAGCTTCAGGAGTTCCTGCGCCGCGACAACTACCTGTCGCAGCTCATGAAGAGGCACCCCCAGTTCTCCGCCAATCTTGCCCAGTCCTACGGTTCTGAAGTTCGCGAGCTGCAGAAGAGGAAGGCTAAGGACGCTTACAGCAAGTTGCTGGAGGGTCTGCAGGGCGCTCCCCTGACCATTCTGTTCGCGTCTGACAACGGCAACGCTGAGAACCTTGCCAAGCGTCTTGGCAACAGGGGTAAGGCTAGGGGCCTGAAGACCATGGTCATGGCTATGGACGACTACCCTCTCGAGGACATTTCCAACGAGGAGAACATTGTCATGATCACCTCCACCGCTGGACAGGGTGAGTTCCCTCAGAACGGCCACAACTTCTGGCAGGCCGTCAAGAACTCCACCGACATCGACCTCGCCACCGTCAACTTCGGTGTCTTCGGTCTTGGTGACAGCCACTACTGGCCCCGCAAGGAGGACAAGATCTACTACAACAAGCCTGCCAAGGACTTGCACGCTAGGCTTGTCACCCTGGGCGGTAACGCCATGACCGACTGCGGCCTCGGTGACGACCAGGACCCCGATGCGTTCCAGACTGGCTACTCTGAGTGGGAGCCTAAGCTTTGGGCTGCCCTCGGTGTGGACAAGGTCGAGGGCCTTCCTGAGGAGCCCCCACCATTGACCAACGAGGACATCAAGATCCAGTCCAACTTCCTTCGCGGTACGATCGTTGAGGGTCTGCAGGACACCACCACTGGTGCCATCTCGGCCAGTGACCAGCAGCTCACCAAGTTCCACGGTACCTACATGCAGGACGACCGTGACCTGCGCGACGAGCGCAAGGCCCAGGGCCTTGAGCCCGCCTACTCCTTCATGATCCGTTGCCGTCTGCCCGGTGGTGTTGCTACCCCCAGGCAGTGGGTCCAGATGGACGAGATCAGCGACAGCCTTGGTAACGAGACTATGAAGTTGACCACTCGCCAGACCTTCCAGTTCCACGGTGTGGTCAAGAGCAAGCTGAAGCCCGCCATGCAGGCGATCAACAGGTCTCTTATGACCACCATCGCGGCCTGCGGTGATGTCAACCGTAACGTCATGTGCTCTTCCCTCCCTGAGCACAACGCCCTGCACCGCGATGTTCACGCCGTTTCCAAGAGGGTCAGCGACCACCTCTTGCCCTCTACGACTGCCTACCACGAGATCTGGCTCAAGGACGAGAACGACAACAAGACGCAGGTTGCTGGTGATGCCGTCGTCGACCACGAGCCGCTCTACGGCCCCACCTACCTGCCCAGGAAGTTCAAGATCACCATTGCCATTCCCCCTCACAACGACACCGACGTCTACGCCCACGACATTGGTCTCATTGCTATCAAGGGCGCTGACGGCAACCTGGAGGGCTTCAACGTCCTTGTTGGTGGTGGTATGGGTGTCACTCACAACAACAAGAAGACGTACCCTCGCACTGGTTCCATGCTGGGTTACGTCGCCGCCGCTGACACGCACATTGTCTGCGAGAAGGTCATGCTTGTGCAGCGCGACCACGGTGACCGTAAGAACCGTAAGCACGCTCGCCTAAAGTACACCGTCGACGACATGGGCGTCGACGTCTTCCGCGGCAAGGTTGAGGAGCTCTGGGGCCAGAAGTTCGCCGAGGCCAAGCCTTTCAAGTTCGACAGCAACATCGACACTTTCGGCTGGCAGAAGGACGAGAACGGCCTTAACCACTTCACTATGTTCATCGAGAACGGCCGTATCGAGGACACTGCCGACTTCCCCATGAAGACTGGTCTTTGCGAGATTGCCAAGCTCAACAAGGGCGAGTTCCGTCTCACGGGTAACCAGCACTTGATCCTGTCGCGCATCCAGGACGAGGACCTCGACATGATCAAGGACATGCTCAAGAAGTACAAGCTCGACAACACCAACTTCTCGGGCCTGCGCCTGTCGTCGAGCGCCTGTGTCGCCTTCCCGACGTGCGGTCTCGCCATGGCCGAGTCGGAGCGGTACCTGCCCGTCCTTGTCGGCAAGGTGGAAGCCATTCTTGAGGAGAACGGCCTGCGCCAGGACAGCATTGTCATGCGTATGACTGGTTGCCCCAACGGTTGCGCGCGCCCGTGGCTCGCCGAGGTGGGCTTCGTCGGCAAGGCGTACGGCGCGTACAACATGTACCTGGGCGGCGGCTACCACGGCCAGCGCCTGAACAAGCTGTACCGCAGCTCGATCAAGGAGGACGAGATCCTGACAATCATGAAGGACTTCATCCAGCGGTACGCCAAGGAGCGCAACGAGGGCGAGCACTTTGGTGACTTTTTGATTCGTGCTGGTATCATCGCCGAGACGACGCACGGCACGAACTTCCACGAGAACGTAAGTTTCTGACCTGGTACCCGTTTTTAGTATTGCGAACGTGCCGCTGACAATTCATTCTACAGACCGGCGAGGACGAAGAAGAGGACGAGTAGACGAGTTGTAGCAGACTCTGTTTCTTCTCTTATCTCTCCATCTCTCTCGCTCTCGCTCTCTCTTGCTTTTTATCTTTCGCATTTACGGTGCCATGCGATGCAGACGAATCAAAAAAGGACACACAAAGACGATGCCGAAATGAAAAAGGGGTGGTGGTGTGGGTGATAGGGCGGGGTTCTTGACAGCATGGCGTTGGAACTTTTCCTTTTTATTTTGGGGAGCAGGGAAATGACAAATACACTCACTCGCTGACCATTCTGAGTGTTGCGTTGCTTTGCTTTTTTTTTAGTCTTATTCCTCCTCTTTAGCTTTGATTGTAAATACTGTATATACGACACCTCAAAACATGCCTCCTACAGTAGCTGTGACCGGGAGGTTGAGTTCTTGCGTTGGATTAACCTCGTTGTCGTACAGAAGTGTTTTATGAAGTTTGCCTGACATATTTGTCTATGATGGTAATCAAAAATGCTTCACAACTTCTTTCCAAGCCGCGCCACTCTTCACAAAATTGAATAATTCCAAGCGCACCAAACAGCGATTCCAATGGTCTTTTCTTTTTTCCCTCTTCATTCATCAGACGCTGGGTATCTACGCCACCCCCGCATTTTACATTTTCCTGAACGTATTCCCGCTTGCGCTCCTCCGCTCCTTCCTCTTGAAACTCCTTCCCTCGTCGCCCTCGTCCATCTCTTGCTGTCTCCTCTGCGGCCTCTCCTTCTTCGCCGGCACAAACGTGATCTCCCTCTCGCCAACCACGTCCGTTGATCTCCCGCCCTGCTCCTGGCGCCCACGCTTCTCCTTTAGGCCCGACGCCCTTGCGCCAAAGCTCTTGTCCCTGTTGTTCTTCCCCTGGCCGGGCTTCTTTGACGATGACGACACCACCATCTGCATGGGGCGGTGCCCGCTCTTCTTGTACGACGATGTCGAGATGCGGCCCGTATCCCTGGCCTCGTCCGGCGGCGCCGCGGCAGCGGCCCGGCCCTTCTTGGCACCGCCGCGCCGCGCGCTCTCGTCTTCCGACTCGGAGCCGGAACTGTCCGAGTCGCTGGAGCCGCGGTGCTCGGCCAGTGCTTCCTCCTCGACGGCGGTGAGGCCGCTCGGCTTGCTGACCTTGGTGCTGGGGTTGATGCTTGCGAACTCGCGGCTCGTTTCGTCGACTTCGAAGTCTTCGTCTTGGAACAGCCTGGAGAAACGGGAGTCGCTGAGGAGGCGCTTGCCCACGGGCTTGTTGTCCTCCTCCCCTTCTTCCTCGCCATCGGCAGCCGTCGTCGCCTTTTGCGCCTGCTCCTGTTGCTGCTGCTGGACAACGTCGTCGTCGCCGCCTTGCGCCAGCACGCGACGCGCCTTGCGCCGCTCGTTCTTCTCCTCGCGCTCGAGCATCTTCTCGGCAAGGCGCCGGTTGACTTTGACCTGGACCTTTTTGTTGCCGCGAATGCGTGACTCGCGCTCCTTTTCGATGCGCGCCTGGATGCTCTTGGCGCGCTGTTCGTGCCACAGCTCGGGCTGGCTGATGAGACGCGCCTCTTCGTATAACTTCTGCGCGACGAAGTAACCGTGCATGTACGGGCGCAGCAGCGACGTCGTTCCGACCAGGTGAGACATATTGAGCTGGTCCAGCTCCTTGGCCGTCAAGAACTTGTAGTTGTCGTACACGTCACCGGCCTTGTGCGATGGACCGAAAGCATTGGGATCGTCGGGGTCTTCGGCCATTTCCTCTACCACGTTGTCCAGGAAGGCACACCACTTGGGCGCGGGGCCCAGCTGTGGGATGAAGAAGGAATGTTGCTGTTTACCCTCGTTCGCCGTCAACAACATACCACTGTCCTTACACCACTCGACATGGTGCAGGTCCACGGCCGGTTCAACGTGTGTCCAAGGCTTGCCATCCCGCGGGTCCCAAATCTTGATGATGCGTTTGTCGGAAGTGAGGATTTTAGGTTCAGAAGTTTGCTGGCGTGTGGTGGTCGTCGGCGAGAGGAAGATTATATCTTGAATGGGCAGACCGAAGCCTTGGTCTTTCTTGAGGAGCGGAACGGGAGAACGGAGATCGTAAAGGTGAATCAAACCATTTGACGTGCCTGTTGCAAGATTGAGACCGCTGCGGTCAAATTGCAATGCTGTCGTTTCGACTCGGCTGTCGGAAAAGCCGACATCAGGCGGTGGTGCCAGGACACCGACTCTGCTCCGCGACCGCGGATCCCAGAATTCCACCGTGCCTAACGACGTGCCAAAAGCATTAAGATTGTGCGACTCCTCCGCAACTGCAGCGACATTAACACTGCCAGTGTTGATGCCGCCCTGCAATGCGCCACCGCCGGCAGAGGTAAAATCGTCTCCACCGACGTCGATCTCGTAACCCTTCATAAAACGCCCAAGCTCAAGGTTGAGCCGGTAAACCTCTCCCATGCCTTCAGCATTGACACCAACGGCGGGAATGAGAGCCTCGGTCGACCGCCTGTCATACTTGAGGTCGCGGCCATAGCGGGGTATCCTGGTAGAGTAGTGGAGGCCACCGGGCGTGTGGAACTCGAGGAAGCGGTCGGTCTGGAGGTGCAGGGATTTCGAGTAATCGGAGGAGAGGAGAAGGAAGGTCTGATTTATGGTGTTGGTGTGGCGGGCAAAGGACAGCGAAAGGTGCGGGAGGTAGTGGGTATGAATCTGAGGCTTGTAGGTTCCTGCGGCGTAAAAGTGAGCTAGGGCGCATGTTGATGGGCGAGGATAGGAGCGCATACCTGTACTCATAACCCAGTCTCCATCCTCGCTGGCGCGCACGCAGTGACTGGCTTCCTCGAAGCCAAAGTCCTGCAGCAGCTCGATGCGGTTGGCATACTCGGGGTCCTGTTTCAGACTGCGCTTGCGCTTGCGGATCAGCCAGTCGGGCAGGGGCCGCGACGTATCGGAGCCCGATATGGTGTAGACGGGCACATTAGAGTGGTTGGTGACCTTCATTGCGGCGCGCGGCGAGATGGTCAAGCAGCGAGAGGAAAAAGTTCACGGCGGCCGGGGATACGCGTTTAGCGCCGCCGAGTTTGAATCGTGCACTGCTTGGTGCCGAGTCTCCCCTGAGTCATTCGAAACAATCAGATATCGTATCACATGACTAGGACTTCTTAAAGGGTCCCGCTAAGAGTGACAGATCATGTAATACTAAAGCTCATAAACGTCCCAAGTTAAATGTACAGTGGCGTGTTGTGATATGTCGTGCGACGGCCGGACTGACATGCGTGCGTGCATGCCGTTTGCTTGCCCGCATGCGTGCAGAGAGAGGTACGGATCCGTAGGTATCAAGAAGAAGGTTTGGTGCGACTATGGAATCCAGAGAATCAGTGCTCCAACCTCCCATACGTGCGTTGTCAAACAATAGTTTGCTTGCCCACCCGGCACCCGCCCAACCTCCTACGGGAAGTGGTGCGAGAACGGCTTTAAAATGAGGCGCAGCAGCTGGCGGCTGTGCTGATCGCTGTCCGGTCAGTGATTGTGACGGCGGCATGTTAGCGCGCGAGAAAAAAAGAAAAGCAATTGCTGAGCGTAATGTGCTCTGGGTCTCTGGAACATGTAGCGTGTCCAGCACGGCCGTTGTTGCGTGAGCAAGAGTGGCTGGCGGTACAGAGTCAGCGAGATGCAGCATTCGAAACGCAACACGGTATCATCGGCAAGGACGTCCCGCGCAAGTCGTGGCCAAGGGACTAGGAAGGCTGCTTGCTCTTGGAAGGACGCGTACGACGATGTAGTTGGCAAGGCGATGATGTCAAGTGAAAGCAAGGAGCCGGTCCCAATCTCCTGGTGAGTTCACAAGCCAGATCAACCAGAAGCAGGGGTGTGATAGGTATTTGGCATGAGGCGCTGCCGTGCTGGGTCTGGTGATGGCAGCCCGCAAATCAGGGTCGGCGATCAATGGAGCGCCACGAGTCAGCTAGTCGGTTTAGAGGAGGTGGTTGAGCTCGAGGTCGAGGTTGAGATGGCTTGTCTTCGTGGATGGTCTCACGCCGTGCCAGCAATCAATTCGTTGGAGGGGAGGGAGCACAGCGTCCAGGAGGTCCAGGAGGTCCAGGAGTCTTCCTTCCTGCTCTAGATCGCTGCAGGCGTGTGGCTGGCTGCACCGCGCCCCAGCCACCAGCGAGGCGTGGCTTTGCTGTCCAGCTGTCTGGCATGCCGCCCTGTTTTACTTGAGTCGGGAACCAGACAGGGATCCATGTCGTCAGCGTCTGATCGATCTTCTGCGCAAACAAGACCATTGGACGAATCCGGGGAGCGTGTTTCCCGTCGCGTCGCCGCAATTCTGCTTTTGCGTCAGTGGAGATTAGCGACATTGCGATCAAGCTACGCGCGCTTCTAGCCCCGCGACACACATTAATCCTCCGTCCCTCCTCCATTTCTGCCAATCCTACAACCTGCTTCTCCTGCATACCTACTTTTCAGAAGGCTCGGCAGGCTCGCAGCAGCTGCCAACCTAACCCAACGCCATCATGGCCCGCAAGTGCAACTTACAGGTATGTTTGTTTATTTACACGTCCCTCAAGGCCCTATCGATCCTTACCGTATCCCTGCGCAACTCACCCCTCACACTGAGCGCACACGTCCTCGAGCCCAATACTCGCAAACTTTACAGGAGGATACTCATCGCTACTGAATAGGGCCAAGACGACAATGTCGGTTCGTCGCAAGAGGACCAGTCGCCTTCCGCCTCGCAGCTTCTCTCCACTCTTGCGCCAGTTGCCGTTTACGCTGCGATATGGTTCGCGCTCTTCATCATCCTGCGGCGCATGTTCAAGCGCAAATATCAGGCCCGCTCGATCGTCGGTACCCTTCGTGAGCAAGAACGCACACCGGAATTACCCAATGGCCTCTTCAACTGGATCGCGCCTTTCTTCAAGGTCCCTGATACCCATGTTCTGACGCACCACTCTCTGGACGGCTTTCTCTTCCTCCGTCTGCTCAAGATGGGCATTATCTCGTGCTTTGTAGGATGTCTCATCTGCATGCCGGTCCTGTTTCCTATCAACATCACCGGTGGCGGCACAGAGACTCAGTTGAATATCTTGAACTTGGCCAATGTGCAGAATACCTACTACCGTTACTATGCGCATACGGCATGCGCATATATATTTTTCGGTACGGTTTGTGATCTCTCTGTTATCCTGCGTACGCTAATGTGTCAGGCTTCATCATGTTCATGATCACCCGTGAGAGCATTTTCTATATCAACCTGCGCCAGGCCTTCCTCATGTCCCCAATCTACGCGAACCGCCTGTCTTCGCGTACTGTTCTTTTCACGGCAGTTCCTGAGTACTACCAGAATGAGGCCAGGCTCCGCGACCTCCTTGGCGAGCACGTTAAGCGGGTTTGGCTTCCCACGGACACCTCCGACCTTGAGGACAAGGTCGAAGAGAGAGATAAGATTGCTAAGAAGCTTGAGGGCGCTGAGACGAAACTGGTTAAGCTGGTCAACAAGGCGAGACAGGCAGCGAGCAAGTCTGGCAGTACTAATCACGAGGAGGAGCTTCAAGATCTTAACCGCGAGCAGGAATCGGGCTCAGTGGCAGCTCGTTGGATACCTGCCAAGAAGAGGCCCACTCACCGTCTCAAGCCTCTGATTGGCAAGAAAGTGGACACCATCGACTGGTCCCGTGCTGAGCTCGCCAGATTGATCCCAGAGATTGAGAAGGAGCAGGAGAAACATCGCCAGGCGGACGCCAAGAAGATCAGCTCCGTCTTCGTAGAGTTCGACACCTTGTCTGAGGCCCAGGCCGCTTTCCAGAGCCTAACTTACCACCAAGCATTGCATATGGCACCTCGCTACACTGGCTTCACACCATCAGAGATCATCTGGAGCAACCTGCGCATCAGATGGTGGGAGCGCGTCATTCGTGTCGTTGCTACTACGGCTTTCGTTGTTGCCCTCGTCATCTTTTGGTCCATTCCAGTGGCATTTGTTGGTGCCATTTCCAACGTCGACAACCTCATCTGCATCGTTCCTGCTTTCAGCTTCATCGATGACATTCCAAGTGTCGTTCGTGGTGTCGTCACGGGTCTGCTCCCTGTGATCCTCCTGGCTGTCCTTATGTCATTACTTCCCATCATACTTCGCAGTAAGTTTTACTTATTTTCCGATTTGAGATGGCCGCTTACTGAATTTTCATAGTGATGGCTCGCCTCAGCGGTGACCCTACGTTGTCGGCGGTTGAGTTGACTGTGCAAAACTACTACTTTGCTTTCCAAGTCGTCCAGGTCTTCTTGGTGGCTACTTTGGGTTCTGCGGCAGCCGCTGCCGTAGGTGACATTATTAATAACCCCACCTCCATCACCAGCAAGCTTGCGAGCTCGATCCCAACGGCTTCAGGCTTCTACCTCTCCTACTTCGTCCTGCAAGGACTGGGTGTTGTGTCGGGTATGCTGCTTAATCTGTCTGGCCTAGTCATTACTATGGTTATGGGCAAGGTCCTTGACACAACCCCCCGGAAGATGTATGAGCGGTGGACCAAATTCACTGGTCTTGGATGGGGCACAATTTACCCCATCTATACTAACTTGTTCGTGATCGGTAAGTTCAACTAGGCAAATGTTGTATGCCTCCCGCTAACTGGATTTGAAGCTATTTGCTATGCTTGCATCGCTCCTCTGGTCCTTATCTTTGCTGGTATCGGCCTGTGGCTCTTCTACTTTGCCTACAGGTATAACCTCCTCTACGTTTATAACGTCGATGTCGACACCAAGGGTCTATGCTACCCTCGCGCCCTCCAACACCTCTTTGTCGGCCTCTACATTGCCGAGGTCTGCCTTATTGGCCTCTTCGCCATCCAGCTCAGCGGCGAGGGCGCCCTTGGTCCGTTTATTCTGATGATAATTCTCCTCATCTTCACCTTCCTCTTCCATGTTTCTCTCAACACGGCTCTTGACCCTCTACTCAAGTATCTCCCCAAGTCGCTTCAAGACGAGGAGCGCCGCCTACTGGAGGCCGAGCATGATCATGCGGACGGCTCTGCGCCGGCATTGGAAAAGGGCTTGCCGGACGGTCCGGTGGGTGATGCGCCGCACACGAAACCCGGCATGATCAAGAAATTCTTGCGCCCGGATGTTTACACGGACTATCCGACCATGCGCCGCATGGTACCGCGCAACTTTGCCGACCCCGACCACTTGTACGAGCCGGAAATTGAGCGTGACGCCTTCTTCCACCCGAGCATCAAGTCGGAGCCGCCAATGCTATGGATTCCGCGCGACAGTGCCGGCGCCAGCAGACAGGAGGTCCACGACACGGGCAAGGTCATTGCCATTACGGACGTGGGAGCGCATCTGGATGAAAAGAACAAGATCATCTGGAACCCCGATGACCCGGTGCCGATCGCGGAGACCAAGATCTATTACTAAAGTGCTTCATAAGCACGAATGGAATGCCGCAGAGATGGAGCAAAGGCGAATAACTGCCCCAAAGCAGAGATACCCCCACGTCTTTCGCGTTCAACTCGACGTCAAGAGCATTGAATGCCTTGATTAACTTTGTTTTTGACTTTGAGCATATGTTTTTTCTCGAATCAGCGAAGCGATCGAAGCTTTACGGTACTTCAAAGTTAATGCAGCAAACGGCCGAAGACGGGCGAAAAGAAGGAAAATGGGGAAAGACCCGCGTAATGATGAAAGGCGGAGGATTGTTATTGTTGAAGTAGTCTTTTCTTTTAGTCTTTTTCATTGGTCCTGATACCCTTCTATACATATTAGATGCTTTGACAGCGGAAGAGGAGGAAAAATAAAGTCCTTTCCAAGTCCATCAACAATACCTTCGCATCACGCAGCCAGCCAGCCAGTACCTACCTACCTACCTAGTCCTCTTCTCTTCCTAGGAATTACCTACCTAGTTCTTAGCCGCAAGCCGCAGTCCCACGTGCAAAGGAAGGAAGGATCAAGCAAGCCATGGTTCGGGGGCGCGCGCCAAGCGCGTGCTCTAACGCCTCAGGTTCTCTCACCCTAAAAACAAAAACAAAAAGTAGGCAGGCAGGTGCCCACTTGCCATCGCTCCGAGCCCTTCCCCCGCGCAAACCAGGCACGCCAGGCCCCGCCCCGCCCCGCAAGACGCACGCACCGCACCGCACCGCACGTGCGCGCGCGCCCACAGCCCACAACCCACCCCACACAGCGCAACCCAACCCAACGCATCCCCACCGCATCCCCGCACACCCACCCACTCCAGAGCAGCAAGCAGCAGTCCAGGCACAGGCACGCACTCACCGCACGCAGCACACCGCCGCGCCGTCACCAATACGTAGGGACGTCGGTCCGTCATTCGTTGGCGCCGGGGCCAGCCAGCCACCGCGGCGCAGCCCAAATATACCCTCTTGCTGCTCCTATTGTGCGCTACGCGGGGTGGGGTGGAGCCTGGCGGTTCCACACGGCGCGCGCGCGTGTGCATGTGCGAGCGCGCCTGACGTGCGTGTGTGCGTTTGTGGTAGTTAGTGGGCGCGCCAGCGCGCAGCGGCAGTGCGGTGCAGTGCGACGCAGCCTGACAGTGCGGCTTTCAGAACAACAACAAAAAAAAGTACGATGGCAAGCTAGTAGCTACTGGAGCAAAGCAGTTTAGCTTCCCGTCTCCCGGACCCAGTGCCCCGCTCCCGGACGACGGGAGCAAGGGGGGGCGGGCGCCCAGGCACGAGCGAGCGAATGGGGCTAAAGCGGCGGGGTGCGCGTGCGAGTACAGTACGTATGTATTGGTTGGTTGGTTTGGTTGGTGGTTGCGACTAGCTGCCTGGCTTTTTTTTCATCTCCCCAAAAATCTGGGGCGCGCTGGTGCGCCGCCGGTGTGCTTTGCGGTCTGGAGTGCTTTAGCGCGGTGCGGGGAAGGGGGAGGGAAGGAGGGAGCCCGTTTGTTGGTGGTCGGGTCGGCGGCGGCGGCGGCGGCGGCGGCGGCGGTGCGTCGTGGTCGTACGATGAGCAGCGGTGGTCGGCAGGGCAGGTCGGGGCGGGCATGCGGCGGTCGGGCGGTCGGTCGGTCGGGTCGCCAAAAAGAAAAAAGTGCGGCGGTGGGTTTGACGGCGCGGGACCCTGGAGCTGAGTGGTTGGTTGGGTTGGCGATATGGCGCTGGGCGCTAGGTTAGGTAGTAAGGTTAGGTACTCGTAGGGGTTAGTGGGGGCGGGGGAACGGCGGGGACAGAGGGGTTGCTGCTGTCCATCTGTCGCAGGTTGCGCGTGTGGGGACGATCGCTACGTGTGGGCAATTGGGCAGTGACGGAGATGCTGGGTCTGGTGGGGGCAACGGGGAAGGGAATTGGCATTGTTGGGGATGGGGAAATGGAGATGAGATGGGCCGGTGAGGTGGGGGAGCTGCCTGGCTCTCTCTCTCTCTCTCTCTCTCTCTCTCTCTTTCTTTCTTTCTTTCTTTCTTTCTTTCACACATCTCTCCCTCCGCGCTGCTGCTGCTGCCTCTCAACAAGCAGGTTTCAACAAACTCTGCGCCCGCTCGCTCGCTCGCTGGCTACAGGCGACGCGCAATCGATCATCGCTGCACTTCCGGCGAGCCGAGTCGCGCGGGGCGGAGTGTGGCGTGGCGGGGTAGCTCGCAGCTCGCAGCTCGCCTCGCAGTCTCGCACGCAAGCCTGCAGCAAGAAAAGCCTGCAACGAGGGGGTGAGAAAGGTCCGGGGCAAAGGATTCATCATCCCCAGACGAGTCAGCGGCGGCGCCGCGAGTGGAAGGGATCCGAGGGGTGCGCGCGCGCGTGGAGCCGGGGCTTGGAGATGCCGGGTGGGGGGGAGGGACTGGGGAAGAAGCATTGAGGCGGAGAGAGAGAGAGATTAGATAGATAGGTAAATTGATGAACGAGGCTGAGGCCAAGGGGAGGACAGACTAGGTAGAGATGGAATGAAATGGTGGTGTTGTTGAAGTTGGTGTTCCGTTGTCGCGCCGGAAGCACCCGCGCGGGTGGTGCGACATGGTGTTTTTCTTCTTCTTCATCACGGCTCTCTCGCGCGCAACAGCGGACGGCAAGACTTTTATGTGGGCTATTCAGCAGGCGGCCCACAGTTATGGCGAGGGCGACATTCGACTGCTGGTGTGGCAATTGTGGGCTGGTCACGCCGTAGGGCGACCCCTGGAGCCTGACATCACCTGAGGTCGCGATGCGCGATTACAAGCGTCGCTCCTTCGGCGCTTTCTTCACGCCAATGTCACCACGACGCTTTCGGCTCGCCGCGAAACCGCGCATGCCTGAACCCACTGCTGCGCGGAGCTTCGCCAGACGTGGTCTGACACCGCCCGTCCGGCATGCCCGTGCTGACGGGCTCGATTGATCGACTGCCTTGCCGTAAAGGCGGGGGTCGCCGCCTTAGTGCTACCCTCTGATGTAGTTGCGTTCATTCGCTTTTGTTATAAAAGATGCTGCGTCGACCTTCTTCCCTGGCTCCTCTCTTCACTGCACTCTGCAAGTCTTCCACTTCCACCACTTCCACCACTTCCACCTTCGCCCGCTCCTCCTCCCTTCGCTTTTTCCAAAGCACCACCAACAACTACTTCCACCAATCCAACAACTTCCATTCCAACTTCGCCAAAATGTCTGAGGTTCCCAAGAAGCAGATGGCTCAGGTCATCGAGCAGAAGGGCGGTCCCTGTGTCTACAAGGAGATCGACGTCCCTACTCCCGGCCCCGATGAGGTCCTGGTCAACATCAAGTACTCCGGTGTCTGCCACACTGACCTGCACGCCATGAACGGCGACTGGCCGCTCCCCGTCAAGATGCCCCTGGTCGGTGGCCACGAGGGTGCCGGTGTTGTCGTCGCTCGCGGCGAGCTCGTCGACGACATTGAGATTGGCGACCTTGCCGGTATCAAGGTGAGCTTTCCCGCAGCATCCCGCTCTCCCTGCTTACGCCGCCTTACTAACATGCTTCCAGTGGTTGAACGGCTCCTGCCTGTCTTGCGACTTCTGCATGCAGTCCGACGAGTCTCTGTGCCCCAAGGCTCTGCTGTCCGGTTACACCGTTGACGGCACCTTCCAGCAGTACGCCATTGGCAAGGCTGCTCACGTTGCCAGGATCCCCAAGGGCACCGACCTTGCTGCCATTGCTCCCGTCCTGTGTGCCGGTATCACCGTCTACAAGGGCATCAAGGAGGCTGGCGTTCGCCCTGGCCAGACCATTGCCATTGTCGGTGCCGGTGGTGGACTGGGCTCCCTCGCCCTCCAGTACTGCAAGGCCATGGGCATCCACGCCATTGGTGTTGACGGTGGTGAGGAGAAGGAGAAGCTTTGCATGAGCATGGGCGCCACCGCCTTCGTCGACTTCACCAAGAGCAAGAACATCGTCAAGGACGTCCAGGCCAAGACCAACGAGGGTCTCGGCCCCCACGCCGTCATCCTGCTCGCCGTCAGCGAGAAGCCCTTCCAGCAGGCCGCCGAAGTAAGCTCCGCCGCCACTTCTATTCCTCCCATTGCAGAGACGCTAACAGAGACTCTTAGTACGTCCGTCCCCGCGGTACCGTCGTCTGCATTGGTATGCCCGCTGGTGCCTACCTGAAGGCTCCCGTCTTCGACACCGTCGTCCGCATGGTCCGCTTCCAGGGCTCGTACGTTGGTAACCGCCAGGACACCAAGGAGGCGCTCGACTTCTTCAGCCGCGGCCTGATCAAGGCCCCCTACAAGATCGTCGGCCTGACGGAGCTGAACGACGTCTACGACAAGATGAAGCAGGGCGCCATTGCCGGCCGCTACGTCGTCGACACCTCCAAATAGAGCAGTCGCATTCTAGACGCCACAAAATACCCAGGGGATGAAGAAGGCGTTTGCAGGCGGTTGAACTCTGTTATGAGGACTTTTCCTTGATTTGTTATTTTTCTAGTTTTATTTTCCTTTATGAGGTTCATGATGATCATCACTGGGCGGCGACGAGAGGTCGCCCGCTGTAAATAAATACATATACAAATACTCCTACTAGCTTCCCAAGGGGGAATTGAACAAACTACTCAACTCTTGTCCTTCTTTGCGCAGCGATTAAATTGGCTTGTAACAGCAAGCAGGTATTTCTTTCCTACATCTTTTCTGCTTCCTCTCCCAGCATACGCACACGGATCCACCAACCAACCAACCAACCAACCAATCTACATCCTTCGCCACCACCCCAATCCTCCCAGGATTGATCCCAAATCCCTCCCTCCCAAGCAGAGCAAGCATCGCGAATCGCGATCACACACCAGAGCCACACACGCAAGCATGCATGCAGAACCCCATCACACCCACTCCCACAACACCCGCCGATACCGGCACCACCGCCACGCACCACCTACCGGCACCGCAGCCGCACACCCAGCCAGCGAGCGAAGTGAGTGGCACAGTGGCACCACCACCACACGCGCCCGCAGCCCGCAGCCCGTCCGCAGACGCGGCGGCAGCAATCGGCAGGCGGCAGGCGCCGGGAGCGATGGGATGGGCGCTCAGACCCGCGAGATAGTTAGCGATAGCGATCGATCTGCGCGCATCTCCCACCCTGCCACCCACCGTGACCGTGCGTGGGCGTGGGCGTGTGCTCATCGGCCATCGCCAGACCCGGGACGGCTCGGGCGGTCGTTGCGTCGCGTCGCGTCGTTGGTGCCGTGCGGCTCTTGCTTCGCAGCGAGCGGGCGGTTTCGGTCGGGAGTCGCTCGCTCGGGTTGGTGCCCGGAGGGGGTCGGTGCGTGGGGTGCTTGGGCCCGGGGTGGTGTGAGGTGTGGTGATGGGGGCGGTGGCGTGAACTGCGTCGTAGGGAGATTGGTGGTGGTGGTGATGGTGTGTGGCGGGGCTGAGGCTGAGGCTGCGGCTGTTTTGGGTTGGAGTGGGTGCGGTGCGGTGCTGTTGGAGATGAGTTGTGGGTACAAACATGTAGGAGGAGGGATTTTTGGGGGGAGGCTTCAGGCAGCACAAGTGTTGGCACGATATGATAGCGAGCGAGGGTGTTGTGTGTGTCCTCCATTCCGTTGTATGGAGTAGATGCGGCTTTTTGCTGGCTTGGTGTTGCAGTGAGTGAGCTGAGCTGCCTGCCTGTTGTTCCCAAAGCGGATGGAAGCGAGGATGGATTGCTGCGGCTCGAGCTGCACCGGTAGATTACACACGCCCGCGTGTGGATGGGCTTGCGAGAGCGATGATGCAGTACGTGGTAGTGCTGACGAGCCGCTCGCCTCGGGCTCGGTTTGCGTTTGTGTGATGTATCAACTCTTGTTCATGTCTGTTGTCGGTTGTTATCTGTGAGGGCGAGGCGAGGTCAGGGATGCATGCCGGGTGGCGTCGCGGCACGGTAGAGTATGACATCAGGCGGCAGATGCGAGTGTTCGCAACCTCTGCAACCGGGCTGCTCTTCTCTTAAAACCTGATGAATGAATCACTCCATTGGTGGTGGAATTAACTAGTTATCGAAAGGTCTTGGTGTGGCAATTGATTAATAGTGCATGGCCCCCGATAATATTTGCCCACCCTACATGATAACATGCCTGCCAAGCTTGATGTACCTTCTACTCGTAGATAATTATATCTTTACATCTTCATAAAGACCCCTATACCCCTTGGACTTTTCTATTCCGTATACTTTTAGAATACTATAGCACTTTAATATTTTCACGCCTTCATATATTTCAATATGGTAGATTTTACTCTATAAGTATATATATATATATATATTTGAGAGAATGAACAAATTATCCCCAGCAAACAGGAGAATCTCCCCTTCGAGGCCCACCGAAGAAGCCGAGGAAAAAACCAAATGGGTAGAATAAGAAGAAGACGGGAAGAGAGAGCAGAGCCACCAGCACCTACTCGTACCATCAAAGCACACGCAAACACGAAACAACACGCGGCCCGCAAGCAGTTCTACCCGGCAGATGTTCACCCACAGCAGCAACACCACGAAGAGAAGCGCCACAGCTTCGCGATACAGTGATGGCGAGCATCAACGTCATCACGCTCAACCCGCCATCTATTGTTCGTTCTCAAGAGGGCTTGAATGGGATGAGAGCGTGTGCACTGAAGCGCCAAAACACCTAGTGTCCAAATCCCAGACCATGTATCCTAGACTTGTCATATAATTCTGAACAGTCATTTCGTTAAAGTGATTGTCGGAGTGGCCGTCGAAATTGTGGTCGGAACCGGTTTTTATATGTAGGAGTAGTTTGTCCTGCTTCCGTGCGGAGGAGCTTACCTGCAAATCAAACCTACCTACCTACAGCTCGCCGCGTATCTCCAACCGTCATGCTGACAGCTCGTGATTGTATCTCGACCTCTTTCTCCGCTTCTACTCTCTGTTACACAGCAACTCTTTGTTGCACAGCAGCTGCTCGCATTAACCCGATTAGGAGCTACACACATCTACCTATCTATACCGCAAAACACCTACCTAGGCACAGCAATGGACGCTACCAGCTCCTTACGCCGCCGCCTCCCATCAATCGCACTCGATCCTTTTCTTCCCCAGACCCAGAAACCCCCTCTTTTTTTTTTAAAAATAAAAAAAAAAAAAATAAAATAAAAAAAAGCACTTGCAAACTCAGCTTACTCACTCGCCCCTCACCTCGCACATTCCCCACCGTACCCCCCTTGCTCCTCTCCCCTCTCGCCCATGTATGCCCATGCCAGCACCGCAGCAATGCCGCACAGCCCCGCCAACACGGCATTCATATTGCCATAGCCAATCTGCTCCTTCAGCGCGCCGGCCATCAGCGGCCCCACCGCGAGCCCCAGACACCAAATCGAGGACGTGCAGCCATAGAGCTGGGCGTACGGCCCCGCCTTCCCGAAGAGCGTCGGGTTCGCGGCATGGAACTTGTCGACGACGAGGCCGGCCTCGACGAGACCGGGCGCGTTGACCGTCGCGACGCCCGCTCCGCAGAGCCCCAGCAGCGCGCACAGCAGCGCTATGGCTGGCACGCCGCCCCCGTGCGCGAAGCGCAGGCACACGAGCGCCGGCACGAGCCACGTATATCCTGCCGCCGCGACGGTGCGGGGGCCGAGGCGGTCGACGGCCCAGCCCGCCACGGGCCCAATCACCACGTCCGTGATGCCGAGGGGGAGGAAGAGGAGCCCGGCGCGCAGGCTGTTGAAGGCGAAGAGCTGCTCGGCGAGCGTGGCGATGGTGCTGTCGAAGGCGCCGAGGAGCACGGCTTGGATGAAGCCGATGAAGAAGGCGACCAGCAGGCGCGGCGACCGCATGCACGAAAGAATCGGGAAGTGCCGTGTCAGACGATTGCGCTTGCCGATCAGGACGTAGTGCGTGTCGATGGACGAGGGGTGTGCGAGCAGCGGCGTGGCTTCGTCGGCGGCGCCGTCGGTGTGGATGCCCAGGCCTGCTGGGGTGGCGTTGGAAGTACGGGGCTCTTCGTCGTACTGCGCGGCCACCTTCTTCTCAATCACCAGCAGCCGCATGACAAAGTCCAGAGCTACCAAACCGAGTCCGACGCCGAACACACCGGTGTAGCCGGTGCGCTTGTATAGGACGCCACCTACCACAGGCGCTGCGAGACCGCCTACGGTCATGAAGCTGAAGATCTGGGAGAGTTTAACCTTCTGGTCGCAAAGCTGTAATCCGGCGCATCTTACCGTGCCAATTACAGCTCCTAGGTTCTCGGGACCAACAGTCTCAACCAGCAGGGCCAGGCCAACGACCCAGACGACAGCGGCCGAAAGTCCCTGCAGGAGACGCGCAACGACCAGGCCCGAGAAGCTATCGCCAATTGCCAGCAGTATGGTAGCCAGCAAGAGAGCTATCAGACCGAGCAGGAAGGGTAGTTGGCGGCTGCCCATCTTGTCGGCGAGGAAGCCGGCGATGGGTGACGACACGACCGAGGCGCCCGCATAGGCGGCCAGCAGGTTGGAGACGCTGCTCTGGACGCTGCCCTGGGGCATGTGGAGCCTATCCTCGAGGAGAAAGGGGAGGACTGGGGGCGCTTTGGATGAGGAGCTATGCGGGGAGCAATGGCGGGGGGGCGGGGCCTTACCGGGGACTATGAGGCCATACAGGACCATGTCGGTGAACATGCCCATGCCGACAGTGGAGATGATGAAGCGGTCGTGGGAACGCCATGCCAGGCCCCATGGAGGGCGCTGCCGTTTGGAGCGATGCGGCTCGAATTCGGCGTCGGACATTGTTGGAGAGACGAAGTCGATGGGACATCTGCACGGAGCACCTTGGATGCCCATGTTTCCTCGGTTCGGTTCGCTAAGATCAAGTCAAAGTGGGGAGGAGCATAACGGGAAGGGAAGAGAAGGGAGAATAATTTAGAGGGGGGGAGAGAGAAACCGAAATAAGTAATTCAGGCCTTCCGCCGCCGTTGCATGTTTGCAGCCGGGAGGAATTATGCTTTGCCCGAAACGGCAATCCGGCGCTCCAAGGCCGCCGCCGTGGTTCGCCCACCCATTCCTGCGCATTGCTTATTATATCTGCCCTGCAACTCGCCATCCATGACCGTCGTCATCTCCCGCAACAAGTACGAGCATCTCACACTACTGGCAGTGTTCAGGCATTGGCGCTACATTTCGTCCTTTGGCGGCCCGTGGCTGCACCTGCCGCCGGACCTCGTCGAGTCGCTGGCCCACACCTACCCCGTCGACCCCGCCCTTCCCGCCGAAGGAGCCCTGCTGAGGACGCGCGCCTTGACGAAGCTGTTCAAGCACGACTGCAGTGTCTCTTCCACCTCACGCTCGCGTGTGGCCACGTTCATGCTGCGCTAGGTGGCCTGAAGGAATTTGACGCGGTGCGACAGGCGCAGGCGGGGGCACTCTGCCACGAGACGGAACCGCAAGCAGGTAAAGACGTACGCAAAGCGCGCCGTGCGGGACTATCTTGCCTTTCTTTCTCTCCCACGGGCTCACCGCCAGCCGTCACTGAGCAGTCTCTCCTGAGCATCAACGACGCTAAATCCGACACGAAGACAACAGCCTGCAGTCAGACACTGAAGCCGCATTGCTCGCCCACCGCCCCCAGCGGCCACCAATCTGACACACTGGCCCCGCAGCATCGGCAGCAGCAGCAGCAGCAGCAGCAGCAGCAGCACATGCAGCCACCCTCAGCCAACCAACCCCCACCACCCATCCACCAACTATCCAGCCTCTTCTATGCTAGGTGAGAGAGAGAGAGAGAGAGAGATGTGCATTACAAATAGGTACACCTGGAAGATGTTTCGCGTTGCCGTTGTTTATTGTTTACTGTGTACCTGTTTATTGTTTTTGCTTACCTATTCTTTATTGTTGTTCATTGACGGTTCCTGAAATCCATTCAAAGTCACTTGCACATCACTTTCACACCGCGCATGCCCACGATACTGAAATCAAGATCCTGAATATGAACTGAACCAGCAGCACCTACTAGGTATACCACGTAGTGAAAAGAGTGACCAACCGACTAAATCCCAATAACTTTTGTGCTGAATGGCAGTAATATCTGCCGACCGTCGAAGCTGCAAACTCAAACAGAAGTAAACCAAACCAACTCGCCCTGAACATGTGTCGAAAATCACCGCTAGCAATACTCCGTTGCGCAGTACGTCGATACGGCGGTCGGCAAAGGTCGCGCCTGCGTGCAGCGCGCGCGCTTCACTGCTCGTCGCCCTCGTCCTCACTGTCGGCGTTGAACCGGGGCAAGGTGTCGCGATCCTCAGCGATGATGAACGGATGGCCCTCGTCATCCTCATGAACCGGCCCAAACAGCCTCATCATGTCCTGGACCGTGAGTCTCTTCTGCGTCCGGTTGTCCGACTCGAGCACGCGGTCAATCTCGCGCTGCTTGCGGTCCTGCATGTCGATCATGTCAGCGTCGACGGTTTGCTCGACGACCAAGCGCGTCATCGACGTCTCCTGGTCCTGGCCGATGCGGAACACGCGGCAGAAGGCCTGCATCTCCGCGCTCAAGTTCCACCACGGGTCGATGCTGATGACGCGCGAGGCCATTGTCAGGTTGAGGCCTAGGCCACCGCACTTCAGCGACGCGATCATGATGCGGATCTCGGGCTTCTTGAACGTCTCAATGGCTTTGTCGCGCGCGCTGTGGCTCATCTGCCCGTGATAGGGGACGTACAACCAGTTCTCGCCGTCGCAAACCTTTTCAATGATGCGGATCATCGAGAGAAACTGCGAGTAGATGATGATCTTCACGTCCGGGTTCTCGCCGATCCAGTTCAGTATCTGCGCCTTCATCGCCATGGTTTTCGCCGATGGGAGCACCGGACCGGGCAGGTTGAGCCAGTTCTTGACCAGCTGTGCCTCGTCCTTCTTCTTCCTCCACCGATTTACGGGGGGAAATTCCTCGTCTTCGTATTCAGCAGACGACATGATGCTGTCAAGCGTGAAGTCATCACACGGTGCCGTGCCGCTGTATTCGATTGAACACTCCAAGCAACGCGCTTTGTTGCGTCCACGAGAAGCTGCCTGGTGTTGAAGCGTCTCCAAGCATTCCATGCAGTAAATGTGGTAGCAAGAAGTCACGAACGCCTTTGCGGGCACCTGACGGCAGCTGGCACAGAGTGAACGAGCTTTAAGATCTTCAAGCTTTTGACCCTCGCGCAACGTCTCAAGGTACTTGCCAAAATTGTAAGTAAGGCCGTGTTGACGCCCAACCTCTTTGTCCGCATCAATCAAGGCCAACTGATCTTGTTGCGCTTGCTGTTGAGGCGTATCGGGCGGCATCTGTTGCTGGCCCTGAGCTGGTTGGGAAGCGGAAGCCTTGAGGAGCTTCCGAAGTTGTAGCATTTGCGCCGATCGTTCGTCTTCAAAATTCGCCTCGTCCTCAGCCAACTGGCGGATCAGCTCATGATCGGACTTGTCAAGGATGTCTTGCATAGTCGATTCGACTAACAGGATATGTCCAGTCAGCTGTCTAAGGCGGAGAAGCATCGTGAGAACGTGAGAGTAATTTTCTTTGATCAAGCCCTTGCGCGCAATTGCATTAATTCTCTTGATCATACGCTGCTTGACGATGTTGTAGACCGCGCGTTCGAGAGGGTTGAACTGGACCCAGAATATGCGCTGGTCACCCTTTGGAAGCTTCAAAATAGGCGCACCGAATAAAATATCCCGATGAGTCCGTCTGAGCATGAACTTGTTGAGCATCAACATCAGGCGCTGGAATTTCTCAGGTTCATCGCCATAGTAGTTTTGCTTGAACAGTTTAAAACTGCCTGTGTAGGGACAGCGGAGAAATTTGAAATAGGGGTACAGCTCGGTGCAGCTGTTCATGATAGGCGTGCCACTGAGTGCCCATCTCTTATCTGCTGTAAGGGCGCGGCAGGCAAGAGAAGTACGTGACTGATAGTTCTTGATGCAGGCGGCTTCGTCCAAAATGCATCTGTTCCAATGAACGCGATGTAGAGGACCCTTGAACTCCTCGAAATGCTTAGACCACCATTCCTGTTTCTCCTCGCTGGTTTGTAACTCAACAGGCGTCTCTGTCTTCGGGTAAGAATACATTACCTCGTGGTAAGTTGTGATGACGATGTCGAACGTTTGTAGTTGCGTTTCAGCCGCCTCACCCTCCAGCTTATACTCCCCAACCTGTCTGTGAATGGTAACCTTACGTTTGATGTGCTTGAAGCATTCGTTGTACCATTGACCGACGAGAGAAGACGGTACAACGATAAGGGTGCCTCGGGGGCCCTCGGTTACCTTGTCGTTGGTAAAAACTGCTAAAGACATGACGGTTTTGCCAAAGCCCATGGTGTCTGCACATATGCCTCCCCGTGGTTCATCTCCACCAGTCTCCCTGGCACGCATAAATCCTGCACCAATAACTTGATAGCTGGTGAGGGAGCTCTTGAAACCCTTAAGCGACCATCCGCTTGCTCCATTGGCCCTGACTGCTCCCTTCCCAGTGAACTGTTTGGTAGCAGCAAGGAGATTATCCCGGTCCAATTGCGCAGATTTTTTGAACTCTGCCGGAACTGACGCGATGAGCTTCTTTAGAGCTTGTGCTTTGACTGTGTCGTCAAATCCCGGTTGATCAGGCGCGTCCTTGTTTAGGGCAGCATCCTTCCAAACGTTCATTGTAAGGAGAGAACCGATATCCGTATGGTTGTTCTTGCGAGGGACATCTTTCTTTTTTTTATTTCCCTTGCCCTTAGGCCTGCCTCTCTTGGCAGCAGGCTTAGCAGCGCGTTGTTTGCCAGCCTGAGTTCCTCTCTGCTTTTTGCGGGGTTGATTCTCCCCATCCATGGCGTGAACCATTGCCTCCATCTCGCTCATAGAATTGTCTCCGGAAGTCTTCTGAATTTTTCTTCTGGTTGTCTTCCTTGAGTTTGTCGAAGGGCCTTCTCCAGCATTGTCCTCCTCATCATCATCCTCCTGACGGCGTCTCTTACGAGTCTTTCGCTTGCCTTGGTCGGGCACAAACAAGCTGCTGGGGTCCCCGTCTTCTGAGTCGGACCCATCATCCCCGGGCGCATCCCACTTTGCATCTTCTTCTAGCTTCCTCAAGCGTGCGGCCTCAATGACTTCAAGACGCATGAAGTTTATCTCATCATCGAAACTGTGCTGCTTGGCCGCTACTTTTGCTTCGTACTCGCGCTTTGCCTGGGCGAATTCCTCCGCGGCAATTCTGTTCTCATCATCATCATCCTCCATGACAACTTCAGGAATCGGCTGCGATGTGACAGGAGGGGAAGGTATGTTGCCTGTCGCGCCAGGCCGGAACTTCTGCCGCAGTAGCTGGCGCGCCGCCAATAGGTTACCTCTCTGTCCATCTTGTTGCAAATTGTCTGGTACTTGGTTGACTGCACTTTGATTACCAGAAGGGAGCTGGCCGGGAGTTTGAAGAATAGACTCTCCGAAGTTGTTAGCATTGTCGCTTGGACTGGGCAAACTTTCCGTAGAATGAACGACAGTATCCGAGCCGGCGGAATGGGCTTCAATAGCGTCGGGTTGGACAATATCATCTGGTACGGGCTGGGTGTGGTTGGTATTTTCCAGATCTTCTAGAGAAGGCGCGTCTCTAGTGCTGGTGAGGTTGGGCTGGACATCATCATCGGGTATAGGGCAGGCATCGTTGATATTTTCTAAAGAGGCTAGAGGCGGCGCATCGTTTGTGCTGGTGAGGTGGGGTGGATCGACATCGTCTTCAATAACAATAGCGTTCCCTGGCTTCCCGCCAGGGACATCCTCGGGAATGGAACTGAGTTCCTGCACGTCTGGCTCATCCTTCACTTGTTGTGCTGACGAAGAACCTGGACCGGCATCGTCATCGTCTGAGTCTATGTCGATTGGCTGGCTGAAGCTGTTTCCAGCTTCGTCCGCGGCTCGCGGATTGGTAAGAGCTCTGGTCGTGTTTTCATCACCATCTCCTTCAGACTTAATGTGAGGAACGGGAGACGGTTCGGCCATAGTTGAAGGCTTGAAAGGGTTTGCGAACGATGAGGCCAGTCGTGGTGAGTGACGGCGCGGTGGGTGAAGGGCAGAAGGATGATGTGCGAGCGTTGGTGGTAATGACTACGATGAAGAAGAGAGCCAAGAAGGGCGGAGATGACGAGGGTAGAATGTAGTAGAGGAGTAGGTATTAGCTAGGCAAGGTGGGGATTGACTGATGAAGGCATGGAGGAGAGGAAGATGAGTTAGAAGGTTGGAAGAGAGGGAGAAGTTTATAAGCGGGTGGAGCAAAGGTTGGGCGTAGTATCTAAAGGAAAAGTGAGAGAAAAAGGTAGCAAGAAGGATGAGGCAAACGCCATGGGAGAAGGCAAGAAGGAAAGAAGGAAGGAAGGGAGGAGGGAGGAAGGGAGGGGAGGAAGGTCCTGCTGTTGAAGCTGGCCGAGGCGGCAAGAGAGGAAGGTGTCAGGAAGAATGGGCCAAATGCCAAGGGAGGGAAGGCCCTACGGTTCGAGCTGACCGAAGCGGCGAAAGAGACTAGAGAGTGAGATTAGATCAACTGTGTAGGAGAACAGGATGATCCCCAACATAGGTATAAACATCTCTCCAGGAGACCATTAACCTTCGGCATGGGATCGGATGTCATTACCCACCCTCATGTTGGGATCTAATTCACAACCGTGACGCTCCTTTTGCTCTATTGTGAGACGAAACCCCTCCCGAGCATCGCTGGAGATACTCCTCGTCCAGACGCATGGGTTCGTGTTCATAATACCCCGGCAAGAGTACGAGTTTGGTAATCCGAGCATAAGCACAAGTATGATTCCGTGGAAGCTGTAAGATAATCCACTACGAACATGGCGAATCCCTTATCATAAGCATGAACAGAGTTCAACAAATAGAGGGTTGTGTGGATTCGTGAGCGACAAATGGCTCCAATGAGCGTAGATACAAGTCATCTCCTAAGTAAAAAGAAAATATACTGTTAGTAAGGGAACAGGGTCATCTTCTTATACACAGCCAGACTTACAGATTATACCTCCAGCCACAAATGAAGGTAATACCACCTGATCCTATCCATACGTAGAGGCCGTTAATTATCGGAAAGATGAGTTTTGTTGGTCGCCATTTAGCTTCTCCGGCTGCTTTGAAAAACATTTCTGTTAATGAAGATATGAATAATTATACTTGTGAGATAAAAGGTCTTGAAGCCAAGGTGAAACCAAGGTGGTGAACAAAGAGAAACAAAAATGAATCCCCCCAAGAGAAAGTAACAAAGCATTCAATGGAGTATTAAGAAATTGCGTTATAGTAAAATAGAGGACAGAGAAATGTCCTCATGAAGTCTTTATATACATTAGGGAAAGAAGGCCATTTTGACAATAGAATACAGAACAACAAACTTGAAGTGAACTTCTTCAAGATCAAGCAGTCCAGCAGATCTAAAGACTTCGGTATCATTGCAATGCTAAAAGTCAAAAGGAGAACTCGAATGGCCCGAGTCCTTCTATCATCGTTAGAAAAGAGATAAACGCCAAATCTCCGCATCGCCAAAAGTAGGCCGCCATCTTAGTCGTGGAGGATGCAGAAGGGGTTGCCATATCCGCCTGATGTTTAATCAGGATAAACAAAGGCAGCAACGGCAATGATCGTGTAGGTCGTCATGAGGAGCATGCCCTCCAGCCAATGTGACTTGCCGTCTCCGATCAGGTAGTTGACCAACAAGACAGCCACAAACAGGACTGCAATTTGGAACCCATCAAAAGACAGGTTCATTGCGTCTTGGCCAATCTGTTTCTGGATTAGTATACGAATTGAAACATGAGAACTAAGAGTAACTTACGATCCAACCGATGATCACAACCAAAGGCAAGACAAGCAGCGCAATCTGCATGCTCGAACCGACAGCAACGCCGATGGCGAGGTCCATCTTGTCTTTCATGGCAACAGTGACAGCCGTTGCATGTTCCGCCGCGTTACCGACGATCGGCAACAGAATAAGACCAAGGAAGGTTTGAGAGAGACCCTTTCCTTCACCAGCGACCTCGGAGATGTTGTCAACCATGAACTCCGAGCAGAACGCGACCAAAATAGTGGATATCGCAAGAGAAACGAGAGCACCCCAGACCGTCAGGACCGGGATCTCTTCTTCGTCTTCTTCTTCCTCCAGGTCCCCTCTGTGGACAAGGTTGGCCTGGTTAACTTGACCACCTGCAGTAGCAGCAGTGTTGGCACCAATGCGAGCAAGGCCTAGGTTGGTGGCACCTGGCTCCAGTTTTGAGGATGGCCTCTTCTCGCCCTTCTGACTAGGTTCGTTGTACATTACGGCGTGCGTCTTGAGCTGGAAGATAAGATAGCAGGCGTAGACGAAGAGCAAAATAACCGAAGTACCGCGAGACAGCGCATCGGTATCGACTAGGTCCGGAACGTCTGCCTCAACCCACATGTGGAAAACGGTGGGGATGATCAAACTAGCAACAGCCAGAGCCAGAAGACTGGCTGCGGTCTGTGCAACCGTAATGTTGAAGTGCTGCTCGAGGCGGTTGATGCCACCGAGGAAGAAGGACATGCCCATGACCAGGAGAAGGTTGGAAAGCATACTGCCAATCAGAGATGTCTTGACAATAGTGAGCTCACCCTTGACGAGAGCCTGAATACCGACAATCAATTCAACAGCGTTACTGTGGAATGTTAGCAAAACAATGCGCGTTGTACAAGATAGGCCACGCCAAAACTTACCCAAAAGAAGCGTTGAGCAAACCACCAAGCGTTTCTCCGACGTGGAGTGCAAGCTCTTCCGTAGAGTAACCCAGCATACCAGCCAATGGAATAATGGCGATGAAGTTGATGACGAAGACTGCGACACCGTTGATGTGGGCATAATTGACCGCGAAACCGGCAGGGACCATGACGAGGAGTAAGTTAACCCACGACCCGAACACCACATGCTTGAATTGGCTCCAAGGAGTAATCGGAGGCCGGTTCTTCGATTTGGTTGACTTCTTTGACCTGGTGCTGGCCTTGCGTTCCAAACTCGGTTGCTCGACGTTGGTGGTGTCGTTTTTGCCGTCAAGGCCGGTGTTTACTTTTCTCCTCCTTCCACCAACCAAGGTAGGATCGGTGTCGACAGAAGGTTCCTTGACCGGCGGCTGGTTCGTCTGGTTATTCAACGGAGAATAGGAATCGGAAGCGGATTGCGTCGGCATGGTGGCGGGGTGAATAGGCTGTTCGCTGGGCTTCATCCTGTCCATCTCGAGATCGCCATCTATGCATCCCTCCGAGTGCGCCCTGGACTCGTGCGATGGCCGCGATGCATCTTCGTAATCCCGAAGAGGAGGGTTCTCTTCATCGAACTGCTGCAAATCTCTGTTGTATGAGATTCTCCTAGACCATGGGTTCCACGAGTTCCTGTCGCCGGCCGTCCATGCCGTATGGCGCGCTCTTGACTTGATTGAATCTAGATATGGCATTGTGAGTATATTCTATTGTATTGGATAGCATGCGACCGCGCGCGGTCCACACGGCAAGAATTGTTGTAAGGTGAATGGGGTCTTACGCATGATGAAAAAGGCTGGGTCGCAAGACGAGGCTGCCGGAAGCCTGACCTCCTGGAGCAAGAGCGGAGCGTGCACGCACTGGCTCGGCGAATTGATGAATGAAGGCGTTCCTCAAGGCAACGCAACACGCAACAGCGTCGGGCTGACAGACAGATCGGAAGTAACGGTGGGGGCCGGCTGTGCGCGGCTTGATTGCGAGTTTGTTGGCTGCGGTCGGTCGGGTGAGGGACGTTGGATTGTGCCTTGCCGGTCGGTAGTCGTACTCGTACCGAAGAAACGTGCGGTAATTTGACAGAAAGAGCCTGGGAGTCTCAAGTGAGGGCCTTAGTTAATTTGGGGAGGCCAAGCCTTTGAAGAGGACGACTGCAACACAGCCAGCAAGGGGGGAGGGAGGCGGCTAAGGGTAATTGATGAAGCCTGTGCACAGCCACCTGGATAGAGCGAGAGAGCATAGGCTAGAGGCAGATCAGTGGATCGAGCGAGACGCCGGCGATGGTCTGTTTCCAGTACGGAGCGAGATGGGGACGTGTCTTTGTGCAATTTCGTAGCGTGGGCCGCGCGCGTTACATCAGACCAACGCACACCGCAAACCAAGGCTTTTGACAGTTTGGACCCTGGCCCGCATCAAAGGTCGTCAGTATGTAGTAGTCCGTAGCACGAGTGGCTTCGAAGTAGCCACGATGACTTCAGGTTCCTTGGCAGAGCCACCAGCTTCAAACTTGCTTTTGCTTGTCTTGCTTGACTTGAGCTTGTCCCGCATTGAGTTTCTACGGAAATCCTTTTCTATCCAATCACTCGCACCGTTACAGGCGATGAAACGCGAAGCTCCTTTCAGGAGCTTGGGAGTGCCCAACGGCGGGGGTCGACGGGTGATGCGCACTGTGACAAACTGTCAGGCGACAGATGGCCCCAACCATCTGGCCGCCGGCATTTTTTCAGGCGCGAAAGTTCGCAGCTTCGCGCATTCCGCCACAGGACTGGGTGGCTGGGCGGCTGGTCAAACCAACAAATTGTCCAATAGTTAACTAGTATCCACCAGAGGATTACGTCTTTTAGGCCCTCTACTCTCTACTCTAGACTCTACAGCACCCCTGTTGAGCTGGTCGCACCGCCACAACTGCGGCGTGCAAGCCACACTGGGTGTTTGCGCCTCACTGCTACTCAGTGTACACCGCTCGTATTGCGGGTAGCGCGCCACCCCGCTGATCGGAGAATTCTTTGCCTACTTCTCGAAGGTTTGTAGAACTTTGAAACGGCTAGGCCCGCTTTGCGATATGCGCTGTGCTTGACGACGACGACGACTCGGTAGACTCGTCTGATTATTGTGGCACTAGCTCTCACCGCTGACTTGGCACTTGGCTAACAGCTCTCCAATCTAAAACTTTGCGTCGGAGTGGTGGAGCCGATCTCTGACGACAGGTTGCCATCAATTGTGTGAGCAGGCTGAGATGATGTGCGTACAAGTGTTTCGTGTCAATGGTTGCTGGGCCTGGCTTTTGCGTGTGTGGCTTGCCTATCTTATCTTATCAGGAGGGGCTGTCGGATGTCGGTTTCGGGGGCCGCGCGGGGCAGGCACGGGAATCGGGATCTAGCGTGCCCCGGAACATCGTATTCCCTAGCGTTGCGGGGCCTTGGCGATTTGTCCGCATCGCAGATGCGCGGGTGAGATTCGTATGCGCGAACTGCTATCCAACAGTCCAGCGCAAGGTGCGCGCAAGTCTCCACCCTACTCTTCTCGCACCCTACTGGAGCCGGTGTCATCGCATCTCCAATCATGGACGACCTCAGCTCCCTCGAGCTTCTTTCGCTCGTCTCAAAAGTCACTTCTGAACTGCAGAACCATTTAGGCATAAGCGACAAGACGCTCGCCGAATTCGTCATCGACCAGCACTCAAAATGCAAGTCTCTTCCGGAATTCAAGGCCAACCTCGAGGAGATGGGCGCAGAGTTTCCCCAAAGTCTCATAGAGAGCATCGATCGATTAGTCCTTACTATGCACCCGAAGTACAAGTCGAAGGCCGACAGCAAGGTTGTGGAAAACAAGGAAGATCCGGGAGATGAAAGGGACAGGAAGGCCAGAGTGTTCAAGGGACTCGCCTTGGCGGATAAGGAAGTGCCGGGGTTTGAGGATGAGGAGGCAAACGGCCTGTCAGAGGAAGGTCCAAAGTTCGATGAGCTCGATGCGCTCGATAACACGTTCGCGATGCTGGAAAGCCTTGCGGAAAAGGCAACCAGCGCTCCTGGAAATGGTGTCGCAAGGAAGAGAAGCATCAGTCCCCAAAGAGAGAATGATTATGACAACAACAGGAGCAAGAGGAATCGCTATGCGTCCCGGTCACGTTCTCGCTCGCGTAGTCCTGGGAAAAGCCATAGACGCACCAAAAACGACGAGTACATTTTTGAGGACGAGTTTGGCCGCACGCGTGCAAGGAGAGGCTTAGATGACCGCAGAAACTACCGCAAGGATGATCGCCAAGATGAACGCGAAGACAAGAGGAGAAGCAGACGCCGCCACCGAGATGACGATGATTTCCGTCGTCCTCCCACCCCCGAACTCGATGACAGTCCCGTCCTCCACAAGGTATACACAGGCCGTGTCACGGGCGTCAAAGATTTTGGCGTGTTCGTAAATCTCTTAGGCGTGCGTGGTAAAGTCGATGGGTTGGTGCATATCTCAGCAATGGGCGAGGGTCGGGTCAATCACCCTTCTGATCTCGTTGCTCGCAACCAAGAAGTGAAGGTAAAGGTTATGAAAATGGAGAACAACCGTGTTAGTCTTTCCATGAAAGAGGTGGATCAGATTACAGGCCAAGACCTGGCACCTGAACGAAGGTTGGGCTCTGGCGCAAACATGGAAGCATTAGGTGGTGCACCTAATAGCATGGACCGATACGGCAATCTAACATCAACTGTACCCATCGTCGAAAGCAAAACCGGCGGATCTAAGAGCAGGAAGAGAATGACTTCACCGGAGCGCTGGGAGATTCAACAGCTTATCGCTTCTGGTGTCCTTTCTGCTGCTGACTATCCAGGCATCAACGAAGAGTACGACTCTATTGGTGCAAACGGTGAGATGGCCGAGGAGGACATGGATGTGGATATTGAAGTCCGCGAAGAGGAACCTCCTTTCCTTGCAGGTCAGACGAAGCAGTCCCTTGAGCTTTCGCCCATCCGTGTCGTCAAAGCCCCAGACGGCTCTATGAACAGAGCGGCAATGTCAGGAGAGACCTTGGCTAAAGAGCGCCGTGACCTACGACAACAAGAAGCGGCGGACAAAGCTTCCAAGGATGCCAGCCGTGTCGATCTCAGCGCACAATGGAACGACCCAATGGCTGGTCCTGACCAACGCAAGTTTGCTAGTGACTTGCGAACTGCTCAACCCACGAAAAATGAACCGATTCCAGAATGGAAACGCATCACATCGGGAAAGGAGCAATCCTTCGGCAAGCGCACCTCCATGTCTATCAAGGAGCAACGGGAAAGCCTTCCAGTATTCAAGTTTCGTGATCAGTTGCTCCAAGCAGTCAATGATCACCAACTTCTCATTGTGGTTGGTGATACCGGATCAGGCAAGACTACCCAGGTGACACAGTATCTGGCCGAAGGTGGCTTTGCGAACAACGGCATGATCGGCTGCACACAGCCTCGTCGTGTGGCTGCCATGTCAGTTGCTCAACGTGTCTCGGAGGAAGTGGGCTGTAAACTCGGCGAGGAGGTTGGATATACCATCCGTTTCGAGGATTGCACCAGTCCAAGCACGAAGATCAAGTATATGACAGACGGTATCATGCAGCGCGAGATCCTTTTGGATCCCATGTTGAACAAGTACTCTGTCATTATGCTCGACGAGGCTCACGAGCGCACGATTGCCACGGATGTTCTGTTCGGTCTCCTGAAGAAGACCCTGAAGCGAAGGCCCGACCTGAAGCTCATCGTCACATCAGCCACCCTTGATGCAGACAAATTCTCGGAGTACTTCAACAAGTGCCCCATCTTCTCCATTCCCGGCCGTACCTTCCCTGTCGAGATCATGTACTCGCGCGAACCGGAGTCTGATTATTTGGATTCTGCTTTGACCACCGTCATGCAGATCCATATTACCGAGCCTCCGGGAGATATTCTGTTGTTCTTGACGGGCAAGGAAGAGATCGACACTAGCTGCGAAATCCTCTACGAACGCATGAAGGCGCTGGGTCCACAGGTTCCAGAACTAATTATCTTGCCCATTTATGGCGCACTTCCAAGCGAAGTCGCAAGTCGAATCTTTGAACCGGCGCCATCAGGTGGAAGAAAGGTGGTCATTGCCACCAACATCGCAGAGACTTCTATCACCATCGATGGAATCTACTATGTCGTCGATCCCGGCTTTGTCAAACAGACTGCGTATGATGCTAAGCTTGGCATGGATCGTCTTCAAGTGACACCCATCTCGCAGGCGCAAGCAAAGCAACGTGCAGGCAGAGCCGGAAGAACTGGGCCTGGCAAGTGCTTCAGGCTCTACACCGAATCGGCTTTCCAATCAGAAATGCTGCCTACAACCATTCCCGAAATCCAGCGCCAAAACCTTTCCAACACTATTCTCATGCTTAAGGCTATGGGCATCAATGACCTCTTGCATTTTGACTTCATGGACCCGCCTCCCACGAACACCATGTTGACTGCTCTGGAAGAGCTCTACGCACTGTCTGCCCTAGATGACGAAGGATTGCTCACCCGTCTTGGCCGGAAAATGGCAGACTATCCTATGGATCCAGCTCTCGCCAAGGCTCTCATCATGTCTGTGGAAATGGGTTGTTCTGACGAGATGCTTACTATCGTTGCCATGATCTCTGCTGTTCAGACCGTTTTCCACAGACCAAAGGACAAGCAGCAGCAAGCTGACCAGAAAAAGGCCAAATTTCACGATCCGCACGGTGATCATCTCACGCTGCTCAACGTCTACAATGCTTGGAAGCAATCCAAGTTCTCTACTCCTTGGTGCTTCGAAAATTTCATTCAGCCGCGTTCCATGAAGCGAGTCGAAGACGTTCGCAAGCAACTTATTACCATCCTACAGCGTCACAAGAGCGCTTTGGTCTCGTGTGGTCGCGATACTAAACTCGTACGCCAAGCTCTTTGCTCTGGTTTCTTCCGCAACTCCGCGCGCAAGGACCCGCAAGAAGGCTACAAAACGCTTGTTGAAGGGAACCCTGTTTATCTGCACCCCTCCTCTGCCCTTTTCGGCAAGCCTGCCGAACATGTCATCTTCAACTCCGTTGTCGAGACGACCAAGGAGTACATGCATGTCGTGACAGCCATAGAGCCGAAGTGGCTTGTCACCGCCGCCCCGACTTTCTTTAAGGTTGCTCCCACGGACAGACTTAGCAAGAGAAAGAAGGCCGAGCGTATTCAGCCGCTGCACAACAAGTATGCTGGCGAGGATGACTGGAGACTGTCCGCGCAGAAGAGACAGGGTCGTGGAGGCGGCGGTACGTGGGGTTAGTATCATGGTGCTTTGCAGCTGCTGTTGAGCAGCAGATTACTGCTTTTGGCGGTGATGTACCGTCTTGACTCTTTGTTGATTGCAACCGTCCCAGCGATAATCTCTTTTTCTTTTTTTTGCGAGCATCGACGACAGAGCGTGGCTTTACTCGATGCAGATCAGCGGTAGCGAGGTTCGTACGCACGACACTGCGGCTGTGGATGGCATCCTTTACTCAGATAGTGTAATATAGCTCCACAGCGAAGATATGTAGCATATGGTGCCGATGATGGGCATTTTCTCGTATCCGGACCAGTTACTGAGTAATGCAGCGCGCAAACCACAATGATAGGATGCTTTGAATTCCATGCAGCGGGCAATAGGTACAATAGCAGTTTGTCTCAAAAAGCCGCGCAGTAAGGTGCCGTCAGGAGAAGCTCGTGCACGATTCAGTGTGAGGATTATTAACGCTTCATAGGGGATAAGACCTGAAACTTAACCTAGAAGGGGCGTTAATATGTGCTCGAATGCGGAAAGGCGTGTCTTGTCGCCTCTGGAAAAGGCCAAGCCGGCCAAGCCAGCGAAATTGGGCGGCTCGAAGAGGTGAGTATTGGCAGCCGCGAAGGCCTCCGCTACCCCGAGGAAAATCGACCATACGGGATCTCCCAAATGAAGTGTGATGTGGTGTTGGGTTTCAGCGACCAATGAAGACGTCTCGGGCGGGGATCCTGAAACACTTGCGACACCATCCCCACACATTCTGGCGCCAGGATGCCCGCCACCCCCGGCCGAGCATGAATTTTTGCAGGCTCGGCACGCGCTATGGACTGGCGCAGCGACACTCTCACACTCTCCGCAATGACCGCCTCCAATCGGCCGTCATTCTCGCCTCGAGAGTCTGAGGCCTCGGCCAGGCCGCACCGTTTGCCGTGCCAGCCTTGACGCCGCCAAGTCTCCACCGTGGCTCGGGGGCATGCCCAATAACGAAATGTGGCATGCCGTCTCTGACAGTTTCGACTACAGCAATGCCTCCTAACATCCGCGTAATCATCTCCGCTGGCGCATGGCGCCATCCCGCCCGCGCTGCTAGAGGCCTATGGCTTCTTTATAACCTCAACGGCCCCGGCAAGGCCTCCGCTCACCTTCAGCCCACTCTGGCCATTTGCACTCCAGTCCTTTCTCTTTACAGCCCTCTTTCTTTCTTCGCGTCCAAGCCCTGGAATTGGCTGGCCGCATTCCCTCTGTGAGGACTTACTGTAACTCTTGCTTTATTCTCTGTCATACGTCTGCTGGTCAGCGTCTTTACAGTCATCATGCATTCCTTCTACCTTGTTCTCCTTGTCGCTCTTTTGGCCACGGCTGCTCTGTCTGCCCCGGCGCCTACCCGGGCTACCCAGTCCTTGAAGCCTCGCTCCTTCAAGGTCCCCAGGACGCTGAACCCGAAGATTAAGAAGAGGGATGGTTCTGTTGCCATGCGCAAGGCCATGCGCAAGTTTGGCTTCCAAAGCTCGCGCATGAGGGGCGGCGCCGTCGTCGCCGCTACCACCAAGAACGGAACTGAGGAGGGTGAGGTCAAGGCCAACCCCGAGGAGAACGAGGCTCTGTTCTTGTCCCCGGTGAAGATTGGAGGACAGACCTTGAACCTTGACTTTGACACTGGTTCTTCCGGTAAGATCCAAACATAGCAAAGGTTGACGACCAAAAACTAACCCGTTCGTCTCACAGACCTCTGGGTGTTCAGCACTGAGCTTTCTCAGCGGAGCATTGGCAAGCACACTGCCTTCGACCCCAAGAAAAGCCAGACCTTCAAGAAGATGGACGGCGCCAGCTTCCTCATCAGCTACGGTGATGGCAGCGGAGCCGCTGGTGATGTCGGTACTGACACGGTCGACATTGGTGGTGCAACTGCTACCTCGCAGGCCATCGAGCTTGCCACAGCCGTCGCCCAGTCGTTCGTTGAGGACACGAACACTGACGGTCTCGTTGGCCTGGCCTTCAGCAAGATCAACACGGTGGAGCCCCAGAAGCAGAAGACTTTCTTCGACAACATCATGCCCGACCTTGACGAGCCTGTTTTCACCGCCGACCTGACCAACGACACGTCGGGCACGTACGAGTTCGGCAAGATCGACCAGTCCAAGTTCAAGGGCGAGCTCACCTACACCAAGGTTGACTCGTCGCAAGGCTTCTGGCAATTCGACTCCAAGAGCTTCCAGATCAACGGCAAGACGATCCAGAACCCCAACGCCTCTCCCGCCATTGCCGACACGGGTACTTCCCTCCTGCTCGTCGACGACAAGGTGGCCACCAGCTACTACGACCAGGTCGAGGGTGCGCAGAACAGCGACCTGGCCGGCGGCTTTGTTTACCCGTGCAGCTCCAAGCTGCCCGATATCGGTGTCGCGATTGGCGATGGCTACACTGCCACGATCCCCGGCGACCAGGTTACCTTCACCGAGGTCGACGAGGCCGGCATGATGTGCTTCGGTGGTGTGCAGAGCAACCAGGGCTCCGACTTGCAGATCTTCGGTGACACCATGTTCAAGGCGCAGTTTGTCGTCTTCAACGGTGGCAACCAGAGCATTGGCATGGCGCCGAAGAACTGAGAGGCAAACCAGGAGAGGGGGGTAACTTGTAACTAGAGATCTACAAAATATTCTACGTGGTACATACAATAGTAGCAATGCATGACTTGCACATAATGATTGGGATTACGAAGTAGTCGGGGATGCGGGCTTAAAGTGGAACTTCGGGCCCGAAAGTTTGTCCCTACCTAGGGGAAGACGGGCCGTGCAAAGTTGATTGGTAAGTCCCCGCTTATCAGTGGTCGCGACCAACAGCAGAGCAGGCGCAGGTCAAGTGCAAAAGCATGGCTTCCGCGCGCTGGAGCGTTTGCCGCCACTGGCCTCGTCTTACTTAGCCGAACCGTGACTCGGACAGTCCGGACTCCTCCTCTCCCGCCAAGTCGTAAAATGCGCATCAATGGAGTCCAGCTCGACGATCGCCTCGCATGAAGGCTCGCAGGGTGCGGGGTTGAAGAGCGCGAGCTCCAAAGTCCGGGCCAAGAGCAGGAAGAAGGACTTGGACGAGCAGGTCAAGCGCCGCTGTGTCAGTACCGCCTGCATTGCTTGCCGCCGCCGTAAATCAAAGGCAAGCCCCGCAGCACGCTGCCCGCTGTCCCCCAACACCCACTGACCCGCGCAGTGCGACGGCAACACTCCCGCCTGTGCCGCTTGCGCCTCCGTATACAACACCGAATGCGTCTACGACCCGGGCTCCGACCACCGCCGCAAGGGCGTCTACCGCAAGGACATTGAGGGCCTGCGCACCCGCGAACGCACCCTCCAGACCATCATCCAGGCCATTCTCAACTACCCCGAATCCGAAGTCCCCGCCCTGGTCCACCAGATCCGCACTTGCGAGAGCCTCGACACCGTCGCCGAGCAGATCCTGCTGCACGACCAAGAAAAGGAAGACGAGGATGAAGAGCCCGTCTCCGCCGCCGTCGATGTGCCCCAGGGCACTTTCGAGGGCAATCTGTCGGGCAAGATGGGCCAAATGCGGCTGGAAGACGGCTCGCAACGATACATTGGAGGCACGTCGAACCTGATATATCTGGGGCAAGGCTCCGACACTGAAGACGACTCGTTGTCGTCGGGGAGGTCCGATGCCTACCAACAGCTGGAAGACCCCGTCACCTCATGGACAACGGCCACCGACGACCCGGAGCTCGTCGTGCATCTCATGAACATGTATTTTACCTGGCATTACACCTTCTTCACAACCTTGTCGAGGCCCCTGTTCTGGAAGGACTTTCTACTCGGCAAACCCCCGTCAGACTCCGGAAGAAAATACTGCACGCCTCTACTTGTTAATGCCATGCTGGCTCTTGGCTGTCACTTCACGTCAATACCGGCCGCTCGAGCTAATCGGGACAATTCTGCCACCGCTGGAGACCACTTTTTCAAAGAGGCCAAGAGACTGATCATGGAGAACGACGAGCACGAGAAGCCGAAAATCACCACGGTTCAAGCATTGGCGTTGATGTCGGTCAGGGAAGCTGGTTGTGGGAGGGAAGCGAAGGGCTGGGTATACAGTGGAATGAGCTTCCGCATGGCTTGTGATTTGGGATTGAATCTGGATTCCTCTGGCCTCGCATCAGCCAAAGGCACAGGGCCCGATGACGACGAAGAAGATGCGCGCCGCATAACTTTCTGGGGATGTTTCCTCTTTGACAAGTAAGTGGTCCATTTTCCACCGGGACTGGTCCATCCCTATGTCATACAGGAGCTCCTACTAACCGACTCAGGTGCTGGTCAAATTACATGGGCCGTTTGCCGCAATTGCCTTCAAACATCATCACCGTGCCTAAATTCGAAGTGTTCCCCGTTGAAGATGCAGACACCTGGAGCGCGTATACCGATTCAGGATTCAATCAGGCCAATGCACAGCCATCTAGGACACGAGCAGTCTCGCGCCAGATTACTGCTCTCTGCGAGATCAGCAACGACTTGATGAATTCTTTTTACAACCCCACAAGCATGGATAAGACCAAAGGCAAGCAAGCCGAGCTCAAGAAACTGAGCGATCTCCACCAGAAGTTGGAAGCCTGGAGGCGAGAACTTCCGAAGGAGCTGGAGCCGCGGGAAGGCGGCTTACCGTCGATCTTGGTCATGCAGTAAGTTCGACTGTTTGGAGGTTTTGATGGCGGTTTTATTGACTTGAGCGCCAGCATGTTTTTCCAGCTCCTCTTCATTCATCTCTTCCGCCCTTTCCTGAAATACAACCAAGCCACCTCTCCGCTCCCAGCAAACGTCTCGCCACGCAAGCTTTGCACTCAAGCTGCCGGTTCGATATCCAAGCTCCTCCGTCTCTACAAGCGCTCCCACGGCCTGCGACAAATCTGCAACATCGCAGTATACATCGCCCATTCGGCATGTACCATTCATTTGCTGAACCTTCCCGAAAAGAATGCCCGTCGGGATATAATTCACGGTGTCAAGCACCTGGAGGAAATTGCAGAAGGCTGGCTCTGCGCCCGCCGCACGCTTTCCATTCTGTCCGTCCTCGCGCGCAAATGGAATGTGGAGCTGCCCGAAGAAGCTGCCACCGTCATCGCCCGCACCGACGACAAATTTGGCGCATACCACCGCGGCTCGCTTTCGCCGCGAAGCGCGGCCGGGACCACGCACCACCTTCATACACACCCCAATCCGCTTCCCCAGCTAATGCACAGCTATGGCTTCACCGAATCCGCGCACCGCAACACATCAAGTCTGAGCGGGTTGTCCGCTTTCCCCGCCGCGACAATGGCGTACGCACGGCGTGCCTCTGACACGCGCAGTCTGACACACCCACCCCAATCAGCAGCAGAGATACAACACGCACGAGCAACACGGCAAGCGGCGGCGGCGGTCAATACACCGACGGAGGCAGTCGCGACGCCAAACAGTATGACGAACAACGCGGTCGCAACGGCCGGCAGCTCGCCCAGCGACCTGTTTGGCGGCGTCGACGCGCTGCTGCGTGAGAGCCAAGACAACTGGTGGCTGCGGGACCAGTCGCAGCTCGCGCTCGGCTTCGACAACTGGGGCGGTCTCTGCGGCGAGGATCTCGCGTACATGGGCGGACAGGCTGCACAACAACAACAGCAGCAGCAACAGCGACAGGCTCAGGCGCAGGCTCAGCAGCAGGGTCAGCAGCAACGGCAGCCAACGACACCGGTCGCGGCGACATATGCTGGCGATGGGTTTGGCGGCGTAGGCGGGGCCACTGGCGGCCTTGACGGCGTGAGCGGGTACGGTGCCATGAATCTGTATAACGAGGATGAGTGGTATCAATGAGGAAGGTCGGGCTGCTGATCAGTCAGTTGGCTGGGTGACTGGCTAATCATTTAATTTGATGCGCCGCGCTGGTGTGCGCACATAAGAATCTCCACCGAGAGAGCCAAGATGAGGACAACTAAGAGGAGGAAGGATGAAAGAGGAAGAGGACATGGATTTGAAAGAAGAAAAGGAGGGAGGAATCAACAAAAGACGCAGGCCTCTGCGCATGTCCGCCCTGCACCATCACGTCATGTGCATGCAATGGTGGCACAAGGCGCCACAAGCCCTCGACCTTGAGCTTGCCGCGCTAGCACGGCATCGGGTCGGGAGGACGTCTCACCTGCCTGCTTGCTCGCCAGTCACGCACCGATCTGTTTGCTTGCCTGCCTGTTTGCCTGCTCACTCAGGCAAGCATCTAGACCCGTCGAGGGCGGTTGACAGGTTTGCCGACAAGCTCGTGTCGGTCTGTCACATTCTCTGTCATATCACTGCGGTGATGGTGGAGGTGGTGGTGCTACGTCAGTTCGAGTGTGCGGTACAGCGCGCTCCCTCTACTCAGCTCAGCTTATCGGTGGCTGGGTGGCTGGTTGACGGGCGCCGCTCTGTTGTCAGTCTCTCAGAGTTTGTCCGTCTGGCGGTGAATCACCGGACGCGACGTTGCCTATCCTTTTCTTACACGCAGCTGCCGGTTGGTCAGTCAGTCCGTCACTTTTTGGTTGAGTAAAAGGCCGCGCGCACATCCGGCTGATTGTCAGCTAGCGACCGACTCCTACGAGCGCGTACACGACCGCCGGATAAACGCGCAGATGGACGAGCGCGAGCGCCCTCACTACTGACTGCGCCTTGTTCGCGTCTTGTCTCGGGTGGCTGTTAGTTGCGCTCCTTGCTCAGCCGCCCACCGCGCCGGGCAACACGCAGAGGAAAGGTCAAGCGGGCCAGCCAGGGGATACAGGCACGCATAGAGACGGACGGACGGCGAAATGAGACACACTCTCTCTACTCAGGAACGGATGGATGGGATGGAAAGGAAAGGAAAAGTTTTTCGGGCTTGGTTTTTTTTTTTTTTTTTTTTCTTCCTTACACATCATAAAAAGGGTCGGCTAGCTAGGTAGCTAGGGGAAGTTGGATATGGATATCCACATCGACGTTGTTGATAGAAGCGAAGCGAAGCGCAGTGACGAAAAAAGCGTGTGGGTGCTGGCTGAATACCTATGGTAGTGGTAATGACTAGATGCCTAGATAGTTATGCTACAGTGCTATTGGCCAGTGCTTGTTAAGGCAGGGAGGTAAGAAGGTAGATATGATGGAAGGTATAAAGAATGAAATAATGTATAAATATGTATATGTATATGGATATCTACATATTGTAAGAAACAAAAAGAAAAGGTTGGGTGGCGAAGGCCGGGTATTATGACTAGGACTACTACTACTACTAAAAATGCGCTCGCAGGGTTGCGCCAAGGTAGGGTATGGTATGGCATGGTATGATATGGGTCGTTGCGACTGCTGCTGTTGCTGTCGTGTGGGGGTATGTATGGGGTATGTGCGTGCGTGTGTGTGTATGTTTGTACGAACGTGCATGCATGCATCCATCCGTATGTATGTATGTGATGCAGTCGTCGTCGTCGTCGTCGTCGTCGTCGGCATTGTTGTTCCTTCTTTCCATCAATCAGGCAGTCATTCGTGCGTCCTTGCGTCGTCTATCCCGCCCACTTGGGTGGCTGTTCTTTCCTCATTTCGCTCTCTTCCTTCCTCTCTCTCAGTTCTTCCTTCATCTTTTCCCATCCCTCCGGCACGCTAAGCAGCATCTTTCCAGGCTTGCTTGCGTGGCGCGGCTCGGCTTTCTCTGTCTGCTCGCGGCGGCGAAGGAGCGTGCTGGTTGTCGACAGTGTCTGTTTGTCTGTCTGTTTGGTTCTTTCTTTCTTTCTTCGCGGGATGGCGATGGTGGATGGTGCGTGCAGCGACGCGAGAAGGGGGCGGAGGAGGAGAAGCAGCGGAAGACGCTCGCTCTCGTCGGCGTAGGTGTCACTGCCCGGAGTGTGGGAGGAGTAGAAGGAGTGGGATTACGTGTTCGTGAAGCGTTGGCAAGCCCGGCGCGGCTTAAACGAGCTGGTTCTCGGACGTGGTGGCCGAGTTGCGTCTGGGCATGCGCAGGGCATCGCGCAAGGAGATATCATTGGGGTTACGGCTGATGTCGTCGACGTGCTCGGTGGTGCTAATAGGCTGCAGCTTGAGGCTCTTGTGCTTGCTCTCGAGCGAGTAGTCGCGGTCGAGGCGGTCGAAGCCGGCGCGGTCGTCGGCCTGGGCGTGGGCGCTGCTGAGCGCGCCCATGTTGATCTGCCGCAGCCGGTCCAGCGCCGTCTTGAAATCGTCGAGCACAATCGTGTCTGTCAGGCACTTGAACACAAACGACAGCTTCCAGAACGGGTTGATGCCGTCGGGCAGCGCGTGCGCCGAGAACACGTCCGTCACCGCCATGATGTCCACCACCATGAACCCGATGCTCAGCACCATGGCGATCAGCAGGATCGCAAACCGCGGCGACGTCCGCACCAGCGTCGAGAACGAGATGTCGTACCGCACCCGGATGTTGTAGACCAGGTTCAGTGTGGTGAAGATCCACCATGGGTCACTGTGGTGCCATGTCAGTGAATGTACTTTATTTGCTTCTAGCAGTGGGAAGTGGTGCTTACCGGAACAGAGCCTCGAGAGGCCGCGTCTTCAGGAAGATGTCGTTGACGTTGTTGAAGTAGGCAAAGTTGGCGTAGATTTCGAGGATCCAGTACGGCTGCACGATGATGACGGTGGCGATGTAGAAGATGCTGACTTTGCGGCTCAGGAAAGGCCGGCTCTTCATCCACGCAATGACGTTGTGTAGACTCCATGAGACGTTTAGGAAGATGGCGGTGCTGGAGAGATACCAGCCATATGCGGGTTCATGGGCAAAGATCCACGTGCCATGGAGAGTGCCGAAGATGAGCTGTTGGTTGGCGAGAGTTAGAACTGAGGGAGTACAAACAAAAGCACAAACAACTACAAACTGACCTCCATGAGAATGAGCTTGTGCAGCAGCACGCCGCGACGCATGTTGGCGACGGTGATGCAGGCCATGATGATCAACGAGCCGACCATGTAGCCCTGGGCCCAAGCTTCCAGGACCAGGCCATCGGGGTTGGTGGGTTTAGTTACGAGCTTGGGCTCGGGCTCGGAGCGGCGGCGGAAGAGGGCAAGGGCGGCAGCAGCAGCAGCGGCAGCAGGCGCCATGAGTGATGACTGATGAGAGGAGAAAACAACAAGGTAGTAAAAAGAGAGAGAATTCGAGGGGTAGGTATGTATGTATGCAAATGGCAAAACGAGCGAACGAGCGACAGCGGCACAGTCAAAGCAAGGCGGGGCATGATCTACCTTAAGCAACTCCCCTCCCCGCATCTCCACAGGAGAGCACATGGCGCGACTGGGGGAGAGTAAGAGGCGCCGTAACTAGGTCTTCCTCCGGACCTTCTCTGGGCGCAGTCGACCGTAGTCGCACCGCAAGGCCCAGAAGCCGTCAGCACCTCGTGGCTACTCAGGCGGGAAGACCCCTTAGCAAGCCGCCGCACTCGCACCCTGCGGCTGCGAAATCACGCCAGGCCTTTCCAGATGTTGGCAGACTTTAGCTAAATTGCACCGCAGCACCGACACCGTCGGCCCCGGTCCCCCCGCAATTCTCGGTTTCCCCCATGGGCAGAGCCTCGTCCTCTACATAAACCATTTGCTAATCCCGACAACGCCAGCAACGCCACCACGGAACATGCCTTCTCTCCTCTCTCTCTCTCTCTCTCTCTCCTCATCGAAATCCTTCGCTTCGTTTTTTTCGCACCTCGTGGCTACGCGAGCTTCCACTGTGGCACTTTTTTATCGGTCGCGCCTTCCGGCTTCCCGTAGTTTCAGGGGAGAAAGCCGTCGTGCCCGTCGCCACCGACCTACCTGGGACCTGTACCTACTGCCCACAAATCCCTCACGAGAGCCTTCTCCGCTTCTGGGCGCCACGGCAGCACAAGAAGCAACCCCGCCAGCTCATATGTGTGTCCCTCGGCCAAGAGCCCTCTCACACCCCCCCTTCTCCCCGCTCCGCCGGCCTGCTCGATCGAGCAAATGCTCCGCGCAGCGCCCTCTGCGGTTTGACTCGGGCTGCGGATAAATATATGTCACGGGCCCGCCGCAGTGGTACCAGGTCCGCCGGCGGCACCTGGGCCTAGATGCCTAAGACGCATAAAGGCAACTTCCCGTCGATGCCGTCGAACAGCTTGAACAGCTGATACTATGCTAGCTATTGAGTCAGGATTTTGAAGGAGTTTCGTCTCTGCCATCAAAGCCACCTTCAGCCATGATTCGCGCCACACAAGCTACCCTTTATCCTAGCGACGCTGCAATCTTGGCCGTTTGGATCAGGCTAGTTTCCGCTTAACTTTGAGTTGTTTAGCTGCCATCCTTGGCCCTTAACAAGGTGCGGTTGCCGACAGACCCGGCGCAGGGGAGCCGGCGGGTATCGTTCCTTCAGTCGAAGCACTGCTCAATAATGCCTCCGTCCCGCCTCGCCTCCTGTCCTAGGGCATCTTTATTCCCGTGGGGTCTTACGATTCCACGTAATGTGGATGCCAGTGCACAACAAACTTCGACCGACGAGAGGGGATTCCCAGAGTCGTTGACGGGATAACGCGTGTACGCGAGGTACCACGACGCTGACGCGGAAGTTTCCATGTGTGCCATGAGTCTTGTAGCCGTTTGGCGGGGAAAATATCGAAAAGTCAAGTGATTCGGCAGGAAGTGGCTGATACGTGATACGAAGATGAGAGAATGTAGCACGCCGCCCGTCAAATATAGACAGGCGAATGACTGCTGATGGGTATGGCGAGGGTGAAGAACATGATGTCTAAGATGCGGCACGAGTAGATGTCGAGGACGATCTGGGTGGTAGTGGTGGTGGTGCAAAGTGTAGTCGGGAAGTCGGGATCTGGGCTGGGCCGTGCTCGCGAGATATCTCTGATCTGGACGAGTACGTGTATCTCACTCAGCCTCACAGGGCACACATGTCGAGCTGAGCGCCGCGCAACCTTCCAGCTGTACCGTCCGGGATGCCACGGGATGCTTGTGCGCGCTGAAACATGGCGAGCACGTAGAATGTTTAAAGGAGAGTCAGGACCTTGCAACCCACAAATTGTTTGCAGCCACACGGCCAGATTTGGGAAGGGAACCTGGCGCAGCGCATCGGAAGCCTGGTATGATCTGCGTCGCAGCCGACGCTGATCAGACGTCGAGGGGGGACGCCTAGCTGGTGGTAGGCGAGTACAGACTTATATTTTGGCAGAAATGGAAGCCGTATTGATAGAAAAACAAGCTCCCCTACGGTGTTAGAAGGAAATATCTCGAGGAATGAATGCATGCTGTTGCAGAAACAAAAAAATAGTCACGCGACAGCAGCATGCACGCGCGCGAGCGGGCGGAAGGGGATCCGCCAAAAATGGGCTCCACCGGCCCTGACGTCTACCCCATAATTCCGATTCCATCACCATTACTAGTACAAGCACACTGAGACAGGGTCAACCTGAGCCCCCCGATTCCTCCCAACCAAAACAAAGCCACCACGCTCCGTCTCGTGCGCTCACATACCTCAAGCCATTCTTTCCCCGCCAAATCCAAGAGCCAAGCCAAGCCACCGATCCGTACCTACCTACCTGCCACACCACACCACCACCACCTTATCCTCCTCATCCTCCAACAACAACAACAACAACAACAACAACAACCTCAGACCTCCCGCCATGCCGCCGTCGCTACGCTCGCAGCGACGCCTCAAGGCCATGGGCCTGCTCGTCTTCCTCGCCGTGCTGACGACGCTGTACCTGACATCTGCCGCGCGGCAGACGCGCAATTCAGACTTCTACCAACGCACGCAGGGCGCGCTGGCGGCGCGCGAGCGGGCAGCCGTCGCCGCAGCCGAAGCCGAGCTCGAGGCCCAGGCCGCCGACTTCGATGTCGGCAAGCGGCTCAAGGCCGCCGAGGAAAAGGCCAAGAAGAGCGCCAACAACAAGGGCGACCGCATCCAGGAGGTTGTGGCCGCGGGCAAGGCTGAGAAGGAGAAGGAGCGTGTGGGCGACATGAAGAATGGTGGTGCGGCTACAAAGGACGATGCACCCGAACATGATGAGATCACTGGCGAGAAGAGCGTCGCGGGCCGCATCTCGCTGAAGGATTCCGCTAAGGACGACGGCGTTGCGAAGGTGGGCAAGGTGGGCGATAGCGTCAAGGGACATACCGCGGCGACACCCAGCAAGGCCGGCGAAGAGGAAAAGTCGGATGAGGACCGCGAAGTCGAACTCGAACTCAACGCTATCCTCAAGAAGAGCCCGAGTAAGTGCCGCCCGCATGTAGCATCATCAATTGCCCTTATCCGCCCCCACAACCGCCACCTCCCTTCATCTTGCACCCATGCATGCATCCTCCCAAATTTGCCATGATCCAGCCCCCACACAAACCTTAAACGCCACAGCTAACGCCTCACCATCACAACAGTCATCATCTTCTCCAAGTCGTACTGCCCCTACTCTGCGAAAGCGAAGCGCATCCTGCTGGAATCCTACGCCATCACGCCGCGCCCGTACGTCGTGGAGCTGGACCAGCACCCGCTGGGCGCCGGGCTGCAGGCCGCCCTGGCCAAGTCGACGGGCCGCGGCACCGTGCCCAACATCCTGATCAACGGGCGCAGCATCGGCGGCGGCGACGACGTCGAGTCGCTGCAGCTCAATGGCCGCCTGGCCGAGACGGTCCACAGCATGGGCGGCAAGCGCGTCACCGAGGTCAAGGAGGTCGACCCTAATGATGCTGCCGCTGCTGCCGCTGCTGCCGACAAGAAGGACAGCCTCAAGCGCCGCCGCGTTAAGCGCGTGCTCAATGCGTGAGCGCGCTTGTGCCTTTGTGCTTCTTTCTCTTCTTCGTCTTCTTTATTTGGATCCTCTTTTTTGGCTTGTGTCCCCTCCGAAGTTTTTGGTCTTGCGTCCTCCACGGCGCACAACTATCATATTCATCTTCTCCACGTAGACGGGACCAGTTGGTCTGGGATTGAACGTACGGCGTGGCCTCGAGCCCAGAGCTGCCGCGGCAAGGACACGACGCACGAAAAAGAAAAAAAGTCATCGGCATTCTTTCCTTTTCTTTTGCTTCTCTCACAAACTCCACTATCAATAATCCACAAGAAGCGTCTTGGACACCGGCGAACGGGATGGACGGACGGATGGATGGATGGATGGAAGAATGAATGGATGGGTGGTAGGACGGGCGTCTGCGTGCCGCGGTTGGTTGGGTCCGCCATCGTTTTGGCTGGCAAGTAATCATTCTATGCTTATATAAGAGGATAAGGGTTGGGAGGGGGGGTTCGCGGCCTGGTGGCACCAGAGTGTGGGACCCACGGGACGGGACGAACCGGGATCGGCGCGGAGGAAAGGTACGTACGGGGGTCTTTGCTCCTGGTCGAGGGGGAACGAACCTGTCGTGCTGCCACTGCCGCTGTTGCTGCCGCTGCTCCAATGGCTGAGCGAGCGAGCTGTCGTTGTGGCTACGCACGCACACGCATACACGCACACAAACCCGCACGCGCACACACACGCACACGGTCTTGCACGTCACGCGCATGGGGTAATGTTGATGTCGCTGGCGGTGACGTTGACGTTGACATTGGGTGGGTACGTAGACAGGCAGAGATAGTCCCTACCTTAGCTATCAAATACCCTGCAAGCAAGCAAGCAAGCAGGTCAAGGCGGACTCGACGTTGTTGTTGTTGTTGTTGTTGTTGTTGGGCCTTACGTACCTACCTACCTAGGCAGTACCTAGTACCTACATACATGCAAATCGATGACGGAAACCAGCACCAGCAGCAGTTAACATCTTCCATGCAATGACAATGGCAATGACAAGGGCAATGACGCACGGTTGAGTCTTGATAAGATGAGATGGAGCTGTGTATGGGGATTCCCGCATATATTATGCTGTATGTATGTGAGTAGCCCTGAGAATGCTGTTTTGCTGCTTTACTGTTTTACTGTGCTGTGCTGTACACAGCAGTGCGAGAAGAGACCAAACGAACGAGACAAGACACTTTCGACAGCCAGGCTCTGTGTGTGTGTGTGTGTGTGTGTGTGTTTGAGTAGGTAGGTAGGTAGGTAGGTAGGTACCTAGGAATAGGGACTAGCTAACTAAGTAGCTAGGTAAGTAAGTGAGTAAATAAGAGTAAAAATTATGTGGTGTGGTGACTTCTCGAAAAAGTAGAAGAGGAAGAAAAAAAAAAAGAGGTATCATTCGGTAATCAGACAACCAACCAGACAACCAGCCAACTATGAAGTTGAAGTTGATGGGAAAAAAAGAAAAAGAAAAAAGAAAAAGAGAAAAAGGAAAGGAAAGCCCACAATAGGAGTAGGTATGTAGGTACCAATCGACCAATCACCAGCAAGCAAGCAAGCAAGGTTAAAAATGCCAGGACCCAGCGCGAGCTCTCAACCGCAGAGCATGAGCATAAGCATAAGCATAAGCATAAGCATAGAAAGAAGCCGATTTCTTCTCAGTCAGCCCAGCCCAATACAGTCCAGTCAGTGACTCAAGAGCAGGATGCCGCCCTCCCACTCAACTCCCTATCCCGTCCCATCCCGTCCCGTCCCTTCCGCAGTCCAAATTCCGCGCGCTCACGCCGCACGCACGCATGCACACTCGCTTTCCCTCTCCCCACACTCCCTCCCCTTTTTCTCACCCTCCCCGTGGTCGTAGTCGTGATATAGGGACTCGTCGTATGCACCGCTGGCGCGCTACTTCTTGATCCAGCCCTGTAAGACAGACAGATACGCAAAGTCAGCCACCACGCCTCTGAGCGCACGCAAAAAGAGAAAAGAAAAAGAAGAAAAAGAAAAGGCCGCGATCGACACCAACCAGCTAGCAAGCCCAGCCAGCCGCTCACGCGCAAACCCAACCCAACCACACCCACAGAAAAGCAAGCAATCAAGCAAACAGAGACTCACCTTCTCCTTCATCTTCTCCCAGTACCCCTTATCCCTATCATGGCCATCCAGATGCGCGTCCCGCGAGCTCGGCGTGCTATAAATGCTGCCACTGCGCTTCTGGAACCTGCTGGGGGGGACCTTGCTGGCGTCCCACTCCTTGCTATTGCGGCGATCACGGGTAGGCGAGCCGCCGACGCCGACGCCGACGCCGACGCCGTCGTCGTGGTGCTGGTCGTGGTCGTGGTCGTGCTGGTAGTCGTCGTCGAGCACGCCGCCGCTGTTGTCGTCGTGGTGCAGCCCCCCGAGGGCGAGCGCGTTGCTGCCCGGCAGCTTGCTGAGCTTGGGCGCGCCGAACGGGTCGTCGTCGGCGGTGCGGTGCGCGGCGAAGGGGTCGTTGGTGCTGGTGGGGGAGGCTGTGGTGCCGGGGTGGTTGAGGCCTGTGCGGAGGGAGGGGTGTGAGGTTAGTGTGAATTGTGGTGGAGTTGGTGGGGGTGAGGGGAGTGAGGTGAAGTGACGTCGTTTTGGTATGTCAATCGGTCAGCACGCACCGCCAGCAGCAGCCGTCGTGTTGGATGCCATGGTCGTCGTCGTTGCTGTAAGTGTTGTATGTAGTAGAGTAGAGTAGTTGTGTAGTTGTAGTCGATCGAGGTCAAAGTGGGTGGTCGTTCGTCGGGTCAAGAAGAGTCAAGAGCTGTTGAGTAACAGCCAAGAGGCAACAAAGAAAAGCAAAAGCTTAAGGTAGTGTAGTGGGAGGAGGAACGAGAGAGAGAGAGTGTGTGTGGCCTATATAAGCCAAGCAGGCAGTCAAACCAAAGGCCGCACCGCCTCCGCGCCTGCCGACGTCGACGTCAGTTCGCCATTCCCTTTTCCCACTGAGCACAACCACCACCCGCACACCCCTCTTACTTACCTCGTCCTCCGCCAAGCCGTGTCCGGCAGACAAGCTCCGCTTGCTGTGCGACGCAATTACGTCTTCCTGCCCCTTGGCGCTGCACGCTGCCCTGCTGCGCAAAGTGCAGAATAGAAAAGCAGGCTGTCTGCGTGGTGCTGCGCCCTCAGCCACGGCATGCTGCCTCTGCCCCATGATTCGGTGGCGCTCCGCCGTCACAAGTCCCTTCTTTCGCTAAATCGTGGATGCGGGGAAACCGGATGCGGGTGACCTGCTAGCCTAGCCTAGACGAATGGGAGTCCGCGGCAAACCTTAACTCGACTCTCAGCTGATTGCGCCCCGTTGCCCTTCACGACCCGCTCGACATTGTTGGAGTGTAAGCTTTCTTTTTTTTTGTTCGTGTTTTTTCTTTTCTGCTTGGTGTTTACAACGCGCTACACATTCCACGGCCTCAACAAACATGTTCGGCCGTCCCTCCACCGCCTTGCCTACCAAAGCCCAACGCGTCTCGAATAGATGGAAAAGAAAAGGAGGCAAGCAACAAAAGAAAGGAGATTCAGAGATCATCTGTCGCCTAACTGCTGATGGGAGATCGGTTTCCGGGTCCCCCTCACGCAATCTTAGTCATCGCCCACCCAACGCCGGTTGTATGCAGTTTGAGAAGAAAAAAAAAAAAAAAAAAGAAACAAAAAGCCGTCTTGACGAGCATGACGCTAAACGCGAACCCAACCGAGTCGGAGAAGAAACAAGCAGTGAATAAGACAAAGAAAAATGAAGAAGTAGAAGAAGGAGCTGACTCAGCCAATTGTATGTGCCTGATGCAAAACTACAAATCGTCGATGTCGACGTCGATGGCATCGGGGTTTGCTGGAGGAGCATCGGCGCCCTTCTTGACTCCCTCCGGTCCCGCGCTGGCTGGAACGAAGCCCTCGGGAGCTCGGGCTTGGCGTTCGAGTTCGGCCATGGCATCGGCCTTTCCTTGCTCGTCGAGGGCCTCGCCGTTTGGTGCCTGGCTGCGGGCAAGGGCTTGGGAAGCGATGTAGTTGACGTCGGTGCTGCGGGAACTGTCAGTTTTTTCTGCTTATGGACGGCGATGAGAAAGTTTTCGTTCAAGACATACTTGTACTGGGACTGGACGCTTCTCTTGATGCGGAGCGTCTCCTTGAAAGTGTCCTCGTTTCCGTGCTGCACTTCGAAGCTTTCCCATTTCTGCCAGAAATCCGGGCTCGTTCTCGGGTCGCAGAACTGGCTGGCATGGCCGTAGATGGCCCTTGCACGGTCGATTTCGCCCAACCGTCTCTCCATCTCGGCGAACTTGAGGCACATATCCTTGGCCTCGTTGTCTGGCAGCGCAGAAATGGCGCGCTCGTAAATAGGCCGCGTGGAGGTGAGTCCAAAGTTCGAGGCGGACTTGGTGATGTAAAAGTTGAACATCTCCATCCTGTCCTCGTCCGCAACTGCGCGAGTGGCACGCTCGTAGATGCGCATGGCGTGACGGGCAAGCCCGCGCTCTTCCTCCAGCGAACCGTACATGAGGTACAAAACTTTTGCAAACTTGGGTGGGCAGTCTTCGATCGACTGCTCGAAGAGGTCGCGCAGCCTCTCAATACTGATCTTACGATCAACAGCCTTGGTGAGGTACAGATTCCACAACTCAAAAGCCACAGGGTAGCTGAAGAGGTCAAGACCGCGCTCATACACCTTAAACGACTCCTCAAAGTACTGGTTTTCCTCGAGAAGGTTGGCATAGTTGACGACGGTCTGGGGAGTGGCAATCCGCAACTCAAAAATGCGTTCGTAAACTTTCTTGGTTTCCTCAAGCGAACTGACACTCTCAACCAAGTCAACGTAGAAGCTCCACAGCTTCCAGCTCTTGTGCACTCGTTGCTGCGGCGACAGACTTTCATCAAAGTAGTCAACAGTCGACCGCTTGGGCGCTTGGGTAGCCTTTGCCATGATGTCCACGGCGCGGTCAAACTCCTCGTTACGAAGCTCCATCTCCGCCCACTCACACCACGTCTCGGCGAGTTCGGCAACTGATTTGTAAGGGACCTTAACAGCCTTTTCCATAATGATCCGTGCGTTCTGCAGCTCACCGGCCTGCTCGTAAAACTTGGCGTAGTTCGTCCAGAGCTCGTGGAACCTGCCCGTAGCCCTCTTTGGATTGATGGCGGCAATAGCGTCGGTGTACGTTTTGACGATCTCTTTCTTGTTGTCTCCCCACAGACCGACGCGCTTTTCCCATTCGGCGACGTTGTTCGGGTTCTGTCGGAGCAGCACATCATTAACGAGGAAAGGCCGACGATCCATGAGTTGTTCAAACCGCTCCATCCGAATGTCGAGGTCTAAGTCTGCGTCTTCGTCAACCTTGCCCTTCTCAGTCCGCTGAGTTGCCTCGTCCATCTTAATGCCAATCAGCGCCTCCTCTGCCTCCGCGTACGCGTCGAAAACAATGGAGAAATCACGAACGGTCATCACGGTGGTAATGCCCTCTTCGAAGACGTCCCGCGCCCTTTCATAATCGCCCTTGTTGATCCAGTAACGCGCAAGACCAACCCAAAGAATGCCTCTCTGGTCCGAAAATTTAGCGATGCCGCTCCGGATGATCTTCTCCACGTCGATCCCAACATCATCTCCCGTGTTAATTTCTTTCGCGTGATCAATCAGGAGCTCGACCATTTCCGTCCAGAATTGGAAGGGCCCTTTTGCTTCCTTGCTCTTGAACTTGGGGTTGTTGAGAATTTCCATGTACTTCTTGACGGCCTCGGTGTATTGCCGCATGTCGACCAGAAGAGCAATGAAGTCTTCCATGTGTTCTGGGTGAATTTGCATGTATCTTCTCCAGATTTTGACGGCGGTGTCTCCGGATGCCGACGTCGCGAATGGCTTGTACAGCGCCCAAATCCGGTTGTGTTGAGTGATGGGCAGAGCGCGCAGAGCCCTGTCAAACGTCCGGCGGGTCGTCGTGACCAGAGGCTGCTGCATCAGCAATTCGAGGTACATCTCCCAGATCCGAGGCATCTTGTTGAGGAGGACCAGCGCGCGCTCGAACAGGGCGTTAACCTTGACATAATGCGCCTGGAACTTTGCGGGATTTTTGCCCTTCAAGTGCTTGGTCCTGAGATCCAGGTACATCTTCCACAGCTTGTAGGAGCGCGGCAGAGTGGTGCAGGCGCGCTCGAGGACGAAGGCCTGCTCGAGCAGGGTGCCGTGCTGACGCTTGAAGGCGGCATACTCGAGCCAGGGCTTGACGGAGCCCGGATTGCGGATGATGTCCTGCTCGTAGATGACGTCGCTGTCCCCGATCAGGTAGAGGTGCGACGACATGGTCGGGGTGATGCGCTTGGTCGTCTTGGTGAGGGTCGCGGCGTCGTCCGACGTCCGCAGGAGCTCTCCAGGCATCGCTCTTCCGGGCGTTGCTGGCCTGCGCAAAGGCCGAGGAGGCTGGAGTGGGCGTGGGCGATTCTTATGGGAGAGGGCGTGGGTCGCGCGCAGTGCGTTGGTCGCGGTGGAGCGGGACTCGCATTGAGTCCGTCTGAAGATGTTTCGCGATTGGAAGCTTCAACTAGCGCCGCGCTCGCTTAGACTTGCTGGCTTGCAGCCCGACGACGTAGCTGGCCAGCAACAACATTGGGAGGCTTTCCCATCCATACGTTCCCTTCTCTCCCACCCCTCCCCCAGCCTTTCAGCTTCAGCTCGCCCTCCCCTCCGTTTGTTCAGGGGCCCCTCGAACCCTTTAACGCCACTCAATCCTAAACGTTCGCCACACGCCAATAGCCCGTCATGTCGGGTGCGGGGGTACGCTCGAGCAACTTCTATTGATAGCTCGGCCGATAAAGCTAATAGGAGGCCACAGGCTCGCGAGTCCGTCTTCCCGACGCGACAGGTCTTGGGCCAGATGAAGAGCAAGCTCAAGGGTGCCCAGACCGGCCATGACTTGCTCAAGCGCAAGAGTGAAGCCCTGACAAAGTGCGCCTGACCGCCCTCTCTCTCTCCTCTTACTATTATTGTCCATGCTCATCTTTCTGTCCAGGCGTTTCCGAGGTACGACGACAAATTTCCACATGACACAGACCACCCCGCTGAATGATTGATAGAGATCACCCGCCGCATCGATGAGGCCAAGCGTAAGATGGGCCGGGTCATGCAGATCGCCGCCTTCTCGCTCGCCGAGGTCACCTACGCCGCCGGCGGAGACATAAGCTACCAGATCCAAGAGTCGGCCAAGAATGCAAAGTTCCGCGTGCGCACCAAGCAGGAGAACGTCTCGGGTGTCTTCCTGCCGCAGTTCGAGAGTTTCACCGTAGAGGGCGCCAATGACTTTGGCATGACTGGTCTGGGTAGAGGTGGACAGCAGGTCCAGAGATGCAGAGAGACGTATGCGCGGGCTGTCGAGACTCTTGTGGAACTTGCCAGTCTGCAGACGGCCTTCGTCATCTTGGACGAGGTCATCAAGGTTGTCAACCGGAGAGTCAACGCCATGTGAGTCGGATCCACGCAGCGTGCGCTAAACACACAGCTAACAGCCTCGCAGCGAGCATGTCATCATCCCCCGCACTGAGAACACTATCAAGTACATCAACTCGGAGCTTGATGAGCTCGACAGAGAGGAGTTCTACAGGCTGAAGAAAGTTTCGGGCAAGAAGGAACGCGACGCCGCTGAAGCCGAAAAGGAGAGGAAAAGTAAAAAAGAACAAGACGAGCCGGCGGCGGCCCAGGTGGCGGAGGAGACCGAGACCAAGGACATGCTGGGCGACCAGGACAACGAAGATGTCATCTTCTAAGTCCACATGTATCAACCTGTTATAATATGTTTACACGCACGCTTGAACATACTCTGTAGACTGCACGACTCACTGCTTTGAATGAAATCTGCTTCATAAACTGTCGCGCAGCCGCTGCAATAACATGCGCGACACTAACATATTTTCAATGCACCATTGGCCATTGCCACCTCCGCGCCAAAACGCCTGACCCACCTCTATGAAAGCCGAATTCGTCTCAGCTACTCCGTAGCTAACTTACTGTCTCTGGTAAGTGACCTTCATAGGCTTGCCCTCCTCGCCAAGCGGCATTCCGCCTAGCTTCTCCTTCGCGCTTATAGCACCAGTATCCGCCTCGTACTCGACGAATGCAATACCCTTTCTGCCCGGCACAACACGGACTTCCCTGAAGCCCTCGAAACGGCTGAAGATAGCCGTAAGAGCCTCGACGTCGTACCCGTCGGGCAGGTTCTGCACGAACAGCGTCTTGTTCGGCGGCAGGTATTCGTCGGGGATGACGGCCGCAGCACCACCCGTGGACTTGAGACCCGCGCCTCTGACCTTTGCGGCGGGACGAGCCGCAGCCTCGGGCGCAGCGACGGCAGGGCGCTTGAGGTTCTTCTGCGCGGCTTGCTCCTCGAGCGCCTTCTTCCTGTCTGTGTCATGATTAACGCAAAGTTCCCGTATACATGCCTTACGTTTGGAAGAGAAGCCACTGGAACCATCCAATCCCGCAGTGCAATGGGATTTGAGATGTACCTTTCTCGGCGAGACGGTGCCTCTTGTGTGCCTCGAATTCCTCCTCCGAAGCCTCGCGCTTCACCGTCGCGTCGCTCTTGGTCCTGGCGTAATCTAGCGTCATCGGCTTGTCGAACAGGTCGAAGCCCTGGACTTCCTCGATCGCTTTCGTCGCCGACTCAACGTCGTCGAAGACAATGAAAGCCTGACCCTTCGCCTTCAGGTTCTTGGCCGCCCGGATGTCGATAATGTTGCCATATTCGCTGAAAATTTCCTCCAGAGCTTCCTTGAGCTGGTCGATCTTGATGCGCTCCTCGAGGTTCTTGACGTAGACACTGCTTGAAGTGTCAGCAACATGAAAAAAGCTGCGCGGAGCATCGAACAGACGTGTTGTTGGGAGGGGTTTGCGCTGAAGCCGCTGCCATTTTGTTATACTTATGGGTTTCGCTGGTATTGCTGGTATCTCCGGTTGCGCTTGAAGATTCACGGTTGTGAAGCTTTCGGGAAGCGCAATGCCCTGACAGGCGCGCGCACGATTTGCCGAGAATTCTCCATGGCTAGGGTAAGTTCTGCCAATGAATGTTGATATGGTTGTCGAAAAGTCAGTATCTCGCAAGACAGAAATAAATGCGAAAAAGAGGCAAGTTCATATGGAAGGTTCTTGCCCATTTCACTTCACTATGTGGCTTCCCGCACAAAATGTGAAGGAGCAAACGGAATCAACAGGCTGCAATCATCGTTATTTCATTCTTTTTGCTACCACACTTCCTAAGCTATATGAATTGTAGACATTTCTTCCCGCACTATATGTACTGTGTGTCCCTAATGTGAGCTCTGAAGATCAGCGAAGGTTAATGTGTCGGTAGAGGAATTGTAGACGACAATAAGTTGTCTATGAGACTGCCCCAAAGGGCCTGAGAATTAAATGTAGCATATTCATCGCTCTGAATAGTAGGTGTCAAGGCTCTACGTGGTGAATCCGGCGCAAGGGTTCTGCTACTGGCAAAATCATTAGGTAGTGTTTTACTGCTTGAAAAGTTGTAGTGGGCATTGGCCTCTGTGTCAGCAACCATATTGTTATCTTGGACCTTGTGTCGGCAACCAAATTGTCATCTTGGACGTGGCTATCCTTTAGACCCGGTTCAGGAGTTTGGCTGCTGGTGCTATCCGAGCCATCCGAAGGTGAATCCATGGTCGAAAGGTTATCCTCGTCGATCAGGTAGTCTGCTTCGCTTTGCTGCTCGAGACCATGCCCGTCAGGGCCACCGGGACCATCAAGGCCGTCATTCCCATCAAGATCCTGATCAGGGTCACTGTCCCCATTAAGTCCTTCATCTCCATCAAGAGCATCAAGACCACCAACCCCATGAAAACTTTCAGGACTACCACTCCCATCAAGTCCATCGAAATCATCGGAATCGAGGTCGTATAGGTTTTCGAGACCAATGTCGTCGCTCAGCTTCATTTTGACAAACTCTTTGACCTCTAATCTGGTCATTTCTGGGGCAAATGTAGCCTTGTCGACCACCCTGTATATCTCATCTAAGACTTGCTGGAGAATGTCTTGCTCGCTTCGATTAGGTAGATTTGTATCCCTAACGCAGCATGCATTTGTACTACTTGGCCTACCTCGAGGGCGCTTGTCGGGTTTTTCGGGTTCCGGTTGGGTATTTGACGGGGTTTTTGCCAGCAGTTCGTCGTCCAGGGAGTTGTCTTGCGGGTGGACTTTTTGGTTATACAAGGGCTTCGTCTTCTGTACGTGCGCGGACTGACGAGTTTTCGAAGTCTCAGATCTCTGATACTAAACAGCAGTTAAAACCGTCATTATCTGCTTAGCTGTTCGAACTTACGGGTGTATGTGCTATTATCGTCACTTGTGTCTTCATCTTCACTCGTGTCTTATTCGCCCATGTAGTCCTCTTCACTGCTGGTGTCCTGGACAATGCGCCTAAGAAAACCTCCTTTCGCCGCCATTTTCGGCCTTGTGACCACATCCATGGGGTGAAATTTCTTGGAATAATTAGGCCTAGAGCTACGATCTCTGAGCGATCTCGCCGACCCGGCAGCAGTGTTGGATGGAAGAATGTTTGTCTCTGGGGCAAGACCACGCAGCGGTCCTTTCAGCCTCCGTTTCTTCGCTGTCTGTGACGTGGGTTAACATGATGGTCCGATCAATTGACTGAAGCGAAGTCAACTAGATGTACTTGCCTGGCCGTTATCAATCGTGTCCTCGATCTCATCCTCTGAATCAACAACTATGCGTCTTCGTGATCGCTTCGGCGGCGGCATGGTTGATGTCGCGGCAGGTTGGAGACAGTTGAGGGCCAACGGAAGAAAGAGGCAGGCCGCGCGAGGAAGTACCAAAGATCGAAGCTCAAGGATGGCAGGAGCAGGCCAATGTGTAGGTAGGAGCGGTGTGTGGTTCTTCCAAAGAAGGCAGCCACGACTGGCACCCAAGAAAAACGTAGACAGTCAGCTTCAGGTAGCAAGCGTTTACGCACCATACAGATCTAGCTGCACCCCGATTGACCGATACCGACTGCAATTGAACATTTCAAAGAGGCTTCAGATTTCGTCGAACGAGCGATTACAAGTATGTACCAAAGAGCGCACCAGCACAGTGAATCACATGCTTATGCGGCTTGTAACAGTGAACACTAGGTAGGTTGCATGGACAAGAGACTCATAACAAAATAACGCCGCCCATAGAAATTTGACGGACACCCTGATCAGATGGAGGGATATCCTAAAAACATTGGTGATTGGATATCGTGCGAAGAAAAGCGACTGGCCCGCTCAAAACGCAACAGAAAACAGAAAGCTGTGCTGACCCTTAGCATGTCGGCATTCTCGCCGCGGCGCAGAACATTAGACACGAGACGTCAGGCGCAGCCGTGGCAAAGTTGGCATAACAAAGTCATCATCGCTGCCGTCCACATCAACCTCGATGTGGTCTATTTTGGGAGCGCTGGATACCGTTGCTGGGAATAGCTTCGAGTCGTCCGTTGCTGGAAGGAGCTTCGAGTCGGTGTCCATGGTCGACGAGCTGTTGCGATCGGCGGGTTGTGATTTCCGCCTCTCCTCGCGTTGCCTGGCCTTCTCAGCTGCTTTCTCAGCTTTCTCTTTCTGCTTGGCGGCTTCTTGTTCGGCTAGCTTAGAAACTTCCTCGAATGCCTTGCGCGCGCCATCAACTTCCGTTCGGCAGTCGCCATCACGCAGCACTTGATGTGCGCCACGCTCACAGAGGCTTTGCGCATTCTCCAATGCCTTATCTGCGGTATCGAAAGCTTCCGATCCGCCGTCGAGGCCACCTGGACCCCCCATTCCTCGCGTCGTACGGAAAGCTCCGATGCCGACTCGCGGCCTGTATCCGATCTTAGAGAGAACGGGGTCAAAGTCGTCGTCATCCTCATTGTCGTCCGGACCGGTCTCGGCCGTCATGGCCTCCATACGAGCGGCCATCTTGCCTTTCCGCAACAGGTTCCTGCCCGTGCCAATGTTCCGCACCAGGTTCTCGAACGCCTTTTGCACTTCGCTGTCGTAGTATACGACAATCATGGTCCGCGTCCGGTATTTCGTAACAGCCGACTGTTTGGAAATGACGGAGGCAGTCTTGCGTTTCCGGTTGGCCTGCGCCAACCTTGTGGCTTGATTGGGGATCTCGGACGTTTCATTGCTGGCATTTGGTAGGGCGTTTGGTGAGGCATAGTCGCCCGTCTCTTGCTCGAGGAAGTTCTCCTTTCCAGGCTTCAAAGACTCCGTCGACCCCGACTTCCTGATCTTCTGCACGACAGGGACCTTCTCGACCTCGTCCTGCTTATCCTCAATCCTCTTCCTCACATGTGCCAAAGACTCGATCCAGGAGGGTATGTTGTCGCAGAGATAGGTGAAGCACTTCTCAGAGTCGGACATGGTAGTAGTAGGTAGGTGCGGGATTTATGCGGGACGGGAGGAAATGGGGCCGGGACGGATCGACGCGGCGGACGCGACGGGAAGGATTACGGAGAAGCGTTGGCGCCCGACGAGGGGACAGGCGGACAGTAGCAGGAAGCGTGGAGGGTCAATGGCGGGTGGTCGAAGTCGCGAAGGGCGCAGAAGGTGGAGGGAGGGTTGGAGATGTTTTGCGCAGCGGCGGAGCGGAGGTGTCGTCTCTTCAGAGGAGGATAATTGTGGAGGCCGTCGGAACGTGATCCTGGACGGGATGCAGCAGGGGTGGAGGTGGAGGGCCCAGAGGCGATCTGCTCGCCGGACCGGGGACTGGCGTGTTGTTGCGCAATGAGGGATGCGCGAAGACCAAAAGCTCACTGGCAGCGACGTGGACTCGGGCTCGGGCTCACGGCGCGCAGAGAGACGCGACGGATGGAGAAGCGAAGGCATCGGCAGCGGCGCGAAGCGCAGGAGGGAGGGAGGGTTCCGGGGATCACATTGTTCAAAGCCCCACGTCGACAGGGTTGGACGCGGTGCAGAATGCTGACATGCAACGGTTGACGGCGCGGGAAGACAGGGCAAGCAAGGCGCTCCCCTCCCTCTCTCCGCGGAGCCATGACAAATCCAACCTCCTCTCTGTGCCTCTCTGTGCTTCCTCTGTGCCTCCTCTGTGCCTCCTCTCTTTCGTGCGGCACTGTCGGCGGCCCATCAACTCTGCTTTCGGCCACGATGCGGAGCTCGCGGAAGAACCACAGCTTTGGAAACGCATTTGCTGGCAGTGCCGCCTCACGCGATGCGCTTTTTTACCTAGCTTTTCTTGCTGCTGTTGTCCTTCCATCATCCTGCCAGACGCCGACCACGACAAGAAACAAACCAATAATCAATAAATAAATCAATAAATAAATAGGTAGGTACAGTAGTAGTAGCCACGATCTCCCGCGGCCGAACGGCAAGCCGCAAGCCATCTCCAACGGCCGCTAAAGCTACGGGCCGCGTGATGGGATTATGGCCCCCCGTGCAGCTTGCATTCGTGCGCTGGCCTTTTCTCGAGCTCAAAAGAGCAAGCGACCCATCTGAAACCCCCCCTGCCCCCGGTGTCGCGACGACGCTTATCAAGGCTGGCGGCAGGGCGGTGAGGGTCGCCGCGCGTGTGATGCTGGGTTCATGCACGAGTCGGCCAAAGGACTTGAGCATGCGTGATGCACCAGGTCCAGGTTCTCTCTACCTATCCTGTCGCACAAGCTTGGGCCCCGAATGTCCGAGTAAGTGAGCATTTGCCCTTTTCGGCCCGCCCAATATTTGACGCTTGAGCTTCACGTGCTGCCGACAGGGGGGGCTGCTGCTACCCCTCTGCATTGACAGCAAACCTGGATTTCGGTCACCTGCCTGCGTCTCTCGGCCTCGAATCCGTGATACACGGCCTGCCGCGGCCCGCCCATACGGCTGCAAACATTCGTTTCACCCTGCTGCTATAGCCTTCACGATCGGCGCAATCGACAATTGGCGTTTGCTACTATTCATTTTGATGTTCTTATGATCGCATGTGGCATGCGACTATGACTACACCATTCATATTTCCGCCGGAATTGGAAGAGCAGGCAAGGCCTACGGCCACAGCTCCTCGGCCTTCCAATCGGCCGTCTCTGGCACAAACGTGTACAGCTGCCGCCGCGCCTTGGCGGGGTCGCTGATGTCCGTCTGCTCCACCTGCTCCGGCTTGATGATCACCACCCGGAAATTCTTGCGCGCGATTGGGTCGTTCAGATCCTTGACCTGCGTGCCCAGCTCGAGGTTCTTGTCGTCGTAGGCTTCGTTTACTGGCCGACCGGGAGGAGGGGCGCGGAAAGTACCTGCGAAGCGAGGGCCAGTGTTAGTGACGTTATACGACATCCCCAAACTACCGTGACACGCAGTAACTACAACGGGGGCGAGAAATCCTGGTTGGCGGCAAAGTTGGGGAGCGTCTGAAGCACGCGTGGCTACTGGGATTTCACAGCGCCCCGTATATGCTGTGGGAGCTCGAGTGCTCTTGGCCTGACGGCATGACGCAGCCATCAAAACCTTCCAATTCCATGGCCCATGACCGTTTCCCTTGCGTGCCGGATACGCGTCCTGGTTGAAATAGCAAGCGATGTGAACGAAATAGCTGGTATATCCATGGTTGAATGCCGCTAAAGCTGCAATGGATGCAGGCAAAGGGGGCAAAACAGTGTCAAACAAATTGTCTTGATACTCACCTCTCAATCCTGGAGAGTTGTTCCCAAAGTGTCCAGTCAACTCCTTTGCCCAGCTCCACTCCCCTTCCTTGCCCGGCTGCACGACTCTCATCCTGCTGCCCACCTCGCTCTTGACCGTTCGGACGCCCGAGCTCTCTCCACCGTCTTCAATATCGGGACCGACCACGTAGGCCTCACCCTTGACACGCCACTGCGTGCCAGTTGCCTTCACCCACCAGACCGCCTCAACCGGTCCGCCTCCGCCGGAGCCCTGGCACTGCTCATTGGTCTCCGCATGACCTGAGCTCGAGGCAAATACTTGAGGGACTTTGAGCATACGGACGTCCGTGGTAAACGTGGGCATTTCGCTTTCAAAAACGCGCTCGTTCATGGGCGCCTCGTTGTGCTTGTTTTCCGGCAGCTCTGCCCAGAAGCTACGGAAGATGCAGTAGCGTGCCCGGGGAACGTATGGCACAGGTGAGCCCTTTGGAGCTTGTGCAAGTGATGAGAAGACGAATTCGGGTGATTCCATCTTGTTGATGTGCTCGAGGAATGTCGCCTTCCATGGCGCGGGCGCCTTCGCTGCGCTGCCGACAGTGGTGGACATGGTGCGCAGAAGGCTGGTGAGACGGGAATTGATGCGTGAAGAAATGGTTGCTGGTTTCTTAATGACTTTTAGGACAAGCAGGTAAGGATCTCAAGAGCGGAGTGATAAAGTTGGAGAGTGATGAGGTTGTGAACTAAATGGATGACGAGATGTGGTGACTTCATCGATGTCATGGAGTGGATGCGGTACGGCGGGCCATAGACGCATATAGATGATGAACCTCCGAGGCTTGCCTCGATTCGAACGCCGGACGCTCACGCTTGCGGGCATTAGATCAATTATTTGTTCGTGCATGCTGTCCCATACTCATGGTGCTCTCAAAACAGCCCGGTCTTTGTATTCGTATTTCGTGGGAGACCGTTCATTCACGTAGCTTCAGGATAAGCTTTAAGCAGGTACACAAGCTATTGATTTTAGGTACTGTCAACCAGAATTCAAGTAACTATTCAGAATCAATGGCATCACAAAGTGCACTCAAATACCTAAACCCAGACCCGGAAATTGAGGCACTTGTCTGGTCTTCGACAACTGACTTTGTTCCCTCAAACATCTCCTCGAGCATCAGAATCTCTTTCTCTTACTCTAGGGAATCAAACTTGCTTAGCCCTTTTCTCGTCATCTATTCGTTTGCCTAGAGTGCTCGCTAGCAATGGGCCGCAATTTGCCGTTATCTTTCATCTCAATAATGTTCCTCAAGAACTTGGCACTGGTTTTTCCCATTAGTCTGATGCGGGCCTAGGCCGTGTAATCCGGTAGAATTGGGTGCCCGCCCGTCTAGCTGTATGTGCTATAAGGGCCAATTTAGTTATAACGAGAGCGAGTCGCGTCCATCTCAGTTTTGAAGGCATTTCCTGTTCGGAAGGCTTCTAACTGAAATTTGGTCTTTCATCGTTCATCCCTTCCGTACAACTTTGATGCCACTGTCTTTGCCATTGAACGGGATTTTCCCACCCAAGGCCTCCATCTCCTCCAAGCTCATATCCTCGAATGCTTTCTGAGGAGCATCTGTAGTGCTCTGATTAGTGCTCTCTGTGGCAGGCGTAGCAAGTTGGGCACTCGGCTGAGGGGCTACCACGGCCTCTGCCTCTGCCTTCCAAGCTTTCTGTTCCATTTCATCGAACTCTTCCCGCCTATCGAGCCATCTTTCTTGCACGTCTCGAGCCTCCATTGTAACCCCGCCCTCTCGCATTGCAACCTGCCAGACAGAGTCGTTTGCGCCTTCAGAGGCGCCGAATGCGTAGCCGCCGGCGCGATCAATGGCATGTAAGAGTGTTATCATAGACGTTTTATCCTCCACAGCGAGCGTGTGGAAGGACAGAAGGCCAAAGTTTTCGATCAGTTCGCAGATAGCCGAGTTAAGGGCAGAAAACTTCGACTTAGGTTTCGGAGGTTCATCTTCATCATAGTCTTCCTCGTTTTCGTCCTCCTTCGGAGGTGGAGACGGCTTTCCACCAAAGCGATTGCCTTGTTCAGCTTCGAGATGCGGTAGTAGGTACTCCAGACCCTGTACTTCGGTGTAATAATCCAGGTTGAACGGAAGGTCCGGGTAGTTGCGCAGATTGTCAATCTTCGTCAGGACGTTGAGGTGCGGTAAATCCATTTGCAGCATGCTGCGTAGCGCTAGTAGCAGCGCGGAAATATATAGTGATGGCTGGGACAGTGCGAACGAGTCGGTAAGATGTAAAACTACGAGCTGTAAAAAAGTACATCAGCATTGCTCGAATGCAGACAGTTGGGTAGGTTGGCGGACTCTGTACCCAAGTTTCTGGAGGCGGAAGAAGACGTTGCGTAGGGAAGAATGGTGTGTGAAGAGCTCGACCTGGCCGGGGCAATCAAAGAGAATGTAATCGTCTATTCGCAGGAACAGTCAATATGCATTCTGGAGCTTGCGGCGACAGAGCTCACCTCCGAGTTCTTTCAACCCCTCTTCCAGCCACTCCATATTGTGCTCGAGCTCTTCTAAAGCATATAACACGCCGCCGTTCGGCCCAAGCTCCTCTGCCTCCATGATTTCTTCCAGCGTCACAAGATCCCTTACATCGAGCGCAACCGGATAGGATGTTTGGTCGTTGGCGGGGTCAAGGTTGACAATAGAGCACTTGCGGCCGATAGCGCTCATGAACTGATGCATGCCATTGCAGTACGTGGATTTCCCGGACCCAGGGGGTCCTATTATGAGTTGTGCGAAAGGCATGGTGTTGGTGTGTTGTGGTGGGGAGCTTGGAGGCGCGTGAATGGAATGGAAATGCGCGGGCGCCGATCATGACGACCTAGTTTCTGCGCTATCCATAACAGACATCTCTCGACACTCCACCTCTACTCTGCAAGCTTTCATTTTCGCTGCGCAACCCCTCCAAAACATGAGCTCCAGTAAGTTACTCAGTTATACGTGTGGCCAAAGCCTCGGCTGACGTTGTCTACAGATCAGTTCGAGCTCGCGCAACCGCCCAGCGACGCCGTCTCTGCCGTCAAGTTTGCGCCGGATAGCTCCACGCGGTTGCTCGTCTCCTCCTGGGACAAGCATGTCTACCTCTACGATACACATTCACAGCCTGGTGGGGAGCTGATTCGCAAGGTTGAGCATCGTGCGCCTGTATTGGATGTCTGCTTCGGCAAGGATGACAACGAGGCCTTCAGCGCCGGGTTGGATTGGGACGTCAAGAGGTGAAACTCCCTTGCGCGAACTGAGGAAAGAGCAGAGCTAACGTGTCGCCTTGTAGGATTGACCTTGAAACCGGTGAAAGCTCAGTTCTGAGTTCTCATGATGCGGGAGTCAAGTCCGTCGTCTACGACCCCAACCACAAACTCCTTGTTTCTGCCTCGTGGGATTCTACGCTCCATATCCACTTTCCCGAAGACCCCACGCACCCTTTCAGTATTATCGACCTCCCAAACAAGCCGTTCTCCATGTCCGTCTCGAACAGCAAGCTCGTCGTCGCCATGGCTAACCGCACCGTGTACATTTACGAGCTTCAAGCATTGTCATTGATGGCGTCGCAGGCCACAGATGAACCTCCCAACAACAAACTCACTCTTGAGCCTTGGCAGAGGCGCGAGAGTTCGCTCAAGTTCATGACTCGTGCTGTTGCATGCATGCCCAATGATGACGGGTATGCCAGTAGCAGCATTGAGGGCCGTGTAGCCGTCGAATGGTTTGACCCCTCACAGGAATCACAGGCACGCAAGTATGCTTTTAAGTGTCACCGCCAAGTCATGGAAGGGGTCGATACTGTTTACCCTGTCAACGCGCTTGCTTTCCACCCACCATTTGGCACCTTTGCTTCTGGCGGCGGGGATGGCGTCGTCGCATTATGGGATGGTACTGCGAAGAGGAGGATAAGACAATATCAAAGATATTCGACAAGTGTGGCAGCTCTGTCCTTCTCCAAGGATGGAAAATACTTGGCTGTGGGCATCAGCCCGGGATTCGAGGATGGCCAGGAGGACATGCCAGAGGGCGCTGTCAAGGTTTTTGTAAGGGAATTGAGCGAGACTGAAGCTAAGGGCAAGAGCAAGTAAACTGTTTTAAGGCCATGGATTACCTAGGGAGTAAGGAGTTGGCGAAAAGGTCCTTGGCGGCATACCCATCCACATATTATGGCCTAAGGACTAGTTCGCACGGGTCTTACATGTTTTACGGTTGTATTTGCCGAATAGACTACCGGCATATATAGCTTAAGAAGTGTAATGGCCTTTGGGTTGTTTGCTTACTATCGGACGTCTCGCTGTTATCGGGATGATGGAAGAGCTAGTACTTTCTAAGTAGGTTCACGCGGGCAACCTAGCTATCTTTCCCCACACTACCCCATCGATGAGGCATCCAACGGGACATGGCGGCGACTTCACTCCAACGCCACGCCAATGGGAGTCTGGTGACCTTGATTCCGCTCGTACTCTACAACCATCGAGCAAGGGCCCGCCGCAGTCAACGTCAGCTGTAGGCCATAACGAGTAACGATTCCTAGCTGCAAGGCATTCTTGTCGGATCCTTCGAGAGGGGCAGCTGATCGCCTCAGGACGAAGTATAACTAGCAATCATGCCGCGCTTCCGTTTCTTAAGAACCCTCTTTCCCTCTCCATCTCCAACGAACCCCGCTCTCGGCGCTGCATACAACGCACAGCTACCTAAGCTGCAGCCGGCCTAGGCACTTGCTTGCTACGCTCCACTACGCACCCGTGCCAGGGAATTTGTCGGACTATCTCTGAGACCTTGTGACTTGCTTCTGCTTGCGAAAGCACGACAGTCTCACGCCGGGTGTAACCAGAACGGCATCGTCATCAAGCCGTCTATCTTACCTCGTTATCTGGTATACCAGATATCTAGGCCACTGACTATACCTGGCTCCTCATATCACTTTGCCAAGTTGAAGCACTGCTGACTGGCCGTTTATTGATGTCGGTTGATCTGCGTCAAGCATTCACTTCGTTGCGGTTTCCATCTCGCGTGGAAAGCGTCTCCAGATCTCAACTGTCGAAAAATCATACAGGAGATAGTGTCAGACCCGCGGAACATAGCTCGTGAATAGGCACAGATTGCAGAAGGTATCCGACAAAAACAGCTCTCGCCGAGAGCATCATTGGATCTCGTAGGGTTCCGACACAATAAAAGAGACTACCTCGAGCAGCATAACAACCTGCACTGGGTAGCATCGATGTTGCGGTCTCGAGACCAGGGTGCAATCGTCTCGTCCACCAACTTGCTAACATTGACTACAGGCTCTAGCAAACAACGACAACAACATCATCACCAGCTTGCTCAGCTTGACAGACATCTTCTCCTCACCAGCGCCTGCCGCACTCACCCTCTAGCATTCACGCTGGCAGGACCTCTGGATCCACTGATTTCCAAACGAACCGGCCGCACCCATATCAACCTGAGTAGTAGAAGAGGAAAGAGTAAACCGCAATCATGGCGAAAACCACGCTCGCACCTAGCGCTACTGCAGTCCGCGTCTTCGACGAGCCAAAGGCGGCCCTGAGCATGCCCATACGCAAAGACTCTGCCACCGACGAGCTCATCGAGACCCTCTCCAAGGCCGTCGACAGCACCATCGCGGCCGACAACAACGCCAACGCGCCTGTCACCGCGACTCCGAACGCTTCAGTCGATGCCGCCGCTGCCAACACGCCCGTCGTCGGCCACGGGACCCAGGTCCACGACCAGGTCCGCATCGTGCCGACATCCGAGTACAAGGCGGCGGCGTTCGCGCTGGCCGAGGCCTTTGCCGACGACGACGTCTCGCGCTACTTTGTCGACACGCCGGACAGGGCGCACTGGTCCGCGGAGCAGAAGTGGGACCTCCACCTCGCCATCATGGAGTACATGACGTACGCGCACTGTCTGAAGGGCCTAGTCACGACCATCGGGCCCGACTACGACGGCGTCGCGCTGTGGTGCGTAGCAGTAGCAAAGACCCGCAAACCAAGCGCCCCCTCCCCCCTCCTTCCCCTCAGACAGGCAGCTAGGTAGCTAACGCGCCATCCCCGCACTCAGGATGCCCCCTGGCAACAACGTCGACGACCTGCTCACCGTCCTCCGCAGCGGCATGTGGCGGCTGCGCTACCGGCTCAGCGCCGAGGGCAAGAAGCGCTTCTTCGACGAGTTCCTGCCGCTGCTGCACGACACCAAGGCGGCCGTGCTGGGCGCCCGCGACGCCGCCTCCTGGTACCTCGTGTACATTGGCACGCGGCCCGGCGCGCGGGGCAAGGGCTACTGCCGCCGCCTCATCGAGCACATCACCCGCGTCGCTGACGCCGAGCGCCGCGCTACCTACCTCGAGAGCTCCAATGAGCGCAATGTCCAGATCTATCGCCGCTTGGGCTTCGCTGAAGAGAAGCGCATGTATTTGCAGCGTGAGAGGCGCGTCGTTGCGCTTGATGTTATGGTCAGGGAGCCTGAGGTCAGAGAGTAGGTAGGGTTGGAGGAAGTGGTGGGTTGTGAATGGGTGCTTTCAATGCTTTTGCCAACTCGATCCTGGGTTTGGTTTTACTTTCTTCGGGAGTGGCGGTATTCAACATACGCGCCTATTGGTTTCCCCTTTTCCGACTTTTTCGGTATAAGCCGACTCTCTTCACTCATTCGGTTCTGTTATTTGCTTAGGTAGCATATCGACCAATTCAACACTTTGCACCTCAATTGCATCAATCTTAGAGACAAAGACAAAGAGTGATAGACAAGTGCTTAACAACAATAGATAGAGCCGTGACTCGTCCTCGTAATTCTTTATACATCGCTAAAAACGAATTCCTTACACATATACACACGTACGTCAATCATCCATTGCCGCCAAACCCACCTCCTCCGCCAAAGCCAAACACCGACAGCACTACCAAGCCCACAAACACGGCGCCCGCAGCAGCGCCCTGCAGCGCAACCGTGGTCACGTCGACGCGGCGCACCGAGACGGCGCGCTCGCTGAACAGGTCGCGCGCATAGCGCTTGCAGTCGTCGGCGAAATACTCGATGCGCTCGCGCGGCGACGCGGGGGCGGGCCGCGGCGGGGCCGGCGGAAACGCGAGGCCGGAAGAGGGCTTGGGCGCGTAATCGGCGTCAGGAGCAGGGGAGGCAGGGGCAGGAGCAGGGAGAGGGATGCTGGGCTCGGGGCCCGAGAGGTCGGCCGTGACGAGGTTTTCCGCAGCGGTGGTGCCCTCGGGCTCGCCGGCTGGTGGTTGTGCTGCCGCTGCCGCCGCTGCCGTTGCCGTTGCTTCTTCGAGAGGGACGCCGGCCGGTTCGACCACGCTGTCGATCGCGCTCTCGATGGCGGGTTCAGAGGGCTCGCCTTCGCGTTCCGCTGGGCCGGGTTGCGCCGACTCGTCGGCCGTGCAGACGGGCTCAGAGGGCACGTCGACAGGGGCAATCTCCGCCGGCGCGGCGGCTGCCACGCCCGCTGGCACTGTCGCAGCCGATGGCGTCATGGTCCTTTCGTCCAGCACGGTCTTGATCTCCTTGACTAGCCTCCGTCTGCGCCAGGGCTCGAAGACGACCAGTTGGCTCAGCAGAAGCAGGATGTTGACGCCCATCAGGCCGAATGTAACCCAAGTGCTGTTCCGTCGGATCGTGTCGCTCCAGATTTGCTCCTCGTGGTATTGGTCCCTTTCGCGCTTCTCGAGCTGGGCGCGGGCCTCTTCGAGCGCGCGCTCAGCCGATTCAACCTTGTCCTTGGCTTGCCTTACAGCTTGCTCGTTCAGGTGTTCCGATCGTATCAATGCCATGTAGCGTTCCAAGTCTGCCGCGGACCATGAGTGTTTCCGTTCGAGGAGTCCGACGACTTCTTTCTGGGAGGACGTTTGTTGCGAGATTGCCGATTCTACCTGTAACTTGGCCTCTTCGACGAGGGCGCGGCGAGCCTTGACAAGAAGTTCTGTCTGATAGTTAGATTTACCAATTCCTTTTGCGCCAATCACGGCTTTCAATGCCTGAGGAGATAAAGCTTGCCTTGTTGGTGAATCTCTCGCTTCAGCGACTCAATGCCAGAGTAATCCGTTCCGGTGTAATTGTTAACCTTTTGACCTGCTGCCAGAAGCTTAGGCAGAACCTCATCCACCTTTGCAGATACGCGCTTGTATATCTCCCATCTCAAGCCTTGCCTGTGCGAGGGGAGCTTCTCGTTGGGGACATGATTGACGGTAGGTTCTGGCTGAGACTTAAGGGGCTGAGGTTGAGCCGGCGACTGCTCCGAGGACGGCGGTGGAGGCAACGAGATTGAAGACGGAAGCTCGGATTCAGGAGAAGGGGGCGGCGATGGTGGTTCCTGGGCCGTTGGCTCGGAGGCACGCTTTGCGGCATCTTCAATTGCGGGAGTTTGAGGGTCGGGAGACGGGTATGACTTGTCAGGATCGGAGGCATCGAGCCGGCCCTTGAGAGAGCGCACGGTAGAGGACCATTGGCGGATAGCTAAGGAGATATAAGGAGATTCATTCTGCGACGGCCTCTTATACCTTGGCGACAGGGAAGCGGAGAAGGCGCGGAAGTGGCATTGGCTGGTGACAGGGCGGGCGGCAAAGGTCAGGGCGGCGTGTTCGGTGAGCAGGCGGGAGGCATGCTGGATCACCGGTCGCATGTCTTCATCAGTTGTCGTCCTGGGGGCTGCAAGGAGGAGATAGCAGCGGCAGCAGCAGCAGGTCGCGGAGCTCTCTCTTCGCTGGCATCGGCCTCGGCGGCTTCGGCGTTAAAGCCTCCGGGTTGCGCCGCGGCCGCGGGATGCGGGCAGGTGGGTGTGACATGTTTAAGTCGTGGCCGCCTTGTGGTATCCCGAAACCCGATGCGATCAGAGCGACATCTCTACAGGGAGTGCCCTCCAGTTGCTAGTTGCTGGCCGACAGGGCTGTTCCTGGCGGCCGCAGTGCTAGCCTATGGGAGCCCCCACGTTGACGTCCCGCCAAGTGCCCGGTAATCGGGCAGGTGGCATGTTAGTCATGCTCCCGTTGACCCTTTTTTACCTACGAGTACTCCCAGTCGCCCACTTCTTACGCCTCCCGGTTTTTTCCTCTAATCGCCCATCATGTCTGCCGCTGACCTCCCCGCCATGAAGACGAACCCCACGTTCATCTTCTTTTCCGACTTTGACGGAACCATCACTCAAAAAGACAGTACGTATCATCTCATACTTCATCTCTCGTGATGCTCATATGACTCTTTTCTTTTCTTTTTCGCCGTCATTCTGCTTTAAACTACTCCGTGTCGAATGCTGAGCCATTCCAGGCAATGATTTCATGGTGCGTGATTGAATCAAGTTTGTTCCATATGCTGGATGTTGATTTTGCAAAGACCGACACCATTGGTTTCGGCTATGACCTCAGGCGTAAGGGGAACATGGACACCCTTGAGGGCAAGACGACCTTCAGGGACTCCTTCAAGGAAATGATGGACAGTGTCAAGAAGCCCTACAATGAGTGCATCCAGTACCTTGTCGACAACATCAAGTTGGACCCTTACTTCAACGTATTCTTCAAGTGGGCCCTTGAAAACAACGTGCCTGTTGTCGTCCTGTCGTCCGGCATGGAGCCCATCATCAAGGCCCTGCTGGCGCACCTTGTTGGTCCTGATGCGGAGAAGATCCAGGTTGTGGCCAACAACGTCCGTGCCAGGCCTGGAAAGACCATCAACGACGAGGGCGGCTGGGAGCTTGTTTACCACGACGACAGCGGCTTCGGGCACGACAAGTCCCTGACCCTCCGCCCTTACGCCCAACTGCCGGAGGGCCAGCGCCCGACCATGTTCTACGCTGGTGACGGTGTTTCCGACTTGTCCGCCGCTCGTGAGACTGGTTAGTCTGTCTCATCCCATGTCCAATCACGGTTACTTACATTGCGGCCTTACAACTAGATTTGCTTTTTGCCAAGAAGGGTCATGACCTGATCTCGTACTGCGTGCGCGAGGAGATCCCCTTTACTGTCTTTGAGGACTGGAAGACGATCCTGGACAACTGCAAGGAGATTGTGTAAGTTGAATTTATAGATTTTGAGGGGGGGAAGGAGAAGAAAACGAAGCTGACAGACGGCAGGGAGGGCAAGAAGACGGTGCAGCAGGCGGCAAAGGAGGGCCACGAGCTCTACAAGGCGGGTGAGTCTGGCGTGACGAAATAGATGCCCAAGGGGGCGCGGGGATGGAGGTTTGGGCACGGGTAGATGGAGTCTAGACATCTAGAGGGCGGGATAGACATAGTTCGGGTAGAAGAAAAAAACGACATATCTCAAAATCACATGATAGACCGGATGCCGGGCGCGTGGTAGTTAGTGTGTATGTACGAGTAGCAGTTAGGATGTAATGTAGGCAGGAGGTAGGTAGGTAGGCATCGGGCTGTCGTGCAGCATGCAGGGACTTGCTCTCGTTGCCAACGCATCAGCTTGCCGTCCGCAAAGCCAACAAAGCCCCCCCCCCCCCCCCCCCTGCAGGGACTTGCTCTCGTTGCCAACGCATCAGCTTGCCGTCCGCAAAGCCAACAAAGCCCCCCCCCCCCCCTCTCTCTTCCTCTTCCCGCCGTGTGCCGTCCTCTAGGCTTGACTCCTGCTCGCTGCGGCTCTCCATACGATTGTCGAGACGACGGGCGCGCGATCGATCGGCGTGCGACCTAGCGACCAGACCCTGCTCCTCCGCATTTGATCGAGGGGGATTGCCCCTCGCCGCGGTCTTTAGAGCGGAAATAACCCACGCGCTGTTCACCCTCCAGCCCACGCCCATTCAACTCTCTCAACGTCGCGCCAGCTGGTCAATTGGCTTCTCTCTCGAACCATTCCTCCATCACCCCTCACCGCTCCCACATCGAACTCACCATGGAGACTATCGACCCCACCACCGGGCGCCCCCTCCCGCCCGACGCCATCCAGCGCATCCTCTACATTGCGCGCAAAGTCCACATCTACCAGATCCCGCCCGCCACCACGACCAAGGGCTACAACGCCGCGTCCTGGACCGCCAACGACAACGCCAACCTCATCTTCACCGCCCGCCTCCGCCTGCTCGAGACGGCCGTGCCGAACCGGCACGACGGCGACGGCGACGACCAGCCCTCGGAGACGGTGACGACGAGCCTGCTGCTCGAGGACCCCAGCACGGGCGACCTCTTCGCCGCCGCGCCCTACACCAGCCCGGCCGTGGTCGAGCAGGCGCTCGACAGCAGCCGCTTCTTCGCCGTGCGCGTCGTCGGCGAGGGCGGGCGCAAGGCGACGCTGGGCGTGGGCTTCGAGGAGCGCTCCGACGCCGTCGACTTCAGCATAGCGCTGCAGGACTCGCGCAAGGTGCTGGGCTTCGAGCCGACGGCGGGCGGGCCGGGCAAGCTCGCCGGCGCCAAGGGCTCCTCCGCCGCCGCGGCCAAGGAGGACGAGAAGCGCGACTTTAGCTTGAAGGAGGGCGAGACCATCACCGTCAATATTGGCGGCCGTGGCCGCAGGCGCCAGAACGATGCCCCGCCTGCCCAGCAGGACGCCCAGGCTGCCCTCTTCTCGATAGGTCCCCCGCCCTCGGCCGGCAAGAACAACGGCGGCGCTGTGCCTTTCTTGCCGCCCCCGCCCACGGCGTCAGAAGTCAAGGCTGAGCGCAGGCGGAGCAAGGGCCTGCCGCTGCACGGCCAGGTGCAGCCACGACAAGCGGGACCCACGGCGCAGGAGTTGGGCTTCGATGACGGCGAGTTCGGCGAGTTTCAGTAGGGGCAAGGGGGGGAAGGCTTTCAAAAAAAGGAAGGGAGGCCTGAGAATTGGTACGAAACTGGGGTTCTTTCTTTGATGGCCACATTTGCATCAACTGGCTTGGTGTGGAAGGAAATAATGGTAGAGAGATATGTTGAGCCAGTTTCCGTGGTCTTTCCATTTCTGCATGTCTGATGGCGTTGGGGGGTTCAGCGTTTCAGCGTTTTCAGCTTGCTGCGTAGGCAGGTAGCTTTTGGCCCGTTCAACGGTGGCTGGTAGATGTTAAGGTATGCTACTTGATGTCTGATCCTACATCTCGCATCCGGCTCAGCCATCGGACGTATTACATTAAGTGCACTGCTGCTAAAACTTCCTTCCTTGACGCAGTCTGGTAAATAGTAAAGCCACTCGAAACATTCGCCTTTAAAAAAGCACAACAAATAGACTATTATTATTGCTTTCGCATTTTTCATTGCTCATGAGACTTTTCGTATCGCATCTGGTTGACTTTAGGCCGTGAGGCCGTTCCACTCGTTGTAGAGATCGTTGACATCGTGAATGAGGTCGTCGGCATTGGAGCGGTCGTTGTCACAGTCCTTCCACTCCCCTCCATCGCGGACGCACCTCACCTTGTCATTCAAGCGCACCGTGCAGCTGATGGTCGCGTTGAGATCCATACTCCGCTGGAAGCTGGCCTGCAGCAGGTCAAGCACGTAGCCGCCATCGTCACGGCTCAAGCAGCCGTTCAGCTTGCTGAAGTCGATGCCGTACTCGAGGGCGCAGTCGTGGACGAGGTACTCCTTGGGGATCTCCTTGTAGCGGCGCGTCAGGCACATGGTGAAGCCCAGGTATATCTTGGGGTCCGGGTACTGGTCGGCGGCGCACAGCTCGATCATGTTGCCCAGACACTCGGTCTGGCCGTGCTTGCACTCGACGCCGTCGTCGTGGTCGGTCGGCTTGCCGATGTACGACAGCTTGAAGTCGATGCGGTCGCTGACCTCGGCCATGGTGGGCAGGACAAAGGTCGAGAGGCAGTCGAGCGCGTCCGGGCACTTGGACCTGAGGCGGGGGCGGTCAGCAAGGTATGCACTTTGGTAAACAAGCCGGGTAGCAAGCAGGCGGTAGGGCCAACGAACATGATGTGCGCCTCGAGCGGGACCTTTTTGACCAGAGCTGCGGGCGGATCAGGGGAGGCGACATGACTGCAGTGGCGTCGGAAGGAGAGGATGGGCCGCGTCTGGTGGGGAAGCGGGCGGCCGAAGAGGAGGAAGAGGACGAGGGTGGTGAGGGCGGCGGCGCGGAAGAAGAGCCAGGCGGTGGAGCGGCGAGGAAGCTGTTCGTCGTCGTCCTCCTCCTTTCTGGGGACGTGGGGCAGGGGTAGCTTGTCTTGGATCATGACGGGCGGTAGGTAGTGTCTGTCTGTCTGTCTGGGGTCAGTCTGGAGAAAGACCTAATGATGCATGGAAATGGGCACCGTTCGGCGGGAGGTCGGGTTGTCGGGGCCGGGCTGACGGCGGGCAGGGATTGGAACATGGAAGGTACCTACGCACCTACGCAAGACGCATAAAGTCCCGCTAGGTACAACGCCGCGATGACACCTAGATGGATGCCCGCAGTCGTCCAGCGTGCTGTGAGCGACTGTCACTATTTCCCACCCCTTTCGTGTCGCTCGCGAGGAGTTCAATTACCTGATCCGATCTCACCTTGTTCATATCATCGGCAAACTATGGTGCCTTTATCTTGACCTGCTTTCCTTCGCCCCTGTCGGCCGTTCGACTTTGCTTCCTTTTTCCTGTGCCCCAGCAGCAATGGCCCAACACCCCGCCCTGCTGCAGCCCTTGACCCGCTGTATCAACGAGAGAGACTTGCAGAGCCTAGCCGTGGCCTTTGCCGAAACCTTCCACGGCCTCGCCCGATCGTCGCCTGAGCACTTTCTAGCCACCCCCGTGACCGCCGTGCCCACCGGCGAGGAGAGAGGCAACTTTTTGGCCATCGATGTCGGCGGGACCAACCTGCGCGTTGCTTTCGTGGAGCTGCTGGGGAACCACGACTCGAGCTTGCCCCGCAATGACCGTCCAGAGGATCTGCCCAAGATTCGACGGTCGTACGAGAAGGCATGGCCCATCGAAGACCACCTGAAGATGGACCAGGCTGAGGATCTGTTTGCCTGGATTGGAGACTGTATAGCGGGCGTCATAACAGACGCTCTGCCTGCCCGCGATCTCGGAGACGAGATACCGTTGGGCATCACTTTCAGCTTTCCCATGACGTACGTTTGTTCTTCCCTATCTCCATCTTGGCGCTACATATCTCGCCGGTTCTGGAGGCGTGCAAAGCTGAAACTGATGACAACTCGCAAGGCAAACTTCCATCTCCGAGGCTACACTAATGCCAATGGGCAAAGGATTCGGCATTACCTCCGACCTCAACCTAAGGAAGATGCTGCTGGCCGGGTATGCGCGTCACTGCAGCCCAATCACGTCGAACGGCGTTCTACACCCCGGAGAAGCAAAAGGTTTGCCCAATGGGCATTCGGGGCCGTTGCCTAAGCTGCGGATAGCCGCTATCACGAACGACACAGTTGCCACGTACGCCTCTTTAGCTTATTCCGCCAAAGCGTCAAAAAAGAGCAGGGTTGCAATGGGTCTGGTAGTCGGCACTGGCACTAACGCAACCATACCGATGACTGCGAGCGCTCTCAGTGCTTCAAAACGCGAGTTCCTCAGCAGTCTTGGAGGTGCAGATTTGCAGGGCATGAATGTTGTTGTAAACACCGAGTGGTCTGTCCGTGGCACCGATGCTCCCTTAAAACAGCTCGGTATCCCAACCGTTTGGGACGCTGAATTGGATCGTGCCTGTGAAGCGCCAGGCTTCCAGCCAGTTGAGTATATGACGGCAGGCCGCTACATCGGCGAGCTTGTGCGCCTTGTGTTCGTCCATCACCTGTCATCCCAGGGCGTAGTCGGAAATTTACCTCCAGCTCTCCTCCAGAAGAACTCGATAACCACGAAATTCCTCGCAACGTCGGTGAGCTTGTCAGATGATGTACTTTTGAAGGAGCTGATTGCGCTGTTCCCGTCACCTTCCACCGGAAAGGAGTTTTCCTGGACCATGGACAAGGCGAGCACGCTTCGAGCGATAGCTGAGGCTGTACAAACTAGGTCGGCGGCGCTCATTGCAGCAATGATTGTAGGGTTACTTGCATGTGCGGGAGAAGTCCAACTTGACGGGTATGGGGGAGCATCGCCAAAGGGTAGGAGTGAACCGGCAGTTGCGGAGGATCTCATCGTGGCATATACCGGCGGAGTGATCTTGCAGTATCCTGGCTATCTCCAGACCTGTGAGAATTGGATAAATACCCTGATCAAGAACGGGTCGTCGAGAGCGACGAAGCGGGTTGTTTTAGGAGAGGCAAAGGATGGTGGCGTCATTGGAGCTGCGGTGCTGGCAGGTATGTTCTCCAGCCTACGTTGAATTATTGGAATTTTAGATCCTTCAAAGAATATAAGAGAAGAGATATTTCGGTACATACAAAAGAGCGCGCCAAGTTGCAAGGCACTGTGCTGCAAGGATGTCGCGTCTTGGTCGCGGAGACGGCGTCGCTAACATAACGAGAACAGCAAAACAGGCAAGAGGGATCAGCTGCCCACAATGTCCACGAGAAACAAGCACTACGTGTTGCGATCATTGTGTTGACAAAGCTAGTTTTGGTTACGCTGTTCAAAGATGGTTGTCGACCTCGCAGACTCCAGCGCATTGGCCACGAAGGTCAACAGCAAGTATCTATAATCGCCAAAAAGTCCATGGACCATACCCACAGGTATATAAGGCCGGGATGTCGTTCATTCAGCATGACCCCTGTGAATGATGCCTCCCTCCCTAACTGGTTTACTGGTGTACTGGTTCGCCGGTTCTGGTTTATCGGGATCTGGGTTGTATGGGTTATACCCAGATGAGTAAGTGTCACACTCCAGGCGCCATACTTTTTGTTGCAAGTTCGATTCCTGGCTGGGCCATTTCTTTTTTGTTTCTTTTTGGTATCTTATTACTACTCCCCCTTCACGTCACGGACAGGCATCTCCCCCCCCCTCAAAATATACCTCCGTCCATGTCAAGACTCCAGATACATGACATGCCATTGAACGTGCAAATCTATGCTCACACTAAGTAGCCGTGCTCCGCTGTGCAGTGCGGACAGACGCATAGATTCACCTAGGTTGTGTTAACACATGGAGGTAAACGCGGTGTCCACAACAGACAACAACTACGTCAGTGAGGGCGCATATTCATTCACTTCACAAATCGAACCTTCTACTACCTTCCATTTGCTCTACCCGAGCCTTGGCACACTACTATATAAGTTCCTCGCACCCCCAGCCCTTGAGTCCTCTTTTTTTCCCTTCAGCCCCTGCCGTTTTGACTTTGATTTACAGTAGGTTTGCACCGCTCCTCATCGCCACCGTCACCCTTCAATTTCCCCGGCACTCTTTTGATGTTGCCTTTCTCACTTGATATCCAACCTCACTTCACCTTCATCCCTCACCCGCCCGTCAGCACCCTTCTTCGGCACTTTTCACTGACGTACCTATCCTCTCACAGCGACAACCTTGGTCCCCCCGATCAAGGGCCCATGCCTTCTGCTTGGGTGGTGGCGATACGGGGCTGTCGCCGCCTACAACTGCGATGTCTGTATCGAGACTCACTGAGTTGGCCTTCGGGTTGACAGCGTGGTCTCGTGATGGCAAGTTCAGGGCGCAATCCGTCGGTGGACGGTGGACAATCCTAGTCAGTGGGTTTACCCTCCCTAAGGACATTCTCCATGGGCCTCTACTTCTTGCTGCCTTGCTAAGTTCGCCTGTGGCAACGTCTTGATCTCAACGTCTTGGCGGAAAGTTGCGGCTGGTGAGCTGCATTACATTAGAGAGGGGTTGCTCCGCCTCCACTGCCAACGTCGGCTCCTTCTTCTCTATCGCTCTTCCTCTGGCCTCTCAAAACCGACTGGACACGTGATTTGTTCATGCGATCCGACGAGCGAGTAGGAGTCCCAGGTTCATAGGAAGTCGCAGAGCTGCACAAGGATTCCCGACACCCGACCTCACCTTTGACATCGAAGCTTACAGTCCCCACTTCGTTCTCCCTTCCGTACACCCTTTTCCCTTCTCGCTGTACCCCATTTTCCCATCCTGGGTGGACATGTCATTGGTCGCCGTTGGTTTCTGGGTCCAGCGAGCCCACCAGACACGCAGCACAGGTTGTGACCGGGACCACTACCACTCTACCGAGTTGCCCTTGGGATTCTCATCAGAGGTGCTGGGGCTGCAGCACAGGTTAGCTGACCGGATCACGACCCACTCTCCCGAGGGGCTCTGTAGCTACAGCACATTTTGGCTTTCGGGCTTTTGGGGTGCTGTGGCTACAGGGTCGAGTTACCTATTGGACTCCGGATTCTGTGGCTACAACACGGTTGGCTCTGGGGGTTCTTTCAAGCTTTGCATGTCGGGGTGCTGTGGTTACAGGATCGAGTTACCTGTTGGGCTCCCGGATCCTGTGGCTACAGCACGGTTTGGCTCTGGGGGCTTTTTCATGCTTGGCATGCTGGGGTGTTGTGGCTACAGGATCGAGTTACCTACTGGGCTCACTCACAACTATGCTTTGCATAGTAGAGGTGCTGTGTTGGATGGCCTTTGGAAGTTTCCAGCGAGTCGTTGGGGCAGGCGGTGCCTCTCGCTCGAAAATCGCCACTGGAAGCAACCTTAGGAGCAAAATTCGAAGTGCCCACAACATGGCAAGACCGGTTTCGGAGAGTTTGAAGAACTTGGGGGTTTTGGAGGATCTTCGAGGGTTAGTGGAGGATTGGGCATACTCTCCAAACCCCAGAGCCTGTTGGAGGAGCGCCTGGTGAATGGAACACCAGACCAAATCTCATCCAAAGCGGTTCTATCCCTCCGCATCCAGGTGTCTTTCAACAATTACCTGGTGAAAAAAGCGGATTACTTCTGGTAAGAGTTGCCGTAAGAAACTCGGTGGTGGTACGGGGGCCCTGGCTGCCTCAGCCTGCTTCTGAGTAGGCTCTATCAGGGGGGTATCCTACTTGGGGAATTTTTGGAACACACACAAGCCTTCGAGGCTTGCGAAGCGGTGCCTGTATTGTACTCCCTCAGGCACGCTTTGTAGAGGGGACTCTAGGGGCACTGTTCAAACTACTTACGACTATTACGACTATGACAATCACAATGACCTCGGCGATGACAACAATGACGATGGCGACTGCGATCACCTTTGACCCACCTCCACTACTACCTCCGCCACCATAACAGTCACCATGACCATCACAACCACCGCAACCACCAAGCCCAACACAAACGATCACGACAACCGCGCCAAACCGACCCCTGACAGTCGCGGCTGCTGTCACGCCAAAAGCCTGTGCACTGGGAGAGTGGGACCAAACAAAAGGAAGCGTGTAGCACTGGATTGCGGACGACGCTGGAAGCGACGGTGGCACAACCGGCTTGATGACGGCCCGTCGTCATCACTACGGCACGCCCGAAAGCCAGCCATCCGAACTGCCAGTCGACTCCTAGGTGCTAGCTTGCTAGCATCTCGTGATCCGGTGCATGGCGCTTAGCCTGGTGTAAAAGTAACCGTTTGCAGTACCTGGCTAGCTGGGCAGGCCCAGTAGGCAAGTGGGAAATCTCGCTCTCGAGACAGTCTTGCGTCGTGCTTTTGTTTCTTTGAGTCTGCTTTTTTCTTTTGTTATTTCTTTGGTCAGTGTCTGCGTTGGCTCAGCTAATCTGGGTAGGAACATGACGTTTGGTCGCTAGTGGTGGATGGTGGTTCATGCCTTTGGGGAATCGTATGAGAGAAGAGCGAAGCGATTCGTTCTGCCAGACTTCACTGACTACCTTGATTTAGGATGGCATTGTGGGATCGAGCTTGGATTGGTTGGCACTGAAGGCGTACTGTCCACACCCGCCAGTGCTCTCCTGGTGGAAGAATTGTCGATCTGTGTCGCATATGGAAAGCGGTTTTGCGTACAAAAGGTTCACAGATATGTCGCCGTGCTGTGGTACACTGACAACAGAACTATATGAAATAGTTTTTAACTAATTAACTTTCGTTACCGTCACGCAAGACTCACCACCTAGCGAGATTGCCATGCTTGTACTCAGTGAAAACAAAAACTATCTTTCAAATCCGTAGATTGTATACGCTCTGGGATCCTCTAAGATTCAGGTTATGTACCCTCGAAAGACAAGACGCTAAAAGTTTTATTAGCTATTTCACTCCACAGTGAATCAATCCTCTTTGACAGTGAAGTGCGAACTTTCTTTTGGACGGTTCAGTCATTAATTATATACCATCATTTCCACATGATTCTATGCTTTTGACCGCCAAATTCCACCTTTTCTTATCTATGTACACAGAACGCTTACTCGATCTTGATGCAGATCTTGCCAATGTGCTTCTGGTCCAGCATGTACTGGTAAGCATCCTTGGACTGCTCGAGCGAGAAGACCTGCTTGTCAACAACAGGGTGAATGTCGTTCGCCTGGATAGCGCGGTTCATGTCCTCGAACTGCTGGCGCGAGCCGACGAAAATGCCGCGAACGGTGCAGAGGTGGATGAGGGCATCGAGGTAGCTGGGCTCCTCCTCGCCCTGGCCGGCAATGAAGCCGATGATAGTGACGATGCCGTCGACGCCGATGCAGGCGAGCGACTGCTTCATCGTCTTGGGACCGCCGACCTCGACGACGAAGTTGAGGCCGCGCTCATCGGGCGTCAGCTTCTTGGCCGAAGAACCCCATGCGGGGTCCTCCTTGTAGTTGATGACGTGGTCGGCGCCCAGCTTCTTCAGGAACTCGGCCTTCTCCTTGGTGGAGGTGGTCGCGATGACCTTGGCGCCGGCAGCCTTGGCGAACTGGAGACGGTGTTAGAAGTGCGCGGGTTTGGTAACAATAGAGGGTCAAATTAGCCCACCTGCAGAGCGAAGATAGAGACACCGCCGGTTCCCTGAGTAAGGACGTAGTCACCCTGCTTCAGGGGGCGGCCCTCCAGGCCGTACAGCGCGTTCCAGGCAGTCAGGGCAGCGCAGCTCAGCGTCGAAGCCTCGAGCCAGTTGAGGTTAGCGGGAACAGCAACGAGGCCCTGCTCGTCGAAGGCGCCGTACTGGCGCAGGCAGCCGTCAAGGACGCCGCCCAGGCCCGTCTTGATCGAGTTGCCGTCCAGCGGGCCGGCAATGTGTGACTGGTTGAAGAGGGTAGCGACCTTGTCGCCCACCTTGAAGCGGGAGACACGCTCGCCGACGGCAACAACCTCGCCTGCACCGTCGGAGGTGGGGACCACGCCGTCGCGGACGGGGAACGGGTACATGCCCTGCGGGATGAGTTAGAAATTGCGCTGAATGGTAATTTTTGGCCTGGGCGTACCTTGGGGATGGCAAGGTCACGGAAGTTGAGCGAAGCAGCGTGAACTTGATCTCCGGGTCAGCATTCTGTTCAAAGTTCGTGGTGAATTGGGCGGGGCATACGCTTGACCAAGACGTCCTTGTCGCCGAGCTTGGGAACGGGAACCTTCTCTTGGTAGGTCAGGGAGTCAAGGCCGTTCTGGCCGTTGATGGTCCATTGCTTCATCTCGGTGGGAGCCATTGTTGATGGTGTAGTGGGGAAGAGGAAAGGATGGGTATCAAGAGTTTGGAAGAGTTTGATGGTGTAGAAAAGTCTAGCTGGACAAGAAGATGGGGACCTTTTATATTCACAGAAAGCAATACCGCGCAGAGACCCATTATTCAGCTGTAAGGCGGTGGTGAAGATGACGTAACGAGGGAAGGTGTTGGTGCTGCGGTTCCCATTTGGCACGTTCTCTACCTACTCCATCAACCATGCCGCATCTGGCATGAATCGTTCAATTGCCGCCATCACCTCTGTCTGACACCTCACCCAGACAGGGATTGCAGGGTCCGCGCTCGAGTGGATGGACTTCGAGGCCTTACTCCTAGAGCGCCATGTCTTAGAACAGTAGCCCTCCCGCTCCTCTGTCTTCTGCTTGCATTCTCGACCCATCCAAGCAGCGGCGCCCCGCCCTCCCGCTCCTTTGCCTTAGTAAGCTGCCTCTCTTGACCCGTTAGATCTGCGGTGCCCCGCCACCCCGCTCCCACAGCACCGTCCCGTCGGCGAACCCGATCAGTAATCACCATGTGATTGGTCAAAAGCTTTATATGGTCACGTGATACGTTCCTAATCCGGTACCCCGCCCATAATGCTCCTTACCCATGACCGTTCACTATCCTCTGAAACACCAACCGGACTCATCTCCGTAGCTGTTTTGTGGGGTCGAAACGTATAGAAACTTCGCGACTGATCTGCTCCACCGTCTCCTTTGAAAATTAACATGATTGCTAAACACCTCTGCAGCGATCTGCCCTTGTTGGTGTCAGTCTGCTTTCGAATGAAGCGTTGTAGCTGGCATAGAGAAACCTACAGTTCACTAAATCCATCCGGAGATTTCAAACTACCTCGAGAATGGTTTCTATCCGTCCCGTTTATAACGTTCCTCACCCCCAAGAGAGATTCACCGTCCGACGGGATAGAAAATGATACAAGCAGTCCATACAGAATACTTCTTTATCTTGCTACAAGACTGAGTCCTAAATATGGGTAAGAAGGTCTTAAAATTCACACCATACTATGAACATCTTGACTGGATTTCGTTTCCACTCCATACAAGAATCATTATTGCCTCGCTCGACGGTGACGGACACTAGACGTCCATTGCCCCCACTGCTCCCGTTCTTCCTGAGTCACCTAAGCTCGGCGGTCGATCCTCCACCTTCGTTCCCCACTCACTCTCCGTTTTCCCTAGCGTCAACACCAGCTTCCCTCCGTGCAAGAAGAACTCATGTCCGATCCAGTTCTTCGTGTACGGCACACCATTCAGCGTCGCCTTCTGGATATAAATGTTCTTGTACTCAGCATCAAAGTTCTCCGTACGCACAGTGGCCGTGCAATTTGTGAGCGGACTAGTGACGCTGACAGAAGGGAAGAAGGGCGGGATAATGAGATAGACATTCTGGCCCGGGTTGGGGAAGAGGCCGAGCATGGAGAATGCAGTAAAAGAGCCCATGGCACCGCTGTCGTCGTTGCCAGGCAGCCCACTCGCCGACGTGTTGAACGAGCCCGGGATGTAGGCGTGCGCGCGCCGCGCGGACAGCGCGGGTCGTCCAGCGTAGTGGTATGCGAAGACAGTGAGGAAAACGGGCTCGTTACCAATGTCGACTAGTGGGGATGTGTGGAAATAGTCGAGCCGTGAGACGAAGGCCGTGTCGCCGCCGAGAAGTGATACTAGCGTCGACATATCTTGCGGGACGTAACTGGATATGGTCAGTTTCATCCAATTATTCTGATAAAACGGGATTGGGCTTACAATATATACTCCCAGACGCTACTCTCAAACGTCTCCGAGGGATTGCTCGTCAGTGAGCACCAGCCTGCGATTGGACTGCAGGCAATGGGATCTTGATACCCCCATGTACCATTCAAGTACTTGGGCTGGAAGAAGCCGACGAAGCCCATATCTGTTCCATTGATGGTACTGTTCTGATCCGCTTTGAATAGGTTTTTCCAATTGCTTGCTCTGGCGAGATATATTTCATAGTCTCTCCCCAGCGCTTTGCCCAGCGTCGCAAGACAGAAGTCATTGTACGAATACTCCAGCGTCCGAGAAATGCTCCGAGAGTTGGTTCCAAAACCAAGGTAATCGAAATCCAGATAAGGGATGTAGTTCAAGTTCTTCCAACTGACAAGACCACCGCGGCCCTCATAGGACCACTCGAGTGGTTCGTTTTCAGCGTCGTTGACTATGGCCTCATAGGCAAGCTCCCAGTCAATACCAGTGAGGTTTTTTACGTAGGCATCGACGAGCACCACATCGGCGTTGGATCCGCCCTGAGTCCAGCCTTTGCAAAGAGCCATGCGGCAATCTGGAAGCCAACCTTCATTCTGGTAGGTGTAGAGCAAGCTTCGTATCATCCGTGACAGCGCTTTTGGATCGAGGATGGTAAGAAAAGGAAGTTGTGAGCGGAATTCGTCCCATAAGCAGTAAAACGAATCAAAATAGTCCGGGCTTTCCCAGTGCGGATTTTCTCCTGTGTAATCCTGCGGGGATATCATTGTCCGGTAGATCGCGCTCCAGAAGTTGGTTTGAAAAGTCGAGCTTACATTGCCCGGTTCTACGGTGATTGGACTCAACTTCTCTCGCCATGCATCCTTAGCCTGCCGTCTAAGGCCAGTAAAATCGTAGTCTGGTATCTCCACCTCGGCGTTCTGACATGCTTTTTCTGCGCTGATGAAACTGATTCCAACTCTGGCTAATATGATTCCATTATCCGGGCGTTGAAATCTCGCGAATCCCCCTGCTTGGAGGTAGAAGTTGTTGAAGCCCCTCGTTACAAACAGCTCTTTTGGTTCCGTTCCAGCTCGGTTGTTAACGTACACCCCACTGTCATGAACAGATGCTCCACAAAAGTCTACACATGTGTGTAGAGCGTAAGAGCCTGCGCCAAAACTAGGAAGGAAGGACCCACTGGCTTGGATCCTACCAGTGGCTTCGTCGACCTTGATACTGGCGTTTTGTCTACTAGCCCAAAGGTCGGTGAGGTCGAGCAGAATTAGAGGGCTTAGGGCGGTCCCGTTGCTCGTCGAACCTTCCGGAAACGTAAACTGATAAAGCGCAGCATGCTCGGACACAGTCATCTCAGCGCTGATGCCGCTCTCCAGTGTCAAAGCAAAGTACCCCGGCTGCGCAACTACCGAACGGTTTTTGTATGGCGTAGCGCGTGCAGCTATAGGAAAACTGCACTTGTCTAGAGCATCGTCCGGACAAATTTGGGGGAACAAAGGAAAGTTTCCGAGTGACGGGTTGCCGCCAGTCCCACTATCATGCACCGAGCTGAAGCCAGTTACATTGCTTCCGTCTGTCGAAAAGCCGCCGGTATTTTGCCCGTCCACATCCGCAACAGCTTTGGCCATGGCGTATGGAAGGGTCGCGCCGGCGAAAACGTTGCCGCCATTGTTGGAGCCTATCAGTGGATCGACGAAGTTCAAAACATCAAAAGCGTTGGTGTTTTGTGCTATAGCAAATTTTGTCGTCAACGCGAGGAGGAAGAAGACACCTTTCGACTGAAAAATATTCGTGTGGTTGGGCATGATTGCGTAGCCAAGATGGAGGCTGATAGTCCGCTTAAGGTAGGTACGATGCCATTTTAACTGGCAGTTTTGCGTCTCAACCTGTTTTGATGACGGGATCAGATCAAGGTACTACGTTTGTGACTTGCAGGGAACGTTCCGTGCGGGGTTTTGCTGCGCTGCTGGAACCATGCATGTTGTGCCCGAGTTGTACTAGGATCCGACGCAACTGATGTAACCGCGCCGGAGGCACCGCGATGATAACACATTCGTGCCGGTCTTAACGTCCGTCACCGACAAGCGATATTCACCATATAGCGAGACGGAGAAGGATACAAGCAGTCCCTATAGAACACTCCTTGTCTACTTATAAGCCCAAGTCCTAGATTGGAGTGAGAAGGTTTTATGGCGCACACACACTATAAGTATCTTGTCTAGATTTTTCCTCTTGCTCCGTGCAAGTGTCATTATCTCGCAAGACGGTGAATCTCGCTTGACAGTGACGGACGTTACAACGGTCAAAGGGGCAGATATTGTTCTAAATTTTATGCTCCTCGTGGACAATACACCAAACCACGAGTGCATTCCTGAATAATTTCCTTTGATTTTTATAGTTGATTCAGGCAAACCCCGGAGTCTACCACTCCCAATCTTCTTGCAGCCGGCGCCCTAAACCGTGGTCGAACCGGATAGGTCCACGTCCACGTACAAGGTGTCACTGTTATACGAGATCACCCAGGTTTTGTCTTCGTGACGAAAGGGCAAATTTCGAAGATTCCGTCGAGGTCCTTGAGGTCGGGACCGATAGCCGCGATTATAGAGAAGGGATGCATTTAAGGAGAGAAAGAGTGACTTTCCAAAATGACAGTGGATTTTGTTTGATGGTGTATGTAGAATGGAGCCAGGGAGCAAGATGTTGCGAGTGTTTGTTTGCTTACTCGATTCTTTCTAGGTCGGACCATAGGAGTGAGTTGAGCGCACTAGTTGACACTACGGGTGAAGGAAAATCTTGGTTTGGCTTTTGGAAGAATGGCTATTCGCGAGATACTTATGCTTGCTAGCTAGGCACCTTGTCAAGCCGGGATAATAAGATGGGTCCATGGTATGATCGCAGGACCTGTATCTGCTCTTCGCAAGGATTGCTTCTATCATTATCGACAAATAAGCCACCTATGCTTGCTGGTCATGTAGTTGATCTCTGGCCTACTCCACACGCCAGTTTTGGAACCAGATATCGGCCATCGTTGCCAGTGATTCCGCCATTCTCTCTTAGGTTCTTGTTTCTTTGATCATAACTGTGCGTGACCTTGACGCTTAGGCTCGTTGTTCGTAAATCGTTGAGAAAGGCCTCAAATGCGCAGTACAGAAGACCTGCTTCTCACACCATCGAAGAGGCAAGTGTTGTCGACGGGAATGTATTGCTTGGTGATCACTTTGATGACCTCCTGCGAAACGATACCACCCACAAGTGCTGAAATGTTGTGCAATTCAGCACCACCAGCGCGGGTTCTGAAGAAATATGTTAGACTTTCTTCAACCAAGGACGAAGATATGACTTACAGCTCCTGGCAATATTCTTCCAAAGCATTGTAATCAACATCCCGGGGTTCTCCGGTCTCATCCTTGTCTCCCACCTCCTTCAAGAAGGCGCCCAGTATCTGGCGTGCAAGTTTCTTCATATTGGCAATATCGATCTCAAGGTTAGCATCCTGGGCGCCCGGTAATCTCAGCCCGTCCCATGCCTGTAACGCGACATAGAGCAAGAACAACGACTCTGGGTTCTGCAGGCCCATCCACCCAGCCAAGTTTGATGCCGTTTCTTTGTCCCACTGAAAAGGATTGAGCTGGAAGGGCCGGCCACGCACGAGCTTAATGTGTCCGGCATTTTTACAGAAGGCTTCGATTTCCTTTTCTGGGATGGGGCTGGGATACTGAATTTGCATTTGCAAATCGTGGACAATAGAGGCGACTTCGGTAAGATCGGCACGCGCTTTCGACTTGTAGACGTTTTGCAAAGTGATATAATCGGCGGACTGGGCCTTCATATCTGGCAACGACCCAGGGAGCGGAAGCTGCGAGTGCTTTTTGTAAAAAATGGACATGGCATGCGCGATGAGCCAGAAGCTGGCAGACTGGATAATTCGTTAGCGACATCGTTTGCGCTATTCTGAGGAGCATCTGAATACTCACCTCTTTCGTGAGGTTTTTGCATTCTTCGGACTCAAACACTTCCCTGACAGCGCTGCTTGCTTGCGCCGGGTTTAGGCTTTTCAAGACCGCTCCAACGGCCTCATCGAAGTTCTCCTCTCCGCCTTCCGGGTTGTTCGTCCGTGTACCCTTTCGCACCATCTCACGAAATTCGGTCTTCTCCTTGTAATTTTGCGGCGCCTTGCCACCATGTGTCTGCTTCCATTCCTCTAAGTAGTTCAGTAGCAACAGAACGTACGGTACGTGGCCATGCTCGTGATCGCTCATCGCTTCCAAATTGTTCGTCTTCTGCGCCGCGAGCTGTGACAATTCTGGCCATGGCGCGAGTAAGCGCAAGTCGGTAGTCGATTCGGCTGGAGGGTGTGTGTCAACGATGGGGAATGCTGGCGGTAAATGGATAGAGAAGTGGCCGTAGTATCCTATGCTGTGGACGTAAAACGTCGCAACGGCAGCCTTGCTAGCATGCAAACTTATTTTTTCGAGGACGGAGTTTGAGACTGGAGCGGTAACGATGATGAGTGTGTAGGGATTCAAAGTGGACGGTTGTTCTATGAAAGACTCCACGGACTATGATACGATTAGCAGCCGTACCCCCGTGGTGTGAATTGTATGGCATACCTGGTTGATGTAGTGACCTTGGACATCTGGGTTAAGCTCCTTCAGAAGGTTACAAGTATGCTGTGCTCTCGAACCACCGAGGTGCTCATTCTCAAGAAAGAAGTTCACCCCCAAATCTGCTTCGGTCACTTCAGCGGAATCGAGAATGGTGAATTGTCCGATGCCTGCTAATGTCAGCAGCTATAGATTGGAGAAGAGTAGGAGCCAAATACCAGGCAGGACCAAATTCTTCAGTGTCTCAACGCCTACGACACCTGGACCGGAGTTGATGAGAAGGATGTGGGCATCCTCGAGAGCTTGCTGGCCGCTGGCGGCCCACAGGCGGAGCTGCCTGTCGTACTTCTTCTCCTTTGACGATGGGCCGTGGAGAGGCGGAGGGGTGGTGCCGGTCATGGTTGTGAGAGAGACAATCTTGGAGGGGGGATGTTTGGTGGGTAGGTACCTAGCTTGAGCTTGCGGCGCGTTTGCCTGGCGTCATTCAAGCAGATGGATGCCCGCCGACTCGCCGACCCTCGGGCCGGGCCAGTTCCTCCCGACAAGGCTGTTGGCCACGCTATCGCGCTACCCGGATCAAGGTCCATACGTGGTAGGTAGCTCTAGGAGTACGCCTTTTCCGTAGCGCATGCCTATCGAATAAATATACATCTCCTTAAGGATATTGAATTGAGAGTGTATCACTTTCTAGTTACCTCTATGCAGGATCCCAGCACACGTGCTTTCTAAGCGGATCAAATATCTACAGAAAGAGGTCCAAGAGCAGAAGACGAAGGCTGACACGCAACCTCCAAGTTTACTCGTAGGCGAAGACTTACCAAATTTTAGGAGTCAGTCTGTGAGCCATGACTGTACCTGAAACTCAAGGTTTCTATATGTATACGCAGCCATCTATATAGCTGTATATACATCTTCATCATCGGCTCAGATCATGCTCCACTACGTACCTCTACTCGCCATGCGGAATGCTACGTTGTGTGACATTTCTCGAACCGTCGCACTTCCATTTCTATCGGGCGCGTGCACCTCTTCAGCTGACGTCCTACAACATCGCCTTGCTTCTCAACACATCGTCAACCAGTTTGACCGCCGCGTCCGCCGATCCGTAACTGGCCTGGTAGCCATAGCCGCCATGACCGTAATTATGCACTGTCCAGACGCCCTCAATACGCTCCTTTTCAACACGCGGGCCGCCCTCGCGCATCGGCCGCAACCCGACACCGTGCCGGACGATACTCAGCTTCTCGATGCCGCCGCCATCAGTCAGTGTTGGACACAGCTCCACGGCGCGCCGCATAATGCGGACGGCAAGGTTTGGGTCCGGCTGTGATTCCCAGGAATTCTTCTGCATGCAGCCGCCCAGGATAGTACCACCGCCCGCGGCGCGTTGCATCATGTACACGACCTCGTCCCCGCCGTCGTCTGTCCCTGACGAACTGGCCATGACGCCGGGATCGTTGCGCACGATGACGATCTGCCCACGACCTGGGTACACGGTGGGGTCAGCGACGCCGCCGAGCGTGCGCGCAGCCAGGCCGGTGCAATTGACGACTACATCAGCCGGCGCTCCGCTGTGGTGCAGGCGTGCGGCGTCGGCGACGTGGGCGACGTCAGCGCGCGCGAAGCGGGCGCCGCGCGCCAGGCATTGGCTCACAAGCCAGGGCAGGTAGATGGCAGTGTTGATGCAGACGGAGGTGAAGGCAGTGGCCGAGTCAATGCCGGGCGGCAGTTGGTGCTTGGGCAGCACACGGAAGTTGGGGACCACGTCTTTCCACCACGGGTTGGCCTTAAGCAACTCGGCGAACCAGTCACCCGTCACGGAGCCGAGGTCCTTGGCACGGTTGTGCAGAACGGCCTCTTGGAAATGGATGGCAGCCGAGGGATCATTGGCCGCGAGACGTTGCAGCTCGGGCCAGGTGTTGCGCTCGTAGAGGGCGAGGGCGGAGCCGGGGGGTCCGACGCTGGGGAAGGGTGTGTGTGAATTAGGTTTCTTAGGTGAAGATGTCAACGGAAGACTCACGGCAAGTAGTTGGCACCGGCCCAGGGCGAGGCGTAGTTTATATCATAGTCGCCGGGCATATGCTTAGCGACAACGGTGACGACGTAGGCCGGGTTTTTGGCTAGTTGCAGGGCGGTGGTGAGGCCGACGACGCCAGCGCCCAGGACGACGATGTTGTGGGAGGAGGGGGACATGGCAGCGGACAATGGGCAATGGTAACAAACAGACAGAACAACAACCAGACAGAACAGAAACGAAGCTAGGTAGGTATGTATACATATAATAATTGGATAGGTACTTTTTACTATCTATAACTCTTCGGCTTCGCTCTCCTCCCGCCGGCCGAGCGGTGTGAGATTCTGCCAGGCGCCAACCCAACGCGCCAAGCTCGGACCCCTGGGCTGGACAAGAGCTGCGCAGCGTCATTCAAAGGGAGAACAGTGAAGCTGTTGCTGTGAAAGCGAGACGCGGCTCCCATCCTCCACGTCGCCGCCCCCTCCTCTCTCCCCTCCCGCCGTCCCTCCGCCCTCTCCTCCGCCTCTCACCCTTGGTTTCGCCCTGCCCCTTCGATGCTGCACTCCTGCTAGCCCTGTCTCTCCCGCTGCCAAAATGCCCTCTCGCAATTCTGACGACGAGTTCCCTCTGCTGGCCGCCATGGGCCTGTACGCCGCAGACATCCTGGGCGATGGTACGCTCCCCCGCCCCGCTCTTCCCCGCGCCCATTGGGCTAACCGTTGTCCCCAGGTAACTGCTTGTTCAATGCCTTGTCCGACCAAATGTACGGCGACCCGGCCCAGCACCTGCAAATCCGCCTCGACACCGTTCAGCACATGCGCTCGCACGCCGACTACTACAAGCAGTTCATCGTCGTCAACCCCGGCGGCGGCACCCGTAGAAACCCCAAAAGAAAAAATGTTGGCACCTACTCCGCCCCCGCCGCCTCACTATCGCCCACGCCCGACGAGATCGACCATGCCTTTGAGCAGCACCTCGAGTCCATGGCGCGAGGCGGAACCTGGGGTGACAACATCGAGATCCAGGCCTTTGCCGAGACGTACAACCTCGACGTCAAAATATATCAGAGGGATTTTGCCTATGTCATCTCGCCCAAGGCCGAGGCCGACGCCAGGCAGGTTCTTCACATCGCATACCACGTGAGTTGGCACGCATGGGCTGCTTCGGATGCCGTGGCTGACTTTGTCGCAGAACTGGGAGCATTATTCTTCTATACGAAATCTCAACGGGCCCCACACCGGGCCTCCGGAAGTCAGGATGCGGGCCATCAGCCCTGGCACGGAGCAAAAGCAAAAAGAAAGGCTGGCAAACACTTCAATGGTCCTACCATGGCAGATTGAGGTTGTGTCAAAGTCTCTCCCGTTCTTGACGGACAAGCTTACCATCAAGAAGGCTCTTGAAGAATGCAAGGGTGACGTCAATAATGCCGTCTCCCAGCTGCTCGACGACGATGCAGGCAACACTTCGTCTGCTCAAGAGAGCTCCAGCATTGAGCGGGAGCCCGACAGCGATGACGATGACATTTACGGCCCTAACAAGAGGAGAGAGCGGCGATTGAACCGTGCTACAAAGCACAAATCTCACCAGGACCGTCTCATCTCCCACCTCGCTGCCCAAGACGGCTCGCAGCTTTCCACTGCCAGCACCGACTCGCCTAGGTCGAGTGGTCCAGGCACTCCACAGTCGACAGCTCTTGAGGCTCCTGATTCCGACGATGAGCAACCGTCGCACTCGGATGCCGAAGAGCCGCCAGCGCCACCTTCACCTAAGCCACAGCAAGGTCCCAGGCGGATCAGACTCACTATGCCCAGACCTCCAGAAGAGCTAGCAGCTGTCCAAGCGGCTGCCAAGACACAGCAGAAGCAGCTTGGTCCACAGCAGACGAAAAAAGTCTCGGCTCGTCAGCAAAAAGACATGAAGAAGCAGGCTCAGAAAGCTGCTCGTAAAGAGCGCCAGAAGGCCGCAAGCAAGTCTCCGGCAACAACCACGCTTCCCATCATCACAAAGTCCAATGGCACGTCTCCTCCTACTGCTGGCATCAAGGAGCTTTACGTCTAAAACCTATCCACTCACACATCGAGCGGCATGACCCACCCTCACGACACACAAGTCTTTGATACCCTCATCACAACATCATCTCCCTTGGCCGCACTCATGCTCGGGTTTCGTGCGCCCGCAGGGGCCATCTTCTTGATTGTTTTCCTCGCGCATTGGTGTTTATAGCGAAAGCATGGCGACGGCGTTAAACATAGTGTTCTTGTTGTCACATCTTCCTTTTTTTCCATTTCCTTTTTCTGACAGATTCGCGCCTTCATCAAGCGTGAATTTCTTGCATCAAGCGACTGCCACGGCAGTCTCGCATGGACTGGGACAGGCAGGCATCACTCGGCAGCATTTGGGGGAATCTGAAGTCACGACTTGGGCGGCTTACTCTTCTTTTCGTCTTTTGTGTTTTGACTCCCTTCTTGTTTCTCTTTTTATCTATTATCACCCCGACCCCCTTTTGTCATCATTTGGACGCGAGAGATAGCCAAGAGAATGCAACGCAAGCGCTGCAGCCGCGATCCGCTCCGGACGCATCTCTGCCTCTCTGCGTCTTTCACCCTCGAAAAAAACAAGGCGTTATAAAGGCAAGGCAAGGCACGGCGCACATCTCATACACGACGGGTCTCAGGGGCGAGATATATATGCACACACGGTGTCATCATGGGGCGGTGGCGCCAGAACATTACGTCGGGGAAGCATCCCATAACCTCGTCCTTTACTTCTTCCTCTTAGCGTCGGCATATAGACAGACACTCTGCATGCGGCCGGGCAGGCGTTGGCTGCTCGGTTGTGGAGACTGGCAGGCGGGCGGGCTGCGCGCTGCACGAAGCGGCGCAATGCGTGGATGGAACGAATATATTGTGGACGGGCGCTTTTGGGTGTGCATGTTTGTGCGTGCGTGATGTTGCCAGTGACTGTCCTGTTGGGCCCTGGATATATATATGTTGCTCATCCCACAAGGTGTCAATTCTGTATGAATATGAGTTAACCTTACACCTTCTTACCTACTCGTGCCCTCGTAAAAAAAATTCCGCACCGGACGTGTCCCTTTATTTCCATATATGCATACCACTTCGCCTTCTTTTCTATAAAAAGGAACTACTGGTAGGTATAGTGGCCCTCATTTAAGAGGCGACCAAGGAGAGGACAAAACAAATCATAAAGATAAATTACCCGAGACCTTCTAGTGTTGTGTCCGCTTACTATGCCCTTTGAGGCTCTGCCTTCAGAATATCTCATTACCCGCCTCCTTTGCCTGACGATCTCAATATTGATCGGTCTCTCAGACTATTGCCTCATAGAAGTTTTGCGATGTGAGTCGATGCCTAGATCCGGGTGTTGGTAGGGTGGGGCGGAGTTCGTCGCAGGAGGGAGGTCGAAGGTATGTACGTGGCGTCGGCTCCGCCCTGCGGCAAGTTTAGCCGGCCTGGGGTTGGTCTCGGCTTATGATGCACCCTCTCGTCGCCAGCAGTCGCGCAAACGACGGCCTGCCTTGTCACTGCGCGACATCTCACACCTCCCTGGACCCTACTGTTCTCTCTGGTCTGCGCCAAAAGACTCAAACCTCCGTGTCGCTGAGGGCGTCCAGCCATGTGACTTGTTGTCCCAACCTACTAGCCCACCGCTCGCTCACTCGGCCAAATACGTGACGCATCATGGGTCAAGGTTACTCACTCACCACCCTGTCGGCCGGGGCTGCCGGTATTGACGTGCCAGAGCTTGCCGACTTGACCTATGAGAAGTCACTGGGCAATGCGCGCTTTATGAAATGCGTCCGCGGTCGGCACAAGGATGGACTGGTTGTCGCAAAGGTTGTTATGAAGCCTTATGCGAGCATGAAACTAGATGAATATGTCAAGGCATTGCTGGGTAAGATCTTACTTACCGCTCTGAGTTGGAACCCGGACCTAACCTGCCAAATAGATGAACGAAAGCTCCTCTCTGAGGTGCCAAACGCCCTGGCGTACCATCGCATCCTAGAGACTAGTACCAATGGTTATCTTGTCCGGCAGTTTATCCACAGTTCCCTTTATGATCGCATTAGGTGTGTCATCCAAGTTGCTCAGAGCAGAGACCTCTGAGATGCTAATAGTGGCAGTACCCGTCCATTCCTCGAAGACGTCGAGAAGAAATGGCTCGCTTTCCAGCTGCTATGCGCTGTAAGGGATTGCCATGCTCGCAACATCCATCATGGAGACATCAAGACAGAAAATTTGTTGGTCACTTCATGGAACTGGCTCTACTTGACCGACTTTTCTTCATCATTCAAGCCCACTTATCTGCCGGAAGACAATCCGGCTGACTTTTCTTTCTACTTCGACACCTCCGGCCGGCGCACGTGCTATCTAGCTCCGGAACGGTTCCTTAGTGCTGGATCTCAGCCTGATGGTTCCGGCCAGGTAGACTGGGCCATGGACATGTTCAGTGTCGGTTGCGTCATAGCAGAGTTGTTCCTTGAAACTCCCATTTTCTCCTTGAGCCAGCTTTTCAAGTACCGCCAGGGAGAATACGACCCGTACCATACACATCTCCAGAAAATAGATGACAAAGATATCCGCGAGATGGTATCGCATATGATCAAGCTCGATCCAAATGGACGATATTCAGCAGAGGAATGTCTTAGTTTCTGGCGTCGGAGAGCATTCCCAGATTACTTCTCCAGCTTCCTTCACCAGTATATGTATTCGATTACGGATCCCTCCGCGGGCCGAGGACCTATTACTGCTGGCAACGAAAACTTTGGAGAGGCTGATGAGAGAATTGATAAGGTCTACAATGACTTTGACAAGATATCCTATTTCCTGGGTTATGATATGGAGAATGCCAACCGTAGGACCATCGGTAATGCGTTCTCATTGCGCAGCAATCTGTTTCCTCTCCACATCGATATTCCAAATTACCGGCATCAAGCATCAGGTTCTGCCAACAATAAGGTGGATGACGGCACTCTCATCTTCCTCACCCTTGTGGTTGGCTCGTTGCGGAGCACCGCCAGAGCCACTGCGCGAATTCGAGCATGCGAGCTTCTTTTGGCGTTTGCCGAAAGAATCACGGACGAGGCAAAGCTTGACCGCATTCTTCCGTATGTGACGGTTCTACTCAACGATAAAACCGAGCTTGTCAGAGTCGCAGCGCTTCGTACAATGACACAAGTTCTCGCAATGGTTTCGGTCGTCTCGCCCATTAACGCTTATGTCTTTCCTGAATACGTTCTTCCGCGACTGGATCCATTTCTTCCGGGACACAAATCCGAGCCAAGTCCACTCCTTCGCGCAACATATGCTTCGTGTTTGGCTACACTGGCGACCACTGCGTCTAGGTTTCTAGATATGATGCAAGCCCTTCGGGCTGATGGATCACTCCCAACGAACGACCCGGAGGCGGAGGAGGATGTCATGAGCCGTTCAACGTATCAAACTTTGTTCGACATATCCCGCGAAGATCTTATTTCCAAGTTCGAGATCCAAACCAAAGCATTGCTCACTGATAGCGACCCATCGGTGCGCCGTGCTTTCTTGGGCTCAGTATCCAGTCTCTGCGTCTTTTTTGGAAGCACTAAAGCCAACGATGTAATCCTTAGCCATCTCAACACTTATCTCAATGATCGAGATTGGATGCTAAAGTGTGCTTTTTTCGAAACAATCGTAGGCGTGGCGACCTACGTTGGTGGTGCTAGCTTGGAAGAATTCATCCTTCCACTTATGGTGCAAGCATTAACCGACCCAGAAGAGTTTGTTGTAGAGAAAGTGCTCCGGTCACTATCTGCAATGGCGGAACTCGGTCTATTTCAACGCTCCAGAACCTGGGAACTGGTAGATATCGTTGCTCGACTAACGATGCACCCCAACGTATGGATTCGCGAGGCGGCAGCAGAGTTTATTTCCTCTGCCACAAAATACCTCTCGATTGCAGACATCCACAGCATCATCATGCCACTTATACAGCCCTACATGAAGATAAAGCCCTCAGTAATTACTGAACTGAAGCTATTGGAAAATTTGCACAAGCCTATTTCTAGGCTCGTGCTCGACATGGCTCAAACATGGGTTACATCGGCTGATAAAGGCCTGTTCTGGAGATCAGCACGAGAACAACGGACTTTCTCTTTCAGTGCCATTGAGGAGACTGTACCAGCTATTTCGGGCAGGGAACTGGGCCCCAAGACTCTTAGCAAGATACCCAAAAACGACGAAGATGAGCAATGGCTCAAGAAGCTGCGGAATGCTGGCATGACTCACGAAGATGAATTCAAGCTAGTAGCTCTTCGCGAGTATATCTGGCGCGTCGCCCATCGCAGAAAGCAAGATAACAAGGACACACCTCAGTCAAAGTTCAACACTATCATCCCTCTCAAAGATCTTGGAATCACTCCACAGACAATTTTCTTCGATCACAATCAGACAATTTTCGATGAAGTGGTTACTGAAAGAAGAAAATCGGAAGTCAACATGCCGAACACGATTGCAGATGCATTGCGTGATGCTTCAGCGCCGGCTGAAGATGCACTCTCGAGAAGGAGAAGGTCGCACATCAACAGCCACCTCGAACGCCAGGCGCAAGATGACCAAACACAAGCAAGACCCACGCCGCTTAGGTCACCCTCGCTGTCTCCCTCACCAGGAGGAGCGCAAAGCCCTCCGGATGTGCCCAGTTCTGATTCTGAAAACCGTCGAATCAGCGTTCAGATTCCGCGGATACGTGCCAGAGATAACGAAATAGTCGGCTCTCCATCTTCCATCACTTCTAGGCACGAACACAACTCGGATAGAAGGTCCAGTGCTATGAGTCTGATGCACAGAGGCCAGACAGGCAGTAAAGCTAACGCAGAAACCGGAACTACATCAGCCAATGCCTTCGGCAAGGTTGATAGTGTTGCTGAAGGACGAGACGAGATAACTGGACGCTCCAAATCTCCTCTTGCAATCGCCCAAGAACAACACAAGAACGATCCAGAGAAAATCAAGTTCCAAGCAGCGCATTCATATACCGGCCATGACCCGACTATTCTCAGACTTCTTGATTCCGTCTATCTCGAGAACTTCCCTGTCGACAATGTCGAATTTGGTCCACTGGTGAACCCAATCAGCCGGAGACAGCCAATCAAACGGGGAAGTGGTCAGCCAACATCAACACCATGGCGGCCTGAAGGTACTCTTGTCGCTATGATGGGAGAACACACAGCGGGCATTTCCCGAGTCCTTGTTTCGCCAGACCACGCCTTCTTCATTACCAGTTCGGACGACGGAACAATCAAAGTTTGGGATGCATCGCGCCTTGAACGTAACATCACCCATCGCTCACGTGCAACACACAAGCATGCGGACAAGGTAAAGATCACAAGTCTAACATTCGTGGAAAATACACATTGCTTCGTCAGCACTGGCGACGATGGCAGCGTGCAAGTTGTCAAAATCGACTACAGCGAGATCCAGAGCGGCGCTGGTGTCAGCACCCGCTACGGAAAGCTCAAGGTTCTACGGGATCATAAGTTGGAGAAAGGTCAACACGCCGTCTGGTCGCACCACTACAAGTCCGAAAACCAATCTGTCTTGCTGCTGGCGACGAATACTTCGGATGTCATCGCGTTAGACCTGCGCACGATGAGCACCCTCTACACCTTGTCCAATCCTCTGCACCATGGTGCGCCTGCATGCTTCGTTACGGATCGCAAGCATCATTGGCTTCTGCTCGGCACCACTCACGGCGTTCTCGATCTCTGGGACCTACGTTTCAAAATGCGCCTCCGAGCTTGGGGTTTCCCAGGTGGAGCACCCATCCACCGTATTACCCTGCAGCATGTCAAGTCATCACGCAAGCCGAAGTTCATCATTTCGGGTGGCACTGGAAGCGCGGACATAACAGTCTGGGACTTGGAGAAGGTCATTTGCACAGCCGTATACCGGACCAGTGTGTTTAAGGAGACGTCTTCGTCCCGGAACTACACCCTCCTCGACTTAGATGAGGAGCGCCCAGGCGGTATGCTTGGTCGCTTCGCCGCATCTATCGAGTCCACCAGCGGTAGCGGTGCGGACCGCAGTGTTCGCAGCCTAGCTCTAGGCTCCGATGATGGCAATGACTTCCTGCTCAGCACCGGCCCCGACTGGAAAGTCCGTTACTGGGACACCAGCCGACCAGAAAACTCAGCCGTAGTATCCGGTTTGGAACCCGAGGACTCGAAGCCCGCATACACGACACTACCGCCCTCGGCACCCAACCCTGAGACGGCGATCGTGCAGGAAAAGATTTTCCGGCCACAGCCGCACTTGCCCGACAATGATCCCTCGGGCAAGGGAAAGCAGGGTAGTAGCAGGGCGGCTGCGAGCCCGTCTCCTGCACGCCGGGGTCAGACGTCTGGACGTGGCAGCAGAGAGAATTTAAGGAGTTTGCAGCAGCATCAGTTGCTTAGAGGCCATCTGGACAATATTTCGGATGTGGCCCTGTTGGAGCAGCCGTATGGCATGGTGATCAGCGTGGACAGGTCGGGTGTGGTGTTTGTGTTCCAGTAGAAAGGCTGGTATCAGGCGTGTGAGAAAGAGTTGGTGATAGATATTGAGATGATGCGGATTGAATGATGGCTCTTAGAATGTCATGTTTTGCGCATGTATTGCATTTGTACTGCGTGAGTGATTGTTGTTTTGCGATGTGCTGTTGCTCTCTTGCATATAGTTAATCGTAGGAGTAGTGAACGGGCCAAGCATCCGCTGTTAGGCAAAATCAAATCTAGCGTCAACCTGACAATCAGTTGACGTTTATCGATGACGTTACCTGCCCCATGAACCACGGATGCGACGCGGGGATGTGGCGCAATGATCGACGTTTAGGCCGCGGCGGGAGAGGCGCAGACTCGAGCAAAAGGATGCCCGAAAAGCCCGCTTGCGCCTCCCAAGCCGCCTTCTTTGCTCAACAGAGAGATTGGGTTGCGTGCGGCCGGAAACGGCAAGCCGTGAAATTCGCGAGTCTGAAGACAATGGAACATGGATTGCGAGGGTGTGGTTTTTGTGTATATAGAGCACAAGAATCGAGCCTCGAGATGGGGAAGACGGAGGAGACCATGTCCATATGAAGAAAAAAGGTACCTGCTGGACCCTGGCACCCTGACACCCTGGCAGAGATTCGTCGGACGCGCGCACGTGCGGATCGCGCCGAAGGCGGTGAAATATTTAGCGCGGCGCGTTCTTGACTTTGGCGTCAGACGCTCGCTCCTTCATCTTTCCTTCTCCCCAGAACCCCACGTCTGCCATCCCCATCCCGGTCGCGGTACGTGACTCGCTCATCTACCGCCTTAACACGTCTTCTCTCTCATGTCCTCTACCATCCGCCCGGCTGATTTCCACGCTTTTCGCACCCCTCTCCCCCGCGTCGCGGTCGCTTGATGCTCTTGTCAACAACCTTTGGCTTTTATCATGGAGGACTACTCCGAAATGGTAGGCGCATCTCCATTTAATCTTTGAACCTTTGTCGCGTACGTACTAATAGTGCCTAGGACTGGTCCTTCACCAAGCCCGATGGTGTTGCGCCTTCCGCCGCGACTGCGAATGCGACACTGGACCCCGACAGGAGCGACATGGTACGTCACCCCCACTCTGGCTGCGCAAACCTGTCACTCACCTAGGATTCACTGACAATATGATTTGAATAGAGCTGGTCATACACTGGTACGCCGGCACATGTCTCTCTCCCTAAAGAATCCCGCAAATCTCCACAAACTCTCTTCCGACCTCGCCCAGCTACAAAGCCTTTGTGGTATCATCCAGCACCGCATCCAGCACCTGCCCAGAGGGACTCTCCCAAACGCAGCTTTGAGGAGTTCAGAAATGATGCCTCGCATATTCCTGAAGGTGGCCGCTTCTTTATGAGCGGTGCTCTGCCAAGCTCCGGGCAGGTACGTCGCGGAAAGGCTATTTTCTGGCTGGCAGTCCCTGTGCCCGGCCAGGATCTATTGGAGAAACAGAGCTGATCTATCTACGTAGGTCCAGCACGGACAGGTACCTGCTCAGCGTTCGGTCAATGTGCATATCCACACGATCGAACCTTCCACCTACCGCTTGCCTCGAGCGCTTTCTTACATCATGACAACTGTAGGCACGTACTTCATGTATGCTGCCTCAACCAGCGGCTTCACGAAATTCCTGCCCGAGTGTCTCTGCAGCCAAGCCTCCCAACCAATTCATATAATGGCAACTCCCGCGCAAGGCTGCAAGCGTCGGGCTGTAGCTATGCCTGGCGCATGGCCCTCAACACCACAAAGCGTGAGGCGTCCTCTTAAACCATCCCGCGAACTCAATACCCCCTCGAAGGAAATCCCCAAACACAAAGATGCTACTTCAAAACTTAAAGCCCCCGTGGCAGCTAGAGAGTCCCCGGAGCAAGTGTCAAGCATTAGAAGGCGTTTCTCTCGCCATATACAAGACAAGCGCACTTTCCCGTTTAAAGGCCCGACAAAACCTATCTCTAAGAGACCAACAATCAGCACATACTTGCCAACTACAAAACCTAAGAATGCCGATGCCGACGCTCTCCTCCAACTCACCCAGCCTCGTCTCGATGATAGGGTATATGAGGTGCACAGCGCACATGTAAACATCTCCGGTTCGGCAGCTGTTGGCGATGGGACAGCCCATTCTGTTAGTGGCGGAGGCCCTATTACCACATACGATGAGGATTCTCCGCAGTCTTCATCTGAATCCGATGAGAGCAACCCTGAGAGCGTCGATCTCGTTCAAGAGGGGAAGGCTACCCTATCCAATCAATCGGATGAGCATGTTGACACCGTTGGAGCCGGTATGGAGCATATGAAAATTGCGGCAGATGAACCTCTTCGAAAGCCGGAGGATATAGCTCTTCCACCCAGTCCGCCCGCTACGGAAGACTTAGCGCCTCTTCCGTTTGGAACCCGCCGTTATGGGGGCCTGCCTACGATCACAAATCTTCGTGGAGCTCAGTCCAAAACCCTTGACGAGATCTTTGGCGACGATGAAGACGACAAACTACAGCTCTATTGTACGGAAGAAGAACTGCAAGAGGCGCGAGCTTTAAAGGAAGTCTCAAAAGCACGCAGGGCCAAGCAAGCCGCAATCAAGGCAGAGCAGGATGCGGAGAAGGCACGCCAGCGGGAGGCCGAAAGAAGAGCAGCCAAGAAAGCCGCGGAAGAGGCTGCGCGCAAGGCGGCTGAGGAGGCAGCAGCGGTTGAAACCGCAAAGAAAGCAGCTGAAGCTGCTCTGAAGGCCGAGCGGGCCGCAAAGCTAATTCGAAAACTTAACGCTGCCGAGGCAGCAGGTGTGGAGAAGAAGCTCCATGAAAGGAGTACCCATCAGTTACGGACCAACATGACGGTCCAGGATCTCAAAACTCTTGTCCCGAACGTGCAGTGGCTCAATGATGAGATCGTCAATACCTATCTTGGCGACCTGGTAAAGCATGCCCAGCAGAAGCTTGGCTATACGGCTGCCGACAAGAAGGCGGGCAAGGCCCCGCCGTTTCACAACTATCAGTCATTTTGGTTCCAGACAGCGAAGAAAGGAGTTAAAGGTGTCCTTAGCTGGGACAACCGTGCCAGACTCAACAATGGCCGTCTCCTCGAGTGCGAAGCCGTGTTTATCCCTATATGCGAACACCACCATTGGCGCCTACTCATTATTTCCGGAACCAGACGAAGAATTGAGTACTTTGACTCTCTTCACGGCAATGCCGAACCTTTCATCAGGACGGCTCATGAATGGGTCATGGCCAGCCTGGGAAAGCTATACAAAGAAGAGGAATGGACGATCGTCCGCGACCACAATAGCCCACGCCAACAGAATGGCAGCGACTGTGGAGTCTTTGCCTGCATGACTGCCTTATCCACCGTCCAAGGCCTCGACATCCACCGAACCCTCTACGATGCTAGTGAGCGTAACATGATGGTTGCTCGTTATCAGATCGCTGCCACGATTATCGTCAACGAGGACGGAGGGGGCTTCAGCAATCCGGCACTTGACTGGACATAGCCTTCCGCTTATGCCGCTGAAATGGACGAGTTGTTTCACGCATTTTGCACTCTCGGACATAACTGCGGCGAAATATTTTAACCGCCTATTAACAGTTGAGGATGGACAATGAAGAATGTTGAGCAGAAACATGGTATTCGTTCCGAGACTTTGCAGCTGCCAGGTGAAAGCCGGCGGTACTGTTTAAAAGAGAACAACAAGCGATGTTTCCTGGCACCCAAATACCGACCACCGCGCCGGGTCAATCCACCAGAGGCAGAGAGATATACTGCCATACTCTTGACCGACGCGCATGAGCTGGATTCAGGCCCTCGACCGACAAGGGAAGTTGATCACGCACCGAGCTCGCTAGCTAACTGTGCAGGCCCGCTGCTGGCGAAGTAGTCATCCATTCCATCCAAGATGACCTTCTCTACCTCAGCAGCAGCCCTTCCAAGCGTCCCGCCTTCCTTCTTCGCACCTGGCAGACCCGCCTCGGTGGCTGGCTGGATCAACCTCTCAAACGCTCGCTGCCTGCCCTGGCGATCCCGGTACATGTCAGCGTCCTCGTCCCTTGGCGCGCCAAACAGGTTCAGGTGCGCAAAACCATTCGGGCCCTGGCCCCCCACCATGTGGAACCGAGTCTGGTGCAGCGGGAACCAGCGGCGTGCAGCCGCAGCCTGTTCCGCCTTGGCGGCTGCGACGGCCTCCTCGTCCAGTACCAGCCCGGCCTTGAGAAACGCCGCGAGCGTCTTCATCTGATGAATGCGCAGCTTCTTGGACTTGTCAGCGTTGGCGCCGTGGCCGGACGAGTTGCCGCTCATGGATGCCGTCGACCAGCGCTCCTGGGCTGTTGTTGCCCACGCGTCCTTCCACCCCAGTAGCGACATGAAGCACTTGAGGGTGTGGATCCAGCCACCCGCGCAGCTAACTGTCTCGTCTGGGTGGATCTGCAGTAGCCAGTCGAGCACTTCGAGCGAGTTGATGCGGATGTCGAGAGCCATGCTGGTTAGGCCGGCACGGGTGCGCCGGAGGAGCTCTTCGACATGAGGCAGAACATCGGCGGGCGGGAGTGCGTGGAAGAGCTTTAGGAGCTGCTCGCGCACGGCTTTGGAGCTGTCGTAGATGAGGGCGAGGGTGCGCGGGATGATGATGGAGACGGGTTGAGGAAGAGGAGCATTTTGGGCGCGGGCCGTGTTAATGGCGCCGGTGAGGTAGGCTAGTGATTCTCGCCTTTGCGTGTCGGACTTGTGAGTTAAGAGAGACAACTGATGATTAAACTGCGAGGCGACCGAGGGTGCGGCAGTTTGAAGTGACTGTTGGGTTACGACGATTGCTGATGGGTGTTAGCGTTGAGGGTAAGGGTTGATGCAAGACAAGGACCCGCTTACATCTCGCCTTGAAACTCGTGTCGGTAAAGTTGTCGGCCTTTGGCCTGGTCTTGCCAACCTTTAGTTTGGGCTTCTGGAAGTCCTTTTGCTTCTCTTTCTTCTTCTTGGAGCTGGAGCCCATGGTTTCAGCCGCCGTCTAGGAGCTTCTTCTTTTTTCGATGTATTCCAGAAGAGTGCAGCAGCAGCATTAGGTTTGCGCAGGGCGATTTACTCAAGAGCTCATTGTCGCGACGGTTGTTGGTCTCGCGGCCGGGCGGCGACTTTTTTTTCCTTGAACCGGCGGCGGCGGCGGGCGGGCGCTAGCGTCGCATGCGGAATGGCGTCCGCTCCCGCGCCAAGGTCCATCTCTTTCTCCGCTGTCGACGCGCGCATTCTTTTTTTGCTGGGAAGGTAGAGTTCACAGTTAGTTGTAGTTTCCTCTTAGGAATATTAAGGACCACCTACCTACAAAGCAATTCATGAATAGACCGTAGTGAGAGAAAATGCGCGCGATGATGCAATGCGTGGAAAGCAAACGCCGTGTCGCCGACCCCAGATAGCTTGACCTGGGAAAATCGCGACCTAGCTCACAGCAGCGCAACCCAACACCTCCGCCAACCGCCCCGCCTCGCCGACACCTCCCCTCCCAATCGTCGCGACAACTCCGCCAAAATGGTTCGCCTTTCGGCCCAAGTCATCAGCGATGCCCTCTCCTACATCAATCCCATCGGCGAGCGCGAGTTAGATCTCCGAGGTGCGTAACCACCGGCAGCAGCATGTGCTGAAAAGGACGGATACTACACTTCAAAAGAGCTATCTGATACAATCCATTCTTTGGGACCTGCAGGCAAGAGGATTCAAGTCATTGAGAACTTGGGCGCCACGTCTAGCGTAAGTCGGACTGCTCCACCATGCAACCACGTCCACTGTTGACCCTCCCACGCGCATAACAGGATTGCGACTGCATCGACTTCACCGACAATGAAATTGCCGTCCTAGGCGGCTTCCCGCACCGCCCGCGCCAGACAACGCTGCTGCTCGCGCGCAACCGCCTCCAGCAGATTTCTCCGCAGATCGCGACCTCACTCCCAAGCCTCCACTCGCTCGTCCTCGCGCAGAACAACATCAAGGAGCTGGCCGATGTGGACCCGCTGGGCAGGCTGACGAAGTTGACAACTCTCGTCCTGATGGAGAACCCGATTGCGAGCAAGGAGAACTACCGTCTTTGGATCATCTGGCGCTGCCCCACTGTGCGCTTCCTTGACTACCGTCGCGTCCGCGACGTCGAGCGCAACGAGGCCAAGACCCTCTTCGGCACGGCTGAGGAGCCCACTCCACTAGCGAACCAGATCATGGGCCTCCGCACCAACACCTTTGACATCCCCACGGCTGCCCCGACGGGCCCCTCCGACTCCATCACGCGCCTCAAACTCACGGTCGAAGAGCGCGGCAGGGTCGAGAAGGCGCTGGAGCGCGCTCGTTCGCTCGAGGAGATCGATCGCCTGGAGCAGATGCTCAAGGAGGGCAAGATTCCCGGTGCCGCCATCTGAGCGCTAAGCATACTCTTCACACCGCGACCCTTTTCCTTTTTCGGCAAACGCGAAAGATGCCCAGTAGGCACAAGACGAGTTGGTGCGCCTGGCCTGGCTTTGGCAGTACGCGACGGCGATTCTTTTGGTGGGATTGATTGAAACTCTGTGGAGACGGAAGAGCTAAGACGGTTATGGGAACAGGACGCTGCAAAGAGACCTGTGGGTCTGTCTTTTTGCCTGTTCTTCCCTTTCTCTTTCACACACGCTATTCTGTTTCTCGAGATCATGGCATCTGGCATGGCAACGGCATTGGAGCGGACGGGGAAAACAATTCTTGCACCACACAAACAGAAAAAAGGCCCCGGACGGGTCCGTGAGCGCCGTCTGGATAATATGACTAGGTCACGCCCTGTCTGCTGCGCAGCCAGCCAGCCGGTTAAGGCCAGGGTCTACTACACTTAGATACATACGATGTGTATGCATATGTTGCTCGCTCGCCCTTGACTAGTGCCCCGTTTTATCCTTCATAGTTCCTACATCGCGTGCGCGGAGACGAATACTCTTTTGCTCCTTCCTTCGTCTCCTCTCCTCCGTCTATATGTACTTTCTATTCACGTAGTGGCACACAATTACGGCATGCTCAGAGGGTCATGTGACTTTGCTCGCACGGCCCCGCGTCGCAGCTCAACACCGCGCGCAGCTTTCGTAGCTTTGGCTCTTTGCTCCACACGCTCCAGTTCGCGCCTTTTTAAAGACTATTATTCTTCTAGCCGCCCTGTCTTCACAGCGACCCAACGGTTAACGCACTCGTTGAAACAATCTTGCACCAGCTCACGCACACCGACAGCGCGCCACGCTCCTGAACACGCAGCAACAAGACAGCGGCCGACCAAGCACCTACGTCACTCGAACCTCAAACATTCGGTCGCATGAATTGCTTCGCAGCGAGCCATCCCAAAGCTTTCAACCTATTGTCGCATCCACGCTGAGTTGGTAGCAAATCTCACCACCTGTCCTTTCGCTGTCTCTTCGCTTTAATACCCTTCTGCGCATCTCCTTGATCTTCCATCCTCATCCTCCCAATGTCACCCAACACCAGTTTCACCAAGGCCACGCTCTCCTATCCGGTCTACGCCGCCGACTTCGATCCTTATAATCGAGGATATTTACTCGTTGGCGGAGGAGGAGGTGAAGGCCGTAGCGGAGTCCCCAATAAAATCAGCCTCCTCGACGTCTCTTCTCGCTCGACTCTCGACACGGTCGCCGAAGCCGACCTTACCAGCCAGGAGGATGCCGTCATGACTCTGGCAAACTTGGCCTCCAAGGACGGCCTTATAACCTTCTCTGGTATAAATTCCTCGGAAAAGGAGCGTGTCGCAGACAACAACCAGCACCTACGCGCCTTTCAGGTTGCCTACCCCAAGAAGAAATCACAAGGGTCGAAGAAGAGTGAAAAGCAGTCCAAGGGCAACATCTCATTCTTGAGCAAGACGTCTTTGTTTACGTCCCCCAAGAATGAGATAGTGAAGAAGGATAACTACCAGCGCCTGCTGCGGTTGTCTCCCGCCCAAAAACGTGACGGTGGACACAAGCGTATCGGCGCAATAGCGACTGGTCTGAACCCAGAGTCGGAGTTGGTTGTCTTCAACGCGACGAGCAATGCACCTTCGGAGGCAGACGTCATTTACCGGATTCACCCAAAGGAAGGCGCCGACGTTAACGACGTCGACATATACGAGCCTTCCGAGGGCCATTTCAATGTGGCATACTGCACTGACCGGCAAGTGTTCATCTACGACATTGCCTACGACTTCAGGAACAAAAGGGCTACCTCGGTCACTTCTTCAAATGAATTCGTCCCTGCATATACCCTGCCATTCCCCGACGTCTTCAAGGGCGGTCCGCGCCCGACGATTAAATACCTCCGTTGGTTGACCCCGACTCATCTTCTTCTGTGCTGCAACCTGCCGCAGCGTAAAGGCGCGGAACTCCTAGTCCTTCACACGCATCCCACAGGGCCGGGAGAGGTCATATTGAAGAAGAAGCTGCCAACCAGGATTAAGGCGGCCGGTGGCATGGATGTTTGTTCCCTGGACGCAGACCCCGAAACCGGCGCGCGACAGGTCGTTGTTGCTATTGCCGGTCACGATATCGCTATCCATGTCTGGACGCTTGACTACTCGGGTCCCAAAACAGATACTATCAGCAGGTTCCGCTCCTGCACCACTCTCCAGGACGTCCATCCGCTCCAGATGACTAAAGTTGTCTTTTCTCCCTTCTATTCTCCTTGGCCACCCAAATCGAAGAACGGTTCCGCTCCGAAGAGGCCAGGCCCGCAATACTTACAGCTGGCATCAACTTCGCTCGGCAATACAGTCGTTGTCGATACCTTCTCCTTGACGCCGGTAGCACCAAAAAAGCCTTACTCGCGCTACGTTCTGTCGACTCAAAAAAGCGCGCTAGTAAACACAGGAGTCCCGCTTTTTGTCGCGGGTTTCGCGCTGCTGGTCACGCTCATGCTGCTCCAGTCCTACCTGGACCTGCAAAGCGGTGGTGTCGGCGAAAGCAATATCCAGCTGCTACCGCAAGGCCTGCGCGATGCGTTCGCGAAAATGCAGCCAAAGCTGCCACCCGGGGCGCGCGAGCCCGTGGTACAGGACGAGCAGGCAACGAGCTCGGTCATTGTGGAGGAGCCAACAGCGAGTTCGATGATTGTGGACGAGCAAACCGCGACCTCGGCCATCGTGGACGCCATGCCAGACATCGACGCCATCGTCTCCGAAGTGCCCGGCGCTTAAGCTCACCCCGCCACGCCCGCCAGCAACTCTTATCGATAAAGAATTTTCTCGGCCCGCCCATTCGCTTCCATCTCGAGCTCCCCTCACTCCCCTCACAACTCTCTCTTTCCCACTTACCCTTTTCTTAAGATACCCAATTCGTACACCGCACAATGGCCGACCAGGATCCCCACCGCCACGAAGAAGAGGAGGAGGTTGCCATGCTCGACGCTGAAGAGGCAGAGGAAGAGGTCCCCGAAGATGTCGACGCGTATATGAACTCTGATGAGGAAGGCGACCAAGGCCCGCTCGAGGAGATCCAGCTTGTCAACGACAGTGTAGCGCACTTTGACGCGCACAAGGACAGCATATTCAGCATCGCGCAGCACCCAACCAACCCCGCCATCGTCGCGACAGGCGGCGGCGACGACGTCGGCTACATTTTCGAGGTCAAGGTGAAGGAGCAGGAGCGGCCGCCACTGCCGGCCAGCTGGTCGGGCTCGCAGGCAGGCGACGCATCCGCGCAGTCCGAGCGCGAGGGCTTGCAGCCGCTGCTCAAGCTCGAAGGGCACAGCGACTCGCTCGTCGCTATCGCATTCACGCAGCCCGCTGGTGAATACGTTGTCTCGGGCGGCATGGACGGACGGCTGCGCGCATGGCGCGACACGTCCAACGGCGCGGGTCAGGCCTGGCAGTTTGTCGGCGAGGCGCAGGAAGTTGAGGAAATCGCCTGGATCACGACCTGTCCGCACCCGCAGTATCCGAACACTGTCGCGCTCGGCGCCTCTGACGGATCTGTCTGGGTCTACTCTCTCAACGCCGCCGATACCGCTTCTCCCCTCACTATTGTCCAGGCCTTCTACCTGCATACCGCGCCCTGCACCGCCGGCGCGTGGACTCCCGACGGCAAACTTCTCGCTACTGTTTCTGAGGATGCTAGCTTCTACGTGTGGGACGTGTTCGGTGAGGCGGCGGCGGCGGGAGTGACGAGCACCTCATCTGGCCAAGCCGTCGTGGGTCTTACGGGCGACGACGAGCGCTTCCGTGTCGACGGTGGCCTTTACAGCGTGGCGGTCGCGCCCAACGGTGCGTTCGCTGCCGTCGGTGGCGCAGAGGGCCATATTCGTATCGTGGGGCTCCCGCGGCTAGGGACCAACGCGTCCGCCACAAGTGGCGCGCGCGGCGGCGGCGCACGCAATAAGTCTGGCACTGGCGCCTCCTCCGCCGCCGGTGGCCAGGCCGGCGCTATCCTTGCTAGCATCCAGAAGCAGGCGGACAGCGTTGAGACGCTTGCGTTTTCGGCACCGCCGCTGAACCTTCTCGCGGCAGGCAGTGTGGACGGTAGCATCGCCCTTTTCGACACGGCACACAATTTTATCGCGCGCCGTCACATCACGGGCGCGCATGTTGACGAGGAAGAGGGCACTGATCAGGCAGTCATCAAGGTCGAGTTTGTGAAGCCTGCGGGCCAGGCGGGCCCGGCAGGCGCACCCGGCTCGTGGCTGCTCACGAGCTGCGGTAATGATGGCGTGGTCAGGCGATGGGACACTAGAGGCGGCACCGCGGCCGCAGCAAGGGGCCTTGCTGGAGAGTGGAGGGGACATAGGGGCGGTGGTGAGGGTGGTGGCGTCATGGGTTTCGTGCAGGGTGGTGCGGGGAGGGTTATCACGGCAGGAGATGATGGCGTGGCTCTCGTTTTCGATACGCCAATTGCTTGAGCGAGATGCTGGATTATCTTAGTCGTCTCCTACTACGAAGTCAAGAGAAAGTCGCAGCCGCAATGACGATGTAATTTAATATCATGTCTTCCATTACAAAGTACACTTCATTAAGTCAAATCCACTGCCTCGTCAGCATAACTCATCTTCGCCACTAGTACTGATCCCTGGACAACTCGAAGTACAAGGTAGACACTTGGACGGCAACAATGAACAGATGGGGTGTTACTTCGAAAGTTCGCTTTAAGATTCCTAAACTCCGCGCGCGAGCCTGTTCGCTTTCGCACACCCGTACAACATAAGCGTGATTTACAAGAACGAGCCCTCCATCCTCGTGTGTGCTATGACCTGGTATCATGCAGCATTCTCCGACGTGCTGCGCCGCCTGACGCATCGTGGCTAGCCCTCTCCCCAAACCGGGGTAGGCTGCCGCGGTGACCCAAATTCCCACATCGTCCGTATGTATCCCCGCGAAGAGAACTCGGAGAATAAAACTAGATCACGAGCCGCCGACCAGGATGTTGTTGACGGGGATGTGGACTGTGCGAGGCCTGGGGTTAGCTGATGCGGCGTCGACGTTGTGGATTGGAGGGGGGGCAAGACGCACCGAGCTTGACGATGTAGCCGATGGCGCCCATGACGACGAAGCCGACGCCGACGGCCTGCGAGATCTTGATGAACTCGCGCTTGTCGGCTGGGGAGAAGGCGAGAAAGAGCGTTAGCGACTGCGCGTTCGTTGCGGGGGGTGGGACGTGTAGAGCAGGAGCGGCGCAGGCCGCGGCGGCGATGCGACTCAATGGCGCGAGATAACGGGCACGGAGAGGGGACTTACGCTTGGTGCATCTGCAGAATGAGAGGGTTAGTTGGCTTCTTCAATGGGTTGGGCGGCGGGCGCAAAGGGGGAGCTTTACCGGTTCAAGAACTGGGTGCCGTCCTTGATGAAGTCCTTGGGGACGTCGGCGAGATCCTTGAGCTGGTCCGACATGGCGATTAAAGCGGGACTACGGTGTGGGAAAGGGTGGAGGAGGAAGAAAGGAAAAAAGATTTGAAGTGGGAAGATTAGTTTGTGGTAGAGGTTGGTGGGTTGGTGGTGTTGTGGTTGTGGTGGTGAAATAGTTCAATTGGAGGCCAGATTGTCTCTCCGGGGGGCGGTCGGCGATTGTCTCGCCGCGCGCAGCTCAGTGGCCTTTTCGACCGAACCGCAGCGCAACGGCAACCCAAAGGGGGGGAAAAGAGCAACCAGGCACCCAAACAAAACAAAACACATACAAATCCCCCGCCCTCGCCCGCCATGGCCCTCTCGCTGTTCTCCGTCAATGCCATCCTCATCCTCTCCACCGACGACTCGTCGCGCATCCTCGCCAAGTACTACAATGCTCCGCACCCGCCCGCCGGCACGCCCGCCCACGCCAGCAACTACCCCGGCGCAAACCCCTACCCCAACCTGAAGGACCAAAAGGCCTTTGAAAAGGGCCTGCTCGAGAAGACGGCCAAGCAGACCAATGACATCATCCTCTACGACAACCGCGTCGTCGTCTTCAAGATGGAGTCGGACGTCATGCTCTACGTCGTCGGCGGCGCCGACGAGAACGAGATCCTGCTCTACAACGTCATCCTGGCCCTGAGAGACTCGCTCAACATCCTCCTCAAGTACGCGCTGCTTGCAACACTGCACATCTTGCACACGCACGCACGCATACGCAATTGCTGACTGGCCTCGCAGGAACTCCACTGACAAGCGCACCATCATCGAGAACTACGACCTCGTCTCCCTGGCGATAGATGAGATTGTCGACGACGGCATCATCCTCGAGACGGACCCCGTCATTGTGGCTTCGCGCGTCAGCAGGCCGCCGCAGCAAGACTTCAACCCCAAGAACATTGACCTGTCGGAGCAAGGTCTGATCAATGCGTGGGAGTTCGGCAAGCGCACGCTGGGTGAGCGCTTGAGGCAGGGCCTGTGAGCCGTAGATTGCACGGTTGGCGTTTATGAGAATGGGATGGTTTACGGGGGCTTAGCAAGATCGTCCTAGAAGGAGCCAGATTATATCCGGCATGTCATTACGAAGTCTGAGCTACTATAATATCTGAAAACGAGCGCTTTTCTATTCTTTTGCGTGCTCCGCTGCGACGTGAGCATTCAGCCCTATGATCGGCTCCTCTCCAACAATAGCAGCAGTTGCAATAATGCAATCAAAAGACCCAAGCAAGTAAACAAACAAGCAAGCAAAAGAATTGTGAAATAAACTTAAAACTTATAAGAAGACCAAAGAACAACTCGTTAGATATGCAGATCCACCACGGTGCATCCCATCCCTTTCGTCAATGCAATGCCGCAGCCTGAAAGGCGACCCGCCATCTTGCCGCATAGGTAGGTTTTTTCGCCCAATATCCTTCTTTCCTTCCTTCACTGGCTTCCTCTGCATATGTGTCGTGGAAACCGCACTGACAAATGACCTCCAATCGATCACTCCCCTACGGGCTGGACTGCGCGATACCTAGTGCTGGCATGCACCAGTCCGCAGATTGCCCCGGCGCAGCAAGCACCTTAGGTCCTCCAGCGTCGTGGCAATCGTGCATGTACAGCGCAAAGCCGATTCAACACACGCTCCACGCAACGTGGTCCTGAGATGCGCGCGCCCAAAGTCGCTATGATTTGCTATTTTACAAGCTTTCGTCTGTCCGATCAGCCGAGCAGCTCGACGTCCAAGCCGATGGCGCGCATGAACAGGTTGACATGGCCCAAGCGCGTCGCAGCCATCTCCTTTGGCAGCGCCTTGCAGACGTTGACCGTGTCCATGACGCGGTCCTTGACGCCCAAGACGAGCCTCTGCTGCTGTTCCGCAGATGCACCGGCTCCCATGGCGGCAAGGAACTGCCACACATAGATGTCCTCATCATCCTTGACGCTGCCGGGGAAGATGTAGGGCAGCATGGGTTCAACGGCATCGAAGAGGCGGTTGTAGAGCGACTCGATCTGCTGCAGGTCCGCCATTGTCTGCGGCGTGGGCGGCGTGCTTTGCTTGACCAACTCCGCGCGAGAGACAAACATGGTGAGGATAGACAGACCAATCTTAGTGCGACACAAGAAGGCAACGTTCGTGCGCTCGAGCACGAGACCAAGGAGACCAATGACGATGTTCAGGGGCGCCTCGTTGACGTACGCAAAGAGGCACGGCATGACGGCCATGGCAAAAAGCTCAATCTCTTCCTTGACCTGGCGCGGCAGCGGCGTCAATTGGTCAACCGGAGCGCCGTGCTGGACAACATCAAGAGTGTCGAGTTGCACAACAAGCATGGTGAGGATGGTGACGCGCTGCTGCTCGTCGATGTGGCGGAAAATACGCGGGATGGCCTTCTTACCCTTGGGGTGGGAGAGAATAGCCATGAATGGGTGAGGCACGGCAGCGTTTGGCATGATGGGTTCCATGACCTTGAGACCCTGCCACAACTTCTGGTTCAAAGCCTGAATCTTCTGACGCCATTCCATGTGCAACTGAATTTCTTCAGGACTGCTGCCGTCGTGCAGCGGAGGAGGCATGCTGCGTTCATGGTCTTCCATCTGCATCAGCGTGTTGTAGACATTTTCAATGTCCCTCAAAGATGCCTTCCTGTCGGCGGCATCGGCATTCCTGCTTGGGCGGCGAGCACCACCAGGGCGCGCATCGCCTTCAGGCTTCTTAATGTTCAACAGAGGCTTAGGGGTCTTAGCGTTGCTGAACGAGATTTTTCCCAGACTGCCCTCGATGACGAGCTGCTTGTTCTTGGGCTTCGCTTTGGCAGCCTCAACAGCACGCTGGACTTGCTGCTCCATGCGCTGAACGTGGTTGTCGCCACCGCGGTGGTGGCGACGACCGGCACCATAACGCCCGCCGGTCTGGAAGAGGTACGTTTGCGCGAACTGGTTTGCCGGTTGCTGGGGGTTCTGGCGCGGGGCACCCCGGATCTGCGAGTAAACCTGATAGTAAAAGTCTTCCGCCAAAGAGGCCTCTGGGCCCTGTTCATCGGCGTTTCCGGTAGCAGTGACCAGCTGTTGCAGCTGGATGCGTGTGATAAAGTTCTTGTCCTGGGGAGTCATAAGGCCATTGTCCTTGGAGAGCATGTGAATCTTGTGGATCCTCTTCGCGCGCCTGGCATCCTCTTCGAGGAACGCAGCACGATCCGCGTCCGAGAGACGAAGAAGTTGCTCAGGGTGTGTGATGACCTGACCCTGATAAGATGGACCACGAACGTGGGCAGGGCCAGTGGGTGGCATGCGGTGGAAAGCCTGAGCTATTGGCTGGCCTTGACCGGAGAGACGGTTCGGGTTTTGCAAGATCTGGCGGGGCTGGTGCGGAGGCTGGTGCATTTGCTGCAGTTGAGGGGGTGTCGCCCTAGGAGTGTGCTGTTGCTGCGGACGCTGCAGGATCTGGGGCTGCTGCGGGATACCATGACCGGGGAGTTCGTGCATCTGTTGCTGGGGAACAGACGGAGGCCGCTGCTGGACAAACTGCTGAGGTCGCTGCATAACCTGGGGTGGTGCACCGAATCCGGGAGGCTGCATGAACCCTGGGGGCATCTGCTGAGGGAATCCAGGTGGAATCTGGGGCTGTGGAGAAGGCTGTGTGACGGGCGGTGCCATAGGCTTGCTCTGGGCAAGCATAGCAGCCTCAACCTCCTCCAAGCTCATGATTTTCCTAGCAGGGGGAGCAGCAGCAGGCTGGTTCTGGTAACGGTGGTTATCCTGGACCGGGGTAGATTTCTTGGGCAGACCCCAGATGTCGGCATTGGCCTCCAGGTTTCCAATGTAGCCGGGGTGAGCATAGCTTTCGTAGCCAGACTTTGAGGGCTGGGACTTGGGCATCTGCTCCTTCGTCGGCGGCTGTCTGGCCGTGTACAGCATTTGCTCTTCGTGGATTGTACCGGCCATCATGGCGGTCTGACCGGAAAAGTCAAAGTCTCTGCCGACGCCTGCCTGGGATGCAGGCTCTTCGCCGAACGTGTCGTCGTTGAAGGCATCGTCAGTCTCGTCAAGCTGGTCGCCCAGGCCGTCGTACGTGTCGTCGAAGTCAATGCTGTGGGGAAGCAGCGTCAGTAGCTGGCAGTAGTAGCAACGGCGAAGCAGCACTTACGCATCGTCTTCGGCGCCTTGAGCTCTGTTGGAGAGGCCCGCCCACGGGTCGGGAGTCTGGCCGAAACCAGGCGCATTGGTCGAGTGACCTTGGCGGTCCCTAGGCAGCGACGTGTCGAAGCCGAAAAAGGACATGGTGGTTGGGTGCGACAATGGTGGAGGGTTGAGAGAGGTGTCAAAGGGTGAGCTGCAGCACTACTAGTCGGGGTGCGGCCAGTCAGCGCGCAGACGTTGGTCGCGCAGCAGTAAAGCAGCAGCAGAGAGGGACAATAGGGTATGAAGATGAAGTGGTGGTGATGTTTGGTGGGTGATGATGAAGAGTCCAACTGACTACGAGGTATGATGATGCACAGACAAGACTCTGGGGCCGGCACACAAAGTCGTGGCCGCCCGCTCACCACCCGCAATCCGCCGCCATAGCTCGCATCGCAGTCATTGCGTCTGTTTTTTGGACGCTGCGCCCTTCAACGGACACATTCCCGCGATCCAAAACACCAGCGGGCATCCGTGCAGTCCGTGTCGCTCTGGCCCGACTCTGGTAGACTCGTATTATTCCGAGTGGCAGCGCAGAGGCCCGCCGACCCTTGCCTCTGATCCGCCTGCCGCCGTCGTGTGGAATTTAGGTACATAGACTTGCCCATCGCCTCCCTTGGGTCGCGCTTCGAGTGTCATTTGTGGTTTGCCCCAAGTCTCCTCCTTCCCTCCGACGTGGCCTTTTCCGCGCGACTGTCAATGTCCGGCTAGACCGCGCGTCTCATCGCATCACCCACCCTTCCCGCCGCCGCTAGGCTTGTCTACTTACACGAACCCCCTTACAATCCACCACTCCCTCCGACGAACACTCTCTCGCGCCTCGCTGCCCACCATGGCCGGCACTCAGAGGTACCTCCGCTATATCGTCTTCGCCTTTGTGGTAAGCTGTCTCGCCGAGCCCCATCGGCCCTCCGCCTTCCCGCTGACGTCGTACAGGCTCTCCTCCTTGTCTTCTTCTTCTCCTCGTCCACCGTCCCCTCCAGCCGCCTGCAGAGCGCGAGCGACATAATCAAAGAGCAGGGCTCGAGATGGGGCGGAAGCTCTGGCACGGTCGGCGCAAAGGACCCCGCTGCCGCCGGCCAGGACGTCAAGAAGCCCTCGGTCGACGACACGACTCCCTCTCCTCCCAAGAACCAATTGGGCATGACCGCGCCCGGCCCGCGCATGAACGCTACTTTCGTCACTCTTGCGCGTAACTCGGATGTCTGGGATATCGCGCGCTCTATTCGCCAGGTCGAGGACCGCTTCAACCGCAAGTTCAACTACGACTGGGTCTTCCTCAACGACAACGACTTCGACGAGACGTTCATCAAGGTTACCACCTCGCTCGTTTCCGGCAAGACCAAGTATGGCAAGATTCCCACCGACCACTGGTCCTTCCCCTCGTGGATCGACACGGACAAGGCCGCCAGGGTCCGTGAGGAGATGAAGGAGAAGCAGATCATCTACGGCGACTCGATCAGCTACCGCCACATGTGCCGCTACGAGTCCGGCTTCTTCTTCCGCCACCCGCTGATGCTCGACTACGAGTGGTACTGGCGCGTCGAGCCCAGCATCGAGCTCTTCTGCGACATCGACTACGACACGTTCAAGTTCATGGCCGACCACGGCAAGAAGTACAGTTTCGTGCTGAGTTTGTACGAGTACGTCGAGACGATTCCCACGCTCTGGGACAGCGTCAAGACTTTCATGACCAAGCACCCCGAGCACATTGCCCAGGACAACTCGATGGCTTTCCTTAGTGACGACGACGGCAAGACCTACAACCACTGCCACTTTGTAAGTTTGCCTTTCTCATGGTTTCTATTCGACAATGCTAACAACGGTACTAGTGGTCCAACTTCGAGATTGGTAACCTGAACTGGCTCCGCAGCCAGGCCTACATTGACTACTTCAACCACCTCGACCAGGACGGCGGCTTCTTCTACGAGCGCTGGGGTGACGCGCCGGTCCACTCCATCGCCGCCGGTCTCATGCTTAACAAGGACGAGCTCCACTTCTTCAACGACATCGCCTACTACCACGTGCCTTTCACTCACTGCCCGACTAGCGAGAAGACGCGGACGGACCTCAAGTGCCACTGCAACCCCAAGGACAACTTTGACTGGAACGGATATTCTTGTAAGCAGCCCTCACAACCTCAAATGGAAGTAGCGCGCTAATCAGCTCCTGTGACAGGCACATCTCGCTTCTTCGAGGTCAACAACATGCAGAAGCCAGAGGGGTACGACAAGCAGCAATAAGCGTTTCCCTCAATTCCACCTTTTCCATCTTCCATCCGTATATCTAGCCCACGAACAAGCAATTCAAGCAAAGCAAAAAAAGAATTTGAAACACCAAAAAGAAAAAGATGTCTTAATCTTGAACTCCCAAAGAAAAAACATAAACATAAAAAAATTAAAAACCCTCGTCCGTCCGCGCATACGTATATCTTCTCGTCCCGTCCCGCCCTCGCGAAACCCACAAATACCATCGTTGGAACAAACTCGACTGACCGATCGGCTTTTTCCCCGATCACCAGGGCTCCCTCGACCAAGGCGCAGCGCATCAAGTGGGCCGTCCGCACCGTGGCCACGCTCCTCTTCCTCGCCCTGTGCTTCATCCTCTGGCGCGTCCATTCCAGATGGGGTACCGCGCGCCTGGACGTCAGCGGCAACTACTGGATCCGCTGACGCGGGTCCCCGCCCTGCCGCCCGCGAGCGCGCATTTCTCCTCCTCATTCCTACGCCTCCTCCTACTTCTCTGTTGTTTTTCGGTCCGAGCCGATGCAATGCGATGCGATGCGATGCGATGCGATGCGATGCGATGCGATGCGATGCGATGCGACGCGAGTCCGATGCGACGCGCTCTTTTCTCGCTTTTCTCCCCGCCTTCTCTGGTACGGCTGCGACCACCGATACCGCCAATTTCAGTCCCTTACTGCCGAACGCAGCAGCAAGGTCTGAAAACAAAATCAAAGCGACATCAGTGGTTGGGTGCCGTATGCACAAGGTTCATGCGCAGAGTGCGTGCTTGATGTGGTTTGTTTTGGCTTTTCTTGGCTTTTTTTGCTTGGCTTTTTTTGCTTGTTTTTGGGGGTGGGGCGGGCGATCTCCCGCGCGCGGGTGACATGGGAATGTGGATTCGGGCTTGGGATTGATTGACGACGATGCGAAAACGAAAGTTTGTTTTCTCCGGCTAGGCGGCGCGCGCGCGACAACGTGTCGGTGTATGACGTCTGTAGTGGGTATACCGTGTCCTTGCTTTTTTATTTTTAGATGTATCGGTTTGGGAGCCTGTATCTCTTCGTTCTGCAGTGCTATACAATAAACACACAAGTCAAAGCCAGAGCACACACTAAACGTGCGCGCATGCCAATTCCCCTTCGCCGTCGCGGGTATGTATTGCAAATCGCAGCAAGCGCCCCAGAATCACTCCTTGAAGAATCCTTTCTCGCCCAGGAACTTGATGGCTTGCAGCGCCAGCTCTGCCTCCTTGTGCCGCTCCTGCTCCACCAGCCTGTCGTGCAAAGACATTGTCCGCTTTGGCCCTGCTGCTACCTCTTTCCGCGCGCTGCGCGGCAGCTTCTCTTGCTGGACTGGCTTGCGCTTGGGCGGCTCGACGCGGATGGGGCGTTTGCTGGAGCTTTCTTCGTCGGGCGGTGCGTCGCTGTCGCTTTCTTCCTCGTCCTCCGAGTCGGATGATGATAGCTCGTCGGAGTCGGAAGAGGGTTCTTCGGAGCTGCTGGATACCACGCTCGATTCAGCATCACTGGCTCCTCTGTCTTCATCTTCGTCGCTTTCGTAGTTAATTCCGAGATTGAGCTTTGGTGGGTTGGAAGGTGGTGCCGATACTGCCTCTGCGTCGATTTTATTGTCTGGCTCCGCCTTTCTGGTTTCGTTAGGTTTTGCGGCTGCCCTTTCCGCTTTTGCCTCTGCCTTTGCCAGCTTCATCCGCAGCTTTTCAATCTTGCTCATGGCCTTTTTGGTTTTCTCGTCGTCCTTGCGTTTCTTGCCAGGCTCTGCTTTGTCCCCAAATTTCGCTTTCCGCTCTGCCGCGGCCTGCTCTTGCGCCAGTCGCTTGGCCTCCCTAGCTTCATCATCTTGCTTCCTCTTCTCTTCGACGCGCGCTTTAGTAGGAAATCGTTTCTTGCGCTCCTCAATCCACGCAGCTACCTCGGCAGCGGACTTCAAGGTTGCCGAGCGTCCCTTGTATTCAAATTGAAGCCTGTAAGGATTTCAATCAGCTAGTTCTGCTCTCAGCGCGCTAGGAATGGCGGGTGGAACTGACACTCCCCCGGCGGCAGCGGCCTTTGCTTCCTCATCAACATCATCTTCACTGTCCTCGCGTACGTCGCTGCGAGGCGTAAGGCCCAGCTGATTGAACTTTCTCTTCTTGTTCTTGTGGCCTGAATCGTTTACCTCTGCAGTAGTGGCACCGGGTTGCGACGGCAGCGCAAAGCCAAAACTGGGAACGGCAGGTGCGGCCTGGGGCTTCGGCTTGTTTGTTGGTCTTTGACTCGAGGAATTCAAAAAACCGCGACCTCGATTCGGAGTACGCGAGGAGCCAGCGTTAAGATTCTCGGAGACATGGCTTGCGTTCATAGGCATCGACGGACTTTGGAAAGACCATGGTTGGGAAGAGGACGAACTTGTATTTGCACCATTTGAGTACATGGACGAATTCCATTGCTGCTGCGCGAATGCTGGGTTAATGTAGCCGCCTGCGGGCAATACAGGTGCACGAAACTGCTGAGCGCCTTGCGAGTGGCCTCCGCCGCGTGAGAAGGCTCCTCGATTATTGGCTCCTCGCCCTCTGCCTCTGCCTCTGCCCCGCTCCCCTCCGCCTCTGCCTCCGCGCTGTCCATACGCTCCAGATTGCGACGAATATGGGTTTCCGGGGCTTCCGTCTTGGGCCGCAGCTTTGGGTGGAGGCGGGGGAGGCGGAGGAAACGTGAAGCCAGACATGGTGCCTAGGTGCGAAGAAGTTGTGTGAAGAAGCGGAAGTGGAAATGGTGATGGATGATGAAATTTTGCCAAGCCACTAGGCGGTGAGTGCAGTACTGCCGGCAGATAAGGAGGCTAGGCCGCCATGGAGTATCGGAGTACCTACTCGTACAACTCTACAATTCAGGAATGATGAATGGATCTGTAGAGTAAGGGAGAGTGAGTGTGGAAGTAAGTGTGTTTTGGACCAATGTCTAGCAAAGGCAACCAAGTTCCTTCCATGCCGCTCTCACATGCCTTATGCTTCCTTCCTACCTCCGTCTTGCCTTCTCCCTAGCAAGGGCCGCACCATCCATACCCTAGCTTCATTCAGTCCCTGCTTTCACCACGCTCATCCCCGTCGCTACTTTTTGATTCCCCCTCCGCCGCCACTTCGTCCGCCACCCACTCGCCCTCGCCCTTCCCGTCTGTCTCTGCGTGGCAGGTGCAGCCGAACTTGGCCCTGAAGTCAAAGGGTACGAGGCCGGATATCTTTTCCAGCGCGTCTTTGCTCGCGTGCATCTTTGCAGACTTGGCCGATGCGCCTTCACCGTCAGCCACGATGCGCCCGTGGAGCATGAGGCCCGCGACGCAGCGGGGAGGCATGCCGGGCGTGATGGCCGGCAGCTCCTCCGCCATAAGGCGGTAGTCCTGGCAACCGAGGGTAACGGCGAGGAGGTGGTGCATGTGAGTTGTAGGATGGCTGCCCGCAAAGTCATCGTACGCCTTCATGTTGATGCCATCGAAGAAGGGGCGGATATGCATGTCGAAGAAGCGCGCCACCTCACTGTAGTCGTATTCAGCGTCGACGAAGACGGCACCCACGTAGGCCTCGACCACATCCGCGAGACACTTGGGCGGCGTCCGCGCCGCAGTCCAGTAGTCCATTGCCCCGTCCGCTTCTCGCTCCGCCTCTTGCACCTCCGCCACATACTCCCGGATCTGGTGCTCGACCTGCGCATGGCTAAACCGTAGATGCCGGTGGAAACCGATCTTCACACACAGCGCCCCCAGGAACTTGTTCGATACCATCGCCATTTTGTGCTCCGTCAACCACTGTGGGTCTTTCCTCGGAAAGCGGTAGAATAGGTAGTCGATGCACACCATGTCCAGGAGAGAGTCTCCCAAAAACTCGAGCCGCTGGTACGATGGCACCTTTGCCCAAATAAAAGGGTATGACGGGTGCATGAAAGCAGAGTTGAGCAGCTTTGGGTGGCGGAAGTGATAGGGATGTTCCTTTTCCATTTTCGCGGCAAGGTCGTGTTGAGTTGCTGTCACTTCGCCGGACAGGTAAGCCGGCTTTTGGTAGGCTTCATAGTATTCCGACCACTTCTGCATCTTGTGCATGTCACTGGAAACCAGTGTAGACACGGCCTTGACGGCGTTGTCCCAATTCTCTGGCTTCCAAGAGCCTTGGTCGTTGTGCGTCATGTACGCAGCTCCAATGAAAGCTTCACAGACGTCAGCGACCGTCTTGTCGTTTAGTGAATGCGTCACTTGGTTTTTGTTGTTCTCCTTTCCGTCTTCGAGCTTCTTCGCTCCTTTGCCTTCAAGCAATCTGATACCATCTGGATACCATGTACGCCGGTTGAAAGCCAAGCTGCGGATGAACTTTGTTAACTTGATCTCCTTGGCAGTGTTGAACAAGTTTTGATTGCATATGAGGCACATGCGCTTGACATGAAAGTCAAATTCATTGTCATCTGGGTTCTGTCCAAAGAGAGAGATGGACGTTGCCATCTTCAGGAAACAATCGCCCATGAACTCTAAACGTTCGTAGTTGTTGCCCATTCCACGACGAAAGTTGATCGGTTGGTCTTCATGCTCCTCAGTATTGTCAGAGTCCTTTGTTACAGCCTCGAGGGCAAGAGCAGGACTAATGTCGAGGCCAAGTAGGTCGCAAGCTTCCAGAGCGATGAGATACTCGTCAATGCGGTGAATGATTGCCGGAAACACCAAAGATGTTGTAACGGCTTCTGATGTAAGAACTGAGATCTTCAGGGGTTCAGGGCATAAATAGACCTTCGTGCGGAGGCACAGTTCCTTCTCAGCTGGTTCAGCTAGCATGTTTCGGCGATGCAAAACCTGTTCTGCTTTGATCACCGGTTGATCACGTCTCCAGGTTGCATCAGCTCGTGCTCTGGATTGCTTGTACAGACTGACGGAGTAGTTCAGTATATCCGTCCTGTTTTCTGGTCTCTTCCCTGTGACTGAGTCTTTTGGTACAGGATCCGTAGCTTTCAGGTTCAGGTCGACTCCAACCGAGAAGAACCTGCGGCCTCCATCCCACCTATCTATAAAGAACTTGTTTCTGAGAAACGCGTGTGGTGTCTCCGGAGTCCATTCGTGTTCCTGCATTGAGAAGACTGCCTCAAGTGCGTTCAAATCCAGAACATCGGATAAACCGTAAAAGTCTTCATCGACAATGGTGTAGTGAGGCACTACAGGGGCAACCCAATAAGGCATCTTCGACAGATCGTCCTCAAAAGTTTTGTTGAAGATGTCTCTGAAGATTCGCAGAGTATATGCATTGAGCATCTGCAGCTGCTTATCACTGACTGCAAACCTAGACCGCAGTCCACTCAATCTCACCTCGCTCGCTCGTCCCGAGGTAAGAAAAAGTGGAAATCCAGGAAGATCCGGCAGTTTTGTCCGGGTCAGTAGAGCAAGGGGTTGATGCGGCCGGCTCAGTCCGTCAGGAAAATCCAAGACTGTAATGTAGACTTCTTTGGGGATAATGCTACCGGTCTTGGCCCACAGATGAGGCTTTATCATCCGTTCGTACAAGGTTGTCTTTTTGAGGTTGAGTGCGAGATGTGCATTTCGCATTGCCGGTAGCTGCTTAGCATATATTGGTAAGAGATTCTCGTTGAGATACCGCTTTCGTCGAAGCTGAATGCACATCTCGAAGGCTGCGGAACGTTTGGCAATAGCCTTTCTGCCTGATAGTCGTCCTATGGCAGTAATAATGGGAGAATTATCTGGGAGGATGACCTCACAGACAAAACTACCAGCCTGGGCAGACATGACATACATCGGTGCTGAAGTCACATCTCCTTGTCGAGGCAGACATGCAACAAAGTGTGCTAGTACACTCAAAGACGAATCGTATGTGAGTTTCGCTCCAGTAGTAGGTTCAGTGTACGTTGGAAATCCCCGTCCACCGAGAACGAGGTCATCGAGGTCCGAGTCGTTGCCTTCCAGCTTACGGTCTTCCGGTAATTTCTCGCAGAATTTGCGCATTGAACTCTCTGCTTGACGTACTTCTGCCACCATTTGACGGTGTGCGGAATTATCCATCTCGAGCATATGCACGTATCTGGAATTCTTGTGGCGTGCGCGCCCCCTTGATTGGACATATTGGATCATAGTTCTGTAGAGGTCGAACCTGACTACAAGGTTGCAGTCAGGTATATCCAGTCCCTCTTCGGCAATAGATGTAGCGAATAAGCAGTTGAGATCGCCCTTTCTGAACTCAATCATGGTCATCACTTGCTTTCGGAAGGAGATGTTCAGATCCCCAGCCCTTGATGAGTTTCCAACGATTATGCCTGGACGCAGATGAGGGCTTCCGATATGCTTGAATATGTGGTGAAGCAAACGCGCTGTGTGCCGGCGTTCGACGAACACAATACATTTGCTTTCGGAGGGCCGCTCAAAATACCCTTGCAGCCATTCATGGAGTTTGATGACCTTTGAACTGAGATCGTCGGCGTTTAGACTGGGAGTGCCGAAAGTATGTTGCCTCACTATTTCAGCAGCTTCCCGCAACATTTTAACTTCAGTGTCGAGGCTAGCAACAGGCCTTCTTTTCTTTTCTTTGTGGTAGGCTTGTTCTTGTCGACTTTCAAGCTTCCTGGCTTCTTCTTCTCCTAGAGCGAATAGCCAGTACATATCGGAGCTCCAGGCTCCTAATGTAGAACTAGCCTGCTTGGAAGATTCGAAGAGAGAGCGGAACATTTCCATCTCGCCGAACTTAGCCTTTAGTTTCTGATAAAGTGGCGTCTCGAAAGGTTTACGTAGTCGCGCGTACCAAGCCACATTTTCCATAGGCCTGCTAATAGTCTTTCGAAGATCGTCAAGATTAGCAGTGGTAGCGATACGGCTGTGTAACAGCATCTCCAGTTCTCTGCTTATGATTAGCGTAGGTCTAAGTTTACCAATTTATTTTTATACCTCGCAGCTTGCAACACGTCGACTTTTGCATCAACTGGGGATGCAGTCATTCCAAATACCTTTGGACGCTTGGACTCGTCTGACTGTGTCAGGTAGTAGTCTTTAATGATCCTGAAGACGTTAGTATCAACAATCGGTCACTTCAGCTGACATTCAGGTTACCTGGCATAACTATGGTTCTTCTTCGCATGGTGTGCCTCGTCAAAGATCAGGAGATTGATCTGGTCGATGCTAATGAAGGAGTGCATAAGGCACTGGCAAAGGACCTCGGCCGTGCAGACAATGACCATGTTCTCGGTAAAATACTTCAACCATTTTTCTTTGGACCAAAGGTCGATTCTCATTGCGCCGCAGAAGCGCTCGGCTTTATGGTCAAGATTCGTTTCGAGAACAGCAAACTGTTGAAATACTAGAGTTACGCTGTCGACCTAGGAATAGTTAGTGTTGATTCTAGGAACAATACTACGCAATATTACCAGGAAGAAGGCAATTTTTGGAGCCTTTCCGGCCGCTCTATCCTCGATTTCTTTATCCAGCATATGCTGAAGCAAAAGCACTGCGATGAGGGTCTTTCCCGATCCAGTATCCAGCACGGCAATGACATTCTCTTTCTTGGCTCTTTCGAAGAGCTCTAGTTGGTATTCCCTTGGGTCTGAAATAACATTCGTATCTTGCTTGGCTAGGACATTGCGAATTGACAGATTCTCGTCATCTGTAGCCATAAGAGCACTTTTCACCTGTTTCTCTGTGACATCTTCGGCCTTCTGCGTAATCCAGTTTTTAAACAAGGTGTTCTGTTCGCGGCGCTTTTCCGATGGGTTCTTCGCTGAGTCTGTCGTTGGCCCGTCATCATCACTGTCAGACTCTTCCCAATAAACTTGCTGTGGGTTATTGTTAGGTTCATCCAGGTTTTCTTCGGTGGGCGTAGGTGCCATAGCTTTGGAACCATCTGATGTAGTTTTGTGTGCATGCGAATGCATTACACCCGGAGGATCAGTCATTGCGGATGCTGCAGCGTGGGCTTTGTGCGATATCGGTGAGCAGTTAGTTGCAACGGTTAGAATCTATGGGTTAAGCTTTGAGCAATGCTGTGAAATGTCAGACGCGATGCAGTTGCTGTGTTGGCTTTGTGGTTGATTTCAGTTGCAACAGTTCAGCAAAGGAATTGCACGAAGTTAGTTGATAGAAGTAAAGAGAGAAATGGTTGGGGCTTTGTTTGCCCCCTCAGTGGCAGAAGTGAGTAAAGGCTGCAGTTGCCCGCGATGAGTTCCACAGTCAGTTTTCCGTGCAAACTTGTTTGTGATTGTCTCATGAAGCGCGACTGCCGATTTATGTCTGCGTGGCAGGCATGCGCAGTACTGAAAGGCTCGTGGTGCCCAAACCTCCCTCTGTAGGGTCAAGTTGTTGTTTTTGTTATTGTTGCTCGGGCAAGACAACGGGTGAGGGGCTACCTTGGTAGGGCACGGAGCGGAGTTGGTGGAGCGGAGCGGAGCGGAAAGGGTCTTGCTGGTCCGTGCATACAATGGCCCATTGCAACTTTCGGAGGCTCGGGGGTGCCTCAGCCCAAGACACGCCTCTGCCACGACATCACAGTCACCGGCACCATGGAAGAGCAACCGCAGAGCCTCCGCGCTCTCTTTGGAGATGCCGAATCGAAGAGAAAGGAGCTTGAGAACTCCTACGACTCAAATAGCGCTACCTTCCAGAGAAATCTCATGTCCGCCATCGCCACATATGAAGAGTGCTTGAAAGTGGCAGATCGCGTCTCTCTATTCAGCCCCAATGAGACTCTGGAGGATGTCTCATCCGGGGACATACAGTAGGCCAAAATCTTTTCCGGTCCTGTTTCCTTGTCTCATCCATGTGACAGATACATGCTCATCCATTTTCACGTTGCCGAACTGGTGCAACGCATCAACGGGGGGGACCGCAAGGCAAATCTACTTGGAGCCCGTCGGAGCTATGACAATTTCTTGAAGCTGCTCGATTCTTATGATATGCTGTCAAAATCCGACGCCAAATTATACGAAAGATACCTCGAGGCTCCCAACTCCTTTTCTACTGCTTCCACCACTGATGCTGCGGCAAGGAGAGAAACCAAGATTGCCCGATTCAGGGAAGAGAAGGCAATGAAGGCGAAACTTGAGGTTTGTGTTTCATTGTTTGATTGAGTGATCCATATTAACCAACACGGCTACTAGCACCTAAGGCAGAACCCCGCGGCGTTCCAGAACGACGAAGACGCGCTGAGGCAACTGCAACTCACCAACATTGCTCTCTCCGTACACATGACATTCCAAGCTCTGGAGTCACTAGCCATGGAACTCCAGATCTTAGCACTTGCTCCTCCGCCGGGGCAGCCAAGTGCCAGCAGCGCACTCAAGGATGAACGTCAGCGCGGCAAACAGTCAGACGGCTACTCAGAGCGCCTCGATCAGCCACTTTCTCGCTTGACGGCCGGTGGCATGGCCGGTCCTATTCTGAGCGCGGATGGTAAGCCTTTGCGGCCGTTTACGCTTTTGGGCAACCGGCAGCGGTTCCAGGAGGGTGTTTTCCGGCCAGACCACAGCCTGCCGACCATGAGCATCGACGAGTACCTTGAGGAGGAAAGGAAACGCGGGGGCATCATCGAAGGAGGGGGCGAGCAGTCTGGCATCCGGCCAGAGCCTAACGAGGACGACTTCGACAAGGCAGACGAAGAGACGATGAAAGCACGCGCATGGGACGAGTTCGTCGAGGAGAACCCCAAGGGCGCCGGCAATACCATGAATAGGGGTTGAAATAGTTTTTGAGGGCCAATTTCTGCAGATTGCGGACATGGTAGTGTTCGCAAAACTCATGATGAGGAGCCGCGCTATTCCCCAGCTGCTTAGGAGTAGGGTGGTACCAATCTGTGCCATCGCCCACTGTCTCACCAATCCGAGGCAACGGTGCCAACCTGCCAGCGGCCAAGTCCGCAATTATGCGCATAAAACCTGGCCATCGGAAGGCTTTTCAAGATGTGCGCAGAAAATCAAGGTTAAATAAACGGCTTCCATAATAGTCAGCGGCAAATGACATGCAGATATTCATACCCACTAAGAGTAATCGCTGTATTCTTGCCGGCCCCGTCATTTAAACCAGTCGTTCTAGTGGGTTCTCATTTCCATGTCTCAGTGCAGTTTCACGCGCGTACCCGCTGGGTCGGCCAAGTCTATTGGCAAGCCGGCGTGAATTTAAACCATGCTTATGAGCACCTTTTCGGATCGCGGCCTCTTGGCTCTAGTCCTAATATTCCCGCATGAGCTTGTCGATTTACCTCCAGTGCACTGAAAGACGCCGCAGGGAAGCATGTCGCTCTTACTGCTAGTTGCCTTCCACGTATTGACTAGAGAATGGATGACGTAGATAGCGGTGATAGGTAACAATTGGGAACCGTCGGGATTGCGTGCGGCAATTTTTCCTTTATATGCGGTGAGTAAGGCGCGAAGGAATATCACTTCTCGGCGCGGACGATATACACGGCGATTGGTAGAGGGGTAGGAATGACGGGTGAAAAGTCTGTCCGGAGCAAGGCGGTCCAATGATGCAGATGGCGGCGCTCTGCAACAAGGGAGAGATGCGTGACACCTCAGACCGCGAAGTACCTTGCATTTCCGCGAGCGCCGTCGGGCAATGAGGCCGTCGGTTAAGCACGTTTATGCCGTGAGCCCCGATGCAGGCGCGCCGTGGTCGAAGAAGCTTATTGAGGGAGATCAGAAGCATCAGGCGTCCCTCCCCACCGCCTGATCATATGTCGCGTGCCGAGGCGCCAACGCGCGGTTCCGAGGCTTATCTTCCATAGCGGCATGTATTGTATTTGATCCGAGTATGGGGATTGGGGACAGGGAGAGAAGGGCCGGGGGTTCCGTGGCCTGATGAGAGCCAAGCGGTGCAGGGCGGACAGTACCAGTGACGTTATGCTGGGGTGTGGGATGCGGAGCGGGAGAGCGTGGAGCGAGCGAACCACACCAGTCTGTGCGGCCATCTGGAGTCGGCTACTAGCGCCTCTTGCTGCGACCATCGTCACTACCGGCGCGCAACCGTGAGCCCGCGAGCATGATTGCGCTTTGCTTCGCCGCTCTGTTACTTCTGTCATGCCGACCAGCGCGCCACTGCTCTGACTGAACTTCACCTCGCACACACGCCCATCCGCTTTGCACCCATGGCCTCCGCGTACGTAGCTGGCCTGCCAACCGCCCTGCAGGGCCGCGCTGACACGGATCGATGCAGGGTCTGGAAAGACGCCTCCAAGGCGCTCGACGATGCCTTCGCCTCGCCGACTGCGCCTGTCCCTCTGCCAGAGGAGCTTCAACAAGCCATTGACGCCTTCCTCGAAAAGATCCACGAGCTCGACGAGGCCGACGCGCAGCGCTTGCATGAAGACCTGCTAGCCTGCTACCATGCCCATATTCACGACCACTCGGAGAAGCACGGTGCTTTTCTAAAACTCCTCAACCAGCTGCGACCCGCGATCAGAGGTCATGTCCGTCTGACTGAGTGGTGGGACCTGGTACTGCGGCCAATTATTGACGGAGTGGGCTACAAGAGGGAGGAAGTCGAGGACGCGCGCGAATTTGTGCTGAGCGTACTCGCTTACGAGCCCGGAGAGGAAGATGAGCAGGAGAAAGCGATGAGCGCGGCAGTATTTCTGAAAAAGCTACTCGACTGTTACTTATGGCGAACGCGCATTCCTAGCGGCGACAACGACACAATCACACCAGAAGATGAATTTGTCTCGCATGAAGTCGAATTGGTGCTTGTTGCATTTGGTCGAGGGAAGCCAAAGGTAAGCATTTCTACAGGAACCTTAGTTGCAGAGACTAACGTATCCCAGGAACTGCTTTCTGCACTCAATGAGCTCTTTGTCCAAGCCAAATGCCGCGCTCAGGCAGTCAGCCTGCTTAGCACCTTCGTCCGCGTTCAACCACCGCACCTGTACTCCGTTCTTGAAACGCCGCTGATCCAGAACCTGGAGAAATGCATGATGATCGATGATTCAGGGACAGTGGTTGAGCTCGCGCTCACTGTTCTGATAATGTTTCTCCCTCACATCACGGGATCTCTTGTGCCTCACCTTCCCAAGCTTTTCCTGATATACAGCAGGGTTCTCTGCTGGGAACAGGTCACGGGGGATGCAGCTGAGGAGTTGCAAGGGTTAGGTGAAGAGGCCGCTGAGGATGAAGATTCCGACAACGAGGCCGGTGATAAGACCGGCGACGACTGGGAAAAGCTTGCACATGCCTTCGATCATCCGGAAACATCAGCGCCAGGCGCTCTCTACTATTTTACTTTCCTCTATGGCCTTTTTCCGATCAACTTCATGACGTACGTCCGGAAACCGATCAAATGGCTCAAGAGCGTCAACTATCTTGGAGCGGATGATATAATCTTGGACCAGGATGCCATACGGAGGCGCACTGAACCTTTCCGTCAAGTTCATCTGTTGCATCCTAACTTCTTCAATATGACGGCCGAAGACGAGCTGAGCGAGACTCGTTTCCTGAAGAGTGACCCCGCGGATGTCGTGACGGGCTGCATGAGTCTATGCATGAACGTCTCGGCCTCCTTGGAGGATCCTGGGCCACCACCAAATGCGAAGTTGCCTGACATACCCGAGCCATTCGTGGCTACTGAGGACATACCTGCCACCACGTTGGATGACGATGCAACCGCGGTTAATAGTGCGGCATCCCCTACTGACATTAAATCTGCTAGCTTGCGGAACACCCAGTCTACTGTACTCAACAGCCCTTCCAAAGAGCCTGTGAACCTCTTACGGAATCCATCACAGCCGGCAATTCTTTCCTCTAATATAGGAGGGTCGCCAGCTGTACGGCCATCTGACGATACCACAGACAGTCCCACATTGCCTGGCCAAGCCGCGCCGCTCGAAGTCGAGAAGGCGCCATTCCAACGCAGACTGACTCTGCGGAAGGATAGCGATGCCTCGACGGGATTCAATATTCTCGCATCACCCAGGCTCGAAGCTTTTGCAAATGCCATGTCGTCCAATCAAATTTCCAGCTCTCCGACACATGTACGCCTAACTCAGAACCTCGCCACTTTGCAGCGTGAGGTAATGCTTTTGCGGAATGATCTGAATTTTGAGCGGTATTTAAAGAACCAACACCTTTCTCATATTGGACAATTGCAACGGAGACATATCAAAGAATCGCGAGTGGAAGCGGAAACCCAGAACCTGATCAACACAAACCGCAACCTGAAGGCTAAGCTCCAAAAGGCCAATGAGCTATATGCGCAGTTGAAGAAAGAGACCATGACGGGAAGAAACCAATCTAAAAAGTGGGAAGGCGAGTTGAGCACGAAGCTCAAATCTTTCAGAGATGAATCCAAAACCTGGCACACCGAAGAGGAATCTCTTCGGACCGGTCTCCACAAAGCCCGGTCTGACAACGAGCGTTTAAGGAGGCTCGTCGTTGAGAGTGAAGCACGGGAGCTGAATTCGAACCAGAATGTACAGACGATACAGGTCGAGATGGAAGAGATGGATCATTTGCGCCAGGAAATCGATACTCTCCAAGCCAGGATACGGGAATTTGAACTCAAGGAGCTCGAATTCCAACAAGCCAAGGAGAACCAAGAATTGTTACGCAACGAACTCAAGCTTGCCAACATGAAACTCGACAGCCGAGATGCCGACCGCGAGAGAACCTCAAGGGCCCATGAACGCAAGTACGCTGAGCTTGCCACTCATCAGTCATCATCATCTCATGCCGCCACAAATACAACCCAGTTGAACCCGGCTGTACAACAAATTATTGACTCGGCCCTCGCTGCAACCAACAGTAGATTCAATCAACTGAAGAAGACGCATGGGCGTTTGCTACATCGTTTTACTGAGCTTGAGATGCATTGTCAGGCTCTGGAAGGCGATTTAGCTTACGCGCGCGGACGATCTCAGGGCAACGGCCACAGTGAAGCCTCTCACAGTCCCATTGATGAGTCCTCATCCGGCAGCTTTGTTCGTGGCAGCAGTGCCTTTACCGGTAGCATAACCAGCGGCCGGGTGAGCAGTCTTGCAACTCGCGGCCTGCAGCATTCTCGTGCCTTCTCAGACAACGTACGCCACGATGACGAGTTCCTAGAGGATGATTACCTGGATTACCATTCTCCCAGCTCTTCTCTACCACCCCGCAATATCTTCTCGGCACGCCCTGAGTGCAGCGAGTCTCTGCCGTCACGCGGTATCCGCACAGAGCCTGCGAGCCCGGCGGAGGTATCGATCTCACCTATAGAAGCCTTTCCTGCCCCGCGCTTCCACGCCTTCGATCCCTTGCAGCCTAGCAATAGGAGCACCCTCAGTGTCGATACAAGCGGCAGCGGCCACAGCCGAGGCGACAGGCAGAAATCCCAGTCAAAGCCGGATATGCGCATCTACGGAAGAGGTAAGTAACTGTCAACCGTTTGTCGCAGAACTCTCAAGCCACGCAGTACGAAGACTAGGGCTAACCGAATATCTCTTGATACTCATGCAGGCGGCGCCCAAAACACTGGCAAGAAAAACAATGGCCGCAGCGGCAGCAGCGACAGGAGGGATCCGCCCCGCTCCGGCAGCGGCGGTTTCCGCGGTTTCAAAGGCTTGATGTTCCAAAACTGAATGGACTTGATGTTATGACTGAACGCATCCCTCCATGTTCGTCTTTGGACGAAAGCTGGCCTCATCGGCTCACGGCGTCTAATCGGTCTCCAAAATACGTTCTTTTCGCGCTGGGTCATCCCACCCCTTCGTTGCGGCGTCCCGGAATATGCTATGGTTCAGATATCGTGGGGCTGTAGGGTCGGTTGTGAGGGCGCCATTCAGTGCGCAGGCGGCTAGCTTGTTTGTTTTTCTCTTTTATTGTTGTGGCTGCCGCGCGCCATGGCTCCGGGTGCTTGGGGGCCGTTTCGGCACCTAGTTGCATTGCATCTAAGCATAATTGTGAAAATGGGCGGTTTCGTCTTCTGCGCCGAGACTAAAGGGCGGATAAATGACTTTGTTGCTCGAATGGCGGTAAGGATGGTGGTGGAGGTCCTGCATGTACGTCTGCACTCCGTATCTATGGGAGGTAAGCGTTCTTCAGTGTGCTATGCTTTTGGGTTCACTCATGTTTTGTCCCTGCTTTGCTGTGTTTATCCCAGTCGATTTCACAGTCACTCGTCTCTCGCATCAAAGAAGCCGTCGGCGCCGTCTTCGAGTACATTCGTTCACGTGTTCAGTTGTCCTCGTTCTCTCTGTTTGTGTTGATGCTCCTTGGGCAGGGCGTTTGATGACGCATGAACGCAGGGATGAGTGAACGTCTGAAGATTGTGTATGTTACAGACCATAGCAGAGAGAAATTTCAAGACTATTAGCTGTGAGTTGAAGGTCAAGCAGAGCCATGGTCGCTCGAGGAATCATCGTAAGCTTCACTTTCTTTGGCCTGAATATGTAACAGAATTTTTCTTCCTCAAGGACCCAGACAAGCCGAGTCACTCAATGAAAAGGGTCGCGTCAGCCCGAGACAGTGCAAATACGGGCGACACTGTGAGGAGCGACATGCGCAAGCGCAGCGGCCACCCCTCGGGTTTCAAAAATGAGCTAATCAAGAATGCCCCCGTAGGGACGTTACAGCGATTAGACTGTAAAGAACAGATACTACACTTGATCTAAGCCAAAAGGCAAAGAGAGCTGAAGAAGAAAAGAAGAGGAGGAGGTGGTGGGAGGGGAGGGGTATTTATAGGCAAGGGAGGAGGCTCGCTTGGGGCTTTCCCGGCACGCTTTCACGGGCAGAAGGGAAGTTGCGGACATGAGCTCCTGCCTCCCTACCTGCCTGGTGTGAAAGGCCCCCGTGGCGGTAGGTAAGCTGCACACCGCTTGCCTCACCTTTCACCACCAACTCCTTCACAGGGACCTTGCGGTCAACTTAATTGTTGCTCAGACTACGTTCCTATGGACCGATCCCGGCTTCATTCGTACATGTCTTCTTGTTTAAGCTTTCGCCATCTCCTGAACAGTCTTCTCGAATGGCTCAGGTTCTCTCCCAAGAAGCTTTGCAAGCAGCGGCGAGGCGACCGCAGTTTCTCCATTCTTAACCCCCTCAAACGCTGACGCCCAAAACTTTGCGCTCTCTCCCGCACCATAATCACTTCCTCCGGTCACCTGGGGCAAGGACGCGAACTTCTCCACCGTGATCGGCTTGACGGTCACCTTCTTTCCCGCAGCCTTGCTCAGAACATCGACGGACTCCTGGTACGACCAGACGCGCGGGCCGGAAAGGAGAATAGTCTTATTCACATACTCAAAGGTTGCAAGGGAGGAGCGATACTGGGATATCAGACGCGCAGTCGCCTCGCCGAGCTCATCACGCTTTGCCCAAGCGATGCCTGGACCGCTGCCATCGTAGGGAACGGTAATCTCATCCGAGGGGTTCTTCAAATCGAAGAATGCGGTATAGATCGGGAAAGATTCCGAGTAGAGGCCTTGCCGGACGGCAGTGTAGGTGAACGTCTTGTCTTCCGCAGCGATGGATGCAAGGTACTTCTCAGTGTCGAGATGGGCTTGCATCACGTGGGCTGCCGATTGAGGCTCACAGTCGCCGCCAAAGGCAAGAGAAGAGTAAATGATATGCTTTACTCCACTACGACGAGCGGCATCAATGGCATCCTTGTGCACCTGGCTACGCGGTCATTTATGGCCCGGGCGGTGCATCTTTTCGAAAAACGCACCTTGGAACGGTGTTCATGTTCTATACTCGCATAAGAGATCAGGTTGAGGCAGCTCGCACCATCAAAAGCATGGGCAAGGGTTTCCGGCTTATCGTAGTCGGCCTCCCTCGCAACCAATCCCGCATCTCTGAACTTTTGCGGTATCTTGGAAGCGTAACGAGCAATGAGAATAACCTCTTCAGGCTTCACAATGTTCAGCAGATGGTTGTAGGTGCTGCCTCCGAGTCCACCCGCAGCGGGGAATATGGCTATCTTGTCGTTCGCCATGGTTGACAGTTAAATCGCTCCTGAAGGAAAATTTGAGGATGGATTGAAGTTAAAAGAAGCTTCCTCTCATTACAAAGATTGACGTGTTGAAACTGGAGCATTGGCCATGACGTCCGTCTCTTATCCGAGGCCGTGCAGCATCACTGTGGCAACCTACCTTTAGAATACAGAACAGACATCAAAAGCTGATAAGACGATGGCACGGCGTCTTTTTCTGTTTCAGTGGATTTCCATAAAGCATGATCCTGGCCGCTTCTATAGAAAACAAGATGCTGGGGATTTCTTTGAAGAATTCATGTTTCGGAACTTCTTTTAGAATTAGTTCAAATTTTTCCTATACAGAGATGAGAACATCACGGCATGAGTGAATTAGAGTATGACAGTCAAAGATAAGATGGAGATGGAGTTCGTAAGAGACCACGAGACGTTCGGAGCGAACCCGGGCCGAGAGAGCTTGCCTGGCCGTCCGCCGAGCCGGCGCGCGGGAGGAGCCAATTCCCGCACGTCTCGTTAGCTCTTCACACTTCCGTCACCTCTGCCTTGCTACTACTACCGCGCGAAGCTTCCCACTGCAGAGACACGCCGGGGCCGGCCACCGCACAGTCGCTGCTCAACAGCTCGTCGCATCCGCCCTACCTTCATCCCAGAGAACGGCGCAAGCTTCGCCGCCGCCTCTCTGCCGTCACCATGTCTCTCCAGGCCTACGTAAACAGTGCGTGTTTGCCCTCCCTCCAAGCTCTACAGCGAGCAACGCACCGCCTCTCCAGCCGCGCACGACATCCCCCGACTTCGCGGCCCAGAACTAACCAGACTTTTCGCTACGCTAGAGAAAATCCTCGTCCTGACGACCGACGGCCGCACATTGACGGGCACACTGCTGTCGTGCGACCAGACGACGAACCTGGTGCTGAGCGAGACGTGGGAGCGCATCATCCGCCCAGCCGACGACCCGGAGCCTAGCAGCGAAGTTCAGCACGGGCTGTACCTGATCCGCGGCGACAACGTCGTCGTGTGCGGGCTTGTCGACGAAGAGCTGGACGCGAGCATCGACTGGAGCAAGGTTAGGGGAGATGTGCTGGGCTCGACGAAGCATGTGTGAGCGAGGGCAGGTTCCTTGATTGCACGGCATGGATGGTCTGGGCGAATCAGAATTGGAGTGCTGGTTGGCGTGGGAAGGTGCTGGTGAGGGCGGGGCAATACACAGTTTATCTGGCCGATCGCACACGGGTGTTTGAGGCGCACCGGAGACAAGCCATGAGGTTCTGACTCTCCTGTGGCTGCAGCAGGAGTGTCTTCACGGCCAATGACCTCGAAGGGCACCGAAGGCCGAGCTCAGCACAGCAAGAGACTAAGGCAGCTGGATCGAAGAAATTGCTTTGGAGCAGCTTGGAAGTCGAAAAGAGAAGATACATAAAGTAGGTCTCTTCAATTTTATACCCAACAAATTCTTGATTAACAACGGTGTTCGTCCATTTAGAATTGGGAGCTACGACAAGGTTCCATTGTGGGCGACAACTCGAGAATCTTCAAGGCCTAGACAGTGGCCGGTTATGGCCCTAGCCGCAAGAAATCCAATCAAGGACATAGTCTATTCATCGAAAGCATGGTGTTCATCTTTGTTTCATATGCAATGATGCAGCGCTCCTGGTCGTTAAGGGTATTGACGGATTGACCTTACCATACCGAATGTCAACAGCTTTAAGAAATGTGCTCCCCTTTGCGAACAAGATCCACTAGGGGAACGCCATTGTTGTTGTGAATGCATGAAAACCACCCGCAACTCCGCTCATGATCACATAGGCATTATATGCCTTTAGACTTTTATCCAGTTCTCTTACTCTCTGGGCTTTGTCCAACTCACAGCCCGTCTCTTCCACCAACACCACTACCCATTCCCAGCCCTGTCGTGCCCTTGACCTTGTGGTCCGAGGGATTCGCCGCCGCCTCATAGAGGAAGTTCACGGGCTCACGGTTCAAGCGCATATACTCACCCTTGAACGCGACATAACTAACTCTTGTGACGTCCTCGTCGCCGTCGCCGAAATTGTCCTCGAAGAATAGCGTCAAGGATCGCGTCGTGTTGAACAAGGCGCGTTTGACCGGATGCTCTTGTAGGTCGTTGGTTTGCGCGAGGTCCAGCTGCTGCGTCGGCTGCAGGTCGGATGCCGTGCCGAAGTCGAGGTCATCGCGGTTCAGGTACAGCTTGAGCGTCTTCGGCGCGCTGGCAGAGTCGGACGTGCGGAGGAGGATGCTGTGGAGGCGGACTTGGCCGGTGAAGCTGCAGAGAGCAACGCAGTGTTAGCTCCAGTGGCCTACGGTGCCTGTCTACTGTGTGTGTGTATGGGACGCTGTAGGAGGCGCTTACGGCACAAACATGAGCAGCTGCTCGTCCGCGTCGCTCTGCAGCTCTGGCTCCGGGTCGAGGCGCTGCGCATATGTTTTCTGCAATATGGAGGCGCCTGAGCGCGGCTCCGCTTCGTTCAGGGTGTTGACGGCGCCGAAATCAACCTGTTCGTACAGAAGGGACTGTATTGCGGGGGTGAGGTCGTCGCTGTGGTCGTGTGCGCCGTGCGAGTGGTCGTGGCCCGAGTGATCATGCTCATCGTGGCAGTGATGCGACATTCTGAGGGTGTTTGGGTATGCTTTTTCTTCGTAACAGTTGTGGCGGGCGTGAATGCGGGTTTCGGTGTTCTGGCAGAAAGGCTTGGATTGGAAGAGTGTATCTAGGAAGGTGTCCAAGGAATCCGTTTGTATTATCGGGACGATCTTCTGCTCACATGAACGATGACGCTGAAACTCCTGTCGTGCACGCAATGGCAAAGTGTCGGCACGTCAATCAGCTGCGAATTCAAGCGGGGGCTCAGTAAAAGGGCCCTCAAGGTACTCTGTATTCGTACATGACCTAAACAAGTGTTCCCCGCAGACCCCTCATCGATCGTCATTCGCGTCATTGCATACACGTTCTCACGTGGGAGTCCCTCTTTACGTGCTTGCAGCAGTGACATTATTCTCTAGTTAATTCTTTTTACATCACATTGAATAAAAACATCTAAGCCATGGCGTTTGATTGCAACTATACTATGTGATTTCTATCAGAAAATCCTCCGCGGCATGCCATCCTGAGCTCAATGCCATCCACCGCATCATGTGCATTTCCCAAACCCGGTTTGGCTGCAGACAAGTGTTAGCAGAGTGCATTTCGTGGAGTGGCGAACCTAACGTACCATCCTGTCCCACAGTATATAAAGGAAGAACCGCAGAAGCCATCAGAAGAGCAGCATTGTCCTTCGTACCTGCCGCCGGCGCAGATGTAGCCGCCTTTCTTCGCTCCACAAGCACCGTTCAAGGTGGGAATGTTGGTGGTCAAGCAGCTGGCAGAAAATGCCGATTGACTGCCAATGCTGTTAGCGAAACACAAAGGTAGCAACACTATAAACTTTTGCCCAACTTACCATCCCTGAGCACAAAATGCGGTTGAGTCTCCACAATATCCAGACGAACTACAGCAATCTCCAAATCCCGAGCTGGTGCAATCATATCCATTCTCACCGCCGCAAGTACCATCAGGCGAGATTTGTGGATACGAAGGGAAGCCGCAGTTGCCAAATTCAGGTTGGCAAGTATCGATATTGCAATACTTTGCTTCCGTCCCACAAAAACCGTCAGAACTGCAGCACTCGCCTTCGTGGCACCGATATCCATTCGCGCCACCGCAGGTACCGTCCGGCGAGATGGTTGTGCTCACGCACTTGCCAAACGACGTTTGGCAGCCCGCGGAAGTGTTACAGTAGGCATCAGTCTTTCCGCACCATCCCGAAGAGCTGCAACAGTTGCCTGCCTGAGAGCCTACGCATGTATACCCTGTGGTGCCGCCGCAGGTGTTGTCTGGCGATGCGACCAGGACTCGTGGGAGATACTGAATAGCTGGAATTGGCTCGGCTGCGGATGAGCTGATCCGCAGGAAGATGGTGAGCAGTGCCGTGGTAAATACCATGTCGATTGTTGGTGTGAGGTAGATTCTATGTGACTGAGTCCTGAATTGTGTCTTTCGGCGCTTTATAAAGGCTGTACGCTCAGCAATTTTCTTTTAGCCTCACGCCACGGAGTGTCAGCTGTCGTATTATCCAATACTCGGAAGTGGTTCGAGGCCGGCGCGCTGAATGTCAATTAAGAAATGTCAGTAGAGATATTGAAGTGTTTTGGACCCGAGACGGACCAGACTTCCTACCTGAGCATTTGCCGCAGTGACCATGTAGAGGGCTTTACGCCGCAAATGCTATGAAATAGGCAGCAACCAGTGTCATCTCGGTCTTTCGTTCTCTTTCAACTTGGCCTGCCGCGCCGTTAATAGACACGTCGTATTAGAGCTGGTGACCACTGTGTTCTGGGTGTATTCGCCGCCTTTATTTGGATGGAGCTTCGGCATTGAGCTTAGCGGGCAGTTGGTCTATTCGTATATCGGCTCCGGCTCTCCTCCGCAACTCTCCTCCATAACTCCACTGTTTTCCGCGGTAGTGTTATTTTGCTTCGCTATTCTCGACATCTACAAAGTCACGAAACTCCATCGGAGAGCTCCTTGACCACCTGATTCAGTTCCGCAGTGAGCTTAGGAGTGTGGGATGGTTCCTAAAGTCAGCTCTACAACTTTGTAGCCAAATAGCAAAAGACGGAGAGTGTGCATAGATTATGCATGGCATTTGGAGGGATACCGGAAGAAAAGAAGCATATCGCAAAGATACCGGTAGCAGTCATGCCTGTAGTAAAAACAACCCCTAACGCCTTGCTCAAATGCAGCAAAATCCCGGCCCAACTCCGTTATGCAAGCATCGGTTCTGGCTCCAGCGCCGCCCGTTGGCGCGCCCTTCTTGCTGCCCGTTCCTTTACTGTCTCGCCCTCTGGGATCTTTGTTGGGGCGTCTGGAAGCCTTTTGCCTGTAATTTCGGCCTCTGGAGACTTCGTTGGCGCGTCTGGGAGCTTTGTGCCTGACATTTCGGCCTCGAGAGCCTCCAGTTCGTCCTCCACCTCGTCCTCGTCCTGGTTTGTCATTCGGCTTCCAAGCATTTCGCTTATTTCCTGCAAAGTGAACTCGTAAGCACAATGTTTGACAAGAACAGCAACAGCCATATGCTGACCCTCTGATAAGCCTGTGCCTCCTCGCTCTCGCCCATCAGTTTCTCGACGTTCTCCAGTCCACCCATCTCCTTGTGGATCTCTTTCAAGACACTTGTACCCTGTTGTAGCCCGAATAAGACGTCCTTTTGCACGAGTGCAAACTCGACGTCGCTCGTGAGCATCTCAAGTTGTGCCAGCTGCTGATCCGTCTTCGCCAGCAGTGACTCTTGGTATTTCTTCTTGCGCAGCGCCAGTAGCGCCCGCCGCTTGTCTCCTTGCTTCAGGCATTGCTTTGCGATCTCGGTCTCGCGGTTCGTGATTACGATAATCTTCTTCTGGTACTGGTGCAGCTTATCGCGCTGAATCTTCATGTCCAGGATGGCCCTGGGCGCGATGCGTCAGTCGCAGGCAGACTGTGGGGGAGCACAGCATGAATGACAGACTTATCCTGGGCCGAGATCTTCTGGGAGCTGCCGGCATTGCCCATTGTGAATGAACAAGCATCGGAGGCGGTGGGCGATGAGCGATGATCGATGATGTGGTTGACGTGGGATGCGCTATCGATAAAGCGGGATCTAGGATCCCTGCAGTTCCATGTGCGATCCCGGAAATTTTTGGCCGCGGGAGCGCGAGCTGTGAGAGAGAACAACCAAACATTCCCTCCCCTCTCCCTCCTTCCCACGCCGCCGCGATCCCGTCGTCATGCCCCCAAAGAACAAGGGGAGGCCCTCGCTGCGGCAGGGTCTTGACAAGGAGGTCTTCCAAATAGTACGCAAGCTCATCGACGACCAGCCCGGCGAGAACCCCAACCTTACTGTCTACCAAGTCTCCAACTGGATCTCGCGCTCCAATTCCAGCCTCAAGCGCAAGCCTAGGAAGATGCTCGATGACAGCATTGAGCGTGTGCTGGACGTCATAAGGGAAGAGGAGGGCGGCAGCGACGAGGAAGAGCTTGCTCCCATCGACGCAGATTTTGTCGACGCCAATGCCGAGCAAGAAGCCGCCGATGCGAACGCCATGAACAGGGCGCTTGTCAGCGGGTGGGACGTCCCCAAGACCTCGACGCCGGCTGATGGCTCCGAGGCGCCGACGAAGAAGCGGGACGGCCAGAGACAGCCAAACGGCGAACCAGTGAAGAAGAAGCGAAAGGTGGCGCTGGCAGCCGAAGAAATTAGCACAGCTCCCCCGAGCCATATCCGACTCGAGGACGTCGGAGGCGTGGACAATGTCAAGCAGCAGCTGAAAGACCACCTTGTGCTACCGTTGCTATGTCCAGAGGAGTATGCGAAGCGCAAGATACCCATTCCTCGGGGTATCCTGCTGCACGGCCCGCCTGGGTGCGGTAAGACGGTCATCTCGCGTGCTTTTGCCGCGAAACTTGGAGTGCCATTCATTGAAATTCTGGGTCCCTCGATCGTATCGGGCATGTCTGGAGAGTCCGAAAAGCAAGTGAGAGAGCATTTTGAAGAGGCGAGGAAACACGCGCCGTGCTTGATGTTCATCGACGAAATCGATGTCATTGCACCAAAACGTGATACATCTCAGAGTCAAATGGAGAAGCGCATCGTGGCGCAACTACTTATCTCCATGGACAGCCTTGCAATGGAAGCAAATGATGGGAAGCCGGTGATTGTTTTGGCGGCTACTAACAGACCAGACAGTCTGGATCCCGCACTGAGAAGAGGTGGCAGGTTTGACACGGAGATCAACATGGGCGTGCCCAACGAAAAGATGAGAGAGCTCATCCTGAAGGCGCAGACTCGCGAGACCGAAACAGCGTCTGACGTTGACTTTGTCAAGCTTGCAAAGATGACCCCAGGTTTCGTGGGCGCCGATCTTAGGGATCTTGTAGGCAAAGCTGGTACGTGGTCTATGGACCGTTACAGAGAAGCACTGGAAAGGCAAGCCGCTACAACTGAGCCTTCCGAGATGGACATCGACGATGGAGAGAATCCGCTCCAGACCTCGGAAATGGATATGTCCATCACTCGGCTTGTACAGCGTGTGAAAGACAAAAGCATCCCGCGGCCCGAAGGATTTGAGAGTACGGCTATTACTATGGAAGCTTTTCTTGCAGTCCTGCCGGGAATCCAGCCATCGTCCAAGCGCGAAGGGTTCGCCACCATTCCGGATACTACTTGGGCGGATATCGGCGCTCTGGAAGTGATTCGCGAGGAGCTACAAACCGCTGTGGTCGAGCCAATCCTGCATCCGGAGAGATACAAAGCCGTTGGTATTACTGCGCCTACTGGCGTTTTACTCTGGGGCCCTCCTGGTTGCGGAAAAACGCTTCTGGCAAAGGCAGTGGCGGCAGAGTCAAAGGCAAACTTTATCAGTGTCAAGGGTCCCGAATTGCTCAACAAGGTACGTAGGCAACGGAGGCAACGGGACGTGATGGTGTTTCGATAACTACTGTACTAACGCTTTGCTTAGTATGTCGGAGAGTCTGAGCGTGCTGTTCGTCAGGTTTTCATGCGCGCACGCTCTTCCGTGCCCTGTGTGATCTTCTTCGACGAGCTCGACGCTCTGGTTCCGCGCCGCAATGATGCACTGTCCGAAGCCTCTGCTCGCGTCGTCAACACGCTCCTCACTGAGCTCGACGGCTTGTCTGCCCGTGAAGGCATCTACGTCATTGCGGCCACCAACCGCCCCGATATGATTGACGACGCCATGCTGCGACCCGGCCGCCTGGAGACGCTCTTATTCGTGGGCCTGCCAGGACCAGAAGAGCGTGTTGAGATCCTCAGGGCGCTCATCAGAAAGACTCCGATTGACGTCAGCTTGGCTGACATAGCAAGAGCATGCGAAGACTTCAGCGGTGCGGATCTGGGAAGCTTGCTGCGTAGGGCGGGCCAAAACGCACTCAAGAGGGGTAGCGGACAGGTTGTTTTAGCGGATTTCGAGAAGGCGAAGACCGATATCAGACCCTCAGTGGGTGATATGAGGAAATACGAGAAACTAAAGGAGAAGCTGGCAACGAGAATTTAAGGGCGACTGATGATGGGAGTAGAACAGATGTTCGATACCAGGCTCCACGCCCTGGGCTAGTGGAAAAGAGGAAGACACTCGCATGACTGTATGGAATATCCTGTCAAATTCTTTTGATTTAATTTCAGTCACCTGGAGACTTTCTGTCCTATTGATTTATTCACAATTCAATTTCTCTGGCAGTTCCTATGAGTGCAAACTCCGTGATCAGTTCGTGTGAGCGGTTCGACGCACCGCGAAACAACCCGGAAGTTTCCCTCTCCCTCCACTTTGTTCCAGTTCGTCTCGAGATTCATCCCCACTCACCATTTTCCAGCAAACCCCAGAGAGAGAAATACTTCTATTCGCCTCTTTTCAGGACCATAATACCCTGCATCCGATTCGCTAATTTCAAGCTCTTGTTATACCTTTCACCGGCTGTAGCATATGTGAATCTGCTACTAATAGGGGCAGAACCTAGTCTGTTGTTGGTGGCCGTATCGGGACCACATGATAGTGGAACCGAGGGCTAGTTATAAGCGCCTTGTCATCTTCTAGGCAGTTGATGCCTCTTAGTCTCTGTTTCTTTACCTGTCCATTTTAGGGGGCTATACTCATCATATTCAATAGTACTATTAACCTTTTATAAAAGAAAAATTGCTGCTGCATATAAAGCTTGCTTTTAGAGAAGGAGGTTACAGTATAGTAGCTAACGTCCGTCACCGCGAACCGAGATCCACCGTCTAGCGAGACAGGGCATAATATAATCAGTCCCTACAGAGTACTCCTTGCTTAGCTCCCAGCCCGAGTCCTAGGTATAGGTGAAAAGGTCTTAGAGCACACATAGACTTACCATATCTTAACTAGGTATCCTCTTCTACCCTATATAATTATTACCATTTCGCTTCACAGTATATCTCGCTTCAGGATAACGGACGTTAGTCTTAGTCTTAGTTACTTAGTATATATTCCTAATCCTTAGAAGCTTATATGTATTTAAAATTATATTACTACTTATAGATTACTACTTACACATATCAAACAATATATAAAAAGTTATAAAGGGAGTTATCAATTCTAGCAACTTAATCGAAGATTGGGGAATTGCCAATTCAATGCACTATTAAAGCAGGGACAGATTTCAGACTCAATAAGAGTAGATATAAGATCCATAATCTTGCGGCTCTGCACCAGGCTGATTTCAATAGAAAGTGACTTGCAACGGACAATATCATACCGTGTAATAAACTTCAGTCGTTTCTTCTGACCTGTATCTGCATAAAGCTCACGTCTTCCTTTAAAATCGGCGATCAGTGCGTATGTTGCACGAGTATTCGGAGAGTACCGTGAAGAGTTATTGCGTGGAGTTCGGGACTCATGGTTATTGCCAGGGCCCTGGCACGCGGCCCGCGTTGTTTCAATATAAGATTCCGTTGCGGGACTTCCTCCTATTGGACTGTTGGAAGTTTCAGCCCCTACAAAGCTAAATCTTGACTCGCACAGGCTGTGGAGTGGGCCACCATCGAACGATGCTATGCATATAGCTATTGCTTCCTATTGAGCGGCAAGATCAGGGTCTGTACGTTATGCACCAGTCGCCTGGGCTGGATCGCCGATGTATCATCAAAGGAATCGTAATATGAAGGCGGATTCCCATTTGCCGCTGTCGGAGCCATCATCAAACAGTCCCACGCTTCGAAGGTGTCGTTAAATCATGCCGGAGCAAACACTGACTGGAAGAGTCGCCATCGTTTCCGGCTCCAATTCTGGGATTGGCCTAGCCATTGCACGGGAATTGGCCAGTCGAGGCGCTAGAGTTGTCATCAATTATCCATTTGATACCTTTCAGGCGGAATCCGAAACAATCGCGGCTAACTTGTCAATTCCTGGGATTGCCGTGAAGGCGGATATGTCCTCAACAAATGGTCCTTCCGAACTCGTCGAAGCTACGATACGGGCATATGGACTCTTGGACATCGTGGTCAACAATGCTGCCCTTGCAGTCAACTTGCCATTGGAGGAGCAAACCCTCGAACATTGGGATACCCTTGTCAACCTCAATGGACGCGGTGTCTTTCTGCTTACTCAAGCATCGTTGAAGTATCTTACTCGGGGAGCTGGTCGGATTATCAACATCGTCAGCGTATCGTCGCGAGCTGCTCCGCCAATGCAGACAATTTATGCTGGCACAAAAGGGATGGTTGATTCTTTTACGCGCTGTTGGGCCAAGGAGTTGCCCTCGAAGTACGGATGTACCGTCAATGCAGTAAGCCCAGGACCAACTATCACTGAGAGATTTCGCGCCGCCGGACCGGAAGCTTTCAAAATCTTGCAGCCGACAATCGACGCAACTCCAACAGGGAAAAGGATGGCTGATCCGAGCGAGATCGCCTATGCTGTTGGGTTCTTGTGTGAGGAGCGAGCCAGATGGATCAATGGAGAACATCTATTCGTCAATGGCGGTTTGTTTATCGACTGAGCATACCCTGATGAACTATAAGTATCATGGGCAAAGCCTGATATAAAATACACTTCCGTACCAACAACCGTAGCGATTCTGAATGGCTCTCAGACTTCCAGATATCATGTGTCCCCCAGCTCTTTATGTGATGACAGTGCAACACAGTACGATTTTAATCGGGACCAATGTGGAAATCCAACTACTGAGATCTTCATCAACTATCAAGGCTTGCAGCTAGTAAAACTTATTATATTAAATACATATTAAAAGTATAAAAGTTGTTTAGCCTTCCCTAACAGGATACTTAGAGGTTTATGCTATAATCTTTATTTCTCTTAATATTATTACTACGGTGGTGTAATTTAATACGTATATTATCGATACTACGCTTGCGCTAGTTAAGGTATTTACCGATTATTCTATCGTTGCTAAGGTAACTAACTAAACGAAATTTTAAACCCTTAGGAGATATATAGTTATAGAGATAGAGTAATATTAAATAGTGAGAATCTAGCTTATTAATACTTTAAACAGCTATTTACTAAGATATATATATATCGAGTCTTTTTAAAGATATATATACTATTTCTAAGATAAATATATCTAAAGAGTCTCTCTAATATATATATATTTAAATATTTCTATGAATCTCTATTTATTATAGTATATTATAAAAATATATATCTTAGAAACAAAATTTAAAAATATATATATCTTAGAAATATATTTTAGAAAATCATGTATCTTAGGGATATTTTTATATATCTTAGAAATATTTTTTTTTTTTTTAAAAAAAAAAAAAAAAACACTAAATATATTATTAAAAAAAATTAAAACATATTCTTAACAAATTCTAAAAAAATTCTTAAATATATCTTTAATATATATATATCCTAAAAAAAACTCGAAATATATTTTTATAAAAATAACTAAATAAAATACCTAAACGCCTAAAAGTAGAACTATATAAAATTAATCTCTTCTTCTTCTTCTTCCTACGACTATAACTTAAATATAAGCTAGAAAAACGTTATAATTTAAGAATTAGGCTAATTCTCTATAGCTAAATTTAGAGGTAAATTAGGCTAATTCTCTATAACCGAATTTTTAGAGAAACCTTAAAATTCTTTTAAATTTTCTAAATAATTTAAATTTTCTTTAGAAAAACTCGAATTTTATCTCTATATTCTCCTAAAATTTAATCTTCTAAGATTAATTCTATACTAATTAAAAGTTTTCTAGCGTTACCTTTTAGCTAGGCGATTATAGCGACTAGCTACTGTTTCTTTTCGTAGGCGTTTAGTAGGAGGTCGCCCTGGCTTTCTCTTTCTAGTACTATTTTTACTTAGCTGCGTATCGTTAGATTCTAGCCAATCAAATAGTACTGGAGAAAGAAATCTTTCAGGGCAATAAATTGCCCTATAGGAATCGATTTTCCAGCCAAAATCGATTAAGTCTTTAGTATCTAGTCCTAAAGTAGTAGCTAGAGCGCAAGCATGTCGACAGGGGAGCCTATATTCTGTAAAATCTTTACAGGAACATTCTTTTTCAAGAATATTTACAAGAAAGTGCAAATTTTCTTGAGAAACAAGCCCAATTTACTGTACTCTATTAAAAATAGAGACAATCTAGTATCGAGACTATTAAATAAATTAGTATATTTTCTTTAAAAAAAAACAAATTTAAAAAAAATTAAAATAGGAGTATGTTTTCTTTTTTTTAAAAAAAAGCGAAAATAGGAGTATAACTTTTTTTTTTTTTTAAAAAAAAAAAACAAGACTTACTGCATGTAATTCAATACTGAATTTTTGCCAGGCATAATCAGTAAATCTCGAATTTGTAGAAAATACTGTATAGATTCGATCTTGCTATTTCTCCATACAATATAACCAAATTCGATTTATTGCATGGAGAATAGGTAGAGATCTCTCTGTAGAGAATAGAGAATTAGCCGATTCTGAGATATTTGACGTAAATTGGCCAAATCTAGGATATTCCTTTGGTGCCTGAATTCTTGACTAAGTATCTGCAGGAATTTCGCGAATATAGTTTGCAGCTGAGAGGTCGATTTGCGCAATTTGCGAAAGAATTTCATTAAATTCTCGTTGGATGGTTTTATAGCAAAGCTTTTTTAAATTAGTACATCTCTTAAAAAAAGTCGAGTTTTTGAGTATATTTTCTTAACAAAAAATTTATACTCTTAAAAAACTCGAACTTTTGAGTATATTTTCTTAAAAAAAGAAAAAACTTACATTGCGAAAAAGGGTAGCAATTTTACTACCAAAACTAGTAGTAATATTTTCCGTAATATGCTGCTGGCAAAAATAATGCTGAGCATTTAGGCAAATTTCGGCTGCTACAGGAACTAGTCCTTTTCCTCGATCTGAAATAATAGCAATTCTACTAGAATTTAGTATAACTGGTTGATTTCTGTAGGAGAAACTTCGCTTTTTAGCAGAACTAAAAGACTTTTCCAGGAATTAAAGGAATTGAACCTAATTTTCTTTATTTTCAGCACCCATAGCGATTCTAAAACAAATTGGAATAATATTATTATTAGAATCCAATGTTGTTGCTATTAATAAATGGCAAAACGCGTTTTCTGGTTGATTTCTCATATAGGCAGCATCAATTGAAATATACTCGCGTAAATTCAAGATAGCTGCCTCTGAAAATGCGTCTGGGGAAACAAATGCATGCCTATTTATTAGATATATTAGTATTTTCGCTTTTTTTTTAAGAAAATATACTCCTGTTTCTTTTTTTTTTTAAGAGAATATACTCCTATTTTGCTTTTTTTTAAGGAGATATATTTTTAAGTATATATTAAAAGCTTACTATAATTCTTTTGTTTCTAACTTTCTTTTAAACTTAGTAAGGCCTCCTCCTTTTCCTTATAGTTCTTCGAGTTTTTTCAAAAAAGGCTAAAAAAAATAGTTAGTATATTTAAATAAAAATAAACTTTTAATAATAAATAGTACCTAAATTTTTTTGAATCATTTCTTTTTAGTCGCCCTAAATACCCGAAGAAATCGAATCTTTAGCTCTCTAAGCTGCCTGATATAGAATCTTTTTTCTATATAAAATTCGCTCTTTTGATCGAATTTGTGCTGGGCGAATTACTAGGTTATCTATAATAAATTCCTAGCTATGGCAAGTAAGAAACTTAGTTGAATTCGAATATCTCTAATTTTCGTGGGTAGATTGAGGGCATGTATAATTTACAAGCCGTTTAACAATAAAAAGATCTAATAAATATCAGTATATTCTCTTAAAAAAAATCAAAATGGGAGTATATTTTCTTTTTTAAAAAAAAATAGGAGTATATCTTCTTAAAAAAAACATACCTTTCTTTTTTAAGATATATATCTCGAATGGACAGCCATTTGCTGCTAGATTATGGCAAATATAGTGCGATATTTTTGAATCGCTGCGTTTTGTTTTCCATGATTCTCCTCGCTGGTTGATGTAGAATAAGGCCTATTTTCTTGCTTCATCTATAGTTAAAAACTCGGTTCCAGTTGAAAATAGCCCCATAGTCGATTTTTTAAATAAGAAAAAGAAAGAAATGTCCTAGTATTTATATCCTAATATTAGGCGTCTAACTAATCAAACTAAATATTAGGCGTCTAGTTCTAAGTTTTAGAATTTTAATTAAAGTTAAACTATAGAATTAATCGCGCATTTTTAAGTTCTAGAATATAGATCCTAATTAAACTAAATATTTTTATAAATTCTAAGTATTAAGAATCTAAACTTAATTAAATTAGTAATAATTTTTTTTAAAAAAAATATATATTACTAGAAAAGATAAATATACTCTTAAAAAAAACCCGAATATATTCTAAAAAAAAGTTAAAATATACTCTTAAAAAAACTAAATATATTCTTAAAAAATTATATTCTTAAAAAAATAATTATATTTCTAAAAGAAAATATAAATCTATTATTAAAAAAACGAATATATTCTAAATAAAAAAGATTATATATATTAGGGTTATACTATTATTATCTAATTTAATTAATTTTAGATTTATAAAACTTAAAACTAGACGCCTAATATTTCGTTTAATTAAGATCTATATTCTAGAACTTAAAATTACGTAATTAATTTTATAGTTTAATTATAATTGAAATTCTAAAACTTAGAACTAGATACCTAATATTTAGTTTAATTAGATAGGCGCCTAATATTAGGCTATAAATACTATATTAGGAATTTTTAAGACTCTACTATATAAAAATTAGATAAGTCTAATAATTAAAGCTAGCTATAAGTTGTTATATATTCTAAATAAACTAAATCTATATTAAAATTATTATATTTTCGTAAGGGTAGAGTAGTATATTAAACTTAATATAAGTTTATTTTAATCTTATTTAATTTTATTTAATTTTCTTTAATTTTCTCTAATATAAATTAGACAAATTAGAGCGGGGTTTAAGAGTTATAAAATAAAAAAAGTAAGAATTTAACCTAAATCTAAGTAAGAAATTATTCTAATTTATATTAGTAGGTATTAAACTCTTGTATTTTAAAACAAAATTCGTAATATAGGAACTTTCTTTTTTTATATTTAGAAAAATCGACTATAGAGCTATTTTTAATTAGAACCGAGTTTTTAACTATAGAAGAGGTAAGAAAATAGGCCTTATTCTATATTAACTAGCGAGGAGAATTATAGAAAATTAAATATAGTAGTTTAAGAATATCGTACTATATTTACTATAATCTAGTAGTAAATAGCTATCTATTTAAGATATACATCTTAAAAAAGAAAGGTATATTTTTACTTTTTTTTTAAAAAAAAATAAAAAGATATACTCCTATTTCTTTTCTTTTCTTTTTTTTTTAGAGAATATACTCCTATTTTCGTTTTTTTAAAGAAAATATACTAATATTTATTAGATCTTTTGTTATTAAAAAGCTTATAAACTATATATACCCTTAATCTACTTACGAAAATTAGAGATAATTAAATTTAATAAGGTTTCTTATTTCTTATAGCTAGGAATTTATTATAGATAACCTAGTAATTCGCCTAGTATAACTTTAATTAAATAAGCGAATTTTATATAGAAAAAAGGTTATATATTATATAGCTTAGAGAGCTAAAGATTCGATTTCCTCGAATATTTAGAGCGACTAAAAAGAAATAATTTAAATAATTTAGATATAATTTTTTATTAAAAGTTTGTTTTTATTTAAGTAAACTAACTATTTTTTAGCCTTTTTTTTTTAAAAAAAAAAAGAACTCTAAATTTAGTAAGGCCTCCTCCTTTCCCTTATAGCTCTTAAAAGAAATTTAGAAATAAAAGAATTCTAATAAGTTCTTTTTAAATAATTATTTAGAAATATATTTTCTTAAAAAAAAGCGAAAATAAGAGTATATTCTCTTTAAAAAAAAAATAGGAGTATATTTTCTTAAAAGAAAATAGAAATAGGAGTATATTCTCTTATAAAAAAAAAAGCGAAATTACTAATATATCTAATAAATAGGTATATATTTCTTTCTCTAAACGCATTTTTAGAGGTAGCTATATTAAATTTACGCGAGTATAATTTAGTTAATACTACCTATATAAGAAATTAACTAGAAAACGCGTTTTACTATTTATTAATAGCAATAATATTAGATTCTATTAATAATATTATTCTAATCTATTTTAGAATAGCTATAGGTACTGAAAATAAAGAAAATTAGGTTTAATTTCTTTAATTTCTAGAAAAGCCTCTTAGTTCTATAAAAAAGCGAATTTTCTCCTATAGAAATTAACTAGTTATACTAAATTCTAGTAGAATCGCTATTATTTTAGATTAAGGAAAAGGACTACTTCCTATAGTAGCTAAAATTTACCTAAATACTTAGTATTATTTTTACTAGTAGTAAAATTACTACTCTTTTCTATAATATAAGTTTTTTTTTTTAAGAAAATATATTCTAAAAATTCGAGTTTTCTAAGAGATATACTAATTAAAGAAAGCTTTACTATAAAACTATTTAATAAGAGTTTAATAGAATTCTTTTATAAATTACGTAAATCGACCTTTTAGCTATAGACTATATTTATAAAATTCCTATAGATACTTAGTTAAGGATTTAGGTACTAAAGGAATATTCTAGATTTATCTAATTTATACTAAATATCTTAGAATCGGCTAATTCTCTATTCTCTATAGAGAGATCTCTACCTATTCTCTATATAATAAATCGAATTTAGTTATATTATATAGAGAAATAGTAAGATCGAATCGATATAGTATTTTCTATAAATTTAAGATTTACTAATTATACCTAGTAAAAATTTAGTATTAAACTATATATAGTAAGTTTTTTTTTTAAAAAAAAAAATATACTAATTTATTTAATAGTCTCGATACTAGATAGTCTCTATCTAAAAGAGAATAGTAAATTAGGTTTATTTCTTAAGAAAATTTATAATTTCTTATAAATATTTTTAAAAAAAGAATATTCTTATAAAGATTTTATAGAGTATAAGCTCTCCTATTAATATACTTACGCTCTAGCTACTACTTTAAGACTATATAAGTCCTAAAAGATTTCTTTCTCTAGTACTATTTAATTAGTGTTATGGACCGCAAGGAAAATCAACCCGCAGGGTCGGAAAGACCTTATGGGAAGAAAGCCCACACGGGCCTGGAGACCTCAAGGGCTTAGTAACCACAGGGGTCCGCGTCCCACAAGGCACCAGCAGACACGTGCTAGGAAAGGCCGTAAGGCCACAACCCCAGGAAGCCCACACGGGAACACACCCCGCAGGGACTTAGTCGACCAAAAGGCGACGATTCCAGAGAGCCCGCAGGGGATTAACGTCCACAAGGACGAAAGCAGCAAAAACGACAGGTAAACCCACAGAGCGATCGAGGATAAGGAACTTATCACGCCCGCTCTGCGACAAGAAGATAGGTTGTCAGGTTGAAGAAAGTCAGCTGTCAGAAAAGTGGCACCCGAGTCACGTGCGCCCCACGTGTCGCCCGCAGATCATAGGCACCACTACGAGTGTCGCCCTTCGTCGCCCGGCGACAAAAGGCTACAATCGCCTTTCGTGACAAGGCGACATCAGATTGTTAGCATTTCCTACATGTATTTAGACCACGCTCTCTAGCAGTAGATAGGACCCTCGTGGTCAACTCAAAGTATCAATCTCTACCATAAGGTTGATGGTAACACGCCTACACCCGATCCTTCACGTGACTTGTCTCTCAACTTCCTACACTTCTTGTCCTTCAAGGTAAACCCTTCGAACCAACTCACCCGCTAGGCAATTCCAACGCCTAGGCTGAAGAGGCCTCGTTACAATTAGCTAGAATCTAACGATACTTAGCTAAATAAAAATAGTACTAGAAAGAGAAAGCTAGGGTAACCTTCTACTAAATATCTATAAAAAGAAATAGTAGCTAGTTACTAAAATCACCTAGCTAAAAGGTAGCGCTAGGAAACTTTTAATTAATATAGAATTAATCTTAGAAGATTTAATTTTAGGAGAATAAGAAGATAAAATTTGAGTTTTTCTAAAGAAAATTTAAATTCTTTAGAAAATTTAAAAGAATTTTAAGATTTCTCTAAAAACTTAGCTATAGAGAACTAGCCTAACTCCTAAGTTATAATACTTTTCTAGTTTATATTTAGGCTATAGTCGTAGAAAGAAGAAGAAGAAATTAATCTTATATAGTTCTACTTTTAGGTATTTAGGTATTCTATTTGGTTATTTTTTTAATCTTTTTTTTATTTTTTTATTTTTTTTATTTTTTTTTTAGAATTTATTAAGAGTATATTTTAATTTTTCTTAAAGAATATATTCGATTTTTTTTAAGAGTATATTTATCCTTTTTAGTAATATTTTTTTTTAAATTAATTTCTAAGATATATATATATTTAAAAAAATATATATCTAAGATTTATACTTTTTTTTTTTTTTTAATAAAATTTCTAAGATATATATTCTTTATAATGTACTATAATATACTTATTTATAAGTAAAATAGTATAAGAAAGTATATATCTTAGAAAAAAAAAATTTAGAAAATATATATATCTTAATAAATAGCCGTAAATTACTATATATATATATAGTATATATCTTAAAAATTAGTCGAAAGATATATATATTTTAGTAAATAGCCGATTATTTTATAATTTATAGAAAAAACTAATTACTATTCTAAAATATATATAGCTATAAAATTCTAAGCTATATATAATATATCTTTATTAGAACTATAACAACTATATATAATATATCTTTATTAGAACTATAACAACTATATATATATATTTTTATTATCTATTAATTTAAGACTATAAGTAATAGTAAACTTTTATATTATATTATTTTTAACTATTAACTATAGTAGCCTCTATATACTTTTTTCTTTACTATTTTCTTTATATATAAAATTCATTATATTTATTAATTTTTTTTTTTTTTTTTTTTTTTATACAGGGGGTATACCCGGCTAAAAGGAAATTTATAACTAGGTCGTGCCCGGGATCGAACCGGGGTCGCTGGAAGGTTAAGACTCATTTAGTAGAATCAAAATCCAGCGTGCTCACCACTACACTACACAACCGTTTTTCTTTTGAAGAAAAACTGCTACCCATTAGACTTATACTGAATGTAGTACCGCAGGTATAAAGAGTATACCACTAGCCGGAGCTCTTCCTTTACCCATGACGGTGGCAGAGTTTGTCCAAATGTGTGGGTCGGACATGCCACAGCACATCGATAGAAGCCAGCCAATGAAGCGCCATAGCGTCGGTCTTACATGGGGATCCTTCTTACCTCGTCCACCGTCCAATATTTCCTCATGTTATCCGCTCGTAATTGGTTAACCTCATCATCCAGATGTTGCCATAGTACCTGACCGAATCCGTCCATGATCTCTTTCAACTCTTCCATCCTCAATTCCCGGTCCCCGCTCTTACACTGCTCAAGGTATGTTTCCAATTTATCCAGGCCCTTGTGTATTTGCTTGTGCTGGGTCAGGAGCTCGAGCTCCTTGCGGAAAGCCGGCATCTTTTTGGCTAGAACAGGAAAAATGTGTTGTTCCTCGATACCGTGATGCACTTCAAGGTGATGGCAAAAGTCGAGACCGAGTGCGAGAAACTGGCGTATCGACAATCCTGCGGGCCTTTTGTTACTTGTGCAGGCAGTGTACATAGTGTTCCATGTCCGGCGAAAGTTGTTGTGCTATGGTGCTGTTAGTCACATCTAGAGATTGAGTCGTGGTTTATTAGCACACGCACGAAAAAATCCATGTGCTCTGCTAGGCGGTTGTATTGTCTGAAGTCATGCGCACTCAGCTTCGGTAGTGGTGCCTCTGCCGATTCAGGAACCTTTTCGACGTCCATGACTGCTGGATGGATGTATCTTGTACGTGGAATCAAAGGAAATGGCAAAGGCCTACTTGAACGGGAGGTGGTCGCGAAAAGGAGGCGCTGCATGGAGCTGGCCGGCGCAAGCCATGACGGGTGGCATCTGTTTTGTTCTCTCCTACGATCTGATAAGCACAAGGCAGTTGATGATCGGCAGATGGTCGCGAGTCATGGCCAAGCTATTTACTAGCCCCTCCACCCCGCCGGCGGGCATCATCGGCCCATCAAAGCAAATTTCAGACCCAGCAGTTACCAGAGAGACCACCTCCAACCAATTCCCATGGCCCCCTCCGCGATAGATGAGTCCGCTGACGCGACTCTCGATACCACTGTCCTCGCTCTTCGCAAGGTCTTAACCTCCGAGACCGAGCCTTTGGCGCGTCGTTTCCGCGCTCTCTTTTCCCTCAAACACTTGGCATGCCAAAAACCAAGTACTCCTAAGGTCGAGCAGGCTATTGCCGCCATTGCTGCTGGCTTTAGCTCCTCATCTGCTCTGCTCAAACACGAGCTTGCCTACTGCCTTGGTCAGTCGCGGAACGATGTAGCCGTTCCTTACCTGCGCCATGCGTTGGAGGACAAGCAAGAAGATGCCATGTGCAGGCACGAGGCTGCTGAGGCTTTGGGTGCACTCGGAGATCAAGCGTCGCTCACCTTGCTGAAGGAGTTGAGAGATTCGCAGGACGAGCTGGAAGTCGTCAGAGAGACTTGCGACATTGCCGTTGCACGAATTGAATGGGAGCACTCCAAGGAGCGGGAGATGGAGAAGCTGAAGCAGAGGTACGCATGCGCGCGCACTTAGTACCGTCTATACGCCTACGACAGAGGGGCTAACATGCTTGACAGTGATTTTGCATCCATTGACCCGGCTCCTCCGATGTCGCAAGAGGCTCAACACCCTTCAATCTCCGATCTCGAAGCCACACTGCTCGATACCAAGCTTCCACTTTTCAAGCGTTACCGCGCCATGTTTGCGCTCCGTGACCTTGCTTCTCCTCCTGATCTTCCGACTGCGGTTCCCGCCGTTCATGCTCTTGCTCGAGGAATGAGTGACCCCTCTGCTCTGTTCCGGCACGAAATCGCCTTCGTTTTTGGCCAGTTGACGCACCCGGCCTCGATACCTAGTCTGGTGGAAACCCTGAGCAACACCAAAGAGGCCAGTATGGTCCGCCACGAAGCTGCTGAAGCGCTGGGTAGCTTGGGTGACGAAGAGGGTGTTGAGGAGATTCTGAAGAAGTTCTTGAATGACCCCGAACAGGTCGTGAAAGATAGTGTTGTCGTTGCTTTGGACATGGCCGAGTTCGAGAAGAGCGGCCAGATCGAATATGCGATTGTGCCTGGCTCCGATGAAAAGGTCTTGCTTGCATAGCTTTCAGTAGCTTTGACCAAAGAAGATATTCATTTTGGCGTTAACGGATTGGCAAAAGTTTAGACGGCAAAGAAGCAAAGCAGGAAGGGTATATCTGAGACGTGGGTGTAGGAAGTCAATGTAAAATTGACGCCCTTGTAAACACAAAAAGCTCCGGACAGCAGTCCTTTGGATACCCAGGTAGAAACACGTAACAAAGTTGTGGCTGCTGTTGCGTTTTAGTTGTTGGTGTTCCATCTGGCGAAGCGTCAGTATGTAGATATCTTCTGGGCTTTATAAAGGACCAACATACTTGTGACCGCAATCGCAAGTATAGAAGACAGTACTGCCTTCATCTGCACTACGCAGCTGCTGCGTGTAATACCGGACCTCTTCCCTGCCGCACTTTTCACAAGTCTGTCTGATGGTAGCATCGGTCTGCATGTCGTCCTCGGTGAGAGTCTGGACTTCAGAGCGCTTGGCGCGTAAAGACGAGGGGAAGGCAGATGGCTTAGAGTGCGTCACAATGACCTTGGAGGCAGTGTCTGGTGGATGTGAGCTATGCGACGCAGGACGCGCGAAGTCAAGGACTACCTCTGCATGAAGCGCCGCAGACGTCGCAGACCAGGAGGGCCTTGCCATCGCCCGAGCCACCGTCGAGAAGGTTGCCGCAATCGGCGCAGAAGACGAGGGAACCAATAGCCGACATGTTGAGGAATACGTTACGAGGAAGACCGGCGAAGGATAATAAGGTTGGAAGATGTCGATGATCGGCGAAATTTCTGGTCACCCATGCCCGTAGGGCTGAGACTCGCGTCAACGTCAAGCCCGCGTCTCCATCTCTAGCATCCTCCGACAGCCCACTCGCGAGCTCCCCGCTGAGACCAGTTGGCAAACTGTTTGTTGTACCTCTTACCCTCCGGGTCTCTAGTCGTTCTCCACGCGCAGCTGTAAATGCCCGTCGCGGGCATCCCGCATGCGCCGTGCACCTCCGCTCACCTCCGATGCCTGCAACGCGGGCAATCCATGACCGCGTAGATTCAATTGCTTTCCTCCGCCCGACTCTCTTAGTCTGAAAAGCGGACTACCAGTGATCTTCCTTTGCGACCTCACGCGTCACTTTCCGCCGCTGCAACATCCACCATGACCGGCGCAAACGGAGCCTGGCAGCCCAGCCACGGCGTGCCTATGCCTATGCGGCCCCGGCTACCCACCGTCGACGAGGCTTTACAGTACTCCCCGTTGAGCTCCATCATACCTTTCGAACCTAGTATGTCTTTCTGGCATGGTTGTTTTTCACGCACTCCCTTCTGCATACTTTACATTCCCTCTCGTGAACCTTATCGCATATCGTGACTGACCCTTCGTCTTTCACAGACATCATTCCCTTCCCTTCGACGCTGCCCCAGACACCTTCGACAATATTTAGCAATCAAGAGGAACGTCTCCAGACACGACGAGGATTAGATGCTCTCAATGCCGAAGCCTCGAATTCGCAGAGTACCTCTATCCGCATCCAGCAAACACTACAACACCTGCAACATCTGCTCAAGGCCGACGATTTGACGCAATAGTTAGTAAATCTTTGTGATTAGTACAGCAATATTATGATAGACTAACATTCAGTCCAGCAAGTTCAAGCGAGCCGCTCAACCGCCCTCATTTAACCCCCAGGACCATACTACTCACGATACTCCGCGTCGTGCCGCTACGCCGCGTCTGGGCGCCTTCAGCAATATGGTTCTCAATAACACGGACGTGTCGTTTCGCTGTATGTCTATTTTATCGTTGCTAAGCGACTGAGTTCTGGCTGATGGTTGCCAGATCCTACTCCACCCTCACCTTCGCCAAAAAATATCAAAGAGCCTCACAAACGTTTGAATGGGTCAGGTCAGCAACAACAAGCGCCAATGGGTCCGCAGGCAACGCCCCGCATGCAGCCCACCCAGTCAACAAAGAGCGTTCCGTCTAACACTCAACACACTCCATCGAAGCAACAACATATACCTCAGAATTTCCAACAGAAACCCGGCCCAGCACAGCCCAAGACGAGGGTAGCTGTTGTGATACCTCCGCCGAGCACCAGCCATCAAGAAGATGTGCGCCTGCAGCCGGCAGTGAGCTCCGCTAATGTCTTACAGTCCCCGGTGGGTCCCCTCGCCACCCAACAACATACTCAACCTGCACCGGCCACTACCGCATCGAACCAGTCTGAAGATCAAGCACGACTAGTCTCTGCTACTGTAACCCCTCAAACGGGGTTCTCTGTAGTCATTCCAAGTCTCCCTCCATCGTCACAACGAGAGGAGTACCAATCATTTCCTGAAGTTGATGCCAAAGTATTGGCTAGAGAAGGCCTTTCGAAGAAGCGGAAGCGAGAGAGTGCTGATGACAATGCGGCACTTGCTCTCAGTTTTGACCAGCGTCAAAAGGCAGAGGCAGCAGCGCAAAACCTGCAAGCTTTGATAGGCGATGTCTTTGAAGCGGAAGACCAGCTACAACCAGATACTTCTGGGGTCTTGCCTGCAGAGTCGGCAAGATGTTTCGTTCCTGGTGGCCTTGGCGGTGGCGAGCTTCCGGTTCTTACATCTCATATTCAGTCGCGTCTGGATTCTGCAATCCATAAAGTCACATCGACCAAAGCATTTTCCAGTATCCCTGCGGACAGCCTCAGCCGCCTACAAAAGCTTTGCGAAGGGGCTGTTGGCTCGGTCGGTAGCCAGTCTCTGAGTCTGGGAGAAGATTGGACTGAAGGCGACATTGAAGAATGGGCTAGCCGCCTCGGAAGGGCAGAGCATGGCCTCCAGGCTGCGAGAATCATGCTTCGTATCATGACTGCTGGCCGTGAGGAGAAGCAGTTGTACTCAGAAGACATACTTTCGACGATTCTCGAGGCACTGAAGCACGTCCTGGATACCTGCATCGTCCCGGTAATTGAAGCTCGAAATTCAGAAGCTAATTGTCACGCTTTCAAGATTCTGTCCGCTCAGAGAAAGCCACTTACTTCACTCCTTCAAATGGCTGGGAAAGTGCTCAAGCTGCTCTCTGACATGATCACCAACGTTGATGTATCAGAGAGCGCGATTACCTCTGTCGAGTTTGTATCTACAACTCTCATCTTCGTCGAGAATGCTCATACGGAAAAAGAGTCTGCACTTGGCATTCAAAGATGCGAAGGCATACGCAGAATTGCGATGGATGTCTTAGCCAAGATATTTGCTCGCTACCCAGATCAGAGGACTTTCATCTTCGACGAGATCCTGACTTCTCTGGAGAAACTTCCTGTGACACGGCAAAGTGCAAGGCAGTTTAAGATGGCTGATGGCAAGCCCATCCAACTTGTTTCCGCTTTAGTTATGCGACTCATTCAGACCAGCGCAACGCGTTCTCTCAAAGACAAGCTTAAGGGAGTAGAAAGGATTCGTCTTGAAGATGGGGTTGATGAGGAAGAGGATGATGCATCGCAAGAAGATCAAGAGTCACCGACCAGGCAGACCCGGATCATTGGTATGGACGTAGCCATGCGCATGCATTATGACGATCTCATCGAAGACTTATCAAATGTCTCTCGCCCTCTGTACGACGACGCACAGAGAAATACCCAATATCTGGTGAAGTTCATGGTTCAGCGAGCACTTTCTGCTACGAAAACTGGAGACCAGCCGTATCGCAATTTACTGGATATCTTCACAGAGGATTTTCTTAGCGTTCTCGGATCCGCCGACTGGCCAGCTGCTGAGTTGTTGCTAAGAGCGTTACTTTCAAACATGATCGGGCTCGTCGAAAACGACAAAAGCGCAGCACCTGCGAAAAACATGGCTCTCGATCTTATGGGGACTATGGGATCCGGTATTTCTGATCTTCAGCTGTCCGTAAAGAACGCCATCAAAAGCATGGACACATCCGAATCAGAGCTGTCGAGCAAACTTGTCCAGACAGCTGAAGAGATTATGGATGATAGATTTGAAGATTCGGAGCTTCTAGCCTTTGATGGATCATATCGAGTCGTCCTAGAATATCTGAGTGCACGGGACCTGAATGATCCTCAAATACAGAGCGCCAAGGGCTATCATTTGACGCAGTGGTCAAGAGATGTGTGTGCTTTCTCTGAAGCCCAGGACACAGACGACGAAGACCATTCCTTGCCCAAGTCTCTAGCGGCTCAGCTCAGAAACATGGTCCTTGATCCTAAATGGCTTGAACAGGAGTAGTAGGTTAAGCCGCAGGTTCGATTTTTGCACATCTAAACTAACAATGAATTTAGTGATTTCGAGACAGTTATGACATCGCAAGGCATCTTAGCCGCTGCTATGACATCTCTCCGCCTCCCTTTCTGCAAGGCTTTGAAAAGGATCTTCAACATCTTACTAAACGCGATGACAAGTGACCAAGCAACAGTCAAGAGCAGGAGTCTGAAGAGCGTTGTTCAACTACTCGAGAAAGACCCCTCCATCCTCAAGAACGGGAATTACATCATCAACCACATTCTGCGCTGCTGTGCAGACGCTTCTCCCCTTGTAAGGGACTCGGCTCTGGGGCTGCTTGGCAAATGCCTTACATTCAAGCCCTCGTTGGAGCATGACGTATGCGACAGAATAATTGCTCGGACGGCCGATGCTGCTATCGGCGTGCGTAAGCGTGCTATGAAGCTACTAAAGGACGTCTACCTTCGAAACGATTCAAAAGACATCAAAACTGCCATCGCAGACGCTCTGCTGCAGCGCATACGTGATCTCGACGAAAGTGTCTCGGATCTCGCCCGTACAACCTTCGAAGAAATTTGGATTGCTCCCTTTTACGGCTCCTCTGACGATGCCGCCCACAAGTTGCGGTTGCAGAACCAGGTTTCACTCATCATCAAAACTGTTCAGCGTGGAGAAAGCGTCTTATCTGTGCTTGATATACTCCTCCAAAACGTCCTTTCCAGCGACTCGAAGAACAACGCGGCCAACTTTAATGTCTGTAAAAATATGGTCGCGCTCATGTTTGACGGTGTTGTCGACAGCAACGACCTTCCAGAAGCTCCGTCGCAGCAACACATTCTGCAGACCCTCACTGTGTTTGCCAAGGCAAATCCAAAGCTCTTCACCGGCGATCAGTTGCAACTTTTGCAGCCTTACGTTCAGAACTTATCCAACACTGACGACCTTTTGATCTACCGCTCAGTAATTGTTATTTTCCGCTACGTGCTGCCTTCCCTTTCTTCACTACAGAACAATTTCCTTAAAGCAGTTCAAGATGCTTTGTTGAGCAGCGTGTCAAAGCTCGGGAAGATGGAACTCAATGAAGTTTCCCAGTGCCTGTGGATCATCGACGGAGTACTCAAGAATACCGAGCGACTGGTCCGCTTAACGATTTCTGTCATCAACGGCATTTATGCAAGCAAGGAAACCAATTTCAACGACATAACTCCGCAAACCGAAGCAGCTTTAAAGAGGGTCAAACGATATATGATGATTGCCGGATATTTTGGAAAAAGCTGCAACTTTGATGCCCATGCATCAGCATTCAAGGAGAAATTTCCTTGGTGGAAGGGCAGCTCGGTCGCCGGCCTGATCGTTGACGTGATATGCCCATTCACACGTCAAAAGCAACCACATGCGTTAAGGGAAATGGCCTTCGAAAGTATGGGTATGATTTGTCAATCCTGGCCTAACCAGTTCCTACGAACCGACACTACGACTGCTTTCGAACTGGTCTTCCACAACCAAGACCCGAGGTTGGAGCATATTGTGCTCTCTACCTTCAAAGGCTTCTTTGCAAACGAAGAGAAACGATCGGAGAGCGGTGCGGAGATCAAAGTTGGCGAAGGCGTCTCTCGTGGGCATGAGCGACTTGACGTGTCGCTCGTTGCCAGCGACAATGATGGTGCTTGCACTGTCATCGCTCAGCGCTTTCTTCAACACATAATTCGTATCGCCCTGCAACCTGGAGAAGATCTCGCTCTGACAGCCGCGCAAGTTATTGCTAGTATCAACAGACAAGGCCTGGTACACCCCAAGGAATGCGGCCCAGCGTTGATTGCGCTTGAAACATCACCAAACAATACCATCTCCAACATTGCGTTCCAGGAGCACAGGACCCTACATCACAAGCACGAGAGCATGTTTGAAAAAGAATACATGAAGGCTGTCCAGCGGGCTTTTGATTATCAACGAGAGGTTTTCCAAGATGTTCATGGCGCCACTACTCAGCCATTCGCGTCGAAACTTCGAGCATTGTTTGAGGTGTTGAAGGGTGGCAATGCTAAGATTCGCAAGAAGTTTTTGCTGAACCTTTCTTCTAAAGTGGACTTTGACTTTGCGAAACTGGACTCAAAAGGAGAGCCACCAACACACAGTTTATTCGCCCGATTCTGCCTAGAAAACTTGGCATTTTTCGAGTACGTCCGGGTGGATGAGCTTCTTGCGTTAGTCTCACACATGGAGAAGATCGTCACGAACACGGGTACACCCGTTGCACATGCTATTGAGGTCGAGGTGCTGAAAGTTCGCTTGGATGTGCTGCCAGTTAGCCAACTCGATCCTGGTGTGGACCAACAGCAGCCAGCTTTTGCCCCTGAGGCTAAACCCGACCCTATGGTTTTGGAGTCCTCCAATTCTATTGATGTGGAGCCGACGAGACTCAAGCACTTGGCTACTGCGGCTGTGGTTATGTCCATGCTCTGGGAGACCCGTACACATCTGCGTCGTCTTTGGGGCTTACAAAAGCAGAATCAATCGGGGAATCCAAACAAAATCTCTAGCAAAACTACCATCAAGGATCTCAATAAAGCGCCGACGCGAATTCCTTTCATCACCCACGACAAATATTGGGACAAGATGCAGAACCTTATGGGGTCGATCTCGGGAAACAGCGGAGATGAGCCTAGTCTGGAGGCCATGGCGCAACAATGCAAGACTTTCGCTGAACTCCTCGCCATTGACAACGAGCTTAAGGTCACCGATCAGGATGATGAAGAGGCTGAGCTCGTCGCACGGGCTGAGAAGGGCTACGAGACCCCGTCGGAAGACGATGGTTCTGCCAGTGGAAGCCAGCCACCCAGCGGTGGACGCGGGCGTAAGAGGAAGGGGTCAGTGAGCATGAACGGTACGCCAAAGAAGAAGAAAGGTCCTTCCAGACCATCCGGTTCTGGAGGGAAAAAGAGCACCAAGAGAAGTATGAGTAGTACGAGTCACGATGAGCATGGCAGTCGGGAATGAGTAGATCCTACTCGTCAGAAACTGCTTAAGCATCAACCAGACGTGGACTGGAAATCATCAATTCTAACTAAGGGCAATGGCAAAGAGTCAGCTCCGTAGTTCCTTTTATGCTTTTTGTTTTAACCCTCGACGTTCCTCAGATTAACGCATAATGCCCTTTATTTATAGCGATAAAAGGGCAAGCCGAACTAGGTATGGAATACCCTGGCGTTGCAGCAATTACTCCGCTTAGCTGGTTTGGAGTAAATGCCTACATACTTTGCATTTATTCCCGCTTCGTTCGTTGTTCGCAGGGTTATGCCAGCGAAATTAACACATGTTAACAGATGTGGGCGTTTCGTCATTTTGGTGCATCGATGTCAGTAAGTCGAAGGATGGTCGTCATCACTGCGCTTTGACGTTTAGGAAAACCCCGTTGAGTGCTCGCATTTCGAGTGTTTCCACTAACACACAAGCCTTCGGGTGTTCGGTAAAGACTGGTGCATAGATGCTGCAGGCTGTCGTGTAACATCGAACCCGATTTGTTTGAACTCGGAACAAATTCGCTCTATGCTCAACTCGTATCGGAGCTGGGATCCGCCATAGCAGTGTAGCATTCGTCAATGATGCGCGTATCTGCACGGTAATCTCACCATGTTCCGTGGGCCCACAGACCCTTTAAAAGTCGTTTCGTCTCTGTTCAGTGATGAAATCCTCTTCTTCCCATTCACCTTGTGTCCCGAAACCCTCCGAAATCTTTTCCGGTTTCTTCTTTGCGTTTGTTTCTTCGTTGGCTACGGCCAGCCTACTAGAACAAAGTGCTTCTCGTAATACTTACGACTACATCATTGTTGGTGGAGGCACAACAGGATTAGTTATTGCAAATCGCCTCTCGGAGAAACTAGACACGGTGCTTGTCGTTGAGGCCGGAGACTCGGTATACAGTAACTCGAATGTAACCGACACCGGTGCCTATGGAAAGGCTCTTGGGACAGCAATCGACTGGCAATACACGACAATTCCGCAAGAATACGGTAATAATGAAGTCCAAACCTTGCATGCAGCCAAAGCCGTTGGAGGAACAAGCACCATCAATGGTATTTCCTCCCATAAACAAGCTCGGTGGCAAAGTTTGACAAAATGGCAGGAATGTCCTATACAAGAGCGGAGGCCGTCCAAATTAATTCTTGGGAGAAAGCGGGCAATCCTGGATGGACCTGGGACAATCTTTTCCCATACTACATGAGGAGCGAGAAATATGAGATCCCGGATGCAAAGCGGATCAATGGAGGTGCTTCTTACAACCCTGAGTACCATGGATTCACTGGTCCGTTGAAAGTTGGGTATCCAAGTCAGCAAGCTATCAATGGCTTCGCCAGTGCTCTCAATGAGAGTTATCAAGCTATGGGTGTTCCTTATTCTACTGATGTAAACGGAGGAAAGATGCGGGGGTTTAATGTGTACCCCAAGACAGTCGACGCAGCTACAGACATTCGTGAAGATGCTGCACGGGCATACTACTGGCCATTCTCCCGACCAAATCTCTACTTGAAAGCCAATTCAACTGCAAACAGGCTTCTCTGGGCAGCACACCCAAATCTGCAAGGTAATTTCGTTGCAACTGCCATCGAAGTTACAGCAGTAGATGGTAAGCACTATGGTTCTCAATGCTTCGAAGGAGATTATTATAGCCGCTGGATCTCTTAGAACCCCTCCCCTTCTTGAGTTGTCAGGGATAGGTAACCCTAGGTCAGTCTATCTTACCATCCTGTCATCTTAATTTAACATCCTGTTAGTATTCTCCAAAATTATGGTATTACCACGAAGGTTCCTCTTCCCGGTGTTGGTGAAAACCTCATTGACCAAACGAACAACGGTCTCACATTTTCCATGATTCCCGGGGAGAAATACACTGGGGAGTCCGGCTACGCCGCGTACCCCAATGTTACCGATATCTTTGGGTCTGCGGCTTCGTCCCTCGCATCTTCCATTTTTTCCGACTTGCCTTCATATGCCTCGAGGGTAGCCGCTCAGAACAACAATGCTAGCACTGCATCTGCTCTGCTATCGCTCTTCAAGTTGCAACATTCTTTGATATTCGATTCTCAAGTCCCGATTGCCGAAATCGTTCACTATCCCTACGACGGTTCGTTTGGATCTCAATTCTGGAGCACACTGCCATTCGCGAGAGGTAACATCCATATTGCATCGGCGGATCTGTCTGTTCCAGCGAATATCAATCCGAACTATTTTATGCTGGAATATGACATTCAGTCACAGATTGGGATTGCACGTTTCATGCGCAAGCTCTTCTCCATGGAATCTTTGGCAAAGATAGCGGGTTCGGAAAGTTGGCCAGGCACAAGAGCGGTACCAGCAAACACAGACGATGCCACGTGGACGAAGTGGCTTAAACAAAACTACAGTGCCAACTACCATGTCCTCAGTACAGCGATCATGCTCCCTAGAGCTATGGGTGGCGTTGTAAGTCATAGACTTAAGGTGTATGGTACGGCCAACGTTAGAGTAGTCGACGCAAGTATATTCCCATTCCAGCTTTGCGGGCACCTAATGTCGACTCTTTATGCTGTAGCGGAAAGAGCAAGCGACCTGATTAATGAAGATAGCGAGATATGAGCAATATCCACCATAGAGTTTCGTATTATCTCAGAAATCATTCAAGCGGGGAAAAAAGTTAACTTGGATTGCTATAATCTCCAGCTCAAAAAATCCAGTACAATGCACGAGGTCAACTTGTGATTTGGCATGTTTGTATATACAGCTCAAATCTATTAGTTATCGCCGTGAGTGCTAGTATAGAAAAGCAATTTCTTGACAAAATGACAATTGCAATTCCGTCATATATGATCGATACCACAGATATATTGGGGAAAAAAATGAAGTTATAAATATCAAAAACGAATGCCCACTCTCGGAATCGAACCGAGGATCTTCTCATTTCGAAACTACGAGTGAGACGCTGTACCACTAAGCCAAGCGGGCATATTGAAATAATTATTTAAAGAATTTAATATATAGCCTATTTTTTTTTTAGCTCGCACCTAATAATATTGAACTTTGGTAGATATTCTCTTTTTTTTTTTTTTTTTTTTTTTTTTTTTTTTTTTTTTTTTTTTCAATTTCTTTATCGAGAATTTGTTCAGCCGGTACATAACTGTAAGACATTAAGCTATGCTTTCTCATAAGATTTCCACTCGGACTGTATTCTTTATGGTACATGTTTCATAGACAATTCCCGCTTCCGGGGAAGCTCTTTATCAAGAGAAGTCCAAGCCCATGTCATAAGCCTATAGAGCATGCACAAGCCATCCATGAAGCACCCATGAAGGCACTGGTTTTGGAATCCGTAGTTTAAGTGAAAGCAGCTGCTCGGATCCTACTCAATAATATACGGCTTTGCGCCCTCGCCGAAGAGCAGATGTGGTTTGCGAGCCGCCAGATCAAGAATCGTTTGCGCAAAGACTGAGTTTGCCCACGCGAACCAAGGTCCTATAACTCTGTCAGTACTATGCCATTCAACATGTCATCCGGTGACACTCACGAGTAAACCCGCGGATATGGTTGACGTCTATACTCTCGTGAATCAAACCTAGTTTGCTTGATTGTTTCACAAACGTGATTGCCTCCATGATCTCCTCATCGTCGTCCGAAGTCATTGCTTGGATGAGGAGACTCATTGGCCAAGCATTTTGCAATCCAATGTGTGGGCCCCCTATACCTTGGAAATTTTTGCCCTTGAGATAGTATGGATTGCCCGCTTTTTCCAGAATCATTCTGCGCGTGTTTTGGTACGTTTCGTCGTTGACATCGACAAAGCCCATCAAGGGCAAAGCGAGGAGAGATGGTAAGTTTGCATCATCCATTAAAATCGAGGAGCCGTATCCATCCACTTCAAATGCAAACACGTTACCATATTTCTTGTGGGGCACGACACCATGCTCCCATATCCCAGCTTCGATGTTTTGTCCACGTAGTTGAAGTGTTTTCACAAGTTCCTTGGCCTTGCTGTCTCCAACTTTCTTCAGAATTTCGGCGCAACGTCTCAGCTCTACAGCCATCATAGCATTAGCGGGCACGAGAAACCCCAATATGGTGGCATCATCGCTAGGTCGAAAAGCGCTTCGGACTAGGCCCGTGCCGCTGTTCAAGGGATTGCCGAGACCAGCGAGATTCAGCGTCTCCGTCCCGGAGTCTGTGCGCCTCCGAAAGGTGTACTCATTCCTCCGGTAGTCACCGAGTTTGTCAAAGGTTGACTTTGCTTGTTGACCGATGGTCTCAATCAGGATATCTAAAGCCGTGTACCACCGAGCGGTAAGGAACTGAGTCGATCCCGTGTGGCTGTAAAATTGGTTTGTCAACGATAGAAAGTGTGCCAGAGAATCTAGCTCATATTTGCATTCGAATACAAACGAGGGCTCGTACGCAGGATGCACGATATCATCCATTCCATTGTTTGAAGGAGCCAGTTTACTGGGCGGAGGAGGTTGGAAAGCATTGCAATAGGGTGAGCCGATGATAAACTCGGCTTGTGTGTTGATAGCACCCAGTATCAAACTCTCAAGGGCTTTGTCTTTTTTTGCCAGCTTCTGATACTGCGCAAGCTGATTCGTTGAATCCCGCAACCACTCCGCGTTGATGTCTCCAGTAACAATAAAGCTTTGGGCGCCCTGCCATGGGGCGTTTGCCTTCGCTGCTTTGGCCGCGCTCTTTTCCGATCCATCCACGTGCCAGCGCACCGTAGTATCCAATGTATTCGGAAAAGCGTTTTCGAAGATTCGAGCCAGGTCCTTATCCATCATCTTCTCTTTCATCGCTTCGATGACTTTATCAACGAGCGGCGATTCAAAAGTCCGGCAGATGGGAGCCGGCCGCTGAAAGGGCAGTTCCATTGGCCCATCGCTATAAGGAGGACTGAGGTTGGCGACGTGTCAGCAAATGCACGACCACCCTATATAGGCACCGCGGTCATACTGGGGATGCATCGCGTAGGTCTTGTAGTCAGGACATGCCTGGCGAGCTTTGGCAAACTCGGGCATTCCTTTTAATGGATGCTGATCCGGTGTAGCATGTACGCAGTGGCCGACGAGGCCTACCAGGACCAAGAAGGCGATGCAGGCAGTCGCAAGGAAGCTCATAGGCGGAACCATGGTGGTGTTGGCTCGCGATAAGTCGGGTTGAATGAAACCTAGCATGTGGCCTGTCGCACGGTCGATCGGCGGCAAGGGGAACGGACAGTGCTACGCGCGCACAACGAGAGCCATGGCGGGATGAGCATCGCCGACGTTGCAGAAAGGACGAACGAGGGAGCGAGGGTCGACGAGAAACGGTGCCAAGCGAACAGTACATACGTCATGTCATCAACTCCAAATGGGTATTTTGATAGGTAGGTACCGCTACGCGCATACTCCAAAAACCACAACCGAAGGCCGTAAGGACGAAAGAAAACACAAGCCTACGAGAACCTCGCATTCAGACATCCTCCAGGTAGCGTTTCCCACGCAGCTTCCGAGCCCATGTCTCCTGCCATAGGTGCCGCCGTGCTCGCAGGCAAGCTACCCGGCACGGCCACCTGTCCTATCGTATAAATGCGACGATTCGATGCACCACCTGACCCGCTCCACCCGGGGCTCTGTTGCGTATAGCTCGCTCCATCCATGTATCCAAACGCCTGTGGGCTTTGGTGAGAAACTGTCGACGTCTCAAAATAACTCCCAGGAGATGCTCCCGCAAGAGAATCGCTACCATCTGGCGTGCCATTCGAATGCCACATGCGATGGCCTTGGTCTGGGGTCCTTTGCTGCGACCGGAACTGAAGCTGTGCCAGCAAAGCTGCAGATTCCTGTTGAAAGCGGTCTCGCCAGTTGATGTAACCGAAGCGAAGGCCGAAGCGGGCTAAGATGCTAGTAAAGTTTGTGATCGTGGAGATCGCCCTTATGGTCTGCTGTGTGGGGCTGAATGTTGTTTCTACACCATACATGGATTCCGGAAATGGCGGCGGAGCAGTCTCAGTACCTTGTGCTAGCGGATCTATGGCTTCCTCGATAGTTGACACAGAGGCTGCTGGTGATAAAACCGGGTGCTGTGTCAGCAAAAAATCTTGATTCCGCGACAGAACATCGACAAATTGACGGCCTGTCATGTAGACCCTCATAGCATCGTAGAATGTGATCGTTGCCTTGATGCTTTGCGACTCTTCTGACAAAGCATTAAGCATCTTCGAAGCGTAGCGGACGCAATGCTCAAAAATGAGCCTTTGGGCATGATCGCTTATCCTTGGACATCGTGGACTCGGCGATAAGACATAAACGTAGCTATACAAGAGTTCAAGCTCGAAGTAGTTCCGAGTTGCTGGTGAAGTATTCGGAGAGAGGTTGTTGAACCAAGATGCCATGGAGTTGTAAATGCGCCATATGCTCGGATACGGTTCCCGCCAGGGCTCTCGTCCCGATTGAAAAAGGTTAGTATACCATTCGGACTGAAGCTGGCGAAGTCGAAAGAGATCCAAAGCTGAATCATACGACTGTAGCCATTTGTGATTTCTAGCTGGTGATTTCGACGCGGATGCGCTGTTTGCCGAGAAAGGTAACGCGACGTTAGCAGAATCATCAGAAAATGAGAACGCCCGTGTCTGTACTAGCGAAGTTTCTCTGCCATAGTCATGTCAGCGCTTTCTTTCACCAAGCACGGGGCAATATGCGCTTGCCTGTCTAGGGCATAAAGACAATGGTATACCCGACGTCGAAGCTCCAGCTTGGGTTTAGACATCGACGCTCCTCTTGAAGGATTCACATGCATGCCAAGATCTACCATTGCCCGCGAAGCAGCGCCAATCAACGTCCAGCTGTCGAAATGGTGCGGGTCCAGCATGGCGTATTGAACGAGCAATAACAAAGCTTGAATGCTGGCAATGGACCCGGGTCGAAGGACGCTTTCTGCGTGCTCCATGGCCGCGTTGATATGCCCTAACGCATCAGTGTAATGGACGTCCCCGCGTTGCTCAGATAAAGTGATTGATGCAATGGCCAAAACCATGCGCAAGGTCCAGGAGTCAAAAGGGGACGCTTTGCGCTGGTCAGGATGATAAACTGCATCGACGGAAGCGTAAAAGCTCGATTCGTCGAGCAATGGAAGAAGTACGAAGATGCTGTTGAGGTAGTGTTGAATGAGCGGTGTTGCAGCGTATCTCGGTGGCAGCTGTTTAGTCATTCCGGACGGCAAAGGTTCTTTTGAAGAAGCAGAGAGGATGAGACGAGCATATGACATGGCCGACGTGAAGCCGTAGAAATCTCTCGCCGTAGCATTCACGGAACTGAAACGAAAGTTAGTCCGGAGGCGCAGAAGGCGTTTTAAAACACCTACAGCAGCCCGAAGTCTGATACGAGGTCATTGATATCGGATTCCTCTTTTCGCCGAGCGCTCTTCTTGTCAGAAGGCTTTTGGTTTTCGGCCAGAGAGGGCCGAGACGGAGGATGGTCCTGCGGCTCGTGGTCCATGGCCATTGACGACTGTCGTCTGGCTTTGATTTCGGCAAGTCTCTTCTCGAGCTTCTCCACCCTGGCCTCGAGGGTTGCGACATAGCTGCGCTCCTTGCCTCTTGCGAACTGGTCATTAGTGCTTGAGCATTCAGCGGCGCGATTGGCTCGCTCGCAAGCGGTGCAAGCGGGGAGCTTGCCGTCGCACTTGACCTTGGCCGAGCGGCATCGCGAGCATGCGGCGACAGGCCGGCTGACACGTAGGAGAGGCGTCTCCAAAACCATCAGATGGCAGTCTTCCGACGAAGGGACCAAGTCTGTACGCATTGCAATGGGTTATGAGCACGGGGAAGAAGACGGGGGAGTCACGGCACTGAGCTGACTGCATGGCAAGCCGAGATGAAAGACGGACTCACCTGCATGCACGCGTGACGCGACGAAGGAAGGGCTCGGCGAGGGAAAACTACAGGTAGACGGAGGATAGGAATAAAGCCGAGGCTAGAGAGGGGGGAGGCGTGCGGAAGATATTGGAGCCGCGAGCTAGAGTAGATTTAGGGTTGCGTCAGGCGTGGAGTAGCAGCGGGCGGCGTTTCGCCACGGGCCTCCGATAGGCAGATACGAGAGTAGTTAGGTGCCGTGGGTGCGCAAACAACGGTCGCGACATGCTTCATGGCTGCTCCCTCTTTCCCTCCCTCCCACAACACCCAAGCCATGGACGCCAAGCCCGCGTCACAGTCGTCGTCACAGTCGTCGCCGCGCATCGCTCACACCCTAACCGCGTGCGTGCGCTGTCGCACGGTGCGTTCCTCTGTGCCTTTGCTCACCCCCCCGCCTAGCTAACTCAGCGCCCGTTGCAGCGGAAGACAAGGTGCGATCCCGGCCTGCCCCGGTGCGGCCCTTGCGAGCGAAACAACGCCCATTGCGAGTACTTCGACCCCGCCAAGAACGCAAAGATACCGCGCAACTATGTCGTCCACCTGCAACACAAGGTCCGCGACCTGGAGCGTCACCTTGACGAGCTCGAAAAGGGCGACTACGACCCTGATCCCGAAGACGCCGTCCGCGGCCCCGCCGCCGTGCGCATCCACGAGAGCGATGAAACCAAGTTCCTCGGGCCCTCCAGCGGCATCGGCATCACCAAGCTCGTCATGCAGCTGGCCAAGCAGTTCACAGACTCCAAGAGCATAACCGACATCGTGCCCGACTCCCGCGCCCGCATGATCAAAGAGAGCTTTGCCCAGGAAGAGGCCAAACCCACGTCCAAGGTCTATCCGCTGATCAGCGATGTGGCAGCCGAGGAACTGCCCAACAGAGACCTCACCAACCTTCTGGTCCAGTTGTTCTACCTTAAAGGTAGCCCTCCCAGCTGTACTGACCTCCGCTGTTTCCCTGTTGACGCCTCCTAGTCCAGCCAATGTATCCCGTCTTCCATGAACCTTCGTTCCTGCAGGATGTGGATGCTGTATACAATGGCTCAACAAACGCCTACCAAAACTTCACTGTTCGAATGGTCATCGCCATCAGCCTACAGAAAATGGACACTCAGTACGCCGGCTTGGCGGACGCGTACTACCTGGCTGCTCTCCGCTACATGGAGTCTGCCGTCAAACCCATGGACTTGGGAACAATTCAATGTTTTTGCCTCATCGCTGGCTATTCGCTCACCACGCCCACCCGGACCGCAGTGTACTACATTGTTGGCTTGGCTGTCAGGCTTGCAGAGGCTCTTGGCTTTAACGAAGAAAAGACCATCACTCTAGGCAAAGGCGGGAAACCAGCGGATCCACTTGAGGTTGATATGAGGAGACGGGTGTTTTGGAGCACCCTTACCATGGATCTCGGCTTGTCCCATAGCCTTGGGCGGCCAGCTATACTTGCAACTAGGCACGAGCACCTGGACGTTCAATTCTTCTCTACGGTCGAAGACCAGTTCATCACACGCAGCGGCATTCTCCCTGCCCAGCCTTGCTTGAAGAAGTGGATAGCCATTCATTTTTTCCGCATGCGGCTACTTCAGCTCGAAATCAGGAGAAAGCTGTATCAGAAAAAAAGACCGGAGCCAAAAGATGACCAACACCCGTGGTTTCAACAAATGGAAGCAAAGCTAATTGCATGGAGAGATACGAGCCCTGAAGTTGATGGTGGCTCTGGATTAAACAAAGTCTGGTACGCTTTCCCGTTGATTTGCGCCTTTTTTCACTTTAACTATTACTCTCCCCTTTTTGAGTTTTGCACAGCAGTTATTATGACTGCGAGTCAATTGGATAAAAGCATGCTTATCACCTTATTATAGGTTCACGGGGAGATACAACACGATGATTGTGTTCCTGTTTCGGCCTTCGCCGCAAGTTCCTAGGCCTTCGGTCAGGGCGGCGATTCATTGTTACGATGCTTGCGAATATAACATCTACATGCAGCGCAACCAGATCGAGACAAGAAGTGTCGAGTTGACCTGGATTTTCACTCAGTCAATTTTCATGGCCATAAACACCATGCTGTGGTCTCTTTCTTACGCCGAAGTACGTCGAATGCACTCCCGAGAGGACGTTGAACGTCATTTGCAGGTTGCCTTGGAGGCCATCGAGCTTGCTTCAGAAAGGTGGCCAGGAGTAGCTTCGGCACGGGCACTTTACCAGAACCTCATTGAGGCGTGCTTGAAAATCTACGAAAAGAAGGGAGACGTACCGATAGCCGCGAGCTCTCCGTCTGATAGCGCCTCTGCTGCGTCGCCCAGTGTAAGGGATGATGTCAGCGTTCGGTCCCGGACAATGAGTCCGGCGACTGCATCGAGCGTCTCACTATCGACCCCGCCAGATCGACCGGAACCTCCTTTTGGCTATATCAACAAAATCGATTTTCATGGCACCAACGGACAAGCACCAACAAGCCTTCCGCAAGTCCCGCAACAGCATCCGCTGCGAGTGCCTGTACCGCAACCTGGGCTTCCGACGTCATTACCAATGAACATTGAAATGACATCAAACGGCCAATTGCCAAACGCTACAAGCTCCGGATACGACCAACATACTCCTTATAATGCCATACCTACATCATTTCCTGAGCTGCCCGCATGGAATCCTACATTTCCAACGACCCAAGGCCAGCCCGAATCCTTTGGGATGTTGAGTGCTCCACCTCAATACCAAAACGCCAGCTTAGGGGATTTTTCCGGAGCTCCACTTGCAACAGCAGTCGATGCCTTGTATGCAGACTACTTTGATCCGAACCAACCTTCATGGTCAACCGATCGACCGGGAGTAGGGTTGAACCAAGCACAACAGTTCGAGCTTTTGCAAGACCTCGAGGCTCATGGGACGGGCCAGATTGAAAGCATGATAGAGGAGAGCAATGCTCTTTTTGCGCCATCTACAAGGACGTTTTGAATTGCGTCTGATGGACAGGTTTCTGAGTACTGACCTACAGTTTTCGTCTTGCAAGAGCCGTGCACTTTTACGGATGTTACGAAGCTATCAAACAGTAGTCTTTTGGGATTTCATACCTACTAGCCTTCCCTTTTCCGAGGTAAAACCGGACCTGCTAAGTTTTGATTTGACGTTGAGCAAGGCTCATTTCAGGTTCGTTCTTCAACTATGTCTTTGACACTGCTTCTTGATTCTCTATCAGATGGTCAAGTGCCAGTGGAGCAATCTTGGAGTTGATGGAGTCATCTAAAAAAGACGATCTCGAAGAGCACCCTACGTTTCTCCTCGTTTCTTTGTTTTTCATGTGGTTCGTAAATACCCTATCGCTGTTGTTTCAAAAGCTTTGAAAGATGATCTACGAGTTCCGGCGTTCTACGAAAAGTCACCGTTACATCATTTTGGCGCCCAAAGATGTCTGTGTATTTCATTTTTTTCAGCCGGAAGGCCATGCTCAGCTCAAGCAAGCGCGAGACGCCTCTTCATTTGCTCTCTGACGACCTTTTCTTTTCTTTTTTTTTAGCCGACGATTGGCTTTCGGGCGAAACCATTCATGTGCACGAAATACATTCCGAGCGATGAGACATTGATGCTTCCACCCCGTGCTTGCACACTACGATACCCTGGCTAGCTAGACTGTTATACCATGTAATTTTAGGGAATGACGCTGTACTTGCCATCCAATGCATGCATGCATGTTTGACCAATGTCCCTGAACGCCCACCACCACGAACATGCTTGACAACGCCGCCTCCAATGACGTCTGTCTAGTTGCTTAGGGCCAGACACGCATCAACAGCAAGGCCCACCCTATGGAAAACTGGTGTCAGCAGTGTTGCACAACATACATATTCATATAGCAGGCAGATAGGAGTCGCTTACCGTCCCTCTTTGAGGCGAACAACATCGTCAATGACGTCCCGATCCAAGTCCGGAAACATGCCAGCCAACGTCTCTACGACAACCTGGTGTTCCTGGCGCTGAATCTTGCGCGCCTCTTCAGCCTCAGCACTAGCCTGCCGGGCCGCAGCGTCCTCGGCACTCATCATCTGGCGCTGGCGCTCGAAACTCCTCCTCTCGGAAGCACGGCGGGCTTCCTCGCTGCTCCCGCGTGGCATGGGCGACAGGCGCGGCGTGCTGCCCGGCTGGGGCGTGGAAATGGGCTGTTGGCTCTGCGGCTTCTCCGACATGCCATCGTCCGAGAAGATGCGGCCGATGGTCGACAGCGGGCGTTGTATGGTTCGCAGCAGGCCGGCGACGGCGGCGTTTTCCTCTTCGCCGTCTGCTGAGCCGCTGCTTGAGCTGACGCCGGTCCGACCAGAGGATGACGCTCTGGGGGTTGCTCGCTCAGCGTCGAGGGAGTTGCGGGGCGTTACTTCTGGCCTACTTATGGCGGACTTTTCAGACACGTGCATGTGAGGGGAAGGGTGGCGGGAGGGTTGCTGTTGGCGGGGCTCGTCGAGAGAATTTCTTTCTGCGATTGCCGACACGGCTGCTTCGACGTTCTTTTCAAACTCTTCGTCGCTAATCGTGAGGCTAGTGCGATCAAGGTTCTCAATGAATTGGATAGCACCCATCTGGTATTGTATTAGCGAAATGCGGCTGACTTCTCGTGGCGGGTTAAAGAAAGAGCGGATAACGTACCAGTGAAGAGATATAATATCCGGCTTCACCTCCGAGTTTCTCCTGGTTACGGAAGCGAAGTATGTACTGCACATTGGAGACAAGGTGATCGGGATTGGCTCTTAGAACCGTGAATATGAGCAAGGGTATAAACGAATCTGCAGATTGATCCGACTGTGCATTTCGCAAAAAACCTAGCCACATAATCAGCACTAGATCGCAGAACAGAAGCCAACAGGTTAGTGCTTACCGAAAATAACTTTGCAGCAGTTGAGTATGCAAATCACCTTGTCTCTTGGGGCGCGATAATTCCTGATCTTGAGCAGTTCTAAGTTCGAACGTCAGTTGATTTTTCTGTGATATTGACACAGGCGCGAAAGGGGATTTACCTTGTTGCGCCAGCTTCAAGAACTTCATCCCTTTCACATTTACAGGTTTTATGTCAAGATGCTCCTCTCTGACCCAGCTGTAAATCCGCACTTTCTGCGCCAAAACCTCGTCTCTCTCTACATCTTCCTGATGCTGACCTCTCCTGCCCGGGCCCATAGGATGCTGTCCCGGTCTTCTTCTGTTTCTGCCCAGCATCGGCTCCGGTGGAGGTATGGCCGGGGAAAACGTTTGGGTGTACAGCCTGTTCATGACTAACTTCTCCATACCTTCCCTTGCGTTATCAAATTCGGCATCGGAAACAGTTCGCCAGATGTCACATTGCGCCATCTTTTTGCTGATAAATTCCAGGAAATCGCTTATGATCTTGACCTGTTCATGCACCATCCACTGTTTCTTCCCAAACTCAAGCAAAAACGACCGAAGGAATTTTGCCACAGGATCTGCTGTCCGGTGACGCAGCTGCTCCAGAAACCGGTGGAAGTCGAAGGGAAGATCCGGTTCAGGATCCGGTTCAGGAGGTGGTGGCTTGTAAAGGGAAGAGGGAGGGAGTGGACTCACGGGACCAGGTGCCGGTGCTTTCTCCTTTGCCGTGGCGGTGGAAAGAGTGCGCGCGTGCAACGAGGAAGTCCGCGGTGGAGGGGCCTGAGGAGCCTCGCTCTGGGCGGAGGAGCTTGACTCCGGGACTGAGAAGTCGCCTTCGATAATAGCCAGGCTCGATTTCCGAGGAGGATGTGAAGTCGAGGAGCTAACGGTGGGTGTGGCTTTCTCGAGACGCGGAGACATGATTTCATCCATACCGGGACCCTCGACTCCCTCGCTGAACTGGTCCATTATAGTCTGAATTTCCGTCCTCGAATCATCCTCGGCGTTGGGAGTACCGGCGGCCCCTGAGTAGTCACCCTTCTCGTCGAAGTCGACGGCGTCGGCATCCTGAGGAGCAATAGCAGGATCTCGCTGCTGGGGCGAAACGGCAGAAGGATGGGAGCGGGTGTCTGCGTTTGACCCGGCTGGGGGAAACGCGTTGTCCTTTGCTGGTGGGGTTGGGGGAGGTGACGGCGCCCGTTCCTTGGACGAGAGTTCGGCGAGCGAGAGGGACTCGAGTTGGGCAGCGGGAGGAGCGGATTCTGCAGATGAAGCTGGGTCTGCCGCCGGGGCCGGGCTCATGGGCATGGCGGCGGCGGCGCGGGGATCGGGATGGACGGCATCACCGTCGCTGTCGCGATGGGGAGATACGGGCGGGCCGGGCGAGGACTCGTGTGGTGGCTCCGAGGGCGACATAGGCGGGTGTAAGGTCAGAAAGGGCTACGGACAGCGCAGTCGGCCCATGAGTAGAGAGAGAGAGAGACGTGGTCGGGTGGGCTTAACTTAGCTGGTGATGGGTCCGGAGCGTGTTCGTCATGGGCCTTGGCGCCGCCGCAATTACATTATTCTTCAACCCTAAAAACCAAAGACTCTCCGCCCAAAAACATGTGCGGCATCTTTGCCTCGCTCAGCCGCTCCCGCCATGTTTGCCCCAACCCCCGCACCGCCCACCTCCTCGACAACAGAGGCCCCGACTGCTCCCACACCCTGGAGCGATCTGTCGCCGCGAACCATCCCGTCTATGCTGTTTTCCGCTCGACGGTGCTCGGCTTGCGGGGCGCCGGCGTCGTCTCTCAGCCCTTGACCGACGCTGCTTCTGCCTCCGTCCTCTGCTGGAACGGCGAGGCCTGGAAGCTCGACCAGCAACCCGTGTCAGGCAACGATGCTCAAGCCGTCGCTGACCTGCTCTTCAAGGCGTCCACTCCGCAGGCTGAAGACCGAGCGGATGGTGCGCAAGAGCGCATGATTGCAGCCATTTCGAAGATCCGGGGGCCTTATGCTTTTGTCTTCTATGACGCTCCCCACAAACTGCTGTATTTCGGCAGAGATTGTCTAGGTCGCCGCTCACTCTTGCAGAGCACTAACGAAGCAGGCGAACTCGTCCTGTCCAGCATTTGCGACAAGACTGTAAGTGAGACGTGGTGCGAGGTTGAAGCGGATGGCATTTACGTCGCCGACCTCTCGGCCTCTGCAGACACAAGCGTCTCTTGGCTTTCTACAAAGTTCCCAGTTACTCATATACCCTACATCTACGAGGGGTCAGAGTCTCCACCCGCTCAATCACTGGTCAGCAACGACCCTGTACATGATAAGAGCTGTTCTTCTAACTGCCACAGATTTTGCCATATCCTCCGTTAAACAAAGCTTTGCCCGAAGTGTCTCCTATACCGCTCCAGCAGGATTCTCCTGCAGTGGAGTTGCTCAAGGACCACCTCATGAGATCTTTGAGATTGCGACTGCAAATCCAGTCCGCGCAACCTGAGTATCACGCAAGCGTAGCAATCCTGTTTTCTGGTGGTCTCGACTGCACAGTACTGGCCCGTCTAACGCACGGTATTCTGCCCTACGACTACCCCATTGATCTTCTCAATGTGGCTTTTGAGAATCCTCGTATCCACCGCTCTCGTGACACCGAAGACTCCACTTTTTCGCCCTACGAGGTCTGCCCTGACAGGATGACTGGCAGGGCTTCCCTCGCCGAATTGCGTAGAGTCTGTCCGGAGCGAAAGTGGTCGTTCGTTGAGATCAATGTACCATATACGGAGACGTTGGCTCACCGTGACAGGGTGGTGGCTTTAATGCATCCTCACAGCACAGAAATGGATCTTTCAATTGCGTATGCGCTCTACTTCGCCTCGAGAGGCGTCGGGTCACGGCGGGAGTCTAAGTTAGCCGGAGCCATCGATTACGCCACGCCAGCACGGATCCTTCTGTCTGGATTGGGCGCCGATGAATTGTTCGGAGGATATCAGCGGCACTCTACGGCATTCTTGCGCGACGGTTTTGCAGGCTTGATTGATGAACTCGAACTGGACATCAACCGTCTAGGAAAACGTAATCTAGGCCGTGATGACCGAGTCATCTCAAATTGGGGAAAAGAGGTCCGTTTCCCATATCTAGACGAGGAGCTTTTGTTCTGGGCTTTGAACGCACCCGTGTGGGAGAAGACTGGGTTTGGTCAGGAAGCATCTTCGGATAGTGACGGAAGCGCCAAGGTTGAACCGGGGAAGAAGGTCCTTCGGCTATTGGCGTGGATGCTGGGCATGGAGCAACTTGCTTCAGAAAAGAAGCGCGCAGTAAGTTGCATGATGTCGATTAAATTTTTTCATTGCGCTAACAGAAAAGTAGATACAGTTTGGTGCACGTACAGCAAAGATGGAGACTGGGAAGACGAAGGGGACACAGTCGATCCAGTGACCCTTACGAGGGCAAATTTGTTCGATCATGACCACCTCCTACCAATGGAGCACAGAGGCCTTCGTACTTGGGGGCATTCTTGGCGGTGTCCTTGTAGAGGTATACAGCCCTATTTCGAGCGCAGAAAATCAAACATGAGAAGCCGCTTATGGGCGACATGACAGGCGTCGGTCCTAGACATACGAAAAATCATCGGGGACCGAGTGGTTCAAGAAGTCAGGCACGCACGGCTCGGTTATCTCTGGTCCGAGACATGGTCCGAGTGGCGGTGATGACTCGGCGGCACGCCCGAGCATTGCGGCCGAGCTCAGATACTGGGGAGTATGTAGAGGAAGTTCATGAGCAGCTTTAGTGTCTCCGCGGCACGCCGCAAGCTAATAAGTGGGCAGCTTCGGGCCGCGCAGCATGGCGGAGAGCCACGGACCAGGGACCAAGCATCTGAGCCACGATGGATCTGGCCAGTAACTATTGAAATGCCTATACAAAGGTTATACTGGCAGCATGTCGGAAATGGGCTGATGATAAATATAGGACAACGGGGGTGGACCGTTGGAGCTACGCGGAGATGAAGGCCACCCGGCTTGGCTGAGGAGGGGGCGTAATGGCCAGCGAGTGCGGCGAGGGGACGAGGAGACGAGAAAACGAGAAAAGGATGGGGCCTTGGCGAAGTAAGAGCAGCGTCCTGGCAATACAGCACGAAGGCGAAGTGTTGCATTGACGGGGCGATGAGACGGTTGAGAAGAAGGACGGCCAGGGGTGCAAGCCCAAGCGCACAGCCAAGCCTTCGGGAAGAAGCCGGAGGCGGATAAAGGGGGCCTCGTGCCGGGCGGCCAGGGGGCTCAGGGCCCCACAAATGATGCACACGACGACTCTTCGCAGCGGGCCCCTTGCAGCATGGCGCAGAGATGAGGCTGCTTGTGTCTGGGCAACGAGTCGGAAATAATGGTCCCAAGCAGGCGGCGATAGAGACCGATGGATGCAGTGGGCGCTAGGCCCCCTTTAATTGGTGCATCCCAGTCCGTTTCACGCGCCGATGCCGATGCCGAGCGCCGCATGGCTCCATCACGATACGAGTGCCTCCCGCTGCTACTTCTACCGCGTCTTCTTTTCCCTCTCCCCACCCTTTCCTTCTCCGTCTCTCCCAGCTACTTTTTCGTGCAGCTCTCTGCACAGTCCTCTCTTTTTTTCTTTATCCCACACCAAGTCGCTCTTTAGCTACAGCGTGCCCCTGTCTGCACGCGCATCACTCCTTTGACCCACCATGAAGTTTGCTGCCCGCTGCATGCTCCTCGCGGGGCTGGTCTCCTCGACCCTTGCCCAGACCTTCAGCGACTGCAACCCTCTCGACAAAACCGGCTGCCCTGACGCCCCCGCCCTTGGCACCAACGCCACCTACCACTTCAACACCAGCAGAGCCGACTCGTCGGTATGGAACGAAACCGCCGGCAAGGTCAAATACACGACCCACGCCGGCGAGTTCACCATCAACGGCCAGGGCGACTCCGTCACCATCTCCACCCAATACTTCCTTTTCTTTGGTCGCGTCGAGATCGTCGCCAAGCCCGCGCCGGGCCAGGGTATCGTTAGCAGTATCGTCCTGGAATCGGCCGATCTTGACGAGGTGGATATCGAGTGGATCGGCGGCAACAACACCCACTGGCAGTCGAATTACTTTGGAAAGGGCAACACCACTTCGTACGACCGTGCCATCTGGCATCCCGTTGACGACCCGCAAAACGTCTGGCACAACTACACCGTCGACTGGACCAAGGAAAGGATCGAGTGGTGGGTTGACGACGATCTCATCCGCACCCTCAAGTACGAGGACGCCAATGGCGGCGACAACTTCCCGCAAACGCCCATGAACCTCAAGCTCGGTATCTGGTCCGGCGGTGACCCCGACAACAACAACCAAGGCACCATCGAATGGGCTGGTGGCGAAACCAACTTCCACGATGCCCCCTTCACCATGTACGTCCAGCAGGTGTACACCGAAGACTACACCACTGGCAGCAAGTCGTACAAGTACGGAGACAAGACGGGTAGCTGGGAAAGCATCATTGTCAACAAGTAAGTGCAGCGTTAACTCCTTGGCCCGCGCGGCTCCAGAGATGCTAACATTGATGTGCAGCGGTACCTCTCACGCCGAGAAGGAGCTCAACGCGCCTCACGGCACCGCCGAGCACTGGGCCGCTCTGCCGAAGTGGGCCCGCGCCGTGATCCCGGCGGCGGCGGTGGCTGTCTTTGCCATTGGCCTTGCCGTCTTCATCTTCTGCTGCATCAAGCAGCGGCGGGCGGGCCACAAGGCGTACGCGCTGGCCAGCGAGGAGTGGAACAAGGAACAGGAGGAGCTGCTCGAGTACAAGTCGCAGTACAATGCCCGGATGAAGAGCGGCGAGTACGCGCCCGGCGGAAGGTTGTAATTCTGGGGCGCGCGGGCGTTGAACTTGATTCTTTTCAGTTCTCTCATTCTCTGCACAAGCCTTTGCTCGGGTCATGTTTATACGAAAGCTTGGGTGTTTATTTGTCGTTTTGTCGAGAGGTGCAATATCGGGTTGGGATACCACGCGTACGAGGAGACCATAGTAGTAGCAATCTTTATATTTGGCCGCCTGTCGTCGATGGCGGTTCGCCTGCATGCAGCATGACGCGATTCGAGATTGGCAGATGAAGGCGGTGTGTGCACGTGCAGCCGTTGTGATCGTGGAGAAGTGGAGATGCAGACTGACCATCCGCATCAAACCATGGAGCGGACAGATCCCGACCCCGGCGATCCCCTTACCAGTCCAGGATATGACTTGCACGGCGCTATCTTCCCTCGCGGGGATGACGCTGCTTATCTGGACCCCGACATGCCCGAGGCCCAAACACCCATGGCGCCCCCGCCCATGAATGAATACCTGCCACCCGCATGGAGCGCTGAACATGTCGAGGATGGCGACGAGGAGCCCGCCGAGCCCAAGTCGTTCGAGCGCACCACCAGCCCCCGCTCCAACCAGCGCAACCGGGGCACCGCCTACGACACTGTCGGCGTAGATGGCATCAACAAGCTGCACAAGTTCTCCCTCTACGAGACCAGCCATCGCTTCTACCTGGTCGGTGCCGATGTCATGGATATGCACTTCCGTGTCCTCAAAATCGACCGCACCGCACCCCCTGGCCACCTCAATGTCTTCGAGGATGAGATTGTATATGACCGAAAGGACATGAACCAACTCCTCAACACCATCGATGACGGGAACAAGGGCACCGGAGGCATGAAGCTCAAATGCGTCGCGTGGGGGCTTCTGGGCTTCATCCGGTTCACCGATGCCTACTACATGCTCGTCATCACCAAAAGGACCAACGTTGCCATGCTGGGCGGCCATTACATCTACCAGATCGATGGTACAGAGCTGATACCCCTGACAACCGGCTCGAGTTCGAGATTCGCCAAGGACCGCAATCCGGAGGAGGCGAGGTTCCTGAGCATACTTGGCAACTTGGACCTGACACGCTCTTTCTACTTTAGCTATGCTTACAACATCACCCGTACCCTGCAGCAAAACATCATCCGGGAGAGGAAAGCGCGGAACGAAGGTCGCCAATTTCCGCATCACGACTTCAATGACATGTTTGTCTGGAACCATTATCTCCTCGAGCCCGCCCGAGCCGCACTCAAGAACACGTACGATTGGTGTCTGCCCATCATCTACGGCTTCATCGACCAAGCCTCTTTGGACGTTTTCGGACGACGTGTGTATATGACTATTATCGCGCGAAGGTCAAGGTTTTTTGCCGGTGCCAGGTTCCTCAAGCGCGGTGCAAACGATTTGGGCTACGTCGCCAACGACGTTGAGACCGAACAGATCATATCTGATCTCTTGACAACTTCTTTTCACGCGCCTGGCCCACGCCTGTATTCCAACCCAACCTATACGTCATATGTCCAGCACCGTGGCAGCATTCCTCTGTACTGGACGCAGGATAATACTGGCGTAACCCCAAAGCCCGACATTGATCTGAACTTAGTCGACCCATTCTACAGTGCTGCAGCTTTTCATTTCGACAATCTCTTCGAGCGATATGGAGCACCGGTCTACGTCTTGAACTTGATCAAAGCACGCGAGCGTAATCCCCGTGAATCGAAGTTACTGCATGAGTACAAGAGAGCTATTGATTACCTTAATCAGTCACTTCCAGATGGCAAGAAGATCTTGTACAAGGCATTCGATATGAGCAGAGCGTCTAAAACGCGGGGCATGGACGTCATTGGTAGCCTGGAGACCATTGCAGAGGATGTGCTACAAAACACGGGCTTCTTCCACAATGGAGACTTGGAATACGACTCTCCTCAAGTCCAAAATGGAGTGGCTCGGACAAACTGCATTGACTGTCTAGACCGAACAAATGCCGCACAGTTTGTGATTGCAAAGCGGGCTCTTGGCCGCCAATTACAGGCTCTCGGTGTCATTGCTGGCAAGACAGTCGAGTACGACTCTGATGCGGTCAACATCTTCACATACATGTTCCATGACCACGGCGATACCATTGCAATTCAGTATGGAGGGTCGCATCTGGTAAACACCATGGCTACATATCGAAAAATAAACCATTGGCAAAGCCATTCCAGAGACATGGTAGAGAGCTTCAAACGCTACTATCATAACTCTTTTCTAGATTCGCAAAGACAAGAGGCCTATAACCTCTTCCTCGGGAACTACGTCTTCGCGCAAGGTCAACCAATGCTGTGGGATCTAACGACTGACTACTATTTGCATCACACTGATCCTAGAGAATGGCCGGTGAAGAAGAGAAAAGACTACATTCATTGGTACACGCCGGCTCACCTGGAACCTCGAGAGTTGCCGCCTTGTACATTTCTCGTGCCCCAAAACAGGGGAGAAGGAACCAAAGAGTATGACGACTATTGGTTGGAGTATTACAGGCCACTGGCGCTCTCGTCGCTCGCAAAGGTCTTTACATTCAAGCTCAACTCAACACCTCGAACAGTGCCCGAAAAAGTCTCCAGCAATACACAATACGACATGAGCCCTTTCCGACCACGCAAGCACCCTAACGAATCGGAACACCCAGAGAAGAAGTTGCCCCGAAAAGGCGTCACGATTCTCGACCCGCACAGCGAAGAAGACTCGGCCCACACCGGCAGCTCAGTGGCCGCAGCATCCCGACCCCAGTCCGCGCTCGGCGACATGTCGCCCGCGAAACAAAGCATCCTGCGCGATCCGCACTTTGAAGTCGGAGGCATTCACTCGTCAGCAACGCTCACCAACTCGTCGACGTTCAAGCCAGCCGACAAGACGCAGATGACGCAATGGACGCTCAACGAGTTCCACCAGAACTCGCTGAACCCGTCCGTCACGACGGGCGAAGCGTCCGAGTACGAGCGGTACATCAGCCACCCGCTGAACCTGCCGCTGGTCGTGTCGACGGAGCTGCCCGACGACTTCACCAACATGGACTTTGTCGAGTACGTCAACAGCGTCGGCGGCGAGCGGGACGACCGCGGCTGGCAGGTCGGCGAGGAGGAGCTGGCCGAGTACGCCGAGTTTCTGACCATTGCCGAGAACCCGCTGACGGTGAGCGAGGAGGACGGCGAGAAGAAGCGCTATAAGCGCTATCGGCAGTGGCTGCGCGGGAAGAGTCTGTTCAAGCAGAGCAAGGTCGATCCGGAGTATAAGACGTAGGGGGGGGGGGGTTGGTAGCGGTGGTTGGTGTGGTTTTCTGTGTGTGTGTGTGTGTGCGTGTTTTATTTCTATCGTTTGCGTTGTTTGAACGCGAGAAGTGGATGGGGTGTCTCCTTTTTTTTTTTTTTAATTCATCTGACTAGAACACTCCTGCAAAGATATATAGACGCCAGACATGATTTATGAAATTGACTGAAGTAGTAGTTGTAAGTTCTCAGAGTTGTTAGTATACCTATAAGAGCAGCTGTTGAGGATATATCACTTTTTGTGTATTGCAAAATGCATATATTTGATATATGCACCGTCAATTCCTTGCTCCACCACCTATAAATCCCCTAACTTTTCCGCCCTTTCCAGGGCCTATATATGCATGTGACCAACCAACCAACCAACCATCCATCCATCCATCCATCCATCCATCCAACCAACCAACCAAACAAACAAACAAACCAAACCCGCCTCTTCCTGGTCCTGGTATCCTACCACAGAACCCAAAATAAAAACGCCCCTGTCTAGGTAGGTAAGAGGGAAGCAACTACCCCAAAAAACTTGTCAAACAAACAAACAACGCCAGGCTATGCAGCAACGCCCAAAATCATAATCAAATCAAACCGAAAAATCAAACGCCCCTCCCACGATACGAGCGCGCGCCCTCAGGCGCCTGATACGACAGCCGCTCCTCCTGCTCCTCGTCGGGCGACATCACACGCGGCGTACCCTGCTGCAGCTGCAACGGCTCGACCTCATCAGGCGTGACGGCACCACTGCGGGGCTCCGCCTTTTCCTCGTCGACGGACGCCGCCTTAGCGCCGCCACTGCCCACAAAGCCCTGCTCCGTCTCGTGCGCCTGCTGCAGCGAGTAGCTCTTTGTGAAGAGGACGCTGAGCACGAGCGCACCGCCCGCGAGCCCGCACATGACGATCCACAGCGTGCGCAGCGAGTCGCAGTAGGCCGTGGTGAGCTGGTCGCGGAGGGGGCGCTGGGCCGGGGCCGTCATGGCGCGGATGACTTCGACAAGGGCGCTCGCGTCCTTCGAGTACGCTGCTGCTTTTGGGGCGAGGCTCGGGATCGCTTCCAGCTTCTTCTTGACCATATTTTGCACGATGGACCCGCCAACGGCCACGCCGAGCATCTGTCCGTAGTTGCGGAAGAAGGGGTTCAGCGCTGCGGCGGCCGTGGTGTCGGCGGGGGTCGCCGAGGCTTGGTTGCAGAGACTCATGGCTGGGTAGAGCATGCCGAGGCCGACGCCCGACACGAGCGAGAGCGGCACCCACATTTTCATGGGCGTGGAGGCCTCGAATAGGATCATGAGGCCGACGCCGAGCGTGGTGAGGAACCAGCCGCCGTAGATGGCCCAGCGGTAGCTGCCGATGCGTGCGATGAGGATGCCAACGATGACGGCCGCAGGGGCGGTCGTAAAGGTCCAGGGGAAGAGGGCAATGCCCGACTGGATGGGGGTGTAGTTCTTGGCGGCTTCGAAGTAGAGGGGCTATTGCTGTTGTTAGTGGCGGAGTAGGATTGCGGGGAGGAGTTGGAAGCCATACCATGTAGTACAACACAGACCACAGGAACATGCCGTGGATGACGATGCTGAAGTAGCAGACAAGGCCGGTGGCGGTCTTGAAGAGACTGCCGCGCAGGATGGGCTGGGAGGGGACTAGGCGGGACCAAAGCATGAAGAAGACAAGACCACCGAGACCGACGAGGAGAGGCACCAGAGTGCGCCAGTGGTTCCAGGGGTACATGATGCCGCCCTAATTGAACTGTTAGTTGATTGCTGGCGAAAAAACAGACTGTTCGACTTACCCAGGTGATGGGAATCAGGAAAGACGTGGTAGATGCCACGAACAGGAAAGATCCAACCCAATCAATCTGCTTGAGCTTCTCCATCAGGTTTCCAGGCTTGTACTGGAGCTTGAGGAAGAGCGGGATCATGACGAATCCGAGGACGCAGAAGGGGATGTTGATCCAGAAAATCCACCTCTATGCACTGATTAGCAAGACACTGGAAACTATAGCGTTCGAGTCGACATACCCAAGAGGCCTTCTCAGCCAGCACACCACCAATAATGGGACCAGTGACACTGCCAATGGCCCACTGCATGGTGATGAGGCCCAGCCACTTACCACGGTCCGCGAGCGGAACCATGTCAGTGATGATAACATTGGTCAGGGCTGAGATTCCGCCACCGCCAACACCCTGCAAGGAGCGGCCCACCAGAAGATCAGTGAAGTTCTTCGCCACGGCGCCGATAATGGACCCAATGGTGAAGAAGGAAAGCGCCATGAGCAGCATGGGCTTCCTTCCGAAAGCGTTTGAAAGCGACGCAAAGCTGGGCTGGAAGACGGTGGCGGTAAGAAGGAACGACGTGCCGGCCCAGAATGCTTCTATGCCGGAACCGTGGAGCTTGTCTGCCATGGTCTAGAAAATGTCAGAAATGGTTAGGGTGGATATGAGAGCAGAATCTGGCTTACAGGCAGAGCCACAGACAGAGATGTAGCATCCAAGGCGCAGACCAAGTTGACAATGCACAAGCAGCAGAATGCTGCATTGAACCTCCATCCTGTCGCAGCTGAAGGCGCAGACTTCTCTGCCTCGCGAAACTCTTTGGCAGACATAGTCAATGGCTGCGTCTCGGGTACAAAAGTACTGGCGTCAGAGGTGGAGGATTTGTTCGAATGGGAGGGTTGGTTCAACATGATGGAAAGCCGAGGCGAAAGCGCCTGCTTTGTCGACTAAGTAGTAGTAGTTGTTGTTGCTGTAATTGTATCCTCGTTGTATCCTGGTTGTATCCTGGAAGAAAGGTGACAGGGAATGGATGGGGGCGGACTGTTTGATGGGAGAAGCAGCAGCAGCAAACAACAAGATATATAAAAAGCTACATGGAGGCTGAGGAGACGGGGCAATGCAAAATGCCTCGGGTAATTTTTTTTACATGGCGTGCACGACGAGAGAAAGTGTACAGCTGAAGGCAGCAGTCGGCGCGCCAATAGTGTGGGTCTTTGCCGCTGGCTTTCGCAAGGCAGCCGCGCGATGGAGCAAGAAAGAAGGGGCGAAGCATGGAGACCCGCCACCACATGCCGTTTGGGGGAGGTTGCCCTGGCTGTGGTGTTGAATGTGGGGACCGCCCCACGGCCATGTGTACAAACGTCCTCATGCAGTCTATTTTAGATACCACCGCACCTAGTCCACTCGGCCGCCCCGATTGATTGCGGGCGCCGTGTCGCTGTCTCGGCCAAGCTGAACCACTCCCGCCTAGTGCCCGCCCAGTCAAGCTTTTTTCTTCCTTGCTGTGCCACATGGCCCGTTCGGAGATTCCCAGATGTCCGGTTCGAAGGATCGCGAAAAGAGGGGTGAGGGGGCCAGGCGGCTAGTGCGGTGCGGCTGAGTCGGTGGATATGTTGGATACACGCGCAAAGAAGACGCTGCCCAAGAGACCTCCAAAGCAAGGGTGCTGCTGTTCATCGCTCGACCCCAACTGCGGCTCCGGACATGAGGTTGATGGGGCATGAGACATGGACTGATCCATCCAGACTAAGCTTATCTGCAGCCTTATCTCTAAAAAGCCGCGTTCGCATGTGACAGTCGACATGGGATTCCACCGTCCGCCATGGCTGTTTCTCCATTGTAGCCTCAGCGCCCTATAAAAAACGCCATGATTTAGGAGACGCATCTCCAGACCACTTCATCCTCACCGCCCTACCTCTGAATGGTCCCTGGTGCGCCTAACCTGCGCCAAGGTGCCCAGCCACTCAAGCCTTTCACACGCGTCCATGGCTCGCACCTCCCTTTCAAGCCTCAAACAATTTCGCAGAAAATCCACGATACAGCCTGCGTCGTCACCTTTCATCCCCCCTTACAGTACTGTCTACTCAAATAGACCCGAGTCGTGTTGGTCAACAAGTCGCCCATTTCATTACTCGCGTCCGGCGTTGCGCGCTGAGAATCTCTACCTTGGCCCCCAACCCCCATCGTTCTGAAACTTCACGTCACGAGGATTGACACATTGACTTCATGCCTGACGATGTTCGCCGTCGCCATGGCAGCCTAATGCAACCTTCTCAAAGCCTCGACCATGGCCCGCACATCCTCCACGTCGACATCCAGACCCTGCACCACTTGTTCCTGCACATCAGGCGGGCAATCCAAAAAGCGCTCGACGATTTCGCCATCGACAAACCGCATCGGTTCGTCGGCCTTGCGAACTTCGGTCCTGTAGGCTCGGTACTTGTTGAAAGGCATGTTCCCAGGGCTCTGAAGGAACTCGGCCAGCTTGGCCTGCAGATTCATGAGTAAATTCCGCTTGCCCTCTGCAATGAGCGCGACGAGGTAGATGGAACCCTCAACCTGTGCAATTTGATTAGCATGGAGCTATTTCTTCGACGAGGCGCGTCAAAACTTACGGTGGCGAGGAAGGCTCTCGGAATGACAGCTGCGTCGGGAGCCGTCATGACATCTATGCGCCGGATGCGGTTGACCAGTTCACCCAGACAAATCTCGCTTGTAGGCACCAGTCGTCTCCTGTCCTCTTCCGTGACTCCACTCATTTCGCGGTACAAGACCGTCAAGTTGCCTTCTGAGTCGGCCTCCAGATATGTGTTGTCGTCCACCTCGGCAACAGCAGTGGTCCAGCTTACTGCGTAGTGGCGAGCCACTTCGTTGAGATGATCAGGTTGGCCAGAGAGTCCAGTCGAGTCTGGCTTGTACTCAAGGATGCAAATCGATTTCATCATGTCGCCGACGATGATTTGATTGCCACTAACAGTCATGTCCGCAGGTGCCGTAGCCGTACGGTAACTGGTTTTCTTGGTCAGACCGGGAGTGCTGCCCGATCCGTAATCGAAAGAGTAAACCACGACCTATGCAAGGATTAATCAATACAGCCGATACGCTGACCTCAAGGCCACTTACCGTCTTGTAGAGAGCAGCGACAATCCTACCCTCCATCATAGCCAAACATCTGCAGGCGCCCTTGACTGCAAGTTCAGCAACGACCTTGAAAGTGCGATCGCCAGTGACTTCGAATACGATGATACGACCGCGAGCGTTCCCAGCATTATCCATATCTTCGTCTTCTAGGTAGGAAGTGCCAACGACGAAGCATTCCGTCAAACCTCCGCTGCCGTTGTCTAGCTCACACCGCATGATGCTCTCCACAAGCTCGTATTCTTTGAGAGAAACGGTGTGCAACTCCTTGAACGCAATTTCGTCGACCAACTTGATGTGTCCCTGCACAAGTTCCTCGCCATCTTTCAAGGTACGATTTATGCAGCCGAGAGCAAAAGCCTTAAGTGCAGGAGAGTACGCAATTCTCCGCACCGTCTCATTGACGATCAATGACTGAACATGTGTGGTTCTCTCGGTATCCACCATAGCTAGATGCAGCTCTCCAGAGGAGGCGATGGCGATGGAACCAGGGAAGGCTTCCGCGTCGAAGGGGCAAACGCAGGAAGCTTTCTCCGCTGTTACCGCGGAGTATACGAGACGGCCTTCGGAGCCGTAGATTAAGCTAGGGTGTTCGCAAGTTGCAAAGACATTGTACAGACCGCCGCCTCTGGGCAGCGCTCTGAAGCTTGCTTGCTGCGTTCCCAAAACAGTGCTCTTCTTCCCTGACAATGCGTAAGTAGATGGGTCAACAGAGAGTGTGACAACATTTCCGTCACCAGTGGCGACGAATAGTGTTGCCGGCTGGCCTTCGAAGATGTTGGTCAGCAACAACGACCGTGGTATAGACGACCCGTCGGTGGCCAACTGTATCGTTTGCACAGGGCTCAAGTCATCCACGTTGAGAATGGAGACTTCACATGTCTGGAAGAATCCTACAATGCATATCCCTTCTATGTTCTTTGGGATAGCCACGCAGGAGACTTGACTCTTCGCGCCGACTTCCTTTTCTGTGTGCACCTGGACGGTGTCCGTTATAGAGAGAATAATTGCTTGAATGCCCTCGAGGGAAATGAAAGCATATCGGTCATTGGCGTCAACATCTGTGATAAATCGACCAGCTGGTGCGTGCCATTCTGAGATGACCATGCCATTTTCTAGGTCGGTCAATCGCACAGATGAGTGGGTGATTTGGAGCAACCGTCCTCCGGGGAGGTTGCTCGCTAATAACGTAGCTTCGGACAACAGTAAACCTTTGAAGTCGTCGACTTCTTCTACTTGCCCCTCGGAATCAAAGCAGAAGACGCGGGATTCCTCAATCAGCGAAACAAGCAAAGTATCATCGTACTCGCTCGCAGATGTTGATTTGAGGCTGAAGATGGTGGAGATGTTGCCAATCTCGCCAAGAGCTCCTTGATCCTCTAGTCCAACGCCACTCCGTACACTGCGGAGGCTACCATCCTGGTATGCGCCACTGCCGGTTACGATCCGTGCTTGGCCTGAGGAATACTCGTTGCCTTGACCTTCACCGGATCTGTTGCCCATGTCCATTATGGTAAAATCGAGGATTGGGGCAATGTTCGAGAACGTCTGGACTACCTCGATGGATTTCTCGGCAATCCTGAGAACTTGGGAGTCGCCTTCGTGGGAGCCGACGTAGACATATCCTGCATCCAAGTAGACCAGCACCGTAGCTTTCGAGGTCTGGCCGATGACGTCCAAATTCCAGCCTGCAACGGAGTTGTCGTTCTTCAAAAGCAGCATGAGGAGGAACAGTCTCCCATACTCATCTGCTAGTACAAAACGCTGATTGTCGATTTGTTCCCACGCAACGAAGATGGTAGCCTCCTCTAAGTTCTCTTCCATGAATTGGTTGGCCTGGTCGTTTAAGTACGCAATGCGCGTCTCGCCCAGGACCAGAAGACCAAAGGATGGCTCTGCGATCGGTATCAGATGACTGGGAGCCCAGTCCCGCATTTCCTTAACCTCTGCCGGTCCCTCTACGGTTTCAAGCTCCGCAGTCCCCTGCTCTCCGGAGGCTCCATGTTGAAAGGTCAACTGGCGCAGGGTCAGTATCGTCTGATCCGATTCGGTGTTATCATGCAGCAGCGCTAATAGAGGTTTATCCGTGTCCGGAGTTTTGCGATGCAAGAAAGCTGACGATCGTACGGACATCTCAGGTATCCTGCATGGTACCGGCTCGCCCAGTACGCTAATTTCAGCATGACCCCTCCTCTTGCCCTTTCCCGTCAGCGGGATGATATGCGTAATGCCTTCGTACAGCTCCAGTGCCATAAATCTGCCAGTCGGATCGACCAGGCATCTGTCTCCAGTCTGGGAGTCTCGTGATGCTTGGTCTGCGAGATCCACGAAGCTCTTCTCAGTCCGCAGCTGCCTAGCCTCGGCATCCCAAGATAATGTGAAGAATGTTTGCTGGTCGGTACCCACGAACAAGTGGTCGGTGGACGAGCCGGCGGGGCGAAGCTTGTTGAGCATGGAGACCTTGCCATGGAGGGCTTTGGAAGCGTGCAACGAAAGGCCGTCATCGGTCTGCTGGTAAATCTCAAGGCGATTGGCTTTGCTGAAGTCGGCAGTTATGTTAGCAGTCGGAAAATGAAAAAGTGCTGATACTGGGGACGAACGCGACTATCAGACACTCGTCGTCAGGCGCCAGAAAGCTAAGCTTGATGGCATGCCTGACGCTGCTGGGTCGGTGAATTGGGGCGAGGTATGCCATGGTGAAGGACAGCGAAGGGCGGGATGTCGCGCGGAGCTGGAGCAGCGCGATGCTACATGTGTTGAAGTGGAGAGTGGGGCATGACGGCAGAGAGATGGCTGTCCTCGAAGTTGTAGAGCTCCCCCGGACTTTGCCCTTATCACCGAGAGAAGGGCACGTGCGACATTAGTTGTCGTGACCTCCTGTTGGTGATAGTATCAGCATAATAGCGGCCACGACATGGCTCCCGCTGCTGGGTTTGGTGACGCGCTCATTCCACTGGCATCTTTGGCAGTGTACAACCTTAGCTGAGCTCAGTGACATGATATCCAGCAACCAGCTCCGTTCGAAACCCCACAACCGACTTATCGAAGGTGTCGGGATGCATGCAACAAGCCATTCTACATCCGTACTGAACGACAAATTGTAAGGCGACTCAATAATGCTCATGGGTTGCAGAAGACAGAGCTACCAGAACCTAGTGTTCTATGGGTAGCTTTCGAGCTCCGCGAAACTCTTTATCCTCTCCTTGTCCTCCTGCTGAATCTTCTCGTGGTTTCCAACCGGAACACCTCTCACTGTTGTTAGGTCTCAGTGATCGTTCTCTGATTCTCTGAAAAAGCCGTGAAGGCAGATACAGTGAATTAAGAACCCGGGGGGGTCGGACGATCTTATTCCGGAGAGATAGAGTAACTATAGAGGTATATAGCTTAAGGGCTCTGCCTAAAGTTCTATCATACTGCTTATAACGTTGACGTTGGTGTTTGGCACTCGTAATGGATTATGTGAGCGAGGCACGAGAGGCGCTCTGTCGCACCGAGCCGTGAAGCGATTTCCGAGCTCCCACTTTGCTCCAATTTTCCCTCCATTTTTCTCCGCACTCCCCCTCTCCCGAACACCCCACGCACATCCCCGTCTCCACGCGCAAAGGCCGATCAGGCCACCGGTGTCAGCGACTTTCCTTTCTTGCGGACGAACCGGCTCTTGCTCAGCCGCATTGGCAGGGATGCTTTAGACGCAGGCGCGAATCGACGACCTCGGCTGGATGCCGTACCTGCTGATCACCATGCGGAGGCGCCGCCAATTCGTCTCTCGCGCTTCCCAGCGCTCCTGAGCTTCTGCAACATCTCGTCCACCCGCTATTCTACCACCATGAGTGCTTCGTTCAGACGAGTTATCCCTTCTGTTCGCGTCGCGAAGCGATGCTTTTCCACGTCCCCCGCTTCGCAGGCCGTGTGGGGTTTCGTAGGACTCGGTCGGATGGGTACGTATGCCGCGCACCCGTGTCACGCGTTCAACTTTACTCACAATTGCTTGCGCGCAGGTTATCCCATGGCCAAAAATCTCCGCGCAAAACTGCCCAAAGAAGATACCCTCGTTGTGCATGATATCAACAAGGACGCGACTTCGAGATTGGTCAAGGAGGTTGGCGGCAAGGGTGGTGTGAAAGTGGCCGACACTGTGCGACAAGTCGCCGAGGAGTCTGTAAGTCTCTCCGACTCCGACTACGATTCAAACTGCAGTTCATGATGAGCATGTTCATCTATGATCTAAGTGGGAGCTGCTTCGGCAACTCTTGTCATGATTCACTCTATCATCAAAGCCAATCCTCTGATAGAACTGCACACTCACTGATCCAATTCCCCACCATGTCTGGGATTGAGCCAGAACTGACCTGGCAATTAGGAAACGGTTATTACAGCCTTACCGGAGCCAATACACGTGAGAAGCGTGTATGCATCCATGTTGAAGCCGCCAGACCTTTTGCGGAAGGGTGCTGCGAAGGAACGTCTTTTTATCGACGTATCTACAGTCGACCCGAAAACATCGCACAATGTCGCCAATGCAGCGTATTCTTCTGGCCAGGGCAAGTTCATCGACGCTCCCATGTCAGGCGGCGTTGTCGGTGCTGAGAAAGGCACTCTGACCTTCATGATTGGGGCGCCGCCTGAACTGGTCGATAGGGCGAAAGAGATCCTGTCGATGTTGGGCAAGCGGGTCATTCACCTCGGCCCGCAGGGCTCTGGGCTCCATGGCAAGCTCGCCAACAATTATTTGTTGATGCTCAACAATATCGCCACAGCGGAGGCAATGAACATGGGTGTGCAGTGGGGCCTTGATCCGAAGGTGCTAGCCGACATGATCAATACCTGCACTGGGAAATGCTGGCCCAGCGAGGTCAACAACCCAGTGCCCGGCGTCATCGAAGGCTCGCCTGCCAGCAGAGGCTACGATGGAGGGTTTGGCGTTCACCTAGCCAACAAGGACCTGAAGCTCGCGCTACAGGCGGCGCACGATGCTCAAGTGAAAGTGGGCCTGGGAGAGCATGCGAGGGATATATATGATGCGGTGGAAGCGAACCCCGAGTGCAAGGGCAAGGATTTTTCGGTGGTATATAGGTACTTGGGTGGCAGAGAATAAGAATTGAGAGGTGTGATGTTGATAGCGCCATCTTGCCGTGCCGTGTGTCAAGTGTCGTGCGGGGAGCTGCTCAAAGCGCCTTTGACGATCGGCGCAGGGTCCTCGCGCGCGCGACCTCTTTCGCTTGGTGACATCAACAACCTCGACAACCCAAAAATATGCCCGAACTGCTCGACTACATCCTCGAGCACGAGGAAGCCTTCAAGAGGTGCGCCGCCCCCGTCCCAGCCTTGATCAGCGCAGACACACTGACTCCCGTCGCAGCAAAGGCCGCCTGGCCTCCCTCTACTCGGACTTTGGCACCCAGCAGGCCACGAACCCGGACGGCTACACCGCAAACGTGGCCGCATGGCGCAAGGCGCTGCTGGACGCGGCGCGCGTGGGCCTGGTGCCCTCGTCGACGGGCGCGCACGATAACGCCCTCACGCTGGGCGCGGGCGAGCCGCTGCTGCGCGAGCTGACGAGCAAGGACTTTGGCCGGCCGTTGGCCCTGGGCGCGGTGCTGGTGCGTAACATATATAACCATACCTGAGCTGAGGACTGAGGGGGGACTGACAGTGTCGGGTGTGCAGCAAGACGCGGTGGCGCGCCGTGAAATGGTGCCTTTGAAGGAGTTCCTGGCCGGGACGACGAGCATCTACGCGCGCGGCGGGTGGAGCATCAGCCCCTGGGGCGTAGTGACATGGGGGCTGCGGCAGCTGGGCGGCGTGCTAGGCGCGGGCGGCGCAACCAACAAGCTGGTCGCGGGCGAGTACGTCGTGGTGCCGAATGTCGAGGCCGTCGCGACCACGGTGCTCGCCCACTTCGCCCACACCACCACCCCGCTCGACCTCATCACCACGCGCGCCGCCTTCTCGCGCTCCTTCGCCCACGCCCTCTCCGCCGACCGCGCCCTCTCCCAAACAGACATCTCCCTGCTCCTCATCCACCTCGCCCGCGACCGCGCCGCCCTGGCCTACGACCCCGCCTCGGGCACCATAAAGCTGTCCCCGCACCCGGGCGCCGAGCCCCCCGCGCCCATCTCCGCCGCCGAGACCACCGTCGCGCAACTGCGCGACCTCCTCGCCTCCCTCGCCACCCAGGTCAGCACGCTCGACGCCGAAACGGCCACGCACGACGCGGCAGCGCGGGCGGCCGTCGCCCGCGGCGCCACCGCCCAGGCCCGCGCCGCGCTGCGCAAGAAGAAGGCCGCCGAGGCCACGGCCGCCAAGCGAGGCGCCTCGCTCGCGCAGCTCGAGAGCGTCTACGCGGCCATCGAGGACGCGGCGGGCCAGGTGGCGGTAGTGCGCGCGCTGGAGGCGGGGGCGGGCGTGCTGCGCGGGCTGCATGCCGAGGTTGGGGGCGCGGAGGGCGTCGACGCGGTCATGGAGCGCGTGAGGGAGGAGGTGGCGCTGGCGGAGGAGGTGACGGGCGCGATGACTGAAGGGGCGGGGACGGGCGTTGTCGACGAGGAGGAGGTCGAGGATGAGTTTGCGGCGTTGGAGCGGGAGGAGCGGGAGAGGGTGGAGGCGGCCGAGGCGAGGAAGACGGCCGAGAGGTTGGCTGTGCTGGAGGAGATGGAGAAGAAGAGGGAGGTCGAAGCCGAGAGGGACATGGGCCGCTTGTCGCTGGATGAGACGAGACCTGCGCTGCATGGGGATGATGAACAGCAGCAGCGGAAGGAGCAGCCTTTGCCGGAGGCGTGAGGGAGGTGGTGATAGACAGACAAACAAACAAACAGGGAATACATACACAAGGACAGGTGGGCAGGTAGATGGGCACGACACGGCACATCCGGAGGTATTTTCTGCATACGCGCGCTTGGGATAGATTAGGGCACAGGACAGGACAGGACAGGACGGCGTACATGGGTATATAGGCATGAGTCTGGATACAGTAATAAGTTATATGTCCCTAAAGCAACTAGAACAAGATGCCAAAGCCAAATCATGCCACAGCCACAGCCATAACCTAGCCACAAACAACCCACAGCCAGAACTCCTGACAACTATACCACCACCACCCACCCACCCACCACACCCGCCGCTGCTCAACACCGCTCAAAAACACGATACAACCCCTTCAAATTCGCCACCTCAATCACGCCCTTCAGCAACCCCCTCGTCGCCACCAACCTGGCCCTAAAAGCCGGAAACAGCGTGTGCTCGAGCGCGCGCTCGACATGGGCCCTCCTTGCCGCAACGGCCTGGTCTTCTTCTTCTACGCTCGCTTCTCCATCCGTAGACGATGACGGTGACGGTGGCGGTGGCGGCAGAGCTTCCGGTACGTAGAACGCCGCCAGCTCGCGCAGAAACGTCTCGAAGCACTCTTTCTCCTGGACCCAGTTGACGAAGGGCCCGAGGCGTAGCAGGAACTGCGGCAGCTTGGCCAGCGGCGGCGTGTAGCTCTTCACGAGGAGGGGGATAGCGCGCAGGAGGCCGTCGGCCGAGATCTCCATGCTGAAGTACTCCGCCAGCATATCGCGACGGGAGATCAGCTGCGCCTCGACCTGCGCGACCGCGTCGGCCCAGTCGAATTCCTCGTCCAGAGCGCCCGCGCCCGCGCTCTTCTTCTCGTGCTCGGCCCCGATGCGCAGCAGTTCGTGGAGGTTGAGGGGCGGCTCGAAGCGCACGGTGCCGAAGTTGCCAAAGTCCGTCAGCCCCAGCTGGTAGAAGTACTCGTTGCAGAGCATGCCGTAGTCGACGAGGAAGAGCTTGACGCCGCCCTGCATGGCGGCGATGCGCCGCCGCGTGTCGACGATGCCTACGAAGCTGTGCGTCGCGAATACGTCTGTCAGCTCGTTGTGCATGTTTTCGCGCACCGCGGCGCGCAGCTCTTTGATTGTCGTCAGGCGGCACGTCGTCGGCTCTTTGTCTGTCTGCTCGTACACTGGCTCGTCCCGTGCTGCGGCGTCTGGGCCGTTCGCCTCGCTTGAGTGGTGCTGCGTGGTGGGTGGGAGCATGGTGGTGATTTTGCGGACGCGGGAATCCGTCCGAACGAGGTTGTTCTCGTACGGCTTTTGGGACGCGCCCTTTTGCTGTGGCGTCCGTCGTGTCGATGACGGCGCGTCTGCTTGGCTTGCTGGAGAGGCTGTCCCCGTGAAGTTGGAGGGTGTGGAGCCTACTGCCGCCGCTGGAGCCTTGACACCGGGCAGCAGGCTTTGCGTCATAAAGGTGCGGCTGGTGTCAACGCTGCCCAGCTTCGAGCGTATTTCGTCGCAGATGATCTCGATGATTTCGTCTTCATTGAGGAAGTTGACCTCGCGCTTGGTTGGGTGTACGTTGACATCGACACGCTGAGGATCAATCTCCAAGCTCAGATAGACAAAAGGATGGCCGCCTTTAGGAAGAAATGTAGCGTAAGTCTGTTCAACGGCCTTCTTTATAGCCGAGGACTCGACAGACCGATGGTTAATAAAGAGAAGAAGCGTGGTTCTCTTGACACTGTAATTCGCATTGCTAACCCAGGCTTCGGACTTGAAGCCCCAACGATCGTTACTAGCGTGGATTTCAATGAGCTCCTTTGCTACGGCGCTGCCATGGATTTGACGGATACGGTCAACTGTACGGGCGCTAGACGGGACTGAGATGCCCATGGAAGAGTCTCCATGTTTCTTGCATGAGAACGAAACGCCCTCGCAGTGTACACCGTAGCGACCGACAAGGTCTAGAATTTTGGCATATTCTTCGCTGGAAGAACGGAACGCACGCCGTCTCGTAGGGATATTATAGAAAAGATCTTCGACCTGCACTACATGAGCTCTCCGCCGTTTCCAGGGGATGTGCAACATACCGTAATCTGGGTGCCTTGACGGCCAGCGACAGGTTTCGGGTCTGCACTCTGGCCTGGTTTTGGGGGATTAAGTTTGCCATCTGCATAATAAGCGCGCCAAGCACAGCTTGATTCTTTGGTTCGTGTCGTGATACTGAGATGTGCGATATGGCTGATACTTGCTAAGGCTTCGCCGCGAAATCCATACGTGCCGATGGACGTCAAGTCCTCGAAAGTTTTCAATTTCGAGGTTGTGAAACGTTCGCAGAGAATGGGCATGTCTTCCCGCTACACAACCTAGTCAGATCGGGATTTTACTGAGCAAACAGGAATGATTTCAAAAAGAAAAAATTACCTCAATTCCATGTCCGTTGTCCGTTATCTGAAGAAGCTTGAGACCGCCATCCTTGACCAAGATCTCCAGAGCAGTAGATCCTGCGTCGACAGCGTTTTCGATGAGTTCTTTAAGCGCATGCACTGGAGCTACAATGATCTCGCCGGCTGCGATCTTGTTGACAACATCTTGCGAAAGAGCTTGAATACGGCGAGGTGCATTGGCAGCTACCTCAACCTCATCGGCCTTTCTTTTTGTCCCTCGCGCGGGAGAATCGACTTCCATCTCTTCGGCCATTGTGTGCTGAGCTCTTTAATCCCTGAAAAGCGCGCAGTCGGTCTTCTCAAAGGGCCTGCTTGATGTGAGCATCATTATAAAAATTGTCGTCAGTGGAGTGGAGGATAGGTGGAGGTGGCGGCCGTTCAGTCGCGGTCGAGTTGATGGCGCGTCATCGCGCTATCACGTGTAGACTTATCTTTTTTGGGTTAGTGTGCCAAAATGAACCACTTCTTGTTTGGGACGAAACGGTAAATTCTTGGCTTGGTTCGCTCTTGTTTAGACCTAGTTGTATTGGGTGAAAGGGAATGGTGTTGTGTATGCTGTCCGCGTGTGCGACTTTAAGCTAGGGTCAAAATTCACCATGGAAACAGAACATAATGTGTCATGAGCAGGTAGCTCTTAGGCTGTCATTCCTAATCTGAGCTAAAAACCAGTATGGTTTCAATCCTTCGTTGTCGTTCAGAACATCGGTGTATGTATGGTATTGAAGAAGCCCATCAATCAGTCAATCCTTTGCAACGCCGGCATATGCACCTTCCATGATGCTCAAAAACCCTGTACCGTTACGCCTTCGCTCAAATTTCAAAGTGACCGTCGTGAACTAAGCATCCGCAAATCGCCGCTATGCCAGTTGATCGATGCATCTCCAGCACGAAGAGCGTGGCACAACCTAAGGAGCAGGCGCGTTGCCGGGGGCGACAGGAGCACTGTCAACCTGCATAGCAGAGCCATCGTTGTTGTCTTCCTCCGCCTCAGCGTGGTAGTGGTGCTGCTCCGCGCCGGCGGTGGCCTGGCCGTTCGTAGAGGACGCAGAGCCGGCAGCGACAGCGGGAATCGATGCGCCAGGCAAAGTCTGTTGACCGTTGGGGAGGTGACCGCCGTTGGCGTGCTGCTGCGCGTTGTTTGCGAGGGCTTCCTTGCGCGCGCGCTCGGCCTTGGCTTCCTTGAAGGTGACTTGCTTGGGGACGACGTCGGTGAGGAATTCGAGGTTGTCGAGGCGGGAGATGGCGGCCTCTACGCGTACAGGGTTAGCGATGAACTAGCTGAGGGGGAAACATTTGAGAAGGTGTGACGTACGGACGTGCTGGTAGCCCAGAGAACGCTTAGGCTTCTTCTCGGCCTTGGCCATGCGGTGGGCTTGCTCCGTCAGGTAGTAGACGAACTCTTCGGTCGCGACGGCAATGGCAAAGGCGGCATTGGCAGAGCAGGCCTGAATGTCCTCGTCGGCGTTTATGATCTTCTTCACTCTGGCCACTAGTTTTCCCGGGGCTGGTTAGACTCGTGCGATCTCTGCTTTCTAAAAGAGGCACGGGAGCAACTCACGCGGCAGAGACACGGAGCCCGTAGTCTCGGTGGGAGGAGGGATCGGAGTGTTGTTGTAAGGCATGTTGGCAGCTTCGATCGCGGTGTGAGGTGGGTTGCGCGGGAGAGCTTGTCGAGGTGCGGGCGCGCGGGAAAGACGACGGGCGCGGCGCGATCGACGCGTAAATTGCCTAAAGCGGACACGTGCCATGCAAGGTACGTACATGCGACAGCGGCCATGGATGTCCCTCCACGACAAGCTCCCCTCCCTACTTTCCATACCCCCATAACTGCCTAACACCCCTGCCCCGCGCATCGCAGCAGGCAGATGAGGATCTCTGAATTCCTGTTTGTGCGCTCCTCAACAACGATGCCATGACTGCTCGATCGAGCTCCATCCCCACCCTCCGCACTCCCTCGTTCAACGCGACGCGCGGCTCCCTCAGTCGCAGAGTCTCCGCTCTCAGCACCGCCGAGCAGGGCGACGATGCCGCTTCTATCCACACCGACCATGTCGTCCACGAGGAGCTAGCCGAGATCAAGCGCTACGAGGACTTCACCACTATAGACTGGGTGCAGGATGCCGCGCGTGAGCAGCTGCGCCGCAAGGCCCGCCGGCAAGAAAAGGCCGGCTTTTTTGAGCGCGAAGGCGGCGTCGGCTGGCGCAGAAAAGTCTACGACGCCTACGATGCCGGTCAGGCGTGGATTGTCGTCAGCCTGGTCGGCGCCGCTATAGGCCTCAATGCCGCTTTCCTCAGCATTGTGACCGAGTGGCTTTCGGATATCAAGCTTGGATATTGCACCACTGCCTTCTACCTGAATGAACAGTTCTGCTGTTGGGGCGCCGAGGATGGTGGGTGTTGTCAAGAGAGCTTTCGATCCAAACCGCTGATCCCTCCCAGGCTGCCCCGAATGGCACCGTTGGAGCAATTTCTGGCCCGTTAACTACTTCCTCTACATCCTGTTCTCCATCGTGTTCTCCTTCATCGCTGCCAGGCTGGTCAAGTCCTTTGCGCCGTACGCAGCCGGATCTGGAATCTCTGAGATCAAGTGTATCATTGCTGGCTTTGTCATGAAAGGTTTCCTCGGCTTCAAGACCCTGATGATCAAGTCCTTTGCCCTGCCTCTCGCAATTGCCTCTGGCCTGTCGGTCGGCAAAGAAGGACCAAGCGTGCACTATGCTGTGTGTACTGGAAATGTCGTCTCTCGGCTGTTCGAGAAGTACAAGCGGAATGCTAATAAGACGCGTGAAATCTTGAGCGCCAGCGCTGCTGCCGGTGTTGGTGTCGCCTTTGGTAGTCCTATCGGAGGCGTGCTCTTCTCTTTGGAAGAAATGTCAAACCACTTTCCCCTGAAGACTATGTGGAGGAGTTATTTCTGCGCCCTGGTGGCAACTGCTGTGTTGGCCGTAAGTCCTTCTGTGCTGCTGCTCCAGTCTCTGCTGACACGACCAGGCTATGAATCCTTTCAGAACCGGCCAATTGGTCATGTTCCAGGTCAAGTATGATCGCGAGTGGCATTGGTTCGAAAGCTTCTTCTACATCATTATTGGTATTTCGGGTGGCCTTTACGGGGCGTTTGTGATCAAGTGGAATCTGCGCATGCAGGCTTTCCGCAAGAAGTATCTCGCCAAGTACCCTATCACCGAAGCGGTGGTGCTTGCGCTGATCACGGCAATCATTTGCTATCCGAACATGTTCCTTCGGATCGACATGACCGAGAGCATGGAGATCCTCTTCCGCGAATGCGAAGGGGACTATGATTATGATGAGATATGCGAGTAAGTAAAGCACACTGTCGCCCAGCTCGTTCGTACTGACGTTTCGTTAGACGCAAGCATCGATGGACGATGATTTTCTCATTGGCTTTTGTGACTACCATCCGAACAATGTTGGTCATTGTCTCTTACGGGTGCAAGGTGCCTGCCGGTATCTTCGTACCCTCAATGGCCATTGGTGCTTCGTTTGGACGCATGGTCGGGATCCTCGTTCAGGCTCTGCACGATGCCTTCCCCGAGGCAAGTTTCTTTGCGGCGTGCCAGCCGGACGTCCCGTGCATCACGCCGGGCACGTACGCCTTCTTGGGAGCTGCGGGCTTCTTGAGTGGGATCATGCACATCACGGTCTCTGTGGTTGTCATCATGTTTGAGCTCACGGGAGCCCTGACCTACATTCTCCCTACAATGGTGCGTACGGCAAGACATTGGGACCAAGAACATAGCTAACACACAAGCAGATAGTCGTCGGCGTCACGAAAGCCGTCAGCGACCGATTCGGCAAAGGCGGTATTGCGGATCGTGCCATCTGGGCCAACGGGTTTCCCTTCCTTGACAACAAAGAAGACCACACATTCGGCGTGCCTGTTTCGGAAGTCATGACACAAAACACAACTGTGATTCCTGCATCGGGGCTCGACGTGCGTGACGTCGAGAAGATACTCGCCAACAGCTCCTACTCCGGGTACCCGATCGTCGAGCACCGACACACCAAGACGCTGTTGGGCTACATCGGACGCACAGAGTTGCGGTACGCGGTGGAGCGGGCGCGGCGCGACCAGGTAGTCCCCTCAACAGCGAAATGCTTCTTCACGCCCGCGGCAAACCGCACGGCCGCGACGCCGAGCATTCACGGGGCGCCGTCAATTAGCTTTGACAGCATGGCGGCGACTGCGGGACAGATGTCGGTGGACCTCAGCCGGTTCGTGGACCCGACGCCGCTGGCGGTGCATCCGCGGCTGCCGCTCGAGACGGTCATGGAGCTGTTCAAGAAGATGGGGCCGCGGGTGATTCTGGTCGAATATCGAGGAAGATTGACGGGCCTGATCACGGTCAAGGACTGCTTGAAGTATCAATTCAAGGCCGAGGCGGAGGAGAACCCGCGCGATGAGGCGGGCATGGAGGAGAGGGGCGAGCGGCTGTGGAAGGGGATTAGTGGCGTGGCGGCGTGGTTGGGGGCGCACATGCCCTGGGCCGAGAGGGGGAAGCTGAGGCTGAGCGATGTGGGAAGTGCGAGGGGAGCTGGGAGTCCGGTGGCATTGAGGCCGACGAGTAGGGGTGAGGGCGTAGAGGTGGAGCTGCAGGAGCGGTGAGGTGCGACAACTTAGGTTGTAGATGCGTAATGCGTAGGTACATGCAGCAAGGAAGCATGTTGGCCGTGTGACAGGACTGCCCGGGAGAGGCTAGCGCGCGGGGAGGGGACCGGGGCCAGCAGCCGCAGCTCCGGGCAGGGTATAAAAGCCCCCTCGGTAGCCATGTCTCTCCGACAGGAACGTCCCGTCGTCTCCAATTCTTACCGCGGCGCACATCCTCCTGTATGTGCTGTTCGTGGCGGACGGGGTTCCGAGAGTAAATCTACCAGGGCTCTCTGACACAACGACTTGGCAATCTGTGGGCGTTGTGATTCGTTTCACCCTTGACATACTTTTGGATAGAATGTCGTGGTTGCTGGGCGGAATGAGTGGGGTTTCTGGGCGGGAAGTGGTGAGGGATTTGTGGCTACCTTCGGACCTAGCATCAGCTACTTCCTTTTATATGTTGGGTACCTAGTGCCTATCCAGGCTCTTTCCATTGAAGGGCTACCCGTACATGCCTAGCGGGGTGTAATTATTTTGGTAGGCGCGACCGGAGCGCACTCGTGCCCACGCGTCGCGCGAGACGCGGCGCAACGCGGGAAGCGCGCTCTCAATGTCTCAGGTCTTTCCTGCTCTTGCCTCTTACAACCTGCATCCACTGCTTCACTCGTTGTCTTCTGGGTGTTTGCCTGTCTACTTTGTATTCAATCGTTCCTCGCGGCTCACTCGAAACCACGCATACGCCCGCACGCGTCGCCGCAAAGCTCGCCTCATCCAACACCACCACCGCAGTCCACGGCCTCCCACGCCACGTACCCACACCCCCGCGATGGGCAACGACCCTACCGACCCGACCGACTTCCTTGGCACAGCGCTCGCGACGCTCACGCCCTTAGACGCGGCCCTGCGCTGTCAAGTGTGCAAGGACCTGTTTAACACGCCAATGCTGACGGCGTGCGCTCACTCGTTCTGCTCGTTATGCATTCGACGCTGCTACGCGGCTGATGGGCGCTGTCCTACGTGTCGTACCATGGGCCAGGACGCGCATTTGAGAAAAAACGCGGCGCTGGGAGAAGCGGTAGAGGCGTGGAAAAGTGCAAGGACGGGCGTGTTGGGAGTGGGGAAGGGCGCAGGGACAGCCGAGAGGGGTGTTAAGAGGAAGCTAGAAGAGCAGGCTGTGGGTAGGCGAACGAGGAGTAAGGCTAAGAGAATAGTGGCTGAGGAGGAAGACGATGTCATTCAAATTGAGGACTCGGAGGGCGAAGAAGACATTGGAGACAGCGTGGGTGAGGACGACGGCCTAGTCGCGTGCCCAATGTGCAGTCAGCGCATGAAGGAAGCAGCTGTGTTCTCACATCTTGACCACTGCGACGGCCAGGCCAAGAGCACGCCTTCACGGTATGTCTATTTTGCTTTATCAATGAACCCATCTAACTCTGGTCACAGTCACCAACACTCCAGCAGCAACACCTACTCCTCACCAGCGTCCCTCAACCCTCTGACCCGCGCCGCCCGCACCCGCGCCGCAACAGCCAAGCCCCCACCAACACGTCTTCCTCAGCTCAACTACTCCCTCCTCAAAGACTCGGCACTGCGCAAAAAGTTGCAAGAATTAGGCATCCCGACGTGGGGCTCGCGCCAGGCCCTCACACGCCGACATACCGAGTGGGTCGCGCTCTGGAACGCGAACTGCGATGAGCGGCAGCCGCGGTCGAAGCGCGAGTTGCTCGCGGAACTGGATACATGGGAGCGGAGTCAGGGCGGTGGGAGTGGGAGTGCAAGTGGGCATGGGAGCAAGGAGTTCGATAAGCAGGGCTGGGCAAGGAGTAACAGGAGCCAGTTCGACGACCTGATCGCGCAGGCAAGGCGGGGGAGAGCAAAGGCGGTGGCTGCGAGGGATGCAGCGGAAGGGTCGACGGATGAAGCGAATGAGAAAGAGAAAGAGAAAGAGAAAGAGGAGCGCGACGGCGACGGGGACGCAGTGATGGAAGCAGCACCGCCATCCTCCACCATCCCCACAGAAGAAGACGACACAGCCTCAACCACAGCGCCCTACGCAGCCAACGCGTCAGCCATGGCAGCCGTGAGAGCAAAACTAGCAACTGTAGACCGCGGCGCGGATGCGCCTCCTCCCTCTACTTCTAGCTCCAACTCTACCTCACTACCACTGCACGCAGCAGCGCCCGCGCCGGCACAAAGAGCACACGAAGCAACAGCAGAAGAAGACCGAGAAGCCGCGCGCCTTGCTTCACCGCCGCTGGGCCTGTATGCCCATGCGCGAGAGCTGGCGCGGCCGACGGATATGTTTTGCTTGCCTGCTGAGCCGGTGAGCGATGTTGAGGAGGGAGGGGGTGGGTTTTAGGCTTTAGGCTTTAGTGGGGGGTTGGTGGGGTGGGGTGTGGGTTTGGGAGGCGGAGCAGGGAGGAAGGAATGCGGGAGGGGGAGAGTGCATGGACGAAACGAAATGCAGATACGCGCTTGTATGTGGATACTTAACCTACCTTACGTGCCTACCTGAGTACGAATCTATGAACGAAGAAAATGCTGAATGGGTGCATGCCTGGATTGTAAGTGGCGTGGAGAGAGGGAGCGAGCGACGTCTAGGTAGGCCGCGTGCGTGCAAGTCTATCTGTCTTCTGACGTACGTGCTGTCTGTCCTAGCTCGCTAGACCGATAAGTGCTTCAAGAGGATAGAGCTAACTAACTAGTTACGTGGATAAATACTTAAACAAATGAATGGGATCGTACGCCTGCTTTTACACTCACTCGCTCACTCACTCACATGCACTATATTGCTGGATAAGTAGATAGATATACAGACCACCTACCTACCCACCTACCTACAAGCAAGCTAGCAGGTACCGAGGCTAAAACGTACAGTACAGGTATATCGAATGCAGTTGCGCAGTAGTTGGTACGATAGCAAGAGACAAGACACTGAGCTCAGTCTTCCTCCGCCAACTCGGACCGAGAACCAGCGATGCTTGTTGCGTACATACCATAGGTACCTAGGTCGACCACGCCATCCCTCGGCCCCCTTCCATCATCTTCCCCAAGCGTCCAACATAAGTACCGGCGCAGAACCCTCCCTCCCCCATCACCACATCACTACCGACACCAACCCCCTACTTCTTAGCAAAAAACGACATGATGCTGCCCTGTCCCTTCGGCGCAGCCGCGCCCTTCTTCCCCTTCGCTGCCGGCGCGCTCACAGTCTTCAGCTTCTTCGGCTCCGGCTCGTCCTCCGAGAAGGATTCCCACACGGCCTCTTCCCGCGTCACGAGGTAGCCCTCCTCGTCCTTGACCGTCTTTTTCTTCATGAAGCGTCTGCGGCCGCGCCGGCGCCCGCCCGAGACCGTCACTGTCGCTTCTTTCTTGTCGTCTGCTGCGGGTGGGGGCGGAGGTTGGTCGATGGGCGAGGCTTCTTCTTCTTCTTCGGTGGGCTTTTCGACGGCGGGTGCCGGTGCGTCGGCCATGGGCGAGTCGTCTGTTGGGCGTTAGGTTGGGCGGGGTGGAAGGGCGCGGGGGCAGCTTACCGTCGTCCATCATCTTTTCTAGTGCGTCGCGCCTCGCCTTGGCTTCGCTGGCGGCTTTGCTTGCGGCTTCGCTCCTTTGTTTGGTTTTGGTGGTGGGTTCTGTGATCATCAAGTCTTCATCCTCTCCCTCTTCGTCTGAGGCATCTTTCATGGGTTCTGAAGCAGTTAGTATACGCGGAAAAATTGAAGGAGCATGTCAACATACCATCTTCGGCTGCACTAGGCTCGACCTACAGAAAATTAGCTATGAGCATCAACAAGAGCAGGCATTGGCTTACAGATTCCGCAGCAGGCGTCGTCGATTCAGAAACGGTTGGTGTCTTCTTAGGCTTGGCTTTGGCAAACGACTTGAAGATATTCGACCCCTCTCGAGCCAGCGTCGGTGCTTTTGCGTCTGATTTTTTCTTAGGCACTGCAGCATTGTTCGCTTGAGGCGTTGCATCGCGGGAATCCTTCTTCAGGTCTCTGCTTCGCTTCAGTGTGTTCTCCAGCTCCTTCGGCTTCGCCTGGGCTGGGATGCTTGCGCGCGGCGCGCTCTTTGCCGCAGCAGTGGTGGCTGCAGGTGCTGCGCGTTTGCCGCCAGTCCGCCGCTGTACCTCTGTCAGAATGTGGCTGCCACTCATACAAGCATATTTGCTTACCTTCACATGAGGGTTTTGTATTGTGCCATACGTCTTCCAAGCCTCAAGCGGATCTTCGGTAGAATAGTTGGAGACAATTTCCCGATTACAGTCAGAGAGAGCGTGTAGACTCTGCTTGTAGTCAGCACCCTGTTGTTCGATAGGTTCCATGCGAATCGCACCTGTAGAGGACCAGGTTCCAGGCTGTAGATATGTATCGACATAATTTCGGAGTATTTTGCCTTAAGCTCTGTCGCGATCAGCAATCCTCCACAACAATGGCGCGCTTCAATGCCCTACCTTCAAGGTCTTCCTCCTTCACAAGGGTAATCGATGTGGTCTTGATGCTCTGCTCCTCGTCTTGTTCTGGTGCCAAGCTTTGGTATGGACTGCTTTGCATGTGTACATCTTCGTTCGCTCCATGGTTTGTGCCATTTGTGTGCGCTGCGGGCTCTGGGCGTTTGGTGCCGGTAACAAGGTAGGTTGCGTGAATGGACTGTGGTTTTTTCGCGTTCTGTGTGCTGTAGAAATCGGAGAGCATGCTGCGCATATCTGTTAGCTCAATTCACATTGACAAAAGGAAACTCGACTCACTGCTTGGCTAGGTTTACTTGGACCTTCAAGGCCCTGCTGAGCAAGCGGTAGCTGATCTATTTGGGTTGGTTAGCGCTTTGGTGGAGTAGAAACGGATGTGGGTGGGTGAAACCTACAGCTCGGCCATCATGCAGCACATTCGTGGCGAGGTAGTCCCTGTACTTATCCATAGTGGGCAATGTTTGCGGAAGTGAAGTTGTATTGCAGCTTGAGCGCGTTTGTCGCGCCGGCAGTCGCGTAGACGGAAATCACGGACCCCGCGTCATTCCCGGCGCACCCACCACCGCGCCACCTCTCACCTCCGACTCCGCAGCTTCCCCGTCACCAACATCAGCTGGCCATGGACTCTGTTGAAGACGAAGACGTCCGGTTGCAGCGGGCCTCGGCTGGTCTGCTGTCGACCTTGCGTACGTCTCTTGACAAGGTCCTGTGGAAGTCCTCGAAAAACACGGGGCAACGGCAGCTTCATCATGGAGTTAGGCAAAATGATCTGAATCGCCTCATCTCATTGGTAGGTGCAGAGGTCACTGTGCACTCACATGCTACTGACCGCTTGCTTCAAGATCGAACCTTTCCAGGAAGAGCCTCAGCTGCTTGACACTCAGCTTAAGCACGTTGTCCCTGCTCTGGTCTCCGCTTACTTGGAGCATTTGCGCCAGTCATCAAAATTGACCGAACAGGCGAAGACTGTCACCGTCTCACTGGCGATTTGCCGGGTGCTGTATACGCTGTGTAAGGTGCGAGGTGAGAAAGTCATTGTTGGCTTCCTCAACAATGAGCCGCGCTACCTGGAGCCCATGCTCGACCACTTTGGGGTTGGGCTGAAGTCTGAGTCACTAGCCTGGGAAGAAAAGTATGTGGCATTGCTTTGGCTTTCTCACTTGATGCTTGCTCCTTTTGATCTTGAGTCTATCTCTTCCGGCCAGCCATCTGAATCTGCGCAGCAGCGGACCGGTATCGACCTTCCGCAGAATCTGCCTGGAATCGTAAACCGCATTATTCCGATATGTATTGAGCATCTAGACTGCGCAACCAGGGAGCGGACTGCAGCTGCCAGTCTCCTTGTACGCCTTTCCCTGAGGCCAGATATGCGCAAAATTGGACTGCTAGATGCTTTGAGCAAGTGGGCGTTGTCTTTCTTCAGCACTACGAACTCTAAGATCTCAGGTATCCATCGCTGCCTGGGTATCTTGTCATTTCTCAGCGGCCTTGTTGCATCTGCCAACAAGGACGAATTGGGCTCTTTCATTACAGACATCTTCCAATCATGCGAGCGTGTCAACCACCAGGACAGTCTTGTCTTTGTCAGGTCGTCCGCGGTTGCGAGAAAGTTCGTTGTAAAGATCTTCCGCAATATTGTCATTCATTCCATACAATCAGGTTCAGCAGACGATACGTCTGGGCTCCTCGAAGACGTTATCGACTTCTTGCTGCAAACTGTGGGGGATGGGGATACACCAGTAAGATATGCCGCCAGCAAGGCACTGAGCGTGATAACAATGAAACTGGAGCCCGAGATGGGTGTCGAAGTCGTTGAGGCTATACTTGGTTGTCTGAACGAAGACGTACTCTGGGAAGGGTCGTCCAGGAATCTGAACGCGGTAAATCCGCTCCGTTGGCACGGCCTTACCCTCACTCTGTCCCACTTGCTCTATAGGCGAGCACCTTCCATCGACCAGCTACCGGACATCCTAAATGCTTTGTTGTTGGCTCTCCATTTCGAGCAGCGCTCTGCTACTGGTGGCTCCATCGGTACAAACGTGCGGGACGCCGCGTGCTTCGGCATCTGGGCATTATCCAGACGTTATACTACGAAAGAGCTCTCTAAAGTTCAGACGACTTCAATTCGCGCCGCCGGTGGGCATGATCAATCGACTTCTATCCCACAGATTCTGGCTGTTGAATTGTTAGTCACTGCTTGTCTGGACCCAGCTGGAAACATTCGTCGCGGGTCGTCCGCTGCTCTCCAGGAGCTTATTGGGAGACATCCGGACACGGTAGAGCAGGGAATTCCGCTTGTGCAGATTGTTGATTTCCACGCAGTTGGGTTGCGTGACCGTGCAATCAGTGATGTTGGGTATCGGGCCGCCCAACTTAGCCAGATCTACTGGGACCCTCTTTTTGAGGGTCTTCTTGGATGGAGAGGTGTAGCATCACTGGACGCTGTATCGAGGGCTTCTGCCGCGACTGCCATCGGCCGCTTGAGCAGTCTCCAGCCATTCCAGGTCGTCCGGACGATGTTTCAAGAAACTCAATTGAAGCTCGAGAAACTAAATGTTAGGGATGTCGAGGAGCGACATGGCCTTGTGCTCTCTCTTGCATCTCTGGTCAATCAATGCAGTCAACGGTCCCCTGCCCATAACACTGGTTCTCAAGGCTCTTCCGCCGGCACATTGCAATCAGCAGACATTTTGGAAGTCGTTGGGTTATGGAAGCTTTTCGAAGGTCCGCTAGACTTGCAAGAAAGGGCATTCACGTCTCCCGCACTTCGTCCTGAACTCACTGCTCTTGCTGTCTGCACTCTGATTTCCGCTCTTGCAGGGATCAGTAACTGCTTCCAGGAACTTGGCGATGCGAATAATGTGCCGTTTTCTCTTGGAAGTCGTCCGATCGCCTCTCTTGACCTGTGTCTCGGCCGTACCGAGGATTCGGTGCTTCGAACTATCCCCTCGGCTGTCAAACAAATTGCCACTTTGTTGGACCAAGAGGAACGTACCAAAGCATTTAATTCATGGCTATCCCTGCTGAGCCAGACCACTGTTCGCACTGGTCTACGTGGCTCAGGTCAAGTCATGGCGTTGGGTGCGATATATTCAACAATCGATGACGGCGTTGATCGGGCCCGTATCGTCGACATGTTGGCCGCTAGGTGCACAAGTCAAGTCGAAGTGGAAGCGCGAGTTGTGGCACTGCAAAGCCTGCAGCTGATCATCCAAAGCTCGATTTCAGAACAAGACACTACCACTAAAGGTAAGGTAGCAGAAGCACTTCAGACTGCACTCAACGATTATACTATCAACGAGCGCGGAGATGTGGGGTCGTTGGTGCGTCTCGAAGCCCTCAACGCTGTTGACGCCGTATGGCAGACCCGCCTCCTTGAGGGTTTTGACCAGGAGTCACTGCTACATGCCGCCGTGGTTCGTCTTTCGTTGGAAAAGCTAGACAAAGTACGCACTCGAGCTGCCACCGTCTTGCAAAACCATGGGCGCGGCCATTTTGACACGTAAGTAATAGTGTTTGTTTGGAAAACAGCGTACTGACCCCCACAGGACTTCTGAACTCGATACCTCAGGCATTTCGTCCCATCTATATTTCTCCCAGGCATTGAAAGCACTTGATGGCCAAACGCCCCAGCTTCTGCTTCTGGCAGTTATTGAGGGCTACGTCAGCTCTGCTGGTATGGGCTCTGAATCCGTCGTCCAGGCCAGCCGGTTGGCGCTCGCAGAGAAGCTTGTCGGATTGCCAGTAGAAGCAGAGGATAAGTTTTCGCAGTTGAACGTCATCAACGCGCTTTTGGATGTCTTCAAGGCAAACGTCGTCAATGACAGGGTTGTAGTGCCACTGCTGGAGACAGTTGCCTTTCTTCTTGATGCCCATGTCCTCCAGCGGCTCGTCGGCAGCAGCTTCAAGTGAGTAGGAAACTTATAGCGTTTAGTCTTAGTGCTAACCTTTGTCCACAGGTGGCGGAACCTTCTGTCATTAGTGCAAAAGTCGCACTTCAAGTCAAATAACATACAGAAGCTGTGTCTTGCTCTTGATGTCTACCGAGGTCTGGCAGAGATTCCGGCAATCAACCAAGACGTCATTACGAAGCTGTCTAGCATGCTGTTACATCCTTTTCCAATGGTGAGTTTTTCATGGTCTCCATACTCATCGATAGGAAGGGCATCGCTGATAATAAGTAAGATTCGGATCGGGAGTGCTGAGACCCTCTTCGTGATCACGGCGAACGCGGAGCTGAAGCACCTTGACTGGTCCCGATCACCGAAAACGCTCCGCACGATTGTCGATGCGATCAAGGCTAACCAGGCACAAAGTTGAGCGAACGGAATAGAATTGAATCAATTGGTATCTAATCGCCGATTACACTGTACTGAAGAAACTGAGTGATGACGTTGTGAGCGTCAAAGCCATGCTAAATCTATTCTAGTATCAGGGTTTGAAAATGTCATTTACACCGAGCATTCAGGCTGTCTTCGTCGTGCTTCCCTGGGGCGAACCCTTGGGAGTGTTGTCACCAGAGACAGGCTGAGACGTGGACGCAGGCACGCCGTGAGTCGTTTCAATCATGTGGTCGAACATGGACCAGTCACCAATCTGTTCGTCGAAGAACTGGTCCAAATCGAGGCCGACCATCTCAGCCTCCTCGCTGACACGCAGGTGCATGCCAGGGATATATTTGAGACCGAAGAGCAGGATGCACGACACAACGAACGAGTAGGACGAGATGGCGCAGATTTCAGCAAGCTGCTTGCCGACCTGGACGCCGTTGCCATCCATGGCGCCAGGGGCGGTGGAGCCCGCGCCATCGAGCGCCGCAACCCACGACTGGGCAAATATGCCCGCGAGGAAGGAACCAACCATACCGCCAATGCCGTGGAGGCGGAAGACATCGAGACCCTCGTCAATATTGAGCCAGACGTTGAGGTTCTGGACGAGAGCGCAAGCGACGCCGGTGAGGAAGCCGATGAGGGCGGCAATCCAAAGAGAGACGAAGCCAGCGGCGGGGGTGATGCCGACGAGGCCGGCGATGGCGCCAGAGCAGGCGCCGACGACGGAGAATTTGCCCCCGTGCTTGACGTAGTCGACAACGACCCAGCCGAGGACGCCAAACGCGGCGGCGGTGTTGGTGTTGAAGCAGACGAACATGGAGCGCACGCTCGCGTTGAGGGCGCTGCCGCCGTTGAAGCCGAACCAGCCGAACCAGATGAGCACGGTGCCGAGGAAGACGAGCGTCGTGTTATGCGGCTTAGCGTGGGACTTTTCGCCATGATGCCTGCGCTTGCCGAGGACGAAGGCGTAGGCGAGGGCAGACCAGCCCGAGGCGATGTGGACGGGGCCGCCGCCGGCAAAGTCGAGCGAGGGGAGGTTGTAGAGCCAGCCGTTGGGGTTCCAGGTCCAGCAGGCGAGGGGGCAGTAGACGATGGTGGTCCAGAGGAAGGCGAAAACAAGCGAGGGCACGATGCGGCCGCGCTCAAAGGAGCCGCCGATGACTATCTGCACGGTGCAGGCGGCGAAGAGGAGCTGGTAGAAGCAGAAGACGATTTCGGGGAGGTAGGCGCTGCCTGGCGAGGGCGCGACTTGCACGTTTCGAAGCCCGAAGTTGTGCAGGTTCCCGATGAAGGGGCTGGCGCTGCGGCTGTAGGCTAGCGAGTAGCCCCAGAACATCCATTGGAAGGTTACGCTGCGGTGGTGCATACGTTAGCTACGTACGGCGCTGAAGAAAGAGGTGGAAGCGTGTTTAAGGGCACATCACATACACGGATACGACCATCAATGACTGGAAGAGCAGGGCTAGCGACGACTTGCGCCTAGCGAGGCCGCCGTACAGCAGTCCGATGCCCGGGATGATGAGCCAGACGATGCAGGCGCAGAGCATCAGCCAGACATATTGGAACTCGAGGCCGGTGTAGACGGCATTGACGTTGACGGCCGAAGGGTCGCCGCCCTTGGGATGGGAGGGGTCGAATTCAGGCTGTTAGACGGTCAGAAACGGTGGTTGTCCTACGAAGAAGGGGGAAGGGGGGACTCACCGTCGGCGGTATGTCTGCCATGACGGGCACAGGCAATGAACAGAAAGCGAAAAGAAAAGAAAGCAGTCAACCACACAGCGGCGATAGCGAGTCCAAGGCCTGCCTCACTAAGCAGAGACACAACGAAGCCGGACGGACAAAGAAAGAGAGAGAGAGAGAGAGAGCGATATCAATCACTCAAGCCAACAAACAAACAAAACAAGCAGGCAGCGCGCCCGATATATGGCGGACGCCAGACACCCCATCCATCCCTTCCCCACCAGCCCAGCCAGGCAGCCGACCAACTCAAAACCCACTGAATCAATCAAGCAATCAACCGATCAATTGATCCTTCGACGCCGCCGCTGAGCCCAGCCGTCAGCCAGCTGCTCCGCGGTCCCACCTCGCCTCGCCTTGGCGCGTGCTGCTTCCGATAAGGGCGCACCCGCGCGGTAATCCGTGGCTATCGCGCGCGGATCATGGGCTATTGCCTTGCTTGCATATCCAGCGCCAAGCAGCGCGCACCGGCTTGGCGGGCTTACGCTCTACCTACCTAGGTACTGCGTACGCGGCGTGGAGTGCATGCATGCGTGCAACACGGTTGGGGACAAGCTTTCTGGGGAGCATGAGCTGGCGGAGTAAAGTAAGTAAGCAGGCAAGTAAACAAGAGAGAACGAGTGAGCAAACGGGGAAGAGGGAACGGCGATAAGGAACCTTAGAGGTGGGAGGGAGAGGTCAGTGGCGCTGTTGTTGGCGGCCTAGAAGTCACTGAATGACTGACCGACAGCAATGCAAACAAAAATCGGAAAGATAGGCACAAGCCAACCAGCCAGACCAGCCTTAGCTGCGCCTCCGATAAGCAGCGGGAAGATATCCCCCCTCGAGCAAGCAGGCCCGCGACCATACAGAGATACAAACTTATCACCACTATCGGGGCGTGGCGTCGGCACTGGCGCACTGTGGCTGAGATATAGATAAGCTACTGTGCATACATACATACCGGGACCTGCCTTCCCCATTTCCACACCCAACCCGCCCCCGCCTCGGCCCCGCGTCACACTTCCCGAGATAACTACATACCTACTGTCTGCGCCGCGCGCTGACGGCCTGCCGGCTCGACTCGACTCGTCTGCTCTGGTCTGCTCTGGCTACGGAGGCGGAGCCGTGCGCTACCGTCATCATCACTATGTGCTGCCGTCGCTATCGCTTTTCACTCACTAACCATTTTCTCGTTCGCACGCCCGTCCTCCTACGCGTACGCATTGATGCCAAGCTGTGTATTGTGTACCAGATCCATGCCTGGGCATGCGTACCTAGCTAGCGGTGGCCCGGCTGCTGCTGCTGCTGCTATATATAGCCAACCAGCCAGTCATCCAGTCACCCTCACCCACCAGTCAGTCTGACAGGCCAGGCGTACGACAGCAACAACACTTTATTTATTAAACTATACGTGCATGCGCGCGTGCGAGGTGTTTTGTACCGCGGTGGCGTTTGGAGATATGTAGAACGCAAGGGAACGAATAAAACAAGCCCAATTACGAGGAAAAGGATGGCGAATAACAAACAGGTTTCGATCCGCAAACCAACTGCGCCTGTGAAAAAATATCATCTCACCCCCTTTGGTACGCCCTGGCCCTGCGCCTGGAGAAAAGTAAAAAAGAATGAAAGAAAGAAAGGAGAGAAGCACCTGCCGTGCTGCATGACCCTGTTCCGTCCCTTGCCATCCATCCATCCATCTCTCGTCATCATCATCCATCGTCGTCCATCGTCGTTGTTGTCGTCGTCGCTCTCACAGGCTGTGTACTACAACACTCTGTACCTCGCAGCCCACGTGCAGCCACCACCTACAACCGACTCTCGACGCCGCTCCCCGGCCTCTCGCCCGGCCACGTCGCATCCGGCCACACCAGGCGCATCGCCTCCCAGATATGGCCGACATGGACGATCCGCAGGCCCGACTTGACCTCGTCGGGCAAATCCTTGGCGTCCTTCCTGTTCGCCTCGGGCAGCAGCACCATCTCCACGCCCGCCCGCAGCGCCCCGATCAGCTTCTCCTTGATGCCGCCCACGGGGAGCACGCGGCCGCGCAGGCTGACCTCGCCCGTCATCGCCAGTCGCGGCGGCACCGGCTTGCCGGCAAACAGCGAGATCAGCGCGATCGTGTGCGCCAGTCCCGCCGAGGGCCCGTCTTTCGGTATCGCGCCCGACGGGCAGTGCACGTGGATCGAGCGCGCCTTCATGATGTCTTCCCTCGGGTCGCCCGTCAGGCCCAGCTCAAACGCGTGTGCCTTCACCCAGGTCAGCGCCACTTCGACGCTTTCCTTGAGCACGTCGCCCAGCTTGCCCGTTAGCTGCACCCGTCCCGTCCCCGGCATGTCGGCTACTTCAATGAAGAGGATGCTGCCCTGTCCGCCCGTGCTGTAGGCTACCAGGCCCGTCACGACGCCCGGCCGCGAGTGACGCTCGGCGAGCTCTTCAGTGAAAGTCTCGACGCCGAGGATGTTTTCGAGGTCTTCAAGGCGCACCTCTGGCTGGTAGGTTTGTGGCGTGTTGGCGTCCGTGGCTTCGGCGTACTCGACGGCTTTGTACCGGCACACGCTGCCTATCTCGCGCTCCAGGTTACGCACGCCAGACTCGCGTGTGTAGCAGGTAATGATCTTGTCCAAGACATCTTCGGACATTGAGACCTTGTCTGACCCAAGACCATTGGTCATGATTTGCTTTGGCACCAAGTGTTGCGTCGCGATGTGCCGCTTCTCCAAAGTGGTGTAGCCAGTCAGTTGGATCGTCTCCATGCGGTCGAGCAAAGGAGGTGGAATCGTTTCCAAGCTGTTTGCTGTAGCAATGAATAGTACCTTGCTCAGGTCAATAGGAATGTTGATGTAGTGGTCGGTGAAGGTGTGGTTCTGCTCCGGATCCAAGACCTCCAGCATGGCAGCTGACGGATCGCCGTTGTGGTTTGCCATGCCGACCTTGTCAATCTCATCGAGAAGGAAGACTGGGTTAGCAACGCCAACCTTCTTCAATCCGTTGACGACCAGGCCAGGCATGGCAGCCACATAAGTTCTCCTGTGGCCTCTTATCTCGGCTTCATCTCTGACGCCTCCCAGCGATATGCGGTGGAATTTCCGACCAAGGGCTGTTGCCACAGACTTCGCCAAACTGGTCTTGCCAACTCCTGGGGGTCCAACGAGGAGCAATATGGGAGACTTGTCAACCATTCTCTTTCTCTCCATAAGACGCTGCTCTTCTTCGCTGGGCTCATGAGTAGCAGAGTTCTTTGCTGTGTTCGGTTCCCGACGAGCCGCGTCTTTTGCAAGGATCAGCTGCTTGGATGCACCCTCAGCATTCTGGGCTTCCGCTCCGGCTTCCTCTTTGCTACTTGCATCTGTGAGTTGCTTGATTTGAGCGTCAATGTCCGCGTTGACGGACTGCTTGAGCTTCAAGACGGCCAAGTACTCCAGTAGCCGCTTCTTGACCTTTTCCAGGCCGTGGTGATCGTCATCAAGCTGCTTCCTTGCCCTAGACAGGGTCTGGGCATCCAGATGATCTTCAGTGACCTTAGACCAAGGTATCTCCGCCAGGTTCTCCAAATAATTCCTGCACACTTGGTATTCGGCCTGGGCTGGATTCATCTTCTGCAGCCGCTGCAACTCACGCTGCGAGACCTTCTGCGCCTCGGGGCTGAGCTTGGCCTCATCCAACCGCTTCTTCAGCTCCTCTAACTCATTGTCCCCCTCTTGACCGCCGGCACCGGCTCCACCTCCGAAACCTGGAAATGGCGGGAAACCATTCATACCGGCAGGCATCCGCATGTTCGTGGCGTAGCGTCTTTGCAAATTCCCTAGCCTATCCATGTCCGGCATAATCCCAGGCTTTCCGGAACTTATGGTCATTATCCTGTTGTTGCCCTGGATCTTCTGGATCTGGGCCTGTAGGATCTCTACCACACACTCTAGCCTGTTTTTGACATCCACAGCTGCCAGTACTCTAAGTCTGTCCTCATGCGAGCACTGCAGCATATCTGTCATGAAATCCGCTACCGTACCAGCGTCTTCGACGCCTTTCTTCGAGATGTACAGCTCGAGTCGCCGGGCCATAGAAGGCGACAAGGGCATACCGGTGCTACGGGGCATAATGGCGGACATGCGAACCAGGGCAAGGAACTCTCTCGAGACCTGCTTGAAGCCTTCGAAGGCCTGCTGGATCGCAGGGTCTGCGGGGTTGACTGCGACGGGTCTTAGTATTAGTATACCACAGATTCTCGTGTCTTAGAAGAGCGCATGCACATACAATCATCCACCAAGTGCTCCAGCTCAGCCTCAAAGTACGGCCGCTCTTGTATGATCTTGTGGACCTTAAACCTGCTCACGCCATCCACCACCAAGTGCAGCTCGCCCTGCAGGCGGCCCTGCACGGCCGACACTTTGCCCAAGACGCCATATCCAAAGAGGTCGTCCTTTTCCACGAGAACCGGGTCTTTGGCTGTGCCTTTCTGCCGCTCCTTGCTGGCATCGTGGTTGATCAGGCGCTCGCCTTCGCGCGACAGCAGCGGCGAGTTCAGCGGCACGCAGCCGATGGTGACGGGTGCATCGGGTTTCGGCTTGGGCGAGAGGCTGTAGATGTGCGCGAGGAGCGAGGCGATGTCGACGCGGTCGGCGAGGGAGACACGCAGCGTGTAGCCCGGGAGCAGCACCGAGGGCACGGCGAGTGGGATAATGGGAAGCACCTTGGACTTTGGGGTGGCCATCAATGCGGTTGTTCCATAAGGTTGGGAGAAGGTGTGGAGAGGGAGGTGCGAGACTAAGTGCGCAGATGTAGAGTTGGTGCGGAGGTGGCGTTTCTGGGGAAGAGAAGCTGCTCGAAGAAGCTGGGTGAGTGAGCTCTCGACCAACGCCGAGGTTATCGTGATGCCCGCCGCCGCATCACCACCGCACCGGCATCACCTACGCGATACCGGAGCACAGCGTTACACGTCATCACGGTCATCCACGCAGCCAGCTTAGGGAAGATCGTCCATTTGCGAAATGCATTAAATAGGTTAGAAATAATAGATAGGTAGATATCCACCGCAAAACACCCCATGTATCCACCCGTTACGCCACTCACCGACACAGCTACCTACATAAGATCTACAGAGTATATGAATACTACAATACGTACTGCTAGCCCAAACAATATGCAATATTCGACAACAAATAATGCCGCCCAGGGTATCGTGGAGAATCAACAATAGAGACAACGCCCCCTAAAATCCTTCTATCCTCCGCTTGATTTTCTTCTTCGGTCTTCCGCTGAACTGGCCGGGCACCGGTTGCGACGCTGGGAACTTTTGACTCGGCGTGAACTGACTGCTTGCCGGGAACTGGCTACTGCCTGCCGGTCCCACGCTAGCCGGGCCGGGAGAACTCCTAGGATGATGCGACACTAAAGGTGTCATGGCTTGCGACTGGGATTGTGAAGCCAGATGGGCCGCAGTCTCACGACGCTGTCTCCTGAGATGCTTCTCTGCCTTTCTATGCAACTTGGCACGTTCTTTTTGCGACATACCTTCTTCCTCCATGGCGTCGATCTGGCTGGTCGCGGCCTTTGTTGCTTCATAACTATATGAAGCCGGGTCTGTGCCAGGAGCCCAATGCGACAGCAAACGGTTCATCTGGCGGGGAAGCGAAGGAATCTGCCTGTCGAACGTGGTGTATTGGCGAAGACGTGCAAAGGATCCATCGCTTAGGGTGGACATGCCAGAAGAGAACGAAGAACCCGAAACAAGTGAAGGAGTAGCTTCAGGTGTCAGTAGCAACGCGGAGGGCTGAGAGGAGCCATAAGACCCCGATTGAGAACTGGGAATCGAAAAGTATTCTTGGGACGCTCTGCCCTTGTTCTTCCGTGCTGATTTAGACGGAGATACAAAATCGGCGTCCTGGATGAGCGACAAGTCCAGCTCCGGTTCCTGTTGAGGTTCTTGTTGCTGTTCGGGTTGCTGGATCTTGATGCTGGTGCTTGCAAAACACAGCTGGGCAGCAACCTCCCGTGCCAGTTGCGAGTTTGCCAGCCGAACTTTTGGTGGAATTGCCTTGGGAAGAGTTGACAGCCATGACTTAATGACAGTATCGTAGATCTTTAAGAAGGAAGGCTTGCCATCCTCATAATCCGGCAGACCTAGTTGGGAAGCTGATCCAACTTGCTGAAGCAGCAAGGAGGCTTCTTGGCCCTCATGAGTACCAAAAGATCGAAGCAAGTTTGCGAAAGACTCCTCCGTCTCGTCAATATCAGCCACTGCGAGTTCCCCGCCAAAATACTGCCACAGAGTATCGTAATGATGCTCCTCGGGATCCGGAGTAGCCTGCAGTCTATCCGCAGATTCAGCAATGAGCGTAGACACATTTTCCCTCTCGTATTCCTTAGGGTCGTCCAAGAATTCGCAGACTCGAGATTTGTCCACAGTTAAGGAATCATCCGAGCTTGTGTGGGAAACATCAGCCGAGTCGGATCCTTTACGAGGGAATTTTGCTGGCCTCAACCAAGGAGCGACAGTGAGCTCATCATCGCTGTCTATCAAGTCATCCGCGACGATGAAGCTGTCATGTTTCACTCTGGAGGAGCTCTGTTGCATGCTCCTCTTTGTCCAAGAGGGAACCTCGATGGAGGGCTGAGATGCCCAAGGCGAATTTGTAGGATCAGAAGAAGGATCGTAAAGAAAAACGAGCCGCCTGTTCACCTCCAGATTGTTCAACAACATGTAGACGTTATAGAACATGACGCCATGGTCTCGAAATCCGTTGCCAGGTCCAGGGACGCGCGTTCTCGAAGTCTCACCGTAATCCAATAGCTGAAACGAGATGTTCCTCACCAAAGAGTGAGTAGGTTTTTGATCATCTCCAACTGCTGAAAGATACAAAACCGTAGGGTCCGAAGGTGAAAATGGTAAGGATGCTGTCTCAGAATTTTGTGTATATCTGAAAACAGTGACACCATGATCCTCCTGAGATCGTAGGAAAATTACGGTATCTTCGTCTAATTAGCGCAAGTACAAAGGGCTTTTGGAAATAAATTCTTACCTTCGTTGTCGACCATAGCAGATAGTTGCAAGGTGATATCCTCATTGTTACGGAAGTGCCTCCATGAGAGCAGGATCAATGCACCGTGAGCCACTTCATCTTTGTCCTCCTCCAGAGACGGGATCCTGATAACCAACAGATGCGTAGAAGTTAAAAGTAAGACTCTACTACTGTCTTGGGGATCTCTCCTCAAGTCCAGTATCCAGCTGGAGGTCCGCATCAGTCTCAAACTCGAAGCGTCCAATCGAAGTGAGTGGCCCTGAAAATCCACAATCTCGAGCAGCCTCCTGTTGCATACGACAACAGTGTTGACATTGGCTGCCCAAAGGATTCTTCCCCAGCCATCGTATCGAGCTGTGTTGCCTTCTTCACGAAGGTGCCCACTCTTTGTCTGGATCGTTTTAAAGGTAAACCTTTTTTGTTTCGACCCCTCGATATCCCAAACGGCCCATTTGCCTTCCTGGGTTATGGTCGCAAATTGACGTTGGTAATCCGGATTGAAAGTGACATCTGCGTATGTGGGTTCACCAGGACGGAGAACCAAGCTAACCACTGGACTTACTTCAAGTCTAGAAGATGGAAGCTTAGAGTGGGATCCAGGATCCTTGAGCGCAGCAACAGAAACCCGGCGGAACCTTGGCCGAAAGATGTGCACTGATTTTGCCGTACGGACAGCCAAAAACGTACCGCGCTCATCAGGCTGGTTCGCAAAACACAGCTGCTGTATGGGCGCCCCGTTTCCAGACCACCATCCAGTTTCACCAAGCCCTAGGCTGGGCACATTCAACCAGACACTCTTGTCTTCACCCCAGCCCTGTTTCTCGAAGCGCTCTTGGACGAGACGAAGTGACTGTCCAGCGGTACCACCAGGAATGGCTGCAACCCGAATTGTTCCCTTGGAACCCCTGTTGTCTACATCGGCGGCTCTGCCAAAGGCCAGAAGGTCTCCTCGCAGCGCGTCGTACTTGGCCACCACTGCGGTCAGGGTCTCGGAGATTTGCGCGTCGCGCGTCACGAAAGCCTCGGCGGCGCGTAGTTCCGGATTTGCGGCTAGAAGGCGTTTCTTTTGTTCATCGAGCGTGCTCGCATTCCCAACTGTCTCCAAAGGATCCGCGCTAGCCGCTTCTACGCCAGAAGACTCGATGTCGCCCAAGGGCCGGAGAATCCTCCGCCTTCCCGGTTGCCGGTTGAAAAGCCATTGTCTGTTTTCCTGGTCGTATAACGCGTGCCCGACGTGACCATAGTGGAGGTCATCCACCGAGGGATCAGTCATCCGGCTTCAATGTTATGTGGCGCGGCGGATATGCGCATCGGATCCAGATCATGTCGGGGAGAGGGTATGCGCCGCGGACCTGGGGCCATGCATTTGCTCTTTGGAAAGCGGAAATGCCGCGGAGGTCGGGGTCCCGCACGCAACGCCTGCGCAGTAGCGTGTTAGCTAAAGCTGGGTGCTGCTTTTGCTGTGAAGTTTCTCGGATGATGATCTCTCACAACTTTTCTAAATGATCGGCGCGGCCGTCGGCGTTGGTTTCTACCGGCGCTAGGCCCAATGCGGTCACAAAGTAAACATACAGTCTTGCATGACAACAGGATGTCCTCACTCAGACAACACCCTACCTACTTTGCTGTCGTACAGAACCACTGTTCAACACTTGCGCGGGGCTTCATACAATATTACCCTCATCCACCCAAAATCAACACTCCCATGGCCGGCATAGCTTTTGATTCGTCCGTTAGCGCTGTACCGTAGATGCGCCTTGGTCCATTAAATTGTTCATGGTAAATGGCGTTCTTAGAATGAGACAGAGTATGATTTCTACTAGTAGCTGCAAGGAAATGACTTCCTTCTGGAACTTACTGATACGAAAACATCCGCCTGAGAAGTTGATCTTCCTATGATGCTGATGCTTTTGGCATGCCCGGCAAGCTTTCTTTATTTTGAGAGTACCCACGAACCTATATTGATGATTGGGGCAGAAATTTGGATGAGCTTTTCCTTATCACCGAAATCTCTAAGCTCCAGTGCTAGAACTCCCGCCCTGTTCGACGAGGTCAGACAGTGATGAGTAGATTCCCGCGTTGCTTCGGTTTGGCGACAGCAGTGGTCAAGGACAAGACCATATTCCACTGTAGTAGCAGGAAAATGGGTAAGTTCATTCCTCTTTGATCAACAGTGCCCAACGAATTTCAAGGGCCAAAGGCGCAGTTGAAAATGCAAAGAGCAAGAAAACCAAAAGACGAAGGCAGACGACTTCCTCACAGGCCCAGACGAGCTGAGCACAGCAATGAAAAAGGCCTTTTGAAGGTTTGCGTCGACCCGAAACAGTGCAATACGAGTGACACGGTGGCAGCGACTACGAAGCGAAAAGCCCCGAAGCCGCCGCGCAAGGTCCAAAAACTGTTTAATCACGAATGCACCTCCGTAGAGGGCTTCCAGCGATCAAACTGAAAAGGAAAAGATACTGCATTTGATCTCAGCGAAATGGCAAAAGAGAACTGGAGAAAAAAGTTGGAGGGAGGAGGACGTTTATATAGGCTGAGAGAGGGAACGTGCACGAACAAGCGAGTGCGATGAGGTCATTGGTGAAGGTTCTGGAGAGCTCTGGAAGGCTGTGGAAGCTGGGGTGGTGCGTGGAAGGTTCTTTGGGGTGAGTGGACAACAACTTGTGCTACGCACAGTGAAGACTAACATCACAGTATAACCCAGAGAGAGCGAAGTGCTTCTGTCAAGGCTTACGGTTTGTTGTTTTCTTTATCTCCTGTTCCTCCAGCTCGAGCAAAATACTCGGACATAGTCGACCCTAATACCAAATGTTTAGACACCGGAATTAATCCTAAAGGTAAGTATAGACTACACCTCTCACGATTAGCTGTTCGGGGCCAAGTCATTCAGTATTCTTTTGAGGCGGCGATACGTGCAGAAATATCGTCGAAAATTAATTTCACATCCCTCTCAGTGCAACAAAGCTCGTCATTCACTTTTTTCTCTTTTGTCCTTTTTCTACGACCGTTCTTTCTAGTATTGAGGACGTATGCTGGTTTTCGAGCCCGCAATTTCGAGGAAGTGGGGAACCTGGCTGAGCGAGCGCCTATTTACTGTGCCGCACAAAGTGGAGAGCGATTGCTGACTCTACCAACCACCTAGCCAATCATGTTCCAAACCATCAAACCCCAGCCTCTATAACCCCTGTAAAGCGGCTATGGAGATGATACTTTGTGTTTCACCGCTGCAGTTGGAGCCTGAAAATTTCAGAGCTTAGAATTGAAGCGGTTGCTTGCAGCCTACAATCACAGGAAATTCTTGAGATCAAGCCTTTACTTCCCTTGCACGAGCAACATCAGGAAACTTTACATGCGTTTTAGTTCAATGCATCTTGTGGGTAAGGGGATAACCGAGTGGCAGTGTCCCTGCATTTTCATGCTTCAGGCACCTGTTTTTCGGCCTCTGCTAAAAATATCTGATTGGATGACAGGGTTCCATGTCAGCTTCCCACATATTACTAGGCGCCACCATGTCCCCGCACAAGTGTTGATATATAAGCTTCAGGTCCAGCCTGTGCATACGAAATCTTTTTGATAACCCACGGAGCCCAGTGAGTTATACGAGAGCCACTGCTCTTATCTCAGCTCTACAGATTTGATTGCATTCTCAAGACCGAGGAGATGAGTTGGAGATAGTTATTTTGTAAGTTTTATTAACCGTCTTGATACTGAACCATGATAATGATTTAGGCGCTCATACAGTAATTCAGTCCACAACAGTTTCTTCGCCTATATGGAGACATTGAGTAGCACAAATGTCCAACGCCACAATCGCTGCAATGGAAATCGCTGGATGGACCTCCGGACCAGACGGCAGAGGCACATTCGACATTATTTGGAACAGCATAATTACTATTTTTCTCTGTAGTTGGACTGTGCTTTGCCTCAACTTACCACCTGAGCACTTCAACGAGTGGTTATGGGCGAGACAAAAGCTCCTTATGACTTGCCTCGTTATCGTCGGACCCGAATTCCTCCTTCAGATATCCCTCGGGCAATGGTTATCAGCTTGTCGCTCAGTCAAGCAATTCCAGGACTTGGGTCATCGTGACTGGACGATGAAACATGCCTTTCTTGCTGATATGGGTGGCTACGTGCTGGATTCCCCCGAGGAAATCGTACAATTCCCACTGACCGCCAAGCAAGTGCAATATCTGGTAGAACGGCGCTATCTACAACCTGGAGATGTGGTCGTGAAGCAAAAGCTCATCACGGATCGGAACAAAGGCGATGGAATGACCAGACTCATTACAGTCTGCCAGATTTCCTGGTTTTCCCTCAACTGCGTCGGGAGGTTATCTCAGCGCCTTGCTATAACTACATTGGAGCTCACGGCTCTTGCAAACATATTCTGCACACTTGCCACCTATTTTTTCTGGAGACATAAGCCACTGGATGTCAAGACAGCCATTCCTCTAAGACCAAACACGGCGCTGCGTCTCATCCTCAGCAATGCCGTCGCAGCAGGAGAATATGACGGAAAGCCATACAAGCGATCACCACTCGAGTTCGTGGAACTATCGGATCCCCCGACATCTTGGGACCTGTACTGGACATACGGAATGGGGTTTTTACGAAGTATACACGTTGAGCCTCCTAGAAGTAAAAGACGACCGGTCGAAAAAATCTCTGACGATAGCTTCTTCACTCTTTCCGCCCCTTTGTCGCTCCTTTTGTTCTTCTTTCAGCTCAGTTTCGCTGCTATCGACCTCGCTGGCTGGAACCTTTTCTTCCCAACATCCATAGAGAGAACACTATGGCACGCAGCAAGCACGACGATCATCGTGTGCGTAGTTCTCTACTGGATAGTCGATCTCTACGTGTGGCAACTCCTGCCCAGCATATACGAATGGTCACCGAACTTTCTTCGATATAAACGGCACTTGAAGCAGAGTATCCAGCAACATGTTCCTTCAATCTATCGCACCTGTCATGCGACGGCTGTTCGATTACGCAACAACACGCTTGACCACGATCCTAGATTCGACACACCGCTCAAAGCAGCCATCCCTATTGGCGTGTTTTGTGCTTTTTACTGCTCTGCTCGTGCGTTTGTGCTAGTGGAGAGCTTCGTCAGTCTGCGCCTGCTCCCTAAATCTGCGTACGAGACGGTGCAATGGACGCTTTTTATCCCTCACTTCTAGAATTATGAATATTGAAGACGATTTTCGGGTACAGTTTCCAGTTTATACATACTGTAAACGTCTTAACTGGATTTCTTTTTCCACTCCGTACAAACGTCATTGTCCCGCTAGGCGAGAGAGATGTCAAGCTGTTTAGCCATTAGCGCTATTCTCATAGCATAGTCTCTGTCGTATCTTCGAAAATGTGCTATAAAATCCGCTCTATAACGAATAACTCCCCGTAGCCAACAAACTGCTCTACCGCCGACTAAGATCCCAAATCTCTCCGGGACCGTCAGACCAACACAATCGTCCAAGCAAGTGCACCCGCCCTACGACAAATGCCCCTTCATCCCACTCCTACCTGCCACTACTGCTGTAGTACTCCGGCGCATACTCCAGCAGCCAGGCCTTCTCAATCTTCGTAACGTCCCTAATAAACGTCTTATTCCCCGTCTCCATGATCTCATGAAAGATGACCCAATCGGCCTTGCGATTCTGTCACACTCCGTCAGCTTCACACAACCCACCACACAGAGGACATAAAACATACAAACATCAGCGAGCTCGGATGAGCATGTAACACCAACCCGCCATCCACCGTCCTAAACGTGCCATCCGGCTGCATGCGCGCCGCGTGCGCAAAAAACCCCGTCGTCAAGCTCCGCCGGATCTGCTCGGGCTTGTCGACGCCACCGGCGCGCAGCACGTCGGGCGCGGAAAGGCTTTCCTCGACGTTGATGCCGAAGCGCTCGAGGTAGCGCCGCAGCTGGTTGCGGATGCTGACGGCGCGCGCCAGCGACTTGAAGTTGAGGTAGTTGTCGCGGCACCACTTGGCGTCTTTCTTGCCTTTGGTCACGAAGGCTTGGTACACGTTGAGCAGCGTCAAGTGGTCACCTTCTTCGACGGCAAATTTGCGCCGCGCGCCTTCTTGCAGCTTTTTCTGCCCTTCGTGCGAGAACCATACGTTGCCTTGCAGGCTTGTCATCGCGGCTATGGTTAGGATCTCGCTGAGGCAGCCAAATTTCTGCGCCGAGAGAAGGACTTTGCCCATCATTGGCTCCACGGCTAGCTCTGCCATCCGGGTTCCGAGTGGCTTGGTCAGTTTTGCATAGTCGTCGAGTGCGCCGAGAGAGTAGAGCAGTTCTAAAGCTCGAATCATCAACTCCGCCGGCGGAGGCGTAAGAAAGTCGAAACGAGCTACGTTGTCGATGCCCAACGCCTTGAGCTGCAGAATCGTTGGAGCCAGATTCGATCGCTGGATCTCTGGGACGGTGGCTTCTGGTAGGCTTTCGAAGGCTTGCTCGGTATAAAGTCGATAGCATTTTCCAGGCTTGGTACGGCCAGCGCGTCCAGCCCGTTGAGTGGCAGAGGCTTTCGAGACTGGCGTCGCTGTAAGAGTCTCGATTCCTGTAGTTGGGTTGTAGGCACGGAGTTTAACAAATCCGCAATCAATTACATAGATGATGCCATCAATTGTGACAGAAGCTTCGGCGATGTTCGTAGCAATGATGACCTTTCGGGTATTCTCGGGCGCTGGCTCGAAGACATACATTTGCTGTTCCGTTGAAAGACCAGCATAAAGCGGGAGTGGCTGAAGCGTTGGTGCTTTTGGGTGTAAGCTTCCCATGCGGTCAGCGATCATCTCTATGCATGTGTCTATCTCTTCTCGTCCTGTGAGGAAGATGAGAATATCGCCTTCGGGCTCCTTTGTGTGGATGTCGAAGACGGTCTTTACCGCCCTCTCGACATAGTCTTCAGCCGGTTCTTCAAGGTAATGGATATCCACAGGATACATCCTTCCTTCAAGGCTGATGATTCTCCCGATGTCGCCGCCTAGCTCATCGGTGCCATTGCCCTGCTCCGACGAATCACCAGCGAAGAATCTAAGAAAATCTTCGGCCTGGAGCGTAGCACTACTGATCACGATGCGCAAATCCGATCGTTTCTTACGGATTTTCTTCAAAAGCCCAAGGAGAACGTCGGAGCTCAGGGAGCGCTCATGTGCCTCATCAACCATAATCACCGAGTAGCGGGAGAGCAGAGGGTCTACCAATGCCTCTCTCAGCAACAGACCGTCAGTCAAGAATTTGATGCGCGTTTTCGAAGAGGTGACATCTTCGAATCTGATGGAGTAGCCGACCTCCTGGCCGAGGAGGCATCTCATTTCCTCGGCCACTCTAGCTGCCACGGTCGTAGCGGCCACCCTCCGAGGCTGTGCGCCGGGTCAATGAAGTCAATCAATGTTACCACGGGGAGGCTGACTGACCCACCTGCGTGACGGCAATCACTTTGGCGTCGGAGCACCATCCTGCCTGATCGAGAAACTGAGGGATTTGGGTGGTCTTGCCGCTTCCGGTGTGGCCGACGACGATGGTGACGGGGTAGGTCTCAATGAGATAAAGAAGGCTGTCGCGGTGACGGGCGATGGGCAGCAGGCCGGCGGGTTTGTAAAGCGAGGGCACGAAAGAGCTGGAGTCCAAGTCAAGGTCGGCGGCCATTTTGACTGAACCGATTGATGTCTTGGGACTTCTTCGTTGGTGATCTGCCGCAAATGGGCGATCGTGCGCTAGGCGACTTGGAGGCTTGTCGTCATTAGGCATACGCGCACCTGCTCCGCCGCTTGGCCGCCGACTCGAGCTTCCTTCGTCGCAGTCTCCCCATTCCACATTCCACGCCCTTCTACTCTCACTCCCCCTTTCACCTAGTTTCCACCACCGAATTAAACGCGCAACGGTTCACCACTAGTGCCGCAGCCATCTCATCCCCTACACCACACTATGTCCGAGAAGCCGAGAACCGTCGAGGTAAGAAGGGAGCACCCCACTCGGCCCGCATGTTGGCGCCATAGGCTGACCTAGGAAAGGCTCTGGCTGCCGAAAACGACATGGGCGTAGAGTCGCCCACGACAGCTCGCGAACTCGATTTTGACGACGACCAGACTGATGCCGCAGGCGCCTCCTTGAAGTCGCCCCCGCCCAAGAAAGTCAGCTTCCAAGAGGACGAGGGTCCCACGCCCCCGCCCAAGCCTCCGCGACCAATGAGTCCCCAAGCGCAAGCCGAGGTCACCCTCATCGAGGCCTTCCCGGACATAGACCCCAAGGTCGTCAAGGCCGTCTTGGTCGCCAGCAACGGCAAGGTCGAGCCCGCTTTCAACGCTCTGCTGAGTATGTTTCTCTACCCCGCCATGGGTGGGCTCAATTGACCTCGTTCAGGCATGTCCGACCCGAACTTTAGAGCAGAGGAAACCCCGCCCCCGCAACCTCCTCGCCCGACCGCGGCGCAGAGCCAGTTGGAATCCGACGAGCAGTACGCGCGTCAGCTCGCCGCACACTACAATAACGCTGGTATCCCTCGCGCACCGGGTGACCCGTCGAGGCAGCGCCAGCCGAGGGATCCGAGGGATCCGAGGGGAGATGAGGACGACAAGGAATACAGCTTCTTTGACGGTAAGTGCAAACTATATTTGCCACGGAAGCATCGAACTGACTTTGCGCAGATGATCTCCCAGTCATCCGCGAGAACGTGCGCAAGGGATTCCTCGAGACGCAGACGAAGGTCAACAAATGGATAACCGACTTCAAGAAGAAGCTTGATGGCGAGGAGGAGGACGAGGACTACCGCCCGGGTTCCTCCACCCAGCGCCAGAACTTTGGCCCCTCCCAATCGGACCAGCTCTATGGCATTCGCAAGAGCGCCGAGAGCAATCGCAGGAGCGCAGACCGTGAGCGTTATGATGCGGACCCGCGCGTCTTGAGCGACGACTTTAGCGCGCTCGAGCTTAGGGACAACGAGGGTAAACGTGACCACCAATTCAAGCACTGCGCAGCAGAAAGGCTAACCTGCCATCGCAGCGCCTCCCCCGCAGCCTCGCCGCCCTCAAGCCAACCCGGACCTCTTCAAGCCCACGGCGGAGCCGCCGCAATCCGGCCCAGTCGATGAAGTCGATGCCCTGTACCGCCAGCAGCCGCCTAACCGGCAGCCGTCGCCCGGTGCGAACAAGACGAAGAAGTGGCAGCCGCTGACGTCGATCGCGCCGAACCCGGAGGCGGACGACCATGACCCGTTCAGTCTTGGCGACAGCGACGACGAGCAGGATCCCAAGACCAAGGATGTCAAGGCGGAGGACACGGAGCGGCTGAAGCGCGCAGCGTCGGTGTCGTCGGAGAGCAACAAGGACAAGGACGGCAACAAGGAGGGGGCGAGCAACACGGTCAGGCCGGCGGAACGGAGCGGCAGCGTGGGTCAAAAGGACAAGGATGCCGAGGAGTTGCTGAGCGGGAAGAAAGAAACGAGCTCATAAGGGAGGGGGTTAATTGATACCAGACAGCCATGATTGAGGGGCTGAGGGGTTTCTTCTGAGCTTGCTCAAGGCTGCCGGATTACTTCCTAGGCAATTGGATTTCTGCACTCTTTTTGTGTAATGTGTACTCAATTACTTTTCGCTACTGATGCCTATATGATGGTGAACAGCTCGGATTAGGTGCCTAGGTACTTATCAGGCAGACATTTCGTCAGCAGGCCGTTCAAATCCCATCCCATGGAACAACACTAACACAGGCACGAATATATATATATATATATATGCACGACGTGCCGTAGACGACCATCAACACAATCCAGTCATATATCCATAAGCATGGAAGTATCAAACGCCTTTGCACACATCCGTCCTCGATTTGTATCTCAGCCACCAAACCCCCGCCAGGCCGCGACCCGCCGGAGCTAACCCGGAGTTATCAAATAGAACAGGCAGGAAGGACCTTCCCGTCACGGCTTAGTCTAGCGGCGTTGTTTACGACGTGCTCCCCGCAGTAATCTGTAACTAGTTCACTAACAAAGGCAGACGCAAGGACGGATGGGGCAGGCGTCGGCGAGACGGGGCGGGTGCCGAGTCGGTTGGGTTAGGGTAGGTAAATGCGTTGGTGGCGGGGATGGGATGGATGGGGGGTTTCTTGTTTCTTGGTTCTTGGTTCTTCTTTTCTTTCAAATCATTTCTACATGGTTTCTGAGGTCTGGTTGACTGTTTGGTTGGTTTTCTTCTGGGGCTTGTTCGCGCTGAGAGCGCTCTTGTTGTGACTGAAAGAGATACGGAGAGATATCTATCTATCCAGACAGGACAGAGTGGACGTCTTTTCTATCTACTTACGCGTCTTGCTCTACACATACCTACATATCTACCATTTCCCCCATTCCTCACACGACCACACCACCACACAACCAAAATGCCCTCCCCCTTTCCTTCCCCCCATCCCCTCCTCCCCTTCCTCCTCCTCATAAGCACACTCCCCTCCCTCCCGCACGCACGAGAACTCACCTTCCCGGCTCTGCTGCCCCAGCACCAGCACCAGTTCCCCCAATCCCTCCAACAACAACAACCCTACGCAGCCTTCGGCAATGGAGGGCAGCAGCAGCCACCATTCCAGTTCCCACACCACGCCTTCGCGGGCCTGGCCACCTTCGCAAACACGGCGTACGTGGACTGTCTTGCCGGCGGTGGGGGTGGGGGTGGGGGTGACGAGGGGAAAGAGGTCGAGATCGAGGGGTTTGATATCGCGTTCCTAGGCGCTGGGTTCGATACCGTGCGTCCCCGTTCCCTTTCCCATTCCCTTTCCTGCTCTCTTGTGCTCTGTTCTAGGTACTATCTCGACTTTTCCGTCCTCGGGCCCAGGTTTGGGCGAAGACTGCGAGCGGTTGTGGTTGTGGTTGGGCTTCTATGTGGTGGCAGTGGTCGAGAAAACGGAGGAAGCGGCATACGAGGGACGGAGGAACGGTGTTCACGCAGAACTGACATTCTGGTGTCTTTCCTTAGGGCGTCACGGCCAGGCCTGGCGCGCGGTATGGGCCGAGAGGCATACGCTGGGGCTCGAGCCGGATGCAGCCGGATGGGTATAGTATCTATACGGGTGAGTGGGTCTCTGTTTGTTTGTCTGCTCTCTGTTTTCCTCTATTCGGAATACTCTGCTCTGCTCTGCGCTATTAGCCTCCGGCTCCTACGAGTATGAGCGGCAGCAGCAGCAGCAGTCCGGCACACTGAAAAACAAAGCCCCACGCATCAGCGCCAGGAGCTACCTAGGTACCTACCAGTCTATGAGCCAGCAGCAGCAAACAGACGCACGAATTGATGCCCAGTCCTAGATCCACGCGCCCCTCTCCCTCAAACCCACCCGCCCACACACACAAAAGCACACAAACCCGCCCCCAACCGCCCCCAGCCGCAGCCAACAACCACCCGTCGCACCCGCGGCACAACCCGCGGCAAGTCCCAGCAGCAGGTAGCGCAACCGATGCTGACATGGCGGGCACTCACAGGCAAGAACTCTTACGGCAGCTGGGCCAAGGTCGTCGACTGCGGCGACGCGCCGCTGACGTTTCTGGTAAGTGACGTTGGGCTGTGAGAAGACGATGAAAAAGGGAAGAAGAGGGGGAATGGTGAGTGGTAGGTGTGTGAGTGGAGCGGTTGCTGAGACTTGTGTGTGCTGTGCAGGATAACACGGTTGCGCTGAAGCAGCTCGATTGGGCACATAAAGTGAGTGAGTGAGCACGTACGCACGCACGCTCGCTGCGTTTGAGACGATGTTGGTTGGTGTGGGTGCGACAGCGCCGCGAGAGCACGCAACCTACCGCTCCCTTTTGCATTTGCCTCAAGGACAATACGATATTGAGAGCCGGTTTAACGATGAGGCAGGTGGTTGCGAGCCGGACGACCAACTCGAGCGTCTACACGACGCCGCGAATCATCACCCTCGGCGGCGACCATACCACCACGCTGTCAGCGCTGCGGTCGACACGCGAGAAGTGGGGGCCCGTCAGTGTCATCCACTTTGACAGCCATATAGGTGAGTCCTCTATAGCCGCCGTTTTGGGCCAGAGAGGTTCGGTTTGGTTGCTGAGCGAGGGACCGTGTTTCGCAGATACTTGGGATCCGGAAGTGCTTGGTAAGTCGACTGCTGTATGACCTCGTGTCCTTACTCAGACGGGTACTGATGGATGGCTTAGGCGGCGGGATATCCCACTACGCGTACGCGACGATTCCCTCTTTGGCGCGAGAGCGCAGCGCATGCACATATACTGACGAGGACGACTGCAGCGGCGTGAACCACGGAACCTTTCTTCACATTGCGCATGAAGAAGGCCTGATCCGGAACACGTCGATCCATGCGGGCATTCGCGCGCCCGTCACGCGCCGCAAGGGCGACGTGCGCAATGACATCAGATGCGGCTTCGACATGATCAAGGCCAGAGAGCTCGATCGGATCGGCATCGATGGCGTTATCGAGCGCCTGAAGAAGAGGGTCGCCGGATCTAGGGTGTATATCAGCGTGGATATAGACGTGCTAGACCCAGCTTTTGCGCCGGGTAAGTGCCAGTCCTTTCTTTGCCACACCGAGCCTGCAGGTCTGCAGGCCGTTGTTGTGGCACGGCGGCGCAAGCGGCCCGATGCAGCTTCACTGCTGCTGCTGCTGCTGCTGCTGCGCAAATCGAGCTCCTGCAGCCGCCAGGGCCAAATCGGATGATCGGGGTGCTGACCTTGTCACCTTGTCCACGCACAGCTACCGGCACTGCCGAACCCGGTGGGTGGTCGACCCGCGAGCTGCTGAGCATCATCGACGGCCTGACGGATCTGGACGTCGTCGGCGCAGACGTTGGTCAGTTTCACACCTCCCTCTCCTTCCTCCTCCTTTTTGTGGCCCCTAGCCGCCCCCTACGAGCTCTTCTTCGAAGCTTAGGCGGTTAGGATTCGCCGCAAGTGCGCCAACAACAACCACTGCGTGCTAACACGCCTGGCAGTCGAGGTTGCGCCGATTTACGATAACCCGGGCGAGACGACAGTCTTGGCGGCGGCGCAGGTGGCTGATTCGCTGCTGGCGCTCATGGTGCAGAGGCCTGTCAAGAGCTAGCTACGCCATGTAGGCTGCGGTGCGCGGGTGGGACAAGAAGGCGGCGAAATGCGCCTTGTCTGTGCGAGGACAGCGTGTTTTGTGAGAGTGTGGTTGCGGGCGGGTGGCGGCGGCTGCTCGACGTCGAGTCCATAGTTAGTTAGGCGGTGCTCCGTTACTCGGGATCGCATAGATTCAGCTGCATTGCCGTACACTTCGGCACAGACTTCTTCAGGGAAGTGAATGGCGTGTGCTGGCGGGTGTGATGCAATGTCCAATGTACCCCTTTGAATGCGAGTCGTATAGATTGGTGAGGGTGTTATTTGAATCTTGGCCAATGACAGAGCGTCAGATGTTGATGAACAAGAACTTGGTGGTGGTGGAAGAAGAACGGGCCAGCAGCGGGCACAGCGGGTAGAGCCGCAGCCAATGAGGCAACGGCAACGCGCAACCCCGCCACGGCCCCTGGCGTCATCAGCAATCTCATCCGTCGTCCCGCACCTCCGCCTGCGCAAACAACCTAGCAAACAATTCAGCAAACAACCCAGCAAGCAAGCAAACAAACAAACAAAAGCAAAAAAACAAAAAAACACAAAAAGCACATAATCCAACCATGGACGTCAAGCGCGACGCCAACCACGTCGAGGAGCCCAAGCGCTTCGAGCCCAAACAGCCCGTCCAGCTCGACCCGCCCAAGGACGACATCATCTCCCTGGACTATCTCGCCAAGTGCGACGGTGCGTACAATGCTTGGCCCTAGGTAGCTACCGTGCCTGGCTCCTAATCATCCCTCCCGCGCAGGCTCCAACGAGGAGTACCCCACGCTGGTTGCTATCAAGGTGGGTTACTTCCTTTGTCTCTCTTAGTTTGCCGACGGACGGATGGATGGATGGAAGGATGCACGGTTGGGATGCGTCGGTGGTTGACTATTGTGTGTGTGTACTTAGGGCACCGTTTTCGACGTCTCGAAGAACGAAGCATACGGCCCGAAGGGGCAGTACAAAGGTGAGTAGCAGTAGCAGCCGATGGTGTTTCTTTCTCTTTCCTTTGCACCCTTTCGTACCCTTTTCGCGATGCACCCGCAGGAACACAGCACAGTACCGCACATCACATCACAGCGGGTGGTGTTCGGTTCGCCAGGCAGGCAGCCAGCTAGCAATCTCTCTCCCCGTCTCTCTCTCTCCCTCCTTCTCATTCTCTTCTCCTCTCTCTCAATCTCCCACTCCCAATCTCCCACTCCCAATCTCCCACTCCCAATCTCCCATCACAGACCAACTAATCAACGATTAACGCCTCCTCCACACAGTCTTCGCAGGCAAAGACGCCTCGCGCGCACTCGCGCAGTCATCGCTGAAACCCGAGGACTGCCGTCCCGAGTGGGAGGACCTGCCCGACAAGGAAAAGGGCGTGCTGAACGACTGGTTCACCTTCTTCAGCAAGCGGTACAACGTCGTGGGCAAGGTGCAGGCGGGTGCGAATCTGTGAGCTGTGTCCTGGGCTGCGTGCTGAGAGCTGCGTATTGAGAGCTACGTATCGAGTTACCGAGAAATGAGATGAGAAGGATCAACTGTGCGTGTACTGGGCTCTGTTTCGTTTCGTTCTGTTCGACTTTGACCCGAGGACGAGAGAGAGAGGAAGAGACGAGAGCTTGCAGCCGTGTTTGTGGTTGTGTGCTTTTGTGGCGTGTACAGTAGGTGGGGCTGGTGCGTGAGTGAGTCCAGTCCCAGTACGAGAATGCATACCTGGATTGGTACCCATGGAAACGAGCTCCCTCTCTCCCTCCACCCACCTCTTCCTCTCTTTCCTCCTTCTCTCCCCTTCCCGTGGAGACATCTCCGGCTTACCTCCCAACGCAAGCGCGCAAGCAAGCACCTCCCTAGCGACGGAACGCAGCCTCCCGCGCGGAAGCACGACCCTGCATGCCGCCGTTCCAAAGTTAGTGCCTGCCTATCTGCGTTTCGCTTCCTGCCTGACTGCCGCTAGCTAGCTCCTTTTTTTCTTCTCTTTTTCTGTCTTTGTTCTTGCTTCTTGCGCTGGTTGCTGTGGATCAGGACGTAGATCTTCAAGCGACTATGACGGTGGGTCGTGTTGTTTGCGTTTGTGCAGATGCGCTGCGATGTGAGATGAGGTGAGGTGCTGTGGTGCGTGCGTGGGCGTGGGGCGGCGCTTGCTGCTGCTGCTGCTGCTGCTGCTGCTGCTGCTGTTGTGCGACGTGTGTGTGCTGTGTTTGTGCCGGGGGCGTGGGTTTGATGTTTGATGTCTGATGCTTGATGCTTGATGCTTGATGCTTGATGCTTGATGTTTGTTGAAGAGTGGTAGTGGGTGTAGGTGTAGGTAAGTGGGTGGGGGTTTGGGGCCTTTGTGTGTTTGGGGGAGGATGTTGGAGATGGGGATGGAGATGGGGTTTTTGGGGTTGTGGATGCGATGGCGCTGTGTGCAGTGGATAGGTAGATAGGTACTTCCTGACACTTTCACTTACTCTCTTTTTACTTGAATGAGCATGCATGTACTTTAGGTACTGTACATACAATCCAATCTTCACTAAAACAACACGGTACAGAAAATCACAGCAAGCGATTAAACCGCGAATGTTTTCCAAAAAGCACTATCTAAGTGACTAGAGCAAATAACCTCACGCTTGAGCCATAACTACCTACACATCTTAGCAAAAGCAAAACTTTTAAGCTACGCTACAGAGAGCCAGAGTCGGCCGTCAAGCCACGCATCCTCCTCACAAGTCAGTCAGTCAGCCAGCCAGTCAAGTCAAGCTCATCCACCACGCTCGCCACCAAACCAAACCACGCAATCCAACCAAAAGCAAACCAAACCAAACCAAACCAAAGCCAATCACAACATACCTCAGCCAGCGCGACGACGAAGAAAGCATTCCTCCCCAAATTTGTCCCGCCCGATGGTGTTGGTGCCGCTACTGCTGCTACCACAGACAGCCGCTGATGCCGATACTGATGCCGTTGCCGCTGCTATCGCTCGAGGTAGCCACACCTTGTGCTGTATTTTGCGCTGCTGAACGAATGCTGCTGCTGGCCGCCTTGAGTAACAATCGAGAGCGAGAGCGAGAGAGAGAGAGAAAGACAGAGGGAAGGAGATCAGACAGAAGCCACCACCGTCGCCGCTAGGTATCGCTATCGCTATCGTGACGAGTGCAGTGTACATAGGTAGGTATCCTCCGCAACAAAAAGGAAAAGATAGACGCAGTACTAGTGCCAGAAACGGGAAGAAGAGGAGCGAGGGAAGGGAGAGAAAACATGCTGAGCCACACCAATATCGCAGAGAACCACAGATCCACACACAGCTAGGTAGCCGACGAAAAGAGATCAGAACACCACACAACACAGCACACGCACCCACCTACGCACTCAAAAGCAGCCTAGCCCAATTCAAACCACAATCAATCAACCAACCAACAAAAGCAAAAGCAAAAGCACAACAAAAGGCCGCTCGCCCACTCACTCACTTAGAGCAAGCAAACAAGCACACAAGCAACAAAGCAGCAAGCAGCGCGTCGCAATCAATACTTCTGCAGCCCATGGGCCGACGCGTCGACCCTGCCCGCGGGCACGCGCAGCGGCAGGCCCGCCGCCACGCACGCCGGGCAGTTCTCGTACGGCTGGCGCCACTCGCGCTTGATGCTCCACGCGCCAAAGCACTGGTGGTTGGGGTCGTTGCGCGCAAAGTGGCAGTGCTTGATCAGGCGGCGCGAGACGTGCGCGCAGTGGTAGTGGATCGCTTCGTATTGGCACATTTTTTTCGTTGTATGTGCGCTTTGTGCTATGTGCTATGTGCTATGCTGCTGGTGTTGGTGTTGGTGGTGATGCTTGCGCTAGGGATGGCGGAGGTTGGTGCCGTGCCGTGCGCGTCTGGGACGTGTGTTAGTGCTTGCTGATGGTGTGAGGGGGATGTGTGGTGATGTTGCTAGTGTGAGCGAGGGAGGGGTAGGGTGTGGCGAGGCTGTGTGGGGAGGAGGGTGCGTGGCGAGGGGGATGACGTTGGATGTGTGCTGCGAAGCCTGGCCACGCGTGGCCGTGAGGGCGTACCGTTTACGTATGTGTGTTAGGCGGTGGCTTGACGGATGTGCTGGGCTGAGAGCGGGTTTGCGAGTTTTGCTGACGTGGGGAAGCGTGGGGCGTTTATGGTAGTGGTAGTTGGTGGTGGGTGGTGGTGCCGTCGTGGGGGTCAAGTCAACCAAGTCAAACGTCAAGGGTCGAGTATAAGTATAAAGTGCTGCCGCTGCTGATATACACGTTGGTGTTTGGAAAGTCTTGTGTACACTGTATACTTTTGAGGTTGAGGATTTTTGGCCGCCAGGCTCACTGACACACATGCTCTTTATACACCATGAGGCCCAAGCCTGGCCTTGATGCTCGCAGTCCCGATTTCTTTCAACTTCCATGCCTGCTTGCTTGCTGAGCTGCTGCATGCGCAGTACGTCTCGCTGCTGCTGCTCAATCCTGCGCGGCGCGCTGTGCCCGGTGGTCCTACGAGTGCCCGCATCATGTTGTTGTCCGTGAGTATTGGCCGAACAGGAGTAAGCGACAGCGACCTTCACGTCGAGTCCCCTTCCCCGCGAGCCCTGCGGCTAAGGGGGAAAGAGGTCAATGGAGCGGGGGTTGGTGGGAATGAGATTGAGGCGTGCGAGATCCCGAGCGCCAAGTTGGGCGATTGATTGGAGCCGGGTGCCAGATTCGCCTCCGGAGATAATCCCGTGCAGCCTGGCCGACTCGGCCTGCCTGGCTCGCGGTGGACATCTTCTTCGTGTGTCCCGGTTGCGCGGCCAGCTGAAGAAGCACAAGGCTGGGGCCCCCTTCCGCCTCGACGTTTGATTAGAGGTATCAGATAATACAAGTCACATCGCAAAATCCTCCTGGTGCTCGACCCACCGCACGTCGCACGCGAAGGTTGACCGTGAGCGAGCGCTCCTGGTTTTTTGTGCCCCGTAGCTGTAGCAAACGGCCTCCTGCAGCTCCGATGGCTCCGCTGGTTCGCCGCATCAGATACCAAGGCTTGCGCAACGGTCCGCCAGGCCGCCCACGCGGGAGCTGGCTCGGCCCGCACAAGGGTCCAGAAGGGCGCTAAGAAGCTGCATGCAGTGGTTGGTATGAGGCAAAGTGGCCTTCGCCTCGTGGCATGCATCCTGCTGGCGCTAGCCTAGACGGGTCGAGGGTGTGGTATGTTACGCGGGCAGGGACAACGGGTGCAAAAGGACAAATACTTGCGGCTGTATGCATCAAAGCCCAAGGAACCTCGAGGCGCGAACAAATCTTGAAGGCACGAAAATTCTCCGATTGGTATCTCGTAGTGCACTGCCGTCCGGCAAAAACTTTTCCCCATCCCTAAGCCCTGGTGCCCTTGTTGCGAGCCCGACGCAGCTGCCTCTTCCTAGCAATGATCCTTGACTGCTTGGCAAGTTTTTCGTCTTTTGCGGCAGACGACTTTTCATCCTTGGATTTGGCCTCGTCGCCTTCGTCTTGTCCTCTCTTGCGTTTCTGCGATCCTGGTGGGCCGCGTTTCTGGTCCTTCTCAAACTTTCCGCCCTTCCGATCGCCCTTGCGATCACCCTTTCGATCACCTTTCCGATCACCTCTCCGATCACCCTGCCTCTTGCCGTCGCGTGCCTCACCATCCGCATCCGCCTTCGGCTTCTCGCGCATCTTCACTTCCTTTTCCTTCCTCCTCTGAACGACCTGAGCATTCTCGAGAGCGAACTCGACAATGAGACGCTTCTTTCTGTCTTGAATGTCCTCGGGAGTAGGCTTCTTGCCCTTCTTTCCTTCGACAGCCTGGTAGCCAAGGGCATGGCCGTTCAGCCAGCGCAGACCCATCAACGCAGACCGATGCGTGTAATATTCGATGAAACCGTAGCCTCTGCTGCGGCCTGCACCGGACTTTTCCTCGATTTTGCCTCCTTCGCGCCCTTCAAAGACAATCTTTGCTTGCCTGACCACACCCTTGCCCTTCGCCTTCCTCTCCTTCTCGGCCTCTGCCATCTCCTCGCTACCGCGCTCCAATTCTTCCCGGGACAACCGCTGTCGCTTCCCTTCCTTGACATCTTTTGCGAAACCAACAACAGCTTCACGAGCCAGTTGCTTGAGGTCCTTGGACGTGATGCTGCGGGGAAGGTTGCGGACGGAGAGACGCGTGAGACTCAGGTGGAGCGAGGGGTTGCTTTCGACCAGCTGTTTCCGTTGCTTTGCGCTGGCCTCACGCATGCTGATTTCCGCGGGTGCAAGCAGCTGGTACATGGGAGAGTTGGTAGCAATAGAGCCTTCTTGGAGTAGGTAGAGCTTGCGCTTGTCCTTGTCTCTGTTGCCACGGAATGCGACTCCTTCGGCAGTGAGCTTTTCGGCCTCTGATTTGTTGACCGCCATGGTGACGTGCAAAACACGACCGTCCATTGTGTATTGACCGGTCGCATCAGAATCCTCATTTTGCAACACAGAGTGTGCCGCAAGAGGGGCAGACCTGTCCTGAGGATTCCTGGGAGCCTGGTGTTTCGGAGCACCCTTCAGACAGTTGATTGCATCCTCATCGTTGTAAAAGCACACGAAACCCGTGCCCCTTGGCCTTTCCGTGGCATGGTCCATGACAATCCTTGCGTAACGCACTGCTCCAAATTGCTCGAAGTGATCATGCAGAGACTCATCGTCGCATGTGAAGGGAAGATTGCGTATGAAGAGGGTCGAGTTGGCGCTGGAGGGCCTGTGTGGGGCTGGTTCATCCACGTCCATGTCGTCTTCGTCATCTTCGTCCTCGTCTTCATCATCATCGTCTTCGTCCTCATCGTCTTCGTTCTCATCGTCATCGTCTTCCGAGGCGCCTTCGTCGTCGCTTGCACCCTCTCCCTCAGATGCGGCCTCGCTGCCTGCATCTTCGGCCTGAGCATTCGCGTCTTCCTTCTCTTCCTCGTCTTCGTCGTCCTGGGCCTTCTCCCAGGCCTCCTTTTCCACAGCCCAATCCACCGCCAGCGTGCGACCATCCACCTCTTTTCCGTTTATCCCCTCAAGAGCCTTCTCCGCATTTTTCCTCCCTCTCAGAGTGACAAAACCATAACCAGCCAACATACCGGAGCCTTTTTTCGGTATGACGGCGTATTTGACCTTGCCGTAGCTTCTGAAAAGGACAGAGAGTTGTTCCGGGGTCTTGATGCTCCATGGCAAGTTGCGAATAATCAGCTTCGACTGAGTTGCCAGTGCCTTGGCATCCTCTCTCTTTTGCTTCGCCTCGATAGACGCCTTGGCTGGTGTGCTAGTTTTGTGCTCCGTGTCGCGCTGGCGCGGCTCGGCAATGTCCACTCTCATCTTGCGACCCTGAATCTCCGAGCCATTGAACTCTTCTTTCGCGCGCGCGGCATCTTCGGCGTCGGCAAAGGTCACAAACCCGTAGCCCTTGCACAACTTCGTTTCCTTGTCTGTGACGACAACAGCGTGCTTGATAGGGAAAGATTGGGAGAAGTGCTCGGTAAGGTCGTCGTTGGTGACTGTGGCAGGCAGGGAACGGATGAAGAGTTGGCGGCGAGGCGCATTCTGCGGCTCGGCCTTTACAGTCTCGGATTGCGCTGCAGAAGCGTCATTGGCGGCGGGCTCTTGGGTAGTCTCGGCCGCAGCGGCTGGAGCAGCGGCTCCGTCCTCGGAAATGCGCTGTCTTTTGCGGGAAGGGCCCATTTTGTGCGGTTGTTCTGAAGTATGAAAGATGGTGTTCTGCCTTCGTCCAAAAAAGTTACTGCCGCGACTGGCAGAACTTTTTGGACCGCCGGAGGTTTTGGCCTCCGATTCGCCGACGCCTTCAGCAACCTCCAATTTCGGGCCTTCTCTGCACGCCTGCTTCTTCCTCCCACATCATCGTCACCCAAGAAATGCAAACTTCCATGTGATCCAGCGTCGAATTAACTCCAAAGATGCATGACTCTCTTTTTCGAAGCGTATAACGTCCGTCACCGCGAATCGAGATCGCCGTCTAGCGAGACAGGGGACGATACAAGCAATCTACAGAGTACTCCTTGCCTAGCTCATCCAAGCCCTGGGTATGGGTGAAAAGGTCTTAGAGCACACACAGACTCTACGTATCATAAATGGCTCTCTTGTTCTACTCCGTACAAGTATCACCATCTCTCTTCACGGTGACGGATGTTGCAGGGAACTAGTGAGCTGATCACTTGCTTTTTGGTCGCCTACCCCATAGTATTGTCAAACCACAGCAAAAATTGTCTGATCAAACGCTTCTATTCGATACACGAGTACAAGTATGGTTCCTGGTTCCGTTTCCAGAGGAACAGTCTCTAATCACCTCGATCTCCTAACCACATCAATAGACTCGGAGTTCTCCATATTCTAGCCATGAAGCAATTTATTTTATCTACATTACTTTATCCGCCTGTCTTTCTCATCCACCATAGCTACATACTCTGCTTTCCCATTGCCTTGTTAGGCAAGAGCGCCACCGAGATCACGCATCCCAACGTAACCCCGCCAGCTAGGTACAGCACGGCATTGATATTTCCGCTGCCGTTTTCCGCATTGGCATACAAGCTCTGCGCAATCAGCGGGCTCACGATCCCAAACAGCCTTCCCCAGAAACTCGCCACGCCGCACGCGGTGCCTCTGATAGGCGCGGGGAAGGCCTCGGGCGTCCAGCCGTAGAGCACGGCATTGAACATGGATTGGAAGAAGTACTCCATGACGTTGAGGCCGATGTTGGAGGCTTCGGAGTTGACGGCGCTGAAGACGAATATCGACACGCCCATCATTGCTGCTGATAGCACCATGGTCCATTTGCGGCCAACGTGTGGAACGTTGTACAGCATGGCGCCTAGGACCACGCCGACGATCCCTGGGAGGTAGATGTAGACGTAGCTGCGGTAGGTGAATTTCAGAGATAGGTTAAGCGCGCCGTTCTTCAGAGCGATGATGCGCGGCAGGAAGGAACCTGGGTAGCAAAGAGTAAGTAAAAATTCATACTGTTCGCCAACGAAGGCTAACTCACCAGCAACAGTGAAGCCCCAGTAATCCATAATGTAAGTCAGCCAGACAAGGACGGTCAAGCGTGTCATCTGCCAGCCGTTGAAGAGAAGTTTGTATCGTCCAATCTCTAACTTCAGCTTCTCACTCATAGACAACTTTTCCTGGGAAGCGCCACCGCCGAGCGCGGGGGCGCCGGACGCCTGGCCCAGAGCTTCGTGCTCTCTCTGCAGCGCTTCGAACGTCTCTAGGGTCAGTGTGCATTCTTGCTTGTTTACCTTGGCGATATATTGCAGCACTGCCACAGCCTCGGCGTCCTTCCCGCGGTATACGAGGTACTTTGGCGATTCCTTCATCCTGAAAATGATCGTTCGGCAAAGGAAGGTTGTCAGCGTGATTGCCCCGAGGGTGAACATGAGATATCGCCATCCCATATTATCCGACTTCCGACAGCACGCCTCACCCGCTGGTACATTGCGGCATGAAGGGAGCGGGTTGGCTTCCGAAAAGTTGGGCGAGCACGAGTAAGTTGGGATAAAGCCGTAGGCGATGGCAGAGCAGATCACCACACCAATTGGTTGGAAGATCGAGAGTAAGGCCAGGAGGAAGCGTTTGTTCTGCGGAATGAATTCCAGGGTGATTGTTGTGTCAATGGGGATGTTACCACCAATACCAAATCCAGTAAATGCGGTAAGAACCAAAAACGGACTATAAGTATTTGGCGCTCCTAGGCAGATACCGAAGATGGACGAAAAGAGGACTGTGAGGTTGAAAGCCCATTGGCGCCCTGGCGAAACAGTCAGTACAGGTCAGATGGCTACCTGAATCACTGATCAGGCCAGAGTACCAACCAACAATGTCGGATACAAAGCCCCAGACAAAGGCTCCAGCGGTTAATCCGGCAGAGAAGGATGTCGAGATGTTGCCGCTGTGGTCATCTTCGAATGGTCAGCATCAATTAACGAAAAGGTTGTTTCTAGACTCACTTCTGAATCCGAATTCTTGCTGCACAGGACTTAACACCAGGCCAAACGCCTGTGCCCATAAAAGGTCCAAGAAATAACCGAATCCGCATAAACACCACACAAACCATTGATACCTGCCCATTCCCATGTTATCGATTTCTCTGTTAACGAGCACGCACTTTTTCTCGTAGAGCGAGAGGTCTTTCGCGGACAGCGCCTCGTTCAAAGATGCCGAGCGCGCAGCCTCGATTCCATCAGCTGAGTTGGTGCGCACATCCTTGATCTTGAGATCCGAGTCCGGCATAGTGGCATGGAGAGAAGGCGGCCGGGCTGACGAGGAACTTGAGCTTGAAAGTGGTTGGTAAGCTGTGCTGGCGGGCACGTTGTTGCTTTTAAAGGTGCCGTACGCCATCATGGCGCTTTCCACGCTCAGATAGGCTGATTAGCGCAACGTTTCCGTCGGCGCTGAGGGCAAGCACGGGACAAGGTGGAGGCGCGGAGGCGTTCATTGTGTACGGGATGTGTTGGGTAGGCTGCAAGCATGTCGACGTCAGTTAGCCCGCTTTTGGTGTAACCGCGTGCGCATGCGGCTAAAGCGAGCCAATGAAGGTGAAAGACAACGGACAACGCTGGTCCTCCTGTCCTCTCTGTCAATTCGCTACTACCCTTGTTCTTCGATGCGTCTGTAAAAAAGATCTCGAACGTTCAATGTCAGGCATCTCATCTGCCTGACCACGATCGATGATGCAGTCCCGACAAGCTCCTTCTCCCGCAAGGCTCGGTTATCTAACACCTTACGCTTCCATTGGTGCATTTCTCTACGCCAATGAACGCCATCTCGACCCCGGCTCTGCCACTCCCGTCGGCAGCGCCATCGTCATTCAAGTCTTTCAGGGATGGGGAATCCTTTCTGCTGCGACACCATGGCAGAGTTTTATTCCACTCATCATCGAGTTTTGACTCTCACGTCCGTGCTGGGAATTGCTACAGCAACGCAGGATTCCTGTCGCTTAGTAACCGCTGAATGCGTAGAGAGGGAATTTTATGCAGTAAACAGAAAGTAAAAGAAGGCGCTACAAATCAACTAAAAGGTAGATGCAGCGGGAAAATCACATGTGGATAGGAACATTACTCGCTTCTCTCTTCGAGGTCAACTCAACACTAATTTGTTCTCTACTCACTGAAATTTCGTAGGCTTTTCGTAAAAATTTATACCATAACGCTTCCATACTAATAGTAAAGATATACGATACTAATGATCGAACATGGATAGGTGCCGGCACCGGGTAATTTGCCCTCCCCACGTAATAGCACCTATAGAATTATATAATATATTTTCTACTCTTTAAAATTTTAGGTTTCTATACCCTTATAAGTACCTTTATACCCTTCGAATATTTTATTTTTATACCCTCGTAGATACTCTAGTAGCCGTATATATCTACACCTCTATACTCTCGTAGTATACTATAGTACTCGTATATTTTTACTTTTATAGAATTATATTGGCTGTAGTGTAATAGTCTATTATAACTACCCAAGAAGTGTTCTGTAGGTATTGTAGATTTTACTCAACATGTAGTTGAGGGTGGGCAAATTTTCCGGGGCCATAAGTGCCTATACGCCGGGTTGGACAACACCCTTCATCAGACACCATTTACCTCTAAAACCAACCTCGACATCTTTTAACCCAGCAGAGCCATCGAAAACCTTACCTCCAATCCATATATTTTCGCATCTACAGTGCCACATCCCCAAAACCAACTCCTCTAGTGACTCGTTCGCAACCATCAAAAGGAAACCCACTCCACTCCACCCCACCCACCCTCAGGCAACACCCACATCATCACTCCTCACCCACACTCTCCTCGCTCCCCTCCTCACCCACCTCATCCCCATCCATCACCTTTACATCAGCACCCACCACCGCATCTTCAACCTCTCTTCTCTCCAAACCCAGCACGCCCCGTCCACCCCACACGCACCCACAAAACCCGCAACCCCCTCTCAAACGCATGTATTCTCTCTCCGGTCCAGCCACCAGCTCACTCCCTGAGCTCTCACACCGCTGCCCCAGCCCAAGACCAAGCATGGCGCGCAGCTCAAAGGAGGGCAGCGCGGCGCAGTAGATGCGCGAGACGGGGAGGGCGTGCCCGCAGGCGTAGAGCGCGATGGTGTAGATGCACATTTTTGCTGGTGCTGTTGCTGGTGCTTTGTAGGGTTGTTTGTTTTTGTGTTCGTGAAGGAAATTGGTGAGGTGAAGTACTTGGTTTGAGATTTGTTGTCTTTGGTTTGGTTTATTCCTGGATTTGGGAGAGTGGTGGCTGAGAGGTTAGAGGGCGGAGAGGCGGACCTTATATATTTGTCCCGGGAGCATAGGCCGGGCTGTGTATATCACAGGACGCGGTGTTGTGATGCTGCTCCGCCGTGTATCGGCCGGCGCAGGCTTTCGAGCTTTTGCTGTGCCGGCTCTAGCCACTCGAATCCGACCTGGTTGTGGCGGTGTCGGGCTCTCTCTGTCCGTCGGCTTCAGGGTCTTGTGACGCGTGCGTCTTGCAAGTGTGGAATATGTTCAATGACGAGCGCATGTGCGAAAGAGAACAACGGCACCGAAATCAGGGTGTAAAGCATGAAGACGGCTACAGATAGTAGTGACGGTCAAACACAAAAAATACTAAAACAACCAGTTAGAAATTTCGAATAGCAAAACTGCTCTTGGCATTTGACATTAACAAAGGTATCCTTTCGCCGCCTGTCACTCGTACTATTTTGCGGCAGGCTTCTCCGCTGTGTGACGCAGGGATAGGGATAAATATTTATCAATCTCAAAACTAGATCCCGTAAGCTGAAATAGAAAAAACCTGCAATATAGTAATAGATCGGGTGGGCCCAATTCGAGACCCCAATTACCGTAGCAGAACAATCTTACCCTGAAATTCCATCACAATCGACGCAGAACCCCCTTCAACAAACCCAATCCCATTCATATACTTAGCCCTATCAGGCAGAGCCAGCAGCTATACAAATGCAACCCACAGCCGTCCACACTACACACGCAGACCTCCCCACCAACACTCTAATCGACATCCATTCTTCCACCCTCATTGCCCTTCCCCTCTTCCTCCACCGTCTTCTTAACCCCGTTCAAGAACGCCTCGACCGCCTCGCCACCACCAAGCGGCACGCCACCCCTGCGCATAAACCCGCCATTCTCGACCTTGACGCGCAGGGCCTCGCTCACACTCGGCAAGCCACCATCGCGCAGCGCGACCGTCAAGCTCTGCAAGCTCTGCGCCAACTGCGGGCTGCGCAGCACGCGGCGGAGAATGTCCTTCTTTTGGGGCAGGCTCATGGCGGCGATGGCCGCCTGCGCCGTCTCCGAGGTCGGCTCCGCCGACGCCGCGTCGTCGGCTTCTTGCGCCTGCAGCAGGATCGTCGCCGGCAGGTTCAGCAGCAGTGTGTCGATGAACTTGCTGTCGGCCGTGTCGATCACCGGGATCGTCGTGCTCGACGGGAGCAGGTCCGCCAGCGTCGTGAAGAGCTGCCCTTCGCCTGAGGAGCCTCCCGCCGCGTTGCCGCCGCCTTGCAGAGATTGCAGGAAGTTTTGCACGATGGCTGAGGCATCGTTCGGTCTATATATACACATCGAACACGTTAGCACTGTTGCCCTATATGGAAATGAAAGGCACAGGCCGAGAGGGACCGAGCTTGCTTGACGTAGCCGTGGCCATGAGCACGTGGCTATCGTATTTGCTTTCACTGCCTACTTTACACAGTAGTACGTGAGCCCGGCATGCATTCTTCAGCATGTCTACGCTCATGCGCACGCAGCGACATGCTTTTTTGATATCGATGTCCCTCAAACGCCCCGCCAAGAACGCGCCGCAATAAAACCGGGGATTGACCTACGCTCGTCCACCATCGGCACCGCCTTCTCTGGACTCCTCGCCCTCGTCTCTGACATCCCCGCCAGTGGCGCCGGCACCGGCGCCGCCGCTGCCCTGCCTGTGGTCGGGGCCCGGCGCGTCCTCCATCTCCGCATCATCGCTGCCGCCGCCGCGCGGCTGGTTCTGGACCTGGCGAAGCTCATCGTGAACGTCAATCTCCTCGCCCGACAGGAGCATGTCCACGATCTGGCCGAGCTTCTGGTCCCGCGGGCTGAACCAGCTCGCGTCGCCCTGCGGGTGCTGGCTCTTGGATTGCAGCCAGAACAGGTGCCGTTGCGAGCTGGAAGTGAACTTGAGCGCGAAGATGCGGCCGTCGGTGGGCGACCGGAGATCGTCGGATGACTCGCTGTTCTCTTGGCCGGTGTAGGGGGTGAAGGAAGCGTCGCCGGGGATCATGAGCAGGTCGAGCTCCGGGTCGTTGACCGAGGCGGAGCGCGGCCGCCAGCAAAAGTGCACGAGCTCTGGATGGTGTGAGCGGGAGAGGCGATAGGCGGGTGGTGGAGCTTACCATCGCCGATGTAGAGATAGATGTAGCCGGGCGTCGGGACAGACTTGACCTTCCATGGCTGGGAGCTCGACTGCGAGCAAGAGAAATAGTTAGTAGTGCAGGACGGACGGGGCGAGCGATGCAGTCAGTCTTACGTCGACGTCGCACTTGCCGGCCTTGAACGTCAGCAGCGGAGCTATGGACATGGTGGGTGGATGTGTGTAAGTGGTGTGGTGTAGAGTAGTTTGAAGAGGCGTTCGTTAGGTGGTGGTGAGCGCAGCTTCACGTACGCACACCCCCGGCCAGCCCAGAGCTCCGCCGTCATCCATCTAATCTCTTGGCATCTTGTCAGCGGATCAACAATTCGCCGCGGCCCGCTTGCGCGCCGGAGCCCGGGCAATCGAGTTTCGCCGACGGCCGCACCGCACCATCATTTTGTCAATTCGCTTGCAACACCGCGACTGGGCTCGACGACGACGACTCAACCCACCCATCGACCACATCCCCCGACCGGATCCTTTGCAACACATCCGAAATGTCGGCACCCCAGGAGCCTACGACCAAGAAGTTCGGCAAGGGCGAGAGGTCCATCCCTCACCCGAGCCAGAAGGCCTCCAAGTACTACCCGGCTGAGGATGAGAAGGCCGCCAGGAAGGTACGCGCGCATTCTGATTGATGGGGGGGATTGGGGAGCGTGCGGCCGGGGGCAGCAGCGTTGCGCTTTCTGCCGTTCGGCAGGCGCCGCAACGCTGCGACCACCGCGGGCACCCGCGAAGCTGGAGATATATAAAATGCGGAGGTCAGAAGCAATTCATGCTAACGTCCGTCTTTCTGCAGGTCCGCAAGGGCATCCGCCCCGCCAAGGTCCGCGCCTCCCTCCAGCCCGGTACCGTCCTGATCCTCCTCGCTGGCCGTTTCCGTGGCAAGCGCGTCATCCTCCTCAAGCACCTGCCCCAGGGTGTTCTCCTCGTTACCGGTCCCTTCAAGGTCAACGGTGTTCCTCTCAGGAGAGTGAACGCTCGCTACGTCATTGCCACCCAGACCAAGGTTGACCTGAGCGGCCTTGACTCCTCCGTCGTCGAGAAGGCTGGTGGCGAGGACTACTTCGCCAGGGAAAAGAAGGAGAAGAAGACCGGCGAGGAGGCCTTCTTCAAGCAGGGCGAGAAGCCCGAGGTCAGTAGTGCCCGAACCGGCGGAAATCGCATTTTATATCATCGGGGCACAGCGGCTGACATGCAGGATTACAGCCCAAGAAGATCGCGTCCAACCGCATCGAGGACCAGAGGACCGTCGACAAGGCCATCCTGGCCAACATCAAGAAGACCGACCCCTTCCTCATCAGCTACCTTGGCTCCACCTTCAGCCTGCGCAAGGGTGACAAGCCGCACGCGATGGTTTTCTAAGCGGTTTAAAAGGGGTCGTCGGGATGACGTGGATGAGCGGATATCCAGCCGGCTTCCTGCAGCCGTAATAGCAGGTTTTATGGCACGGCGAGGTTTTCGGGAGGATTCGGCCTGCATTTCCAAAGATCTTGTACCGCGCAGCTGAATTCAACAAAAAACAAAACACTCCGAGATGCTATTTGGCGCTTCAGGTTCATACATTGTAATTGAGAACGTCAAGAAATGAGGTCGTTACGATAACGAACGCACTCTCCAACAGAACAGCAGCAGATGAGCGTCCTGGTCCAAGCTAATCCAGAATCTCATCGCAGACATGATGACTGCATCCGCCGGGCTTCATGACTTTGCCGCACCATGTTCTTTCCCCGCGCTCACTGATCCCGTATCTTGTTCTTGATCTTCGTTCCCAGTGCAACACAGTCTCCGCGTCAGTCTCCGGCACGCCGCACATCTTCCGTCCATCACTCCCGTCACACCACCGACGACGTCATCACCCGCCGTCGTTGAAACAATGCACTCCAGAAACCTGCTTACCCTTCCCGCGAGCCATCATGTGCGCATCAGCGTGGCTGGTCATGGCCTGGGAGCCCGCATAAGCACCTCTTCTCTAAGACGACAACAGGGCGCATCTCTATCCGATTGTTTAAAGCCAAGCCAAACAAGCGCCCGAGTGTGAACAACTGCCGGGTATTTGTGTTGCAGTCCCCCAGCGACGAAGGCCTCGGAGTACGCGCGCGCCTCTCATCTTTACTAATGGGATGCGCTCTACCTCTAGACCCAGCCCAGACATGAGCTAACTGTAGGGTATATGTTATGTGTAGGGGCATGTAGATATGCTTGTGGTGTTGTTTAATGTTTATTGTTTGGTTTCGGGGGGATGTGGTGTGCTCTCGCTCCTACGGAGTACCGTCGTTCACTGGTGCCGTGGGGATATGGATACTGATGCCTGCCCTTGTAGCCGTGGTAGGTATCAAATAGTTAGGTGGTGTTGTCCCGCGCGGCTCCGAGGGTCTGTCTGTCTTCGAATAGGTCCGCGAGTAGCTAGCTAGCTACATACGTGCTGCATTGTTTACCGATTCTTGTCTCGAAAGCGTCTTTTGGTATAGAGCTGGAGTACATCAGCCCCCGAGAGCTCCGCTTTAATGCACCATCTATATCCTGTACATACTTTTTTTTTTAATTCCCCCTCCATCCTGCCAAACCATCCATACGGGGTTTATTTCCCAGACTCGTCGCGCGGAAACTTAATCCCCATGGCCTCCATCATGTTGCCCGCCGGCCCCGCCATGCCACCCTGCCCCTTAAACGCCTCCAGCAAGTTCTTGGCTAGATTATAGTCGAGGTCGACCTCGACCTCGTCGTCATCACTGCCCTCTACCTCCTCTACTTCTCCCGCTCCCTCCTCGGCCTTCTGCTTTCCTTTTCCCTTGCTCTGGCCCTTGCCCGTACCCTTGATCAAGTCAGGCATTGGCTGTGCATTTAGATCCAGCGCACCGGCGGCCTTGAGCTCCGCCTCCATGCGCTGCATCATCTCATGGAAATCTCTCGCCTCGTTCTCATCCGGCTCTTCGTCGTCCGAGCTCAGTTCCTCGACCTGCGCACCCGCCGACGCATCGTCTCCCGCCCGCCGATTCGCCAGCTCCGGCCGGTCTTTCTTCAGTTCGTCCAGACTCATCTCCATCACTTCTTTGTATACCTCCTCCGGCATGCCCATCATCTCGCGCATCATCTTCGAGAACTCTTCCTCGTCGAACGAGGCGTCCTTGTCTTCGCCTGTGCTGCTGACATCGCTGCTATCCTCCTCTTCCCCCTCGTCGTCAAAGTCCATGTCGTCCATTTCAGCGCCCTCGGGCCCGGCCTCGTCGTCGTTAAGGAAACTTTCGAACCGCTCAACCATCTTGCGCAGATTCTCTTGCGCCGCCTTATCGCCGAATCCGGTATCGTCGAGGCCCGCTGCCGACCTCTCACGGGCCTTCTTGCCAGCGAGCTCCTTTTCGAATTCTTCAAAGTTGATGTTCATCCAGTTCTCGTCATCATCTTGCACAGACCACTTTTTGATTTCGTCGTCCATTGGCAGCGATTCATCTCCGCTATCGATATCCTCTAGGAGTAGCTGAATTTCGCGCACTGCCTGCTTGTCCTGGTTCTGCGGGTCCGCAACCAGCATCTCAAAACCGCACGAGACTTTCATGCCCATTTCGAGGCGTGCCCGGTCTTTGCTCGCGGCGTCGTGCTTGGCTAGCTCGCCTTCCCATATTTTCGGCGCAAGAAATTCCTGGCTCTTGAGCTGTGCGTACCCGACTTTCGTGAAGCGGACGCTGGCGTTTACGAGATCCGATGGTGGGAACTTGAAGCCGCTTGCTGTTTCTGCTTTCAGAGGCTTGAGGGAGATGGGGTCCCGGAGGTAGAAAGCTTCGACTGCCGCGCTAATGTAGGCAGGCTTTTGGTGGAGGATGAAGGCGAGGTTGCGCGGGATAGTGATTAATGACTGGTGCAAGTTTTCGGAAATTTCCTTGGGGTAATTTCGGATGCGGTAAAATGCTTCTTCTTCGACCATAGGCGAATGTATGAGCTCGGATGGCTTGGCCTTGATGAATGAGCGGGCTTCTGTCACCGTCAGAGGTCCCGGAGCAGGACCAGATGTTTCGCCAGGCTTTGGTCGCTCTAGCGGTATAATTCGCAATTCGCCATTATTTATCCAGACCTGGATGAATTAGAATGACTGAACCTCACAGGAACATTGCAGAAACTTACCCTGTTCTCTGCCACCTCTGGATTTAGCCATTTTGGCAGAGCATTGGCTGCTTCGATGAGCAGAAACTCGCCATCAGTGTCGTAAACGCGCACCCACGCTTCTGGAAACTGATTGCTGAGCTCTCGAAGGAGGTAGACTATCACCCATTCATCTGCTACCGAGTCGCCGTAGTTAGTTCTGCCTCGGAGCATCCATGTCCCTGTAAACAGTCAGCCTCAGAAAAATTTTCATGAAAGCAATGTAGTACTACCATCCTCCCTATGAAGCTCCGGCTTGAATGACTCGCGTTGCCATATATAGTCTTTTAGTAGCTTTTTCGTAAGCGTATTTGCCGTTGATTCGATGCTCCGCAGCTTCTCCCGGACTTGGTTATCCGCATCGAGCTTAGCGTCGACGATGTAGATGGCGTACTCGACACAGTCTTCGGGCAGTCTCTTGGGAAAACCGTCAAAGCCCTCGCCGAACCACTTGAAGTCGGCGTTGGACGATCCTTGGGTTTCCATTTCGGGAAAGGTGTTGACGCGCAGCAGCAGCGCGGACCAGCTGGGTGGAGCAGCTGGAGTAGAGCGGCAAGGCGGGAAACGAGAGGAGTGAACGCGGAGAAGCAGGCGTCGGGGATCGTGTGAGAAAAGTTTCGCTTAGATGCCGCAGTTGGCGCTGCAGATGGTGTTGATGCGACGCGATGACGTCTCTCTCCACCTCTACCCTACGTGCGGAAGCGAGGAAGAAAGAGCCGTGTGCAATAACTTCTTAACCCTATATCCGCGGCAACTCATCTCTTCGCTTCACGTGACCAGCCACTGGCGGACAACGGCGGGGCGCGAAATGAGAGCCGGACGATTTTGGGGCGTGACGGACTGAATCTAGCACGCGCGTGGGAAATCAAGCAGCCCCTGGTCTCGGATAGGTCTGGGGCTCGCACGTCGCAGTGCAGATCCCGCAAGCACGCGCGCGACAGCCCTGAGTCGTGCCAGAGTCTCCCTGAGCGCTGCCGAATAATGTTGTCCAACTGATCCAAGAGCCTCCGAGCTTCTTCGAACACCACCTGGCCGGATTGGCCCACCTTGCTGCTGATGGCCACCAGATCGCCCCGGGCTTCCTGCAGCTTCCCGTGAGCCTGTCCGCCATGCCGCTGTCTGCCACAGGACCACCCAGTGGAGGACGCATAACCCTGACCGCGCATTTCTTCTACTGATTGTACGACGCGACACCCGAACACCCCAGTTCATTGCCACCTCTACCGGCCATGGAGGGCCCTTCCATCCCAGCCCTGCCCTCGCAGCGCACAGCAACCTCCAATCCGACTAGGCACTCCCTGCCCGCCGGCCGCGTCGACGAGCGCCCCTCCAAGCGCGACCCGTCCCGCCCCCGCCCCAAGCCTGCCTCGCCCGAAGTCATATCCTCTCTGATCGATTCCCTGTCCGCCATCTCTCTGCCGGCCCATGACCACTTCGAAAACAACATCCCTACAATCGGCGGCTCGGGCCCAGGCACGAGCTACTCCGTGCCTGCCAGCCCCGCCGACCGCGACGGCTTCGGCGTCACGTACGGCGTGCACAGGAACGAGCGCTGGGAGGAAGAGAAGTACCAGGAAGACATCGATGACGCCGCTGCCCCTCCGGTCATCAAAACCGCCAAACCGCCCTCTGGCTTTTCTCCCCTCACCGCGCCGCCCAAGCCCAAACAGAGCAGGGAGAGCTCCAAAAGCTCGCTGAAGAACTACATTCGCTCGGCGTCGAGGAGCTCTACTTCTCTGACTTCCAGACACTCCAGCGTCAGGGACGATGCGAGCAGCATAGCGAGCAGCATCCAGAGAGGTTTGCGCCGACACTCTAGTACCAGTAGGGCCTCGCTGGACAGCAGAACGAGCGCCAGACGAACGAGGAGCTTGGGCTACACGAGCTCGAGAGAGCGCCTGCGCGGCAGCAGAGATACCGACATGCGCAGCGCTGCTGGGTCCCCGATCTCCTTGCGAACCTCGGGACTGGATTCACTGTCGTTCCACAGAGGTGGATCGGGGCCGCCCAGTCCCAGAAAGTCGGAATTCAAGCATTCGCCGATGATCGAGGAAGAAGAATCACCGCAGGTGTCTTTAGAGCCGCCCGCTGACAACGATGCGGCGAGCATGCCGAAAGCTTCCGTGGAAAGCGACCGTCGTTCTCGTCGTTCTCGTCGTGGTCCTGAGATCTATGAGGGAGCCGTTCCATCCAGAACTTCCAGTCTCCGGAACCAATCACGGAGCCCTTCGGCGACTAGGGCGCGCTCTTCCTGCAGGGAATCTTCACGGTCGAGAGCAGTGATTGAGGACAACGACAGGCTGAGACTAGAACCGGTGGACGAGAGGGAACCAAAGGGGAAGGAGAAAGCCTTGGACGACGACGAGGAAGACAACGACGTCACCCGACGCATCAAGGAGCTGAAACGGCAGAAGGAAGAACGGGAGAGAGCATCCGAAAGACTGCGTCTTGACTTGACCGTCGAAGATGATGGTGCGCGACCGCAGTTCGGGCCGCTGTCGCCGACATCGCGCGTCATTGAGATGGAGGAACGGTCGATGATTGAGTCCATCGCAAAGGCGCACAGGCTGCTCGGGCTAACCCCCACGACTCCGCCGCGTTCAGCTATGAGGTCAACCCCGACCGTTGAAACGGCATTGGAAGCGCAAGCGAGATCACCTGATCCAAGTCGGAAATCAGAAGACTCTCTGCCGATTGATTATGAACTTTCGCTACAATCTCTGAGCCGGACCTCGATGTCCACAATCGACGACGCCAAGGCAAGAAAGGTCTTGGGCACCCCGCCTTCCATTGCGCGCAGCCACTCGGATGCTGCGAGTGTAATGAAAGAAAGGAACAAGAGGTCGCTCGAGGAGGCTGCTGAAAGACTCGATCTGCATGTCAATCTCGATACGCCCCCCGAGTCTCGCGTTCCGTCCCGAGCGGCTAGCGCCGAACCGGCGCCAAGACAGCAATCTGTTTACCTCCCTCCCCCATCGCCTAGGAGGTCCAACTCCATTTCCTTGGGAAAGAAGCGCTGGTCTCACTCCGATGTTCCCTCCAAGTCTGAACCTAAACACAACGAGAAGCTGTTCAAAAATGCAAAGACGGACAGAGAACTAATGGCAGTGAAGCCGCCCTATGTCCCGGAGCCTGTCCTCGAGGAACCGCCCAGGCCTTCCAGCATCGACTCGATTGATGACGAAGTGGAGACGTTTTTGCTCTCTCCGCGTCTGACGCAAAGGGTGCGGGAGCCCAATAGCGGGAGGACAATATGCTTCTCGGAGGTCGGCGATCCCCAGGGATTCGTTGTCTTTTGTTGCGTGGGAATGGGCTTGACCCGATATGTCACGGCCTTTTACGATGAGCTCGCGACTTCGCTTAAGCTGAGATTAATTACTCCGGACCGCCCTGGTGTGGGTGAAAGCCAGGCGGATCCGAATGGGACGCCTCTCAGCTGGCCAGGTATGTACTTGACCGATTGTGAATGTCAGCTTTTACTAATATTCTTATCAGACGATGTATCTTGCATCTGTCAAGCTCTTAGAATTACCAAATTCTCGATCATGGCCCACTCAGCCGGTGCCATTTATGCTCTTGCAACTGCATTACGCATGCCTCAACACATTCGAGGCCGCGTTCACCTACTGGCTCCATGGATTCCGCCGTCGCAGATGACTGCGGTAGGTTTACACGTTGACTCGCCCCATCCCGATCGTCAGCTTCCGCGCGCTCAGCGTTTGCTTCGTGTGCTTCCCACACCCTTGCTCAAGGTTGCCAACTCTACGTTCATGAGCGCTACTAGCGCCAGCCTCACTCGAAGCGTGCCAAAGTCGCCACGTGATCGTAGTCACAACAAGCGCAAGACTACTGTGTCGCGCGATACTGCCCAGCTTGCTGCTCGCCTGGCCGTCGCGGCAAACAAACGCGATTCGATGATGCTCATGGACCGCGTGCTTCCCGATGGCAGCGCGCTCGACTCAGCAATTGCTAACCCCGATGACCCCAACCACGAAGCCGCACTCTCGGCCAAAGCGGCGATGACTATCGCCGAGCAGAACCGTCGTCGTGAGTATGACACCAGACTCACACTCGCGGTGTGGGACCTTGCGACGACAAACGCGAACCCGGCGGTCGATTTGCTCGTCTGCCTTGAGCGCTCGCAAGCCATCGGCTTCCGATACGTCGATATCACGCGCCCAGTCGTAATTCATCACGGTAGTCGCGACACGCGCGTTCCGGTCGACAATGTCAAGTGGCTCGGCCGCACGATGCGCCGGTGCGAGGTGCGCATCTTGGAGGGAGAAGGCCACGGGCTCATGGCGAGCGCAGTCGTCATGGGCAACGTCCTGACGGAGGTGGCCAAGGAGTGGGAGGATTGGACAGCGGTGACGAAGGGAGGAGGAACAAAAGCGCGGCCGCCTACAGGCCGCACCGAAAGCTCGTTCATCTAATTTTGTTTGTCTCTCTTTTGTTGACAGTCTCTGTGCGGCCACAGCACGTCTCCTTGGTTGTTCCTTTCGATTCTGCCTATACCCCTTTTTCGTTTTTATTTGCGGCAAAAAGCGCCGGTTGGCAAGCCGACGCTCACAACAGGACACATTTAATCGCCTCGCTCTAGTTCTTTTTACTTTTGGCCAGAGTCGCGCCGTCGATTGGCTGGCTGTTCGTTCGCTTGAATAAAGAGGCAGCTTCTTGGTTTTATTGATGAGAGACGGCTATTACTACTAAGACACTATCATAATACTAGGTAGCTACAGTCGGCCCCCCTTATAAGCGCCGACTGTTAATAATGTTTCTCTTGGGAAAAGCGTGCAAACAGCCAGGTATGCCGATTAAGGGTCTTGAGGATTGACAGTGAGCACGTGGCCCGGCGCGGGTCGCGCGTGCGGGCATCTCCACCAGGCTGAGCGCACAATGGAACGATGGAGTGAAGTGTTTTTTTCGGCGCGCGCATTTTTTTTGCTTATGGGGGCAGCACTGCCTCGAGAGTCTAGCCGCCGGCCCCTCTCAATTGCGTCGTGGTGGCCTGGGCGCGGACCGTGGTGCGCGCTGGCCCTGCTGGTGACCAAGTGGCTGGTCGGGGAGGTTGGGAAAGGTTCCACGACGATAAACCAGCCCACCCAGCCTGCTGCACGGCTCCTGGCAGTAAGACTCTCGCTCGCACTTTCCGCTCACTCTCTCCATCCGTGTCTTTTGCTCGTCCTGCATTCTGTCTCTTGAGTGTGCTACCTTCTACATCTTCCACATCCCACATCGCACCAATCGACGGGAGATCAACATACCGAGGACTACCCGCCGACCGGGAAGCCTGAACAACACACACCCCGCCGCCCGTCGCGACTCCTACGAGACCCGTCAGCATTCCTCGGACGCCAAAGAGCGAGCCAGTGTCCGCTGGCGCCGTTCGCATTCCGCCTAGAATGAAGGGCCTAAACATGTCGCGATTCCTCTTCTCCACATTCCTCGTTGCGCTATCGCTCTCCCCGCCCTCGGCAACGGCAAATCCTCTGCCTACGGCTGCACCCGAACTCGACTACACCTCGCTCCAGAATGCCACCCGCCTGCTGGAACGCGGCGGCTGCGCAAACCCCTGCGGCTGGTCCGGCCAATACTGCTGCGGTTCCGACCAATCCTGCTTCACCGACTCCAACAACCAGGCCCAGTGCACCTCCAAGGGCGCCGGTGCCAGCTCGGGCTACTGGCAGTTCCACACCAGCACCGAGATCGACACCAACCTGATCACCAAGACCGTCATTAACAGCGACTGGGTCGGAGCCTCGGCCAAGGCCACGGCGACGGGCGACTCTTCGTGCAACACGGCCAAGGGCGAGAGTTCCTGCGGCAGCATCTGCTGCGCTTCCGACCAGTACTGCAAACTTGATGACCAATGTGCGGCCATCGGCGTGACCACTTCCCCAGGCGTGAGAGCGACAGGGACTGGTGTGTCTGAGTCTTACTCTGCCCCATTGCGTCCGACAACGGGAACGCTTATCGTTGTAACAGCCACGGAGTCGCCCACAACGACTCAGCCTTTTGAGTCGCCCGTTGCGACTGGGGCCACCGCTCCCATTACGGGACACCAGAGCGAAGACAACGGTGGCGGACTCAGCGGTGGTGCTATCGCTGGTATCGTCATTGGTGTTATCGCTGGTGTCATTCTGCTGGCGGCTCTCCTCTTGTTCTGCTGCGCCAAGGCAGCCTGGGACGGCTTGCTAGCCCTCCTCGGTATTGGCGGCAAGAGGAGACACGTCAGGGACGAATACGTCGAAGAGCGCTACCGCCACAGCGCTGGCGGTCATTCTCATGCCGATTGGTACGGCGGTGTCGGCAGGCCACCATCAGGGCCGCCACCGCCGAGGAAGAGCAGCGGTTTCGGAGGCCTCGGCGGTGTACTCGCTGGACTGGGCGCTGTTGCTCTCGCGCTCGGCCTTAAGAGGAAACACGACGCACGCCATGAGGAGAAGAGCGAGGTTTCCGGATACGGTAGTAGTTACTACTACACCGACTACACCAGTGAGAGTAAGTCTTCCTGAGAGTGTATGTTTGCGAAACGATGCTAACAAACTCAAAGCAGGCACCAGTTCCGATGACAGGAGATCTCATGGCACGCGGTATACTCAATCGCGGCATTGAGACAAGCTTTCGAAAGATACCCCCAACCACTAAAGCGCGGATTCACGAGAGAGCGCGACTGAGCCCACACACGCTCTTCGTTTGTCCTCATCTTCAATCTTGCATCATAGGAACCGCCCTGGCTCTGCGGAGCCATTGAGCGGGTATCCTACGGCGTTTACGGGATTTTTACTTCTTGTGCAAGCGGACGTGCTGAGTCGCTTGCAACCCAATTTTTCTTCTCTTCTCTTAATGTGCGTCGGCACTTTGCGAGATTGTGGCTTGATTGATACCTGGATAATTGTTCTTTGAGAACGGAATAGGACGGGAGGCAACAACGGGACGAGACGGGGCGGGACGGCTCGTCGGGAAACAGGTCTAATATGCTTACGGATAGACGATGACTTTACGGACTACATGTAGATATGACGAACGGGACACGGAATGGAACGGGTCATGGATGCTGCTGATGACAGGACGAGGGGAAACGTATCAAATCAAATGATCAGGTGGGACGGCGTGCGCTCAGCAGCCGCCCGCCCTCAACTCTGCGAAACGAGCATAGTCTCCATTGAACCGAAGACCAAAGCCAATCGCGCAGAGTGAGGCGTGAATGGATAGGAGGAAAAACCTGCTGCCGAGTCAAGAGACGCAGCTCGGAAACAAGCAAGCAGTGAAGTGCCAGCCCGCACTTTGGTAGGCAAGGTTGGGTAGACTACGGGCAGCGACGCGCACCGCCCACGCATCAACTTCAACCTCATCACCACCTCACGCACCTCACGCACCCCGACCGCCCGCACCGCGTCCCATCTCCACTCTCCACCACCACCACGCGACCCCCCGCACTCAGTAGCAGCCGCGCAGCTCTGTCGCCGCCGCCACTGCTCGCTCTCGCCGTCTCGAGCACCAGCTCCACCGACCTCACTCACAGGCACACGATCTCGGCCCGCCCCCTCCCGCTCTCGCAGCAACCAAGCAAACACAATGGCATCGCTCTTGCGCACCTCGGTGGTGCGCGCCCCTGCCGCCGTCAGCATTGTCGCTCGCACGCCAAGCGTCGCTGCGCGCCGCACCCTGAGCTCGACGAGCGCCCGCCTGGGCGGCGCCGCCGACAGCCACCACGGCCACGAAGACCACTACGACCCCCCCGGCGGCTGGCTGTTCGGCGTGCGCCCCGGCGAGAAGTACCAGCCTGAGGGCTGGGAGAAGATCTGGACGTGGGGGTTCTTTGGCAGCTTGGGGCTGGCGGCTGTGGCGTACTGCTATAAGCCGGATACGAGGTATGTGTTTTTATGTCATTGTTGGTGCCTTGCTTTTGAGTGTGTGGCTTTGGTTTTGGGTTTTTGGGGGTTTTTTTTTTTTGAGGGTGGGGATGTCAATTGGTGATGGGGAGAGGTGAGATGGGATGGCTGGATAGGGAGGGGCGCGGAATTCGATTGGATTGGCGATCGTATTTATTGGTTGGTTGAGTGAGGGTTGAATCCCGGCTAACGGCCTCAACAGCATACAGACCTGGGCGCTCGAGGAGGCGCGGAGAAGGCTCGAAGCCGAGGGCATCCTGCAGGACCCCGGCCTGAAGAAGGGCGACCCCAAGGCGCAGAACACCGAGTAGACGCACGCACGCACGCACGCACGCACGCACGCACCCCGTCAGCCATGGCTTTGCTCCGTCTGCTTGTCTATCACTCTGTCACTATAGCTACCGGCTAGCTACGTGTAGCTAGTAGTAGCCAGCTTTTCGCCCAGCTCGCCTAGGCAATTCAAATATGACCTGTTCTGTTCTTTCTTTCTTTCGAGACTACTACTACTACTACTACTACTACTACTACTCCAGCAGAAGCAGCGCCTTGCTGAGTCGGCCTGCCCGCTAAATTAACTGCTAAAAAAGAGGTTAGATGTGCTTCGACTTGTTTTCGTTGTTGTTGCGTCGTTGTGTGCGCGCTGCTGGAACCGGGAGCTGCTGCGCTATATTTATTGATGAGGCTAGGGGACGGATGGGAGACGAGCCAGCTGGTCGGCCAAACATACGGTCCATGTCGTCCTTTTCTGTTTCTGTTTCTTTGGCTTTTTGCTTCGTCTTGCTTTGATTGTCCTACCTTTGCATGTACATACACAACATACGCAAAGGCTTGTCTCAGAGGGGAGGTCCATGTAAAGAGAGAGAGGAAGAGGAGAAGCCTTCGATCCTTTTTCCTTTTCTAATTCTCTTGGCTCCTTTCGTCTTCGCTATCTCCTATCTCCCTCTCTCTCTCTCTATCTCGTTGCTATCACCACCGCAGTGCCATTTCGTTCCGTGAGTGCTGTTTTTTCGCAGTTTGTGCTTGTGCGTTCCTTACCTACCTATAGACGGTGCCGGAGGCTTCTTCTTTCTAGTGCCTTAGTTGGCTGGATCTCGCGCTGTGGGCGTGTGTGGTCGGTTGCTGGGGAAAGGTAGAATAGCGCGGGGTGCTGATGCGTCTGTGTCTCTATCTCTCTATCTCTCTATCTTTACATCTCTCTCCCGGTCGATCGATCGATCTCTTTGGCGCGCTTGCATCTAGCTGTGCACCTCTCTGGTCGTGATACGGCGGAGTGGGATCTGGATCTGGCTTCTGAACAGACGGTTACTTGCCCCCATCTGCTTGCTTGCACGCTTACACGCTTACGTGGTCAGCTAAGACGGTGCTGGCTCGGTGACGGGTTTCGTCTAGAAACAAGCTGCCCTAACGAACAATCGAGCATGCGCCCTTCCGCTACATGAGAGCTGGAACCTGGCTGCGCGATCGAGATCGCTGCTGTGTTGCTTGCTCTAACGACCTGGTATAAAAGAGGAGAGGAGGGCGCTCTGATATCCATATCCCTTCCTCCTCACTGCTCCTGGTTAAAGACATTAGGCTATCAAACCTGCCATTACTGACGCAGCTCACTCAGTGCAGCCTTAGCAGCATATTTCCCGCGGACTCCTCTCACGAAAAAGAGTTTCTCTCAATCACGTTCTTCCTCTCACGCTTCCACAACATCCCATCCCACCCCACCCGCACACACCAATGCCAGCGCCAAACACGCGCGTAGGCACCCTCTGGGTGTGCTGTCGCTGCCTCTAGTGGCCGACGAATTTCGGCCACTGCTGCGCTTGCACCAGGTGTCAGCATGCGCGCGCTGTTGGTTCTGTCGGCGGGTTAGGGTGTATGGGAGTAGTGGGGGGCGGAGGGGGAGGTGGAATAGATAGGGGGTTCTTAAGGGGGGCTTTGAGTTCTGGTTTGGTGCGCAGGTACGTGGTGGATTGTTTGGGTCGGGTTGGGTATGAGTGCTTTCTTGGAGCTTGCATTGTTAGGTCTTTAATGAGGATAGACTGGGTCTAGCGATGAGGGTTAAGGACTGTACTAAAGAGTTCTTTACACTACACTCTAGGCGATACTTATTTAAGTAAGACTTCTACAACTGTTACCTCCGTCGATGCTTGCTCGCTGCACATTCTACATCGGTCGGGGTGTGCTAACTACGCCACTTCTTTGTAGAAGTGCCACCTTGTACTGAGTATACCGAAACCATAGACTACCATAGTTTGCCTGCTTATTCCATAGCGTTGGTACTGGTTTTATCATCTGTCCTTCAACACCTACCGAATCAGGTAGTACAGCGTATTCCTTCGCATGTCGCCAGCCACTGTCTTACAGGCTGCCAAGACGCCTTTCCTAGTTATATAACGTCTTTCACCGGGAACCGAGATCCACAGCTTAGCAAGACAGGAGACGATACAACCAGTCCCTACAGAGTACACCTTGCCTAGCTCCTAGCCCGAGTCCCGGATGTAGATGAAATAGTTTTAGAGCACACATAGATTCTATATATCATAACTGGTTCTCTTCTTCTACTCTATACAAATATCACAAGTAATCATAGGCTCTAACGGCGCTAGCAGGGGAGGGGGGTCGCGAATTCACAACCCGTAATAGGATAAACTTAACTTTACGCTTCTATCTGGTGGGCTTCACACTCACACCTACACAGCCCGACTTCGAACCTTCCTCTCCCAACCCTCAAGCCAGCTACAATCCACAGACTTAATTTTGACATCCTACATTTAATTTGATGTATATAGTGCATTAATTGCAAACACTTTTCAACCATCAGGTGATCATTCACCTACATCTTCGATGGTCTAGTGGTGATGATTTCCGCTTGTCATTGATGATAATCTTCATTAGCAAGCGCGGGAGACCGGGGTTCGATTCCCCGTCGGAGAGTTCATTCTTTTGCTTTTTTTCTTCTTTTTTTTAATTTTTTTTTTTTCCTGCGTTTTTAATTTATGATTTGCGAATGCGGTATCACTTGAGATGTATTTGTATAGAGGTGTGTGTGCTGCACAAAATGAATCGGGTGGCTAGGGGATACTATATCGGCTTTCGCTGCTTCCTTCTCTTTGCTTTTGCAAGACTGCTTCCTATGGCTGCATGTTTGAACTTGCATCATGTACGACAAGTCAAAGGGGCGGATTCAAAAGATGGAATTGTATATGTATAGTAAATACTTTAACATTCTTGATTTATAACGCCAGCGAGCATGTCCAGTACGGTTTAATACTCTCGGGGGAACATGTCAGTGAGTAGTCAGTAAGCAATGTAGATAGTTCCGTATCTAAGCACGAGCATATTGTCTACAACAGCCGGTGAGCAAGTATAGTTACTATTTACATGTCCCACTCAAGCATCATATCTGGCCACGAGCGCAACCTCTAGAACTAGCTACGGAGTAATCCATAGGGAGCGGTTTATAGGTCTCGCACGTATACTACTTCATCGCACTAGGTAAGCGTCTATAAAACAGTGCGCGGACTAAAAACAGAATACTAAGCGGTCAGCGGAATAAAAAGGACTTACAGCGAGATAGCTATATAGAGCCTCTCTTCCGTCTTCATCATGTATCCAAGGAGTACTCTAGAGGTATAGTATGTTTTACTTAGTATATAGTCGAAAGGTGGGCAAGTCCACCGAGACTGTGCACCAGTAAACGCCCGCAAGGCACACTAACCCTACGCTTGACAGATCCCCCGACGCCACTACAGTACCACGCAACGCGCACGCACCGATCCATCTCCAACGACGACCGGCTTCATTGGTTCGGTATGCTGCTGTGCTAACAAGAAAAGAGCGCTGTTCCCCGGTGCTTAGCCCTGCCGGGTGCTGAAGAAGGCACTGACATACCCAGAGCTTTAAAAGAATAGACACGAAAGAGAGGGACGGGTACAGAAAGATCTACTGCAAGGTTTCCATCTTATGTATCACTATTTTCTTGCCGTCATTTCCGCCTGTCTTAGCCATTTACTACTCTCTCTGCAGATGCTTGTTCAGTGCACATTCTAGATCGATCGGGGCGTGCTAATTCTGCTACGTTCATGCAGATGCGTTGTCTTTGATCTAGCCTAGGTACAGAACAGTGATTAGGCAATTCGATTAACCTACCTCGTGTATAACCAGACTGCTTGCCCACTCGACTTAAGATCGGGTCGCCATTCTTCAGACCCAAGTTCTTCTCGTTGTTTCTTTTGAGTCTTCGTTAAGCGTGGCTAGACCCTTTTCTCTTGCAAAGGTCATACATTGTAAATGCCCTTGATAGATAGGTTCTTGTCAAGCTATGTGCTTGGGCTTTTAGCGGAGCTGGGTAGTCTGCGGTGGGTATATGTGTTCTCCATACCCCACATGCACCGGTATGTTGTATTAAAAGAAAAGACGCAATCTCGGCAGCTAAAAGCAATAGCTTTGCGATAATAGGTGTTGGGTGCAAGGAGGCGTAAACCCCACAGCAAAGCCAATAAGTCTATTACCACTCTACGACAACCCACCCCCAATTAACCAACCCGACACTGTCCCAACAAGCCCTCCCAAGGTCCCAGCGTCAGTTTCCCCTCCTTGGGCTTATCCACGTCCTCATCAGCCGTATAATTGCCCGCAACCCAGCGCTCAACGCCCACATCGGCCGGGATGTCCCACTCGATCTCTTCGCCCGAGAAGTTGAGCACCGAAACAAACGCCTCATGCTCGGACCAGCGCTTATACGCAAAGACGCTGGGGCTCTCGTCGCCCACGGGCGCAAAGTCGCCGTACACAAACACGTCCTTGTGCTGCTTGCGGTGGCGCAGCGCCCGCTGCCAGAACTGCCATACTGACATCTGCCCCACGACAATGTTGTACACCTGCGCGGCCGCATTGACCGTCTTGTAGTCGTCGATGACGCGCATCCACGGCCCGCGTTCGCCCGCCAGGTTGCAGAAGCCCGCGTTCGGCTCCGCGGACCATTGCATCGGTGTGCGTGCGTTGTCACGCGCTTTCTTTTGCATGATCTTGCGCGCCTCGTTGAGCTTTTCCTTGTCGTTGGGGTGCTTGGCGTTCATCCTGCGTGCGGGGTGTTAGTTAACCGTGGGGGCGGGATTGTGTGGGGGCGGATATGGGAGGAAGAGGGCACTCACTTCTTCCAATAGTTGATCGTCTCCACGTCCTTGTACTCACGCGGGTCCCACTCGGGCGGGATGTTGCGCATACCCAGCTCCTCGCCTTGGTAGACGTAGACGGTACCTCCCAGCGTCGTCTGCATCAAGCAGAGCAGCTTCGCGCCCGTGTCGCGCCACTCGTCGCTGTCATCGCAGAAACGGCTGACGCTGCGCGGCTGGTCGTGGTTCTCGACGAAGAGGCTGTTCCAGCCGTCGCGATCGATCATGAGGCGCTGCAAGCGCGTCACGATGCGGCGCAGGTCGCGGGCGTCCCACGGATGCAACGCCAGCTTGAAGTCGCCGGGCGCGTTGTCAATGTCCACAATATCGAACGAGAAGATCATGTTGAGCTCTTGCTCCTCGGAGCCAACGATGCGGATGATCTCGTCCTCGTCCCTTACGAACGGCATCTCACCGACCGTGATTGTGTCATACTGGCTGAGGACTTTCTTGTTGATCTCCTTCAGGAACTCATGAAGCCGTGGCCCGTTCGCGTAATATTTGTCGCCTGGCTGGTACTTGTGGCTCTTCACTGTGACCTCTGCGTCCGGGAAGTCCTGCACCTTGGAGATCAGGTTGATCACGTCCATGCGGAAACCCGAGCAGCCCCGCTCCAGCCAGAAGCGCATCACATCGTGCACCGCGGCCCGCAGTTCGGGGTTCTCCCAGTTGAGATCGGGTTGCTCCGATGTGAAGAGCGAGAGGTAGTACTCTTGCGTCTTTTCATCCCAAGTCCAGGCACTGTTGGCCTCGCCGAGAATCATCGCCCAGTTGTTCGGGGGCTCGCGGTTGCCATCGGCGTCATACTTGGCTGGCTTCCAGATGTACCAATCCCGCTTGGGATTGTCCTTGCTGGAGCGCGATTCGAGGAACCAAGAGTGCTTTTCGGCACTTGTTAGACATTGTTTTCCAGGGACGCATAAAACAAATAGTTGATAGACTTAAGAGGATCGGAACTCCAAGAAAAGTATGCAAACTTGAGAAGAAATGAGTTGATTGAACTTACCTGATCGGAGGTGTGGTTGACCACCAGATCCATCATCAGCTTCATGTCTCTCTTCTTCAGCTCCTTGATGAGCTCGTCAACATCCTCGAGGGAGCCATAGGCGGGGTCGATATCCTTGTAGTCGGAGATATCGTATCCCATGTCAATCTGAGGGGACTTGTAGACTGGAAATTGTTAGTTTTCGACAGTAGGCTTTGCGGCCCTTCTCACATACTCGGCGAGACCCATATTATGTCCACTGATAGGCATTAGCAGAGATTTGACAAAAAGGCCGAGCAAACAAACCTCCCAGGTCCTTCAAATAATCCAGCTTAGCCGTGATGCCAGGCACGTCTCCCCAACCATCACCGTTGGTGTCCAGAAACGAGGCCGGATAGACCTGTCTCCCGTCAGCGGCCGAATTTCGGTTCTCCACACAAAAGTTGACGCACCTGATAAACGACAGCGTCCTTCCACCACCTGTGTTTGTCTACGCCGGTTGGAGCCATGTATGCAAAAGGGGGTATCTGAAGTCAGGAACGTGCAAGGGAAAAACGGGGAGGGAGTCTAAATAAGAAAATATTGCGGCGCAGGATAAGACGGAGCATAAGATGAGGTTTTTGTGATGCGAACCCTGAAGCGCGGACCAGGTTCAGGTGCGGCGTGGAACCTCCTGCCCCCACACTCCAACACGTTGGCCTCCGACGTCATCATAGCGCTGGTGCTACGACGGTCAACGCCTGGCCGATTTAGTCGTGTCCGCCCTTAGCACAGATGATGGGACAGGTGGCGATTCTCATCAGTTCAGCGACACGTCAAACGGCAGTGTTCAGCGGTCGCGCAGAGCCCTCTGTCCTCCAGAGACACTACTGTAACGGCCGTCACACCCTGAAAAGCCATCCTTGTCGTCGCGTACCGCGCACAACGCGGGGGGCCTCGAGCCTGACATCCGGCAAGTCCCTATCGGCGAATCAATCCTTCGGCTCTCGCTGACCGACATTGGAGTGCCGGTTTTGTTTCCCCGGACGACACGGTGACATCAAAACTCGTCATGACGTGTAACAGGTCGTCGGTTTGGCGTTTGCTTGGCGCCGTGGTCCGGCGACGACTTATCGATACGCTTCCGCTGAAGCTGAGGCCCAGTCGGAAGGCAGCCGTCTGCGTCGCAGTCAACACCCAATGTCTTCTCTGTAGAGTAGTTATAACAGGGAATCAAGGGGCAATATAAGCCGTGTGCCTGGTGCACCCGTGACACGTCCGTGGAACAAGTCGACGGTTCGACTCGATGCTTTTTCGCCCTATCAACCGTTAAAGGCGAGCACAGGGACGCCTTTGTCGTCGATAAAGGTCGCGTCGAAACAGCCGACATCACAGGTAAGCACGAGGGTGCCTTGCACTACATATGTGAGATGTCTCACGGCATGCGTCTCCTAGCATCGCGGACTTCCCTCCGTCAATTCCACGCCATTGCTCATTCTCCGAAAGCCACACAGGCAGCTCACCCCCTTGAAGTAAGGTTCTTGCCGGGGTGGTGTCGCTGCTTGTGATTGGAGCAGCGAGCTACTTTGCATATGGGATGTTTACTTGAATAGCTTACGTGTAGCTCAAGGATTAAAGCTAGGTTGTCTGTTTGGGTCGAGATGTTTCTCTCTAGCTGGTTACGGACAGCTAGTCGAGCTATGGATGCCGGCATACGTTCCAGTGCGGGCGCAGATCGCATAAAGAGACCGATAGTCGGGAAGCATGCCAGGTCACGCAGCAAGAGAGAATACGAATGCAGCCGTACGCTTCTGCTTGCGCATTCAATGCCGCAGGTGTGGCTGATCGGCGGACGAGCCGAGGGTTGCGGTGCATGTCGAGGTCGGGATTGGACGAGGCCACGGGGACCCGAGGCTTGAAAGCGTCGCGGGTTAGCGTGGGGTGGTGTGCGGGCGCGGTGCCTGACGTGACCGAGCCGCGGCGGATGCGTCAAGCGTGGGAGACAAAGGGTGTGCGTGCCGGGTCGTGCGGCACGCAGCGCGACAAAGGAGGCGGAGGGTCGTGTGAGGTCGTTTCATGGTGGGCGGAGAGCGGGGATAGAGAGAGAGAGGGTGGTGTATGCGGGGATGCATACGAGAGTCTGTAGGTGTACGTATTCTTAGTATAACTAGCTAGATAGAGTAGTTGTATGGGACTTAGCTGGCATGGCCGCCCTTGCCGATTCCGCGTTGGCGCGCGCGCGGAATAGCGAAAGAGAGAAGGAAAGAGCGACCGATGCATCGTGACCCGCGACTTCCCCCCCCGCATTTGACCCCAGATCACGCTAGGAGCTTGGGCCAGGATGGTGTGACCAGCATATGCTTGCGGGCTTTTCGCCCTCTTGCGCTACCAACTGCCGTCTTCATGTCGACGGTCAGCTGCTCGTCTCCTCATCCCATCATCACGCCTGTACCACCAATGCCCGCTTCCGCCACGCCCCGCTCGTAGCTATATTGCCCCTCCCAGCCCTCCCTTTCTTTCTTCCTTCCCTCACACATCCATTGTGTAGCTGTGCCTGCAACTGTCTTGCCCAACGTCCAATCAACCCACCAACCATCGTCTTTGCTGCGAGCTCCATCAAGCTCCCAGTCCACCTGCTACACTCTCTGTTCGAGTTTCCGTAGCACAACCACCTCTTTCCAACCATGTCGGCCGATACCGCACCCTTGTCCAAGGTCGATTCCGCCGTCGAGCCCGGCTCTCCCACTCACGAGCACAAGCTCGAGCACAAGGCTCGTCGCCGGTCCAGCGCCAGCAACCCCGACGTACATAACATCAACGACCTGGGTAAGTCGTGGCACGTGCCGCAGCCGGGGTCAGATCGCCGTGACTGACAAGCTCCCAGAGAAGCAGAATGTAGACCTTGCGATAGCACCCGAGACTCAAAAGCTGAACTGGTACGTTTGACCGTCCTACTTTTGTTGTTGACCCCGCTCTTTCACTTGTACCCCTCCCTGCTCTTACGTCATTGCCCACTGTGCAGCCCGATGCAGCAAACTGACCATCTCCAGGAAACTCAACACGTCACCAGCAACGCTGGAAGACTGGAAAGACGCGTTAAAGAAGCCGCTCGTCACACCAATGGTCAAGAAGATCGACCTGCACTTCCCACTAGGCCTCGACGTGACAGCACGGAACCTCAAGGGCGTGACAATCAAGGATGCGCTAGACGCCATCTACAAGCAATTCAAGAAGAGGGTAGGTCGATTGACACAATGCCATGAATGGCATCCCCATACTCAAATGCATGTTGACGTCCAGCTAACACCCATTGTCATCAGTCCGACGACGAACTCGACAATCCCATCCTCGCTGGCTTCGAGTGGGATCGTGAAGAGTGCTACACGCGCTTCATCGTGCACCAGAAGAAGGATGCGGGCCCAGCCCCGACCAAGAAGTCGAAGAAGAAGGACAAGGAAGCCAAGGCCGAAGAGGCCCTGGTCTAATCACCCGACGCTTCTTGCCCCACACTGCGCGTGAATGATAGGGGCAGAGCTAGGCAGACATGCCCAGGCGTCTGCGGGTAGACGACCCACTGATTTTACGAATGGCGTTGCTCGGAAGGAAGGACGGACGGACGGATAGGAATGGAATGGAACAGAACGGCAGCAGGTCGGCGCGCCGTAAATGAACCAACAGAGTTGTTGTTCTTCTCCTCCTCTACTCTCTTCTTTCGCTTTTTTGGCTTTGGTTGCTGTCCTTTTCGCTCTCACGTACGCACATGTACTCCCACCCAATACCGGTCGCACCGCACACGATAGCTGGGCGGCGATGGGGACGGGAACGCGGGTTAGCTGGCTGGGCTGGCGAGCTTGCTGTTGCTGTTGCTCTTTTTGCTGTACCACTATAACGAACCTAACTTACCTCATCTCACCTTGCCTTACCTTGCCTGATGTGAAATGAGAGGATTAATAGCCTATGGTGCTAGAATGCTGTGATTTTGTTTGGTCGGTTTGGGTTTTTGCGTGTGTGCGTACAAATATGCGGTGCCGTGATGTGTCCTGTCATGTATTTCGAGACATGCTGTGAGTGGAAATTGGTGGTTCCTGTGGTTGTCTGTTGTGGCGTGTCGCTGTGTATGTATGTGTGCGTGTGTGTCGTGGTACTGTTATCGTTGCTCTCGTCCCGTCCGTGTATACCTGTGCTTGTACCAGTGCATGCACAATCAAGCAGCCAGCCACCTCAGTACGCCTCAACCCCATCACCCTGCCCCGCCGGTAGCAGTGAGAGCGGCGCGGAAGCGCAAAGCCAAAGAAAGAAAGAGATGGTAGCGCTTCATGCACTGCAGCGCGTACTACAAGCAGATACTAGCGCCGGGGTGCTGCCTGGTGGTCGGTACCAAGTAGGTATGGAAGTACGTGGTTATGACTGGTTGTGCTTTTGTGGGGTCATAGAGTAGATAGATGGGGAAAGGGGGTGCAGGGAATAGATCGGGCTGGGGAGGTCGTGGGGTGGTAGGTGCCTGGGGAACGGGATGGGAAGGGCGGGAGAGAGTGAGATGGAATTGGAAAATGGGATATGAGGGGGAGGGGGAAGGTAAAGGTGTTGAAGCTGTCTGTGCGCGTGGGGAGGACTGAACGTGGGTACGAGAAAGAAAAGGTGCGAGGATGTGCGGGAGAGGAGAGACGAAATAGGTACTTATAGAAAACGAATAGATAGATAGGAGTTTACGAAACAGAAATGCTCTTACCTACTTGGGCACCTAGGTGTTTGCATGCCTGCGAACTCACCTCGCTCATGCAAGGTCCACCCGCCCGGCCGACTATCATGACGCAGTCGCCGCCTCAGCAGCCCGCTGCTTGCTACTCGCTGCACGGCAATGGACAGGCAGATAGACAGGCACGGCACGGCACGGCAGCGAGCGAGCAAATGCTGCACCCACGCGCCCAGCCCGTCGGCCTTGTGTTTATATCCATCCGTCTGTCTGCGTCGTTATGCCGATGGCGGAGTCGGCGCGTAGCTGGGCTTGAGGCATCGCGGGCGGACGTCGCCTGCGCATGCGACTGCAGCGGGTGGGCCCGCGGAGGGGACTGTGGAGGAGGTGGTGGTGCGTGTGGGCATGCGGGGCGCGAGAGCATGGCTGGGGCAGCCTATAGGCAGATATGTTTCGTAGCAGGAGTGGACTACCTGCGCGGTTAGCAGGCAGAGCGGGAGCGCGAGAGCGAGCAATTGAGCAGCACATCGTTCCTAGTCGTGTCCGTAACGTGTGCATACATTTCTTGACGAATTTCTCTTGCCGCCATGTATTCGACTTGCTCCAACGACGTAGGTAGGTACGATGTCGGTTTTGGATTTCCTCAATTGTTGTCTTGTCGCTGCTGCCCATGTCGCTGCGCGCTCCCATCGCCGCCGCAGGCGTCCCTGCTTGTCTTGTCTGTCTGGCCTGGCTGCACTCGGCTCACTGTGAACGAGAAAAAGAAATTTTCAGCATTGACGGAATCTCCAATTAGGTTTTACACCTGAATCTTGCCCATCGTGAATGCCGTGATGCCGTTTTTCGCTGTTAAAAAATGGCGCCAATCCCCACATGAAGAAACCCGCACACCCCCGTTCGTCACGCTTACTCCTCGATGACGTTGCCCCTCTCGGAGACGTACAGACCGTCCAAGAACTGCACGCTGTGGTTAGCCAGGCGCTCGTGTCCCAATGTCCGCGCGACGGATCCAAACTGACCTTCCGGATATCCTTGTTCCTCACACGGCAGATCTGCTGGATATCGGCGGCGCTCTGGGAGACGCTCTCCAGGTCGTTACCGGTGAGCTGGAGCTCGTCCTTGACGTTCTTCGACGCGACGACGTCGACACCGGGCTGCATGACGACCCTGCGGACAATCTTCTCGCCCAGGAAGTTACTGTAGCCAGCAATCAGCCTCCGCGCACAATGACCAAATTTTCCGGCGCAAGCCGCCGCTTCCTCCCAGATCTTCACCCCACGTACCGGATCTCGACCTCGAACAGGCCAGTCTCGTTGTTCTTCTCGAGGTTGACGTTGATGGGGAAATGGGCGTAGACGTAGCGCATCTTGTACTTGAAGCCCTTGGTGACACCGATGATCAGGTTGTTGATGATGGTGCGGACGGTCCGGAGGGTGGCGACGTTCTTGCGGGAGCCATGGTGGAGCTCAATGTTGATCTGGTCCTTCTTGGGGTGCTGGAAGGAGACCGCAAGGTGACCGAGGTCCTTGGTGAGCTTGCCTATGAGACCGTCAATCCTCGCGTCTCGCCATTGCCGGGCTCCCAAATCACCGCGGGGAGAGCCTTCGCGGCGGGTGGTCGAATCGTACCTCGGGGACCCTCAACGGTGACAACCCTCGTCTTGATGTGCACCTTGACTGTGATTCGCGACTCGCGTTAGCCGGGGCGCTGGCGGGCGTTGCGGATTTCGCGGTCCTCTACTCACCACCCTCGGGGATGTTCAGCGACTCCTGGCTGTGAATGTACTTCATCTTGAGTCGAGTTTGGGGTGTGTCGAACGGGTCGTCGTCGTCTGGTCGTCTCTCGTCGCCGGTACGCTCGAAGATTTGGTGGTGCGAAATTCAAGCGAGTGCGGATTAAAGCCGGCCCGCGTCCGCTTCCGCTTCGGGTAAGGCAGCGATTCGCGCTGCTTGCCTCTCACCACCTCACTTCATCATCCTGCTTGGACGCGTTTGTTGCTGTCCTCTCAGCGAGACACCCCGCCGTTCTTTGTCGACTCGCTTCTCTGCCTCTTAGAGACGCGGTGTTCTTGGCGTTACGGCCCGTCGTCCGGATGCAGTAATTCTTCGCTTCACTTCGCTTCGGTCAAGCCAGCATCATCGAGACTTGCACGGACGCTGGTGTTATCTTCTGGATGTTCGAAGTATTGATGTTTCTGATATGCGATGACATTCCTTGTACCTACCCAATCGCAGAAAGCTTCAACTTCTTACTAACATACGACGGACCGAGCCTTGATCGCTCGTGGCACGGGCCTGGAGGTGACCGAACGGAGATGTCTACTATTGTTCTTATAATCCCATCTTCACACCAGAGTCAGTGCAAATCCTGGCCTTTTCTGGGTTGAGTAGCACAAGGGTTGGCTTTTGTTCACGAAGACAAAGCTTCACTTATTATGATCAACTACGATTGATTTAACTCAATCTCATTTCCTTTGTAAATGCGATTTCCGCCTTTAATTGTCCCAATATTTCCCTATTAACCGCACGACCAAACCCAACTGAAAACGATAGGAGAATCAAGAATCTAATAAGATAGGAGAGAAAACGGCACCGTACAACTCATCGTACAGGAAATAACTTATCTACCCGACAAAATGTTTATTGCGGACTCAGCCTTCCGTAATTCGCATACGGATCGTCATTGTACTTGTCGTGCTCGTTGGCAGCTGACCCGTAAGCCGACATACGGCCCGCACTGGTCTTCATGAGGCCGCGGCGAGCATCGACAATCGGATAGGCGTACACCTCTGAGCCAGTCTTGAGGTCATCAGCACCATCGTGCACCGTAATGGGGACCGTCGTGGCGGTCAGACCGCGCGGATGCGAGTTAACGTAGATGCCTTCCCAGTGGCCGGCGGGGGAGCGGTACACCTCGTGCCAGATGCTGATGTGCGCCAGCTTGGCCAGGTGCGTGTTCCACCAGTTCCAGGCCTCGCGGTGTAGCGGGTCGTGTGCGAACTTGTGCAGGCCCCTGGCGGCACGGTTAGAGGAAACTCGGCAGCAGATGGGGAAGTGGAGCTGTGACTCACTCGGTGCTTTCAAAGTACATGACCGTCATCAGCTCGTTTTTCGATGGGCGATCGCCGCTCACAGTGTATGAGGTCTGGCCTAGGAGACCATACTCCTCGGCCCGCGCTGCCGCACACTGTTAGCTCTGGATCTCGGTGCTGAGGTCGTGTTTCTTACCTTCAACATCAGTATGCAGCTTGGTGGTGAATTCGCCCAACTCTTTACCTCCAGGACTAAAAATACCGAGCGGGCTGCGGGGATGCATTAGCGGGGTGTGTCAGCGTGCCGAAGCTACAATACGTACTGGTTGAAGCGCGCGCCGATCATGAAGACGACAACCTCTCTGTCAGCAGGCTTGTCACCGTAGTTACCCGCCGCATCCGGGAAATGGGCGGCGAATTTATTCTTGATAACGCCGTCCATGAGATGGTTAGGGCGCGAGCCCTTGGTGATGAGTGCTGTGTCAACAACGCGGTAGAAGAGGAGCAGAAAGGCGGGGACCAGGGCGATGCGGCCCAGAAGCGCATAGGTCAGGGTCTGCAAGCACGCGCCGACGGCGAGCCATGATGAGAGGGAGAGCTGGCTTTTGACGAGCTGGAGAGACTGTCAGTTTGGTTTTCGCATATGTGGTGGTTAGTTGCGCAAAGCACGGATCCGCAAACCTGCGTGACAAGCGACATGGAAGACAGCAACATGGCAGGCTACTCACAGCAATAAGCCCCATAGGCAACAACCCCCACACCTTGACCTTCTCGGCGCGCACCGTCGCAGATACAGGCCGCGTCGACACCGGCTTCACCAAGTTAACAAAACCCATGATGTCTTCTCTTTCCTCGCTCAATTGGAGCTGGTATAGGCAGTAGCAGGAGCAAGCAAGGAAACTGGCACGAGTGATATGAGGGACAACAAAAATAAGCAGCACGGCACGTCGAGTATTTAAACTCGCGCGGCGGAAAGCACCAAGGTACAGGCGCACCACTCCTATTCCTCTGATTATTTCACAGCCGCGTTGATCGGCGCCAGGGCATGTGTATGTGTCAAAGTCAGACAGCGGGACTCAGTAGTCAGGCAAGCCGCTGGCATCCGTATTTGCTCACTGATGGAAGAAAACTCTCCGACGACGCCGCCCAATGCGGGCTCGCGGTCGGTCGGGCAACTCAGTCTCTCCGCACTGTGGCACAGCGCCATGGATCGCCGCAGCCAAAAACGCCGCCGTTCCCCATCTCCACGTCACCGCCCTCGACGTCCTGTCTCTTCTCTAGAGTACCTGGTCCGACGCGGCCGCTTCAGTCTCTCCGCCTGAATGTGCGTGCGTGCGCTTCTGCTGCTAATAACGGCGTTTCCCTCTTTCCGTCGCCCTGTGGCCCGCGCCCGCGCGCTCCCTGATCCCCGCGCGCCAGGCGCGTCGGGCCGCGCTAGCCCGGTTCGGGCGCCCTGGGCCTCCATGGGCGCGCGCGCTGCGAGACTGTCTGCCGTTCATCTTCTCGGTGCTGTGCGCGTGCTGGGCCGGGAGGGTCGTTTGCCCATCCGACCCCAACTCCAATGCTGGATGATGCGCTTACTGTACTTCTACTCCTGCTCCTCCTCCTAGTTGGAGCGCGCTACATACTCCGCAGCACATACTTTGTGGTGGCAGCGAGAGCACTGGCGGTAGGCAACTATGTAGCAGCTGGCATCACAAGGGCGAAGCAAGCCCTCGCCGCTGGACCCGCCGTATTGCTGATGGGCTATGGAGCTGCTGGAGGCGTGGCTCAGCTGGCTGGTAAGTGAGAAGCTTAGCCATTCCCTGCGTGAGTGTGCTTGCTGCATGTTCGTGGAGTTCGTTCGGGGAGACATTTGAGTTTGTTCGTTCGTATGTGTGGATGTATGGGTGTGCGTGACTGGCTCGTGTGGCTGCGGCGCAGAGAGCCACGAGGCATGGCGCGCTTACTACGTGTGTGTGTCTGTGTGTGTGGTGGACATACTCCTAAGAAGGCTGGGCTTGGGGGGTGCTTGTGAAGGTGGACACGCGGCGTGAAGACGGCGTTGAGGCGGTGGAGATACGGTGAGGTTATTTGGGTAGGGCTTGGTGTAGCTTTTTTGGGCTCGTTGCTGCGGTGCGATGGGGTTGAGGGCTTTTGAGCATTTTTGAGGTGTGGAATAAGGTCTATGGCACGCCGGCACTGCTGGTTGGCGGGTGGCTGGTTGTTGCCTGCTTGGCTGGCTGCTGTTGGCTCTTTATAGTGGGCAAGGCTCTGGATGGTAATTTGCTTGCTCTTTCTGGCTGGCTTGCTTGCGCCTTGACTGTCTAGTAGATTGTGTTTAATGTACCGACCAAGCACTCTTTCTGTGGCTATATGGAGTTATAACACTACGTACGCTCGGTCCGAGGACCCGAACGTCAAAGCGTGGCAGGTGTACTGGGACTGGTGCTGTTAAAGACGGTGGAGGAAGAGAGCCGTGCGGAGAGGGACCGTTAAGGGAGGGATGATTGCACGTCGATAGTTGCTATGCGGTTACCAAGGTGAGGAGGTGTGAGGGTACAATATTATCTGAATGGGTATCAAATACAAGGGTATGATAAACAAACAAGAGCACGAGGACACAAAGGCGACAGCGTAAAGACTAAGTCATGAACCAACCCCACTCCTCCCATCACACCTTACCTCACCTCTCATCCAAACCAGCCAACCTACCTATTACTCCCTTTCTTTTCCATCCCAGCCACCACCCTAGAAAACCCCTCACACATCCTCGCCGCCTCAGCAAACCCATCACACGCATAAACGCCGACGCCACTTTCCCTAATAAGCTGCAGGCCCTCCTCCTCATTCGAGCCCCTCAACCTCACCACAACGGGAATGCCTCTTTCCTTTAGCTTCAACTCGTGAAAAGCAAGCAAGATCCCCTGCGCAATCATATCGCAGAGGGTCAGGCCGCCAAAAATATTCACAAATATGACCTTGACGCGGGGATCCGCGAGCACGAGCTTGAACGACAGGAGCACCGTCTCAGGGGTAGCCTTGCCGCCCGTATCCAGGAAGTTGGCAGCGCGCCCGCCCTCGGCGCTGCTGTGCTGCGCCAGCGCGTCGACCGTGTTCATCGCCAGCCCGGCCCCGTTCACCACCGTGCCGACGCTGTATCTGGCGCTGTCGCCCTTGCCGTCCCCAAGCAAAGTGTACACGATGCCGTGGCGGGCAGCCTCTTCGTACGCGGCCACGAACGCGTCAACCGCACTGCCTTCGCTGGCACTACCGCCTTCTCCGCCGCCCGCGCCAGAAGTCGCTGCTGCTGCTGCTGCTGCTGCTGCTGTCTCGCTAGCGTCCCCGCTCTGCGCCTCCCCTACTACCTGCTTCTCGCGACTGAGAGCCCCGCCGTCGAGCATGATTTCCGGCCGCCACAGCTCCATCACCGGGTTCTCGACCGCGGGGTCGGGGTTCACGCGAGCGCGCAGGCTGATGCTTACGCACTCAGCGTCCACAAAGACGCGCCAGAGCTTGAGCAGCAGGGCGCGGACGTGGAGTCTGCCGGCCCAGTCCTCGGGAACCTGAACGAGCGGCGGGACGCCATCGTTCCAGCTTTCCTTCTGGTCGCGCACCTGCCGTACTGTGCTTGCGCGGTAGAGGCAGTTTTCGGCTTGCTCGAGCGTGGCGGCGTCGTCGGGGCCGGTGAGGGCGTCGATGCGCACGAGGAAGGTGGAGTTGGGGAAGGGTGGCGAGGTGAAGGAGAAGAAGAAGGCCGGGCTGCGCGAGGCCTGGTCAATGGTTATGCCTAGCGTTATGGCGTGAACCGTCTTCAGTTGCATGTCGTGCTGGGCGAGGAGCGCGGTGCCACTGTCCTCGGGGAGGTACATGCTGTAGCTGCGGCGTTGGGGGGAGGCGGGCTTGGGGGCGTATGATGTGGAGGGAACGGTGGGACGTCTGGTGGTGGTGGTGTGGTAGCCACGGTACTTGGTGGTGGTGAATGAGGGAAGCTGCGTCGTGTATCAATCAGTACGTATTCTGCCTACCTCTTCCTCTTCCCAGAACAGACACTTACTTCACTGCCATGAGCGCTCCAAATTCTGTTACTCCTCGTCCCAATTACTCCACTGCCATGAGCGCTTCGAATTCTGTTACTCTCTGCCAGCAGTTGCTTCATCACAGTCCCAAACTTCTCAGGATGATCGACCATGACCGCCCCCGCTTCCTGGAGTTTTTGGTACTTAATCCTGGCGCCCCTATCCCCCGGGACGACAAACGCGCCCGCATGACCCATGACACGGCCGGGGGGCGCCTGGAGGCCAGCCACGAGCGCAGCAATCGGTCTAGAAAGAGAAAATCAGCACATCCGCGCAACCAAAACAGGCACACTCACTTCGGCCGCACACAGCGCTTCCTATACGCCTTAATCCAAGCGGCGGCCTCCTCCTCGGCGCGCCCGCCTATCTCCCCCACAAGCACAACGCCCTGCGTCTCGTCGTCGTCCTCAAACACGCTCAGCGCGTCGACAAAGTCCGTCCCGGGCAGGACGTCGCCGCCAACGCCAATGCACAGGCTCTGGCCCAGGCCTGCGCGCGTGAGTGACGCCGCCGCTTCGTAGCTCAGCGTCCCCGACTTGGCTGCGATGCCCACGCTGCCCGGCGCGTAGCAGTTGAGTGGCTGGAAGCCGATGCGGCACCGCGCGAGAGGCGAGATGATGCCCGGTGCGTTGGCGCCGACGAGCCGGGTGCGCGTTTGCGTGGACAGGATCGCGTGGATCTGGGTGGCTTTAGTACGGGGACTGCGGTACCTAGATGCCTTCCACCCTTCCTACACAACAACAACAACAGCAGCAGCAGCAGCTTCATCATCAACCCCACCACCACCACTACTACAGAACACGCTAGCTAGCCAAGCAGGTCGCCGGCGACAAACAGTGCCGACTCCCCACCCACACCTATACGAGACGCCAACCTACCCTCAGCATGTCATGCAAAGGCACATGTTCCGCGACGGCAACCACAAGCGGGACCTCGGCCTCGACCGCCTCCTCAATCGCCCTAGCAGCCTGCCCCGCGCCGACATAGACGCCCGTCGCGTCCGGCTGCAGCAGGGCCACGGCCTCGCGCACGCTGCCCAGCACCGGCAGCCCGAGATGCTCGTCGCCGGGCGCGGCGCCCGCGTGCACGCCGCCGACGACGCAAGTGCCCCAGGCCAGCGACTCGGCTGCGTTGGCTGTCGCGAGCCGGCCCTTGAAGTTCTGGAAGATGACGCGCGTGCCCGCGTGCAGGCGCAGGTTGGGCAGCGTTGATGCGTAGCGCGATGAGGGCGGGGGCGGGGACAATGGCGCCGTCTCCTCCTCCTCCTCCTCCTCTTCCTCCGCCGCCAACGCCGCCGCCGCCGTGAACGTGGATTGCGCGCGCCGGCCCGTGCTGCGCGCGGATGAGGAGGCTGCGTTGCTGGCCCGCTGCTGGCTGGGCAAGATGGGTGATTGGGAGTGGGGACAGCAGGTTGCGAGGCGCCTGCTGGTGGGATATGGCGATCGGCGGAGGGATGGCAGGCGCGCGAGGCTTCGCGGGGCCATGGTCGGCGGGCGGACCTTGGGGCGGTGGTTTAGTTAGATGGGGGTGGCGGCGATCTACAAGAGTGGGTTGGGTTGGGCAGGCCCCCCGCGCGCGTGTACGAAGTATCGAGTACAGTACTGTAGGTAACTATGTAGTATGTGCAGGATGGCGCGGCGGACGCTGCGATGAACAAACAGGAGGTAGGGAACGAGAGCAAAACACGCGGAGCGAGCGAGAGCAGGGCGCGCTTCCATATTAGAAGTGCCCGCCCGGCGTGTGTGCTGTGCCGCAGCACGCGCAGGTGCGTACATTGCATAGGCGAAAGACCCGGAGACGACGCAGGGGCAGGGTGCAGGCAGGGTGCAGGCAGGGTGCAGGGCAGGGTGCAGGGCAGGCAATCAATCCAAATCCCCAGGCAGGCCCCGAGGCACACAGCGATCGATGGCGTCATGGCCTGCCCATGCATCCCCACATGCAGCTCGGCGGAAACCCCGGAGTATCCAGCCCCGTACGAGTAGGTTCGAGGCCTTTGTCGACCAGCTCCCGCAACGCGCAAGCCTTTTGCGATTTTTATAGAAACGACCAAGGGCTTGCTTGCAAGCGTTCCCCTTGCTTCCTTCCTGTGCGACTGCTGTGGTTCTTCTTTGCTTCCTTAGGTCCAATCCCAATCTTAGTTCTTCTTCTTAAGACCGATCGTGAGATCGAGTCGACCACGCTACTCCTACTACCTGCCGACCGACCTCCACCCCCCCCCGATTCCTCCGCATCACGCAACGCAGCTCCTCCGCGTTGGCTGCGTCTGGTCGGCACGTTCACGTCCACTACTACCTTACATACATCCTCCACTTCCACCACCACCCCAACCCCAACCAACAATGGCATCCACCGCCATCCCCTCCGAGGGTGCGTCCTCCCCTCCCTTCCATCTCACACCACGCAACGCAACGCAACGCACGCACTAACACCCCCCACAGACCTCGCCTCCACGCTCAGCACGCTCAAGATCAGCACGTCGACCGAGCCTTCGGCCATAGTCGGGAAGCCCAAATCCAACACCACCACCGTCGCCGACTCCTGGGAAGACGACGCCGACTCGGACGGTGAAGGCTCGGGCGCCGCAACCCCCACGGCTGCCGCGTCGTCGTCGTCGTTGGGAGCTGCTGACGCAGCCGCACCCAAGCTCAAGGCAAGCGAGGGACCGCTGGCGCCGCCGCCCACGCCCGCGTCGCCCGAGTCGGGCATCAAGGCCGCCGAGGATGTGTGGGATTCGCCGTACTATGGCGCCGTGGGCGGAGGCAACGCTGGCGCAAGACCGACGTCTCCACCTGCGCGCCGCCCCGAGAAAACGACGGCCGTGGCGGGCAGGCTCATAGCGGGTGCGCTGGGGGTGCGGGCGCCGAAGCGGACCGAGGAGGAGCGGGAGTTTGATCGCGCGGTTAGGGAGAAGGAGAGGAAGAGGAGGGAGAGGGAACGCGAGGATAGGGAGAGGGAGAGGGAGAGGGAGGAGAGTGCCAAGAGGAGTGTTTGGGAGGATTAGTTGGTTGGGTGGGAAGGTAGGGCAAGGGGAAGGAAAGGAAAGGAAAGGACAAAACAGGACAGGCCGCAGTGCAGCGATGCGATGCGATGCGGCGGCGTTCATATGCGGTCTACACGCGTTCTATACTATACTTACTACATTAAGTGTACACATACATACATACAGACATAAGCAACATAAGCAGCTCTACTTGCCTGCAGATAAGGTTATTAGCTAGCTAGTTCGCTGGGATAATCAATGGCTAGGTTGCACGCGTTTAGTTATTTTATTCCTTTGCTGACTTGGGTCCATGCGTCGCTGCTCGGGGTTAAGCCAATTCCCCGACGGCCCGCCATCCTTCCTTCTCCGCAAACGCAAACGCAAACTCAAACCCACACTAGGTAGGCACTCCTCCTATTCAATCAACCAATCAATCAACCAAGTAAGCCCAGCACAGGCCCGGTCTCAGCTGCCTACACAACAAATTAAATAAAAGAGCTAGTGCGGTCGGCCTTTGGGTCGCGTCGGTGTTGTGGTGAATATGGGCCATGGGGTTGTTATCCCGAGGGGGGATGCGTGCGGGTTGGGTAGGGTCTGCGGTATAAGAAGTGAGGGTGCGTGAGGTGCGTGGTAGGTTGCAAGCAAGCAAGCAAGCACTCAAGCGTACTTCTCCCCTCTCTTTGGAAGCTCTAAAACCACACACACACACTCTCTCTCTCTTTCATCTACCACCCAACACGACACCACCACCATGGCCGCCCCCAGAATCGCCATCATAGGCGCCGGGCCCGCCGGCCTCACGCTCGCGCGCCTCCTCCACAACCACCGCATCCCGAGCACCGTGTTCGAGAAAGCCGCCTCCCCGCACACGCAGCACGCGGCGGGCGGGTCGCTCGACCTGCACGAGACGTCCGGGCAGCGCGCGCTGCGCCTCGCGGGCCTGTGGCCGCAGTTCCAGGCGCACGCGCGCTACGACGGCCAAGACGTGCGCATGCTCGACCGCGCCGGGACCTCGCTGCTCGACTTGCGCGGCGCCGACGCCGGCCGCCCCGAAATCGACCGCCCCGTCTTGGTCCAGCTGCTAAGGGACTCGCTGCCGGGCGAGGCGGTGCGCTGGGGCAGGCGCGTCGCCCACGTCGACGCCGACGCCGGCACGGTGCGCTTTTTTGCCGCCGACGACGGCAGCAGCAGCAGCGAAGAGCGCTTCGATTTGATTGTCGGTGCAGACGGCGCCTGGTCCCGCGTCCGCCCGGCCGTGTCCACGCTCGCGCCCTTCTACGCCGGCGTCAGCGGCGCCGAGCTCTGGATCCAGGACCCGGCAGCCACGGCGCCGGACGTGGACGCGCTGGTGGGCTCGGGCACGGTGTTTGTATGGGGCGAGGAGGCGGGCGGCGGGGCGTGCATCGCGGCGCAGCGCTCGGGGACGGGCAGCATCTGCGTGTACGCGTTTGTGCGGCGCGGCGAGGGGTGGCTGGGCGCGCAGGGCGTCGACTGGACGGATGTCGGGCAGGCCAAGGCGGCGCTGCTGCCCGAGTTTGAGGCGTTTGCGCCCGAGCTGCGGAGGCTCGTCGAGGCGTGCGACTGCCGCGCCAGCCCGAGGCCGCTGTTCATGCTGCCCGTGGGCGCGCGCTGGCCGCATCGCCGCGGCGTGACGCTCGTGGGCGACGCCGCGCACCTGATGACGCCGTTTGCGGGCGAGGGCGTGAACGCGGGCATGGGCGACGCGGTCGAGTTGGCCGAGGCAATTGTCAAGGCCTTGTGTGGGGGAGAGGGGTTAGGGGAGGGGGCCGAGGATGCGGTAAAGGGTCAACTGAAAGAGGACTGGACCAAGGAAGCCCTGGACGCCGCGGTGCGTGAGTACGAATCGCACATGTTTCCGCGCGCCGAGATGCTCATGAAGATGACGTGGGATAGCTTGCAAGAGCGCTTCGAGCCCGGCGGGGGCAAGAGCTTCGCGGACCGCATGCTGTTTTTGCTTGAGCAAAGGGAGAAGGGCGAAAGGGTTGTTGATGGGGGGGTGGGGGCTGAGTGAGTGAGTGAGTGAGTGAGGAGGGGGTTGTTGTTGTTGTTACAACTTAATGTAGATATTGAAGATGCTACAATTATACCTAGCTTCATAGCAATTTGGCATACGTTCGCTTCTACAGAGTACTGCTCACTGCGGGGATTATTTCCCCTCTGGCCGTAGTATGGCATGCATATTCATGGTTGCTCGTGCACCCTCTTTTTCTCTTCAGTCTTCACTGAGCTCTTTGGACTTGCGGCCGGCATTTGCTTACGAGAAACAGTATCCTCACTCATAGCTTGTTTACGTAGAAACAGCAGCACGCAGACGGCCACGCCTAGTCTAACTCGTCAAGCCTACACTCCATAATTAAGATCAAAATAACCGGCCGGCTAGCTCCCCTCCACCTCACCACAAACCATATATGCCACCAGCGCCATCCGACAGAGGCATCGAGTATTGGGCTCGCAGGCGGTGGAGACGACGATTCTGCTTATCACTTGGTTCAACGCTGGAGACGAATCACCATCATGAGGACAAAATGTATTCAGTTCCGGCGCCCAACCGCCTCTTCGAAAAGAGACCGGGGCGCCTTTCGTTTTAGTGTATTTTCTGTTTTTTGGGATGGGGTCTTAGAGCATCTTTTACGATGCTTCAAAGCCCCTTTTCCTGCGATTTACGCTTTTTATTTTTTATACGTTTGTTCCGGTTTCTTTGGGGATGAGACGGGCGCGCCAAACCGCTAGTAGAAAGCTTGCGGTGCTAGACGCAGGACAGACGAACTGAAACAGCGGAAACTTACCTTACCTAGCAGAGCCTCTACTTGCGTCTAGAGACGCTGCGGGCTGCTGTACTCGGAATCTCATCACATCTCATCCACGCCCCCGATTCTTGAGCAGGCTGCCCGGGACCAGGGAGCCGATGAAGCGGACGGCCTTGTCGATGAAGAGACAGGGGCAGTTGCAGCACAGGCGGTGCGTGCACTCTCCGCTCTGGCAGGACTTCGCCACGTCCGAGTTCTGGTGGTAGCACTGGCAGCAGCGCCACATGGTTGCTTGGTGGTTGGTTGTTTTTGGTGGGTTGCTGAAAGAGTGCGTTTGAGTGCGTTGTATAGGCGCGTAGGGCTTTTGGTGCTCTGCGAAGCTGTCTTGTGTGCTGGTGATGGGCTCGATGGGAGAAGTACGATGATTGTTTATATAGTGCCTACACTGCTTCTGTAAAACATATTGTTGAGACGAATCTGTGGACATGACATGTTTTTAGAAAACATGTCCCTCGTCAGGCATAACAATGCAGTGATTCACCAAAAGTCTACGCCAACCCCACAGACAAAGAAGACAAAGACTTCCCAAATTAGCCCAAGCGCCCACGCATGCCCTCCTTCCTCTCTGAACCCAACCCCCATCACCACCAAACCCACACTCAAGGCCAAACCCAAAAGCGCATATCCGGCCACGACGCGTTCCCCCTCGGCACCTCAGACCCCGCTCTCCCACCAACATACGCCTCGTTCCGGCACCCCCGCGGCGCGCGCATACCCCGCTCCCACGCCGCAAAGCAGGTAGCGCAACACCCGTGCCGGCACGACCAGCACGCCGCGCGGCTCCAGGTGTTGGTCCACACGCCGCAGCGATGGCACGTCCAGAGGCCGCGATTGACGCAGCCGGGGAGCGCGGCTGCGCTGGCCATGGCGCAGACCTAGTCGTGTGCTGCTGCTGCTGCTGCTTTGGAGGCGGCCGGCCGCCGTCGCTGCGGCCTAGCTGTGTGTGGTTGTGCGGGAAGCCGGGGGCCGGAGTCTGGAGAGAGGCTGCTGGTGCTTTGGTGTGAGTGCTGGTCGTGCGGGCTAGCGTCTCTGTGTGTTGTTTAGTTTGCGGAGAGCGGAGAGGAATTCCATGGCTGGCATATGCATGCTTGGCTATATACATATGGCCAGGGCGTGGCTTGCTGCGTTTGCGCCGCTAACGAGCCACATGATCTTGCTTTCCTTCACCGTTTGCTGGCATGCGGGTTTGCGCTGAGCAATTGTCCTGTCCCGTTCGTGTTTGTCTCTCTTGTGCGACAGGTTTGTCGGCCAAAATGTGAGGGACAATACTATTCGACCACGTCACCACGTCCAATCACATGCAGAAGGCACTGGATAAGTCGCCCACCCCTCAGCCACTTCTTAAGTAGATTCGACTATACCCACCAAATGCTCCTTGGGAACGTATGATAGGCTACGACGCTACGGCCAATAGTCGCTAGGTAGCTTTAAAAGCAAAAAAATGCTAGGATACAAAGGAGTTTGCAAATATATACATAAAATATATAAATAAAAATATAAAGCATATAAGAGTATAAAAATTAAAAAATACAAGGGCACGAGTAAACTCAAACGTTTACCAAGACGAGGATACATAAGAGCGCAAGGGTAATTCATAACATTTAGCAGGTGTAGCACCACACAGGATGTGGAAAATATCAGGGGCCATCCCAAATCAGTGAGTTACAAGTCCCATAAAACTCACTTCTTGCATGTCACGACCTGGACACATTGTCAACAGTTCACTTCTCAACCCACTGATGGACAGTCCCAGTACATCAAATCTCTGTTCTGCTTTCTCATCTACTCTCATCCTGTATGTACTACATAAGGAGTATCTAAGCCATATCTGCATGGCAAAGAAACGGTGAGAGGAGACACACAGAAAAGAAGAAAATGCAGATGCAAGTGCAGGACATGTAAAGCAGAGTCCATGTCGGCGTGTTCGGTGTTTGCGCCATGGCGACAAGAGGGGCGCGAAAGGCGTGAAGAGGGAAAACAGTCCGGGGTGTTCGTTAATCGTTGATCAAGTCGTTACTGTGTATGTTTTTTTGTGTGTAGCCATAAAGACAGACAATCCAGTAGAAACCAGGGTATTCGTTGTCGCAAAGCGTTACTGAGTGTGGGTTTTGTTTGTGATTTGTGGCCATAGAGACAAAGGATCCAGCTCAGAACCGAAAGTGTCGGAAACGTCAAAACCTGAACTCGCGCTTCAGCCAGACGAAAGCATATTGTAGCTCTGCATGGCATAGTTACATAGCGTAACGTAGCGTAGTCCGTGTCGTCTTGCCCGTTCAGACCCTCTCGCCCTCACCGAAACCGTAGATGGCACGGCCCTGGCGCTTCAAGACCCACACGACGTCGGCAACAGTCACGGTCTTGCGGTCGCGGTACTCGACGACGGTGACGATGGCACGCAGCAGCTCGTAGAGCTTGGTCCTGATGACCTCGCGTAAGCTGTTGTAGATCGGCTCCGAAATTCTGTAGACGCCAGCACGACGGGCGATCCGCCTGTTGGTTCTGTCAGTGACTGTTCAACAGTATGTGTGTAGTGGTTGTTTGTAGATGGAATGGGTGTGTGGGCTGGTTGGGTGAGGTGAGGTGAGGAGAGAAGACGCGCGATGGGAGACAGGTAGGTAGGTAGACGGAGGGAGACGACATACCGGATGGAGGGACGCGTCACACCAAGGATGCTATCCTTGAGGATCTTTCTGTGGCGACGGTAGGCAGGAGACTTTCCGGCGCCTATGTGTTTGGCCGGGATCTGGATCTTCTTCTTCGAAGTAGACATGTTGACAAGGGCAGGCGTGCAGTGTGATGTGTGGAGGGTGGCGTAAAGGGAAAGTGTTATGGAGGAAGGCAAGTCGAGGTTGAGGGGGAAGGTGTAGGGAAACAAGCGTAACACATGAACATAGTAAGAAAGTGTCAAAGCAAAGTGAAGTAAAGTAGTTGAAGTGAAGCGTGGTAGGATTTTAAAAGGAGAACCAATCTAGCAGACCAAAAAAGTGTACTCCACTCCCGTAACCAGACAATCCAACACAGGCGGCCAGACAGTACCCTCACATTTCTGCGTTTGGCCGGCCTGTCGTCCCTGTCGAACGATATTACAAGATGCTATGTTCCGCCCGTTATCCAAAGCGAGTGAATATACAAAAAGCCTTCATTCCTCTAAGTCATTTCGTTCCAACCATTCATCCCGACCAACGAACGTGAAGATGCTCTCCTCAACAGTCGTATCATCGAGCTATTAATGAATTAGGTCAGCGTTGCGCGTGCGTCAAGAACATGCTGTACCGGTAGTCCATCAGTACTCTCCCGAGATGAAAGTGGCCTCGGTGAAGAGAGTTCCCTCCTCTTCCTTCTCCTCGTCGCCGACCTTGACCTTGATGGTCAGCTTCGGCGCGTACTGGTAGATGTAAGGCTTGGTGCCGGCGGCGCTGGCGACGATGGCCTTGACGAAGCCGGGGACCTCGGCCATGACGTCAACGCGGTCGATGCGCGGACCCAGCGAACCGGCAGCCTCGGCGTGGAAAGCCTGGCCGTCGCTCGACTTGCCGTCCCACGTGTACGCCGTGGCAACCGGCTCGGGCCAGTCGTTCTCCGTGTCCTGCTTCTTCTCGACGTGCTTCGCCGAGTTGGTGGCGCCGGCGTAGATGATCTTGTCATCGGTCGCGACACCGCCGACGCTGACGACCGTCGAGCCGTACGAGGGAGGAGTGACGTACTCCATCAGGATGGCAGAGTACGAGGGGGACTGGAAGTTGACAAAGTCCCAACGGGCAGCTGTAGCACCGGTCAGACCACACCTGCTCATCATCTCATGTACAATCGGCCCGTACCTGCGTGATGCGGCTTCATGCCCTGAAGCGCGTGAATGAAGAGACCCCTGCCGCCCATGTTGACCTCGCCGGCCTGGGTCAGAATGCTACCCTCGACCTTGCACCTGGGCCAGAAGGCATGGCGCATGCTGCCCCACGGCTTGGCGGGGTCGGTTCCAAAGTAGCTGTAGCCGTTCTTGCCCACAACAAAGCCCGGCGCGACCTTGGTGAAGGTCAGATTCACAATACTCTGCTTGTTCGTGTTGGACTTGATCGTGTAGGTGTTTCCGTCGGGCGACAGCTCGAGCGAGCAGTTGTCAGCGTAAAAGTTGTACTTGTCCTTGTCGAAGCGGGTGTTGCTAAGCGGGTCGGAGGACCACAGGTTGGGCGTCTTGCCGTCCTGGTAGAAGATCTTGGCGTTGAACTGGCACGTCGTCCGCAGGCCTCTGCGCGTGGATGGTCAGCAAGCTTTATCGGGGGCGACGGCGGGGTATTTTTTGCTCTTACGCTACATTGCTGTAGATGACCTGGGCCATGCCTAGCAGACCGCTGTCGGCGACAATGTAGAAAGTCTGCGTCTCGACGCAGGTCGACTCCATGGCGACCCATTTCAGGTCATCCTTCTGGACCTCGGTGTAGGGCGTGTCCTGGGCCTGCTTGGTGACGGGCTGGATGGCGTCAGGGCCGTAGATGGGCTCCTGAGTGCCGGCGACGTTGGCCAGCCTGCAGCGGGGGCAGTAAGCATCACGACGGGGCGGGCAGGGAGCATCTGGGAACTGACTGCTGTTTCGCCCAGTTGAACATGGTTGGTTTGGAGGTGGAGACGGAAGTTCGGCAGGGCGGTCTGGACGCTTTTGATTGCTGGAAGGGAGCAGGAGAGGTTGGTGCTATCGGCGTGAGGTGTGCCGATTTAACCCCGTGCAGAGGGATCTTGGGTCTGCAAAATGGCTCTTCTCTCGCGAGGCATTATTCGGCGCCATCATCCATCGCGGCTGGCGCCCCGCCGTCTTCCCACCCCGCCGAGAGCCCGACGACGTTCCTCCCAGAGCATATTCTGAAAAACCTTTGCCAGCTCCCCAGCTCCCCACCCGCCCGCCAATCCACCGCTCGAAACGGTCAACGGAGATCGTCAAACCCCAGCCAGCTCCCCGCGGCGCCGCGCTGACTGTTCCGCGCTTGTCTCGGTCCCACTGTCGGCCCATCGAGTCCTTCACCCTATGACGCGGGCGACTGCTCGACCGTAGCCCTCTCGCATCCACCTCTGCCCTCGTCCGCTGGCTCCGCCTCTGCCACCCTCTTGCTCATCCCCCCTCCCAAGAGCTGCGCTGCTTGCCCCGTCCACGTCATCGTTGCTACAAAGGGCGCGCGCGCTGCGGATGCCCCGTCTCCCATCCATCCACGACTATTGCGCCTCCCGCGAGCCTTGATTACGCCCAAATAAGCTCGTCGACGATCTACGAGCTGTAATAAAGTAAGCGGATCCTCTTTTGCGTCAATGCGACATCCTTGCGTCTTACGGCCGGTCCACGGCTCCTTTGTGTCTTACCGAACTCCCTCTAATACGACACGCCAGGCCAAGCTCCCTTCAACCATGTCGAAGCTCGAAGACGCCGACGATGCGCTGCAGCAGGGTGTGCGCTTCGCGTCGCATAACGAGGAGATCGAGCCAGACGAGACAATGACGGGTGCGGAAGGAAAGCCAAGGCAAGATCTTGGCCCCGATGCCAAAGAAGAGATGCGCGCTCTTGCTTCGTCGCTGCAGTCCCAGAACCAGAGGCTTCAGTCAGACCGGCTGGAGAACTTCTCCTTCGAGCCCGTTTCTCTGCCGGCGTCAAGGGTAAGCTGCTGAGTTTTCTCAGTCTTCTCGCCAGACGCTTATAAGTCATGTAGGCCCCGTCTCCTTCTTCCACCGGGCAGCGCACCCCGATGCCCTACTCCGCTACGGCATCCCCAAGACCCTCTCCCCCGGCTTCCACCATGCACTCCCCGCCGCTCACGCCCGCTGCCACCCACTCCAGAGAGAGCCACTCCAGAGACAGCAAGCCGGGCACTGCCGGAGGAGCTAGCTCACGAGCTTCGAGTCTCATGACACCGGAAGTCTCACCGCCCCACGATACTGCCCCAACATCCACATCCACGACCGAGGATGACAGGAAGAAGTCCACGGACCGACAACATCGTGCCAAGCCGGAAGCAGCGGGTACGCCGGCGCATCCAAAGGAGCCTCCTCGGTTCACCATCGGGCCCTCTGGAGACTCCCTCCCTGGTTCTGAAGGGGTGAGCCCTTCGCCATCTCCAAACAGCGCTTCAGGAGCATCGGCTCCTGGAACCCCAGCAACCCCGCAGTCCCCCGCCATGAGACCGGCAATGTCCCCGAGGGGCGATAGCGAAGACCCGTATGCATCGAGCAAGCGTCCTGCTTTTACCACCAGGTCTTCTCTAGATCCCAGGTTTCTTTTCGGTGGTCGCGATCCAAGAGGACACGCTTCTGCGTCGTCGTCGACCACCTCACTACCTCGTTCTCGCGGTGGTGAAAAAGATGGGAAGCGACACACTTTCTTCGGCGGGCATCACCACAAGAAGCATGAAGGCGAAAACAACAAAGACGGGGTTCATCAATTGGAGAAGAAGCATGGTTCCATGACTGAGCTGAAGCGATTCTTCAAGCTTGGAGCACACAAGAACAAGGACAAGAGCCGTCCCACATCTCCTTCCGGCTCCTTCAGGAAGAGTGGCAGCAAGAGCGGCACTACCACCCCTGTCTCGAGACCTTCTTCGGTCGCCATTCCGTTTGCGGATGATCATGGACTGGAGGCCAAGTACGGCAAATTTGGCAAAGTTCTTGGCTCGGGTGCTGGAGGTTCGGTGCGTATTATCAAAAGAAGTAGCGATGGTACCGTCTTTGCTGTCAAGCAATTCCGCGCGCGTCACTCGTATGAGTCAGACAAGGAGTACACGAAGAAGCTCACTGGCGAGTTCTGCATCGGATCAACGTTGCACCATGGTAACATTATCGAAACTATGGACCTGGTGCACGAAAAGGGCAATTGGTTTGTGGTCATGGAATACGCGCCATATGATCTCTTCGCCATTGTCATGACTGGCAAGATGAGCCGCGAAGAGGTCACCTGCAGCACGATGCAGATCCTGAGTGGCGTCGTATACCTCCATAGTATGGGTTTGGCTCACAGGGATTTGAAGTTGGACAACGTGGTGGTCAACGAGCACGGGATCATGAAGATTATCGATTTTGGAAGTGCTGCGGTCTTCAGGTATCCGTTCGAAAATGACGTAGTGCTCGCGAGTGGTAAGTCCAGCAAGCTCCGATATCATCCGATTGTTATCGACATCACGGAGATCATCCTTGAGCTAACGCAACATTAGGCATTGTCGGCTCGGATCCCTACCTTGCACCCGAAGTGTACGATCTCCAAAAATACGACCCACAGCCAACCGACATATGGTCCATTGCCATCATCTTCTGCTGTATGACATTGCGCCGTTTTCCTTGGAAGGCACCAAGGGTATCGGATAATTCGTACAAGCTCTTCGTCTCTCCGCCCAACACCGGCGACTGGCCCCAACACACCCAGCCGAGGAGATCGGGAGAGGTTGGCGGTGTCTCCAAGAGCGTAATTGACTTGAAGGAGCACGAGAAGACGGGAGCGAAGCGAGGAGTCGAGAGCGAACCGGCCAGCCGGGTCAACAGCCAGGTCGACCCCAAGGACACGGGCAGCAAGCACGAGAACCAGGAGAACGGTCATTCGACCAAGCCCAACGGGCATGAGCAAGATCGCCCGCATTCTAACCACGAGCACAAGTCGTCAAGGGATTCGGCAGCCTCGCCGCAAGCCCAGCAGACCATCAAGGGTCCTTGGCGTCTGCTCAGACTCCTCCCTAGGGAAAGCCGACACATTATCGGCAGGATGCTCGAGATTGATCCCAAGAAGCGCGCGACAATGGAAGAGATCCTGGAGGATAAGTGGGTCAAGACGGCCCCCAAATGTCAGCAGGTGGAAGGCGGCAAGGTGCTCAAGGCCGAGGGCCACACTCACACTCTCGAGCCAGGTAACGCACAGACAGCCGCTGCTACAGGTAACTCAAGCAGAAAGTAAAAGGACGGCGCAAGCCAACAGCGGACACATAATAGAAGATCCGAAGACTCCGTTGGACACTGAGCGGAGTACAATGGCAGAAGAAATTAGACGTAGGACGGGTGGCGAGTAGCGTGTTTTCGACAATTGGCGACCGGTGGATCTTGTTTTGTTGGCAACGATTCACGACAGCTGTACTTATTGGCGCTTTTCTTTTTCTTTCCTTGCTTTTGCTTTTTTTTTTTTTTTTTTTTTGGTTCGTTCTTTCGTCGTCTTTCCTTTGTTGGCAAACACTTCTCCATTCTCCCGTTTTTTGCAGCAACCTAGGGCGAGTCGAGGGCGGGTTGGTGGCTATGTTTTTGTTCGTTTCTTGTCTCGATTGGTCTTTTTCTTTTTCTCGGGAGTGGCGGTGGTTTGTACAGGGTAGGATTGTCGACACATTAGAGAGAGGGACACCGCGCGGATTTTATGGGGGCGAGGGGGTTGAGTTGGGCGGTTGAGGGTAGATGTTTTGGTAGCAGTAACTACATATACAGGATTGGTGTGTCTCAGGTGCAGGTGGTGAATTTACCCGTAGGTATAGATTAAAACACGAGGCAGGTGCACAGCCTGCCATCTATTCCGAGCGTCACCGTACCCTCAACGTCGTCCCCTTCGCTTTCCTCAGCTCAAACGCCTCACTCTCCCTTCCAACACGCAGTGTATCACTGGCGCGCGTCAATCCCGCCGCACCGGTCACGCGATGGCCCTCTGCCCTCTCGTTTTTCGCCCGGGGGCCAGACGCACCCACTCGCCGCCCGCGCCGCCTGTGCGCTAATCGCACCTATCTCCAGATTTCTTGGCTCGACGCGCAAGACCCAATTGATGCGGCACGTTGTCTTCATATTATGCCCCAATGCCTCTTCTGCCTCCGGGACAAGAGGATCCAATTTGGACTACGACCACTCTCACTCCCGTATAAATACGAGTACCACGACTACTCACCATGGTCCGCCATGCTACTGTGCCCATCAACACGCTGAAAAGCGGTCCGCTGCAGGCTCATCACGCCGCTATTGCTGCCGCTGCCTCCTCGACCACCGCGACAACGACGACGACGACCGCGGTGCATAGCTTTGGAGAGCACAGGCGCATCTCCAGCATTCCGGGCTCCAAGACGGCGGCTGGTGAGTTGCTGAGAAACCCCCACATTCCAACCTTTTCCCCTCCTCCTTCCCTCTTATCTTCCCCAGGCCTGCAGTCGCAATCAGGGCCTCCCCAGCACGTCATCATGCCCTCTACCATGGGAGAAAAAACGGGACGAACAACGAGCTAACCACGCACGCGACCCCCCCCCCAGCGTTTTTGACATCTCTCTCCGCAAACCTGACGATTGCCGACGTCGACTCGCCCTTCCCGTCGCCCGTCGGGACACCGCTCATGCGCGGCGGCGCCGACTTCCCCAACTCGCACACAATGCCTCCGCCCTCGCCGCTCGCGTCCACCATTCCCATGTCCGCAGACAACAATAATATTGGTAGCAGCTCCAGTGCAGATATGCTATCGCCCAGCTTTGCCGCCGCCGCAGCAGCAGCAGCGTCAGCCCCGGCAGCCGCAAAGAGCCGGAGCCACAGCTCACCCGCTGATGGCAGCCACAGCAGCAACAAAACCAGGAACGGTGACGACCCGCTGGCCGGCGTGCCGGAGCTGGTAACGGAGACGGCGACGACCGACGAGGACAAGGTCGAGGCGCTGAAGCTTATCGCCGACAGCATCGCGCAGCAGCGGCAGGTCGCTAGCTGGGCTGTCATATCGCACCCGATGGTGCTGGCGGCGTACGCACTGCTTATAGCGTTGATGACGCACTACACCTGGCGGACGGCATCAGACCTGCCACTGTTGTTCACGACAGGCGCGGGCATTACGATGGCATGTCTCGTGGCTGTACGCCTCGTGACAGGCCCGTACATCACGCAAGCGGAATCGCTGAACTGGGACTTTCTGTCATCGCCAGGCTCTGCTGACAGCGAGGACACGGTGCTGGTGACGCGGTTTGGCGAGCGCATCGTCGGCGCGTTGGTGTTGGGCTGGGCACTGCCGCCACGCGACCCGGCGGGCAACCGGGCGCAGCGCCGTAGCCGAAAAGGCAGGGGCGTTGTGCGCGCGTGGACGGTGCTGCTGAAGTATCGGGGCAAGGGTATTGGGACGGACTTGTTGGAGGAAGCGACGCGCGTGGCGGCGAAGCGGGGAGGTGAAGGTATTGAGTTTGCGGAGGACCATGCTAGTAAGTGCTCCAGTGCATTTGTCTGATGCGGCAAAACAAAACATAGGTAGCTAACCCACGCCAACAGACTCGCGCCTCGTCCTCCCCGCCACCTTCAACAAGGCATTCACGAAGCGCGCGGAACACGCCCGCGCTGCCCTTGAGGCTGTGGTGCAGCGCAGCGCAGCGTTTGGGGGGAAGCGGCGTCGCTCGCGCTCGAGCACTAGTTCGTTTTAAGGGGAATTAGGGGGGGGCTAGGGGGTTAGGGGATGGGAGGGAGAGGACGCGCACTCCCCCCCCTCCCAAGACCCAAGAGAGAGGATTGGCAGGATTGTTTGTCATTTCCTTCCTTTGCTCGCTTGGTTGTGGGATTTGGACTGGACGCGCGTGGGCCTGGCGTTTACGCGCTTGTGCGCCCCCGCTGCGCACTATTCGCTCACTACGACTTACTCACTACGAAGAACTGCACTGGCGCTGCGCGCCAAAATGAGGCGAAGTGTGCATTGCACGCTTGCATGTGGTTTATTTGCGATTAAGGGAAGGGAGGCGCGCGACGCGCTCGTAAAGAAGAAGAGGCGATTGTGATGTCTCGGTTCTGGACCAGCGCGCTGGGAGGCAGCGAGCGAGCGAGCGAGAGAACGAACGAACGAATGAAAGAGCGAACAAACCGAAGATCATACGTACCTGCAGCGAGCGAGCATACAACGGACGCGAACGATAAATGCAAGAAGTAGACGGCTGGACGGCTGAACGGACGAACGGACTGGACAAACTGGACAACGACGCCGACGATAAAGACGAAGACGGACGAAGACGAAGATGGACGAAGACGAAGATGGACGAAGACGAAGACGACGAAGCGATTCCCTCCTTTTTGGGTCCTTGTGTTTTTTCATTGCTTTTGTGGCTGGGTAGACGGCATTGGACGGATAGACGGCGGAGGAATGGCGGAGATGATGATGATGAGAAGGGAATGGAGATGGAGGGCGGCTTTTTGTGCGTGCTTACTTGGGTGCTTATTTATACAGTGCAGTACAGTGCAGTGCAGCGTTGAGTTGGATATTTACCTAGTTAATCACTCTTTCGCATTCGTATACGCGTAGGTTGATAGAAGTGTGCCTTGTTTTTACACCATATGCATACCTCAGCACCCCAGCTGTGCCGACCTCGGTGCACGGCAAACGAACGAACGAAGGAAGGAACAGTTAGGAGTGTATCTAGGAGTAGAGCAGACAAGCACGCCTCCACATCCCCAACCAACACAGTACATCACAGCACAGCACAGCACAGCGCAGCATACAGTACCTCCAATCCAGGCGTACATACAAGCCCAGTCATGCACCGACGTGCAGGGATCCGCACCAAGCAGCACGCAGTTAATTAATCTATGTAGGGCTTGGTAGAAAGCTTGGAAGGCTTGTCTATGCAGTGTAGTGTATATATATAGAGGTGGCGCGGGGTTATAGCCTTTAGCCTATAGGGTTGTGTTAGTTACTTAACGAGTTGTGATTGGGTGTGTTTGAGAGGTCGGAGATTATGGGTGCGTGGGGCGGGTGGGGCAAGCGAGTACATAACGTCCGTCACCATGAAGCAAGATTCACCATAAAGCGAGATGGTGATACGTGTACGGAGAAGAAGAAGAGACCCAGTTAGGATATGTAGAGCCTCTGTGTACTCGAAGACCTTTTTACCCATACCTGGGACTCGGGATAGGAGCTGGGCAAGGAGTACTCTGTAGGGACTGCTTGTGTCGTCCCCTGTCTCGCTATACGCTGGATCTAGGTTCGCGGTGACGGAAGTTACAAGTCGCAAACCCGGTAGACGTACTCGTAACTGCCTACATCAGCCACCCTAGGTATGTACTAAGGCCCTCGCAAATGATTGAACGCCCAACCAACGCATCCAGAGTACACCGCACCTACGCCTACACAGCGCTATGTCAAACGTCATCGTACAGTACATGCGGAAGCTTCTGCGTACCTTAATATGTAACCCCCCGTGCCCCGGCCCCGGCCCCTTCCTCATTGGACATCGAGCTGTGATTTTTTGTCTTTTTATAATGGCAGCACTCCCACCGCTCCGTTCCCTGCGCCGCCGTGCAGCAGCTCGTTGGAAACCTTCCAGAAGGCCGTCGGGCCGGCGGGGCCGTAGGGGTCGTAGTCCCTGAAGGGGCGGTGGAGGACGTTAGTTGCGTTCAACAAGGGAGGTGAGAGAGAGAGAAAGGGTTGAAGTAAGAAAAAAGAAAGAAAGGGGAAGGGAAGGAAAGAAGAGGAAAGGAAGGAATCGAAAGAGTGCTAAAAATAAAAGAGAAAGCCACACATACTTATCAAACCAAGAGCCCAAGCTTCCCCTCCCCGATCCCACACCCCCCACCTGCACCGTCTCGCTCCGCCAGCGCTCCTCCCCATCAAAGACACTAAACGTCGTCCAGCGCACCTCGCCCTCCCGCGTCATCCGCACGCTCCCCCGCACCGCAGACCGCGCGTCCGCGTCCCACGGCGCGTGCATCGCGCGGCTCGTGCCCCGGAAGTGCACGACCGGGAGGCGCGGACTGTCGGTTGGGCCCGGCGGCGTGATGGCTGTGGGCCGGAGCTTGAGGTGGATGAACCGCAGCGCTTCTTGTGTGGTGAGGGGCTCGCGCGGGTGGAGTGTGCTTGTGCTATTGATGGTGCTGCTGCTGGGGCGCCGGTTGTGCGTTATGGGCGTTGAGAGGTCGTCGTCGCGCTCGAAGTTGAAGGCGTACAGGTCGGTGTAGTCGAGGAAGCAGACCAGGCGGAGGTAGGTCCCGGTTACGGCGTAGGGGTCTTGTTGGGAGAGGGGGAGCGACGGGGTTAGCGTGGTTAGGGAGTCGATGCGTTGGTGGGGGTCGTGATGCGGAGACGGTAAAAGAGGCGTGGAGGAGGAGGGGGGCATCGGGGTGCTAGCTGCCGTAGGCGTGGAAGCAGAAGCAGAGGTGGAGTCCGAGCTGGCGTCCTCTTCGTCGCCGTCCTCGTCTCCTGAATCCTCTCCTCCGCTTGAGACAAGATACTCGGCGCCCGAGATCTCGCGGAATGTATGCGGTGCCGCGCCCTGGAACGGCGCGTACCAAATCGGCTGGAAGCGGCCGTACGTCCGCTCGCTGAACCGCCGCATGTTGCTCGTCAGCACAATCAGGATGCTTTCCATGGCCTCCCAGTCGACGCGCAGCGACCCGTCGCCCATGAACGGGCCCCACGTCGTCGCGGCCGTGTAGCGGCGGAGGTCGTACACGCGGCTGCGCGCGTACGCGTCGATGGGCTGCTGGCCCGGCTGCGCGCTGCTGCCGTGCTGCGGGATCCCGTGCAGCACGTGCAGTTTCGCGCTTAGTTGGCGCTGCTCGGGCGTGCTGAAGCTGCTTTGGATGGGCGTGCCTGCGGCTTGGGTGAAGAGGCTGGAACCGTGGAGGAGCGTGTCGGTGTTGGCTTGGTTGGTGAAGTGGTTGCTGAGGAAGGCGGCGTTGAGGTTGGGCTGCGTGTTGTTGTTGGTGTTGGCTTGGGTGGCGACGAGATCGCAGACCGCGGAGGCTATGCTGGAGAAATTTGATTTCTGGGCGGTGTTAGTATTGGGTTGGTGATGGATTGAGGGATGGCGTACTTTGACTTCACTGTCTTTCGTCGAAAGAAGCTTGTCCAGGGCGACGAAGCGCGGCAGCTCTGTTTCCCATGATACTTCAGGGTCATCTTTTCCTCGGGGCGGATTGTCCTGGTAATGGTAAATGGGTGATATTGAATATGCAATGGGCTACTGACGAAATATCTCAAATATGTCTCTTTCCACAAAAGGTGGTTGCCTTTGATGAACGTGTGGAATGTCTGACAGGTGCGGGATAAACGGCCCAGGTCAGTGGGCTCTACGTGTAACAGCACGTGCTGTAGCAGCTCGTTCGATAGATCAAATATGCAAGTCATTGTCTAATGGCGTGTGTAGTTAGTTTGAGGGATGTATCGTGAATGCTGAGTCTGAGACATAGACAACAGCTGAGATGAATAGACGGCAGTGACAAGAGATGGAAAGTGACAGAAGAATGACAAACAACGTAGACGATAGATGGAAGTACGTTTTCCTACATTTCTCTCGTGTTGATTGAGTTGATGGTCAGAGCTTTGGACGGACAGCCGCTGCTGCGGGGTACAAGGATCCCAGCTCTTAGCCTAGTCTGTTTACTCAGAACTTCAACAAGAAAAGTGTAGAGATTTGGAGAGACCTTGTGGAACAGAGGTTATAAGAATATGGGGATGGGAAGACGAGGAGTGGATGAAGCGCGGTCTCAGATGTCAGAGGGTCATCTGGAGTTAAGCGGGGATAAGACGGCTGCATCAGGAAACGTCTGTGCGGTGTCGGTTGTCCGGGGCGGCGGCGGGGAACGGCGCATGGAGAGATCAGTTCACCTTCTCCACTCCCCGACCGCATTTTTCCCTTTCAACCATGAAGCGTTGGATGCATCTCAAGCTCCATGACATCTGCAATAGGGATCTCCAGACAAAGTACTACAAAGCCTGGCAGATCTTGTGGCGTCCGCCCTCGACGTCATGCGGGCGTCGGGCGTGAATGCATGTCAACCTACAGCGAGCATCCCAATATTCAGCTGCGAAGAAGGCTGTCCATGTTGTACAAATTATTAAAACTGCACCCGCCACCTGTTTGTGTCGGCGCATACCTACTGACCATGAACCGCCTTATTGATGTGCAGTAATGACGTATCTGAACCTCCCGTCCAGCCGCCCTTCATACGCCGGCCAGCTCACCATATAATGATGGGCAGTTCACGGGTAACTGACCTTTCAAGGTAATGCTTTCCGAAGATTTGCGCCTCCTTGAAAGCGTTTTAATCGCAGCGAACGAACAACTCTTTTACAAGAACCCCGCACATTCAGACTGGCCATGTCCAAAACATTGAACATCGTAGTGGCACGCATATCCGCTCACTATGCTCGCACACATGCACCTGCTAATCCTGTGGAAAGGTCGGAGGCTCGCTCGGCGGCCTCTTCCACGGCATAGCGCTCTCACGCCTCGGTCATCGCGTCACGATCCTCGAACAGAACCCAGCACCGCTCCTCCACGACCAAGGCGCCGGTATCGTTGCTGGATCCAACACTCAGAAATACTTTCGTGCGCATGACCGCTCGCAGACTCCCTTGGCTATCACGAGCAACGTTCGCCAGTACCTGGACCACAAGGGTAACGTGATCGAGACGGAGAAACGAGCGCAGAAGATGACGAGCTGGGACCTCTTGTACCACGTCTTGCGCGCAAATTACGATGGTGTGCAGAGCAAGTATCTGGAGCCACCAAAGAAAAAAGAGGGGGACGGTGATGTGAAGTATGCCTATGGCCGTGTTGTGAATGAGCTGCAAGATCTCGGCACGGACAGGGGTGTGCGCGTCACATCCAGGAGCAGTAAAGACGGGACGGAAGAAACCATAGTAGCAGACCTACTCATTGCCTCTGACGGCGCCTCTTCCACCATCCGCACCATCCTGCAACCAGACGTCCAGCGCACTTATGCCGGCTACGTTGCCTGGCGCGGCACATGTCCTGAATCCGAGCTCTCAGGCTTCACTGCCTCTACCCTGGTCGACAAGTTCACCTTCTTCCACCAGACCGGCATGCAAATTCTGGCATACCTTATCCCCGGCCCTGCGGGCACCCTGGAGAAGGGCAAGCGATTGATGAACTGGGTCTGGTACTGCAACTGCCCACAGGACAGCGCGGAGTACATGTCCATGATGCTCGACAATCAAGGCAAGCGGCACAACTTTTCGCTGCCACCGGGCCGCGTGCGACCTGAGGTGTGGGAGGAGCAAAAGAAGCACGCGGAGCGCGAGCTGCCTCCGCAATTTGCGGAGATCGTGCGCAAGACAAAGGTTCCGTTCTTGCAGGCCATCACGGACGTCATCTCCCCCAAAGCCTCGTTTTTCAATGGGAAGATTCTGCTAGTGGGCGATGCGGTGGCCGGATTCAGACCTCATGCTGCGGCGAGCACAAGCCAGGCTGCTTTTGACTCGTTTTATGTTGTGGACTTGGTGACTGGGAGGATCAGTTTGTCTGAGTGGGAAAAGAATGTCATGGGCTATGCGAGGGAAATTCAACCTCAAAGCGTCGCGCTGGGGCAGAGGAGCCAATTTGGGGAACATCCACTACGTGGATGACCGAGTCCTGGTCGCCGTGAATGTACGTCAATAGGCAGTCGCATCCGCATATCCCGACCAGGGAAGCAACATCACGCAGAATCACAAGACGTATATCGCACCTTCCATTACGACAGTACCATCGTTCTCGCTCACCTACCTCCGCTTACAACTCATGTTCCAACTTACTCCGTCGACTCCCCGACGGACAGTCACCGCCGTATCACCACCTCAGTGATATCCTTTCATTGAGTAGACATATCAACGCTACCAGGAGCTACTAGTCGACTGCCACATTTATCTGACGCCATTCCGAACAAGACAGAAATTCCAGTCTAGGTCGTGGAAAAAGGACGGCTACCTTGCATCCGACCTGACGTCCTATCATTCTTCAACCCATACCAACTACTTTTCAGAGATTGAATGTGGCCTTTCGCCTACCTTTCGTTCATAACACAAAACATTCTACATTTGGTCACCATCGAAGTCTATACCGATATGCTACCAGCCCTACTAAGACATCTGCTAGGGAAGAGGAAACGCGAAGAGTAAGGGAAGCAATCCATACATTCCAATAGCAGCTTCACTGACGGCTCTCAATCCAGTGCATTGGAAGAACTATTAGTTCATCGCACGAAATACAAGCCCGACTCAGCGCTCAGCTTTATCTGCTGCAAGTGCCAAGTACGGCGCCCAGTTTCGAGCCTTTACATGCATTCCAATAAAAATGGAGACGAGCAGTACTGTCGTTATTGCAGCGAGAAGCGCAGACTTCCGTCCTTCACCGAAGACCTCCGAGTCCAATGGTGTATTGCGGGCGAGCACGCAGCTCTCGCCGACGAATTCGACTTGTTTTCCGACGCCGAATCATGCGAATGGTGCGAAGCGTACATTGGCGCCCACTCACTCAAAATCCTGAACCGCACTTTGGAGACAGAAGCAGGTATCGAGGCAGGAGCTCCCCGCCTGCAACTTATGCCCCGCCCGATGCGCATGGGCGATTGCGACCAGTTCCAGGTCGTCGACACGTCGTTTGAGCGCTCGAAATGGAAACTCGCTGCCATCCGAAATGATCGCAAGTTCGACGACGTGCTGGAATCTCTTGGTATGGCTATGCAGTCCGGCTTTGGTGTCTCCAGTGTCGAGATCCAGTCCTTTGAGGTAATGCTCCGCAGGATCGGGCTGAACTCGCCGGTCGATCTTTTGGCGTTGAAGGCTGCTGTCCTTCGGGCAATCAGGATCGAACTCGACTACTTTAAGCGCATAGAAGAGGATATAGGATTGGGAGAGGATGAAATCCAGATCGTGCGAGACAAGCGCAGCAGAACAGCAACTCCAGCCCCGAATCCCGCCTCTATGGAAAACAGTAGAGAACAAATGGTACAGGAGTACATCCGGCAAGAGAATCGTCCCCTTTTTAATGCGGTTCATCTTGATGAAGTGGTTAACCCTGCGGCTTCAGCGTCTCAATCCAGAGAGGCGACGCGCCTTGATACTGATACAGCGGTTCCGACTGAGAACACACAGATCGCCTTACCCAATACGACGGACGGTCCTAACCAGCCAATTCCTGGTGAGACAGAGAGCTCTAACCAACCGACGAGTCGCGATGAAGCGCCTGCTGCCGCGAACACAAGACTAGCCGAAGACCGAGAGGTTGAAGATATCATCACCGACATGGAAGAAAGAGCATTAGAACCGTTCCTCAACGATCAAATTATGCCCCTACTCAATAGCCTGGGGGACATGATAGAACAGGGATCGATGGATGATAAGCTCAAGGCAGATGTAATGCAAGACATCTGCAGTCTGAGTTCCTGCCACCGGAGCGGACCAAGACTGTTGCAGAAGGCATTACACCGAGCAGTGGACCACCAAGTCGTGCTATTTGGTAAGATGAGAAACGAGCACGGAAACGACCCGAACCTCACCAATCTCATCATGGACATTCGAGAAGCCAACTGGGCGGGCAAAGGCAAGTTCAAAGAAAAAGCTGAGGATTCGACGACGCGGCTTCGGAGCGCGTGCATGCAAGACGAAGAACTGAATGCCATGATCCAGGAATGGGCCAGCATTCTCCCGAAATCGGCTCTGAAGCGTAACAAGCTCCAGGAGCAGTGCAACGAGCTCACCAGAGCCGGCATCAAGGCCGCCAAAGAAGGCAGGGGCGTGCCTGCAGACGAACTCAACAGGTTGACGTCTGGAGCGCTCGGGGGAAGCCATGACGTTCAGGCGTATATGATGGGAGTAGAGGGGCAGGAAGAGAAGGCCCAGCGACGCATACAAGAGATCCGAGACGACTTGGAAAAGAGCCCCCGTACGAGCTTTCACTGGTCCTCCAACGAAGGCAAGGAGTTCGATGACCAAAGCATAGCACAGAGTGACCCTCCTCCGCTCCGGAGAAAGAGCTCTTGTCGCAATCGCGACCAGCTCCAGATCACGGGTGGTTCTTCTGGGGATCGAGAGGTTGGCGAGTCGTCTCGAAGTCCGAGAGTGTCTTCTCAGACCCCGAGTTTGGCACGGTCTCCTCACGTGGCGGGTTTGGCATATACTCCTCCTCTAGGTCGAGGCTCGGAAGAGGTTTGGCAAGCTCGAGGATCGCGGCCGTCTTCTCAATTCCCACGTCCGGGACAGCCTTCTAAAATCCCACGTCCGGGTCTGTCTTCTAAAACCCAAGGCCCGACACTACCCGAGTGGAACCAAACTAAGGCCGACAGAATCCAGAAAGAAGAAGCGGCCGCAGCTCGCTCCAAGAGAAACAGCCCTTTTAGCGACCCCCGAAGAAACGAAGCCTCAGGCAGTGAGCCTCGAGGGAAAGAGCCCAAAGGAAAAGAGCCCAAGGGAAAAGAACCTAAAGGAAAGGAGCCTAAAGGAAAAGAACCCAAAGGAAAGGAACCTGAAGGAAACGAGCCTGAAGGAAACGAGCCTGAAGGAAACGAGCCTGAAGGAAACGAGCCTGAAGGAAACGAGCCTGAAGGAGATGAATTTGAAGGAAATGAACCTTCAGAAGACGAATCTTCAGAAGATGAATCTTCAGAAGGCGAACTGCGAGGAGGGAAACCTCAGCACCGGTCCTCACGCCACCGCCTCCCTCGGCCAGATGATCGACCAGAACACACCTATAAAAATTTAGAGCGCATGGAAATCCACCAAAAAATCTTAACGGAGCAGCTTGTAGAGGCTCTCGAGATTCAGTACAGAGCCGCGAAGCACCTAAAAAAGTCGTTGAGAATGCAAAGAGAGGCTGACAGGGTGCGTCGGGCGCTTCAGGGCAATGCCGAGATGGATGATAGACTACGCACCGGATCCAGGGCTTCCCCGGTTGTGTCTGAACCGTCGAATGATGAGAGGATCTCTAGAAGATTGTCGAGGCGAACGTATAGGCAGTCCCGGCCTCTCATCACAGATGTTGAGCAGCCGACCGAAGGCCGCGCTGTTCCGGAAACTGAGGAGAAGGCGAACTGGCCGCTTCCGCCGGGCCCTGTGGAAACTGAGAAAGGCGACCCGCAGGCTCAACAAAATACCGCGAAAACCGACGAAAGTGTTGTTCCACCCGGTAGTGCGGTGACCACCGAGGGGACTGAACAGGTGCCCCTACGGCCCTCTGAGGAAACCGGCGAGAGGGGACTTAAAACCGGTGCTAAGGACAATGACACCGAGGAGAATGTTCCATCAGTCCAAAACAAAAGCAATGAGGAATCAAACAAGGGCAAGTCTCGATCCAATAACACAGAAACCGGTGAGGGTGAAGCTGGCGGGGCCAAGCAAAAACGCAGCAGATTCAAGGAAGGCCTTTCGCGTTTTTCTTCAGTACGTTCGAGACGTTCCACGACAGAAGGCAGTGCAACTCAAACACCTCAGGAACCTCAAGTACCTCAACAACCTCAAAACCCTGGAGTGCCTCAAGTACCTCAACGACGTCGACTTTATCTACTAAGTCGAGTACCTCAAGTAGGCGACGTACTTGAACAACAAGGAGTATTGCAAACGTTGTTGCGCCGTACGCCCCTTGAGCACAAGAAACAAATGCTAACATTGTTTGGGTGTATAGGGGAGGCCCCGGAAGGCTCGACAAAGCAAAGGATAAATTTCGGGATGTGTTCAAAAGGAAGAAGTGATGGAGCAAATCCAGCATTTGCGAGGGAGGTGGATAAGTTCAGGAAACTGAGACATGGTGGATTAGGGCTGCCGCTGGCTGGGCCAGTTGGACTCGTGGCAAGCTTGTATGAGATGATGCAGTCGTTTATCGTTTCAATGAAGCAGCTGTTAGGAAGATGCCGTGACCTACACTGCAGAAGCACAGAAGTGGCGACGATTCGATGCTTGGGAAACCGAGAGAGGCCCCGAGGGAGGCTTAAACAGTGTGTCAATACAGGTGGCAAGCGGCTCTTCAGGGGTCTGTGCGTCGAGTGTCTAGCAAGCCACATACTCCACAGGACTCGATTTTGCCATGGATGTTACCTAGACGGTTTACAGTAGTGAGCGGTCAGTCCGGGTTGTTAAATCGCGCGGAAAAGGACGTCTTCTCCCACTCGTCGTCCTGGCTGTTGGCGGATTATGAGAAGGCTGAGGCAGACAGTCAGAATATCAAGCATTGGCGCACGGTGCAATGGCCGTGCGACCAAAACCAGACCCTGGGAATGGAGCTGAAGCGTTGTATGCCGCCGCTAGAGGGATTGGCGAGGGCGTGGTGGGCACATGTTGGGCTGGTGTTTTGGGAGAGGGTTGAAACAAGCTTAGCGGTGTGCAGCGTGATTGGCAGGGGTCCGCGCTTGGAGTCTGTGCGCGACCGACGTGTGCGGGAGGCGGAAGGCGCGTTGTTTTCTGGAGCTGCTCATCGATAACCACACCTGCCGCAACGCTCTCCTTCCCACAAACCCCCCCCGCACGTCTCCCGACGACTTACGCCTTCCACCCATTCTCTTCTGGGGCTTTTCACCTCTTGCCTCGTGCGATCCTTCTGAGATACCCTACGAATGTTTTAAGTCCTTAGAGCTACGCTAGAACGATCACCATGGAGGGCCCCTTGGTCACCACCACCCCTGGGGCTAACGGCATCCAACCGCCGCCCAAGGCTCCCACGGCAACCACGATAGATCCCCAACTCATAGTCGACCACCTCGCAAAAGTCCTGAGCGTCACCCTGGGCGCCGCCGAGGACGAGCTCGCCGCGCCCGGCAGCTTGCTGTCCGAGTCTGTCATAGCCGACACTCTGCAACGGTGTACGCGCTTCGCTTTGGAGTCGCAGGTGGCACTTTATGTCCAGCGGATCGTCGGCGAGCAACCAGAGCCGGTAGACGGTGCGGACGGGTCGGAAGGTAGGACCTCTCTTTCTTTTCCCGAGGATCACGTCGGTGCTGACGATCATTCATTTCCAGTCCCGCCTCCGCAGTATACCTACGTCCTCAGCTCTGAGCTGTCTTCCGCCGTGCAATACGATGCCTGTGTCGCTTTCTTCAAGGGCCCTCAGCCCATTAATCCCGCTTTGCCGATTAGCTCGCAGATTCAGATCATGCCTCTACCGGGAATCACGTCGTCGGAAACTGCGCCGCCTGGTCAGATCGCTGGTCCCTCGCCTTTCGAGGCCCTGCACGCTGCAATTCACCTGGCGCTGGCGCCATACTTCGATGCTTATACTAGAAGTCAGGCCGCGTCGCATCCCAGCTGGACTAAGGGAGATGCGGACTCGAGAACCGGTATACCTGGAGCGAAGAAGAGGATGGCGGAGCTGGAGCTGAGCTTGCTTCAGCTGCAACAGAACATTGAAATTCCCGAACTCGTTTTGGCCCTGCCTGAGGTGATTCAGAATGCGCTGGAAGAGGCGCGGGAACGTCAGGTTAAGCCAACCATCGAGTTCATCCCCGCGGCGCTTCTGGACGACAGCAAGTTCCTGAACAACCTGCAAAATATCGTCAACGGCTGGATTAGGCAGATTCAAGCAATCACCAAGACGAATCGGGACCCTGCTAGTGGCACTGCGGGCCAAGAGATCAACTTTTGGCTGGCGATGGAAACTAGTCTGGCATCGATCGAACAGCAGCTCCGGAGCGAGGGTGTTTCGCTCACCATGGACGTACTGAGGCACGCCAAGCGTTTCCAGGCCACTGTTAGTTTCACCACGGACACGGGCTTGAAGGAGACCATGGAAATGGTGCAAAAGTACAACTTGTTGATGCGCGACTTTCCATTGGACGAGCTGCTGTCTGCTCCTAGCTTGCAGAAGGTTCAGGACGCTATTAATTTGATCTTCACTCACTTGAACAAGAAGCTCCGCGCATCTCCTTACCCGATCAAGCGGGCTTTGGCTCTTGTGGAAGCTATTTCCGGCGACCTGGATGGTCGGATACATTACCTTCTTAATGGTCGTTCGTTAATGCACCAGGAATTCCCAGACTTTGATGCGACTATGAGACTGGCGGAAGGCATTTGGCGGGCATGGGATGAGAACGTCAAAGAATTCACCAACGTTGCGCGTGAAGTTTCCAGGAGGAGGAACGAGAAATTCATCCCAATCAAGATCTCTCCTCGCCACATCAAGACCCAGGATAGACTCAAGTACATCACCACCTTCCGTAGGAACCACGAACAACTCCAGCGGACCATCGTCAACGTGCTTGGCTCCAAGACTTCCGCGCGGGAACTCACGGACGGTGCTAAAGGCAGCGAGGCCGTTATCGTGGAGGAAATTGGTGATGTGGATGCCGTCGAGGAAGTCGCTCAGGCGTACGCGGCATTGAAAGATGTCGATATCTTGGATGTTTCTCCGGAGGGAACGCGCATCTGGGAACAGGCCGAAATGACCTACAACGAGCGGACGTCGCGCGTCGAAAACTCCATCATCGCTAGGCTGAGAGACCGCCTGGCCACTGCCAAGAACGCCAACGAAATGTTCCGCGTGTTCTCCAAGTTCAACGCACTCTTCGTCAGGCCGAAGATTCGGGGTGCCATTTCGGAGTACCAGACTCAGCTTATCGACAATGTCAAGCAGGACATTTCGGCATTGCATGAGCGCTTCAAGCAGCAGTATGGCCATTCCGAGGCGCACGCGATGGCACAGCTTCGCGATCTTCCACCTGTCTCAGGTGCCGTTATCTGGGCACGTCAAATTGAGCGGCAGCTGGATGGTTACATGAGAAAGGTGGAGGACATCCTTGGTAAAGACTGGGGTCTCCATATGGAAGGCCAGAAGCTCCAAAGCGAGAGCAGCATGTTCCGCAAGAAGCTTGAGACTAGGCCTATTTACGAGGCTTGGTTGAGGGAGGTCCAGAGGCGGAATCTATCCATTTCTGGCCGTCTTTTCAGCGTGTCACGCAACCGTGCGGCTGGCAATTCGCTCGAGCTCGGTGTCAACTTCGACCACCAGGTCATTGCTCTCTTCAAGGAAGTCCGGAACCTGCTTTGGCTCAATTACCAGGTGCCTCACGCCATCAACAACATCTCCAAGGAAGCAAAGCGTGTTTATCCTTATGCTGTCAGCATGATGGAGAGCGTACGGACATACTCGCAAACGACTCGCGCAATTGCCGAGATGGCACAAGTTTCGATCCTGCTCCACGGCTACCAGAACGATGCGCAAAGCTTGATCACCAAGGGTGTTCCTCTTAAGTGGGAATCTTTCGTCCACGCCTACGACCTTCACATCAAGCCGCTTGCTGTTGCGGCTGATCCCAGTATGGCTACTCGTAGTGAAAGCAAGCACGTCCAGTTCGTTCGTGAGTTTGCTGCTGCGGTGTCTCTTCTGCAGAGCAAGGCCGACACCCTCAGGACGATCCATGCTACCATCCAAAAGGCTCTGACCGATCTCGAGACCTGCGAGTACAAGCACGATTCTTTCCGTCAGAGCTTGGACGTCATTCAGCGCGCTGTCGATCAACTGAACTTGGAGAACTACGTCAACCTCCCCTACTATGTCGCTGAGATGAATGCTCGCATCGAGGCTACCTTGCTCATTCGTCTTAACCGCGCGGTCACGGAATGGATTGAGGCTTTTACTTCCGCTGATGGCTCAGAGGAAGATGAGAGGAACAACACTTTGAGGGCTCTTGAGGGCTCTCCTGAGCAGCAGCCTAAAACCCTTCCTCGTCTCTCCCATCTGATCCACGAGATTACCATGCGGAACCAGGTCATCTACCTCGACCCTCCTCTGGAGTTTGCCCGTGCTAGCTGGTTGGACCAGCTTCACGAATGGCTCGGCGTTATTTGCAGGCTTCAAAAGATCAAGTCCTCTCGGTACGAGATGAGGCTCGAGGCCACTCGTCAAGAGCCTACTGAGCAGCGCTTCGCAGAACTTCCAAGCCGTTGCACTCAATCGCTGACGCAGGTCTATGGCGCAATCGAGAACAAGATCCGCGAGATCGGTACCTATGTTGACGACTGGCTTCGTTTCCAGTCGCTGTGGGATCTCAAGTCCGACCAAGTCTATGACATCCTCGGTGAAGACCTCTCCAAGTGGCTTCAGCTTTTGCAAGATATTCGCAAGACCCGTTCCACCTTCGACACCTCTGACGTCAGCCGCTCGTTTGGAAACGTCACCATCGACTACGAGCAGGTGCAGATGAAGGTCAATGCCAAGTATGACCAGTGGCAGCACGAGATTCTTGTCAAGTTTGCTGGTCGCTTGGGTACTCGCATGACGGAGATCTATGCTGAGATTGAGAAGGCGCGCAGGGACCTTGAAGGCCAGTCCCTGGAGGCTTCATCCACGGCACAAGCTGTTCAATTCATCACATCCGTTCAACAGACCAGGCGCAAGGTCAAGTCTTGGGCTCCGGAAATCGAGACTTTCAGACAAGGACAAACCACCCTTACGCGGCAACGATACCAATTCCCGAACGACTGGCTCCATACTGATCAGATCGACCATGAATGGGCTACGCTGAACGAAATCCTCAACCGCAAGAGCAAGATTGTCAGTGACCAGACTGATGCGCTCAGGGCCAAGATCACGGCCCAGGACAGAGTCGTCAACGACAAGATTACCGAGCTCGTCCAGCAGTGGGGTGAAGAGAAGCCTGTGTCTGGAACGATTCCTCCCGACGAGGCGTCTGCCATTCTGCAATCCTTCGACCAGAGGTTGACGCAACTCAATGAGGATGCCCAGACAGTTTCCAAGGCTAAGGAGGCTCTTGACCTCCCTGCCAGCGGCGAGACCATCCTTCCTAGCTTGCTCGAAGAAGTTCAGGACTTCAAGTCCGTCTGGGCTGCTCTGTCTACTATCTGGAGCAGCTTGAACGAGCTGAAGGATACTCTTTGGACGAGCATCCAGCCTCGCAAGCTTCGTCAATCCCTCGACAACTTGATCAAGATGACCAAGGAGATGCCTTCCCGTATGCGTCAATACGCTGCCTTTGAGCACGTCCAGAACCACCTCCGTGGTCTTCTGAAGGTCAACCCGCTACTCTCTGATATGCGCTCCGAGGCTGTCCGCGAGCGTCACTGGATCAAAATTTTCCGGGCACTGAAGCCTTCCAAGAGATATTCTCCTCTCTCGATGACTCTTGGTGATGTCTGGGATCTCCAGCTTGGTCCTAGCGAGACTGTCATCAAGGATGTGATCACGCAAGCTCAAGGTGAAATGGCTCTCGAGGAGTTCTTGAGACAGGTCCGCGAGACATGGCAAAACTACTCTCTCGAACTGGTTTCTTACCAGAACAAGTGCCGTCTCATCCGCGGCTGGGACGACCTGTTTGCCAAGTGCAGTGAGAACCTCAACTCTCTCCAAGCCATGAGGCATTCGCCTTACTACAAGGAATTCGAAGAGGAAGCTTCTTCCTGGGAGGAAAAGCTGAACCGTATCCATGTCCTCTTCGATGTCTGGATTGATGTCCAGCGCCAGTGGGTCTACTTGGAGGGTGTTTTTACAGGCAACGCCGACATCAAGCACCTGCTGCCGATGGAGTCTTCGCGTTTCCAGAACATCAACTCCGAGTTCCTTAACGTCATGAAGAAGGTTGCTCGGTCGCCTTTCATCCTAGATGTGCTGGCTATTTCGGGTGTGCAGAAGTCCTTGGAGCGTCTTGCCGAGCTGCTCAACAAGATCCAAAAGGCTCTTGGAGAGTACCTCGAACGCGAGCGTGTCTCTTTCCCCCGTTTCTACTTCGTTGGTGACGAGGATCTGCTCGAAATCATCGGTAACAGCAACGATACGCTCAGGATCGAAAAGCATCTCCGCAAGATGTTTGCTGGTCTGTCCGGCTTGACGACCACGGATGACTCGACTATCGTTGGTTTCACCTCCAAGGAGGGCGAACAAGTTGGTCTTAAGAAGGAGATTTCTCTGGTCAAGACCCCGAAGATCAACGAATGGCTTGGTGCTCTTGAGCACAACATGAAGGACACCTTGGCGCAGCTTACCGCCGAAGCCATCGAGCACTTCCATGGCATTCTTAATGCCGAGACCCTCGATCGCGCCGCTTTCGAAGCCTACATTGCTGCGTATCCGGCCCAGATTGTTGTCCTGGCCACGCAGGCCTGCTGGACTACTGATGTCGAAGCTGCTCTGCGTGACGGTGGATCCTCGCTGCCAGCTCTGTATGAACGCCAGGTCACCATCTTGCAGCTCTTGGCAGCTGCCGTCCTTGTCGACCTTGATGTCATCCAGCGCAAGAAGTGCGAGCACTTGATCACTGAGTGTGTGCACCAGCGTGACGTTATTGACAAGCTGCGCAAAGTGGGCGCTACCTCCGAGAACCACCATGAGTGGCTCCTCCAGATGCGCTACTCGTACAAGGGCGAGGGTGACTTCGTTAAGCGCTTGCAAATCAAGATGGCCAGCGCTGTTTTGGACTACGGTTTCGAGTATCTTGGTGTTGCGGACCGCCTTGTCCGCACTCCTCTTACGGATCGCTGTTTCCTGACCCTGACGCAGGCCCTGTCTCAGAGACTTGGTGGTTCCCCCTACGGTCCCGCCGGTACTGGTAAGACGGAGTCCGTCAAGGCGCTTGGTCTGCAGCTCGGACGTTTCACCTTAGTCTTCTGTTGTGACGACACTTTCGATTTCCAGGCCATGGGTCGTATCTTCCTTGGTATTTGCCAGGTCGGCGCTTGGGGTTGTTTCGACGAGTTCAACCGTCTCGAGGAACGTATTCTGTCGGCCGTCTCGCAACAGGTGCAGAACATCCAACTTGGTCTCCGCAAGGGCATGGAAGACGACAAGGCTCAAATTGAGTTGATTGGTCGCAACATCAGGGTCAACCTCAACACTGGTATCTTCATCACCATGAACCCTGGTTATGCCGGTCGTTCCAACCTTCCCGACAACTTGAAGAAGCTGTTTCGTAGCGTCGCCATGTCCAAGCCTGACAAGGAGCTCATTGCCGAAGTCATGCTCTACTCTCAGGGTTTCTCACACGCCAAGTCCATCTCCAGTCAGATTGTGCCTTTCTTCGACAAGTGTAGCAAGGGGCTTTCCAAACAAGCCCACTATGACTTCGGTCTGCGTGCCCTGAAGTCTGTGCTTGTCAGCTCTGGTGGCCTGAAGCGTGCTAGGGTTGCTGCTGATGAAGAGGGCACCTCTGATGACGAGATCCTTGAGCCCCAAATCATGGTGCAGAGTTTGAGGGAGACTGTGGCTCCTAAGCTCATCCGCTCTGATGTCGACACTATGATCCAGATTGAGTCGGAGACATTCCCTGACGTTAAGTACCTGCCGGCTCCTCTTGAAGCGCTCCAGCAGGCTATCCACGAGTCTGCGGCCGAGCAACGCCTGGTTGTCAGCGAAGCGTGGATGACGAAGGTTTTGCAGCTGTACCAAATTCAGAACCTTCACCACGGTGTCATGATGGTGGGTTCTTCCGGTTCGGGCAAGTCTACTGCTTGGAAGACTCTGCTTTCGGCGTTGCAGCGTGTCGAAGGCGTCGAGGGTGTTTGCCATGTCATTGACCCGAAGGTCATGTCGAAGGAGCACCTGTACGGTAATCTCGACAGCACCACCAGAGAATGGACGGATGGTCTCTTCACCAGCATTCTGCGTAAGATCGTCGACAACCTGCGTGGTGAGGACACTAAGCGCCACTGGATCATCTTTGATGGTGATGTCGATCCTGAATGGGTTGAGAACTTGAACTCCGTTCTTGACGACAACAAGCTCCTCACGCTGCCTAACGGTGAACGTCTCAACCTTCCGCCGAACGTCCGCATCATGTTCGAAGTCGAGACCCTCAAGTACGCTACGCTGGCCACGGTCAGTCGTTGCGGTATGGTCTGGTTTAGCGATGACACCGTTTCTACGGACATGATGATCTCCAACTACCTCGGCGAACTGCGCAACACGCCCTTCGAGGACTTGGAAGATGACACCATTTCCCCTGGTCAGATGTCACAGAAGGCTCTGCAGGTCCAGAAGTTCGTTGCTGACCTGCTTGAGCACCGTCTCATGGCCGACAACTTCATCCAGAAGGCTTTGGACGGTGCCCGTGACTTCCACCACATCATGGAGTTTACCAACATCCGTGTGCTCAACACCCTCTTCTCTCTCTTGAACAAGACCTGCAGGTCTATGCTTGAGTACAATGTGCAGCATCCGGACTTCTCGCTCGAGGATGAGCAGATCGAGTCATTCCTCTCCAAGAAGCTGCTTGTCGCGCTTATCTGGTCTTTCACGGGTGACTGTCCGCTTGGTGAGCGCAAGGCTTTCGGCGACTTCGTGGCGGGTCAGAGCACCATCGACCTGCCACCGCTTGGTGCCGGAACGTCTCTCATTGACTTTGACGTCGCTTTGCCGCGCGCAGACTGGACGCTCTGGCAGAACCAGGTCCCCAATGTTGAGGTCAACACTCACTCTATCATTCAGACTGATGTCGTCATTCCGACATTGGATACTGTCCGTCACGAGGATGTCCTGTACTCTTGGCTCGCCGAGCACAAGCCTCTTCTGCTTTGCGGTCCTCCTGGTTCCGGTAAAACCATGACTCTCTTCAGCGCTCTTAGAAAGTTGCCGAATATGGAAGTCGTTGGCCTGAACTTCTCCAGCGCGACGACTCCTGACTTGCTCATCAAGACCTTCGAGCAATACTGCGAGTACCGCAAGACTCTCAACGGTGTGATCCTTAGCCCCACCCAGATTGGCCGCTGGCTTGTCATCTTCTGCGATGAAATCAACTTGCCTGCCCCCGACAACTACGGTACCCAGCGTGCCATTTCGTTCCTCAGACAGCTTGTTGAACAGAACGGTTTCTGGAGAACCTCTGACAAGGCATGGGTCACGCTCGACCGCATTCAGTTCGTGGGTGCTTGTAACCCGCCCACTGATGCTGGTCGTACGGCTATGGGCTTGCGTTTCCTGCGTCATTCGCCCCTGGTCATGGTTGACTACCCTGGCGAGCTTTCGCTGCAGCAAATTTACGGAACGTTCAACAACGCAGTCCTTAAGATCATTCCGGCACTGCGTGGTTACGCTGAGCCTTTGACGAAGTCTATGGTCCAAGTCTACTTGGAGTCTCAGAAGCGCTTCACTCCTGACATTCAACCACACTACGTCTACTCGCCTCGTGAGTTGACCAGATGGGTCAGAGGTGTGTACGAAGCTATCCGACCTCTGGAGAACTTGAGCGTCGAAGGCTTGGTGAGGATCTGGGCCCACGAAGCCCTGCGTCTCTTCCAGGATCGTCTCATTGCCGAAGAGGAGCGCAAGTGGACGGAAGAGTGTGTGCACCGCGTTGCGCTCGAGCACTTCCCCACCATCGAAGAAGACAAGGCCCTTGGAGGACCGATTCTCTTCTCCAACTGGCTGTCTAAGCACTACGTTCCTGTCGAGCGTGACCAGCTTCGTGACTTCGTCAAGGCTCGTCTCAAGACCTTCTGTGAGGAAGAGGTGGATGTTCCGCTTATCCTGTTCAACGATGTCCTGGACCATGTCCTCCGTATCGATCGTGTCTTCCGTCAACCTCAAGGTCATCTTATCCTTATCGGTGTCAGTGGCAGTGGCAAGACTACTCTTTCCCGCTTCGTGGCTTGGATGAACGGTCTCAAGGTTGTCCAGATCAAGGTGCACGGCAAGTACTCCGCTGAAGACTTTGATGACGATCTTCGGAGCGTCCTGCGCAGATGTGGTTGCAAGGGCGAGAAGATTTGTTTCATCATGGACGAGTCCAACGTTCTTGACTCCGGTTTCCTTGAGCGCATGAACACTCTGCTTGCCAACGCCGAAGTCCCCGGTCTGTTCGAGGGTGATGAGTACGCTTCGTTGATGACATCTTGCAAGGAAGGTGCTCAGCGCCAAGGCCTGTTGCTCGACTCTCAGGAGGAACTGTACAAGTGGTTCACTCAGCAAATTGTCAAGAATCTGCACGTGGTGTTCACTATGAACCCGCCCGAGGAAGGCCTTTCTTCCAAGGCTGCTACGTCCCCTGCCCTGTTCAACCGTTGCGTTCTTAACTGGTTCGGTGACTGGTCCGACCAAGCGCTCTACCAGGTCGGCTCCGAGTTGACTCAGCGTGTCGATCTCGACAGGGCCAACTGGAAGGCTCCCGACAGCATTCCTGTCGCCTACCGTGAGCTCCAGCTGCCTCCTTCGCACCGTGAGGCGGTCATCAACGCCATGGTGTACATCCACTACTCGCTTCACCGCTTCAACACTCGCCTGCAGAAGCAGCAGAACAAGAAGACGTACTTGACGCCTCGTCACTTCTTGGACTTTGTCGCCCAGTACGTTACGCTCTACCAGGAGAAGCGTGAAGACCTTGAGGAGCAGCAACGCCATTTGAACGTTGGTTTGGAGAAGCTTCGTGAGACTGTCGACAAGGTTAGGGACCTCAGGGCCAGTCTTGCCCAGAAGAAGAGTCAGCTCGAGTTGAAGGACGCCGAAGCCAACGAGAAGCTGCAGCGCATGATTGCTGATCAGCGCGAGGCTGAGCAACGTAAGACCCACTCGCTCGAGGTCCAGGCTGCTTTGGAGAAGCAAGAAAAGGAAGTCGCAGAGCGCAGAGAGGTTGTGCTTAACGACCTTGCCCACGCCGAGCCCGCTGTGCTTGAAGCTCAGAAGAGTGTCAGCAACATCAAGCGTCAGCACCTTACCGAAGTCAGGTCTATGCAAAACCCTCCTTCTGGTGTCAAGCTTGCCCTCGACGCTGTCTGCTCGCTCCTTGGCCACAAGGTCAGCGATTGGAGATCCGTCGTGGCGATTGTCAGGCGTGATGACTTCATTGCCAGCATTGTCACGTACAAGAACGAGGAGCAGATGACGGCGAACCTCCGTCTTAAGATGCGCAGGGACTACCTGTCCAAGGAGGACTTCACCTACGACCGTGTCAACCGCGCTTCCAAGGCTTGCGGTCCGCTGGTCCAGTGGGTCGAGGCCCAGGTCAACTACTCCGAGATTCTCGACCGTGTCGGTCCTCTCAGAGAGGAAGTGGGTCAGCTCGCGGAGGCTGCTGAGCAGACCAAGGCTGAGGCCATTGCCATCCAGAACACGATCAAGTCGCTTGAGGACAGCATTGGCACGTACAAGACCGAATATGCGGCGCTCATTAGCGAGACTCAGGCCATCAAGGCCGAAATGTCGCGTGTCCAATTCAAGGTCGACCGCAGTGTCAGCCTACTCGACAGTTTGTCTTCTGAGCGTGGCAGATGGGAGGAGAGCAGCAAGTCGTTCGAAACACAAATCGACACCATCGTCGGCGACGTCCTGGTCGCCGCCGCCTTTATTGCTTACAGCGGTTACTACGACCAACAATACCGTAAGGCGATGACGGAGGACTGGTTCCATCATATGTCAATGTCTGGACTCAGCTTCAAGGCTCACAACCCCGTCACCGAATACCTTTCGACCGCCGATGAGCGTCTGTCGTGGCAGGAGAACTCGCTGCCAGCTGACGATCTTTGCACGGAGAACGCTATCATCTTGAAGAGGTTCAACCGCTACCCGCTCATCATCGATCCTTCTGGCCGCGTGCCTGAATTCCTTCAGAAGGAGTGCAAGGACCGCCGTCTCACTGTCACCAGTTTCTTGGACGATTCCTTCACCAAGCAGCTCGAAAGTGCTCTGCGTTTCGGCAACCCCATCCTCATCCAGGACGCTGAGCACCTCGACCCTATCCTCAACCACGTGCTTAACAAGGAATACCAGAAGACCGGTGGTCGTGTGCTCATTCAGCTCGGCAAGCAAGAAATTGATTTCTCGCCTTCCTTCCGCCTGTACCTCTGCACCAGGGACCCGTCGGCGACATTCGCCCCGGATATTTGCAGCAGAACTACTTTCGTCAACTTTACTGTCACTCAGAGCAGTCTGCAAACCCAGTCGCTGGCTGAAGTACTCAAGTCCGAGAGGCCCGACGTCGATGAGCGCCGTTCCAACCTCATCAAGATGCAGGGCGAGTTCTCCGTCCACTTGCGTGCACTTGAGAAGCGTCTGCTTCAAGCGCTTAACGAGTCTCGCGGAAACATCCTGGATGACGATCACGTCATCGAAACGCTCGAGACGCTCAAGAAGGAGGCCGCTGAGATTTCTGCCAAGGTGTCTGAGACTGAAGGCGTCATGAACGAGGTTGACAACATTACCCTGCAGTATGAGATTGTTGCTCGTTCTTGCTCGGCTATCTTCGCCGTTCTGGAGCAGCTGCGTCACGTCAACTTCTTCTACCAGTTCTCGCTGCAGTACTTTACCGACATTTTCGAGTCGGTCCTGCAAGATACCAAGAAGATTGGTGGAGACTTGAGTTATGCCGCTCGCATCGACCACATCATCAAGGAGCTGTTCATTGACACCTACCGGCGCACTTCGCTGGCCCTCCTCCACAAGGACCGGGTCATGCTGGCCATGCTTCTTGCCCAAGCCGCGCCTTACAAGATGGACAAGTCTCTGATTGATCAGGTCCTCGACAACGATCTTCTGCCTGTCGATGTCTCAACCGAGCCTCGTCGCAAGGACGAAGTCCTCATTCGCGTCGCCAAGCACCCGCTTTTCAAGAACGAGGTTGAGAAGATCGACGAGGGATCGTGGAGCACCTTCTGCACTGAAGAGCTGGCGGAGAACTTTGTTCCTAAGGCCTGGCCCCAGGCTACCGAGAACCTCGACCAGCAACTGCGGTCGCTTATCCTAGTCAAGCTGTTCCGTGTCGATCGCTTTGTTCCTGCCGTCGAGCGCTTCGTCACCGAGGTGTTCGGCAAGGGCTTCCCAGTCGTCAGCGACGACCTTGGAGCCATTGTCAAGCAGGTCTCTGCCCGCACTCCCATCGCACTCAGCTCCTCGCCTGGTTTCGATGCTTCATACAAGGTCGACAACCTCGTCGAGCGCATGCGCGTCAGCTGCACCAACATCGCTATGGGTTCCAACGAAGGTCTCGCAAGCGCCGACAAGGCCATCACGGCGGCCGCGGCTACTGGCAACTGGGTGCTGGTCAAGAACGTCCACCTGGCGCCGACGTGGCTGCAGAGCTTGGAGAAGCGTATCGACTCGCTCAAGCCGCACCAGGACTTCCGCCTCTTCCTGTCGATGGAGAGCAGCCCGAAGATTCCCGTCAACTTGCTGCGCGCCTCGCGTGTCCTGATGTACGAGCAGCCAGCTGGTATCAAGGCCAACATGAAGGACTCGCTGTCGCAGCTGGCGACGCGCGCGACCAAGCAACCCGTCGAGAGGGCCAGAATCTACCTTCTGCTCTGCTTCTTGCACGCAGTGGTGCAGGAACGCTTGAGGTACGCGCCCAACCTGGGCTGGAAGGGCTTCTGGGAGTTCAACGACAGCGACTACGAGTGCTGCGCCAACATCATTGACACGTGGATCGAGTCGGTGGCGCACGGCCGTACCAACGTAGCGCCCAAAAATATCCCATGGGAGATGCTGCGGGTCCTGCTGTCGGAGATGTACGGCGGCAAGATCGACGACGAAGAAGACTGGCAGACGCTGGCGGGCTTGGTGAACGCAATCATGGACCCGGCGGCTTTCGAGGAGGGCTGGCGCATTGTGAAGCCCACGCCTGAAAACGACAACACGGAACTTGAGCTGCCGAGCGAGACGGCTTGGAGCTCGTTCTTGGACTGGGTCAATGGGCTGCCGGAGCGCGAGCCGCCGACTTATCTGGGACTGCCGGCGAATGCGGAGAAGCTGTTGCTGGTGGGACAAGCGAAGGAGATGGTGAGCAACTTGAAGCAAGTTGTGGAGTTGTTGGATGAGGGAGAGCAGGTTATGGCAGAGGCGGCGGATAATTAGATGAGTGGGGGATTAGATGGGACTGTGCGATGACGTTGATGGATGATGCATTGCTCGGCTGAGTCGAGCTCGACTTGTTTGCGATGCTTTTTTTGTTTTGTCATGGTTTTTTCTACTTTTTGCTTTTGCTTTTTTTGAACGCGGTACGCGACATGGGACACGGGTTTTAGACGGATGGGCTACGAGTACGGAGGAGTTAGTTTAGCTGACTACTTCATAGTACATACGGCGGTGTATGTTGTATGTGTTGTCACATTTTGATCTTTCTTATTCGGTCGGCTTTCCTTTTTCTGCAGCTGTCAGTGTCGGTGTCGGTGGCGGTGTCGGTGTCGCTTTGCTGTGCATTTGCATGGCATTGCAGCGGCATTGCAGCGGCATTGCAGCGCGGTTGCAGTGCGTGAATGTGTAGGGATATTGTGCTGTATGCAAGGAGGTGTGCGTGCTGCGTGTTGCGTGCTGTGGTGCATGTTTGAGTGTTTGCTGTATATGCGTGTTGTAAATACGGGCGTGGGGGTTGGGATGGGGCTGGGGATGGGGTGCGTGGGGGCAAGGTTGCACGACGGAGAATGCTTTTGTTAGAGATTATGTGTGTACTGTACACGGAACCGCTGTATGTACGTATTGCGTGATAGATCTGATTTGATTTTTTTTTT